ACAGGACTGATAAAACACTTAAGAATAGACTGACGGCATTAAACCCATTGAATTCATGATACTCTGCTCAAACTGTAATGAATGGCACTCTGCCAGCACTGTAAACTGTTCCGCACCCCCTTCTCTACCAGCCCATTTAGGTTTGACATGTGACCTGACAGATCTCTGCCTGCCACCGCTCTACCAGCCCAGCACAGCCCATCACAGCACAGCCACCTCGCCTTGCTACAGTATCCTCGTGGCCTGGTACCTCTCACGTCCAGACTCACCATCTAGGCGATCACTCATAGACTTAATAAGTTGACGAATTTCGAAGTGGTCGTGGAGCTTAACATCATGATAGCCCTTCAAGTAGCAGACGACAGCACAGCGCGGCACACCTTTCCGTCATTGAAATCATTCCTGCTTGGGGTGCCTGGCAGTTAGTTTAGGCGAGTGAAGGGACACTTTCCTTCCTTGCCTATCGAACCGCTCGATAATCACCGCCCCCGGCTTCTACCGTGAACACGTACAAGGACACACGGGAGAAGGTATCGTACGGACACCCCCACCGTTCAACTCGTGGTTAGTTGGCCTGTAGAGGGAGAGGAGCGGGAAATGCATGTGAGATGAACGCCTCTTTCCCGAGCCGACGCAAGGTCGTGCAAGAAACAATGCTCGCCATGTACTAGTAGGATTGCAGGGGCGATCCAGAGCATTCACTGGACCTACCTGTAGTATATTATTACCTACTATGTACGTACGGAGTACATGCAGAAGCAAAGGCCATGAAAAAGGGGAAGCCTCGCCCGAACCAAACCAGTCTAACCCCAAACTCTGACGCTGCGGCATTTGATTGGTCGCTGGCCGCAAAGAACAGCTAGGCGTTTTCAGGAAATCATGGCTGAAAAGGCAATAGCGGGAAATACCATGCCGCAACATGCAACAACTAAAAGTACTAGTATTTCAACCCTCTACACGCACCGCCAGCGATGTACTCCTGATAAGAGACACTGCCGGGGGCGGCTTACCATATCTGTCGCCGATTGAGGCTCAGGAAGAGAGTGATTTCTCTTTCAAGGCGCCCAGACGAGACACCTGGTCATGCGCTGACGTTTCGAGGGCTCCAGCTTCTCTGAATATCTGACCAATTGTCGGGTTTCTCGAAGAGTCTCAACTGTGTCGTGTCTATCCTGCAAGGGAAGCTGTGATAGCGATGGATCCTGGGTACGCATTTGCACCGTAGCTCACCACTTCCTCTTGGGTGTACGAGTCTTGAGCCACCTTTGGAGGCTCACGGATCAGTACATCCTTAGACAACAATTCTTCGAGTACAACAGTAGAATGGGTTAAGCTCAAATGCAGGTGAATCATCCGTTATTGTTGATGAAGCGTCGCTGCCATTCGTACCATCTTCTGACAGGTACCGCACAAGCGGGTACATAAGAGTCTGTATAGTCTCCGGCTCTTCTTCCAATATCCGAGCAGAGGCATCAACTTCCCGGGCGGTCGGTGTTGTGTCGTGTGCGTATATATTCTGGAAACGATAGGTATGGTACAGATCACCCGTATGCTCCCTGTTCTCATCTGCGTAGGCTAACAGATGATACAAGGCTCCAAATACCGTCTTTGGATCTGGCTCGGTGTGCGGCGGGGTCGTTTCAAGATCAAAGCATACGCGGTCGGCCAGGCGTGTACTCACGGATCTCAAGGACTCCCAACGCGCAGCCACGATGCAAGACCAGTACAGTATCGGTTTGGGATAGTACGGTCGGTGAAGTCCCAGTGTCAATGCCATACGGCAAGCGGAAGCTGTCATCATGGACTGCTGAGAGAATCTCGGCGAGGCCAGCATCAGCAGAATGGATTGCAATGTTGACACTGTAGGGAGTGACAGCAGCTCATAGGCGTCAAAGCACTGATGAATGGACTGAGCGATATCTTCAACCAGCGTATGTGCCCTGGCGCCAGCAAGGTGAGCCGATACAAGACACACTGACCGGAGCAAAAGCGGAGAAGTGTAGGGCTCCTGATTGAGATCTTCTTCCAGAACAAGTGGCCAGTGAGGCGCAATCACTGAGAAGTACCTTTGAAACACGGTCAGATAATAGCAGCTTCACTTTTTCCTGGATAAGGACGTACCTGTCGAGAAGAGTGGCTATAACGGCTGAAGCCGCCAAAGGAAGGTCGACTTTCCACGGCACCTCCCTTCCATCCTGATCATTACGAATGACTTGATTTGAGGCTGATTGCTGGTCTTGGTCAAATACACATTCCGAGCCCTTTGATGCGCAGGTTCGACAGGGAAACCCGCCTTCGCAACTTTGCGACTCTGTTAGAGAGCAGTCCTGTCCTCGACGTCTGATCTTTTCCTGAACTTACCGTCGCTTGGATGCCCGACATTGTTGGCAGGCTCTCCCTGTTCTCAAGCGCTTCACTCGTTCTTTCTCCATGATACTAGTATGGCAAGCGCACCGACGCCGACGTAAATAGGCGAACAATGTGGGCGGTGGTGGGCAGAACGGATTCTGGGATTAAAGTCTGTGTAGGCGTGGCTGTACTTCCCGGGCCCTGCCAGAATTCCCGCCTGCCTATAACCTCACTAGCCCCAAGCAAGAACAGGCCACTAGGCATAGGGGCGTTCCTTATCTACATGTGCCCTGTACAGTACTCAGTACTCGGTACCTAGGTTATTAGCCACTGCATTTACAGGTACAAGTACTCGTTACATATCACCGTCCGCATCAGCTGACCTTTCGAGCATTGTGAACCCGCCATCAACCTCTGCTAATTCCATCCCATCTTCCTTTCCACATGTACCCAGCTGCATCATCCACGATTCTTACCGCGACTAGTTCTCGCTCTCGACCTTATGGCAAACCAAATTTGCGACAACTGCCGCAGGTATGTCAAGTGGAATCACCTTGAAATAGCACTGTGCTGAACGCGTCTTCCCAGACTTAGGTTGAAATGCCAGTTCGAACATCCTCCATATTTTACTCTCTGCTGCTCTCGATGTAGACAGTACAGCCTTCGCTGCGACTTCGACGGCATTCCTTGGCCAGCACGGGCTCAGCGCACTTTCATGTCTTCCACGCCCAAAGGCTTTTCTCGAAAAGTGTATTGGGGCCCTTCTAGCAATGCCGGTGGGCATCCCATGGACCTACATACGCCAAAGGAACCTCCTCCCGAGCCAGCCATGCTACAGGCCCGCTATCTCCTCAAGTCTACTGCCATTACGACAGCCGATGAGACTACAGCACTGGACATCAGCCCGAATGTCAAGGAGCATCTCTATCTCGTCTTCTTCGAGCACATACAGCCAGTATTCCCTGTCGTCACCCACACAAGTCTACAAGATTTTCCCGTCACGCCCCTTCTCGAAAGCGTTATCCTCGGCATAGCAGCACGCCATCATCTCGCCATTGCTTCTTGGAGAGACTACGTCCACATACAGAAAGTGATTGCCCATGAGCTGAAGAGCCTCTTCAGTACACGGCAACGATATCAGCCCAGGATTCAAACTGTGCAAGCTCTTCTGCTCGCGTTGACTAAGTTTGAACTCGTCACACAGGGTCACGGCGACATTATGTCCATAGGATTAAGACTTGGACTCCTCTGCAAGATGGCTAGGGACTTGGGCCTAGACAAGACCTCGGCTGTGATAACTGATGGCGAAATTCTGAACGACACCTTATGGAGAGCATGCCTGTTTCAAGACGCGATCATTTCCGCTATGATGGGACAGCCTCTCAATATCACCGTCTCGTCCGCAAGACTTGGAAAGGTGCAAAGCGACTCTAGGGTCTCAGAAGGCAGATTTTTTGGTGACGCTGTGGAGGCTTCTCACTGTCTCCGATCACTGCTAAGAACGGTCTATGCAAGCAGACCTATTGATGCAGACATTATCCAGAACTGCGAGCAAGTCGTTCAACAGATACACCGCTACGGGACAGACCTGAGTTTTGAACAAAGCCACTACTCTAAAAGCGAATACCGAGCGCTTTGCATGTTACACCATAACAACCGCCTCCTTTTTGTACTCGGACTTGCCGCCCTGACAAACACATCAAGTCATTCCAAAGAGCTCTCCCTTATTTTGGCACAAGAAGCAGCTTCAACTATTCCAGAAGCCTGTCAGACACTTACGTGGTTCAGCATTGAATTTTATCTCGACATGGCTTCTCGATTCAATCAGCTACTATACTGCGCTTCAAGGGCCTTGATGCTTGTCGTGGATGTCCTCCTTGAGGCTCGGAGGACACACAACTCTTCCAAGGAGTTTATCCGAGAGCTGGAGAATGCCGTCTCATTGGCCACCTCGTTGAAGAACTTTCTACTCAAAGACACGTCATGGGGTGCCCACTGGTCTCAAGGACATACACTTGCAGCCGTGCTTGCTCGCCTTCACCAGACGGACTCTCCACGTCGACATATACCAGTTGAGGTGAAGAACGTCATGCGTCTTCAAACAATTGACCAAGGAGACATTCACAACACCGAAGCCATGGACGTTCCGCGAGATGTAGATGACGTCTTCTACAGTGAAGAATTTCTCAACAACGTGCTCTTCAACTCTACAGACTGGGATTCCGTACTGATGCAATACGAAGAGAGTTATCCTCAGCCCGCATGGTGATCTGGATTCAGGAGTCTGAGACATTGCTTATCTGAGATTTTTGGCTATTGCGACATTGAAAGGTGGTATAGGGCTAACCTGCATCAATACCGGCCTTCATCTCAAGCGACTTTGGTATCCTCGGTATGGATTGCCACGACTTCTTTCGTGTCCTCGTTGAGCTCAGCGGTGGTGATTACGCCATGTCTTGCATACTCGACGTGGCCACGGCATTGGTAAGTGCTAAATTCCTTCACAGACACCCCCTAGTGTATTGTCAGTGAACTACCAGACACAAGCGTTCATCGACACTCACATTCAAAAACAGCTCATCAAGCTGTTCAAGAGAACGACCTTTGGTCTCTGGGAGGAAGAACAAAGCCCAGACGAACCCAAGCAAGCAAGTTACCCCGAAAATGAATCCGACCTAGGCCCCATGTTAGGAAACACAATACAGGATGTCGGGGTGGGCACACCTTTGCACCAAGGTTGGCAGCTGTTGGGTTAATCAAATAAGGCAGTACCACGGCTATAAGGAGAGTGCCAGCCCATGAAACTGCAGAGCCCAGAGCCTGTGTGCGGGAGCGCATCACGTTGGACCCAGTTTCCGATGCAACGATCCACGCGACTGGGCCCCAAGACCATGTGAAAAAGAAGGCATACAGGCAGCTAAAAGCCACCAGACATCTTGCAGCAGCGATACTGTTGGGAGCAACGGTTCCGACGATCGCGAAAGTGAACATACATATGGTTTCAGCAGCAGCGCCCCAAAGGAGAATGGTCCTTCTACCAAGAAAATGAACGGACGGAAACATGACAATGATCCCGGCGAGCTGACAGACTTGGGAGATGATACTGACAACAAAGGCGTTTGAGATGCCCGATACCGAGTAGAAGTATGTCCCGTACCTATGTCCATGTAAGCATCTAGTTGCTCCACGACACAAGGCCCGTCATGATATGCTTACCCGTTGATGAAGCTGATGCCTGACAACACTTGCCACAAGAGTAGTCCACAGGCGATATGGGTGCGGCGTCTGTCACTGCCTCGGAAGGCATCCAAAAAGGAGCCGGAACCTTCAAGCTCCTTCTCGAGCCTGATGTGTTTGGCGATGTCGTCTACGTCAGCATGTATTTGATGCTCCGGATATGTCTTTCCACGAAGTCGCCTGATGGACCTGGCGCTTTCTTCCACCTTGCCGACTGAGAGAAGCCAGCCTGATGCGAGGTCAGCTAAATCACCAGCCAGCAAATTCAAAGGTACTTACGGGGACTTTCCGGAAAGAAGGCGGCAAACACAATCAGGATGGTGGGGAAGACGAGCTGCGTGATTAGGGGAATTCTATATGCCCATCTTGTTGACATATTGTAAGTTCCTTGGTTGATACAAGACCCTATGAGTTGACCGATGTTGATACCAGTCTGGTACAGAGCAATCATCATGCCGCGTATTTGTGTTGGGGCAACTTCAGCTTGATAAATCGGAACGAAGCTGATACACACTCAGATATTAGCTGTCCGCTGGTAAAAGTCGAGAGCGACATTCAGTAAAATTGGGAAGCCTGGCAATTGCGCTCAACAGGGGGAACAAGTCTCACTTCGACGCATAGCCAATACCAGCTGTCCAGATATGTTAGTCAACTTGCGCAATTGGTCAGAGGAAGCCCTACCTCCGGCAAAGAAACGGCCAAGGAGTAAACCCCATACGTGAGGGACCGAGATCTGAAAAACAACACCAACGACGGCGACAACTCCCATCCATATCAGACCAACTCTTCGACCATATCTCGTGCCGATGGCGCCTGCCGAGATGGATGCAAGTATGGCTCCGACAAGTAATACGGCATTCAGCGAGGTCTGTATTTTCGTTCGGATGTTGTACGAGTTCGTGGGTTCGTCGAAATATCCGTAGTCCTTCAGGAAGCTTTTTGTTGTCAGCACTGCAACACCCTACAGAGCATGAGACGCTAACCTGACCATGGCCTGGAAGCCGCCAAGTTCGCCAGAGTCGATGCCAAAGAGAAGAGACCCGCACATCACAAAGCAGCATATCAAGATGGTCCTGATTCTGCTGCCCGAGGGGGCCGCCATGGCATCTGCGGTTTCTGTGGTGCTCATTGTCGAAGTTGAGGTAAGGACTCGGACTCGTTCCAATTTTCTGTGGAACTCTCGAGTCTGGGGATGCCCCGGCTTTTATGCTGCGACCTATGCGAGCAATCGATCGACCAGGAGAATTGTGAGTATTTAGACCTACTGACTGCGGCTCGTCGGCGGTGAGCCGCAATATTTTGACCACTCCCGTCCGCTTCCCCAGTTCTTACCCCATCCTAACCGTTTGGCCACGCCCTTTATGGGAAGGCAAGTGCTCGCTTGACCATCTTGGGATTCTTAGCTCAAGCCTCACGGTATATCGCCGACGAACCGCAGAGTGTTTACCAATGACAATTACTTTCTCAGAACCGAGTCGTTTTACCGACTGCCACGAGTGTGGTGCGTCCGGTGATGTTGAGTTCCTGCGACACTGCCGTCCTGGTTGCGGTTCACCGCCGGCGAGCCGCGACCCATTCAGAGTCCTACCGGACTGTCCACCATTCCAAGTACACTATACATTTGAGTGTGTGTACTCTCTGTGGTGAGTACCGCAACCACCAAGTGATGAATTCTTTCTTCTGTAGCCCTTCTTGTTCTACGTCGATGCGAACAATATCCGAGGCGGATTCCCTCTTTTTCTCTTCCCCAGCCCTCGGGACATCTATCGACAGGAAGTGCCAAACATGGAGAACATATCACTTGACAACTTCAGAGAGAATTTCGGCTTCTGGGTCGAGAATCTACATATCAATGGTTTCATATCGAAACAAGGTGTGGCCAACTTTCTGGGCATTCCCTACGCCCAATTCCCTGCTCGATTCCGAACCGCCAGGCGAACCGACCTTGGTCTCCTCCATGGACAGCTAGATGCGTCACGATATGGGCCACGCTGCCCACAGAAGACCGACAACATTCACCCAATGATGCATCACATGTTTGAGAAACTGTCAATGTCTCAGAGATGCGAAGAGACCACTTGCTTGCATCTCAACATATATGCTCCACCTCAGTGTGTAGGTTCCGCAAGTCACCCAAAATTGCCGGTTTTTGCGTGGATACACGGGGGAGGTTTCAATAACGGGGACAACACGACCGAATTTAGTACGTCCCAGTAGCTTGAATCTCCAACTCAGTATACCTGTGTGCTAACTTCGACACTTAGATGGTAATCACCTTGTGAGAAGGTCAATGGATATAGGAATGCCCATCATTGTTGTGACTCTCAATTACCGTCTGAACGTTTTCGGCTTTTTGACCTCGAAAGAGCTTATAGAAGAAGCAAAATCTCTCGACGAGGTTCCGGTTCTGAATCAGGGCCTCAATGACCAACGCATTGGCCTTGAGTGGATCCAAAGGTCTATCCATCATTTTGGGGGAGATGCCTCAAAGGTCACCCTGTCTGGCGAGTCCGCTGGAGCTGCATCGATCTTTTGCCACTTGAGAGGTGGCCACGAGCTGTTTCATCAAGCATTGATTCAGTCGAGCCCCAGGCCTCGTTTGAGAACGCTTGGAGAAGCACAAACTGCATTTGATCAACTTGCCAAATTAGCAGGTCTAGCAACACATGCGACAAGCACTGAAAAACTGGCTACCTTGCGAGCCTTGTCCGCAGATCGACTTCTTGAACTGTTCGACGGCAGTGTCTCACTGCCTATTGAGGACCCCAACTTGTTTGAGCATGGATCACAGCATGGTGAAAGCCAGTCAGCAGTCTCGTGGAGCCACATACCTAAATGGTGTTCGAGGATCATCATGGGCCATACCAAAGATGAGGCAGCACTCTTTCTTACCCCGTTCCAGAATTTGCCAGATACAACCCTTGTCGAGTATGTACGCGATCTTGCACCGGAAATCGCGGATGGCGCTCTGTGCTCCGATGGCAAAAGCGCTTTACAGGCTCTCACTGAGTGGGCGACTGAGGAGACATTCATCCACCCCACAATTGAGCTGCTTTCAGAAGCCGCTAAGCACGGCACCACAGTATATGCCTATGAAATCTCGGTCGTTGACCCTTTCCCAGGCCCGCTCCATGGGTACTCGTGGCACTCGTTTGGGGTACCGTTGACCTTCTGTGAACCTCCGGGACGAGTCCACTCTCGCATCAGTGCGACGCAGGATAAAATGTCCAAGGCGTACACCGGCTTCCTCCATGGTTTTGAGCCCTGGGAATCGTTTAATGTCGGAAGGAGAAAGATGTGCTGGAACGGGGAGGAGACGCTCTTGGTGGACACTTCGATTGGGGGAAAAGGGAAAGAGGATAACATGTTGAACCGGTCATGCAGGACATCTGCGGAGACGGGGCTGGGGATTATCGCGGCGGCACTGAAGATGCAGACTTCCTAGCCAGAATACGAGTTGGGCGTTGTATTGCTTGTACTCGACAAGGGTTGGTTCCTTTGCAGTGTGACGCTAACTATTCATTCGATCTTCACATTTTCCAGACGCTTTTTGCCCATATGTATATGCATGACAGCCAGACTGTTCCTTGGTAGGTCTTGACGTCGAGGAAGCAGCAAGGGGGGGGGTGTCCATATCCCCAAGACCTGTCAAAACCCAGGCCCATTCGACTGCCCTACAGTGTTGTTCATCAAACTCCATGTCACTACCTCTGGAACCGCCGTACCGGTCACGTCTTCCTGGCCGACGTGCAGAGGCATGACTTTGGCCTCCCCCCAGGGCATGACCCGCGTAGCGCTGTGCTGTCAATAGACGAAAATTGGAGAAAGCCGTTCCTCGTCGGTGTCGTCTGTGATGTCGCAGTATGGCGAACTCTGCTCATTCAGAATTAATCCATAACGCCCTTAATTTTTCTCTGCGCCGGGTATCAGACGAAAGGCGACGAGACTCTACTCGTGGGCTCCTTGGATAAATCCGAGATGCTCGAACTGGGTCTATTCTCGAATCGAGGCAGACTCTGTGATTTCCACCTCAGTCTGACTACCTTGGCACTCGGTGTCATCTCTCTCTACCTTTCATAAATCCTCTGGGGGAGAACCTGTCCATACATACAGGGAGAGGAAAGAGAAAGGACCAGTGAGCGAGAAATTGAATCATTCCACTGCCCCTCCCCCTCGCCTCAGAAAGACTATGGGTCTATGATCGCCACTATTCATCAACAATGTAGCAATTTATTCGCGCTCTACAGGGTGAAGGTATAAGGTGCGAGGATGACATTAACAACCGCAGCCTTGTCTGTGCAGTCTGATCAATGCTGAGCCGAAGTTGAGCCGGGCACTGATGTTGGCGAGTTGGGCATCGAAGGAGGAGGCAATGACAATGCTTCTCGATCAGTCGCACAGCTTCGGATTCTTCCGTTTCCCTGGACTTTTGTCGACATAGGTTGACATGTCTCCTATAGCCAGCCACGGTACAGGTATTCCCCGGGCGAGAAGGCGGACAATTACTTCGGGGCTGGTGAAAAGTTGAATTTATTTCAATATCTCCGGCCAAAAAAAAAAAACAATAATCTCCCCAAAAAATATAGAAATTAACGACCGTCGAGTAGATTGAGCCACCACAAACTCCTCTCAGCCTGCACTGCTCCTGCGATGGCAGTCTACACGTGCACAGGCATCCAGAGTATGTCGAAAGAGATGGTGTTGGACGATCCCTCTCCGTCCGGCCCAGGAATGTTTTATTCAAAGACTGGATACACATGTGCATGCACACTGACCAGCCATGCATGAAAGGAAGTGCCCCCCGGCATATCCGGAACCAGACCTGCAGCGAACCACGTCTGAATTTTCAAACAGCCTCCTGAAAAGAGACAAGGCACATGACACGAAATGTGCTAGTGGACGAACCAAACAAGGAGACTTCGAACCAGATGTTGAACATTGCCCGGCGAGCCTGAAGCGGGTTGTGTGGTCGACTCGATTCGTCTCGGAAAGTCGCAACAGCAGGGCGGATGAGGGTTGCTGCCTGAACTGGCAGTTTTCCACTGACCAATACCGATATCCTTACGGAGTACGTAGTCGGGGCAAGATATCTGAGGAAATCTCGTAGGCTGCCCGGGAACCCGAAAGCTGTCGCCATGCCTCTCTGCCTTGGGAGGATCTATCTACCACGCTACTCACCGTCTCCATACCTGCTGGGCGTGCGGGATCTGCGCTTGACTTCCGGGCCATATGTACATGGAGGGCACGAACCCAGTGTTCCGGATTGTGAGAAGGACATTCATTGTTCAAGGGCAGCCGAGGGAATGCGTCTTAAGTACGTAGCATCACGGTGTCACTCAGATCACTCCTTAAGCGTCCGTCTCTTCTTCACGGATGTTGAATCTGGCGGAGAATGCACGGCAGAGGAAGCAAAACACCTCTGGTTGGACTTTGAGCTTAGACACGAGTCCCTTTGCCCAACGTGAAGTATATTAGTCGCTAGGACCACAGGTCTTCCTGCCTAGCGATGAGCCAGTGGAAGAGCTCGGTATGACCGACCGTGCAGGAGGACGAGAGTGCTTGGTGGATCCTTTCCTCGGGTGTCGTAAAGTGTAGCAACAGTATTTATTCGAGGGAGGCGTATTGCGAGGTATGGCCTTGTTTCACGAGCCGAGCGCAAAAGAACACAAGCAATCAGGTTTTGTTACTCATGGATTTGACGATTTGACCGCGCATCCGGAACAGGTGCGCTGAGTGCCTGTCGGGTGCCTATCGTCCCTGCTCAAATGCATCTGGCAAACAAAGAGTGCTGTATTTTCGGGTTTTGTACAATCCATCCCATGGAGGCTACCGCCCAATGAAGACTTTGCGACAACCAGGAGATTATGCCAAAAGCATCTTCCGTGGATCTTCTATGTATTCCTACAATCCATGTTAGAGAGACAACAATAAGCGAATGGAATTCACCAAGCTCACCTTAATCTTCACCAAGAACGTGACCGCTTCTCTTCCATCAAGCAAACGATGATCGTACGTGAGCGCGAGGTACATCATCTGGGCAAGGTCAGTCTCTGGTGCTCGCCACCGAAAGTTGAACTCACTGGTCTGATCTCTATTTTGCCGTTGACGACCACCGCTCTCTCTTTGATGGCATGCAGGCCGAGGACAGCGGTTTGAGGCAGGTTGATGATGGGGGTACCCATCATTGACCCGAAGACGCCGCCGTTGCTGATGGTATAGGTACCTCCCGCCATATCTTCAATGGTGAGCTTTCCATCACGAGCCTGCGTGCCGGGTTAGCAGTAGATTCATCCACCTGGTGATTATCATTTTACCTTCTTGCCTAAATCCGCAATGGCTTTCTCGATCTCAACCATCTCCATACTCTCGGCATTTCGAACCACAGGAGTCACCAGGCCCTTAGGTGTAGCCACCGCAACACTGATATCCACGAAATCTCGGTACACTATGGTGTCGCCACCACCTGGACCTTCGATAGAAGCATTGACGGTGGGCACTTCCCTCATGGCCAGAATGCTGGCCTTTGCGAAAGCGCTCATGAAGCCAAGTTTGACGCCGGTGTTCTTCAAAATCTCATCCTTGTACTTCTTCCGGAATTCCATAATGTTGGACATGTCCACCTCATTGAATGTGGTCAATGATGCCGCGGTGTTTTGGGACTGCTTGAGACGCTCCGCGATTCTCAGACGCATTCGGTTCATTTTGACCTGGGCAAAGTTAGCTTTTGTCGGAAAGATATCGCCATAGCCGCTTTACCCTGTTTTCGTTCCTCGTGCCCTTACCAAATGGCGACTCAATTCCGGCTTTGGATTCATCAGGTTTCTTTTCCTCTTTAGGTGGTGGAGGAGGCTTCTTCTCTTCCTTTGGCGGAGCGGGCTTTTCCTCTTTTTTCGGCGGTGGAGGTGGCTCTTCCTTCTTCGGCTCGGGGTGCGAGCTTGTGGGCTGTTCCTCCGAAGCAGGTGCCTTGGGCTCTTCCTTTGCTTCTTTAGCACCTCCGCCACCTCCACTGCTTGGTTCAAGCTTTGCAATTTCCTGTCCGACAGTTACAGTGTCTCCCTCGCTGACGAGAAATTCTTTTATTGTGCCAGCTTCGGGTGCATTGACGGAGACATCGATCTTGTCTGTCTCGATGGACGCAATTTCCTCGTCCTGCTCGACATAATCACCCACTTGTTTTGAGAAGCTGCTGAGGGTACCTTCGGAAATCGATTCGGCCATCTGAGGCACTTTCACAATTGTTTCGTAGTGAGTGGGAGAGGTACTGAATTGCTGATACCTCGAGAGGGAGGCATATGTTGGCACAATAGACGGTCGCAAGCTCGGGATGCAGGGTTGTCGAGACGCAGGTTTCGATCTTAGAACGCTGAAGGTGCGGGTACGTAGAGACGGGCCGCATTTTGGGAGTGCAAGCGCAGAGCCCAAGGCTGGCGTCCGTCGAAGCCGCAGAGAGGCCATGCTGGAACTTGGTCTGGCGACCGTGCTACAACAAGGCAAGGAGGGCAGTCGATGCTCCCGAGAGCGAAGGAGCTCAAGGCTGTAGCATGCGAGGCGGATGCACCGCCAGTTTGGACAGAAGAGAATGAGAGGAAGTGGAAAAACAAAGCCCTTTCTTTTTATATGCTGTTCCCTCGGAAAGAATGAGTCGGGAGGATGGGCTTCTGAGTTTGTAAACCGGAAGGGAAAGCTCTTTCAGAGCTCTAATTGGGCTGTCCTGGGCACACGCACTGACACTGACGTCCGATGCAAAAGTCGCGCAGGCCAAGTTGGGTGCTCCACTCTGCCAGTGGAATTGCGTCCCGGGAGAGCAACGAGAACCGGCAAAGAGCTTCGACGCCAAGCCTGCGAAGGTGCGACTGCAACTCCAATCGACTCATCTCAATTACAGATTCACCCGAAGCCTCCAACAAGACGCCTAGCTGTCGACCGAAGCACAGAAGTGGCGGGTGGAAAACTGGGTAAAGCAGCTGGATGTCCATGACCGCTCTGTGATAACCGGCTTTCTTTTCTTGATTGAGAGAGTGTCGGGGAAGATCCTAGTGCTGTTCAGCATGGCGTCGCTCAGTCCTCATGTCAAGGCTGTCCGGTAAGTGCCTCGAAGAAAAGAAACCCGCACACTGTTTGCCAACTTGCTCATTCAATCCTGATTAGAGGTCTCTATCGACGGTCGCTGAAGCTTGCCCTTGACTGGGCTGTACAACGAAACCTCTGGCGTGGACAAGCAGTGTATATCCGCTCACTTTTCGACGCGAACAAAAACATTACAGACCCGAGGCAACAAAGAGTACGCTGATACCTTCTTCATTCACACTGGATCTAGTGCCGGATACATGGAGCACATTGTTGACCTGTGGCGAAACTAGATACTCTTCAACGAGACAGAGAAGCTGCTGGAGAAATGGAAACATCCCGACCCTTACAGACCACCAACTGCTCCGGGAGGTGAGAATTTCCACAAGACCCATTCAATGCAGTCGCTCATCCGTCGTGTTTACAGGCTCGAAATATGAACGGAATCTGCCTGCTCCGGACTTGCCTCCACCTTCAAGAGAGTTCGTCAAGAGGTTATGAGGTGGTCTTGAGGTTTCACGGATGCAAGGGGGAAGTTGTACATACTGTCACAAAGATTTGGAGAAGAAAGTAGTTTTCCGCAGACACTGGCTTGCGAGAAGGGCTAGAGTGCTCAAGAGAGCCTCATCTCTCGAAATCTGCGTTGACTCCGTTTCTTGAGAACTGAGCCTCTGGAAGCATTGTGCAATCCAGCCAATTCAGTCTTCTTGGTAGGCTGGCCACGCTGCCATTACTCTGTTAGGCTTGATTTCCAGATCGGTTCGTCGTGGGCCTGGACCTTAATATTCAGACCCGTTGGCATCCAGCTTTCTGTTTAGTTTGTGTGAGATTTCTGCGTCCATCTGTCATGTTAATATCTTGCTACCCAACCCCGAGTCTGCCTTTCGACCATCTGCACTCATTTAGAAAGGAAACTGAGCAGAAATAAGTTACGAATTGCCATGAGTTTGGATCATTGAATTCGCTGTCTAATGATCACCGTTCGCAAAGCCATTTGCTTTGCCTTTCGCATATCTCATGCCCCACCTTGCATTCCTATCCATGTTCGTGATGATAGTAGGCATGCCATGAGCATAATGTACACAACCCTACCATCCGATGATAAAGCACAAACTCTGAAAAAAAGGCCTGTGAAACCTGGCCAGCCCAACCCCTGAAACCCCGCGTTGTGATCGCATTTGTCGTGAAACTCCCATTCCAAAACCCAGTTCAGAAATAATTCGCAGAATGAGCTTACAGCTCTTGGCTGGGATTCTTGCCCTTGGCAGTCTTCTTTGGCAGCAAGTCTGTAGCAGTCAGCATCATGTATATATTGCACAATGGTGATGGACATACTCTGGTGAATGTTGGGCAAAACACCACCTTGGGCGATCGTGACATGTCCAAGCAGTTTGTTCAACTCCTCATCGTTTCGGATGGCCAATTGAAGATGACGCGGGATGATACGGGTCTTCTTGTTGTCACGAGCAGCGTTGCCGGCAAGTTCGAGGATTTCAGCGGCAAGGTACTCAAGCACAGCAGCGAGGTAGACGGGAGCACCGGCACCAACACGCTGAGCGTAGTTGCCCTTTCGCAGGAGACGGTGAACACGACCGACGGGGAACGCAAGGCCCGCCTTTGAGGATCGGCTGCGACAGAATTAGCATGATTCAATATGAAGAGCGACTTGGAGTGATATGAACAAGCCCAGGCCATGGATGAGCATGGCATGAGAATCCAACGTGATATCACAAAGATGAAAAGGATGGCAACTTACGATTGAGCGCTCTTGGAGCCAGAGGCTTTGCCACCAGATTTTCCGCCAGTCATTTTGATTGAGGGTGAATGAGATTGGATTTGGAAGTTGGAATTAGTTTGTGAGATGGAATGGATGCTGGTGCAAATGCGCGATGGAAGCTTGGGTTGACGATGGATGAGGGAGAGAAGGAGACGGGGATGGAAGGTGGGAGGGAAGGGGCAGTTATAAAGGCATGAGAATAGGCGGCGACGGGAGTGGTGGGCAGTTGAGTCGCGCCTCCAGATCAACCTTGGAGAAAGTTGTGATGAGAGGGTGCAGCGGGCAGCGGGAGACGACGCCAAAGGAGGGCGTTGGATCACGCTGCCGGGGTTCGGCCAATGGCGGCGCGAGGATGCGACTGATCCAAAACGACTTTTCTGACGAGTTTGACAATACCGGTCTGCATTACATTGCGTTACCATATCTTTCCGCCAAGAAGACTGATCCTGCATTGTGACTGGCTCAAAAATTGGCAAAATCGACACAATAACAATACGCTGGGAAAATCGCGCAATCTGTTACCTGGCGTGCTGGATCAACCCCCGAACCAGCAGCTGCCTGCGACTGCCACTTCGCATCAACCCGCGCCCTCCCTCTCGCACTTACGCCTGGTATAAGAGTCGCCGTCACCCACCTTTCACACCTCCATCCTTCCTTCCCTCTTCATCCATCCATCACTCATCACGCTCATACTCTTCCATCAACCAATTCCATCTCGCATACTACTTCCATCTATCGTCGCTTTTTGCGCAATCAAATTCACCACCAGAAATGGCTCCAAAAGCTGCTGAGAAGAAACCCACCACTGGCGGCAAGGCCCCAGCTGGAAAGGCTCCCGCTGCCGAGAAGAAAGAAGCTGGCAAGAAGACCGCCGCCGCCCCATCTGGTGACAAAAAGAAGCGAGGCAAGACGCGAAAGGAAACCTATTCTTCTTACATCTACAAAGGTAAGATTCCAATTTCTCAAACTTTGGGTCCATTTTTCGCATCTCATACTGACGCGTTTTAGTCCTCAAGCAAGTCCACCCTGACACTGGTATTTCCAACCGCGCCATGTCCATCTTGAACTCTTTCGTCAATGGTAAGTTGAACCGTGCCTTTCAAGTTGTACTATGTTCTAACTTTGGTCTAAGATATCTTCGAGCGTGTCGCCACTGAAGCCTCCAAACTTGCTGCCTACAACAAGAAGTCCACAATCTCCTCCCGAGAGATTCAAACATCCGTCAGACTGATCCTGCCTGGCGAACTTGCCAAGCATGCTGTGTCTGAGGGCACTAAGGCCGTCACCAAGTACTCTTCTCAAAGCAAGTAATTGGTTTCGATAAATTCGTGGGGGTACTTGGTTCTTGGTTGGCTTTTGCGTGTGTCTTTTCTGCAAATGGGGTTGTGGGCACAAACGGAACAATGGTGTTGACACGGGTTTTTGATCAACACATTACGATGCGTCATGGGAACTGGGGATTATTGACAATGTGATGAGCTGTCAACGGTCATGCTTGCTCACCGACAGCAATCATGCTTTACGAGTCTCTACAGAGAGAAGCTTTCGCGCTATGTACAATATTCGCCACGCTGAAGCATGAAGTTTCAGATATTCCAGCTTCATGGACTGGATTGTGAGACATTCGAATTGAAAGCATGAAACCAATCGTTCCGTCTTTGGTCCCTTTTTTGCGCTGCGTTAGGGGTAATTTGGCCGCCCCAAATCTTTTTTTATGGGTTTGTGTCTGGGACTGGATTGTTTTGGTACGCGTTCTATGGGGGATTGCGCGCTAGAGGTGCCACAGGTATTTGAACATTGAACCACGTGAACATAAACAACAGGACTGTTGCCAACGTCTCCCAGAAATGCGAGAAGCTCAAGTCCCAGGCAATGTTCGCCGATACGGGCAGACTTACTTCCCTTCCCAAGTATGAGTATGAGTATGGCAGAATGGGTTCGAATACCGACCAGCAACACCGACGACGAGACTGAAGAGGACACTTTCGCCGTCTTGTCTCTCGCATAATCTTTGACCTTTGCCCCATTCCCCCTTGCCAAAAATGATCCACAAACTCCAAAGCCCCCCCCCCCTCCCCGGACAGTCGTTAGCCGTACTGGGTATTAGTAGTTGTACCCTTCTCACGCGTAGCATAGCATCGTACTCGTCGTCCCGCAGACACATCTTCCTGTGGTCAGGGAACCTTGATCGTATCTTCCCTTCGCGCAAGCTCGTCAACGTAGGGAGGATCCCTCCCAACATCGCCGCCAACATGCATTGTATTACTCTCCCCTTCTTCGGCTTCGCGGTCGACTTTGATTCCATCCTCGTCTGCCTCGCGCTCACGGTTGGCTTGTTCATTCTCCTTGCCCGTGACAGTAACAGTCTCATCATCCTCGTCCTCGTCATCAAAGGTCTGCACCTCGTCCACTGCCTCTTTCCTCTCTTTTGTCTCCCCAGGCACCGGCGGCTCCTTGTCAAAAACCGACACAATCGCCTTCCCCTTGACCTCCTTTATTCTCCTCTTCCAATCCTCCCAATCTTGCTCGTCCTTGATGAGAAAGCCGATAAGCATAGATGGATCCATCTCACTTATCCTCAACCCACGGAGACGGCGCGTGTGGCATGTAGAGATCTCTTCGTCGGTGTAATCGTTGGGGTCTGTGTGATGTTGCAGGGCAGGGCGGGTCTCATGCGGGTCGAGGTAGAAGAAGAGGTCACCCTGACAGCCGATAAAGTAGTGTGATGAGGATGGACGGCCGCCTGCAATGCCAATTGACTGAGGGTATGTGAGACTATTTCTGAGGGCTTCGTGGTAGACAGGTGTAATTCTGTCCAGCCCTAGTCTTATTCCCAGAAGTATCAATGTAGGTCTGATGGTGAAATCCGTAGCAGAGGCGCGTGCAATGCTGCGAAACTTATCTTCATAAACTTCGCTCGCGGATGGTGTCACGTAGACTCGTAACCCTGCGGCAGCGCACTCGGCAGACAGTTCTTTGATGCAGGAAGCTGTTGCAGAGGGGCCGAACCATTGGCCCGGGTGTTTACCGCAGGCGGAAGCGCCGTGTTGGACGAAGCGGTGAATGGAGAAAGGAGCGAGTGGGGAGTCGGCAAAGAGCGAAAGGATGGAAGCTTCGCTTTGTGTTTGAGCTGAGGAAGGGAATTTCAGGGAATAATCGCTTGAGGGAGGAGGAGACGACGTGCGATTGGTATAGGTGTGAGGCCGTCGCCAATTCCGCCCTAGATGGAGCATGACGAGCGCATTTGCCAGAAGAGATTGTCCCGACCGGATCATACATCCCCAGCCCGTGTCGCTGCTGAAGCCATCCCTCTCGGTAAAATTGCGTAGGCGAACGGACAGGGACAAGGATACGTTGGAGCCGGGCTCCTGTGAACGAGGGATGGGCGTGAAGTTGGAACGGTAGGTCATCCATATCCGCGATTCGAAGTCGTCGAGAAATGTAATGGGCCATCCTCGATCGGAAGGGTCGTTCGATAAGGAAGGAAGGTTATTTCCGCCCGTCACATGCTGAGCATCGTCAAAACTACTTGTGTTCTGTGCTTGAGGTTCATAAGGCTGCTGCTGTGTAGGTTCATCTGCCGTGGACGACAGAGCACTAGCATCAGAAGGGTCACGCGAATCTGACGAAGACTCGACTTCGACCACATCGTCGTGATCCGTAATTGTAACTGGCTTAGGCGGTGCGGCCTGATACTCCTTTCCCAACAGCCATATAGAGGTGCCGGACATGTCATCGTACTTTGGTGGAGGGTCATAGAAGTAGCGCACAAAGCGCTTAACATCGACGCCATTCATGACGCTTTGGGCCTGGAAAGGGATGGTGGGGAGAGGGATGCTCTGAAGGCCAGAGGATATTGCATATAGGAGAGCACCAAATGGAGTGAGCGCTTGAGGAAACCGGCTCGTTAGTTGCACCAGGGTCAGAGAGTCATCGTCCTTCTGCCTAGACGCAGGTAGGACCAGTGACAAGTCTAGTGGTTTGGAGGTGTGCCGGGTTGCAAACAGAACTCTGAGGGGTTCCAGGTTGTCGACGTCGGTCTAGGCCGGGAGCTCTTGCAAGGGACGTTTTCTTGCTTGGACAATACTAACGATAGTATATGCTATAGCGAAGCAGGGCCTGAGATTGTAGCGTGGACGTGGGAGTAGGAACATACAATGAGGAGCGAAGTGACGTTCACCGCAGTCAAGGCGCAGGCAAACGGCGGTGGGTGGTGGTGGCAGCCCGGCGGATGTCAGCCTTGCTAGCCTTGCCTGGGAGGCATCACCAGGCTTGATTTGGGGGTGGAGTCGTTTATCCAAGCACCTTGGGGGCCACCAAGGGCCACCAGGGCGGTGCGCGAAGCGTGACTGGTGGAATTTGCGGGTGCGTTTTACGATCGTCACTCAAGCCAGCACTGCACCCGGCACACCCTGCACACCCCCAATTCTTCTCAAAGCATCGAAACATGACTCTTCATCTTTATTCATGATTCACGACAGCATTTGCTGAATAGCTTGTGAATATTCACTTTACTGTATTTCTACCCTGCCTGCTCTACGCTATCCACTTTTTTGGTAACCATCTTCACCTCAAGTCTGCCGTCGGAAGAGGGGCAACCCCGCCCATCATGGGTGCTCGCCAACGAGCGCAAGCCCGAAGGAAAGGCAATGGGGGGCAGCAGAATCACTCACCCTCGCCATGGAGACACGGCCATTCGAATTCCTCTAACAAAGGTAGGTCGAGAGCGAAACTCTTTGCCTTTGCCTTCGGGTCCTGACGAGATTTTCCAGTGCCCAATGCCCAACACCGTGGTCTTCTGCAGGACTGGCAAGACTTCTCAGACTCAAGTTCTCCCTATCCTCACAACACCGTGTTGAGCATGACTCAGACGGCTAGAAACACCGAGCGTCATGCTATGTCGTGGGGATCTACACGACTCAGGGAACAGAGAATCACTTTTATCAGTGCGGGAGATCTAAAGCAAGAAGACATAGATGCAGTGGCAAAAGAGAACAATCAATCCCAGAAAGAAGCAACGTCCTCTGAACAGCCATCGGACAAGCAAGCGGGAGTTGAGGAGGCTCAACCACGTGTATCAGAGAGCGAGCAATCATCTATTCATAATGATCCCCTAGTCGAATTGACCGGACAAAGGCCTCTCGCAAAAAGAGACTCACTTTCATCGCAATCCTCTGAAGAGATCCTTTTTACCGGGCGACAGAACCCTGCACCGAAGCCTCCCACTAAAGCCTTCCCTCCCAGCTCAGAGCCTACAATTCCTCCCGAACCTAGATCTATGAAAGCGAAGCCTCCACCTCAAAGCTCTCTCCCCACCGCTGGTACCCCCACTCGCGAGTCCAGCTCGTCTGGTTTCGACAAATTCAGCAATATCTTGCCTCCACGTCGGAACAAAACTTTCGATCGCCACGGTCGTCCTCGAGGTCGACAAGAGAGCCTTCGAAGAAGAGAAGAGGAAGAAGCCATCATTAATGATTACATTGCAAATCTAGCAGTTGACGACGACGATGACAGTGACGAGGACAAAATCCCTGAAAATAACCACACGGTCAAGACGGGGAGAAGAACTGAACATTTTCGATTCTTTGATGGCGCTACTGAGCAAAAAGTCCATTTGCGACCCAACAAAACCAGGACCCCTGCAAAAGGATCTAACGACGTCGACCAAGCCATCGATTGGAACTCTACCGATCTGCAAGATTTCGATGACTTCAGCACCACCGACGAGGAGGTTGTTGAAGTTAGCCATGTTCTACGATATCGCACACGTCCGAGCGGTCCACAGTACCTCGTGAGCCCACTTGGCAAAGACACTGGTGATCCTCGCTGGGTCCCACATGGAAGGCTGAACTCGGCCTCTGCTGTCGAGGAGATCCGTATCTTTGAGGAAATACGGGCCATGAAAATCCAAGACACTACAGGAGACTCGACGGACTCGGATTCCTCAGACACGGACGAACTTTTGGATGATCTTCATGATGAAATAGAATCCGAAAATGAGGAAAACGACCGCATCTTAGATCGTACCGCGCGGATGACAGACGAGCAGATTGCCCGAGCATTGGCAAAGCAAGAAGAGTTGGGTATGGGTGGCGACGAGCTGCTCTTATTCGACGGCCAAATTGATGAAGTTGACGAGATTGATGACGACGGTGACGAGTTTGCAGCCGGTGATGGGTTCATCGCTTTTTCCTCGAAGAAGCACATTTCCAGCCGCACCAAGTCAAAGAGAAACAGACGCGAGCGTGACAGTTTCCCCTCTGCAACGGCTTTCGCTGATGCCCTTGATCAGGATCCATACGGGGCTTTTGACATTATGGATTTTGACCGACCCAGTCTCCGACCTAAGAAAAAGGGACGCAAGTCGGACTTGCCCTTCGACCTCGGTGTCGAGGATGAGGAACTTGCTGAGCGTCTTCGTAACACCTGGAACAAGGACCGGGAAAAGAAGGCAGCCCGCAAGCGCGAGAAGTTACAGGAGCGCGAGGCTGCTCTTCTAGAAGCATCTGAACGCAGTCACCCTGTCGCCATCAAAGCAGAAATCCGACAGTTTTTGATTGAGGAAGTCACGACGCTGAAATTGGCGCCTATGGATGCTGCAACTCGGGCCTCAGTCCATCGGCTTGCCAAGTCGCTCAAGTTGCAGTCAAAATCTGAGGGCAAGGATGGCCACGGTATAGGGCGCTACCCTATCTTGACCAAGGGGCCGCATACTCCCCGGTACACGATTGATACAGTTTGGGAGATCGACGCTTTGATGAGCCTCAGAAAGTTCTTCCCAAGGACAAGAATCAGTGCCTACGACGCGCGCGGTACACCAAGATCTAGCACCGCGAAAACCAGGAGAGGGGGTGGTGGAGCCGCGTCTGGTGCCACGTACATGAACGGGGACGTTGTAGGAGCGTCTGCGCCAGAGATCGGTGCGGACAATAAGGGTCGGGCGATGCTGGAGAAAATGGGCTGGGTAGAAGGCGTGGGATTGGGCGCCATTGGAAACAAAGGCAGTCTCGAAGCTATTAAGCATGTCGTGAAGACCACAAGGGCTGGGCTAGGCTAACCTGCTGGTCGGTTGGTCGACTGTTGGATTTCAATGTCCAAGCTTGTGCTGGCAGGTATCGGTGAATCTGTTTCATTTTGTCTGTCCACCCGGCCCGCATGTGGAGAGTATCCTGCAAGAGTCTTTGCGTGGTGTTTGGGCTCGAGGAAGATAGCTGGTCTGGATGTACCGAGTCCGGAAGCCTAGCGCATCAGCGGTATTAATTAGCAACACCAGCCAACCAAGCAGCTTTGAATACGGCTGCCTGCCATTTTCAGAAGGAGTCCAATTCCAACCCACCCATGCCATGGCATTGAACTTTAGATTTGCAAACAGCTGAAGCTTCAGCTGTCGTAAGGTAGGTAGGGTATAAAGGAAGCCTTAGAGGCCTCAGAAGCATGGCGTCCTCCCAGGATCCATTGTTACGCATCAGCACATCGGTATTGACCTTCCACAATGAACGTCGTGATTGTCGGCGCTGGCATCGCTGGCCTCTCGTCAGCGTTGGCTCTCACCAAATGGCTTCCCGACAAACCACACATTACCATTATTGAAATTCGCCCACGGCCCTCAACAATCGGCGGCGCCGTTGGACTGACACCGAATGCCCTGCGCTGCCTGCATCACCTTGGAGCCCTACCACAGATTCGAGTAAGGGACTTGGGGATCGAGATAGATAAGATTGAACTGTTCACCATTTACACGGGCGCCAGACTCGGTGACATTAACTTCACCGGCGACAACGGTGTCGGAGTTGGCGAACCCGCATTCAAGGGACTCAGAATCCTACGCGCAGACCTGGTGCAGTCACTCACTGAGGCCGTCAAAGCACTCGACAACGTTGGGCTGGAGTATGGCTGCAAACCAGCCCAGATTGTCGAAACTGGCAGCCAGGTAACTGTTGTTCTGGATGATGGTCGAACACTAAGCGCGGATTTGGTTCTCGGGTGTGATGGGATTCATTCATTTGTCAGAACCAGCCTCGTCGACCCTGAGAGAAAACCGCTGTACACCGGCATAGTCGCAGTATTCGGGTTTGCAGACCTGCAGGAAGGAGCAACAGTTCCATGGAAAGACACAGGATTGTGCCAGTCACAGCGCGGCAGTCTCATGACCACCTACTACGAGCCGACTAGGAAGAAGCAATTCGTGGCAGCTATCACCGAGAAGAAAGATGTCGAGTCAAGGGAAGGTTGGCTGGCCCGCGGCGCTGAACAAGAGAGGATTAAGCAGGACGTCAAAACTCGATTTGGTGGCAGTGCCATCGGATTCCTCGAACCCCTCCTCGCGGCAACAGATCATTGGACTCTCTATCCTGTCTACAAGCTCGCTCCAAGGGGCAATTGGTGCTTGAAACGCACGGTGCTACTGGGGGATGCCGCACATGCAATGCCGCCGCAAGGCGAAAGTACAGCGTATGCTCTGGAGGACGCCATCTTGTTTGCTCGTGCCATGGAATCCAAGTTTGATAGTGGACCGGACGAAGTCTTCCGCACATATCAGAAAGTCAGGCGGGCAAATATCGACAAGGCCTACGAAGAAGCCGCTTTTGGCTGGGGGACACAGAAAGATTGTGGCTGGTTCACATTCTTGCTGAGGAGTTGGCTGACGAGGGCCTATTTGTGGTGGACCGCCTCTGCGAGGGAAAGAAGATACAGCGAAGACGTTGCGACCATGGTTTTGGATTAATGTGCTACTCACCCGTCATGAAATATCGATACGAAGTCAAAGGCAAATGAGCAACCTGTTCATGAAACCAACGGCAGAAAATTTACACCATGTACATCAACTGCGGGCCCTTCCATCTCGCGAAAGCAGAGTCTCGACTCATCAGACCGTCTTGATGTGGACTAGAACCAGCATTGGGGTGCGCATGGGGACTTTGTTTCATGCGGAGAGGGGTTCCCTTTACAATTCTGCGCCTAATATCTCCCATTCCCTGTGCTTCGATTGATGATATCTTCCAGACTATCCCCGACGTGGTCCAGGTTATCGCCCAGATTATCGTCGAGCTCGGACGCGGGCAGGATCGAGTCTCAGGATAGTTTTGACTGTGGCTTCAGGGGATTGGTGGATCTGGCTGCCAGATCTCGCCTGTCCAAATTCGCATCTGGGATCTCAGCCTTGGGCCCGTGGGGCTGCGAGATGCGCGGAGTAGTACAGGGGTTCAATATTTCGGGACAGGGATTCTATGCATCCGTGAGATTTAAGGACAGATCAGCAGTGCACCTTTTCAAATTCAAATTCAACCGCCTCAATCTCTCGGAGGCCGGCACGAGGCTTGCTCAGATTACAATGGGCCCTGCTGGTATGGTCCACCATGGTGCTGAGGCGAGCTACTATCTGGGAGACATGCTGCCACAACGCCTTCGCTTGGGATCAAAACAACTTCAGATTTCAGCACAACATCCCGACCCTGGCTATTGCGGGGGCATGGCTGGATAATATAATTTAACACGATACCAGGGATGGGATCATATTTAATAATATGCTGGTCTCCCATTCTGCTCTCGGATTCTTCAAACTGACAGCAGCCTGCCGTTCTTTACACTCGTCGATCGAGGTCCATTCATTTCTTCTCTGGTTTCTCACGCTGTGTCCTTTCTCTGTCACCTGTTTCAGAAGCTTGAAGGAGTCCTCGATATTTGCGAATCAAGGAAAATGCGTCAATCAATCGTCACTTCCTTCCTTCTCCCGTGTATCTTTCTCGCCTGCCCTTCAGCGAGCTCTTCGACCTCACAAGCCCCGTGGGGACAATGTATGTAGACATCTGAAGCCTCGTCAATCTAACGTCCTCACTCTCATCAGGTGGCGGTATCAATTGGACCGGTAGTACGACTTGTGTATCAGGCTGGACCTGCATCGAGCAGAACCCTTATTATTCCCAGTGCCTGCAAGCCAGCAACACCCCATCTCCTCCTCAACCGGCAACTTCTTCACCACCAGTCGTTCAACCAGTCTCGCCTAGCCCGTCGCCGTCCAGCAGCCCAACAAGTGCTAGCAAGCCAACAACTTCCACCAGCCCGGCCTCCAGCGGTGGAGGCCTGACTTACAAGGCATCGTTCACTCACTACGGTTCCGGCGACAGCTTTGGCTCGCCCAACTGCAATACCAATACGGCCGCCTGCTTCTTCTATACCTCTCCCGGCTTCAGCGCAGCCGTGTCTCAAAACCTCTACGGCGCTGGACCTGGCCAGGGTCAAGGTCCTGCTTGTGGCACATGCTGGAAGCTAGTCGGGGAGACGGACTCGTCCGGCAACACCCTCAGCAATGTCGGAACGACCATCGTGGTCATGGTCAACAACCTCTGCCCGGCCGCCGGCAACCCGCTGTGCGCCCAGAACGGTCTATCAGGCACCAATCAGTACGGGGCCAACGTCAACTTTGATCTCTGCAGTGACAGCGGTGCCTCCGAGGCGTTTTTTGGGAATAGCGGCGTAGGTCTTGCCGTTGGCACGGCCACGCAGGTTGATTGTTCAGAGTGGTCTGGAACCGTCGTGCATTAGACGGGCAGGCCTTAGATGCTATACCGAATGTGCTGCCAACTTCTGTTGACGATGTTATTCCAGTTAAATCTCAGCTTTAAACAGTCATGGCTGTTTCATTCTTCGGAACGTGGCATTGGAGGACACCAGACCGTGGTGCCCGTTCCCTGGGCTATTTATTATCACTTGGAGCTTTCCTGTCGATTCACCTCCTCTCTGTCCTCTTCCCTTCTACGACTGCCCGGGAGCGACGTGTACAGATAGGTGTACACGGGAATGACTGAAAAGTCATGCCAGACTTTGGCTGATTCCGAGAGTCCCTGGCGAGTGGCTTGCTTTCCTGGAGTATTAATATGTGCTTGAGTTGACAAGGCTGTATTCGGCCGATGCACAGCGTTTTGTCGACACCGTCGGTGAAATGAGGGACAGAACCTCTGCAGCGTCGTCCTTTCCCCCTTTTTCGTCCGTCTCGCCGCTACACTCCTCGATTAGAGCTTACGAGCAGACCTTCGCTGCCTGAGGCACTCCCCTGTGTCCCTGGATTCGATGCAGGAAGTCTAATTGCTCTGTTCCACTAATAAGAGGCGAATGTTGAGGTCGTGGCGAGTCGGATTTCCTGTTTGGCCTTGTCGACATATGCAAATATATATATGTGTACACACGTATATACACGTCCCATCGAGCCATGGGTGCTGGACGGCGTGAGTACGTACATGTGCTCTTTTTCACACTGTTAAACGTCCAGCATACAAAGTGGTCTCGTCCTCGAGTTGCCACACACGGTCGGCGGTTGCAGGTGCTTTTGATAGTACCTATCGGCGGGGGAAAAAATCAAGTTTATTATTTTTTTTTGGAAATTCCTGTTTTTCCCTATAATTTTCTTCACTGTCTTTCGGTGCTACAGATCGGTCAAGAATTACATTGCCGCATGCCTCTTCGGCCTCCCTCCCATGAACCCCCTTGTTTCCTTTGGAGATGCATGGTTCATCCTCCCCAGCCGGCGCTGAGACGGTGTCAAGAGTTGGGAGTCGGCGGGAGTGAGACATTCGCGCTTCTACCGCCCATGCCCAAACCAGAACTGCACACTATATAGGCCTACCTGCCCCGCCGGGGAGCAGATCTACAACAGGGACGCGAAGACGTGGATTATCATGTCCGAGCCCTTTTCCCAGGTGTTTACTACCTTCTACTAAAGCTAGAACATGTCGTCCTGAACGGGTCGGAGTGGGCAGAGACACCGCAAGATCACGGCGTCGAAGTTCAAAAATGATCACACAATGCGCCATGTCTGGGAGCAGTCTCGCGCGCGGGCAGTCAAGGAAGAAGACAACGACCATCACCGTGTGACCGGGCACACTGATCTCAAGGCGCATCTCGACGCCGTGCACCTCTCGCCACGCTAGTGCCGCGACGCATCATCATCATCAACACAGACGGGCTCGACGGCGCACAGGCGCAGGCAATGCCCTCGGACAAGGACCTCTCGGCGCTATTCATCCCCTGGGCCATCAAGCCGCGAGTCTGTCCCGGGAAGGAGTTCAGCCGGGTCGAGTTCTAATTTTTGTTGACAGCGCGTATAGTGTACCATTTCTTTCGAGGGCCAGTCGCCATGGTTTCGGGCAAGGGGAAAAGAGGGTGAACAAAATTGGCATTCGCTGCTGCTGCTCAAGATGATCTTACAGCTCATCGAGATTACACGTCTCGAGGAGATCCTGGGTCAATTTGCCTTTCCTACTATACCCTTCGACATAGCGATCCCCCCACTCACCCACCGTATTGTCATACGTTGTCTGGGGCTTCAGCTCGCAAAGATGGCACATGTTGGCTTTCAATCCCTTCATGAGGCCCAGTCTGGGATGTTCCTGTGTCGAGCAAGGAAAGAAAAGTTAGTATGCCAGCAAGATCTTCTCGGTCGATTTCTGGCAACGGTCATCCAGAACGCAGGCTGGTTTTGATATGCATACCTTGACCACGGGGTTATACTCCTCCCAGCTCAACAGTCCGCCTGGCACTCTATCCGGTCCCTGGAAGTCTGCCCATATGCCATAACTACAGGCCTGCACCTCGGGCTCTTTCTCAAACACAATGGATCCAATTGTGTGCAGAGCTATCGCGTCCCACACCAGCTGCAACCTGTGCTTGTCCCAGTCTGGGGCTTCCTTCTTGAGAAAATTTCTCGCGGCATTGGCCCCGTCAACTTCGAATCTCTTGTCCTTAGAGACGATCTCAGAGTGTGGCGGGTGGCCGATGGGGAAGCCCAGATCGTGCATGATGGCGGCGACGGCGTGAGCCTCGCGGTCTCGGTCAGGGAGGACTTTGTCGGCAATGATGAACCCGAGGAGGAAGGATCGGGTAATGTGGTTGTATGTGTCGTCTGTCGAGTACTGACGCACATAATCTAGAGCTTTCGTGATGAGCGGCGTATCGGGCACCGTCACTCCTGCGACCACTTTCGTGGGCAGGGACTGAGGAGACGCCATGGACGTGACCTGGGAAGCGAGACCTATCTTAACACACAGCAAATCCCGTCGCGAGCCGAGCAAAGGTAGAGAGAGTGTGTGTGTGCAGTTGTCTGAAGATACTACTAGTAGTATTCTGTACCGGGGAGTTGTACTCGTAGTCTGTGCAAATTTGACACAAGGATTCCTCGGAACCTGCAGTCCAATGCTGCCCCTCCAGAGAGGGGTTTTCGTTCCTTTGGGAAGAAAATAGCAAGAGCGATCCTGAACGTGTTCGACTCTGACAGGTACACAGGCCTAGCGACGGGGGGGACGAGCTTCCTCGTTTCGATGTAGCTTTCGGGACGGATCTCTCAAGCTCTGCGCTGGGGCGGGTCAACAAAAAATACCCCGCGCTAATCGAGGTCGCTTGCTCCTTAGGTGGACGGGGCTGTGGATGGTGTACCTGGAGTTTGGAAACAAAACCCACAGAAAGTCAGGCATCATTGGGTCAAGGCTGGGCTTTCTGGTGGGACGCCCGGTGAGAAACCTAATTAGCAATGCCAGACCGAAAAGCCAGGCCGGTATCCCGTCGAGCTTGCACCACATCCGCCTCCGACCGTTGACGGCAGGCTTGACGAGTCAGCTTTCTGCGGAACCTATGCCACAGGTCATGAGAGGAGATGTCTTGGTGTATCAGTGGGCGTGTGAACGAAATTTGGAAAATAGGGCCAACCTTCCGTTAAAAACAAGAACAGATACCCTTCCTTTGTCATCCCGTGCCTTTTTGCTCCATCAAACTTTCCTGCTGATGGCTTCTCGTGACCCTGCCCGTACCGTACAAAGTTCTGCCACTGCTCGGTCTACTAACGAAGAGGGAGAGTCTCGCCACGCAGACATTGTCGATGTACGCGTTCTCTGCGGCCGAGCCTCCTCTTGTTCGTGGTAATAACGGAATATCTCTAGGTCGATGAAGACGTCGACTCCGCTTTTGAGGATGGCGATAACGTTTCGTGAGTTTCAGGAATGGCCGGATTAGGAATAGTGGCTGAACGAGGCTTTGGAAGGGAAACGACCTCCGTTGCATCCTCGATATATCGCGGTCGGATGATAAATGGCAGAAAGTTGACCACCCTTCTGATGGGATTCTGAGTGCGGGCATTCCTTTCGCTGACGAATGCAGATACTCGTCTCTGCGAGATGACTATTGGTATGGCTTTCCCTTGGCGTCCGAGTAGACAGCGCTCACTAGATTGACAGGGGTCCCTCCGATGAGCAGCAGTACGAAACACTCAATGCTGGGTAGGTGTATTTCAAAGGCCGAATGAGCGTGGTGTTGAGAGGGATCTCCTAGCCATGTGCTTTACCTCGTCTTGGATAGCAATCAGCCGAATCCACTGTTTCGATCACCTATAACGTCGCCACTGGTACGCCCCCTCAGCGAACATTCTTTACCACCAGAGGCGGATTCCTTCTGATTTGCGCATTAGTATGTCCTCGATATAGGAACGGGACCTGGCACCTGGGCCATGTAAGGCAAACCCCTCCTTTCGTTTGGTGGACACCTTCTCACGTGGCAAAGCGATGTTGCCGATCAATTTTCTGCTGGTAGGGCAACATGAAATGAACCTCCGTCATCGACCAGGCTAAAACAGACCCAGCAACGGTGTATGGCGTTGACCTTTCTCCTCCGCCAGCAACATGGGTACCTCCGAACTGCTTTCTCCAGGTGAATTGAGAATGACCGGATCGGTGAGGCGCGAGCTAACAGGGTGCAGGTGGACGATGTCCTACAGGATTGGACGTGGAGGGAAGAATTTGATCTGATCCACATGCGCCTGATGCTCGGAGCCTTTACAGACACCGAATGGGGCGCAGTCTACAAAAAATGCTTCGATAACCTGAGATCTGGAGGATATATTGAGCAAATCGAATTGGACGTGCGGGTAATGTCTGATGACGGCTCTCTCGACCCGGACTCGCTGTTAGCTGGGTGGGGCCAGAACTTCCTCGACTGCGCGCAACGAGCAGGCCGTCCCTTGGATACGCAGTTGACCATGAAGGCCAAGATCGAAGCTGCCGGATTCGTCGACGTCCAAGAACATCTGTACAAATGTCCGATCGGAGCCTGGCCAAAGGACCCGCTCCTCAAGGACGCTGGCAGAATCAATCTGGCCCATTGGAGCTCTGGTCTGGAAGGATGGGCCATGTTTTTGTTGACGAGATGGGGGGCACCCGAGCCCTGGACTGCGGATGAAGCCCGAGTATATGTTGCCAAAGTGAGGGAGGAACTGAAGAAACGGCGGCTGCACATATGGCATTATACGTAAGTCCTCTTGAACCAGTGTCGACCCCCAACCATTCTGACCGTGGCAGTCGACGTGTTTGGGGCAGGAAACCTTGACGGCGTGTGTCTGAGTAACTTTGTGGTAGCGTACGGTTAGTGATTGCACGGAGAGGGAGGGAAGGTAATGACTGGCCATGTCACTATAGGGGTTCGCTTTGTTCATGCATGTCTCTGGGGGTGAAATCGGGCGTTTGCTCGGTCGAAATACCTTTTTTTTTTTTTTTAAAAAAAAAAAAAGGTTACTGGTACTTGGATGCCATGGAAAAGCCGCTCTTCGAAAGCCGTCAGGGCTTTGGCCAAGTTGCGCATATGATGAAGGGTGTTGATGACCAGAACCAGTCGAAGAGAGGAGAGAGCGCTATTGTGGGAGTGAGGACCTTGAGGGCCAAAAAAGGCTTCAGTTACTTCGTGCATGAGCGGCAAAAGCTTGGCAGGAGCTCGCAGCCTCTTCCATTACCTTCGCACCACCAACACCGTGCTCTGGTTCAAAGTCCTCAGAGACCCTTCCATGGTTTCCTCTCCTGCGGTCCTCAGATTCCTCTGGTTGCCGAAGCTTCTGATGGTAACCTTTTCGGCCACTAGGTTGACCTCCGCGGACCGTGTATAAAAGCACACGTTGACCCAGCGCAGAGTCCTATGTACTGAAACCAAGCCAGACCCATCTCACTCACACACAGTTCACAGTATCAGGTCTCGACTCTTGGAGAACTGAGATTACTCAGAACCTACCACCTCTCAGCACACACACACTCGAGGCGCACCAGGAACCCACCATGTTCCCCCTTATCCTCATGATCACCATGTTGGGATCAATCGTCGCAACGATAAGCGGCGTGATGCCAAAATTCACCCACCTGTTTTAAACAGATGATGGTCCAAGACCCGGAGCAAAATGATGCCAGGGAAACTTTGAAGTGGAAAAAGACGGCGCGATAGGAGGAGGCCTAGGAGATTGATTGGGGGGGAAAAAAGAGTGGGACAAATTGGACACTGGTGGCATTCATTCATGCGTTCACAGTACTTACTACAGTGGTGTTGGTCCAACCACCGGACGCCAGCTACTGCCGGCGCCGTACCGCGCACGGACTGTCCCACAAGCGAGAAAGTCTTCGGATGTAGCAGCCTGATTCAGTCAATTTCGTGACGCGTTTAGACCTCCTCCTCGACGAAGAATATGGTGCTCCTAGAAGACGCTTAGTATGTCGTCGCCGCCGAACCCCTTGTCCACGCCCTGGATGAGCCGTCGGGTTTTTCGGTCGTCAATCTTGATCAAGGGCTTGAAGCCTATGATGTGGAAAGTCGACAAATTTCTCTTCCAGGTTGTCCAAAGCCTCCCAGAAACAGGACAAGAAGCCAAACCAAGAATACCAAAGCTGTGCAAGGAGACTATAGTGAGCGCGCAGAAATAAGCAGGGCGAAGAACGTTTTTGGAAGGAAAGCCATGGCCCCATGGATGGGCACACCACTGTAGCATATCTCTCTTGTGCTGTTCTCAATATCAATCCGTTCCCTCTCTGTGAGGGGTTCCAATCCGCTCTTGGCTTGGATAACTGCGTAATGCATTCGTTACCGCCTCGATGGAATGTAAATTGAGCCTCGAGTCTGCGATTCCAACCAATGCAGCCTCCGTGCACCCAGTGACATTCTCCCTGTACCGGCAATGTCGACAACATTGGACTTGCCGGGGAGGTAAGGAAAGTTTTGGGTCCCCTTGTGCTCTCTCATGCCAAGTCAAGGTCGGGTTCGGATCAGTCTAAATTTCACATCACATTGGCTCCGAGGAGTCTGAGATGGGGGTGACGCATAGAGCTTACAGCTTACTACTGCTAGGACTAGTGTCGTAGACTCGAAAAACCCAGTGAAGCGGGAAGAGCAGTCAAGCAAACAATGCATTGTAGATTCACACTCCTACTAGTATCCTCTCCCGAAATCGATCAATAAAGATACGTAAACTCGTCGTTCTTACCATCCGTGAGATCCAAAAATGCATTCTCACCCAGCCGCTGGCCATTCTCAGTCTCGTCCATAGCAACGTACTTGTCCTCCATCGAATGGTCCTTGATCTTGGCCGACTTGCCGTTCTTGACTCGTTTCCTCGACTGCAGCTTGTTCAGGAAGATCAGGTTCGCCAACTGAATGAAGATGACAACAAACATCGTCACGAAGATTGCCAGAATCTTCCGCAGGCCGGGATGATAGGCAGGTGCGTCTTTCTTGTTGAAAAGCAGCGGGCCAATGATGTTGCCGGCGCTGGAGCCGGCGTTGTAGAGGGACATGATGACGGATTTCTTCGTGCTGCCTCCAGTATTGCCAACAATCCATGAAACGATGAGTGGATTGCCGCCGAAAAGGAACGCGAGCAGATAATAGGCCACCAAGAGGCCTGCAGTAGAGCCTGAGGTACGCGGGAGAACGTAGAGAACTGCTAGACCGGCAATGACCGGCAGCATGAGACCTGCGAGGACGAAAGACTTGAGCTTGGCCTTTTGAGCAGCGTAGGAGGCGAGAAGGATGACGATCAACTGCATCGCACCAAAAGGCATGTTGAGCAGCGAGGTCTTGTATTTGTCGAAGCCAACACCTTGGAGAATGAGCGGGCCGAAAGTGTTGGTGACCGCAGCGCCCACGTTGAGCAGGAGAGAAAGTCCAATCCAGAGATATGTCTTGGGCTCCAGCGCCAGTTCGATAATGTGGTCCCATTTGTACTCGCGGTTGCCTGTGCCGGTTTGGTTGGCACGAAGGCGTTCAATGGCTTGGGCCTTTTCGTGCTCCGTCAGGAACCGCGCAGAAGGGATGTCGTTGTCGAGGAAATACCAAACAAATGGTGCAGTGACAATGGTGACAAGACCAACGAAAAGGAAGATGATCTGCCACTCCTGCAGGACATGTGAAGGGATATGGCCCAGGCCGTAGGAGATTGCTGAAGCAGCAATTGTCGCGACTCCATTTGTGCCGTACCAAGCTGCGACTCGGATTGGCTGCTCTGCTCGACGATACCACTGGCTGGTAATGACACTGAAGAGTGGTAAACAGCCGGCTTCAAACAGTCCAAGGAAGAAACGGGCTGCCAGGAGCGAGCTATAATCATGGCACGCAGCCATTGAAGCTTGGGCAATCCCCCATCCGAGACAAAGGGCCGGCATGAGAATACGATGGGGTACCCGGACGATCAGGAAGGACGAGAATGGCTGCCAAGCAAGCTGTGCGATGGGGGCAATGGATCCAAGAAAGGAATATTGGTCGCCGGTGAGGTGGGTATCTTGGGTGAGGCCGAAAAGAGCGCCGTATCCGAGGACAGACTTGTCGAGGATCTGGAGGAAGTAGACCCAGACGAGGATAACGAGGATGACCTTGTCGGTCTTGCGTCGGATGCGTTTGTTCTGTTCAAGCCTTGTTAGGATCCACGTGTCCGCCGCTTGGGTCGACAACATACGTCTTCGTCAGTCAGCTCCACGCGCTGGTCTCCAACGATCGCAAGAGCTCGATCGCCATGCTTCACACTGGCTCTACGCTCAGTGATCTCCTTGGACGGGCGACCCGACTCGACATCTTCGGCGTGAGCCTCGTGGACGGTTTTGTCGTCGAGAGAAGCCATCATCACGTCGAGGTTACTACTATGTTTCTGAACGTCGGTGGTTGTGTACTGGTATCCCACGACGGCCAAGGGGTGACTTGGTGAGAAGACAAATGGAGGAAGTGACAAGAACGTATTTATACAACCAAAATACCCCCCTCGCTTAAATGAGGAGCAGGAAACGAGGTCGGAAATTCTGGAGGTTGAATCTGGAGCACGATATCAAAGGTGTGGGGTCTGGGCGCGCATCACTTACCCTTGGATGCACTCCGTACATCTGGCAAAGACCGAGAAATGCGCGGAGCGCAGTAGTCCAACCGACTGTCTGGGGTTGAGGCGTGCTGGGCGCACAGCTATTGGAGGCACTGAAGCCATTGCAGGGTTGGATGGCATCTCGTGCACAACCCCGCAACTGTGATCGGCAATTGAAAAAGCAGGGAATTGGATGGATGCACTACGAGAATGACCAACAGGAGGCCCGTCACCGACCCGTCGGCAACGGGGAGCATACGGGCATGACCGGTTGAAACTCCCGTGGTGGCCGTAGATGAGCCTTCAAATGTGCTATGGGGATGATGAAGTCGAGGTTGCCAGGTTGACAGCACACCTGGCCTTGTGTCCGTCGTGGGGGTGGCGCGATTCCACCAAACCCTCCCCACGACCACAGGTTGGGGTCAACTGTTTCCTCTCTATGTGGCCAGGCGTGGCGGATCGCGAATATGGATGGGTCGAGCTCCATCCCAAAAACAAACCTGCTGGACTGGGACAAATACAAAACAGCGCCACCACGAGGCTGAACAGGGCGACTCCGCTGGCCTCGATGGAACAAATACATTGTCGGACTGACGGCTTTTGAGAGACGCGGCCTTGGCATCTAATTGTCCTGTCGCTTAGGTCTCGCGAGAGTTGGTCCCGTCCGCAGAATTCGGGACATTTTCCTCGTTGTCAAGCTTCCTGTCTCGTTCCACTCATTCTAACTATCGACCTGTCCGCCAGAGAAGATGAAAAGAAAACATCAGCATTCGGCAGCGTGCATTCTGCTTCTCCATGGTCTACATTTTTAGCTTTGAAAGATACCATGATCGGTGGGAATAGTCTGAGACGCACATGTTACCAAGGAGATTGTCTGGTTGCACAAGAGCGTGAATGTGCTCAAGAACCAGCGTTAGAGGATTTGAGGCTTCAACTTATCTCAGGGTTTATGCAGGTGAGCAGCTCCCCTTATTCGATCAGCACATGTCGACAAGGGTTGTCGGTCCGTACGGATATTCTCACGGCTTTGGGGGGCCTTTGGTCGCGCGGAGGTTTGCTGGTCTTGACCCAAGCTGGCCTTGCATTTCATCCTCCACCATTTCTCTTGATCGACCCTGTTCCCCAAAGCCCAAAGCCCAACTTTCTCTATCTCCCAGACTCTCCACCGAGACAGAGATTTCTTTGAGCAGCCGGGGTCTCTTTAGTTCTGACCACTTGTCGACGAAGATACCCACAAAGCCCACCGACATTGTTGAAGAGAAGAAAGCCAGGAAAAACCTCTCATCATCAAACTTTAGCATGGCTGCTCGCGTTCGACCAATGGCCTTGCTAGTTGCTAGCACTAGGTGGTTTTGCAGACCTGGTGGTCGTATTTGTATGGTAGCCCCTGTGTCTATCGCGAGGTGCAGAGTTTGTGTTCTGGTTTCTTGGATTGATGACGATGTCCACCAACTGGTCGAGGGCTTTGGTTTTCCAGGGGTATACCATCTGTAGGATGAGGTCGTGACGTTGTTATCGAGGGCATGAGATGCTTTAAATTCCTCGCTGAGCATGGTGGGTATGAGAGGAGGTTCGATCCAAAGAAGGAGCCGAGTCAAAATCCAGTTGCTTCTGTGGTTCTTGGGAGCGAGGACCTGTGGGGTCGCGACCTCGTTGTTGGGCTGAACCACGTCGATTTCACCCCGGTTGTTTCGAAGTATCCGTTGCAATTCCGTCTGGCGAGCTCCCCTCCTTCACATCGTGTCCGCCTTCGATGCAGCGGCTATTGCAGGAGCTGTTGCCATTGTGACGACCCGCGTTGATTAGACGGTCCCGTCTCCTTGACACTGGGTCAAACCTGTTGTCTATAATGGTGCCGTCAATGCACGTTGAGGGCCCAGACTTCGACCAAAGCCAGGGAGACTTGAGTCATTTATCCGTGAGGTTTCCCACCGTAGACCCGTTAGCAGTGTGAATGCAGCGAGTCGACGGTGTTAGAACTAGTTAGATGTCCATGATCGACGTTGAAATTGAGAGAAATCGCAAGTACTGAAAAGCTAAATGAAATCATATCTTTATCTGGCATATTGCACTGAATATTTTGAACATGGAGAGAAAAGAAAGCAGATCAAACAAGGTGCGAACCGTTTTGATCTATTCGAAGAAAGCATCCAGGCAGGAGCGAGAACCATGGCACCTCACTCTGTAGGATTTGCCATAATGTGTCCATAGGGTGACATGGCGACCTAGAAAGTCGGGAAGTCACCGAGGGCAGTCGTGGTAGGCGCTTCGCAGTGGAGGGACAAGCAAGGAAGGGAGATGGATGAAGGATATCAACCTCGAGGGACCTGAGACCGTGCATGTGCAGTTATAAGAAGGACTCCGAGGTTACTCAGGCTCCTGGTTATCAGTACTCTTGGTCTCAACACCTTTCTTCCATTCATCCCAGTCGAAAACACCATGCCCATCCATCCACGATCCAAACTGCCTGTCGGGGAGCACCAGACCTTCTTTATCCTTGAAGAATACCAATCCACCTGGAACTTCTTTCAACGGATTCCCTTCTCCCTCACCAGACCTGCCGACCGGTCCGACATCAAACCCGCAGGCCTGGTAGAATTTCTCTTTGCCATCTGCGGCGATCACACTACACGCGACGCCTTCCCTCTGGGCTTGCCACAGGCCCATCATGACGAGCGCACGGCCCTGGCCCTGTTTTTGGTAGTCAGGATGGACGGCGAGGCATTCGAGGTACCAGCACTCGGAACGTTGGCCGGTCCAGATATGGTCGAGATAGTTGTAAGATCGTTCGACAATGAACTCGTCCTTCCGCGACGCTGCACGATTGGGCGAGAGCCACGCGAGAAGTCTCACAAACAGCCTCGATATCGGTCGGAGTAGACGTCCTGCGGGATAACCAGTTAGCACTAGTGGGCTTTCAAGGGAATGGATGAGTAAAGGGAGACATGTCCCTTTTCCCAGTGGCGAGCAGCAAAATTGCAGATCATGCAGTAGAATCCATGCATTGCGCCTTCGCGCCTAGAGCGCTTGTCCTCAATACCTCCATGTCCCAGCAGGCCATTGACAACGGGTTTTCTGTGAGGTCATGCAAAGGGGGTGAAAGGAACTGCAAACATGAAGACCTGAAGAACGACTTACTCGGATCCCACCAGGCCCACCCCCAGCCGGCCTTGTAATTGTCCCTCCAGCTGGGAGCTATCCGACTCCAATGTGCGAACCCAGTCACGATTTCCTCCCCATTATCCTCATACTCCGCAGAAGGCACCGTTGTCACAAGGAAAATATGGCTCGGGTCCCACCAGTCGACGACGAACCGGCGATACCAGTACTTGTCGACATCCCCGGGGTAGGACTTCCGATAAGGATGGATCAGGCGGCCGAAGAGCACGTCGTCGTCAAAAGCACGAGAACACATGCGTGCCGCAGCGGCCAGGTCTGAGAAGCGTGCCCTTCGGAGATCGAAGGCCGATTGAGCAAGCAACGATGAGGGTGACAGGGGTCGCGTAGTGGAGGACATGATGACTGCTTGGTTTGGCAGCACTTCTACTGGTCCGGTCCCGTAGTGAGCAAAGTGCCCATGTGGCCGCCGAGTTCGACCTCCCCACAACTCGCGTGAAAAGTCAAAATGCTAGATGATCTCCGCAATTGTTCGCTCTTCGCTTGCGGGAGCTCTGGCTCCCGGATGTTGCTGACGGTGGGGAGGTTGAACCACAGGCGATCGAGAGTGGCAGTATGCGAATCCCAGGTCGAGACCAACGGAGATTGTTGTGATTGGGCCGTATAAGAATCCTTCGACTGTTCCTTGCGACTTTCGAGCGGTTCCGAGCGAGCGAGCGAGCGAGCAAAAGTAAGCAGAACGATTACGGACTGCTAGACAAAGAAGACGATGTTCACGGCCTATGTGCTCCGTAGGTGGGACAACTACAGTACTGGGTAGGTAGCTGCGTTGCCTGCCCGGAAAGACTCCGCCCACCCGCCGGAAAATGTCTGTCTCGCAAGTCTGGTAGAATGGCTCGCAGTATCGTGGATGGTGAGATTGGATCAATCGAAACTAGCAGGACTGGACGAAAGAGCCTTCGCTAGACGTCAAGCTTCTTGACCACGATAAGTTTCGATGAGGCTGGGGCCAGCCCTTCGATATATACCAGGCTCCTGAACTAAGCCCTATGGGCCGCGTGAGCAACGAGAAATCTCGAAATGATATTGATACGCTGGAGATGTTTGCCGTTGAGCGAGCTATCGTGCCCGTGGGGTCCAAGCTGCAGCAAGTTAGTCGCCTTGTTCGGCCCCGACGATGGTGCGACAGACACTCATACTAGTAAGTACCTTTGGTGCCTTTGTCTGCTTAACTAGCAGGTGACAGCGGTGGATCGATAGCGATGTCACTACATACTGAGTACAGTACTGTACCTCCTTATCGCTGTGGCTGGGTGGAGATGCCGCCCCACCAGAAGGACAATCGACAACGACATGGGCGCGGCAAAGCACCACGATGCCATGGCTCAAAGCTGGTGAACTTCTTTCTCCCTGAGCCAAGATGTGGCTCCAGAAGTGCGATTTCATGGCATCACCAACTAAAGAGCTACTAGTACCTACCTGAGTAGCCAAAGGGGTCCAAGTGTGGATACATAAACTGGGCAGCTACACCGCATGGCAGACCAGACACTTTTCCGGCCCCCTGAAATCATCTCAGGCAATCGCCGCGGAACGCACGCGACAGTCAGCAAGTCAGGCCCGTCAGAAACAAGTCTCAGTCTCTGCCCTGGCCGCCAGGCTGGGCTGCGCGAGTGTTGACGGCGGCAGGCAGCCATGCGGAGTAGCATCTCTGGATGCCTGCGCGGGATTTTTGCTAAGGTCGAGCTCTGCGTTATTTTCACTGTTTGGAACTAATCACTGAGAAGGCAAAGGACAATGTCGGATGTCGAACGGAAAAGACCTTCCCCGACAAAGAGCAAAAATGGGGTGGTGCTCGAATTCGTCCGCTCTCGAGAATCATGCTGTTGTACAGATCCTAGCTACGGATCATGGGCTTTCATGGTATTCCACATGATGCCTTTAGAACCAAAACCCTTCTATTTTGAAGACGTAGTATATCCTTCCGCGCCTTCAGAACCTGCCTGATGTCTAACCATCCCTCGATTGACCTTGTATCGCACAGAACTGCCCCCGTACGCCGACCTCAAACTCTCCCTTGGTCTGTTTCTGTTTCGTAGTGAACGTTCCATTGCACGTCCTTGCGAATGATATGGTCTTGGCTGCCGCCACTGTCAATTGAGTCGTTCTCTCTCATGACAGTCAGCTTGTTGCCACTGGGATCTTGCCGTGGAACCGGTGGAAATTGTTCGGCGGTGTTGTCGTTGTATGATCTCGCCGCAGACCTCGATTTGGCGGTGCCATTGCCACTAACGGAACCCATCTCGTAAGCATTCATGCTGCGGCCCAGCCGTCCGGAGCCACGTCCAGAACCATAGTATGCCTGCGTGAGAGAAGGATCGAGTTGGATGCCAAACCCACTGCTGAAGCTCCGCACGAATGACTTGAGATTGGGGATGGTGGCCGAAATCAGCGACCAGCAAAGCTGCACCTGCTGGATCACAATCACGGGCACGATCGCGATACCCGGATTATCTGAGCTGGTATAGTCGGCCACGTAATGGAGGTGGAGGATAGAGAGCATCGCCACACTGAGGGTAACTTTGTTAGCGGGTGCACTCTGATTTGAGCGAGATGGTAGACTCACGGTAGTCGGAATCCAAATGCAAGCACAACCTGGCATTTCATCGCGAAGGCCAGGTGTACAGGCCAAACAACAAAGACAGTGATCACGACCAGAATGCATTCTGTCGCCACGTCAAACGCGGTGATCAACTGCCAACGAAGAAACTGGAGCCGTTAGCGTGTGTTTTTGCAAAGCATCTGGTTCCATCGCGCACCTGATGAGAGCATCGCCCAGTGTCGGCCTGAATAAACCCTGGAATAGAGCAGTCGACCGCCAGGGCGACAATCGACAAAATGCCCCAAAGCCACACTCCGACCAAAACGACAAGGCTGATCCAGTAGAGAACCTTTGACTGTAACCTTTGTCCTGTTCTTGGACCGACCAAGTTGAACAGCCTCATCATGAGACAGAGTGTGGAAGCTTTTGCCGTAGCGGCGGCCACGATGAACAGCAGTTGGCCAGCAAAGGTTGCCTGTCCAAGTCAGCAACTGAGCATGTGAGCTCCGGCGAGAGACTGGCGCATACCCGGCTGGCTTTTGATAGTTCACTCTGTCGTAGGAGGTCTTGTGTCTTGCCCAATCCATGGTCCAGTCCAATTATCACTGCGACTACCTCTCCGACTTGAGCGGCCTGCATCTCCAATCAGTGTGCGGCCTGCCACACCATCCAGAATCTTTCCTTACAGTTGCGGCCAGGGCAAGGTAATCGTCCAATCCATACATGTTCCGGCGCAGATGACCCCTCAAGGCCAATGTGACGACCGAGTAGACCAGACATAACAGAGTCGCAATCCAGACAGACCCAGCATGGTCGTCTGGAGTGATAGGGGAAAAGCGATTGCTCCCCATAATGTTTGCCTTGCTCCGGTTGATGAGGGATGCTGCTGTCGATGATAACGGAGAGGAGGATGAGGTGGTGAAAGAGATGTCGTTTTGAGTGACAGACAGCGAAATGGTCGTCGGCAGACTGGAACGAGGCTGCACTATCTACGTGCCTTTCCCCACCATCATGCAAATGACTGAAGGGAAGGACAAGAACGTCGTCGGTGAGGAGTTATGTTTCAGGGGATGCCAACGGGGGAATCAGGGTGGGATTTGCAACTGTATAAACTTGAAAACTTCACCAAACCACATTTCCACGTGTGATTGAGTATGTCACTAAGCGATCCACAGGCCCCCTGTTGAATGCACCGGAAGTTGACCTTCACGGTTTTATCGACGCACTCGGCACAAACAGTTTCAGAAGGACCTGAAATGTGCGGACCAAGAACGTATCCTTGGAAGTTTGATAAGTCAAAAGAAATATGGGAGACCACCATGGGGGTTTGTTCGGGAAGCATGACCGGGAAAAGCGCGATAAGCAAACGGCTGCCACAGAGGTATGTATCAGGGAGAGAAGTGGCGCACATACCAAGGGAACTGACCTTTATTGGCGTGCTGATCATTTCTTCGATGGACGCAACTACTGGTGCTTGCAGGGCAAGATTGGTAGGCGAGCATGCAAAAGCCTGCTCCTCAACCATCGTATGGGTGGTTCCATGGATGAGTTTATGGTTACTGTGCACAGTCCTTTTCTTGTCGTTTGAGACCCATGAAGGACCGGGTGTGATGGGTGCGTGCTCGGCATTGGGACCGGCTGACTCTGCCTGGTAGCAAATAGTCGTGGTGATAGACGTTGGCTAAGTGCCGTGGTAAATAGAACGGATGCTCTGTACGCATCAGAACTGGACATGGATCGCGGCACCCCAGCCGAAGTGGTTAGCCTCTCGCTAATAAGGCTGCCCACTAACCAAAGGCCAAGGTGACGAGCACTTGAACCAAGAGAAATCGGAGGGTTATCCTGGCAAGCTGCTGCCCCAGGAGTCCCACAGTACCAGTAGATCAGTAGCCAAAGCACAGACGCCGTTCGTATCTTATCGAGCCAAATTTGCGCAGAAGCTCGGAAAAACCTGTGAATTCAGGCCTCTCGAGGTCTCCTTTGTGCCCATCGATAATAACCCAGGAGAGATTTCAATAATGAAGCAGCCTCCAAGACGGGCTGAACAGCCCAGATCGATCTCAAACAACACACAATCAGATGACAATTGGGTGCCACTTACGCAAACTTCCGGGGATGAAATTGGCGCGTTTCTTTGTTCGCTTGACGCGGTGAATTAGGGCTGACTGGTGAGAAGAGTTTTGCAGTGGGACAACTGAGCCCTGGGCAGGTGATGAGCATGGGACTGTTTGCCTGAGCCACCTCCTCACCACCTGTCAAGTCGGCCTTGAACCCCCCCCCCTGAATGAGTCTTGGAAAGGCCTAGCTGAGGGTCTGCCGAGAGGTGAAAGTGCCAATGGAAGTGGCAGGAGACAACGGGACGCGTATCAGCCGGCTTGGTTACAAGCAAAAAGCCTGAGGATGGCATTTTTCGCAGCGGCTACAGCAGGTTGGAAATCATATCCACAACCATTGGCTGTTCTGTCAAGACAGGGATGCGAATAGAAAGAGACTACCCGACCGGGCAAAGTGTGATCGCCATCTCTTGCCGCGGCCAGTTAAGTGGACACGTTAGTGTCGGGAATCAATGGGAAGGATGGGAGAAGCTTCCCCCCGAACCATCAACCATCCAAGCTGCCTTTCTCTTGCCGTCGGCGAGAACCTTCAACACCATGTTCCAACCGCTGTGTTGCTTCGGATGCCACTCTTAAGCGACTTATCGCAAGCGAGAATAGGAATCCTTCTCTATGCACACCGGCTGTGATAGACATGGACAATGAAACACGGAAACGAAGCTCCAACAGCTCCATCAGCTCCAACCACTGAACAGCAAACGGATTTGAGATGGGCGACATTGCCGACTTCTCGCTTACCTCCAGGCACCCTTACATGGCTCGATTCCTTCTAGGAGCCGTCCAAGAGAGAGAACTACTTGCGGCCACCAGGCCTCTTCTTACAACATGGCCTCCTTGATCACTCCCTCGGAAGCGCCACAGCATGTCAGCGATATGTCGTGTCTCGAGTTTAGCGTTTGATCGCTGCGTTTCGCTGCTCACAGATGCTCCTCCACTCGTGAGAGGTCCTCGTGCTATTGGGCCCTTGTAACTCATCCGCAGCCACCGCTGCAAGCGTCTTCTTATTTCTTGTTGATGTGAAGGCATCTCACCATCATTGCCCTTCGGCGCCCTGTGGCTTGCTTAAGCTCGCGAACTAAACGCAGCACCTCTCCTCCTGATACGGTCTGTGCCTTGGACTTTGGACTGCCCTGGGAGCATACCGAGTTTGCACAATCCTGAAGCATGATTCGACTGACGAAATCCCATATCAATCACATCCCCTGTGCTAGTGATTAGCCTTGGGGCCTTTGCCAGCGCGACTTTTGCGAGGGCCGAGAAGCCACTTTCGCTCTCAGATTCTCTAGCTTGCATTGGGACATGCATAAGCATATTGACATGCGACAGGCGATGGTGAGTGCTGCTCTTGCCTGTGCCCTGCCCAAGGATGGTCAAGATCTGCACCTCGCAAACACATGGGCCTTGTCCCTTGTTTGACACATGGCAACCAGTGCTCACCCCCTCCACTTTCGCCGGATCCTTCGCGATTCTCTTCCCTTTGCTCTTATACCTACGGATACAAACTGACTTTGCAGGTTGTCAGGAACGCCATCGAGGACGTGCTATCCTAATAGTGCTATTGCTGTCATTCTGAACCAGCTCCTCGTCCTTGTCGTCCTCTGAGAGTTATTGTTTCTATCCCGATGGCAGATTACAAGGAGACTGGGGTGGTCACATCCCAGGTTGACCTGGAGTCACCAAATGCAAACCTCTCGCCTGAAAAGAAAGGGACCGCCGATGATCAAAAAGATATGTTTCGCATGGGCAAACATCAAGAGCTACGCGTGAGGGACCCCTCGATGTTCCTCAATATACTCTGCCATGGCTAACGAGCCTAGCGGAACTTTCGATTTGTCTCGATTTTCGGCTTCTCCATGATTCTAATGGCCAGCTGGGAAACGATGTTAGGGTCAGCGCAATGTCCATGACGTCCTCGGAGTGCCAGTCGATCCAACTGACGCTTGGACAGCACATCCATCATTGGCTTGATCAACGGGGGAACAGCGGGAATGATCTGGCTATACCTGGTTGCCTGGATTGGCTTCCTGGCCGTCAACACATCAATGGCCGAAATGGGGTCCATGTATGACAATCTGAGCGAAGGGAACATTCAACGTTTTCTCATACTCTACCTAGGGCTCCGACATCTGGCGGTCAATATCACTGGGTGAGCGAATTTGCACCGAGGACCTATCAAAAATTCATGAGTTTTATTGTTGGTAAGAGAACCGAAAGCTTCAAAAGGTCCTCATTCTAACAAAAAATCCAGGGTGGCTTTGCGTACTCGGCTGGCAGACGGGAGCGGCGAATACAGGTGAGACATACCTCTTGGAATCGACTGGCAGTTCCTGGACCATTTCTTTTGGAGGCATGTGTGTTGATTCAAACGATAGCGTTTCTGGCCGGAACCCAAATCCAAGGCCTCGTGATCCTCAACTACCCTGACTACACACCTGAAAGATGGCATGGCACGTTGTTGACGTTCGCCGTCGCCTCGTTCTCTGTTTTCTTCAACACCTTTCTCGTCAAGAAGTTGCCGTTGGTGGAAGGGATCGTGCTCATCATCCACGTCTTTGGCTTCTTTGGCGTTCTGATCACTCTCTGGGTCCTTGGTCCGCGCGGAAATGCGAGCGATGTCTTCACCACTTTCAACAACTACGGCGGTTGGAGCAGCGACGGGCTGTCGGCAATAGTTGGGATTCTCGCCGTTATGATCCCCTTACTCGGCGCAGACGGCGCCGTTCATATGTCCGAGGAACTTCGCGACGCATCGAAAGTGCTTCCTCAAAGCATGATCTGGACCACCATCCTTAACGGTGCCATGGGCTGGATCATTCTCATCACCTTTTGCTTCACCCTGGGAAGCCTTGATGATGCTATCGACTCGCCCACCGGACAGCCCTATATTGCTGTCTTTTACAATGCCACCCAGTCGTTCGCTGGCGCATCGGTTCTCTCGGCTCTGGTCATCTTCATGGCCATTTTTTGTAACTTGTCGATTACTGCGACTGCATCGAGGCAGCTGTGGTCTTTTGCCCGTGATCAGGGCATTCCAGGTGCTTCTTGGTTTGCATATGTACGAGGCGTTTTTCTTTTCCTGTCTGGTGCATGTCCCGAAGCTGATTGTCTCGACTAGGTGCGGCCAGGGTGGGATGTCCCGATGAACAGCATCGTGGTATCCTTTGTCGTTTCCTGCCTGCTGGCCCTGATCAACATCGGTTCCACGATCGCCCTCAACAACATTACGTCGCTCTCCCTGGTTGCCATCTTGTCGTCATATATCTTCTCCATTGGCTGCCTCTTTTGGAGGCGCTTGACCTACCAGCCTCTGCTCCCGGCCAGGTTCACCTTTAGCCGACCAGTTGGTCTGCTTTTGAACGGATTCAGCCTCCTTTTCCTGGTCTTCGCTTTCATCTTCGCCTTTTTCCCCGGCAACCCGAAACCAACCGTTGAGCAGATGAATTGGGCCAGTTTGATCTACGGAGGTGTCTTGATATTTGCGGTGCTTCATTACTACATCCAGGCTAGGCATGTCTATGACGGACCTGTGGAATATGTGCGCAAGCTGGTGTAAATTTTGGGGCGGGTTGTCTGCCTCTTTGTCCTGGGCAAGCTCTGGGACCCAAACAGATTGGATTGTTGCAGAAGGAGGTGTTGTTGGAGAGGTCTTGGCTTTTATCTAGGTCAATGATGGCAACTGAGGCAATGTTTCATTCAAAAGAATCGTAGCTAAAGTGGAACAACAAGCATAAAGGCCCTCGAAGCTGCCAATCAGCAACCTATCAATTAACCCGTTTTAACTACTTGAGTGGGAATACTCAGTGCGAAGGTCAGTCTCACGTGATCTATGCAGGCTTGGGCTTCAACTCGCCTGACTTCCGAACATCCTTCGCGTATTAACCCCAGAAATCGCGATGGATGGGGCCAGGATGGCGAGTCCTAAAGACCTGGAAGCCTAGCAAAGCTGTCCACCGGCCTAAGCCCTGTCGGCCCTGCCACTCCAATCAGACCGTTGTCTCGCCCGAACGCACCTCAGGCCCTCGTATTAGTTTCTTGATTCCCTCAGTGCCAGGACTTCTGGTCCAGTTTTTCCTCCCCTGTGCCGCAGTGTCCTCGCACCGCATCTACCAGGCAAAGGCATAAGACATTCAGCCATAGAGCCCTTCGAAGCTTAAACGCCGTAGCATACGGTCCAGGCTCCGAACTGCAGGTTCCAGCCGTGCCCATCTCAAACGCAGCCATGCCACATTCGTGCTCTACCCCGCCATCTCAAGACTTGGGATGTCCAGCTGCCAGTGGTGCCAGGACATACGTCAGGGGGATGGAGGTATGAACTATTGGTGACCATATGTCAGTTTCTCCGGGCAAAGACGTTCCGATTGACTGAGCGGCGTTCTGGGCGGTCGGGATTGGACGACATGGAAAACGTTACTCCGCGATGCGACACGAAGTATCGGGTGAGCCGAGTCTAGAGCTCGTGTTGAAGACGCGGCTGAGGAAGGAAAAGAAAGGAAAAAGGAGGGTATAAGAGTGGTGCGAAATGCCAGTGTGCTGTCACTTGAAGCTCTCGTCCCTTTCCTCACTTGCGCTTCTCTGACTCTCTCCGTGAACCGAACCTCACCACACCGCACGGCACGGCACCGCGTGTCACCATCCTGTCCCGAAGCACTCGCAATCTAACCATCATACGAGTTATATCAAACCTACCGCACAAAGAGCTATGGCTCCCCACGCAACGGAAAACGGCGCCGATGCCACGTCATCTTCAGGCAGCCTCGACTTCACCACCTTTTCAAACGTGATTGACGGCAAGCTCACCTCCACCGAGAAGACTCGCCATGGAATCAACCCTGCCACTGGCAAACCGAACCCTGAGGTCCCAGTCTCAACGCCCGACGACGTGGATAAGGCTGTAGCAGCGGGCAAGAAGGCGTTCAAGGCATGGGCCAAAACACCGTACGCGGAGAGGCAGAAGGCCATGCTGGCTTTTGCGGACGCCATGGAGAAAGAGAAGGACGGTTTCGCGAAGATGTTGACACAGGAGCAGGGGAAGCCAGTAAGTCAAGAAGGATGAAACTACGCACGCATCCAGGCTCTAGACTCTGCAAGGAGGCTTGCAACTGATATGTCTCCAACTCAGCTTCATTTTGCCTACTTTGAGATGGACTTCACCCTTCAGATCATTCGCACCATGGCAAATCTCGAGCTCCCCACGGAAGAAATTGTCGACGAAGCTGATCGGAAGATCGTTGTTCGATACACTCCTCTCGGGGTGACTGTGGGCATAGTTCCGTGGAACTACCCTGTCTTGCTGTGCTGCTCCAAGATCGCCCCGTGCGTCGTCACTGGCAACCCCATCATCATCAAGCCATCTCCATTCACTCCTTATGGAGGACTGAAGGTGGTGGAACTGGCGCAGAGGTTTTTCCCCCCAGGCGTCCTCCAAGCCCTTAGCGGAGACGACAACCTTGGTCCCTGGTTGACCTCTCATCCCGGGCCAGCAAAGATCAGCTTCACAGGCTCCAGCGCCACTGGCAAGAAAGTCATGGAATCCGCAAGCAAGACACTCAAGCGTGTCACGTTGGAGCTGTAGGTCACTCTCGTCCAGATGTCCGTTTCTGGCCCGACTTAACGAGTTCAACAGGGGCGGCAATGATCCTGCCATCATTTGTGATGACGTGAACGTTGACGAAGTTGCTCCCAAGGCAAGTTCTTGATCTGGTAGGGGGACACTGGTTCTAACTAACTATCCCAGATTGCGACCCTCGCTTTCCTGAACTCTGGTCAGGTGAGATAACTCTCCTCTCGCGCACACCCCTGCGACAGCCCACTCGCTGACTCCCATCAAGATCTGCCTGGCGCTCAAACGCATCTTTGTGCACGAGAAGATATTTGACCAATTCCGTGACAAGATGGTCGAATACACCAAGACTTTGAAACTCGGCGAGGGATTCGAGAATGATGTCTTCCTTGGCCCCATCCAGAATTCCATGCAATACGAGCGGGTCAAGGGCTTCTTCAATGACATTGAGAAGGAACATTACAACGTTGCTGTCGGAGGCAAAACCCCTGAAGGACCAGGCTATTTCATGACGCCGACAATCATTGACCGTCCCAAGGAGGATTCCAGGCTGGTCGTGGAAGAACCGTTCGGTAAGTCCTGATTGCACGGCGTGTCCTCCTTTGCCGGATGACGCGGACTGGATGCTGACGAGGAGCCTAAATAGGTCCCATTGTACCGCTCTTGAGCTTCAGTACCGACCAAGAAGCCATTGAGAAGGCTAACAATACCATGTACGGCCTTGGTGCGTCGGTCTGGTCCAGCAACCTCGAACGCGCTGCGGCAATTGCCAAGGAACTCGAGGCGGGCAACGTCTGGGTGAACACTCATTTCGAGCTTGATGCAAGAGCACCCTTTGGCGGGCACAAGGAGAGTGGCATAGGGACCGAGTTCGGGGTGGGTGGGTTGAAGTCGTACTGCAACTCGCAGACCTTGTACTTGAAGAAGTGAGAAGAGAATGGCGCGGATGAACACAAGATAACTAGGGGAAAGTTTTGCGTCTCGATGGTTGGCAAAGTAGTTAGCAGGTACTTTGCCCTCTGATTTAGCACAGTTTGACGAGGTCATGTTCCTCGGTTGTGGTGCTTGCCAGGGCAGTTTCGTTACTCTTGGGTTGCTCAAGATGCCTGTAAGCCCCACACCCGGAAGATCAGGGCCGAGGGCATGGTGGGCAGTGCCAGGCCAATTCGCCAAGTCACCAACTGATTGCGGGGAAGGCCCAGAAGGGCAGCGAGAAGAGCTCCGGGCGCCCCAGCACCTCCCTCCCCTCCCCCCTCCCCCCAAAATAACTAATTGACCACTACCATTAACCACCACTGGGGGCACCCAACTCTCTCCCCTACCTAGCGCTAGCACCTCGTAACTCAGCTTTCTAACCACAGTTCTTTGGAGACGCCGAGGACCAAAAAAAATATCTCCAAAGCACCACCTTTCTGCGGATTGGTCTCTTCCTTCCAATCCAGTCGCAATTCATCGTTTGTCCGTATCATCGCTGTTGTCTATTTCTGCTGACACCCTCGTCTTCGGGTCCAGCTAGTGTTCTGATCAGGAAGATGCCGCAGCTTGTGTGGCGATAACATCGGGACGACGTCCGTGGCACACTTGATGTTTTGTCGCGATTCAACAACCGACGCTTTGCGCATGCCCATTGCTCCTGTCGCACCCCGGCCTCTACCAGCAACGATCCAGGCAAGATTGCCTAGGTAAGATCGGACCTGGGCACGCATCAAACAACATGTCCGAAACTAAGCGCCCGCGCCTCGACTACCCTGCCATTGCCCCAGGCGTCAACGACCAGCCTGTGGCGGATCAGCATGCCTCTGCCGACCATCGACGCCGCTCGAGCTCAGCTAAGACAGAGGGTCGACGCCGGTTCAAGTGCACATATGCTGGCTGTGGTCGCGATTATTCACGGGCAGAGCACCTCTATCGCCATCAACTCAACCGTATGATCCCCACGTCTTGGTGCTCTCGATGGGATCCCCCCTCTGCTAACTTGACCCCCAGACAATCCGAAAGAGATCTACAAATGCGAATATCCAGGATGCCTAAGGACCTTTGTGCGCCAGGACCTCTGCATCCGCCATCAGGAAAGACACGAGGTGAGGGGGCTGATGCGAAAACTGCAAGACCCTCAACGAGAGCCTCTCTCTCCGCGGTCTTCGGCGAGCGAAGAAGCTGCCATCAGCCCAACGTCTCCTACCTCGAATATCTTTGCGACACCGAAGCCAGCCTCAGACAACCCCCATTCACCTCTTCTAGGACGGCAATCCTTCTCCGGCGAGCCCGCTCTCAAGCCTACGGACCTGCAAGCAATCATCCAGCAGAATGGTCACGAAAGGAATGGGACGGGCGAGCATGCTACCTCGCAGACCTTTCGCCCGGCGCCGACACGGCATGATCTCAATGCTATCCTTCATCATCCTGTTCAGTCTAGGAACTTTACTCAGGCGGACCTGTCGTCAGATTCGCCCTTAACCACCCGACAACCTCAGGGCATCCCTGATAACGTATTCGACAACCTGGATCCTTCAATCCTAGGCAAGGCGCGGACACATTCGAGCAGCTCTAGGCTTCCTACCGCCACCGATCCCCAGATGTCGGACAGGTCTTCGGCCACATATACCATGCCCAACTTAGGGGATCAGACATTTAACGACTCGCCGGTCTCTGTGCGGGATGAATTTGCTGCCTGGCTGTTTGAAGATGCCGGTGGCTTCCATACTGCTCCGTTCTCAATGGGTGCGCAAGGAGGCATCGGCTTTGCTAACGGCACCGAGATATTTGGCAGTGCCATGTATTCCAACTACTTCGCTGACCCTGCCCTGGACAATGCCTATCCTGGCCTCAGTCAGCAGCGGCCAGCCGAATTAGCAACCAAGGCACCCGAACTTTCCGCCGATAGCACTATTCTGTCGCATGCAAAGCGCGTCTCGCTGATTGGGTTAATGGAGCGCTTCCACGAGGGTGACAATCCGTTGGTCCGACAGCTCAGAGAAGAAATATTCCAAGGCAATCCCGACGCAGAGGAACACGTTCTCAGTATTCGTTCTATGCAACACTACATCGGGTCTTACTGGTATCATTTCCACGCCCAGATGCCGATCCTCCACCAGCCCACATTCTCCGCCGACGACACCCACGAATACCTCCTCCTCGCAGTAATGGCTATCGGTGCCGCATTTCTCAACAAAGCCCATGGACGAGCGGTGACGGACGCCGCTGCTCGACTGGCCACCTTTATCGCATGGCATCTGCGCTGGCAAGTATTTATGCATAGTGACTTCCATCCTCCGGCAAAACTTTGGATCTTCCAGACACTCTTGTTGCTGGAGATATACGAAAAAATGAATGCGACAAGGATGCTGCACGAGCGATCTCACATCCACTATGCCACCACGATAAACTTGATGCGACGTGGAACAGCTCTTATCGAGACGGCGAACCAGGATTCCTCTCGGGTGCCTTCTTCTCCCGAAGAATGGTGGAGCCGCTGGATCAAAGCAGAAGCGACCCGTCGTGCAGCCTATGCCGCTTTCTATTTGGACGCAGTTCATGCGGCAATGTTCGGCCACGCCGCGATGATGGTGGTCCATGAAATCCGGCTCCCTTTACCCTGTGATGATGCCCTGTGGTCGGCCACCTCTGCCGCTGAGGTGGGACGAGTTGAAGCTAGTTTGCATGCTAATGGGATCAAGCCCACCACATTCTTGGACGGGCTGAAAAAGACTCTGACTGGACGGAAGGTGCGGACCAACAATTTTGGCAGAATGATCCTCATGGCTGGTCTATTGTCTGTTTCTTGGCACATGAACCAACGGGACCTCCAAGTGTCCAGCCTCGGCGTATCGCAGACAATGGGCGTGCCGGACGGCTGGAGGACACCGCTGACGAAAGCGTTTGACTTTTGGAAGAGGGATTTCGATGAGAGCCTTGAACACATGCGAAGGGCGACGCTTCCCTGGCAGAAGATTGACAGTGCATCGGGCGAAGAGGACATGGCACAGACGGCTGAAATACTTCACCACCTGAGCCACATGGCAATGCACACCGACGTCATGGATTGCCAGATCTTTGCGGGCATCAAGCGACTTTTCGGGAGGATGGTGACCAATGCCGATTACGAGAGAGTCAAGTGCAAGCTTTTCGACTGGGCAAAGGGCCCGAGCGCAAGGGTCGCCGTCTATCACGCTCTGCAGCTGCTCAAGTCAGTGATTCTGCCCGGAAAAGGCGGTTCGAGAAGGCTGTACAACGCCCGCGACGATTATCTTATGATGAGACCGTGGACCCTGTACTTTGCCGCCCTCGTCGTCTGGTCGTACGGGTTTGCTCTCGATGGAGTGCTCAGGCCGTTTCCCAGTCTTTTGCAACCCGACTCTTCGCCCGGGGCTGCCTCTGCCCGGTCTCATGGCTCGAACCAGTCGATGCTCAATATGGCGCACGATGGGAGCGAGTTCCAGATCGAAGCCGTCGTCAAGGACGCTCATGCGTTTCTGCAGACTGTCGGGGCGGTGAAGCCGCCGCAGCAGCTTGAGTCGATCAAAGACGGTCGGAACAATGTCGTTGGAGTGTTGGCCATCCTGGAGACGGCATTCCGTGACTCACGGTGGGAACTGTTGCATGAAGCCGCTGATCTTCTTCGCAATGCCATTGTCTTGCTCCGCGGCGCTACTCGTCAATGATGTGGGAGAGAACCAAAAAGTCCAGGAAGATTTTTGGCTTACCGTGTTCGTTCGTCTTTTTGTTGTACAGAGTCAGTATACGTTTCATCAGCGAGACTAATCTCAATCAAGTGCATCAAACTCCAACTTCATTTGGTCCCCACGTACTCACTGTTCCTATTCTACGAGGCTGGTTGTCGAGCAGACACCCTGCATGCGCCATGCATGAAATGATAACGCATGCTTTTTTTTTTCCAGACCCAAAAACACGTTGCATCTCGGATCCATGCAATGCACCAGGAGAGTAAAGAGTTTCCGACAATGATCACGAGGTAGTCATTGTTCCGGATATGGGATATAGGTAACTTAACCTGTAATCGAGAGCCGAAGGCCTGCCTGCCTGCCTCTCCCGCCCTTGAAAAGTCACGGAGAGAAGAGAAGGGAAGGGAAGGGAAACTATAGGGTAAGTAAAGGGCCTCCCTGCCTACAAGTACGTGCCTACTTGCCTGCCATCTCATGGATAGCGAATACGTCTTTTAAATGTCGAGACTGGGGGTGACCTAGAAAGCTGATATATATTTTCCTGACCGCACAAGCACCGCCACCTCCACGACGGCCTGACAAGGCGCTTTGCTACCAAGCACCAGGCCAGTCACCGCCGGCAAACCCCACGCCCACCAATTACCGAAGGTCTTGAGTATTTTCATCCTCCGCACGGAGATGTGGGGGTCCTCGCTCGTACTCCCCCAGCACATCTCGTTGTTTCTTTGGTGTCGCCGCCGGTTGATATATCGCCGAGCTAGCTCATGTGTGCGCATCAATGGGTCCAAGCCCTTCAAGGTATTCCTTTGCCTCATCCTACCTGCGGTGTCTATTACTCCGAGAGCCGTAGCCTATCGTTATGACGGACGGTGATTGAACGCGGGTAAACTTACATGGTCCCTGTGGTATGTTAGCCTGATACATACTGGAGCCCATCCGGACTCACTCGTCAGTCAGTCGTGGGGATGGGATTGTGTACCCGGGATTCGCTCCCGTGTGTTAACTGATGACTTGGTTCCAATTTTCTTTCTATTGGTCTCGTAGAGTTTTGCTGTATTTCACACAAATGGGAATAAATAATTTTGCTTTCCTTTCCTGTTATTGTTAGCACTATTCAATATTCTTGAACCCCCTTTTTTTTGTCTGTCGAAGCGAACCTCCCTTGCCCCCCAAGAGAGATGGCTACGAGTCAGCTTCGGTCCTTGCAGGGCGTCACCAACGACCAGCAGCAGCACCCACAAGTGCCCGATATGCCGCTGGCCAAGATCAAGAGCATAGAGTATTTCCGCGTCAAGCCGCGGTGGCTGTTCGTCAAGATCTGCGACGACCGGGGCTTCCACGGCTGGGGCGAGGCGACGCTCGAGGGCCACACCAAGGCCGTCGAGGGCGCGCTGGACGAAATTATCGACCGCATTGTCGGTTATGAAGCTGAGTATGTACGGCTTTGCACATGTCCTTTTTGGGTGCCGTTCTCTCGATAAATCGGGTTGCTGAGGGTTGATGTGGTGAAATGGTGCAGTGATATCGAACATATATGGCAGACAGTGTGGCGGCTGGGATTCTACCGTGGAGGTCCGGTCTTCATGTCTGCGTTATCGGGCATTGATATTGCTCTATGGGACCTGAAAGGTAAGCAGCAAATTCGAGGGAATTTATTCACGCAAAAACAACCTTGCTGTAAAAGAGAAATTTTGCCCAAGTCTTAATTCCCCTAACAATAGCTCGCAGGTCGGAGATTGAACGTCCCTGTCTATCAACTGCTAGGCGGCAAGGTCCGCAACAAGGTCCAAGTTTACGCGTGGATCGGCGGCGACTCGTTCAAGGACGTTGAAGGAGCGGCCAAAGCACGCGTCGCGCAGGGTCTGAAGTGCATCAAGATGAACGCCACGGGGGCCGTCAACTGGCTCGACTCGCCCGCGGTTCTGGACGCCACAATCGAACGACTCAAGATCGTCAAGGCCCTGGGCCTCGACGCCGGGCTCGATTTCCACGGCCGCCTCCACAAGCCCATGGCGAAGCAGCTTGCAAAAGCGCTCGAACCATACCGGCCGCTGTTCATCGAGGAGCCTTTGCTGGTCGAGCACCCCGAGGGCCTAAAGCAGTTGTCGGAGAGCACGACGATCCCAATCGCGTTTGGGGAGAGGCTCTACACGCGCTGGGACGTCAAGCGCTTTTTGGAAGATGCGAGCATCGACATCCTCCAGCCGGACATCGCGCACGCTGGCGGCATCTCGGAGACGCGCCGCATCGCCGCCATGGCAGAGGCGTACGATGTGGCCATTGCGCCGCACTGCCCGCTCGGCCCCATCGCCCTAGCCGCCAGCATGCAGGTCGCGCTATGTACGCCCAATTTTGTGATTCAGGAAATGTCCCTCGGCATGCACTACAACGTCGAGGCCGGCGAGGAGGACCTCAACACCTACCTGGTCGACCAGTCTGTGTTCGAGATTAAGGACGGATATGTAGATGCGCTGAAAGGCCCCGGGCTGGGCATCGAAATCGACGAGGACGTCGTGCGCAGGATATGTCAGTCGACGGGCCATTGGCAGTGCAAGGAGTTTTACGGCCCGGATGGGTCGATTCGGGAATGGTGAGACAGTGTGCGCATGAGATGTGAGATTCCGACGGCTCGGAACTTCTGCACCAGCTACCTACCTACATAGCCGTTAGTTTGGTAGTTAGCATGTTGCATAATTGCTCCGTATATGGGGTGAAGATCCTACATCTCCCACACCTACACACCCCACGAGGGTCAACTGTGATGGCTCGCTGTTTTCCCCATGCTTTCACGAAATCTGGGGGCGTTCAGGATGTTGCGAAATCCGTGCGTCGGAGCTCACGCCGGACGACTCCGTCTTTCGGTAGAACCTCGACCGACATTTCGTTCGCGTCCTAAGTGGCATGGATAATGGATTGACGCGCAACAGGCACGATTGGTGGGTTCCCAACTTACTGACAACCCTTCACGATTTTCGAAGAGGAATCCGAACATCGACGTCAACATACAGGCAGCAAGAGACCCTCGCTCCCGACCATCAGGGCTGTATCTATTGCGTTTGGGACGGGGTAAGTGTGATTTCTCGGCAGGTTGGCCATCTCTGGAGGCTTTACCTAACCAAATTAGTTCAGTAATTGATGTTTCACGGTTTCTCAGTTGGGACATTGATCTTGTTCTCTCTTCCTCGTGAAAGTCAGATAGAGGCTTTTCCCGGTGAGGGCGATCCTAAATAGCGGCTCTTTGGGTTTGGAGGACCCGAGGGCGCTGATCTTTCACGAGAGAAGAGCCAACTTCCGCACGGAGAGAGACAAGTAGATTCTGGATTGCCGCAAGGAAGCTCTATTCGGGAGGAACGAGGTCACTGCAAAGACATATTAGCACTCGATAAATCAGGACACGGAACTAAGGAGGCGGGGGCTGCTCAAGCACACAGCCCATAACAACGGTCCGTCACCGGACTGAGCAAAATCGGGTGAAACATATATCATCATCATGGCTCTTACTTTTCCTGGCATGTTCTCGCTGGAGAACAGGACAGCTGTCATCACAGGTCAGAATGAATTCTCACATGTGCTGTCCGGCCCGTACTGATCTGCCACAGGAGCAACGAGAGGCATCGGAGCCGCAATGGCTGTTGCTCTTGCAGAAGCAGGTGCTGATATTGTTTTGATCCAGGTACGAAATGGCGGCAAGTCTCTGGAATGGTTTCTCACCGTGGTGGTATCAAACCGTGCATTCTGACACTTCCAGAACAGAGAGATACCTCCAACACTGCCACAAAACAGGCAATCGAGTCCCTCTCCCGCAAAGCAACCATCTACACGGCCGACTTGGCTTCGCAATCCGACGTCTCGGGTCTGGCTAAAAGGATTCTCGACGACGGCCACGATGTCTCGATCCTCGTCACCTGCGCTGGCATCCAGCGCCGCCACCCGGCGCACGAGTTCCCGCTCTCGGACTGGGACGAGGTCCTCCAAGTCAACCTGACCACCGTCTTCACCATGTGCAGAGACTTTGGGGCGCACATGCTCACTCGGCCGGGCCCACATCGCGGGTCCATCGTCAATATTGCCAGCCTCGTCAGCTTCTCCGGTGGGCTCACCGTCCCAGCGTATGCCAGTGCCAAGGGAGGGATTGCACAGCTCACCAAAGCCCTGAGCAACGAGTGGGCGGGCCAAGGGGTGAACGTCAACGCCATTGCCCCCGGGTACATCAAGACAGACATGAATGAGACCTTGATCAACAACAAGACGCGCGCCAGGCAGATTCTCGAGCGCATACCCATGGGGAGATGGGGCACCCCGGAGGACTTCAAGGGCCCTGTCGTATGGTTGGCAAGTCCTGCGAGCGCGTACGTGTCCGGTCATATACTGGTTGTTGACGGTGGGTGGATGGGGAGGTAGAGGAGATGTACTCTTGGTGGGATGGTCGAGGGAAGCGGGCCATGTTGGCTACAGGCTGTTTCTAGGCTGGAGAATCTCAGCCCGAAGCAAAGGTGACATTGTATGACAAGGCTGCTTCTCTTCAGACTGCCACCTATTTTGGGCTGTGAGTACAACGCGTAAAACGCGTCCTCGCGGCAGGCAATTCGGAAAATCAATATTCCATATTACAGTTGAATCGAGGCTGAGAACGGCATCTGCATCCATCTCATATTCGATATCATGTGCATAGAGCTTCATCTCCAAAGTCTCTCTTTTCATGCTTCCATATCAGTCTCGGTCGAGTCTACCTAGAACAAAATCATATCAATATTCAACAAAGACCCTTGACCAGCTTTCGCCCGCGGCCCTCCTACATGTTGAACTTGTAAAGGATGAAAAAAAGATAAAAATCCAAACTATTCCACGACCCTACGATGAACTGGACTTCATTCGAGAGTTCACCGCCAACAATAGGGTATGTAGAACCTCCAGAATCGGGATGGGGACTCCTAATTCTCTTCCTTTCCGCACCGCAGTGCCCAAGATAACATCAACTTCCATGGGTCTTCCCATTTTGCAGTCCGTTTGCATGCTGCTGCCGATTGGCTGCATCTCCAGGATCTTGTCGATAAGTTCGTCGATCAGCTCGTACTTGAGGGGCACGTTGCACTTTCTCGCCACGTCGATGACCTCGCGCATGAGATTTCGCGTCATCGGCATGGCGTCGGGCGACGACTTCAGCCAAGAGTGGGTGTCCAGCATCGTGAGAGTCGTCAGGGAATTCCACGCCACGTTCCAGACTACCTTCTCCCAGCGTTGGATCTGGACGTTGTCCTCGACCGAGAACGGTGTCTGGCCTTCACGCAATAGTGACGTAAACTCATTCAGTCGGGCTCGCTCGAAGGCCGCATCAAGCGCCTCATTTCGAAAGATTCCTATCTGCGTGTTCTCTGACTTCCAGTGGTTCACGATCCCAGGAGTGTTTTGATTGGCACCCACCCACGTCTGCAGCATCATTAGTCGACAAAGATAGGACAATCAAGGACTTTTCATACCACGCAGCTCAGAATGGCGCACTTCGGGAATGCTTCTCGGAATGGGTCTTCGTTCCCGACACCGTTCTGAATCGGCACAATGCAGGTTTTGCTTTCATCAACAGCAGGAGCCAGTTGCTTAGCGGTCGAAGCTTGGTCGATGGCCTTGTTCGTGCATACAATGTAATCGTAAGTTTCCCCTGCTTCCGCTGGCGTCCTGACCACTGCAATGCAACTGTCAGCCTCTTATAGCAGGAAAGATGAGAACTCCACACCTTTGGCAGGATGTACGATATGATCGCCATGGTTCATGCTTATGATATGCAGACCCTGCAATAGCAACCGCGCGTTAGCCTTAATGGCCTCGATTCGGTCGGTGAGACGAACATCTTTCTTCACAACATCATAGTTGGAACGTGCCACCACAGTTAGACGGACACGCTTCGTGCGGTTCAGGATGAATGCATAGAACGATCCGATCCTGGCATGTCAGCAGGGACTTTGCGGAGCGTCTAGAGTCGACACCTACGCGCCAAGCCCATACAGCATGACCTTGATTTCCTGCGCCATGTTGAACTGTTCAAGCTTTTGTTCCCACAGTTACTGTCGACTTGAATGCGCAGCTCTCGTGTTGGGTCGGGTTGTGCAAAGCTTAAGTGGAAAATTTTCCCCTGGGTATATTTCACTGCTCTCCTGTCGTGATATTGTGAAATTGCTAAATTCGTCCTGGGCTCAGGCCTGCCGAGACTGACGCCCTTCGAAGACAACAGATACGGGCTTATCACTTTTCAGTACCCGAGACTGTGGTTTCTCTTGGACGTGGGGGTGTCTTCTCCAGGCACTCCGCACCGTTTCGAAGATAAATGACTTGTCTGACGCCGGAAGCATGATGTTGGTGGAGGTGCAGAGAAGTGTTCAATAATGAGTAAGCGGCCGCCATGATCAAACACGGCTGGTGGCTGATTGCGCGGGTGAGGCGCGGAGAACCCTCGATCGAACACCGAATCGTGTTCAATTCTAGGCCAGGAAAAAAGGTCCTTGTCAGCTGCATCATTTGGATCCCGAAGTGGGCTCCTCGATGTACCATTGTCCCACGCATCCTTGGCCATGCTCGGTTTCGGGGCAATTCACAAGTGGGGGAATAGCCGCCAATCCTTCATCCTTCCCATTGCGCAGTGGTTGCTGGACTAGTAGTACCTGATACCGGTTCAATGCTCCATCCCTATTTACCGGAATCTAAACTTTTGGGTTGTCTGGGTTGGATGACCCTAACGCGGGCGAGTTATTGGTATTCCTTCTGTACTCTTTCTCGTCTCCCACTGGACGGCTGTCGATGGATTGTGGCAACTCATGTTGCTTTCCTAAGGACCCTAGGATGCAAAGTTAACTCGATCCAAGGATAAATTTATTATCAGGATGAAGAAACTGGAGGGCTCGGAAGTGGCCAGACACAACAACAGGCGGTCGTGCTGGATCGCTTTGTATGGCAAAGTCTACGACATTACAGGTGCGTACATCAGAACCAGCTTCAGACCACGAGATCAACACGAATCTCTCAGATTTTCTTGACGCACATCCTGGCGGACAACAGGTCCTTCTGAGGAGCGCAGGCCAAGATGGCACGGCTGAGTACGAGAGTGTACACAGTCCAGACTTGGTGGAAGAGACACTTCCATCCACTTCATTTCGCGGGGTTGTCGACTCGGACACCATCCCCAAGGCCCAGTCGACAACAAAACATAGACCGCAGCAGAAACGAAAGGCACCTTTTCCGCCATTGAGGTCGATGATCAGTGTCAATGACTTCGAAGCTATTGCAAAGCTATACCTCAGTCCAGCCGGATGGGCCTACTATTCATCCGGGGCGGACGATGAACGTAGCAGATACGAAGCTGCTCGTGCATTCTGCAAGCTGGTGCTGCGTCCCCGGGTCCTTCGCAATGTGGATCAAATTGATACAAGAACTACCATTCTCGGCAAGAACAGCAGCATGCCGGTCTACGTTTCGCCTTCGGGTTTGGGAAAGTATGCACATCCGGATGCAGAATGCGCGTTTGCTTCTGGCGCTGGGAAAGAAGGACTGATACAGGTAATACCCACGAGTCCCAGCATGCCGATTGAGAAGATCATCAATTCCAGAGTCAGCGAGAGTCAGCCTGTATTTTTTCAGCTCTATTTCAATCGCGACCTCCAGAAGGCGGAAGCTCTGATCCGTCGAGTCGAGAAACTGGGTGTGAGCGCAATATGGTTGACGGTGGACTCGCCTGTTCTTGGGAAGCGGGAGCGGGACGATCGATTGAAGGCTCAAGTAAGTACAGGCTTCTTTGTCGCGCGATAGGAAGATATTGGCACTTCTGACGCGAATCCAGATTAGCAAAGAAGACGAATTTGGCACGCTCGAGGAACAACAACCCGGCGTGGCAAAAGTGGCTTCCAGTGGCCTGCTCAACCCGAGGTTGACCTGGGACGACATTGCTTGGATCCGTCAAGTTACGAGATTGCCCCTTGTTCTCAAAGGGATTCAGAGCGTAGAAGATGCCCTCCTTGCGTATGAGAAGGGGGTCGAGGGAATTGTCTTGTCTAATCATGGAGGTCGATCCCAAGATACGTGAGTCCTATCTCCTTGCTCCGCCGCGGGAAAGATCAATCTTTCGGAGACCTAATTGTCACGTTCAGGGCCCAAGCGCCTATGGTCACCCTGCTAGAGATCAGACGATATGCCCCACACCTGATCAATAGCCGAATGGAGGTGTTCTTGGACGGCGAGATTCGTAGAGGCACGGACATCCTGAAGGCGCTTGCGTTGGGGGTGCGCGCCGTCGGGCTTGGGCGACCATTCCTGTTCAGCCTCACCGGTGGTTATGGCGAAGCTGGGTTCAGACGAATGGTCCAGATCCTGCGAGAAGAGCTCGAGGGCAATATGGCGTTAGCAGGGGCCACTCGGATTAGTGAGCTGGTTCCGGAGATGGTCAATACGCAGAGACTGGACAAGGAAGTGATTGGCTCCATCAAGTTGTGAGAACTGCAATTGGAGGTTGCAGTCGTTCTGCCACAGTGGCGGTCAGGGCGATGAGACATGCGAGGGAGACAAGGGCGTCTCGGATGGGAAGATTGCACGGGGAGCATGCCTGTGTGTACATACCCTAGAAGGTGACGCCTGGTGAGCCTCGAGATGGTCCCCCAACCGAAGCCAAGGCAGCTCTAGATCTTCGGCTCCCGGGGGGGGGGGGGGGGAATTAAGGATACGCGTGCGTGTCTGGTCGTTAGCAGAGCCAAATTGGAGCCACGAATCCTGCCGAGAGCAACAAGACGAACGACGGCGTCTCCGCGTCTGTCTGTGAACCTTGACCCTCCAAGTATCAGCATTGTGAGCACATGTTTTTCGACGGTCTTTTTTCCCCGGATCTTTAGGTGGATACAAACAGAGAGACACCCGCCAAGGCGGATGGGGCAAAGGTCAATCCGGGCACCACGCGTTAGGCGCCTCAAGTGTATATTTATGTATATTTAGGCGACGTCTAGCCCCGGGTTTACCTAGAAGGAGCCTAGGGCCAAACTGCGGGGAGGGGACCAGCGGGCACTGGGTATTGGGCATTGGGGGCACTGGGTGGCACCCGTGACTCTCTCCCTCACTCCTCCCTGACGAAAATTTTCTCGTTAGAGCCAAAAATACGGGCTGCGCTCGCATGACTCCTTTTTGGAACTCGCTCGCCTTTCCCCGCCCATTATTTCACCAGTGCCGCAACTAGTTCGTCTCGCGAATTCCGCCCTTCCAGACCGTCTCAGACACGAGGTTGAGTTACCTGCCCATCATCATCGTCGTCATTCTCCTCCTCTCTTCTACCTCCTCACCTCTCCACTTCTTGTCGGCTGCTGGTCACTAAGTCACCTCTGTCAACGTCGTGTCAAGGCCCGCCTGTACATATATCACCCGCCGAGTGCTACGCCAATCTCCTACGGAGTGTTTGGGCATAAAAGTCCGCCCGACCAGGCCATCCCAAGTCTGGAGGAGCGGGAGGATTAGTCTGATTGACATCCCTGGCCAGTTTTGTCAACCTCGTCTCATCTCGCCCCAATTTCGCCCTGTGGTCAGTCATCGATGAAGCTCTCATGACACGAGCCTCAAGAGAACTACAACCTGCGGCCCTCCTTGATCGCCATGCTGCAACGACTCCAGTGAAATATCCATGTCCCCGGAGTCCGGCATTGATATTATCGACCGATCTTCGCCCAGAAAACCCCCTGGCCTATTGGTCCACTGTGCAACCCTAGCTCATGGTTGACATTTTGAATCCCACCTGCCGATGACAGTCTCTATCATGGATCAGTCCCGTCAATGGCAGGACCGGTTCCAGTGTCCATCATGTTCCAAGTCCTTTGTGCGGAAGGCTCATATGCTCCGTCATCAACAGCAACGTCTGTGGCTACTGTTTTCCCGGCCTTGCCTGGTTTGTGTGTGCTAATGATCGCCTTTGCAGATGTCGCCCAGAGACCTTTCACCTGTAATTTCTGCTCAAAGTGCTTCAAGCGGAGGTAACACCAAGGCCTCCACCTGAAAGCCCAAAGGGGACTACTGACATTGACTCAGTGATGTTCTTCGAGCACACCAGTTTCGATGTAAGGAACGCGGCTCAGCGCCCGTACCTGAGGGCCAGTCTAAAGGCCGAAAGAAGTCTTCATGCCTTTCTTGTGTAAAGCTAAGGACAAAATGTGACCAAGAAAGCCCCTGTACTCGCTGTCAGGAACTTGGCAAGGAATGCATCCGACGTATGTGGTCCGTCCCCCCTGGAGCTCAACACCTTCTAACTGGGTGTGTAGCAGCGTCCAGTCCACAAAGAACAGAAGAAGTCGCAAGACCTAAAAGTCGAGATGCCATCCCGATTCACCATCTGCTTAACGCTCCTGATGGTGATGACCTGGTTCCCCGATTCCCCATTCGCGACACTCCTCCAGGACTGGGAGGTGAGGAGGACGATGCGAGGGTCACCGAAGCAGAAGACTCTTCCGAGGCCTCACATTGGAGCGAGGACTACGAAAACAACAACGTCTTCGCTGACGCAACCCTGGCCGACCTGGATGTAGTGAATTTTGACTCTTTCTTTGGAGGCTTCGAGAACTTGACATTTGGCTCGTATTCCCTAAACCCTGACATATCACACATTACCAGCGTGACAGGTATCGTATCTGCCTCTGCCATGGCGCTTGAATCTCGCGCCTATCAGATTAGACAGCTGTTGATGGGCGCAGCCGCCAAGTTTGCGGTGGAATATCCGGACAGTCCTCAGCTCCTGCACTTGGAAACAAACATCGAACTCCTCACCCATGTCGAAATAGACCACTGCCTCAACCTATTCTTTAATAACTACTACCGGCACTGTCCGATAGTCCATCGCCCAACCTTCCAGCCCACTATTGCCCCGATTCCTCTTGTGTTGGGCTGTGTCGCCTTGGGGGCGATGTATTCGGAGCCGGCAAAGGTTGTCTGGATGAAGAGTCTTCTGGACGTCATGGAAACATACATCTTCTCGCTGCCAGAAGTGAGGGACGAGTTCTTTGGCGCCCTGGGGTGTTCGCAAGCGCCAGATGAGGAAGCTTTGGAATACCACTTTCAAATGTTTCAAGGAGCATACTTGTTTGTCGTCGTTCAATATTTCTCGGGGAATCTCGCCGGTCGGAGGAGAGCGAGAAGGCAAAGGTTCCCTGTGGCCCTGAATGTTGGTCTGCCCTGCCCGTTCACACAGTCATATCTAACTTGATCCCAGCTTGCTCGATACTTCGGCTTGCCAGCAGCACAGCATTCGAATATTGATGCAATAATGGATGATCTCGCTTTTCAACGCTGGGTGCGGACTGAGGCCCGAATTCGGTAAGTATCGTCCTTGCAGTCTGCCTAGAAGATCCTCTCTCTCTGTCTCTCTCTCTCTCTCTCTCTGACGCTGGTTTCTAGGACGATGAATGTCCTTCTCGCCCTTGACTCAGCCATGGGCATCTTCAACAATGTCCCTCCCCGCATCAACTATTGCGAACTAGATCTTCAGCTGCCATGTCACCCCGAGTATTTCGACTTGTCAAGCTACGCCGATATGTTACAGCGGGGTTCATTTCCCCGTCCGCGCATGAAATTGATCGAAGCTTTCCAGAAATTATTCGTCCATCCCGGCGAACTGAAGGCAGCTTACCGGAACGAGAGCTTGTGTTGTTGGGATATGCTTTACCTTACCCACGGTATGGACTTGAAGGAACCCCTTTTTGCGCAGATGCTAGTCTCGCCTAGACTATACTGACATGTTTCGCAAGTCTTGTATACGCACTGTTGGCAGCATCTCTTTGGAAACCCGCTCAATCGGATATCGTCCACTTCACTGGCTCCTGAGCCACATCTTGTATACGAACCGATGAAGACTGCCCTTGCAAACTGGAAGACTCTGTGGGATGATATCCGTGCAAAACTGTCCCGCGCAAACGTCAGCGAAATGGGCTTTGAAACGTCCGCCGACAGCTATTGGACGCTTGTCAGAATGATCGTGCTGAAATTTGAACGCAAGAAAAGCGTCAGCAGCGCCTCCAGTAGCATAAACGGGGCCGTTTCTCACTCTACGGGTGTGTTTGTCAAAGAAGAGACGGGGGCCAGCGACGATGGGATGAGTGAGTCAAGCACAAATGGGAAGGGCCTAAGCGGAGCAAGTCCCAGCTTAGACTTCATGCCCCTCGAAGCGGATTGTGACAGTCAAGGTGCACACTTGAGGAAGATCCTCCAGAATTGATTGCCATCATGAACGCGCAGCCACCTTGTTCCACTGTATTCTTGAAGCATTTGGGATGTCTAATGGGGCGTCGTGGCTGTCTGCTACTGCTTACGTTTGATCCTGTGCTTGCAACAGTCTGTCTGTGCCACTCACCGCCCCTGGCACATGAAACGGCGTTCCAATGGAACTGCAAGGAATGCAAAGCCCTCACAGCACCCTTGTACTGGATGTCGAAGGGTTCTTAAGTCTCGGTGGTGTCATAGGCATTACTGGTCAGATCTTAGGCTTGCCAAGCTCGCTGCGGCTATACAATTGCTCGAAGTCCCGCCGATACTTGCCATTACGAAGCCCTGGCATGTTGGGTAAAGGGCGACCAAGACTGGGAAGGACAAGCAACCTTCCAAGGCAGGATTGGTTTCAGGTTGAGCTGTGCTTTCCGACAGTCTTTCCTAGCCTGTTCTCGATATATTGTATGGCAGCAAGACGCTGGCACTTGAATATAATGGAATTCAACAGATCTTCAAAGGATCTTTTGTATATATACGAAAGACGACATGTGGAAGCGTTGAACTGGATTGGTTTCACTGTCCTGAGATTTCATCTCTCAACGCCGCCACCATTGCCCCATGATGCCGGCGAAAGAGTGGGTGTGAGGACCCGAGCTTGGGAAAGACATTGGAAAATGATGCGGACGATATCGATATTCATGGCCTGCACCGCTAGGAAAGACAGCCTGGAAACTTGCTCATTCCTAGCCCAAGGCTGGACACAAATCGCGGCAGTTCACCTTACATCTGGGTTACCGGAATTGTCCCGCACATTTGCCATGTGTGTTGCCACAGGGAATCTTCGCGGGCAAGGGCAGGCCATGCGGAGAATACCCATCCTCCACATTCTCGGATGTGGATGGAACGCATTCAAGGCCCTCGGCGACCAGCGACCAGACTAGGAAAATGAGGGGTTCGCGGAGCAATTTTTGTCTGGGCAGCGAGCAGCTTCCGAAGACGCATCCAGCCTCTTGGATGTCGTGGGGCGAGTCCGGTTGCCCATTTAAGTATTGATGTACCTTTGCCGGGAGCTTTCACCGCGAGGGAGCTCCCTCGAAGTTGATGCAACCGCTTCGAACCTTTCCAATAGCATAGCCGCTTTGCCGGAGGGACTAATCACAGCCTTTTCATCGCAGCATGTCTGACTCAGCCTCGTCCGCCCAGGGGTCTATCCCAGATCTCGCAACCCGATACAGTGGCGTGCCAAAAAGACTCACTCAGGAAGCCATTGATGCTAAAGCAAGGCTGTATTCTCAGAAGACGCTTCCAGACAGTGTCCCCCGAAGGAGAGTTGCGCTACCACCAGACGTGAGCAGGGAAAGCTTCGACCAAGCTGTTGCGGAGCTAAAGAATGCCCTTGGGGACGAGAATGTTCAGGTAAATGATGGGCCACTCATTGACGGGTGGTATATGGAGCATCCGTATGAAATTCTTCCCCTTTTGCTGCAGCTCCCCGATTTCTAATATGGCTCATAAAGTAATACCCACGACGCATATCATATTGCCGACCAGGAAGAGCTGATATGCAGCGCCCTGGTATATCCTTGCAGCACAGCCGAAGTGCAAACTGTGGTAAGATGGGCCAACAAGCACAGGATACCCATCTACCCAATCTCCATGGGCCGGAATATCGGTTATGGAGGGGCAGCTCCCCGTATCCCTGGCTCCGTTGTCGTTGATCTAGGTCGGAGGATGAATAAGATTCTCAATGTGGACGCGGATAATGCTTCTTGTGTGGTGGAGCCAGGCGTCTCGTATTTTGCCTTGTATGAGGAGATCCAAAAGAGGGGGCTGGCCTTATGGATTGATTGTCCGGATCTTGGAGGCGGAAGCGTTCTTGGAAATGCCATCGACCGCGGCGTTGGGTAAATCCATCTTCGTGCCTATGAGAACGCCAGCTGACCAAACGCAGATATACCCCCTATGGTGATCACTTCGCCAATCATTGTGGTATGGAACTAGTGCTTCCGACGGGAGAATTGCTCCGAACTGGCATGGGCGCAATGCCCGGCAAGGATGGCGCAGACAACCCGACATGGCAATCCTTTCAAGCAGCTTATGGACCCTACGTCGATGGAATCTTCAGTCAGAGCAATTACGGCATCATCACCAAGATGGGATTTTGGCTGATGCCGGAGATCGGTCATCAATCATACATGATCACGTTCCCCCGCGAGGATGACTTTGAGCAGATCGTGGAGATCATCCGGCCGCTTGCACAGAAGCGGATCCTAGGCAATATCCCCCAGTTGAGGCATGTCATCCAGGAATTGGCCGTGATGGGTAAACCTCGATCATTTTGGTACAGCAGCAAGGGTCAGATGCCAAGGGAAGTGATACGAGAAAAGGCTTCCAAGTTGCCCTGTGGCGATTGCTCATGGGTGTTCTACGGCACTCAATACGGTGATCCGACCTCGATCGAGGCTCAGCTGAAGATCATAAAGGCGGAGTTTGGCAAAATCAAGGGCAGCAGATTCATGTTGCCTTCGGATGTGCCGGCGGATCATTATCTCCATTCGCGAGTCCAAGTATGTAGTGGCGTGCCTGTATTGAAGGAACTCGACTGGCTCAACTGGGTCCCCAATGCCGCGCATCTGTTCTTCTCCCCCATCTCACCGACCAAAGGCAAGGATGCAAGCATCATCCACAGCACCATCACCAAGCTGCATGAGAAATGGGGCTTCGATGTCTTCCCCACCATGTGTGTCGCAGGCAGGGAGATGCACTACATCGCCAACATTGTCTACGATCGGTCCGACTCGGACGCAAAGAGAAGGGCGACGGGGCTGATGCGCGACATGATTCGAGCTGCGGCCAGGGAAGGCTACGGCGAGTACCGCACCCATCTCCTGTTCGCGGACCAGGTGGCCGAGACGTACAGCTGGAACAATGGCGCGTTGCGCAGGTTCAATGAGACCATCAAAGACGCCCTCGACCCCAATGGGATCCTGGCGCCCGGTCGGAACGGGATATGGGGAAAGAGATTCCGAGGCAAAGGGTGGGAGATCTTGGACGGGGACCAGAGGAATATGCTGAAGGACGGGGTGAGTCCAAAGTTGTAGAAGCGGTGAATGATCGCATGTGTCATAGAGAGATTCTCCTTTGTTTTGTCTTTCCCGCGCTTGCATGTTCGAATGATAGGTAGGATGTGAAAGGAACCATTCGCCAAAGCAAGTCAGCGGGTGAGCAAGCAGCAAGGAAGCATACCAGAAGTGAGAAGCAAGAAGCAAGGAGGTATGTAGATACAAGGAAGCAAGTCCAGTCTGGTAGCCACACAACACGCACACTCTCGCCCGCGCGCGCTTTCAGACAGGTCATCCTCCTCCTGCCTCTCCCCCTCGCGTGAACAGTCTACCTTGATCATCAAGTATCAAGCGTCGAGTCTCCAGTATCAGGTATCAAGATCCAAGCACCAAGCACTAGGTATCCTGTAAGTATCCGGCATAAGGTACCAAGGATCCAACACCAAGCAATCTGGTACCGGATACTAAGAACCAGTACCACGAATCCTCAAAGGAAATCACTCCAGGAAAAATCCATCAATCACTCAGCATAGCGGCGTAATCCTGCCGGTGCGCAACTCCTCGCCCACCAGCGCGGCCATCTCGGCCCAGCGCTTGCGTGTGTCCGCCTCCGCATCGTAATCGTAGAGCACGTTGTTCTTGATCAGGAGCGAGTCGCGGTCGATCTCGCCGTCGCCGCCGTCGGCCATGCGGTCCAGCGCTGTGTGCCACCGGTCGCGGAGGTCTTCGCCGTTAGTCTGCGAGCGACGCACACGCGGAAAGCGGATCTTTTCGTAAACTCGAGTCGCCAGCGGAATGTTGTCCCTCCCGGCGAGGAGCAGGCACTGAGCAAGCACGGCAGCGCTCTCGGTGGCTTGGCTGGCGCCCTGGGCACTGGTGGGCAGATGCGGATGGCAACAGTCGCCAACCAGGGCGACCTTGTGGTTCTTGCTGACCCAGGTCGGGATGGGGTCGCGGTAACAGATCTTCCAGTCGAGGCACTCATCGGTCTTGCGGATGGCGGCGGCGATGCGCGGGTCCAGCGTTGCCACGAGGCGACGCACTTCGTCCATGTCGCCGGGCTGCGACCACGACTCCTGGATGTCGGCCGTGTCCTTGTGCGTGATGATCCAGTTGAACTCGTCGCCGCCGCGCAGCGTGTTCTGTACCACGTGCATGTCCTTGCCGATCCAGATGTTGACACACTCGTTTTCCACGAATTCGGCCGTCAATGGGTCGCCCTTGAGCTTGTCGCCCTTGAAGAATGCCCGGAAGCACGCGTACCCGGACGACTTGGGCTTGTCGTCGAACCCGAGCACCAGTTCGCGCGCCCGAGACTTGATTCCTGCAAGATGTTAACTCACCGACGAACACAGAAGTGCAATACATGGAGGAAAATGCGGGCGCTTTCTCCTTCAGCCTTACCGTCGACTGCGATGATGACGTCCGCGAAATGTCGCTCTCCGTCCTTCAGCGTCACCGACGGGGTGAGGTCGTCGTATTCTACCACCTGAATCACACAGGCACGTCAAGAACCTTTCTCGGGACAAATAGGTCATGGCCCGTGAAAAAAGTAACCCACCTCACTGCCCATGTGCAAAGGGATGCCCTTTTCCGCCACGGCCTCCAAGAACCCTCGATGGTAGTCTCCCCGGTGGCCAATGTAGCCGGCCATGTCCATCAGCGGCTGCTGTGCGAGCAGCTTGCCATCGTGCCAGCGGCGGATCTGCATGAATTCCGACTTGTTCCCGATTTCGATCAGATGGTCGCGCAGGAACGGCGACCATCGGTCGAGCAACTTGAACGCATTCTCACCCAGGCCCAGCGAATCTCCGAGCCGCTGGAACTCTCGGACCTTCTCGAACATGACCACTTCAAAGCCCGCGTGGTGCATGGCCAGAGCGGTCGCACATCCTCCCAGCCCTGCCCCGACGATAATGACTGTTATTTACCAGGGGGGGGCCGTGTTAGCTAGAGCTCGTGGATTTCCAATGAGACGGGAAGTCGCATGATGTGCTGTTTTTTGGGGCTCTCTTCGCCATATAGAAACAACTACGTACGTACCTTTCAAAGGAGGCTCCACCCCCAAGGAGCCCATGACTGCGAGTCCTCACTTGCGTCTTGTATTTCCTCGTCTGTTTTACCACGCAGGCGCAAAACGGGGCAACAGGAAATAAAGGGAAAACTTATAAGAATGTGGTTCTTGGATCTCACGGACAACGACAAAAGGCACTGGGGAAACATGGTATGATATCAAGCCAACAAGGTAAGCCCGCTATCCAGGGAATAACCCCATTCCCCTTGGGCGCAGCGCCGCAGCGGCGGAGGCGAAAAAAGATTTACACAAACCAACCACGCACAACCCGCCACTTGACTGGAGCGCGCCCGATAGCCCATGGCAGGGAGGCAGGCGCGCAAAGCAAACCAAAGGTGGAAGGAAAAGGCTGGGCTCTCGGGATGGAGGACCAAGCCACATGCCGGGGCCGGCCGCTGAATGCCTAGGAAAGGACTTTCTAGTTAATAGGTTGAAGGTAGAGGGTATGATAAGTCAGTGATGCGATTGGTGTCACTACTGATTCCCTTCTGGCTGAGTGCCCCGGTTGACGACCTGTTGAATTGTCCATGCCAACGACAAGCGACCGCCGAGGGCTCTTTTCGAGAAGCTCCACTGGACGCCTAGCCAGGCCATGCCGAGATCCTGCTCGTATCCAGCCGGTGGAATGTCCCACTTTTGGGGAGTCCAAGGGAGTCTCAAGGGCAGCCCCGGGATGAACCCACTTGAAGAAGCTCTGGAGAGCTTAACTAACTCTTCAATCTCCTCCGGCGGCAGATCCCTCAGCACAGTCACCCACCTAGGCACCTCGTAAGGTTACAGATAAAAGCAAGCTACCTAGGTAACGTTTTCATTGCTGGCCTTTTCCCCAAGTCTCGTGACGCCCCTTTGTGGGGTTTCGGGTTCTTTTTTCTGATGCTCCGTACAAAACGCGCGGCGGCAATGGAGAAGGCGGGCATTGGGTCATTCCCTGCCCCTCATTTTGACACCACGGGGGAGGGAGTGAGCGAGTGAGCGTGATTGATGCAAGAACAGAGGAGAGCAAAGGGCAATCATCGTCGAGCGTCATCCATACTCGTCACTTCCCTATCCGTATCCTATCCGAGAGACGGAATTAATTGCGACAGCCAGGCGTCGTTGGAGGACAAAGGTAAGCCGATGTGACGCATAGCAGACACGTAGGATCTCAGAACGACTCCTCGGGTTATTCTCCTTTTATTTCATCTTTCGAATCATTCTCTCCTTGACCCTGGCGAGGCCGCCTGCTCCTCCTCGCGATATACCGTAGGCCTCCCCGTAGGCCTAACTATCAGAAAGAACATGGGATCCATCAACATGCCGGTCAAGACGGTCGGGTACATCGGCCTCGGCAAGGCTGGGGCCTCGATGGCGTCCAACTTGCCCCGCGCGGGCTTTCGTCTGATTGTGCGTGACGCCGACCCGGAGCGGGAGCAGAAGTTCGCCCAGGAGAATCCCAACACATCGGTGGCTGAGAGGGGCGTCGAGGGATTCAAGGACTGTGATGTGGTTGTCACGATGCTGCCTCAGGGTAAGGTGGTTCGGGAGGTGATCTTGGGAGAGGACGGGATTGCGAAGGGACTGAAGCCCGGTATGTTTCTTCTGTACCCTCTCTTCGATGTTTTGATTTCATTGTTGTTGTTATTGTTGTTGTCGTCATCGTCGTGGTGGTGTGAAAAACGCCTGTTGACGTCCCTAGGAACAATAATCGTGGATACATCGTCGTCGTCACCATTTGACACCCAGAGCCTGGGAAAAGATCTCGACGCGCTCGGGTTCGTCCTTGTCGATTCTCCAGTCACACAGGCACATCTGCACGACACTGACACGGGGGACGCCACGCTGATGGTGGGCGCCAACTCGCAAGAAGCCGTGGACAGAGTGCTCCCGGTCCTCCAGGCGATGGCCAAGTATGTGTTCCACATGGGCAAGCTGGGTTCCGGGCACGTCATGAAGACGCTGAACAACTACATCAGCGCGGCGTCGATCGTGGCGCTCTCGGACGCGCTGGTGACGGGCCAGAAATTCGGCCTGGACCCAGTGCAGATGATCGATGTGCTCAACGTGGGCACAGGGCGCAACTTCTCCACCACCGACAGCTACAAGACCGACGCCCTCCCCCGGCGGTATGCGTCGGGCTTCCAGCTGGCGCTGCTGATCAAAGACGTCGGCATCGCCAAGGAGGTCTTTGAAAATATGCACTTTGACACCGACATGCCCGAGCTGATCATTCGCTACTTCAAGCAGTCCATGGCCATGCTGGAGCCGACGGCCGATCACACGGAGCTGCTGAAGGGGTGGGAGAAGCGGGCTGGTGTGGAATTGAAGACGGGCACGCCAGACGGGTCGAGCGTGACGGCGCTGAAGAAGTGACCAAGCTGCTAGCCAGGGATAGAGTACTGGACTTTGATTTTGGTCCTGATCTCGATATTCTTTCCGACCTGTTCATTCATGTCACATTCGATTATTCGCAGCCGGAGGAGGGAGGGCAGGGGTAGCTGACTGGCTATTCGATTGATTGCCGCAACCAAGGCAAGGCACACCCAGGCAGAACGGGGTCCCAAGACCTGCCATGGCTCGTACTCGGACCTCCTCCATAGGAAGTACACATATACATTCGGGGTGCGGCACAACCTTTTGGGATCTTCTCTTGTCCACGGAGTAGCATTACGGCATTAGAACGGCTCGGCCCAATCACGAGTGGCCTTGGCGCCGCTGCTGCCTGAATTGGGGCCTAGCTAGGCCTAAATAGGAATAGTGCATTCTAGGTATTGGTATTGAGCCCCAGCGAGCAAAAGGAGACTCCCAATGTATACCTACGCATTTACCTCTCGATGTCTGGGGTATTTAAAGGGGCGCATTGGAACCGTGGACTTCTGGAACATGAATGTGAGACACGAAACGAACAAACTAAGAGGAAAAAGAAATTGAACTGAATTGGTTCAATCAGCAAGAGTCCCTCTCTCATATAGCACTTCTTCGACCCATCTCTTCTCCCAAAGGAAGAGACACATACTCGTCCCATCAAAAACACAATATTCCATCCACCTACAAGTCCCCTGGCACTCGTTCCCTGGGAAGAAGAACAGGATCAAGAAGAAGAAAAGCAACAGAACCAAGAACCAAGAAAGCCATGGCCATCGCACCCGTTTCGCTGTATCCGTGCCTCTTCTTCGAGTCCGAGGCCGAACAAGCCGCGCAGTTCTACACGTCCGTCTTCCCCAATTCGTCCATCGACACCATCAACCACTTCAGCGACGCAGGTCATGAGATCCACAAGCAGCCCATCGGCTCGGTCATGAGTGTGCTTGTAAGAACCATTTCCCTTCACCTTCCCCTCATCCTTGGCCCTCCCCTGCCCTATTCGTTCCAAAGGCCAGCACTACTAACGCCGAACTCCCCAATTGGGGGGAGGGGCGGGCAGTTCACGCTCAACGGCACGAAGTGGCTGGCGCTCAACTCCCGGCCCAAGGACATCCCCATGAACGAGGCGGTCAGTTTCCAGATCATCTGCCAGGGTCAGGAGGAAGTGGACTACTTCTGGGCCAAGTTGACAGAGGCCGGTGAAGGATGGGAGATCGACGAGACGAAGCAGGTCTGCGGCTGGCTCAAGGACCGCTTCGGCGTGCATTGGCAGGTCGTGCCCCAGGTGGTTGTGGACAATATGTCTTCGGCCGAGGGAGAGAGAATGAAGAAGACCATGCAGGCCGTCATGAAGATGAAGAAGATTGTCGTCAAGGATATCGTCGAGGCTGTCCAGGGCAAGGCTTGAACCCAAGCTTGGTGTGGCCACCGCGGATCAAAACGCAAGGTGGATTCCATGCACGAGTGGAAAGGGAAAAGTCAAAGTCCTGCTTGTTCGCGACTTTTGCAGGGTTGTTATTTACGTCCGTGGCGCATGATTCCATTGTCACGGCCATGGATTCAACGATCATTGAAGAACCACGAGTCTCCAGTCCCTCTTGACATTAACCCAAGATTGCTCGTCTACCTCGCCAACCGAAATTCTTGAAGCAGTCTTCTTTTCGACATCTTCCTATTTAATCCACATCACCCTCAGTGTTCCTGTTGCCGATAGCGTCCCCGAAGGGTGTCCGATTGCTCGGTCATATTTGCGAGATATGACAACGAACGATTGTAGCGCCGACTGGTCGTATTCGATGAATGGCCAGGCCCTTCCGTGGTCGCAAGCCGACGTCAACTCCGTGATGTGTCCCACGGTTTGCCCTACAGGTGAACAGATCTTTAGGCGTACACAGCCGAGACGAACTCTTTCCTCGGCTTGGATCGAGAGCTCGGCATGACTTGTCCAGAAGAGCAGCTTCCCGCTGTCTCTGAAAGGCTGGTCTTTGTTGTGACGGTCTACTTCGACTTTGATTTCACCTTTCCAGCCGTTGCAGGCCTCATCGGGCAGAGATGCAGATTGGTCAACTGCCTTGTTTCCGCCGCCAGCCACAGGCGGTATGAGACGCTGGATCTTCCCGTCGATGTCTAAACGAAAGAAGTCGATCTCTGGCTTCAGAGCTGTGTCCGTCGAGGGCATCACATCTTTGATGGACGCCTTCCAACCAAGCCAGGACCAGCTTGGAAAATGCACGGAATAAGAGCTGCCAGAAGAGCGAAGGGGACACATTGCATCTCTCCGTTTAATCTCCATCGTAGTTTTTCTCCAGCTCAAGGATTGATCGAACGAGGTGGTCAGTAGGTGACCCCAGGAGAACTCGACTCCGGTCACATGGGTGATTCTGCGGAGAAGCCCACTGATAGCGTCCAAGGCATCAGAATCGTGCGAGAATTCCTTCAAGGCATAGAATCGGGGGAGATGTCTGTAGTGGTTCTGGGTGAAATCTCGATAATACTCCGCAGGCACACGCTCATAGCTTCCCAGGTGGATTCTCGAGATCGTCCATGAATTGGCTCCCTGGGCCGACCTGTCCGGCTCCAGGCATAGTCTTTCGGTCCAATCCGCACAAATGCATGACCAGGATGCTTGACCCTCGGTGAACATTAGTGAGCGTCGAGAAAGCACTCGCTCTTGCAGCGTCCAACCTCGGTGGCTGTATACGGAACTCTCGTACAGATTTTTGGTGGGAAAAGTGACCAAGGCCAGTGTGGGCGAGATACGGCAAACGTCCTGATGGACTTTGCGCGGAACCGAGAGTCCTGCGATCCCATCGTGTGCACCTGAACCGCTGGCTGCAATGACAGTCAGTTCAGCGAGAGAATAGACAGAATCCATCCGTGGTATCTGAAGCGATTTGTCCATGTCGTCATCCTGCAGAATGCAAAGCCTGTCCACCCAGAGATACCTGCCACCAAGTCCAAGAATGAGTTGCATGACATCAAAGATTGTTCGAGGCAGTGCCTCCTGAGTGAGGCTGTAAGGTTTCTTCAAATCATCTATATTTGCTGAAGTAGCTCGGAGGTCGTTCTCGGAAGGGGCCCAAACGTAGCTGAGAGCGAAGTACGAGGGATGGGCTGGCGAGTTCACAACGCATCTTTTTTGCAGGTCGATGAGTCGAAAATTCGGCGGAATGCTGTCATTTTGGAGCATCCAAGGAGGCTGAGCACAAGCATCCCCGTGGTGGACATGGCAAAACCGCATCCAGCATCGCAACAGACAGACGTCCACGAGATCTTCGATCAGACGACCCGAGGGAAACGAGGAGGCAGCATTGCGGCTAGACTCGCTAAACAGGCGAGCTGTTGGGACTGGATATGAAGAAAGCCAGAATTCGGCGATGGGCACCCGTGGAAGTGACCAAGACAAATATAACTTGAAGCGGCGAATCAGTTCGTTGTGCCCGTTGCCTTTTTCCCTGCGAAAAACGACACCCGTGTCGGGTATCAACGCTTTCGAGCTTTTCTCCAGGGGAGCGGACGTTCCTGCAGCGGGTTGATATCTGAGTAGCCACTTGTTTATGAGTGAACACAGCGAACATGCATCTGGACTGAATATGATTGATTCAGGAAGAATTGTGTCTCCGGAATCTTGAGATAGCAAGCGAGTGTCCAGATGCAAGGATCTGCAGCTGTCGCATAATCGAACCTCTTCGCTCGCACCAACACAGCTCATGGTATTATCCAAGACTTCTGACTTATCCAGGTGACTGGTTCGCGGAGGATGCTGCTCAGAAGATTATGGAAGCGCCAGTATACATATCCCCTATCGCTGAAATTGGAATAGCCCGGCAACACAGCATTCAGCCACAAATCCCAGCAACAAATTGCAGCACAAAGACATCGTTCTTCACACTATAAATAGATTCTCTACCAAGTCTGTATAAAATGCACCGAGACGAAATTGTTGACGGGGGTAACGCTGGTAGTAAAACCAGTTGGGTTGGCGGGATACTGAACGTTGGGCCAGCCACAGTGTAAATATCGATATCGATGAGGCCGTCCACAGCCGTGGTTAAGGATGTCTGTTATACTCGGACCGTCGAAGCAACATCTTATCGGCCAGTGAGTTAGCGCGGCAGTTCCGGATCCCTTGCTGGAACAGTTCTTTTGGTTGAATGTATGTTGTCAGGATTCCACAGTCGTCGACAGCGTAACATGTTACATTCTACCAAGAGTGCAGACGTTGGTTGTCCATAGAATGCAGGCGGTCAGGGGGACATCGATGCGACGTGAGCGATGTTTCTTGGGACAAATGAGTGGTTCCGACGTGGAATGCGGCATACTGAGAAAGATGAAGCTTGAGTGAGAAGCCAAAGGAGGCACCTCCGCGGGCATGGGCTTCGTTGTCACGTGGCTCTACCACCCGAGCACTAGTCATCCCAGGACTAGCCTGCAGCCGCCTTGGCACTCCTCTCCTTGTGGTTAATATTAGAGGCCTTCCGACTCTCTTTCCTTTACCCAGTACACCCTCTTGACCCTCCTTGATCATCGGATAGACACTTTCATGCAAAAGGCATGGCCATCAACTTGGTCATTGCGGTCATCCTATGCCTGGTAGCCTGGGTTCCTGTTTCATGCGGCAGGGGTGAAGGGACCTTCACCGCTGCCACAGTCGGCAACGACGTACCTGCTGACACTGATGCTAATCGAGGTGCTAGCGGAGAAGCATGTTCTGAAATTTGATGCATTTGAACCATTGCACCCAGATGACGAAGGGCAAAGGACCGATAGTGGTACGTCTGTTGCGAATTGAGCGCGAAACGAAGGTTGCGTCTGGCCGACTCCTAAGGAAGCCTGGTAAGAAACCATAGCCGATGAACCCCCAATGTCCACGACTGTGCGTCGTGTTTTCGCAACAGCCCCCGGAAGAAAGGGATACACCTCATAGTCCCACAACAACCGCGCATGAACACCAAATCCCAGGAAGACAATGACGAGCAGTCTGTACGCCAGCCGGAACCAGGATAGTCTCAATACCCAGTAACAGAGCAGAGGAAGCAGGCAGATTGTAATACCACGGTTCAGAACCACAAGCATCTCAGAATTGGCATCAGGTACAGCAATCGGCCCAGGTGGTAGACACTGAAGAGAGTTAGGAAATATCGTTGAGGCGTAGAAAAAACACTAGAACACTTACGTTGACAACCAACGCGTTCCACTTATCCAAACGCTTTTCCGTCTCGTCAAGGTCTCTTTGAAAACGTTCCAAACCCTCCTTGGCCCAGCGGGGATTACACCGTTGGATAGGTTTGTCCCATTGACCGAGGCTGTCCCTACAACGGAGGGAGTCGATCCACAAGCCTGAATGGGTCGAGATTATGAGGGTTTCTGGTTCACAAGGGCAGTGGTAGACTACGTACCAGTACCATTTCGCGCCTGCAGCCGCCAGTGTGACTTCGCGGAGTTTTTGATATCGTTCTTCTAGGGACTTCTTGCGGGTGACCAAGTCGTCGTATTTGCGGAACAGATCTTTGTCTTCGGAGGAAAATGGATGTAGCAGTGATCGAGAGCGTGATGTGGCATTCTCAGTCAGGGACCGTTTCAGGCGGTGGAAGCTGTTGGCAGCTTCAGGGCTTGGGTGGGTGGGCGCTGTCTGGACACGATCCAGCTTTTCTGTGGTAAGTGCAACGAGGTTGGCCCCTGCAGCGGCAGCTGTTCCCAAAATGTGTCCTTCCATGCCCATACCTATACCCATAGCTCCCGCTACACTGCTGGTGGTCATGAGAAATGCGTGATCTCTGGTCCTCTTCTCGTGCAGTGGCTGCCCACGGCTGGTCAGTTCGGCTCGAACGACCTCAAGTTTCTGTTCGACAAGGTGTATTGTCCAGCCTGCAGCAACACAGCCGATCATCGAAGCACCTCCTGTGGAAGGAGCCAGCACGGTGCCGCTAACAATCCCCTCCACACCAGAGTAGGCCGTTCGAATCAGGATCACCCCCCCCCCCCTTCCGCAGCCCTACATCATCGTAGTTCCGGACCTTGGCCCGATAGGCGTCTATGTCGAAGTGGATAATGTCTTGCACACCCATGGTGCCATCGAAAAGGTTTCAGCATGTGGGAGGTCGTCGCGTCTGTTCCATGGGCAACATTGATAGCAAGAGTGTCTGAGACAACGGAGGCATGCTATGGAGAGCATGATCTTTGCTGTAGCTGAGGCAGAACAGTGTTTGCATAATCTTATGACATAGGAAGATGCTGATCAGGAATAAGGGTCCAGAGGTAGTGTGAAGATCCTCACCTGGACAGGTTTCCAGGACCCTGAACCCTTCCCCATCCCCGTCACAACACCCAAAATGGGAAGTTCCCTACGGAGATATTTCGTCCCAGGCTGCACTAACCAAAGTAGGTAGTTGAATGACGCAGACTCCAGGCACAACCAGTGAGCGACCAGCACAGTCACCTGCTGCTTTAGTTACTGGGTGCTCGCTGCTCACGAGTCAGACATCCGTTTAGTGAAATCCGGCTCGGCCACCCCCTGAGCTTGCTCAGCCTCATGGTTATCCTGCCCTTTCACCGCCATTCAGGAATACCTTGGGTCCACCTAGGAGCTTGAAACGGACTTCTTCAGCATCCTCCTAGTTTTGGCCGTGGGCAGCTTCAAGATTCTCGCCAGAAGATAGACGAGGAAATAGAAGGGTTCTCATAACTTCATGCTCCGACCTCCTTATCTCCATTGCTGCCTTACAGGGCGTAGGGAGGAGGCAGATGACCCTTGACGAGGACGTCGCCCCTATCTTTCACGAATTCAAGGAGACGCCCGCCATCAGAGGGTTCAACAAGGATTCGGGTGAGCCCATTTTCAAGAAAACGAAGAAAATAACCACACTTCAGTATGTCACGCCTTCCGTTCCAAAGATCTTGCTGTGAACATACGCTAAAGCAAAGGACGGGATCCCCTGACGCATATTTGTGAGACGGGGTACGATGCTGCGGTCCCATTATTAACACAAAGACGCGTTAATCGCAAAACATACCGTACTCCGCCACAGTCGCTGCCCCTGCATGTTGAATGTCGAAGGCCAAGAGCAGGCTAAGTCTTTGTCACTGCCTACACTTGATTCGCTGAGAACTGATCCAGATTAGCCATTAGCACTTGGTTCTTATTTTCATCCGTCGCTGTCCCGTTGCGGCCACTTGCATGATTGTCTACATGCACGTACTACTCACCATCATTTAGGATGGATAACAAAGCCGCGGCATCAGCTAGGGATTCTGCCTGACCGGCCAGGTGGCTGACAGGGTCTTGGCACCTGTGTAACCTCGTGCCTTTTCCATAGGCAGGAATGGCAGATATCGAAGGTAACTATAGAGTCAAAACCGAGGAACCGAAGACCACAGATAGTTTTGGTGATTATATCTACGAGGCTACCACCCCAGACCTTGACCTTCAGCTTTCCGCAACGCTTGTGAACGAATTCCTATTGCTCTCCGAAACACTCATTTCAACCCTTACAAAAATGGAAACAAACACTCGAAGCTCCCGTGTACAGCATGACAACGTTTACGAGGGTGATGAGGGACAGAGAAAGCAGAGAATTGAGCGTAAGTTATTCTGACTCAGTCGTCTTTGTCCTTTCCGTACTTACACCATGAACAGCCACGCTCATGTGGATGATCAACTTATCCACGGTGCTTCAAGATCAGGGAAAGTATGAGGAGGCGGAGGAGATTGGCCGGCAGGCCTTGTCAGGCTATGAAAAGGCCGTGGGCCCGGATGAATTGGACACATTGACATGCGTGAGCAACCTGGCGGCGGTGATCCAAGTACAAGGAAAGTACGATCAGGCAGAGGAGATGAATCGGCGCGCCCTCGCAGGCTATGGGAAGGTTCTAGGTGCAAATCACCCTCACACCCTAAGGAGCATGAGCAATCTAGCAACGGTGCTTCAAGACCAAGGCAAGTACGTCGAGGCCGAGAGGATTGGCCGGCAAGCCCTGGCAGGATTTGAGGAGGAATTGGGAGCACGTCATCCCGACACGCTGACTTGCGCGAGCAATCTTGCGATGGTGCTTCAGGATCAACAAAAGCACGAAGAAGCGGAGGAGGTGCACCGCAGAGCGTTGGCAGCGAGCGAGAACGTCCCAAGAGAGGACTATCTCGGCGTCCGGTGGAGAGGACGTTGTACGGCACCACAGATGGTTGCCAAGTGCTTTTTGTGATTTAATGCGATATTTCCACCTCTTTGCCAACCACTGATGCTTTAAATACTTCACGCCATTATGCGAGACGGAGAAAGGGATAGAACAAGGACTTCCATCAGTTCCAAATTGCCTCAATTAGATACGTAAAATGCCTGCGACCTCCACTGCCGGAAAAAGGCAGCGCCTATTGAGAGACAGGCAGATGCGGACCGAATACTCTTAGGACGCTAGTGGTCAAAGAGACCGCAAAACAAGCAACAGATAATGCACTCGGTGCAATTACCGCCTTGTCTGCGAGTAGTTTCCCCCGATTGTATTCTCCGATGTTGCTGTAAAGTACCGGTCAGATCCCTACCGAGGGCAGATTCTGTAAAGATATGACTCCCTTTTCACGAACATTCTCTTTGCTTCCCGTCTTCTGACGTTCAAAGACCATGTGAGTTGTGACGGCTAGCTCCTGTCGTCCTGATCAGCGCAGCCGCGCACCACACAAGCGTAGTTCGAGACGCCTTCCACGTACAGCTTCTTTAGAGGCATTTGCTTGTTCTACGGAGGGCAGGAGGTCGCTTTGCTGCGATAAGGGCCTTAGGGTTGGCGAGAAAGCTTTGGCAGTGTCAGCCATTGCGATTCCTGCAGCGGCGTCGTTTTCTTAAAGTAAAAGAGGGGTGTGATGTAGAGCTGGTGTGAACAGACAGACACCGATGGCCTTCTTTTTATGCTCTATTGCCTACTCGCAACGGCCACTGTGTGCCCCTTCGTCACGGCATAGAGCCGACCTGCCAGGCAAAAATTTAGGTGTTTCTGCACAGAACCTGCAGTCCTGTGGGGCTCATTGATCATTATTCCACCAAGCGCCCCTTTTGTGTTGGTTAATGATGTAGGCTATCGTACTCGTTCGTGAAAGGGGAGGAACTCTGGAGCGGGAAAGGCTGGCACTTAGTCACTCATGAGATTCCATTGGCTTATTCAATTCCTCCGCACACCCTCTTCGACCTATTCTTCAGTCTCAGTATCAACGGATCGATTCTTCCGTAGGTGTTGCCGCGTGACAGCCCTATCTTTCCCTCCCCTTAACGCCAGTTGGGGCATGAAAGATCTTTCTCGGCACTAAATTATACTCTTCGCTAGCCAATGATTTGCCGCGATTATGGTTTGAACTTTGTTCTGTATCACTCTCGTTGAATTGGACTACATATACTTTGGCGGAGGATCATCCCAGGCTGTTTTCCACGTGGCCTCGTCGAGCTGGAAATGATCAGGCTCGGAGGCGTCGAAAGGCCCATCTCCTAATTCAATGGACTGAGGCTGGTTTGAAGCAGTCGGAGCCGACACGAGCTGAATTGGCACTTCCAGAACAAATTTTCCAACGCTAATACCAGTGGCTTCCAGCAGGATGATGAGGCTATATTGCCTGGCTGCGATAGCGCTGCAAAACGTCGGTGTGATGTCGCTGGATACCTTGACGGTGAAGGAGATACTGCTCTGCCACACTACTTCTTGCGTTGGACGGGTCTTTGTGGGGCGGGTTTTGTGTCCGACTGTTGACCCAAGGGTGCATCTTTCGTCACTTGATGGCACAGCATTAGACTCCATAAGGCGCCAAGAGGTCAAGGATCGATTGACCTGCTCCAACTTCAAGACCTGGTCATGAAGTCGATGCGGGTCATTCGCCGTCAGAATAGATTGTGCAGGGAGCTTCGGGAATGGTCGAGTAGAATAAAACGTTTTCGCTCGCAGCCCAGGAATGATTCTGAAACTGATTCTCTGCAGAAGCGCAACGAGCCCCTGAGTATCGGCGTTGCTTATGGATGCCGTGACATTGAACCGAATTGTTACTTCGGTGGTCCCGAATGGATGATCATCAACCATCATTACGGGGGCAGGCTCCTGGGCTGCAACAACCATCGTGTATTTTTGGAAGCTGAAAGTTGATGCGCGAAATGGATGGCTTTGCTTGACGATAAAATCATTGAGCCAGTCCCCAGTGTCGCATGGAGGGAATACTTCAGGGGCGGGACGAATGGGTATCTCTAGTTGTTGGCGCAATTTGATCGTCCCTTCCGTCGCTTGCGAGTCGGTGAGAGCGGCCACCACTTTCAGATTGTATTCGATTTGAGGTTGAGCGTAGGAAGTGGCGCCCGCATCATCCGTCAAAGTAGGTCCGTGACGAAAGGTCGGTGGAAGGGAAAGACATTGCCTCGGGGCACTACCGCTTCTTGGTGTCGCCCATTTGGAAATGATGAAACGAAACGGAGAGGAATAAACATAAACTTCCGCGCGTGTGTCGTTTGATATTTCAAAGTCATCCAGGTCAAGTGATTGAGTCAAAAACTGGAAGAGGATCATTAACTACACCCATATTCACCGGTCCCTGACATACTTTATATGTTGACTTCCGGGTTATAGTTCTTCTTTGATCATCCTTTCTGACGCTTTGAGTATGAACTCGGGATTCCCCTGCGGTAGTTCGACGTGTTAATCAGAGCTTCCCGCATACAGCTCCTTAAGTACGTACCTTCAAAAGTAATCTGAATATGTTCTATAGTAAGTGGTACCCTACTCGTGAGCTTCACCACCCCACTGAGCTCCTGTAGTGGGCTCCAAACGTCAATACTTGATGTCTTTTCAGGGATATCAGCGTGAGCGGAGGCCGGACTGTTCACTGCAATAGCAATCCTGGGTGCCGAGTCCGGGTCCGGTAGGTTAAGTAGATCTTGAATTTCCGTATTATTCATGTGAAAACAAAACGACCAGAGATGAGGACTGCTGTATATCCAACGGGTATGTCTTTCTTGGAGAGTGGATGATAGCTGAGCTCTCGTGGGAGACGGGATAACATAATATTTCATATTGTTCATAGGGTCCTAGAAAGGATACCGTCCCCAACATAGGGTGTTTCAGATAGGCTCATGGTTAAAATAGGGAACCATTACCCACTCGACCGAGACCAGGCGCGAGTCGAGGAAGGCAATGGGTCGAGAGACTCTGTCTTGTGATATTGAGGCGTTTAACCGGTGAATCTGTGGCACCGCCCAACTGGCTCGGACTGTCATTGCCGCGTCATACTAGACAAGGAACTGTGGGCAAATGGCCTACCCAGTACAGCGACAGGCTAGCGAGGCCTCCTGCTTGGGAAGGGAGAGCAACTGGACCGGTGCCAAATAAGATGTTGACAATGACAAATTGTGGCAGAGGCTCGGTGCGGCAATTCCGGGGCATCGATGTGGTTATCGTTCAATGCCCTCTACCTCGAAAGGCGTCTTCACAATAGCTCTTCGCTGGACGTAACGGGTTGGATTGCTTTGTCAGTGCTCGTGGTTTATTGGTTCTCACTCCCTCCCCGTCCCCCAGCCGGGAAATTTCACCAGCGCTATTAGTGCTCGTGGGCTAAAGCGCCAAGAACGGTTACTTGAAGCTTGGCGGAATACCCCGCGTAACCCACTCGCCCACTACCTTGTTTAGCGCCGAGGCGTTAAACAAGGTCTCAGCGTGTCTCCATCAACATTGAACAACTTCCGAGATACATTACGCTTTCTTTTCTTGCCTCGATAAATATCTCGATTCCCCTCCGTTAAGATCTAGTCACGATAGCACAGAATTGATGAAGAGCACCTTGTCTAGCCAGAGGGCTTTATTAGAGTTGCCTCCCTCAAGACGGGGCATCCAGATTTCGCCAAAATCGGTGGCCTGCATGTCTTCCGCAGACTGATTGAATGGCTGATAGCAACAATGGTGAGATGAAGTGTGCCAATTCGTCCAGTCACCTTGTGCCTGCAGGGGTGTTACCGCTTGCCACGTCATTAGCACCTGGTCGCCTTGTGGAAAAGGCAACCAGCTCAACTTGCCGCCTTCACGAGCAACCCAACTTTCGTTTTCATCTCGGGAATTTTGTATGATTTTCTCTGAAACTGTGGCTCTACACATAGTGCAACTTTCCTCCAAGCGGCTGTTCCTGACAACAAACCTCCACTGCCGGCCTCGAACATGGTTACCCCTCCCGAGGTCGAAATACCTCTGGGAGACTTTGATGAGGCAGTAGGTATGGTCCCGAACATCCGACCCGGCATAATGACAATCATGGATTTCTAGGCACGTGGTATGACCTTTTACCATCACTTCGTTGCTCGGCGTAGATTAGGGGTTCCCTTGAGTAAATATGATGTGGCGAGCCATTCTGCGAATATGTTGCTGGCAAGGGACGAAAATGGAAGTGACCATTACTTCATGCTGGAACTTCTCGGAGCGGAGCTTACAGATCACAAGACCGGAAAGAAAGTTCCATACATCGGTACGTATTACCACGGCCCGAACTTTATCCCGCATATCAAAGAAAGAGGGAGCTTCGTAGGTTAAAATTTGGCATTGACCAACGGTTTCGACAGGGTTCAGCGAGGTGCGCGTAAAAGAATTCACCAATGCGCCTGGGAACAAGAAATTCCAGACCTTTGAATGGGCTGGCTATCATTGGACAAAGCAACTCATCGGAAACCCTCTGGGCGAGGAATACAGTGCAACAGAACTAAAGTCTATTATCCAAGAATACGCCAGAGAAATGCCCGATTATGATACGACGAGGTACGCATGTCACGAGTTCCAGGAAGGAATTCGACGAAGATTGGGCCTTTTTGTACCTCCCCCCAGCCACCGTACCCGAATAATCAACAATTATGTGCGACCAGTTGTGGGATCAGCAGTCCGATTCTCGGCCGCCGTGCCTGCAGTGTATCGGGATACAGTGCAAAATATAGACGCCGTACTCCCAAGAGTCCCGCCACCACCATGGGACTTCTTCTCTGCATCTTCGATGAGCTCTTCCATCCTCAGTGAAGTGGAGCCGTCGGGAATGTTGACGGCTGATGGGCCTGGTCCTTCGCGGGTGCATATTGAAGAACAAAATGGCGCCAATCCTCCCTCTACTCAAAATATCAAATCTGTTCCTCCGGCTGAAACTGAACAACTCACTTCGAGCTCGGAAACAAGCACCCCGCCTCCTAGCGCAGACTATTTACGTTCCGAAGCGAACTCTACTTCCAACGGACCGTCTAGCGGGCTTCCAGACCCCCAACCTTCATTTCACCGCTCGATACTAAGAACCTATAGATAGGACTTCGATTTCCTTCTAATAGGCCGGTAGGGCGTGCGATGCCTTGCTTACTCTCTGTAGAAGCTCGGATGAATTACCAAACCCATTTGCTGAAAGCTTCGATCACCTCGGATTCGTCAAGCAACAATGGAAGGAAGGGCGCTGACGGTCACAGACTCTTAGAGACGTAGCCAAAGCCCTTCTCATTACTGCCGTTGGTGCTGGGGTAAGCAAGACGACGGGCGGTCATGTCACCATTGCCCCTTCGGGCTCGCTGTTGCCAGTGTTGACTGACGGGTTCACCATCACCAATCTATTCGCGCTTGTTGCAGGAGCAGCTTTATGTGTGGGTGCAGGAGCATTTCTTCTATGGAACGCCAAAAAGAGAGAAATCGCCTCATAGGTTCAAGAGGAGGCTAGAGTATGGAGTCCTTGAGGACAACGGAAGGCTTGCCAATACTAACTATACCTAATCTATAGTCTGTGCGAGAGATTACATCCACCATCTTTGCAAGGCGTTCCACTTTCAAACACTAGGTCCTGCGACTTTACACTGGTGGGTAGTCGTGTAGAATTTCTACAACATCGAAGAGAGACCTGTTAAGGATGACTTGGATACCTAATGACGGACAGGAAGGGGCCCGGAAACAGGACGAAGCGGCGGTGATGAGTTCGGTGAGGATGGTGAGCCAGGTCGTCTCATTCCCTGACTAAAGCGATGGCACACAGTCCAAATCCGGTGCCACAGGTAGGTGATTGAGCGCCCGGGTGGTAACGGACGAGCCATTGTGCTTTGAGAAAGGATTCGTATATGATGTTGCTTCTGGTCTCACTCGGTCACGAGTACGCGTCATTTCAGAGACGGCGGAGAGCATTAGGTCAGAGCTGGGCCAGACCTCAGAGTTTGTCGTGACTTAGCTTTAAGTAACTCAACATGAAGAAATGACCAGGTATTGTAACAGAGCACTTCAGGGTTCGGCGTACACGTGCAACAACGCACAGAGGCCTATCTAGCAGGTCGGGAATCGAGAACGCGTGTGTGGTTGGCGCTGACAAGATAACACCACCACCAACACCACCCAGAGAGGCAGCGGCTAGGGCAACGAACGCCTAGCACGGCGGCGGCATTGAGGAGCTGGGACAGGACCGATAAAACACTCAGGAAGTAGGTAGACGGCACCAAAAGCCATGGGATTCATGATGCTCTTTTCAGACTGTAAAGAATGGCACTCTGCCAGCACTGTAAACTGTTCCGCACTCCCCCTGCCAGCCCATTTTGGTTTGACATGTGACTAGACAACTCTCCTCCCTGCTACCCCCCTACCAGCCCAGCACAGCTACTTTGCCTTGTTACAGAATCATCAGTGATGGGGAGTCGAGAGCCTTGCAATTAGGCTGATGGACCTTATGCAAGAACCAATAGGAAGCTGAGTTCGATTAGCAAGGATAGCAGGAATACGGTATCCTGATTGGCGACGTCAAGCCTTCATACGTCGTAGAGCCGGTGGAAACTAATCTAGATTTCGCCGGAGGTTTAGATCCCGGTGGAAGAAATGGCTGGCTGCTTAGAGTCCCGATGCCCCTTGCCGGGCTTGCTTGCGGATGACAGCCATGTACCCCGTACTTCGTATGTCCTCGATATTTGGTCCATGTTTGTTCAAGAGGAGGATTTCCGCATACACCCTCAATTGATGTTGGCCGGAGCCTGTATGTGGTTCAGCGAGGATTGTTTCCATATCTCGATTGGCCCCTCATGAACAAATCCCTCTACTAGGTGAGACACGGACCTTTCTGTGACCATGAAGTACATTTATATACGCGCCTGAAGAGCCAGGATGCTAATTTTCTCAGGCCCAGACGATCGTCAACAAAGGTGAGGCCAAGTCTGTCACCACAACGAAGTAATGGAGGCCGCGCGAAAACCCGTATTCCGCGTCAGTCTTGGAAGGAGAAGACGCCACTTTTGAGCTGGTGACGGCACCCCTTGACGAGCTACAGGACGGAAAGGTGCTGCTCAGGGCCGCCAACATGAGCAACGACCCTGCCCAGTGATCATGTATATCTCAAGCGACCCAGAGTGGTCGTACCTCCTCCCTCTTGAGCCGGGCGACCGTTTGCGTTCACTAGGAATTGTCGAAGTGGTCGAATCGAGAAGCAATGGTTGACCAGTAGGAATTTTAGTCTTGGCCGGGACGGAGATGGCCAGAGTTCTCTCTTCATGACACTGGGGATGTCACGCCTATCCATCTGCCAAACGGCCTCTGGGAAACTCATTTCTTAGGCTAGCGGGCCCCCCTCGGCCCATTGAGCCTCCATGGTTTTCCTGTGAGAGGGGATGATCTCGCCTATCTACAGGCACGGGGGTCCAGTGGGCCAAGGCGCTAGGGTTGGGTTGTGGGGGGGGGGGAGGGGGGAAGGCCCAGGCCTAGCCAGGAGGCAGTCGACACCTACCTCTGTGCAAGCTCTGTGCGGCTCTGTGTTGCTCTGTGGTAGGTGCGCTGGTGAGCAGCACACGGGCGACCGTCACGCGGCGAAGTTCTTTTTCCAAGAACCAGGCTCCATTAATACAGCGCAAATCGCTGTACTCTACGCCTGATCAGATTTCTCAACTTCGACAATCACTCATGGGCCTTAGTAGCCTGCCCAATACAAAGCCGTCTCCAAATGATATTATTACTGTGACGCCATTCGTTTCAGGTCCTTCTCGACACGGCCTCCCATCAAATGTTAGCAATCAACTTCCGACCGGATGAGGTTCGCAGGTGGAACAATCAGCGTCCTCAGGACTTCTACAGCTATGGGAACATATCCAAGAACGGCTGGTTCCGGCTGCTCGTCGTTGCGCCCTCCCCCGATCCAGACGAAAAAATCTGTTGCGCACTTCTCCCAGTACCGCTGACCCAGAATGTGTCTTACGATGCCCTCTCATATACATGGGGCGACGAGAAGGCAGAATATCCCATCCTCATCAATTGCAGGGTTTTTCGCGTCCGCAGGAATCTATTCTGTGCCCTCAGAGCGCTCCGTAGCGCACATGAGCCGCGAATACTGTGGATCGACGCCATTTGTATTTATTCCTATCGATCCAGAACTAAATGCCGCAAAAACCTAAGGTTTAGACCTCGGTATTGCGAGGAGGTTAATTTACAATCAGGAGCCTGATTGCGATCCTATACTAGCACCCCTGAGCAAAGCACAGAATCACGATAGAGCCTAATCTGGCCCATTAGCGATCGGTTAAGCCTACCCCTCAGCATTCATTTGATTCAGCAAGCCTCTGTAAATTTGGCTAACCCTTACCCCTAGGCTGCTGCCTAAATTTTCCTTGGTCATCGTAGGTACAATACGGTTGTACCCTTGGCAAAGGCCATCAGTGTGGGTTGGGGCTGCCTATAGAAGGCCCGCCTTTTCCCGCCAGCCGTTTACGGCAGACAGTTACTCTCGATGTGTCAATTAGGGATATCCTTTGAAACTGTGATTCCCATCCTTAGCAATTTCACCATACGTAATTCCGTCCACGTAAGCTTCTCCCACAAAATGAAAGTTCCTGTTTCTCATGGGGCGTAGGATATGAGGCATCTTCGCACCAACCAAGATCCATACCTCATCCCCCTTTGACACCGGCCGTTGCCAGCCTCCAATCCGTCCATTTGTCATTCGAAATAGCGCACGGCCCGTGTTGGACTTCAATATAGACAGAATGACCAATCAATGCAATTGCAAAACGCTGCAAAGCTCACCAGAGCATGCCGAAAATTTGCCGACTTATCGTCTTCCAAAGATCTCAGCCATAAACCGGGCCTGCTTATTATTCCTGGCTAGGGTAGATTAATTTGCAAATATTCCCGTCGAACCGGAGTGAAAACCCTTAGAAATCCAGGTTGCCTCTTGAGGTCTACAAGTCGCTTAATGTCCACGCACTTTTTATTCCCCCTCCTAAAGCTATAAGCTGTGAAACTCGCGTAGTTGGCCAGGCACTTGGTGGCCTACAGAGACCGTTGATTACCTAATGGATTTGTAAAGAACTGGAAACAATAACACCCTATGGATACCCAATGATCATCTCACCGGTTGCACCTGAAATTGGGTGAAGTTCAGCTACCCTGAGCCGTATCACCTACTGCCCCACCCGGTTGGAACCGGCTTCCATAATCAATTCCTCTCAATGGAAGTGCAATTCCTGTCGTTGGCCCATCGCGATTCCATGTTCGGGTAATATCCCTGTTAATCGCACGAATATAGGAGGCACAATTCTATCGCTGTATTACTTACAACTCCTCAAAATCGTGAGGCATGTAACGTGGTGAGTTACCTTCTCCAGGCTGATCTTACAGCTGCAGGGGCTCTGAAGAGGAGCCATAGAACATTAGCAACACATATATGGGTATTTGCCCATCTGGCTCATCAATTTCGAGGCCTGTCTTCACAACGATCGCCTTTTCGACGTCTACGAACGACCATGGCTGGTTCAGTCCCCGCCTGTCAAAGAGGAACAGGATTTAGGTCGGGTAAGCCATCAACCTCTTGTATTACTAAGTACTCTTCCCGTTCCCTGTTAACAGCCTGAGCTGTCCTCAGCACCCACGGGAAATTCCAGTGCCTTCTCGTCTTTGGTTGATCGCAGCATCCAGGCTTGGGCAACACTAAACTACGCCAACCTCGAAGTCGACAAAGCATCGGCGACTGAGCGCCACGCTGAAAAATTGCGCAGCTTAAATTCGATCGATGATCTTCTGCTTGGCCGCGAGTATTGGTTCTTCCAGTCACGCGAGTCCTTCCTGCGGCAGGAGCGACTGATGAAGTGGAGCTCAAGCCACTTAGATCAATATGTTCTTTTTCCGATTGACTACGGCTTTGTCAATAACAAAGACTGCTTTTTCGTCAGCCACTACTGGCGTACGTCGGATCACCCGGACCCGGACGGTGTGGACCTTCGAATGTTCATTCAAGACTTGAAGGACGCAGAATGGTCGTATATCTGGGTAGACTGGACCTGTATGCCACAATACGACGACGGGGCTCGAACCAGACTTGAAGAGTACTACTTCAGAAGGATGCTCACATGCATTCCAATGCTCGTGCGCGACTGCGCAATGGCATGGCGTTATCCATCCTTTGAGCCCCGTGCTTGGATTCTGTACGAAGTGGCAGAATATGTCCTCAATCATCGAGAATACGTCAAAACGCCTGACAACAGCCTGTTTATTCAGCATATCGTCGAAATGTTGGCCTACAACGTCCGTCAGGTACTCGACATCCACAAATATCGGTGCACGAATAAATCTGACATGTTGTTAGTGACGGGCTGGCTAGAAATACTCAAGATCGTGTATGGGATCTTCCCTGATGACGTCCAAACTAGACAGGAGGTTCTGGATCAAATCAATCAGCCCTACACAGGGACATATGCCAACCCATCCATGGACCTCAAGATTGATAAGGTCAAGGGTGAGGTGCATCATAGGGGAAAGGTGTACTCGTTCACCCCAGTCTTTCACCTCGCCGTCCATACCAGCCTTCCTCTCCTTCAAAACGGCGCTACATGAGAGGCACAACGACCTCAGAAGGCTTTGTTTCGGGGCTGAAAGATATAATCAGGGCTGAATAACCTAACAACGGCATATGCATCAAAACCAATCTGTGGAGCGGAGAAAGCGAGTGTGGAAGCAAGACCTCGCTGCTTGATAAACCCAACCAATGGCGAGTGGAAGAGATGCTGGCATGCCATCGTGTGGAGCATTAGATTGAGCGAAGATTCGCACATGTTGAGTCGTGAAGGTAGTCCCCGGCGCGATTCACGTAAAGCCATTGCCGAGATGTGATTTGAAAGATGAGTATTTTGTGAATTTCTGTTTTAGAGGTCGGAGCAGATTTGGAAAACAAGGGAACGGAGGGAACTGGCAGCCATGCGAGATCCGGGAGGCTTCCCGAGCACCTGGCATGAGGTTGACTTGATGGCTTCGCTCATGAAGGGATGCGGCATGCCTGTATTCCTATCGAACCACAATGAACCACCACAGTAACCTGAGGTTTGACCCTCTCTTTTCTGACGGGTTAATTTATTCTTGGCATCACATGGACCTGTAAGGGTTCCAATCAGGCCTCAAGGGATCGGTTATACTTGCATGTCGGCAGACATCTGTTTCAGATAACCAATGTTGACCTGGCGGATTCCCTGCTCCTTCGCTGCCTAATTTTGTGCATTGCACTCAAGCCGTACGTCCAAGCTTATTGAATCGTGCCTGAGTGGTTGCTGAAACCCCCCCCCCCCCCTGGTGTGGTCCGTGTCAAACAGCAAGAATTGCCAACCATAGAACTCAAGTGTCTCGGCCAAGGCTGGCGCCTAGTGTTCCACATTCTGCCTAGATGCCTTCTAGGTCGATTATCATCTGCCAATGTTGACGGACTCACCATCTTAATCGGCCAAATCCTCAGTCAAAGATTCTGTCTCGGCCCTGCTGGCAGAGCAAATGTACAAGAAGCGTTGGAAAAATTGAGATCGTACAGCAGTTTTGGGGATGTCTTATGGTTTGGCTTCGGCATAAGGAGCCTCGTGCGGACTATGGGGGATTCGCAAGAAGGAACAGCATTATTAGCATTATGCGGCGCTATAGGAGAATGCTTCCCGACGAACCTAGCGGCCGAAGTGCTGCTCGAAATGACTCAGCCTTACAAACTCCCAGGACATCTTACTCCATCCGGACTTCAGTGGTCAGCGCTAATAAAGGCGTGCGAGGGAGTGTTTGCAGCAACTCCTTTCCCAGTGCTAGCTGAGCAATTCATGACCCTCGGACCATCCAAGACACGTTTTACAACGTATGTTATGGATATACAAGCAGTGACTGGTAGAAGTTTTCCCTTTCCAAAAGACCTTGCAGCAGTATTGACAGGCATGTGTAAAGTCTCTTGCAAGGAGATCTCTTCTATATCGATCATGGGAGGGCCGGCCTGTGGCTGGCTTGCGGCTGTCGCAGTTTGGCTTCTCGATTTATCTGTGACCATCTCTTGTGAAGGACAATTACTCTACTCGAACATTTCAACACATTCTGACGCGCAAATCCAGCTCATTTTTGACTCTGATATCGACGCAAATCCACTGGAAATGCAATTGGTCACGAATACCTATTACCTAAGAAACAGTGCTGAATTCCTACATCAGGAATCTGAAGATTTACAAATGACAACCATGAGTGGAAGGCTTCGCTGGGACAATTGCCTCTCTGAAGCATGTGGGAGCGATTTCCTGAGACTTATGAAAAATCCCAAAATCGTCGGCACTGCTATAGGTTGTGCAGCACGTATCTTCAAAGCGATCACATGTGGCGATCCGAGCTTTGACCGAGAGATTCTAGGCGAATGGCGGTCCTATTTCGACTCCGCAAGTGGTTTGGGATTCGTCGGGAATACCCTTGCATGGTTCCCAGAGTTGGAAGTTACGAAAGAGAACATGGAATCTGGTGTACGGTTGAGTCTTATCGATGCGCAGACACGCCATGAGCAGCAAATCGCCATCATAGAGGAGATATGCAAATGTGCCGAATGCTTCGATGGAGGCCCCGCAGAAGATGAGGCATTCTGTCTTTCAGCAATTTTTGAATCCATTGTGGTCATGTCTGCGGCGATGGCTGGTATATCGATCGTGGATGGGATTCTGCCTTCACGAGCCGGCTTAGAACGATTTTACGTCAGGCAACGACGAATGAGGACGGACGCAGACGAGGACTTTCTAGAAAAGGTGAAACGCATCGGTTACATACATCGAGTTTTGGAAACAACAACCCGCAATATTGATTCGGATATTTCAATTGCAGAAACTAGGCTTTTGGATGCGACGAAACTCTTCACAGGTCAAGAAACCTTTGGTCTAAGCCATATACTCGATGTCACTGCAGTCTCCACAGGCGGACTTTGCTTTTACCTCGATATGCTTCGGGAGTTATCACTTGACCGAAACTTGGCTGGAAGAGTGCATGTCGTGCCTGGTAAAATTGAACGGGATGGAAAGCCATTTGACTTCGTTTCAGATCGAGAGCATCATCCTAATGGACATTACACCGGCTTGACAGATGAAGTACCAGATTTCACTGAGATCTCAATGCTTGCCCAAGAGCATGTTCGCTCTCTGAGGGTCAGTTATAAGCTTGAGGATAAAAAAGGCGCATCCGTTCATATTGACCCCGGAAAGCTAGCGGATGAAGCGTGCTTAGCTCGAGGCTTGGTAAATTGTCGGAACCGACAGTGCAAGAAAGTCATCTCATTCGCGCACAATGCCGAGAAAGTCGAGTGTTATTCTGTTCATGGAAAGACGATCACTGTCGCAAGAGGCGACGAGCGATTTCGCTGCGTGTTGCTGTCTCTCGAGACGAACCAACGGTCGGAATCAAAGGCGCACTGTATTTTGCGAATGAATGAGTGTCTACAATGCTGTTTTCGGGCTGCTGTGGGTATAGATGATGGTCAACCGGTACTTATTATTTCATGACTGTTTCGACTTTCCTGAAATGGATTGTTTTCAATACTTTTTGGAATAATACTAGCTCGCTCTTTCGCGTACATATTCCCGGTTGCATGTATCTTGATTAATACAGAACCAAATGCTGCAAACACTTGAGTTTTAGGCTCCTTGGAGCCGGTTCGGGATCTTCTACAACTAGGAGCCCGATTGCGATCCTGAGTCACTCTGTAGGCGAATCAATGGCCTGCCATCAACTCGACTTGGAAAACCTACTCATCGGGTTCGTTCCATCTGCATCTATTCTGATCGATCTCGCATCAAACACCTCAGTTTTCTGAGGGATTTGACTCGGTCTCGGATCGGGAAATGCCGAGCACCCCACTGAGCATCCACTGACCTGAAAAAGGGCCTAATCTGGTGTCTGAATGCCAAGGCGCTAAGGCCCTCATGGGTCGCATGTATATAGCTCGCTGGTTGCAGGCTACTCCTTTTTGACTCTCCAGCTTGGAAGTCGATGTCGACCTGCGCCTATAGATAGGCAATCCACTCATTGATAGTTTGCTGGCGAACCGTCCCCTGACATCTGGCTCTCCAGCGATCGGCTATACTTGCCTCTCAGCCAGACATCAGTTTCAGCTAAAACTCAGTGAACCTTGCAAGACCCTGCCCCTACGCTGTTGCCTGAAATTAATCTGCTGAGGAAAATCCTGATGGAGACGCCCGAAAAGGCGTCTAGGGCTTCCGCCAAGCTGTGTGCTACAGTTCAATTCAGCATTAGTCATCACTATAGTCGATTGCAAAACTTGCTTCCGCTTCGTGTATTGTGTAAAAGTTTAGGTGCCACACAATTATACCCACTATGGTGCACAGATCGCTATCATTGGTCGAGGTCAGGTTTGGCAAATGACCTGGTATGAATCGCTCCACGAGGACGTGTCACGGGTTCTAGTACGTTTACTTGAGTGTACCACAAGCGTAGTATGCCAGGTGCCGAGGGGTGTATAGCGGCCTGCTGCTATACGATCGTAGAACGTGTTGCACTCACAGGTATGGGTCGCAACGTTGACGAAGCTGACTACGAAGCTACTCTAGCTTGGAGATGGGTCGTAGCTATATATCCATCTCATGCTGTCATAAACTAGTGACGGTGCACTGTTGCACTGTTGCCAGTACACCAGTCCAACAGTGCGCAACCTTCCCTTCTGGGCCACGCGTGACCGTGTGCCAGCCTTGCCAACGAGGCCGTTGCTCGCGCCACCTGGCCCAGGTGGTCTCTGGCCGTCGGGTTGGCCTTGGTCCGTGACATGACTGTTTTGCGCTTTTCTAAAGACATCAAAGACATCGCCGTATGTGCTCAGCTGTACTATCTCAAGTCCCTTTGTTTTCTGCGGTGGGATTCACCGCGATTTCTAGTTGGACTTGAAACTTATTCTCACTTAAAGCCAATAAATTCAGTGCCAAACACTTTCCCAAATTCGACCATAACTAGCTCCACTCCAGTGACAAATCATCAACGTGCAGATTTATTTTGATATCACTGGCACCATTTTTTGTTCTTCGTAGCAGCATGGGCCATCTTTCGAAACGGATACATCACAGCCGGTGGTCCGTTGCATGTAACGATGTTCAAGCGCTTCGCAATAACAGCTATAAGAAAATCCGTCCAAGCACTTCACAATGACAGCTACAAGAAAGTTCCGTCCAATAATCAGTCACCTATTAAAGTGAATATATTTCTTCTGACTTGTCCGCCAACATAAGCTTTCTAAAGCCAAGATCCACGAATTGCGGCCAATGCAGGAAACATCTCCTCTAAGGCTCTTGAATTTGCTGCCCAACTTCTGTAGCCGTGATCATCAATCGCTAAATATATCATTTCTCCCACCACGCAGACGCTGAACATGGCACAACCTGCCATACCGACGAAAGGAGCCAACGGCCCAGTGATGGGACTGAGCGCTGCGACACTCCAAGAACTGAGGGATCCCTTTTGGGCTGCTTTCGACCGTCTTCTAATAATATCTTCGATTCTGGCCACGTGGAGATTGTTTACAAGTTCCCGAAGGCGTATTGAAGCTGATTCGCTTGGAGCTAGGAGATATGCAAGTCTGATAGCAAAATCATGACAATTCCACCAGACCGGTCGATATTCCCACCCCGCCCGAAGGGGCTGATAGTCTATGAAATTTGTCAATCTTGGACTGCTGCTTCACGGAGATGGTACCAACACCTTTGGGATATGATCTCGTTACAGAGACTCGTGTCGCCCACTGGTTCAATTGCCAGGATTTTCAAGATAGCAGCCTCGTCCCACCTCTTAGCCATGCCGTCGGATTCTGAGCTTCCCGACCCAGTGTGCTCCCAAAACACAGCTTCCTGAAGTTTCTCCATAATTGTAAGTTCTGGATCATAGTACACATCATCGTCAATAACAAAGAGTGCCATGTGGCGTGGGACGATATAATCGGTGGGCATCTTCGGTAGTAGGTCGAACTCGCCACTTGCATCCCATGGTATTTCTGGCGTATCGGAAGGCGATTTCCCGAGTGCTTTCATATACAACTTGTATGAAAGATCCAGAGGGGCGCTGGCAATCCACACGCTCCGTGATGCTATCATCAGATTTACTGATATCAGCCTGCGCTCCGCAGCTTCGCAGCAAACACTAGTATTCCGGAACTAACTTACCTTCCCCAAGCCAAATAGACCGCTCCTCTTGGCCAAAATCCATCGCGATACCACCTTATTACCAAAATAATATGTCACAAGCCGAAGATTATTGCCTTGATAAGAAGAGAGTCAGAAGTTCTGGGAGACTTCATTCACATTAGGCTGAAATGCGATTATGGGATCTTTGAGGCACAACCGCACACAAAAAGGAGCCTTTCCCTTTTCGTCAACGTTATGCATGGCAGGTTCAGAGGCGGCTAATCTAGTCCTATATAGTAAAGAGTAGTTCTTGGCCAGTCAATGACAATGCTAAAGCGAGCAATCGTTATTGGTCGGAAGGTGTTGGACTAGCAACACCTGAGCAAGTGGCATGAATTGGTCTATCTGTCCGTGCCTAGTCTCAGGCCGTGTCTGATCGTTTATGTACAAAACCCTGTGGTCCTGGAAGCCCTCTCCTGAGGCCTGCCACGTAGATTGGCCTCCTGGCACTAGTCAGGCTCAGGCCTAGCCTGAGACGTTCCTGAAACGCGATTGGTCTCAGGTTCAACATGAGCATACTCCTTCTCGAGACTTGGGGATTTGCGCTCCACGAGACATATATGGCGGCGCCCGAGCAACAGTTATCAAACTTTATTATGGAGAAATATAAGATCGTGCCTTCATGGACACTTTCCTGGTGGTCGTCGACATCGTTATACCATTTTATCCAGCTATCTCTGAAGTTTAGCAGGCCTTCAACAGAAGATTTTCCAACTTTCACCGTCAAAAGATCCCTGAGATACGCCATGTTCGAAGGGGAAATCACTGGGTGAAAGACATCATTGACGACTATTCCAAACACAGCGGAATACAGCATTCTTCCCGGAAACCCTCACCATTCATTATACCATGAACATATCCTTCGCCAACAAGACTAAAACGACCCTCATTAGCACCAGCTCGCAGAAACAACGGCAGGCCAGATCCGGGTATTAAAGCGACGTGATCCCCAACTTCAGTTGCAGATGGCGCAAGGGCGAGATATCCAGTACTCGTTGAGACCATTCGTCGGCCACTAGCAACAGATGCCATTTGCTGAAATAACAGACTTCGTGGCTTTCTTCCCCTGAAAAGATGCCAGACACTTGTAACAAGGCCTGTGGCGACCGAGAGAGGAATTGCTAAAACTTTGTAGTAATTCGTGCGGTAATTTAGACCCAATGCTCCCAGTATGCGAGCCGGGATAGGCATGCGGTCCCAGTCCTCGAATGCTCGTTTTCCCTCGTCGAAGTTCTTGTAGGGAAGACTACCAGCACACATAGTCTGCCAGAAAGCGTCCAGAATTCCACTTCCACCAATATAATCGGCGCCGGAATCCACCTTGAAGACCTCTTGCCACTCAATCAAGCAGCCTTCTGTGTCGATATAATTGCTCCACATTGTCCAGAAGGTCCTCTCTTGGTATCCTGGTGACAATGGGTGTCGTGCTCTGTAAGGACTGCAAGCCTTGTCCACCCTGTCAAAAAGCATGCCGGTTACTGTGAGTGTTCCGCATTCTTTGTTGATGTCTAATCCTTGCACTTGCCATGGAGCGGAGTTAGCCGGATAGACTGGAGTGCCATCAGTGCGCTTCGCCAGCAAGGATATGAAAACATCATTTCTTGTCCAGTCTGGAACCCAGGTCGGAAGGGAGATGCCATCCTGGAAAGACTTTGGGGGTAAGCCTGCTGCAGTTACAACCTCCAATGTCCGGTAGCGTTGAACAAGACCGATGGCAGTGTCTAAGTACACTTCCTTAGTACTCTTTCGATAGGTTAGCTCTACAATGTCAGAATCATAGGCCAGTTCGCAAAGTGCAAAGATCTTGTCACGAGGATCTGATGACAGACAATGCCGATGCCTAATTAACAGAGTGAGCAAAGAAACACGCTCCGACTTTTTAATATTTGAGTCGGTCAATTGGAGGAAGCGTTGGTTTTGTGTAGGCGTTCCTTCGTTTGCAAACAGTCTGACAGCATGACCAATTCCGATTTCGTCCACCCAGTTGGCAGCTTCAATAAGACTGCGCCATGGAACAATCCAGTCTCCGCAGTATACTTCTGCTTTACCAGATTTGGCAAGTTCTTGGACAATCCAAACACGATTAAACCAAGGACGGTTTACCAAAGCAGAAAGCGCCAGATATCTCCAGTCGTAGCGGTTTGGAAGGCCAAGTTTCCTCAGGTGTAAAGCGGTTGATTCGGTAACGGCTTGCGTGTTTAGGTGAGATAGATGCCTTTTCCGTGCCTCGTGTACTTGAGGGATGAACTTCCCGAGAGTCTTGCTCCATTCGTCATCACTCCCAAGCCAAACATTGACCTGTGCTGCGTGGGAATAAATGACGGTCATAAAGCCAACTTGGCAGGTTTTCTCATCTTTATCCTCCTGATTGATACATATAGCATCTGCCCAGAGTATACGGGGGCGATCTTTGTGTCGCATCCGGCACAAGGCTGAATATAGCGTTTCGGTGATCTTCATTTCTGAGCCATCAGAGATAATAGATCGCGTCAACGAGCCATCTCCCCAGCAGTAGGAGAGAGCTTCGTATGTCGGTGGAGACGACAGCTGAACGTGCTGAAGTTCGCAACTCAATGGGTCTTCTAGCTGGCCGGGAAGTAGCTTGAGAACCCTGATCTCCTCTGATGATAATGGTCTGTACTGGAAGGTTGACATAAAGAATCTAACCCAGAAATTGCTTTGTTATTCAAGAAACCTGTAAACGGTGTAATGATAAGACAAGGAGGTTGAGAGAGCACTCAGAATTTGAGGCTGATATTGGCGAGAAGATGGAAGCCTAGCCCCCCACGTGATGCAGAAATGAGCATGTGATCGTCGGCACCAAAAAAAGTTCCAGACGCCCATGACCAATTGGCGAGCTTATCCCAACTTTAGGGTTGTTGAATTGGCACCAGCCACAATATGTCCCTCTGCGGTGCATCAATTTAACCTGCCTCCTCTCTTCACTCACATCATGCTGATCTGTATAAATCAATCAGATGTCGCCGAGCGTGGTTCCCAGGTTGCCCTGATGGATAAAGTCTACTCGACAGCACAGAAAGTAGTCATCTGGCTCGGAGAGGACAACCAACACACGGAGCTTGGAATGGAAACAATTGCTCTGATTCAGAGGAGGATTCTCACTGAGACACACTCGTTGCCGGTTGATGCGTCAGACCATGAACAGTACCGGGCTATGGCAGATGTGTTTACAGAGTTCCTTGCTCGCCCAGACTCAGAGAGCTGGGCTTTGGGTGTCGTTGCCCTATACATCAGACCTTGGTGGCGTCGTGTGTGGACGATGCAAGAGGTTGCACCCGCTCAGCTCGCCAAGGCACATTGTGGATGCGACCATCTAGCCTGGGAACAATTTGTGCTCTTTTCGGATTACCTCACAATGCTGCTCATCGTTGAAGTTTTTCGACGCCACATAGCTCGCACCGACACAGGACGTCAAGCACTGGGAGGCCTACCATCCATTGTTGTCACGGCACGGTTGGTCTGGAACATGCGAGACCGCAGAAATTCAGGAAAGATCAATCCCTCGTACATGGTACTCATCACGTTCGACCGTCTCGTCACGGACCCTAGGGACAAAATTTACGGTCTGCTTGCCCTTGTCAACGATGGCGCGACACTGCAACCTAATTACAATCGTAGTGTAAGAGAGGTCTATATCGAAGGTTTCAAGGCTATGCTTCAGAATGCTAACGATGCAGTACTGGTGCTTGAAGGCGTGCCCATTGACGTTCTTGATTTTGTGGGAGATCCAGCACCTCCGGTGCAAGACAACAAATTCCGAGGGTTGCAGTCGTCAGTGAAAGATACTATATATCGGTGGAAGCGTCTCGGCCTCGGTCTCGAAGGAAGCCCAGGAGCTTACGTTACGGGTGAGTCGACTTCCAGTGCATTCTGGAGGACGATCGTAATCGACCAAAAGCTAGTCGATTATCACCCAAACTTCCGCATGATGGCCAAGGAGCGGGATCAAATTCGACTGGACGTGCCTGATGTAGCAATTCCACCCGCGACTCCGGAGCAAGAAGAGCATCTTATTCGAGTCCTGGATAGTCCTGGTGCCTCTGGAGGTTCCATGTCGCATTTATCCAACAGACGCTTTTTTAGGAGGCAAAAAGGACATATAGGGCTAGCCTACTTGGCGGTACAGAAAGGTGATATCGCGTGCGTTCTTCTAGGAGGTGACGTCCCTTATATTCTTAGGCCGCTGGACAATGGCAGGTATTCGATGCTTGGAGGATGGTAGGTTACCTTTCACTCGTCGCATGCGGAAGCTACTAAATCCGCCCCAGTTATCTCCACGGTATAATGGATGGCGAGGCAATTGAAGGCGCCGAGAAAGGAATCTTCGCGTATCGCAAGTTTGCGATAATGTGAGAAGGATGAGGGGAGCTTGAATGAGGAAATGTGATTTATGACTACAACGTGAACCGGGTTTAATTGGTAGGATAGCCTTTGGCCAGTTACTTCTGCAAGTTTCTCTGTAGATTATGGAAAACATCACAGAGGAGTGGTTTGTTGCGTAGCTGACTCAGTTCACTAAAATACAACAAAACTGGTGTTGTGTTTTCTCCTCTTCGAGGCTGTGGAGGATCTGTTGGCGTGGAATGATAGTTACCATTTTGCCCAGAATGAAAACTCGAGTCAAAAGGTCCAAGGAGCAGGCTGGGTAGTGTCAGGCCAGAAAGAGCCAGGATTATGTCCATACAAGGATCCTGCTTGGTTCAACAGGTTTATTTCAAGGTTGTCTGGCCTGTAGTGTCCCCCGAGCCTTCCTTCCAAACATGCGTTCCACCTGTTCCGGGTCCTCGCTCATCGCAGCCTCGTAGGCCCCTCGGTATACCTCGTATCCCTGGTGGAAAAGAGGCATCTTGTCCACCCAGCCCGTATCCTTGCGTAATTTCTCAGAGCCGACCCATTGTGGAAACGTGAACAATGACAGAACGTACAGCCCAAATGTCTCCTCGTCCTGAGGCCTGAAGTCTCGAAATCGCACTTGAATCCCGTGGCTCTTCTCAATGGCCGGCACGATCTCGCTCAGTGTCTCATACCGATGTCCGGAGATGTTGTATACCTGCCCCGCCACGAGCTGACGCGGTGCTGTCGCAAGGGTCAAGTAGGCGGCCGCCACATCTTCGACGTGGGTGCCATGTAAGATCACGTTGGGATCTGCAGGGAGTTCTAACACGCCTCCGTTTTCCTTCTTTGCCCGCTCGGCCAGGGAGAAGAAGTAGGAGTAGTAACTGCCCGAGCAGCCGTATAGAGTCGTCGGCCGAGTCACGACACAGTCGAAGTCCTTTACGTGGGTTGTGAGCATGTCCATTGCAGCTTTTGTTCGCGGCCGTAGTAAGTCGGGTGGGTTGAGAGGACTATTTTCGGTATGCGGTTCTAGTCCTTCCTCGCCGTGCATCGGCGTCATGCCGTAGTCTTTGCAGCCGCTGCTGAAGATCACGAGAGGTTTGACGTTACCGTGAGCCACTGAATGCCGGCAAATTTGTTTGATCATTGAAAGCCTATTTTGGTGGTGGGGGACATAGCTGGAGATGTCCTCGTCACAGGTGATAATCACGTCGACGGGGGGTAGATCTGAGATGATGGCGGATGCATCTGTCGCAGTGCCAACAATTGGGATGACTTCTTCTCGCATGAGGCCTCGGCCGCTCCGAGTACTTCGTATCAAGCCGTATGTTGTCCATCCGTCCCGTGAAAAGGCTCTTGCGACCGCGCTACCAATGTAGCCGTTAGCGCCAGTAATGAAGACTGTTTTAGATGGCATTTTGACAATCAAGAAATTCAAGTCTAAATTCAAGTCTGAAGACTTGCCGGAATATGGATGAAACAAACCGCCGCCCAAGAAGACTGCTCACGACGTCTACTTATGCTGCACATTGTCCTCGATGATTGGACCTATTGCTTAGAAATCAAGAGCTTTGAGTATTGTGCGAACGCAGTGAACTGGGTCGGAAGGAGTTGGTATGAAATGATAATGATGATAATTTGAAAGCACTTCACTTCCACCGGCGATAATAGTATTGGAGATCATCCTGATACGGCGGTACTTCCGGGCCTGTTTGGCCGACTTTGACGCCAAGAACCGGAAAACCTAGGGGCCATGTACCGAGTAACTTCAATACTCCATAAACTGGGAGTATACCGCTATTGTCATCCTTTATTCGATCACATTAGCCAAATCATTCTCCAGTGGGCGCCTCGGCGCTGATAGCGTTGTACAGAAGCCGTTCAACACGCGCCTTAGCTGAAGCCATATTCTAGCGAGGAAAGTAGCTTGGTAGATGGAAAGGTTCACAAAAGGCGGTCTTGGCGCCGAATACAACCATTATGATTATTTATCAACCGCTCATAGGCATAACCGCGGGCTGGTGATGGGTATAGACAAGAAGCATGACCCAGACGTGGCATAATCATACCAGGCCTCTGTCACATGACAACACATCTCTGCATCTGAGCATGCTCGTACGCGGCCCCCCACTGATCAATTCCGGCTGCGATCTCGTTTTGCTTCTGCTTCTCTTTCACATCATTTTTGAAATTCGCCTTGAGGAATTTGACCATTTCTTTGTCGATGTTTTCTGGTGGAAATTGTCAGATCAGATTCCACAGTAGCACAATTGAATAGGAATGACTTACTTTCAGTGGCCTCCATGACGACCTCCTCTCGGCATAGAGGACAGTGATCTTTCTCCTCCCTTTGCAGAACAATCATACATCGGATACAAAATAGGTGACCGCACCGTAATCTGATGGGTCTCCACGAGATGCTGAAACATATTGGGCAAAGGTAATCATTGAGCTGTGGGATAATCCTTAACACTTCTTCCGAAATGGTGAAGCACGTGGCCTTGGCCAAATCTTCGACCATGAACGGAGAGGTTTTTGTAAGTGATCGTGCCACCGAGGATTTCGCGTGTAGAGCCGTGCGCTTGTCAAATTTCTTCATGATCTTGTTAAGAGCAGTGCGATTGATTTCTTGGAACCTGATCAGCCGCAGGAGGTTGACATTGATCTGGAGGAAGCGAGACAAAGCACCATCTGCTTCCTTTCCAAGCTTTACGGCATCCTTCTTCCGTTGTGCCGCTAGAGACTGGCTAAAAAGTTGAAATTGGTTTTGAGCATGTGCCGCATCTCGGGCACCTGCATCGACCTCGTGAGAGGACAGGAAGACTTCGGCGTCGGAGTAGAGTTCGAAAATCTTTCGCCATGCTTCGACCTCCTTTTTAGATCGGTTTGAATTGCTTGCTTGTAGGGCGCGGAGTTCGCTGCCCAGCCGAGTGATTTCTCCCCGGAGACGTGTGTACTCTGCTTGTTGCAGGTCATCTAGGCAGGTCAATTCCCGACGTAGTGTTTGAAAGAACTCAGAATCTGCAGTCAAAGGCACTTCCACCGTGTCTAAATGCTGCTGCTCATTGTTCAATGATTTTCCATTCTTGTCGGTCGCAATGGTCCGCTCAGGGTCATGATCGCCAGGTAATCTGGGTTGTGCACTCGAAGATTGTTCCTGGTGCTCAGCGAGATCAATGCGAGGGTTTGAGGATCTGGCAAGACGTCGTAGGATCCTTCGAGTGTCGGGACTCAACCATGCGTCCATAGGAGAGCCATCACGAGGGTCGACGAGGATTGTCAGCTTAGGTGTGAAGCTGACCCTTTCACCGTCCTCGACTGTATATTGTAGCAAGGTATCAGTTGTACTGCCGTCCAGGTCCGAACCAGTGGAGCCAACGTGCTTCCACAGGGCGTCAAGGGTGTCTTTATCCAGCCCAAGGCTCAGAAGTTCCTGTTGCACACGTTTGATGCATTTCTTGAGCTTCTTGTAAGAGATGGCCGAGTTCACCCAGTCCGGAGGATACTCGCCGCGAGCGAGGGCCGCTTCAAAGTCCTGGCCAAACTTCATCGTGACACATTCTCTAAAGGTGGCGGAAAGGAGATGTTGGGTGAATGAGAAATGAAGGCTGCGAAAGAAGTGGTAGAAGTTGTCGCGTGCTTATTTTCCATCTTCGGACGTGCACCCACTTCGTGGGGGGGAAGACACATTAATACCCTCTTTGCTGGCGCAACCCCAGACGGAAAATTGCCACGCGCCATATATGGGATTTGTCGGAAGTAAGGAACTGTGGGAAGAGAAAACACTGCGTTCCATAGGATGCTCTTAGGTGACAGATGACTGCGCAGATTGCCGCATTCTGCGCCTCGTGCAGCCAGCGAAATCAAGGATCCAAAAATCGACGTCAGAGTTTTCACTGTTGTGGCGCGCAATTGGCCAAGCAACATCTACACGTGACACATTTTCGACCCAGCCTTGCGCTTCCAGGCGAGGCGCACTTTAAGCGAGGCTGCCAAGGCCACAGTTAAATGGCGCATGAATAACCCACCAGGACCTAGCTCGCTAGGTACTGGGTACGACCTACTGGCACATAGTTCCTGACAAGGCTTGAGATCCATTCCACAATTTCGCCGCCCAAATTTCTCCGTCATCGGCGGCTCAAGTGCTCGAGTGGTTGTGGAGGCGTCCGGCGTCGTGGGATGACGCTTGTCGATTTCTGAATGGATTCGGTCCATTGAACCACTCTTTTGAATACGGGAGAACCTTCCCCCTCCCTCAGCCATGGGTCAACGACAATCCTCTGGCAGCGCTGCCCAAGATCAGGCTCCAGCCAAAGCCGACTATTACGATCTCCTCGGCGTCGAAAGAACTGCGACCGACGATGAAATCAAGAAGGCATACCGTCGCAGGGCCCTCGAGTTACATCCTGACCGAAACTATGGCAACGTCGAAGAGACTACGAGACTTTTCGCCGAGATCCAGTCTGCCTACGAAGTCCTCTCCGATCCGCAAGAGCGTGCTTGGTATGACTCTCACAAAGATATCCTCCTACGCGGAGACCAGGCAGCTGGTCCAGGCGCAGATGAGTTCTTCTACAACATTCGGATGACAACAACGGAGGAAGTGTTGAAATTGATGATGAAGTTCAATGGTCGATTGGAATATAGTAATGCCCCTAGTGGATTCTATGGTGGACTGAACGACTTCTTCAAGCAGCTTGCGAAAGAGGAGGACGTTGCCTGTCAATGGGGGAATGAAGATTCAGTGGACTATCCCGAGTTTGGGTTTAAGGACGACGATTATGAGGATGTTGTCCGCCCTTTCTATGCCGCGTGGAACGGGTTTGCCACCAAGAAGAGCTACTCTTGGAAAGACCAATACAGGTTATCGGATGCGCCGGATAGGAGGGTAAGACGACTGATGGAGAAAGAGAACAAGAAAATCCGGGACGAAGCTATACAGGAATACAATGAAGCAATCCGCTCTCTGGTCGCTTTTGTCCGAAAACGTGACCCTCGCGTTCAAAACAACCAGAAGTCCGAGGCTGAACGGCAAAAGGCCCTTCGAGATGCTACCGCGGCACAATCGGCACGATCAAGAGCAGCACAACAGGCGAAATTTGAGGCCACCGGTGCTGAGGCAATAGCCGAATGGGCCAAGTCAAGGGCGAAAGATGAACACGAAGGGGGGTTCTCAAGCGAGTCCGAGATTGAGGAACACGAATATGACTGTGTGGTCTGCGACAAGACTTTTAAGAGCGAGGCTCAATTCAAGGCTCACGAGAAGAGCAAAAAGCATATCAAGCTGTTAAAGCAACTGCAAAAGGAAATGCGCAAGGAAGGCGTAGAGTTGGATCTGGAGAATGAGCATAGAGCCTCAGAGCACGAGCATGTGGTCACTGATGGAGACGAAGTCCACGTTGAGCGGGCTCACTCCCCCCCTGGCAAGACCGATGCTCCTGAAGACAAGACAGATAACGCAGAGGTACAGCTGCAAGCAGATGGAACAGCAGAAGCGGAGGAAGGCCATGAGACATCCGAGGCTTCAGAGGATGATGACTATGCTCCCAGATCGGACATTGAGCGACGCCTAGGAGAAGAGCCCATGGAGAAAATCTCTGGAGCATTTGACGATATCAGTCTGTCAGGCACTCCTCTGACGTCCGACCCTGAGGCGACAGCACTGCCAAAAATCGGCAAAGCGAAGCAGAAAAAAGCAAGGAGGGCTGCGCAGAATGCAGCTGAGCAATCTGACAAGGCTGCGGCAGAGTTTCAGTGTGTTGTGTGCAAGGCCGAGTTTCCATCCAAGACGCGGTTATTCAACCACATCAAGGAGAAAAACCATGCCGCGCCGATTGCCCAGGTAAAAGGAGTCAAGGGGGGACAGGGAAAGAAGAGATGATGATGTGTTTATGACTTGACTTGTGTTTGTGTCTCTTGGCGAGGCTCCCCATGACTGCACGTTAGAGAAGATATACCCCGGTCTTGTTGCATAGCGACGGCGTCTTTGAGCTAGAGAGTGGAATACATTAAGATGTTGTTTATTTGTAGCTCCATATCTAGTCTTTCCGACTCGACGTCTTCTCTTTCGTTTGGTGGTGCCTGGGAGAGACTTATGCGGTTGACGAGTGAGTGGCGGTGAAGGAAAATACCCAGGCCGCCGAAATGAGGCCTGCTCTTCCACCATGATATTTCAACTCTCGTCTTCATCTCTTCTATTGTCCACAGAAGCGTGGGTCGTCGAACTATTCGCGATCTCCGATATTACAGTCCGTGGTCAAGCGCGCTGCCGCATCAGGGTGATGACGCAGCGATCGTCCCTCGCATCTCCGTCTGCAGCGACTGAGGGAGCTCGCACGCACATGGTAACAACTCGATTCCAACTTCGAGGATCACTGAGAATAAATTCAATGATTGGCACTCTATCGGCCGAGATAAATGATGGACACTCGCTGCGCAGACCCCGAGCTGCAACTCGACGTGGATCTCATGGTTCTGGAGTACACGCTCTTCCAGGCCGTTGAGGTTCACCTGGGCGTCTTGTCCGGCGGCTTCGAGGACGATGATGGCAAAATGCACGGGCTCCAGCGCGTGCTTGCCATTTTCGATTCCTTTATAGAGATTTTCAATCAGAGCCATCCCTCTCACGAGCAGTCTCCCGAGTTCAGTTTCAGGCTACAGATTCTGGAATTCGTCGTCCTGCTATTGTGCCGCTGCTCTTCAGTCATTGCTACGGATCGTCCCGCGGACGACTTGTCCTCGATGCTCGGTGGGTACGCAAAGAGGGACCTACGGGCTCGTCGAACATGGCTCGCCAGTCGCGAGCGGGATTGCCGGAAAGTGGGTAAGATGCCTGCTACGTCCTGGGATTTGGAGCAGCAGATATACACTGCATGGACCGGCAAAAGTCCGAACTATGCGTCTTCTGCCTCTGGACACATAACAGGACCTTTACTCCTGTCATTGCTGCCTCGATTTATGGCCATTTCGGCACGATTTATGGAGGCAACCAAGCAAGGCCCGAGCGACATCTGGATGGACGTCGCGTGCGAATTCATGCTCCAGGCGAGTCTCGAGGCGTTGCAACTGCGAAGCCAAGATGGAGATGCAGAGGGTCTCCCCAGGCTCGAGGATTGTTTTGCGTGGGGATACATCGATCTCGATCTCGACACGTCGCTCCACGACGATGTTCACCCAGCTCCCTACGACGACGAAACGGCAGAGATAGTCAACAACCTCTTCCGCTCACCGCTGGAGGGCGGTGGTCCAGATGCCGAGCACCCGGACTGGACGAATCTCCGCATTGACACTCTGCACGAATTTTCCATCGCCGCCGACATCGTTTCTTCTTCCGCTCCTCCGTCTTCGTCTCAGACCCGCCTCCTCCGCCTCGAGCGCCTCTCGCACAAGCACCCCTTCGGCGAATTCCAGCAGCGGCTCGTCAGTCTGCTCCAGAATCTATGGACCCTCAGCTGCCGCGACGAGATCCTCGGCAAGCCCGTGCTCGTCGAGATCGGCGAGGGACACGTGAGCAGTCTGGGCTTGGAAAGGGGCAGCGTGGATTTTGAACAGTTCGCCGCTCGGGTGGGGGTGGATAGGGGCTTCCTTGACGAGATCGAGGGAGATCGTATCCTCGTGAGGAAGGCGCCCGATAGCATTGGTACGACCCTCGGCCTCGTCAGGGAACAGAGCCTGAATGAGACGTATGAACATCAGCGAGAACGTGAGCGTCTGAGACAGGCTCGCAGGACTCTCAACGGCGGGTCCCCGGACGTCAAATAAGAGGGAAGTTCGAAGGGGGTTTCCACAACCGAGATATTGTCAGGGATATGCAGGGCCATTCTGTCCAGTTTTGACACAACTCACAGACTGCATATAATATGATTGCATGGAAGTAGTTGCATATTCCATCTATCCATTCATCCATCCATCCCTCCCTCCCTCCCTCTCTTCACTGCGCATCGTCTCCTTTCTTCCACACCTCCTCCTCAAACCCGTCCATCCACCGCGTATATTCCTCCCCACCATTCACCCACCCCTTAATCCCGCCCTTGAGAATCACACTCTCGAGTACTGGCCCTGTCGGTCGCGCTTTCTCGTTTGCGTCTGCGATGTAATCGGCCAGCCAGCCCGCGGCCCTGCTCCCGCGGCCGCGCGAGCTCCCGCAGTAGAAAATCACCAGCGGGATTTGGGAGGAGGTGCACAGGTTGTACACCGTCGCGAGCGAGGGGTGGAGCGTCTGTGCGGGGAGGTTGATGGAGTGTTTGATGGTGCCGCCCTGCGGTACCACAATGGTGGGGGGATTTTGTGTTAGAGGTGTCTTGTTTTTAAGGGGGCGTGACTGAGGACGGGGAGGAGTGTGAATGAAAGCATGAATGTGTAGAATCAGAGGGATTCCCTCGTGCACTTCTGTCTCTCCCCATTTCGTGTCGATGCAGCGGCGCAAGTGCGTGGCGTGTACATATATACCGTCGCCCCAATCAACCACCTACCTACCCGCCCACTATTCTTCCGCGGGCCTGAGATTGGGAGCGAGATTATTCCTCTCCGCTTCGTCTGCTTATTCCACTTCTTCCTACCCATTCTCTTTCCTTCGCAAATTCTTCCCTCTCCCGGGGACAAAAGTGTCCCAAAGAACCGCATAGACAAGGGGAAAAAAAGGCAGCAAGGGAAAGGGAGGTCCATACCGTATGATCATTCCTCCTCAGATCTACGAGCAGGAAATCCCGCCCTCCGCTCTGACCCTGCTGAAAGCGCTTCAGCAGGTCTTCGCGCGTGATGGCTTTGGGGTCCGTCTCTCGCGGGGCGGGGAAGTGGGCGTGCCATGGCGTTTCCCCTTGGGAAGTGGTAGTGGTCATTCCCTTTTCTTCTGTTTCTTTTTTGTGGATAGGGGGGAAAATATCAGGGGATGAAGGTAGAGTGTATTTTAGCGCTTAGGAGGAACGCCGTTCAGGCTGTGATGGATCGGCTTGTGGGAGATGTGGGGAAGGGAATGTGGAGCGCTCCTGGAGTTCTGCCTGGGCCTTTTGGTCTTCCCTCTCCTCTATATCTCCAACATTAACGTTCGTCAACGTTAGACGATGGGACCCATTTAAGATGCTGCGGGATCCCAGTCTGGCCCCCCTTCTCTAATGTACTCGTACTACTTAGTTGGGCGCCTCCTATACTGCTCTCTTACGTGGCAATGATAAATCTCCGTCCACTTCGAACGCCTGGTGGAAGATTGGCCTTGTGTTATTCCTCTTAAATATAAGTACACCGTCCATCCCTCGCGATATATTCCTCTTCTACTTAGTAGTTACGGGCTGGACTTACTTTCGAGAGTCGATCTAGAGTTTCAGAGATCAAAGGCAAGGGGTAGCGATTGTTGAGAGTAGTCGCGTTCAATCCTCGGTAATCAACACAGAATCGTAACCCTCCTCCAGGGTTGTTAACAAAGAGGGCTGGGGAGGAGGTATCGGACTTATTTGCCCGTATGAAGCCTTTCGAGAGGTTCTCCGTAAGATGGCGGCGGAGTTTAAGGAGTTTTGTCGTGGCTCATTCCGTAAAGGGGAGCCTTCGGGAGCTTGTCTGCTCCTTCCGTTCGTATTTCGATGGTATGTCTTTCTCTACATAGGAGCCAAAAGTAGAGCCCCAGGGAAGAAAGGGGACCCGAAAAGGCCGCTTGACTTTGACCACCCTGCCCACATACAATATTCTTACTATAAAGTCGTTGCCGGGAAATCTAGCTTCAGGGTCTGCGCGCCGCCGCTTTTGAGGGCTGGTCACAAGAACCTTGTCACCCGTCCTGCTCCTCTCCTCCTCCCTTCCAACTTATTTCTCTCACTCAACTCCCGATGCACCCCGTCGTGCTTCCCAAGGTCCATTTCCGTTTTTCAGACCTGAGCATCCCCGCTATTTGACCCGAGCTGTGGCTGTGCAGTCCTGAGCTCGGCTTAGCGGTGCCCGAGGCAGGATTGAGGAGCATGAGCACAAGCCGCGAGTCTAGCGTAGGAACCCACAAATTGGCCCTGACCCCTGGGTTCCCAAAGCTCGGAAGGCCCAGTTCCGTACCCTCTTCTTCGGTCATCGTTGCTGCGAGTACTTGTAAAATACTCATAAGGCCAGCTGGACAGCTTTCAATCAAGCAGGCTGTTGGTGGCTGTGGAATTATGCTCCGTGCCACCACACGCAAAAGTGAGAGTGCGCCTTTGGCTGCGGTGCTAACCCTAGGCACCTACATAACGGTCCCATGACCCTATGTACGACGTCGGAGCTATGTTGTCCTTCTGCCTGGCTGTGCATTTCAGCTCAGCCTCTGAGCTATAGCTTGTGATCACGTTAGCTATTTAGTAGAGTCTTCTTGACCGACACAATCAAAAACTGGCTTTTGTACTCTGTATTCTGGAGCTGCAGGTATATATCATCAATTGAGCTGGCCGAGGCTTTAGGCTAATAGATGCCCTGAAGATTATGGCAGCAACGTCAAGACCTGCTGATCAAGCCGACAGTATGATTACCCAAGCAGAGGCACATCGCCTAGACCTACCTTGGCTGGTGAAATCAGCTTCAGGAGCCTTTATTCGACCACATCTCGAGCTTCAAGCCTTCGTGTCCAACGAGCTTGATGTCGACATTCTTGACGACCTCGAGCCCTGGCTCTGGCTTGCTGGTCGCATTGATAATATTGCACCTCTTCACCACCAGCTAGTCCGCGGCCGAAGGGTTGTCATCACGGAGCGAATGAAATTTCACCTACTGTGGCACGGCGACACGATTTTTATCAAGCCTTTGCCGACTTGGATTCTAGACGAGGACTTTTGCCGCAGAACCACATATCACAACGAGACTCTGAAAGGCCGGCGTTATGGCTTCTGCAAAACATATCTGTGGCTGATACAGTACCGATCCGACTTTATCCTTGCACAAGAGCTCCACCTCCTGCCCTCCTCAATGTCGTGGGACGAATGGCAACGTCTAGTGCGTGAAAAATGCACTTTGCTATCGGACCCCAGCGTGTCTACCAGCCCACGATTCCTACGCGGTGAGCTGCGTTTGAGCCGTGTGAATATGCTCTACCGCTACCTCCCTAGGTACAAGCTGCATAACCTATTCCGCGGGTATTTCTATGGCAGCGCATCTTATAAGGACTTCGTCCGCCATCATTTCGGATGGTTGCTTGTGGCTTGTCTACTCATGACACTGGTACTAGGGGCACTGCAACTGGGAATCGCAACGGAAGAGCTGCGGAACAACTCGCAGTTCAGCCAGGTTTCCTATGGCTTCACAATCTCGTGCCTCACGGTTGTCTTTGGTGCAACACTGTGTGCAGTCACTGCCTCCGTAGCCGTGACCATATATAATGTGAGAGCCGCGGTCAATCAGACCAGGCCTAACCCAATCATCAGCAACTTTCCACCGACGTCCAAAGGTGGATTTGCCGTTTAAGGGAAAAAGGGGCAGTGTCGTGGCTGGTTGAGAGAGGCCTAAAATGCGAGACGGTCGTGGATCCCATCCGCTGCGGTGTTTTTCTTGCTCCAGGAATTTGAGGGCATCACTATTAGCCCTGTGGGTCAATGTCAAGGCAGGACACTACGGCTAGGGAGGCACGGCATTAGGCGTTACCAAGATGCATACTGTATCAACCGCACGGAAGTGCGGCCCGAATGAACCACTGTGCTGCCTGTCTCGAGGCATAACGTTGTTTCCTAAAGAACTTGCACCCCTAGCTGACGCAAAATCCTTGGACAGAGACTAGGGGGCAGCCGAGTACTGGGTAATGGCTCCAGCATAACGTCAGGGTCGCGGTGTCCCAGGCTTCTGGAGCAAAACATCGCTCTTGCTCACTTCTTATATCCTCTAACTAACTTCCGATGCAACAGAATCCTACATGCTGGAACTTGGCTGTCAGTATACGATATCGTGTTGATTCCAGTCTTCATGGAGACATGATTGATTGCGTGATGGACTTTTGTCGCGATGCCTCGCGGGCGGAAACCGGGGCACGCGACTAGGGTTGGCCAAATATCCTGCAATACCCGAGCCAGTCCTTTTCGGCTGTGCACACCCAAAAATGGTTCATGGCGGCAGGGCCCCGCCGCCAGGCAGCATCCGCAACCCTTTTCTCCATTTCATGGGTATTAGACAACAGCTTCCATCTCTCGTCATAGACTTAGCACAAGCATCAATCGCCCCCATACAAAGTTGGCAAGAAGCTGTCAGACACCTATGGCGTCACGATGCCGACGACCAACATATCGCGTCCGCCAGATACCTGCTCATTGCGCTCAGTTTGACGAAGTGGCCAGAATACTGAGTTATGTCCTCGATTATCGTAAAGGAATTACGGTCAGATCGCTTGCCTCCAGCATTGACTCGTTTGAGTCACCACCTACGAAAGTCGCTACCGTTGCGTTCGAAGATTTGCCGCAGGCACTCCACGATGCGAAGGATCCCGGCCGTTCAGAATGGTCATTCGGAAACAAAATATTCTCCCACAATCTCATTATTGATACACACTTCCAAGGATTTACCGTGCTGAACGAGGTGGATGTGGATCACCACCTAGTTGAGTGAGCAGCAGCTCCTTTCCAGTCAACGCACACAATAACTCACCTCGTCAAAAGTTGCATTGCAATCTCAGGGCTAGCGGGCCATGCTTTCGGATCATGGTGTGCGCAAGATCGCAGCGTGGACTTTATGTGGCCTAGAGATGCTCTACCGAAAAGATACCCCCGCATGAGGGTGTTGATGTATGGTTATGACTCTCGTCTACCCAATAGCGCATCGTTTCAATCCATACCAGACATATCGCTGGGTCTTGTCGCTAAGTTGCGCTCAGTCGGCCTAGCAGAGCCCTCTACAAAGCCCATACTTTTCCTTGCCCATAGTCTCGGTGGGATTGTGGTTAAAGAGGCGTTGGCGCAAATTGCCAACTCGTCTCTTGAGGAAACTTGGATGCCTAAGTTCAAGTGCGCAATCTTTTTTGGCGTTCCGAATCGAGGGATGAAAATTTCGCACCTGCTTCCCATGGTCCAGCATCAGCCAAATGAGCCGCTCGTCAAATCTCTTGCTGAAGGATCTCCTTATCTCGAAGGCCTCGATGCACAATTCTGTGGCATATCCTCCATGCGCAATATCGAGATCGTCTCCATATACGAGACTCAAAAGTCTCTCACACCAAAGGTTGGTATCGTCTCCAGCTGGTTACGATTTGGCTTATGAAGTTGCAGCTTTTGAGCAATGGACAATGGAAAAAGGACGGTCCTCATGAGATTTTGGTCCAATTGGACTCTGCGATTCAGCGCGGGACCAGACCGGAAAATAAATACCCTGTCGACAAAGACCATTCTAGCCTTGTTAAGTTCAACGAGACTGAGGCTGACCTGAGTGCTGTTCTATTCTTTATGCGATCACTGTACCACACCCTGCAGCGCCGTAGTGACGGCATTACTGTTGGCCAGCATGTGAACGTGCTTCCGCAACACGATCCTGCAACAGCCCAAGCTTCTGAAACAGCCATGCCTTCGAATTATTTGGCTCACGATCAAAAGCAACGAATTCGTACGCAACCTTTCCCATTTGCTTTTCCATACTGCGCTTACCTGCATGCAGTGCAATCCGTATTAGACAGCATATTTCTCGAGGATACCGTATATCGCTATTCCGTGGTCGAGAAAGCGCATGAGACGACCCTTGATTGGATATTCCTCAAGCCAGACCTGGGGATGATGCACTGGCTCCAATGGGGACGTGGCATCTTCTGGATAAGCGGTAAGCCTGGATCTGGTAAATCCACGGCAATGAAGCACATATACCAGCGACATGTAGGATCTCAAAGGTCGCCATCAAACACGATCACACCCCAGGAAGTTGTTGCACAGTTTTTCTTCTTTCAGCGAGGCTCCATTATACAGAAGTCCTTTGAAGGTCTTCTAAGAAGTCTCTTGCACCAAATTCTGTCAAAGATAGGCTTACTGACAGAAAAGATATTTTCGGAATGGTTCGAACCAAACGTCAACAATGTGCAAAGGTGGTCTTTGAATAGCCTTGATCGTGTCTGGGATCGCCTTATTGAGCAAAAGTGTGTGCCACTCAACATCATCCTGTTTCTTGACGCCTTGGACGAATTTGATGGTCCTGCCGAAAAGGTTGCGATGTTCGTGAAAAGGACGGCCCGTGGGTCTCCAGGTTCTCAAACCAGGATCCGTATATGCTGTGCCAGCCGACCTTGGGATGTTTTTTCTGATCACTTCAAATCTTGTCAGACTTTCAACATGGAAGATCATACAGAAGCAGATATTCGCCGATACGTCATCGATACCATTTCTACTCACGAGGCTATGAAGCCTTGGTTTCAATCAACAATACAGGCAGAGAGGCAACCAATTTATGATCTTATATCTGAGATTCTTCAACAAGCTCAAGGTGTGTTCATCTGGGTGAAACTCGTCCTCCAAGATCTGCTTGAATCAAGGACCGGAGGCGCTGACATTGACGAGTTACGTCAAACAATCCGCTCACTGCCACATGAGCTAGAAGATCTCTACCAGGCTTTGATGGGGAGAATCCAAAAGCCTGGATTCTCCGAGGAGACATATGCCATGTTGGAGATTCTTGTCCGGTCGCCTGAGCCTTTGGAACTGAGACAATTCGTCTGTATTCTACGATGTGCCACTGCTTCCAACCTCGAACATGGCGTGCAGAGACTCCAGCAGCTCGGCCAAGAACTGTCCAGTTCCGAGGTTGACACATTCCGGCGACGCCTAAGAAGTCACTGTGGTGGACTTGTGGAGATTGTTGCGCGGCGGCAAGAAACCAATACAAGCAGGAATCAGCTATACAATGCTCCCGAGGTCAATGTACTAGCACACGACTCATTAGGAACTAGAGCCACCAGTGCGACAGGAGAAAAACGGAAGGAATTTGCTACTTGTACTCGGCCTTCCAACTCACCCCATGTGCGCACCACAACTTCCAAGTCAGATGCATTGATGCCATCGATAACTCATTTACCCTCTAAAATACCTCCTGCATCACCTCAGCCGCTCCAGCATCTCGGTGCAGCACATATCCGCTCGCCATTTAAGCCATTAGGCCCGCCATTTCCTCCATCTTCAGGCGGTCCACCATGTCCGCCCTCTCAAACGTATCCGTTCTGTCCTGCTGTACCTTCTGGGAACTTGGTCTCTGGATTAAGTCCTCCGGGGCATGTTCAATGGGTCGGGGAGCCCAACAAGGAACCGAATCATGGCTTTCCTCTTCATGCTTCGTTCCCAATCAATGCTTCAGCCTCGACAGGAACACTCCCTAATACTTGCGGCCATGGATACTACCTTCCAGCACCAGTCAATCTGGTTCCCAACCCTTGCGGCCATGGATACTACCTTCCAGCACCAGTCAATCTGGTTCCCAACCCTTGTGGCCATGGATACTACCTTCCGGCACCAGTCAATCTGGTTCCCAACTCTTGTGGCCATGGATACTACTACCTTCCAGCACCAGTCAATCTGGTTCCCAACCCTTGTGGCCATGGACACTGCCTTCCGGCGCCCATCTGGTCCACTGTACCTCCTTCCCACTGTGGATACCATCCTTCACGACCATATGCGAGGTTAGGGACAGGTCAAAGTATCAATGGCATCCAGCATGCACAGCGGTCAAACTCAATGAGAGAGCACGAGCAAGGGTTGGAGCAAGGGTTGGATCAAGCGAGGGGATATCCACCAGAGGTCCATCACAGCCCCGTGGGCGGCCAGCAGAACGAGGAACCACATTTACCTTGTATGCGATCTAGTGGACCTTTACTGACGCAGGACCTCAGCCATTCAAACCGCGATATCCAAGCATATGAGAAAGATCCGGTGTACATCGTTCAACTCATGCACCAGACAGTCAAGGACTTCGTTACACGGCCGGGATTCAAGGCATCCCTCAGCATTGATCGTAATTTTACGAAGTACGAAAATGGACATTCGTTCTTTGCCAAATTCGGCTTGACTCTGATCGCATCCAGTGTCGAGACTACACAAGCACACAGCAACAGCCGCATACCTTGGCTAACCAAGATTATAGCGGATAATTTGTTTAGCTTGTGTGCGAATTCTTTTCATAATGCGGAGCGCACCACTGGCTTCTCTCAGTCTGGACTGCTAGACAGCATTGATGACGCACAATTCCAGTCCTTCTTCTCACAGCAAAGGTATGATGACGACGAGGAATATCGAGCTCTGAATGACTATCGACCGAGAAGGTGGCCGATTGATTCGCGGCTTTCTTTTGCAGCGATCTTGCGCATGCCGATCTATTTGAGATCCAGACTCCTTCAAAATAGCGCTGCGCCCGCTAGCGGGAAAGTCCCAATCCTGCATAGTATCGTTGAGAAGTTTCACCACTCCCAGTGTTTTAATCCGGTTCAGGTAACCAAGATGATGCTTCAACACGGAGCGAGTGTCCACGACACTTTCGAAAATCTGACAGTTTTCCAGTCGCTGTTTCGTATAATTGATCCAACCATTGATCCAGTTCCATACAGCTCGTACTTCGGACAGCTGGCTAAGCTGCTGCTCGAGAATGGAAGCGACCCCAATTGCGACATTTTCTATTTGGCGGACAACCTCGAATGGTTTCGTGACGATCCTGAAGCATATACGTCTAAGGTTCTGCACCTTGTACTTGGCTCTTCTGATATGGTGCGCCTGCTCCTCGAACACGGTGCGGATGTCAATGGGAGAAATGGACAAGGGGAGACACCTCTAGATGTGATGGTTAGATGGAGTGCTGAATTTTGCGTGAATGGGTACGGCACGGACGACGAGCAGTTGAAAAGTGCGATAGCACTTATAAAGGCAGGTGCTAAGGTGACAATGCGATCGTTTAAGTGGAAAATGTTTCCTCGAGAGCAGAACGAGGACGAGGACGAAGACGAAGACGAAGACGACTCGACACATGAAGAGGCCTCAGCAGTCCAGAAGACCGCAGCAGGTGAACAGCACGACAGTGGTGCACAAGAAAGACAGACGGAAAAACAAGTTCTTCAGAGTGAAAACATGGCCATAAATGGCGGGCCACCGTCGATCGATGGGACCACCCAGTCAGATGTAGCTATTCTGCGCTCAAGGCACTTTGTGAGAAAGCGAGACATTGAATTTCTCATGGAAGAACTCGAGTCATGCGATGATGGTCTGAAAATAAGAGATGTTGTGGCAGAGTTGCTCTTGCGTGACACACCCACGCCGGAACAGCGGGCTGAGACCTACCCGCGCCTCGGGATTACGGCATGGCAATGACCGTTGGATGTATGCTAACAGGTTGGGCTATACAGAGACTAGGACTGGCCCAGAGTGAATACTAGAACATGGCCGTCGTGGTCCGAGCACTGATGCGGACGAGGGACCAAATATTTATCTTCAATGGTGGCGGTTTCGATTTGTCCCATGTCGTTGCTATGCGCTCAACCTGCCGAAAAACCGACTTCTGCGGCATCATCCTACGCCAATTACATCCCAAACTACATCGTGGCGAACGGACTCCAGTCCGCAGTATAGTCAGTCAGGTCAGTCTGGATACTAGATAGGGAAGACCGGGTCAGCGTACTTGGCATCGAGGCAAAACTACCCCCAAAAGCGGCGGCGGCAATCGCCAAATTCGGCGGAAGATTTCTCTGCAACTTTGCGTTGATGTGTATGTCAATGCCTCCCCTGCCTCACGCACGCCACTGATCATCGAGCCCCTTACACTAGGTTTGACCCTCTTTGAATCCTTCAAACGATCAAGAGCAGTGAGGCAAGGAGGAATGTCTTACCTCGATGGCTATATAGATCGAGCACAAGCCCAAATCACCCTTCCGAGCTCTTTTGTCTCTCGTCTTGTACTTCACGGTGCATCAAGATAGCAATATCAAGGACTCTCGAGCCTCTCGTACACGTTCGAAGCCCTTCGAAGCCCCTCGAAGCCCCCTTCTCGCCCTTGTCCCTGACACATATAGAATTGCTTATCAAAGTCTGTAATCTATTCAGACCTTTCATGCTCAGCGAGATTGAAGACGATACTTTATCTACCTAGTTCGGCGGCAAGATGGAATAGCGACTCCTACAGACTAAGGTGGGATAAGAGCCAAGCAAAAGCTTAGACAGTGTGGAACTATTGGGCGCTATCATGGGGCGGGAGTAATGAGTCGCTATTGTATGTGCTCGCAGTTTAACGGAGACCCCAGGCGTCTCTACGCCTGGACCACCACTTTACTTGATTAGATTCCTTGCTCTACGACATGCGATCTCACCGCGTACTCTGCCGCACTGCCGGGCCCAAGGTTGCGGGGAAATTTAGGCAGCAGCGTAAGGGCAGAGAAAGTGTCCAGGTTCCCTCCCGCCCGTCTGAAATTGATGCCTTACCGAGAGGTAAGTATAGCCGATCGCAAGGGGCCAGTTTAGGCCCCCGCTGTGTTTGCTCAGGGAGCGCTCAGTGATGCTCGGCCAAAGGCTCAGTTAAAGCTCAGGCTAAAGCGGCCTTCGTTCACCCTCTAGGATTAAACCGTAAGTGGCAAATAGGTTTTTCGTTCTCGAGGAACCTAGCTATTACTTGGGTATGTACCTTGTAGGTTCTGGCAAGTCCTGCATAGTCTCGAGAAGTAACGGTTCGGGCCGAATGACAGCCTCGAGACAATCTCCACCATGTCAATCAACCAGGCCGTCGGGGACGGAGAAGGTTTCTAGAACTTCGCCTTTTGAAATTTCTATGACACTTCGTACTTGCGAATACGAGCAGCTATCTCCCCCCCTATATCAAACACGCCATGCCAAGATCTCTCGCGTCCTGGCGACATGCAGTTACGCACATAGTCGCCAGTGGTCGTCTGCGCTTATTGCCCCTGTGGCGTCGCTGTGGCTGTTTCACACTACGCGTCGATCCTGTGCTGAGCCAAAGACCATGAGATTGGAGGACGCTTGCAGCCGACCGACCACAGCCAAGGACATGTGTAGGTTTATGGGGGCCATTTGTGCGATGCAATGGGTCTGAACAGGCCATAGCTACGGCCCGCGGAGAAAGAGAGAGAGAGAGAGGGCCACCCCTTGTCCTCCTATGTCACTCCTGACCATCTTTATATATGGCGAGGCTGTCCGTTCTCGTCTGATCTCATTGGCAACTTCAACTTGGATAGCCTCTCCCACCGCTGTGATAAGCATCGAAAGCTTTCCTCCCAGAAACCGAGACTCGACTTCCCCTCTGCTCTCATCATGGCCTTCTACTTAGCAGCTCTCCTCTGCCTGGCCGTGTTGGCGCCCTTCGCACCCGTCCAGGCCGACTCGTCCGTCTTCTCTCAGTTCATTGGCGCCACTGTTGCGCCCACCCCGAGCGACACCAGCGCCATTCCTTACTTTAGCATCTGCACGAACTATCTCCACGGTCTGCCGGCGCTGACTAACCTTTCCCCCAGCGAGTCGACCCAGCTTGAGCAAGTGGCGGTCGACGGGGTGTGTCAATTCTGCACCAGCCTCGACCAAACCCGGATCGACTCGTGCTGCGCGCAGGCCACGTCCTCGGCCTGCTTCGACCAGTTTGCTGCCGCCAATGCGAATGCTGCGCAAACGACGCCCGCCTCGGCCAGTGCCACGCCTACTACTGCCTTGACCGGCGACTCAGGCACAACAGCCAGCAGCTCCTCCAATGCCGGTATCATCGGCAAGGCAAGTCTCCGCACCTCATCAGCCGTGACCCCGTGCTGACCCCCTTTCCAGAACAACGACCTCATTGCCGGTTCCTTTGTCGGAGCCATAGTCGGCTTGGCTGCATGGATATTGTAGGCAGGACGAACCCTGGCGGATGAGGGCACAAACCCAAGCAAGAGAGCGCTGACAATTCATCCCAAACAACGGTCGGATCAATCGCGTGGACAGGATCCTGGTAGACTGCCAATACCTTGAGGACATATCATCCATGTTCTCTCTAGGCAAGGTCGTGGTGAAAGTCGATGATCCATAAGAAAGGGATTCAAATGGTGTGCAGACCACTTTGTTTGTATTCTGTAGGAATGGACCGGATACCCGATAGTCGGCTGGGGTAATCGAAACCTTGGGGTTACGCCATAACAATCCACAAGAACAACAGTGAAAGACTTCACACTTACTGGCTATGCTCTCTTTCCCAGGCCCAGATTCCAACCGAGACGCCAGCAGGCACCGAACCCTCCCATTTGTCTCCGGCAAAATAATAAACGTGTGTGGTTAATGATAGCTCCCGGTATCATTCCATCAATTGCCTCGTCTGATGGCTTTCCCACGAAGCCGATATTCCCGATGTCTTAAAAACTCATCCAACCGTGGATGGATGAGCACGGAATGCCGCTTAAGACGACCAACGATGGCCAATTTCCCTCCTCATTGGTCTCTTTGGACACTATCGGTTACCTCATACTTCTGTTGCCGCAACATTTGATACCACCCACCCTCGTAAATTCCCATTCTTCTTTGCCATTTCGCTGTCAATCTTCTGGATACTCATACCTCACGTTACTCACAAACGTCCCCGTCTCTGGATCATATCGTTTGAACCACTTCCCAATCTCGATGGGGAAAGCGTTGATACGGTCCTGCGTGATGTCACTGGCAGACAACAGCACCACGTTCTCTTCCGCCACATAGCGCGTCGACTCGTCCTCCACAAGTACATTATAAAAGGGTTGATTCCTCCCATTGGGCAAGCGATCGACTTGGTTCATGGTGATCCACTGCTCTTGCATGCGACAGTAAGGATCCCACCCGTAGATCACGGCCCAATAACCACGACGGCGGTGGATGAAGACCTGCCCCACGCTGTATTTCACTGCTGAGTTGCGAGGATCAGACCGGTACTTGGGCGGGCGTGATTCTTGATCCGACTCTTTGAGTTGGGAGATTAAATTGCGGTAAGCACGGGAGTCGGGTAGAGTATATGCAAGCGGTAGGATGTAGGTTTCGTATAGATAGATATCTAGGTCAAAATATTCGAGAAAGTGCTGGGTAAGGACGGAGAGATGTTGGCGTAAGTGGGCCGGGTGCCTGATCGGATGGGGTGCGAGGATAACGAGGGAAAATAAAGCTGCATAGGCAGCCAGGTTGGCGTTGATAGGATGTAGCGGTGGGTCGGGGTCGTGAGATGGTGAAGATATGATGTTGTGTGCGGTTCGAACTGAGAGGTCCCGGGCAGACGCCGCAGACAGATACGTGGCAGCCTGGGCTGCTGTTGCGCTGGAGTTAATGAATTTGAGTTGTGTCTCCAACTTCGATCGGGGAATGGGTTCTGAGCTGTTGAATGGGTCCATGTACAGGTGTGTCAGGCCAGACGGTACTGGACTGGAAGATTCTGGGAGATGATGGCCATCAAGATCGAGCCCTGGTGGAGGCTGCACTAGTGCATGGACGTGGAAAGGATAGCTACAAGGCTCGGCGCGCAGGTTGAACTGCCGCGCGACGTAGCAGAAGATGACGGCCGAGATGAGGGGGACCGAGTTTCTGTTTGTGCTAAACAGAGATACTCCGAGGAACATATGATCTAGGCTGTGGTAGTGTCGATTATCCTGGATCCCTACCCATTTGTTCTCTAGCAAATGCTCGGCGATGACGCTCGCCCTCTTCCGCGGCGGCAGTTGGTCGATGTTGGGATGAGCCTCCCGGACGGAGACGACGTAGGAGTCAAGCCGAGCAAGGATCTGAGACAGGATTTAGTGGGATAGCAGCAAGAACGTGATATGGTGAACCACTCACATCTGAGATGTCCCCCTCAGGCCGTTCTCCGAGGATAAACATATCGTAAGCTGCGAGCGATCGTTCAACGGCGTTCTCGTAGTCCCCTGTGGCTCTGATGGCAGTCCATTCCTCGATCGCTACCAGTCTCTGTACACAACCTAGAGCTGCGTGACTCCAGTACCTGTAGAACGGTCAGAAGCATGGTCGGAATACGGGCTCGGATACACACTAACTTCTGGGCGAGATGGTTCGGAGAAGAGGACGCGTTCCAGAACATATCGAACAGGTCGTCCTTGGCGTCGTAACCAGCCTCCAGGATGACCTTCATCGAGTCAATTCGGCCGAGCTCTTCGATGACAATCTTGTCAATGGCTTCTCGAGTGGTCTTGGAAGTTCTGTGGCGCTTTCCGAACAGGTCCTTCCAGCCGGCAAAGGATCCATCCCGAAGCGTCGCCGCAAAGCGATGTCGTCGGTCCCACCACCTGAATGAGTCCTGACAGTATTTCTTCCACAGAAGCGGTTCATTGGCGGCATTTGCAAAGCGGAGGCAAGTTTGTTGCAGAGCAATGTTGCTGTCAAACGGTAAGTATGACAATACGACCTGGATAACCTCGTCGGGGAGTTGGGTAAATGGCGAGCTCATTGCGCACTATGTCGTTGGGTAGAGACGAGACAGGTGTGCATGCACGTTATCTTCATGAGTGAGGATACGAGGGCCTGGTGAATCTGACAATATTGATGTGGGTGGTGTACTCCGTGGGTGATGGGGGTGATATGTGGTGGAGGAGGAAGAAGGAAGAGCGAGAGCGCCGGAGACGGAGACAGGAGACGAGACTGAGATATTACATAATACGGAGAAACTTGCACGTCATGACGCCCGCCTAGAGCTAGCCAATCAAAGCACAGCCGACGGCTAATACGTCCGTTGTTCATCTCCACCCGAATATGGATTCTTCAAGGAAATGATAAGACACATCCTAACTGTTTGGTAAAGAGGACGCCCTCCAAACTAAGTACCCAGTGCCTGTCTCAACGTGCCCTTTTCAGCATGAATTCTAACCATTTGCGCCAGGAACGGGCCCCAATCCTCCCGCGCTCTATCCACTTTCACTTTGTCCGCCTCCAAGCCCCAAGCATCGTTCAATGCTGTCAAAGACAATAACGAATACTCCAACGAGTTGGTCGTGGCGGACTCGAGTTGAGCTTGAAGCTCAGGGAGCACCGTCGCAATCCAGCTATCTCCATCGTCCACCGTGCCCAGCTTCCGTGGAAGCCGCTCTAGCCCATCCATTCTCCACACCACACCTCCAGCGGGCACGTACGCGACGAAATGGAGACCGCTCTCGTCCTCCTCAGATTCGTCTTCTGCTTTGAGTTTCTTCCGTGGGCGCTTTGCCATCGCCGCTTTTTTCTTTTTCTCGGCCGTAGCCATGTCCTGTTTGAGACGAAGATCGACGTTCATCTTGTCGAATTCCGTGGCGAAAGAGTTGTGAACGTCTCGGACGTGGTCGAAGCGATCTAGGGCAAGGCCTCGTTCCTTGGGCGTCATGTTCATTGTGTTTTCTCGAAAATTGTTGAGCGTTTGGCCCAGATTAATCGTCGCGTGGTTGTTGACGATATTCATTAGAGCAACCGTAGCACACGAGTTGGACAGGGTCTGGTTTGCGAACCAGACACCTGGCGGCGGCTCATCAAGGTCGTTTTCGGTTTCCGGGGCTGCCCATCGTGACAGGAATATTAGGCCATAAATGCTCTGCCTGCATCCTGCTTAGTACAAATCATAGGTATGAACTTATTGCTTACGGCGGATACTCAAAGACGCTGTCAAGCGGCACCACTTCATTGACCTGGACATTTGGCACACCCCATTCTCGCAATAACGTGCTGAAGATAACCTGCATAACGGTTAGTCGTGTACTCCCCAGCAAGCAGCGGCAAGGTATGACTGGATCATTTTCTATCTCTGCCCATCCTTTCCACGAAAACGTTTGATGAGTGGCCGGCACACCATCTTCAGTAGTCGTTGAAGCGGTGTCCTGGGGGGTTGAGGTCGCTCTCGAACTCTGCTGACTCGGATCTCCTTCAGGTAGTGCATCGGCGGTTGACCCTGAAACGGCAATATCTTCGGTGGCAGGCATCATAGAAGGAATTCCAAATGTATGTGCATCTGTCTTCCAGAGTAGAATCAAGAACCAGGCTGAGAGAGACAAGTTTTGCGGATAGCGAGAAGATGGATCTTTAAGAAATCTTAGCCGCCGAGACAAACGGAGGCTGTTCTTGTTTGGCTAGGGCTGCGCGGGCAATATTGCCACAAAACAAACGGCTGGAAAGACTACCCTGTTCTCTCAGCTGTACAGAAGGAGGACTAACAGTATGGGCCGGTTGGAAAAGGGTCTGCTTTGTTGAACGAGAGGAATCTCCATCTGGACAAGTATGGACGTTCTCCCAGCTTTACACCAGCTTTGATCGGGTGTAGTAGTATAGCCCGCTCATGTCTGATCGGCCATAGGATGAAACCAGTTTCTGGGGAGGGCGAAGTTGGTATAGCGGGATTCGAGTTGGTTCTAGATTGGTGTCGTGAAGAGGTGATAGTGAGGATGTGCGGCGAGGCGGCGAGGCGGATACGCAAGGCTGAGGCACTGACGTCACGGCTGCTGCCAAGCAATTTTTTGGGACACAGCCTTGTGCTGCCTTGTGCTGCTTGCAAGACGCGTGCAAACGCGACCGACACGTCTCTCAATTGCTCAATTTCTGGACATTGGATCCTGTCTGCCTTGATGGGCTCTTCTGGCAGCCTACGGTGATTGGCAGTATCTGTTTAACAGCAAGCAGCAAACAACAAGCAAGACCTGCCATCCCAAAAACTTCACGACGATCCGCGCTCCGTACCTCATCCTGTTTCCGTCGAAACTGCAATCCAGCGATTCGGTGCCGGGCTACAGATCCCAAGTTTGCAGGACAGGAATTATTAGCCGAGACTAGAGAAGGCGTCAATAGCCGCATGGTGCAATGAACGAAACACCGCGACTGCGGTCGGCTTTTCCTACCACTCCAAGAACAGACCCTCGACGCCGAACCTTCAACAATGGTCGCCCAGGTTTGGGGTCACCCCCTTCATCCTTTCCTCAGAGACCATCGCCGATAACCCGACCTGTCAAGACTCCTCCCGAGACGGCGGCCTCCTCCTCGCCATTGATACCGACAGAGATCGTCGACGTCCCCTCCCAAAGATTTTACGTTTTCGCATTTTATATTGCCCTAACGGCGTGGAGGCTGTACAACTCCTACAACGTGGAAAATGATCTGGATTCGACGTGGCTTTTTCTGAAGTGGGTGGGAATTGATGCCGCGTTCTTCGTGGCACTGCCAGCGTTTAAGATACCCTGGTTAGAGTTCTCGTTTCCCACAACTTTCACATTATGGTTGCTGCATGCTATTGCAAATGCTTTCTTAATGTACAAGATTCCAATACCATTCTTGACATGGTTAGGGGCCTTGGTGAAGATGGCCTATGACCGTGAACTTTCAATATCAGAACACCGGGTGAAGCCAGCCGATATTCTACACAACTCCTCGATCATTTTAGGAAAACAAATCATACACATCCTTCCGGAGGGTTCTGCCATTCTGAACCCCGAGAAGAAGGCATTTTGCATTGATGCCTCTACACCTTCGGTCGAACTCCCCATTCGGATCAACCAGACGACGCCTATTTCTATTGAGCTTCAGCGGTTTGATCTCGAGACAGATGAAGTCGAGACGATCATCATTAGCGGCAGACAAGCTAGTCAATTGAAAAAGCACGCAGACAGCGGTCATCACAAGTCGGATACAAACACGCCTCGGACCCTGCATTACCCGGTCTCAAAGGCAGGCTTATACCAACTACATCGAGTTATTGACGCCACAAAGCTGGAAGTGCGGAAACGAAGTCTTGATACGGCAGTTGTGCAATGCCCGGTGGCGAGCATCTCGACCGAGTCCGAGGACAGGTGTACGGGGGAGTTAAGCAACATCTCTCTGCAAGTTACAGGTGTCCCGCCATTTAAAGTCAAATACAGCAAGACCATCAACCACAAGCAGTTCAGTTCCATTGTGCAAAATGTGCAGCCCCAGGTGAATCTCGACATTGTCTCTGGCGACGAGTCTTTAGGTGTCCTCGATCCAAGACGGCCACAGATGGGATGGACAAAATCCACAACAGAGTCCTTCGAGATCAATGAATCTCTCCACCAGAATGGAAGCCATTCTTACACCATCGAAGAAGTGGAAGATGGACTCGGGAACAAAGTCGTCTATGATGCGAGCAAACCGAAGGACGTCCATGCTCCACGGACTCAAAGCTTGACTGTGCATAACAGACCTCGAATCACACTGGGAGGCCTCAACTCGGATCGGCTACTCCGAGTCCCCGAAGGAACCTCGATTACTCTGCCTATTCGAGTCCAACATGTGGACGCATTGCACACGTCAGACTGGCCGTTGAACGTGAAGTACAGCTTTGTCTCGGATGATGAGGGGGAAGTTGTTCATTCCGAAGAGCATGCACATGAGATGGCGAACCGTCGTTCCTTGCCTCTGGTCAGTGCGCCTGGCAGATATAGTCTCGATTCTGTCGACAGCCAGTACTGCCATGGGGAGGTTGTTGAGCCTTCATCATGCTTACTCGTCAACCCTCCTAAACCCAATCTCAGTATGGAATCTGAAGACATTTTTGACAAGTGCGCCGGTAACCCAATTGGCATGTATGTAAACTTTGACTTTACAGGCACCCCGCCTTTCAAAGTTAGGTATACGACGAGCCACCAGGGGGCTGCTTATCCAAAAGTGCAAGAATTCTCTGGTATGCGCGGTCAGATGGAATTGCGTGAAAGAGCAGCCGGCTCTTATACCTACACAATCCATGAAATCGAAGACCAAGTGTATGGCACCGTCTCACTGAAGGACCAAAATCTTGTCCTTAAACAAGATATCAAGCCACCAGCGTCTGCGATCTTTCACGGAGACAGTCGTGCGATCAAGGCGTGCCTTGGCTCGCCCGTCTCTGTTCCAGTTAGACTCTCAGGTCAAGGACCATGGGACCTGGATTACGAGCTGGCACATGCCGGCAAAAGAAAGAAGCATCACATCCACTCCGAAGAGGAGCTATGCACGATCAATCTTCCCCCGTTGGCCGAAGGAGGGAGCTATTCTGTCATTTTAACAGGAGTACAGGACAAATCGCGCTGTCGCACGACGTTGCAGGAGGAACGAAAGATCGAGGTCAGACAAGAGCAACCACGAGCAGCTTTCGGCGATATTGATGGCAAACGGTCAGTCTTGGCGCTAGACGGCAAGTCTGTCAAGCTACCATTGCGACTTAAGGGATTCGCGCCATGGGCTGTTAGACTGCAGAATCTAGACGACGCGTCTGACTCATTCGAGCAGATATTTAGAGACGCAAACGCAGAAATTTCGGTTGACCGTCCAGGTACTTACGAGATTGTCTCTGTGCACGACAATTGCCCAGGTGTGGTTGATTCCAAAGCGAACAAATTCCAAGTCAGTTGGATACCCCGGCCGAAGTTATCGATCAGAGATTCATCTATTGAAGAAGAAGGGGCCAGGGGTTTCCGTAAACCCGCAGTATGTCAGGGCGACGAATCAGTCCTGACCTTCGGGCTCACCGGCAGTCCCCCCTTCCACCTTAAATACCAACAGAGGTTTCAGCCGGTCAAAGGGCCTTCTGCAGTCTGCAACAAACCTGCCACCTTTGCGGGTAGTAGTGCCCAGATAAATCTTGATACCAGCAAAGCTGGGGAGTACTTTTATGTCTTCAACGAACTCGGCGACGCCCGCTATTCTCCCGACAAGAAGGGATTCGCGCCAATCCTTCTCTCACAGCAAGTGTATCCTCTACCGTCAGCGAAGTTTGGCCAGGCAGGGAAGACTTACGGCTACTGCAAATACGACCCGTCCTTCACAAACAGCGCAGAGGCCGAGACTGAACACATACCGATTACGTTCACAGGCACAGCCCCATTCAGCGTTGAAATTGCCATTGTCCACCATGGTGTGTCGACTCGCCCTGAAATCATCCGTCAGAAAGACATCCACACCCACAGCTACTCATGGCCGCTTTCGCGAGCCACCCTCGACCTAGGCACACATACCGTTTCAATTCGCTCCGTCAAAGACGGCCGCGGCTGTGAAACAATTCTCGACTCGGATCCATCCGCAGTTCGCATCCATGTCTCTTCGCCACCGGCCATCATCCCGCTCGAGTCGCAAGAACATTATTGTGTCGGCGAGCACGTCTCGTTCTCCTTGAGTGGTCAGGCCCCTTTCGATGTCTTCTATACCTTCCAGGGTCGTGAACGAAAAGCGCGTGTCTCTGGTAATGAGTTCAGACGACTTGCCGAGTCACCAGGAGAATTTATCATTACGGGTGTTAGTGATTCAGCAATGGGCAATAATAAATGCCGTGCAAGGAAGGATATCAGGAAAGTCATTCATCCGTATCCGACAGTGGAGATTGGGAAGGGGAAGACAGTGGTTAGCGATATTCATGAGGGCGGGGAGGTGGATATCCTGTTTACATTTACGGGGACGCCGCCTTTTGAATTCACGTGAGTATCCTTCATATTTGCCCCGTGTAATGCTAGGGAAAAGATTAAACTGACATCCGACGGCACGAACCAGGTATACCCGCACCGAAAATCTCAAGAAAGGCAAGGGAAAGCCACGCATTCTTGAGACGCGTCACGACACATCAGATGAATTCAGCAAGATGATTCGAGCCAGCGACGAAGGGATCTACGAGGTTGTGAGCATCAAGGACCGATTCTGCTCATATACGAAACCCAGTCACAAGGCTGGCGGTGCTGGCGGCGGTCAGAAGTTGTTGACCTACTGAAACACGATCGACAGCATCAGACAGGAAGGGTCCATTGCCCACAGTCGACCCTTTTCCCCACATTTCAGGGACAGCGTTTTGTGATCCTCTTCTTTCTAGTTGGCTAGATCTGGATCGCTGAATGGGGAGGAAACGAGGAGAGAGAGAGAGAGCATCATCCCCAGTGTCTCAAACTGGGTCCAAACCATGCGTCGGCTTGTTTGGACATCGACAATGGAACCCGAGGATGGCCCATACATACTTAGGTCGTAGGGCCACGCATGCTTGTATGCATGACTTCGATCTCTGCAAGAGCCACAGTGTGCAGCTCACTATCTAGCTAACAAAGCCCGAGGGGTGGTCTACACTATGTTGTGTGGCGTGGTGTGGTGTTGTGTTGTGTTGTGCTGGACCGGGTTACCTACCCATCGAGCCCATCTACCTGATTTCAGTTTCTCCTTCACATACCTGTACATACAGCACATGTACCAACAACAGCGACTAATTCAAGAGTGCATGCCACCCAGCGAGCCAGCCAATTACATGCATACATAGCAGGCCAGGAGGCCTGGCGTCTGAATAGCTCCGGCTGGCTACATATTTAGTTGGATATTTGGGTAACATCGAGGAGGCAAACAAAAGGCAGGAAGAATTCCTGGATTCAAAATTGGAAGCATATTTGCTTTTCTTTTCTTTTTTTTTCAGAGGAAGAGGGCAACTTTTTCATTGAGCAGATTCTAAATGAAGCGAGGTGCGCATTGAAAGGACCAGATACTTGAGTTTCACCTCGCCTCGACTCTGCTGAGTTGCCCTGACAGCTTGTCTAGCCACTTCCACCCTCCCAGCAACCAGAATCGCAACAGTTCTCTCACCGCAGGCTCATGACTTTGGTCGACTTTTTGCCCGGTTATGCATTCACTGTGCAATCCATTCGCAACTTTCGTCGATCTGTTTCTGTTTCGTTGGCATTTTTGTAGGCTGTAGACATACAAATCACACGAATATTCAGGATGTTCAGGCTATCGGCTTTCCTCCTATTATTTTTTTCTTTTCTTGATTTTTGTGTGAAAGTGTTTCTGGGTCTGCTTGCATGTATCAAGCGGTACTTTTCTTTTTCTGGTGCTAGGGTAGCATGTGAAAGAATTGTCCGCTGTCGAATTGAAATAGATTCGATGACAGACGATTGTCGTGTTTTGTTGTGAGAATCGATGCCAGGTCCTAGCAATGAGCCGCGCTAGGTGACATGAAGTTATCGAAGAGAGGAAACATCGAGGGAGGATTAAGGTTAGAGTGTTGTTTGCGTATATGAGATAGGAATGTAGCGGGACTGGGTATGGGAGCGTTGATATTTTTGGGTATGTCGTCGTTGTCCCTGGATCTAAGTATCGTGTCTGTGAGAGGGTCGAAAACGGTCCGGCTGTTTGCCGAGACTGATGTTCAAAGGGCTGATATGCGCCGGGCATGATTGATGAACAGGTCATTCCATGAGACTGGTGTTGAAGTGGATAGAGTTGAACAGGGTGAGTATCGAGTATCGTGCTTGTGATGGGAGGAGTCATCGTGTGGCTGGTATTTCCGAGATCTGAACAAGAGAAAAGCAAATAGTCAAGCAACGCCGTGCAGATCTACCATCCGACTGAGAACCTGCACTGACCTTCACCGAAACTTTTGCGCCAGTTGTCCCCGCGACCCCAATCAGAACGTGGCTCTTTCAAGACATGTAATGTCATAAGCCATAAATCCCCGACCGAGGCATGCTCGGGAAACGAGCTTGTAGCCTGCCGTCCATCCGTGCAAGGGATCCAGAAAACACCCATCCCAAGAAAGGAGTAGAAACTGTACCAACGCTGTTGTACAGATCTGATAGCAAGGAAAACCACATGAGCCAGCCATTATTGAAAACTCCCCAGCTTGCGCATGTCGCATGTCATAGACCTTCGTGACCATGGAAATGAAAAAACGCCGTAAACAGAAAATTGACAGAAAAGAACCGCCGTTAGATCAAAAATCAAATCTCAAACTAGTGAGCGATTTGACCCACGGGTGCTGCTGTCGGCTGCTGAGGATGGCCTCCACGGCCTCGAGAACCTTGACCTCGACCCCGTCCACGGTATCCACCACGTCCTTGGTTATTGTATTGTTGTCCATATCCGTTTGACTGATTTTGTGGCCTCCGAGCCTGCTGGTATTGACCATTGGCATTCGTGGCATTGGTATTTGCCGTTGGGGTTGCATTGGACGCAGTAATCTTTGTAGTCTGTGCTGGAGGAGGCATTGCGCGAGGAATGGTTTCGGGATTGTCATATACATACAAGCTCTTGTCAATGGATGGAGGAATCGGCTGGATCTCCGTACCTAGCTCTTGTTCGATCTTGTATAGGTTGAAACGGTCATCCCAGTTGATCAGGTTGATAGCCAGACCACGGTGACCAAATCGCCCAGAACGGCCAATACGGTGGAGGTAAGTTTCCGCATTCTTGGGAAAATCAAAGTTGATCACCACATTGACAGCTTGTATATCAATACCACGGGTGAGGAGGTCCGAACACACTAAATTCCGACAGACACCGGCACGGAAGTCATGGAAGACCTTGTTGCGATTCTGCTGCAGCATCTTGGCATGAGAGTAGAAACACGAATACCCCAGTTCTGTGATTTTCTTTGCGAGAAGCTCAACCCGGTTTGTCGAATTGCAGAAGATGATAGATTGGTTGATCTGAAGCTTAGAGAATAATGTGTTGAGGCAGTGGACCTTCTGCTTCTCCTCGACAAAAGCATAGTATTGGGTTATACCACGCAAAGTCAGCTCGTCCATGAGGTTGATTTCGTAGGGGTTTCGCATGTGTTTGTCTTTGAATGCCTTGACGATCATCGGGAAGGTCGCGCTGAAAAGCATGACTTGTCGATCTTTGGGTTGGAAGGAAAGGAGCTGCTCAATGACAACTGTGAATTCCGGGGAGAGCAACTTGTCGGCTTCATCCATAACAAATATGGGGCATTCGGACAAATCTGCAACACCCTTGCTTGCGAGATCGAGGATCCTGCCAGGGGTGCCGACGATAATATGTACTGTCTCCCCTAGTCTGATGATATCGTCTTTGAGTCCAGTGCCACCTGTTGTGACCATGACATTGATGCCTAAGTGCTTTCCAAGTGTCTTGCAGACCTGAGATGTTTGTAAAGCGAGTTCTCGAGTGGGTACAAGGATCAGTGCTTGGGTTTTTGGATTTTTGGGGTTGATTCGTTCCAGGGTAGGAATAACGAAGGCTGCGGTTTTGCCAGTTCCATTCTTTGCTCGGGCCAGGATATCTCGGCCGGTGAGAGCCACGGGTATAGTTTCTTCTTGGATTGGCGAGGGTTTCTCGAATCCCGCTTCGAATATGCCCATCATCAATTCACGCTTGATGTAGAAATCTTCAAATTCCAAGCCTTTTGTCGCGGTCACATCTTCAGTCTGTTGTCGGGTATCTTTTGCTGGGAGGTTGAGCGAGTCTTTCCAGTTTGCCTCATCTGCGCCATCGGTCAAAGAGGCTTTGTTGAGCTGTGCTGCTAAAGCGTCCGTCATTTTGGGAGGAGTCTGAGGGCTGTGTAGTGAGGGAGGGATGGGATGGGATGTGGTTTGCTAAGCAGCAGATGTGTCTATCGACAACAATCTCTCTTAAGTCACAAGGTATTTAGCGGTGCCCGGAGAGAAGGCTTGGGAGAGGACAGAGAGAAGACCGAGGGCAGAGGTAGGATTGTTCGCGGGGTGACACGATTGTGGCGGATTGGGATCTGGTCGCTCTTTGCAGAGGAAGGAGTTCAAATCTGTGTCGAGAGGACGAAGAGGGATCTTTGAGAGGATCAGACGGTGTCGGGGAGTACTTTTGCCCTGTGCAAGTAGAGTGGTTGAGGTGTGAGTGAGTACAGTTGCTCGAGTTCAGAGTCAAGTTGGGAGGGCAACTTCTTTGTGCCTGGTCCGCGACTGCAGATCGCAAGCCAGCGCCAAGACCAAGGCATAAACCAAATCTTGCCGTTTTAGGCAACGCGCTTTGTTCGACTTGCTTTCGACACTGATTCCACAGACCATTCATTCCATTACCGCCCTATTTCACATTCATCATATCAGTCATGGCACTAAATCTATCCATCTATGGTTCCCCGTTAATACTCCAGTCTTCTCAGATTAACAGACACTGCACTTTTGTCCCAGCTTGTCGACAGGCAGCAGAAAGGATCCACAGATGCCACCTTTCAGCCTCAGCCTCACTGCACCAGACACCTTGCTAGCCGTCAAGGTGATCCTCCAAATTCTACCATCATCGCATTTTTCAATTACATAGACAGGTGCAACTTGATGGACAAGCTCCTGGGCCCCTCGGCCCTTTGCAAGGACAGCTGCTCGATGTAAGCCATTGCCACACGTCCCCCCAAAAAGCTCAGTTCGCTTCGTACCTTCCTCTTACACATGGCAAGACACAGCCACAATTTCTTGTCTTTGAAGTGTTGATTGTGGGATTTTTGGTGGAATCCAGGGCCTCAAGATTGCTGGGTTGTGGGAGAACAGTCATCATGCGAGACAGGTTGGGGCCCCTCATGGACTGAAGGTAACGTAACGCTGGCAGTGGCCGTGAGAAATCCGTCTTCTTCGAATCGTTGCTGTCGCGATGTATGTCCATGCTCGCAACCGAACCAGTTGTCGACTAGATCCTGAGCGTTGCTGGTGGATTGAAACGAGAGCCCGGTGTGTGTGATGCCGTTCTGCCTCAGGATCTATCGTCATGTGGAAGACAGACAAATTTGCAAAGCCGCGCGACACCAGATAAATAGTCGCCTGAAACAGCTTGCTGAGACTCGGTGGGCAATGGCTTCCACGACAAAGAGAACTGCAACCAGAAGATCGAGGCAGCAGTCGCACGATGCTCCATCGCAACCCTGCCAGGAGTCACCACGGCTCGTGTCTGTGCAGCTTGGATGGGCAACCGCCTCCCTGCACATGTTATCCAGAATCACAACTTTGCTCTGTTGACCGAGAATCGGACGAATCCGAGTTGCTCAAATTCGGTGAAGAGCAGAGGGTTACACAGAGTCAGGTGAGTCCACGAGGTTTCAGACGCGAGCCAAAACAATAATGTGACCCGCATAATGGCCCTTGCGTGTTCATTTGTTTACAGCGCATCCTATGGAAGCAGCTTCCCACGTGCAGTCGTGGCTCAAAGCACATGGCAGTCGGCCGATTCGAGCATGTGTGAACATTGGATGGTGTCCATAGCTGCACAAGTCGGTACGACGTTCTTTGTCTGTCCCACACGCTAACCACATCTGGGTGCCAATATCAACACGAACAAGTGCAATTATGCACGGAAGTCGACGGGATCACTTCCAGTCCCGTAGCGGTTCGATGAACAAGCTTGACACTCGTCTGTATTCATTCGCAAGGACGATAACAAGATTCGACAATCATGGTGGAGCGAGAACGAGCCTCGTTTGGCCTCTCTCTGGCGGAGCAACCCTACATACGTTAGCAGATGTGCACAAGGTGCGACGCCGTTCAACTTACTCAATGGCGCAGACATCTGGAGCTCTCTTGATGTCAGATTTGGTGCCTGGACTGATGAGAACGAATTGCCCGCCACTGCTGTGCCTGGCTCCGTCGATCAGCAAGTTGACGCTGGTCATTCTGTTGACTGCATCCATGAATACATCAAATTCGTCGAGACATCGAATCGGGACACCCATGGCATCCCAGATAGAGAGCAACAGACAAATCTGGGAGAACGACTTCTCCCCTCCGGACAGAGTCTTTGCGCTTCGCCCGGTACCGTCACGTCTCGTAATATCAGGCTCGACGGCAATGTCCATCTCCTTCTTCCTGTGATCGATATGGAGCCTTCCACGGAACCCCCTCTCGCTCAGCTTATGAATAAAGCCAGCCCTTGCTCTAGCAGTGATGTGACCCCGAAATAGCACCCATCGCCTTCTCCGCTCTGCAAGCGTCCTTGTCAATTGTGATTGGAGAGACTCCAACGACCTCATTTCTCTCTCGGCGACCTTATACGCCTTGGACCACTTTGACGCCTCAGCGGCAATGTGGTCCCTATCACCAACCTGAGTCTGGTATTTGCGGTAGTCTGCAGCGAGCTTCTCGTGCTTTTTGTTCAAGCTCTCAAAGGTTTCCCCTTTATCAAGGTTGACCCGTTCACATACCTGCCGTGCTTGCCCTGTGAAACTTGCAATCTTTTCATCCATTTCCTGCTTCTTCCGTTCCAATGAGCCGCGGTCTGCTTTGGCGTCTTGAATCATAGACTCGGCCCGATTTTTCTCGTGCAAGTCATGCGCACGTTTCTTGCCGGCCTTCTGAGCTGCCAACTGCGCCTTATGAGCCATAGCTTCAGCGTCTTTGATGCGCTCATCCAACTCCTTGCATTTTTGAGTTGCCTCCCGAAGCTTCTTTGTTTGCTCATCAAGGGCGATGACAGAGTCTTGAAAAGAGCTCTCGTGGATGACCTTTTGCTCCTCAGCCTCACTTAATGACTGACGTAAGGCTTCAAGCTTTCCACTTTCCACGCTGTCATCTTTGATGGCCTCCTTCAAACGCTCAACGTTGTCTTCCGCCCGCTGCACTGCGATTTCGAGTTCTCTGTTTCTGTTTGCATGTCGCTTGAGGGCTTGTCTTGCCTTCGCATACCGGTCCTGAGCACTGCGAAATTCGCTTTCTGCGCGAAGCCGTTGGGCCTTGCACTCAGCCAGTACCTCTTGTTGCCGTTGTATAGCTTCATCAATATCTGTTTTCATCCTCGGAGTACCTATAAATTCGTGCACCGGATCTTGAGCTGCGCGACCGTTTCGATAGGACAAGACGACGCCTTTGACCTTGCTGCCTGGGCTGAAGCAATAGCATCGTTTAACATTGCGCAAGGGCGGACCCTCCGAGTAGAGTGCTTTCGAGGCTTCAGTCAAGTCAGGAATGAGAATGCTCTGCTCAATCTGGTTGGAGATGATGAGTTGTTTCCTGACCGCCTCGTTGTCAATCTCCAAGACACTCAAGACAGTGTCGAAGCGGGGATCGGGTAGATGTGGCTCGATGTTCAGTGGCAGATTGTTTGTGATGAAGATAGGCAAACTACACTGAGTGCGTCGCATGAGGTTGCTCAGTAGATTTTCGTCCCGCTTGCAGGTCACTATAAATCCTGAAAGTGCGCCGCCAAAGGACTTTTCCAAAATTGAAGACCATTCTGGTTTCAACAATTTAACGTGCTTTCCTAGGGGTCCTACGGGAGCCTCCTGAAACCCCCTTTCCTGGTGCAAGGCTCGTAGGAGTTCTTGCATTCTGGGATGGAAAGCAAGATCTTGAGAGTTGCGGTTCTCCGTCAGCCGCTTGAGGTTGTTCTCCAAGTCGGTGACTCTTCGTTCCTCGTTCTTCTTCACGTCTCCAGTTTCGTTCTCGAGCTTTTGCATTTTGTCAATGTCCTCAAGGTAGATTTTTCTCTGATCCCGGTGATCCTGTAACTCTGCTTCCGCTCTTCTCACTGCGTCTGTGGCCTTCTCCAGTTCTTTAATGCGGCTAGCAGCACCTCCTCCATCGAGCTCAGCCAGCCTTTGCACTTCCTGTTCAATGGCCTCTTTCTTCTGTGTGATTGTTCTGTCGGCACTGACCAAAGCATCACGGATTTGTCGTTGCTCAGCTGCTGCTTCCGAATAGTTCTTTTTCATTTCTTGTTGTTGAACCTGCTGCTCATCTCTTTCATCCTTGAGGCGTTGAATAGTTGTATTTGCTTCACCATACCTCTCCGCCGCTGTAGTCGCAACTCTAGAGGATTCCTGATAGGCAACGTCGAGTTCTTCAGCTTTGGCCTCGGTGGCCGCTATCTTGTCGTTTGCTTCTTGAATCTCTTGGACATATTCATCTCGAATGCCCTCCTGGATTGCAACTTGGGCCCATGTTAGTTGTCGGCGATAATCGCGCAATTTGTCACGCATAGCCTCATATCTGTCGGAAAGTGCAAGTTTGTTCGCCGCGCTGTCCGCCTTGCTCTTTAAAACCTTGAGATCCGGGGCTCTGGCGGCGATTTTGGCGCTGATATTGTCGAGTTGCTCTTCGATGATTCGGTAATCCTGATCAAGCTGTTCGAGTTGGACGCCCTTCATGAAGAATCTATACTTCTCAACCGGACTCGAGCTGGCAATGAATTGGCGCGCCTGATCTTGCGAGAGGACGGCCATGGGGTTTTCGATCTGCAACATCATATGATCGCAAATTTCTTCAAGGTCAGACTTCCGCGTAGACACCACACGGCCTTTTTCCGACTTGAGCTTGTAGCCACTACTGCCATTGCGCGAGATATGGCGTTCAACTTGAATCGTCTTCCCGTATACCTCAGGCATGTATGCATTTTCACCCTGATTCTTCAGCCTGCAGATGATGCTGGCGTGGTCTGTTCCTTCTTTGATGAAGTCTTGGAGGCGAGCGCCTCGGTTCGTTGACGATGCTTTCCCACCCAGACACAAGACAATGGCAGTGAGGATCGCACTCTTTCCGCTGCCGTTTTTGCCGCAGATGAAATTGATCAATGGGCCAAGTTCATAAGTCATATCCTCGTGGCACATGAAATTCTTGAGTTGGACTGCCTCCAAAATGCCGTATTCCGCAGGTTCATTATTACCATCTCCTCTGCTTCTGGCCTCGATGGCTTGGGTAGCTGCAAGCAAAGCCTCTTCGTCGTCTTCCTGCTCACCATCAGAACTGATCTCGGAAGGAGGGGTACTGGCGGCCTCGCGATCGCTCGAAATATCACGACGGACGGACGACTCGTCACTTGTAGTTCGTCTCCTCTTATTCTAGCCTCTTGTTAGCTTCATGAGCCCTCGTGTCCTTGAGGGAATACCATACAGAAGAGCGGCGGGGCGGCGACGACTCTAGGCTGCTTTCACTGTCATCGTCCCCACCTGCTAGCCTCAGGCGTTTCTGAGGCACCATTACGGTGTTTCTTATGAGATCGAACGGCTCGTCGAGGAGGGAGAACCCACAGGGATTTTGGGGTGTTGAAGCTGGGCAACTTCGGAGTCGCAGCCTGTGGAAAATGGTAGGCGCGGTCGCGGGCTGACGTTGACGCGTTACGGCGAGGGGGGCGAGCACGCGGTTATCATTGCCGGCTAAACTCCGGATGTGAAATCATTCCCCGATGTCGCAAAAGCGTTTGAAAGCCCTACATGCCTCGACAGAGACTTGCACCCATTTTCACTCTTTGTGTTCAGTCACAGCTTTAGCTTGCAGAATTGACGCCGTGACCACGGCTTCTTTCTGGAGAATGGCAGCAGCTTCGGCCACCAATGGGGAAAAGTCTAAATCCAAGGTATGAAAGACTTCGTGCAACGACTCGGCGAAAATAACAATCTAACACTTATGGCCCAACAGCCGAGTGCGCTGCGCTCGATAATAGCTGGCTCGACGGCTGGGGCAGTCGAAATTGCTATAACATATCCTTTCGATCTCCTCAAGACAAGATCGCAGCTCAACCGCCGATTACCAGATTCCAAAAAGCTCCCATGGCCTCCTTTTCCCTCGAAAGAATGGTATACTGGGTGCACAACGGCGATCGTGGGGAACTCGGTCAAGGCAGGCGTTCGATTCCTCGCTTTTGACACATATAAACATATGTTATCAGACGAAGACGGTCAGATATCTGGACCTCGGACGGTTGCCGCGGGGTTTGGTGCTGGGGTCACCGAATCACTACTGGCAGTAACCCCGTCAGAGTCAATAAAAACACAACTGGTAGACGACAGGAAGCGGGCGCAACCAAGAATGCGCGGCTTCATCCACGGGTCCATGGTGATCGCTCGAGAGAAAGGGATTAGAGGCTTTTTCCAAGGGTTCGTCCCGACAACAGCGCGACAAGCCGCCAACAGCGCGGTTCGATTCAGTACCTATACGAGCCTCAAACAATTTGCCGAAGGCTATGTGGCTCCAGGGGAGAAGCTTGGATCTCTGACGACTTTCGCACTGGGAGGCATCGCTGGCATTGTTACGGTTTACACGACAATGCCTCTTGATACAGTCAAAACGCGAATGCAGAGTTTGGAGGCTAGGCAGGTTTACAAGAACACTTTTCACTGTGCGGCGACAATTTACAAGAATGAAGGCATATTGACCTTTTGGTCTGGTGCATTACCGCGACTAGGTCGTCTCACTCTCAGTGGTGGTATTGTCTTTACGATGTGAGTCTCCTCGAAACGGGTCATTCAAATGAGAGACGTTCTGACTGTGATCAACTCAGGTACGAGAAAACTATGCAGCTTCTAGACCTCGCAGATCCCGACAGAAAATACATTTAATAGAGCATGAGGGAGTTTTGGGTCTCTTTACAAGGAAAAGCACTGGTGATTTGGAAGTATCATGCAGGAGTTCAAGGGTGTGGTTCTCAAAACAGAAGATGAAAGCAGATATTTGGAGCAGGCCCATGACCCTTGCTGACGAGCTTTTCAAGAGGATCGTGGCGACACAATGGGGGAAAAGCGGCAAGGCTGCAGAAATATATGGACCTGAGGCTTTCCATTCTCGTTATGAATGATACCCAAATTACGCACCCTACAAAACACGTTGTCACTCCTTGACCTTGATCTTCCTGACGATGCCCTCTCCCAACCTTGCCATCTCCGCCAGCACTCCATCCCTGTTGAACACACACATGTCCTTCCCTTCTTCTGCATCGCCGTCAGAATTGACGGGCACACTCGACCACCCCAATCTCACCCTCCACTCCTTCCGTCCCAGGACGTTGGGCTTCCACAATCCCGCAATCACCTGTCCACCGTACTGATCGTAGAAGAACAACGCCGCCGACCCGAATGCATGGTTAAGATCGCGCAGATAGAGCTCGACCGGGTTGTATCCGATCGAGTCCACGTCCATGCTCTCGGCTATTTGGAGGTTCTTAAACTCTCCATCCCCGTTCGTTTCGTCAGAGTTCACTTTGGCCATAGCTTTCACTTTGGTGGCCTTGATTCCACGAGCGACAGAAGGTTTCAAGTGGATCAGAAAATCAAAATCGCGCAGCGGACTCTCAAATAGCCCTCTCCAGTGGTCTTCTGTCATGCCTGTACCGTTGCTCTCGACCAGATCAAGCGCCGCACGCGCCAACGCGCTCAACCGACCCACAACGACGCGCGGAGGGTGCCCATCGACCGTCCACACCGTCCCACTCGTGTCGATATTTGTGCCCACAAACCAAACCACGTTATTCATCTGTGGATCTAGTTTCCTCCACGCCTCGAAGCGGTTTTGGATCTCCACGGCTTGCGCCGCGGTCAAGGAGTCTTGCGAGACACTCAGATCGATGATTAACGGCGAATAAGCCCAATCCCATCCTGCGAGGAAATGTAGACAGCGCAGAAATGCGGTTGTGACAGACCCGGGCGCACTCCACGGTGCAGGCTGGAGGAAGATATGGGCGGCCACGAGTTCGAGAATTTCCTCGGGAATATGTTCGTGAAGGAGGAGATGGGATGACACCCATTTCTTCAAAAGACGGATTGTACTCGACAACGGTGGAAACCGGGTGATCAGGTTGCGGATCGTGGTTGTGTGGATCGGTTTTGCCTGGAAGTCTCGTTTGTATGTAGCTAGCGCGATCGAAAAGGAGTCTCTCGAGGTGCCATGCAGAGATTTATCCGCCAAAGCGGTCTGGATGAGATGAGCCTCCCGATCATGGTAAATGCGGGCACGGAAGCAGGTTGGACTGATGCCGGGGGCTGGGGAAGGATAGATAATGTCAAGGAACGAGGTATTGAGATGGCCCGTTCTAGCGGACTCTGTATTCTCAATCCCGACACGTGTAGTGAGATTTGGATCATTTGAGTTGAGCAGCTCAGAAAGCTTGAGGAGGAATGCGATTTTAGTGTGTTGGATGGCCGGGAGGGAGTCTGGCCATCTTGTGGAGGAGTCAAACTGGATAGTGATATCGATGGGAGATGCAGTTGATGGGAGCAATGGATGAAGCGTCGAGCTTGAACGTAAGACTGGATCCGCGGGAGAAACTGAGCGGATTGGTAGCGGAAGACCTTCGAGATTGTGCAAACTCGACGTCAAGGTCTGAAAGGTTGAATTGATAACGCGGAAAGCGTCTTTGGGCGTAAACCCTGATGCGCTGTTGCCCTCTCCCAGAACAGTGGACTCTAGATCCCGTGCTCTTGTTTCGACTGAGCCCGGTGGCAGTTTGAAATGCAGGGCTGCAATATGAGTAATGATCTGGAACGTAACCGGGCGGCCTGCTGCCCACACTAGACTTTCAGATATACTGCCGTCTTTGAAGCGGCGCAGCTCTGCCTTTTCGCCCCAGAACTCCCGAAATTCGGTAGCTTCTTCCTTTTCATCTGCGGATGGACCACGATCAACAAGGCGGCCAACAGTCTCTGGATTGGTGACCAATGCAATGTGCAACTCGTAATCTTCCTTGCGGTGAGATGGGTCCTTGTTGACCGGCCAACCTGACTCTTTAGGCATTTGGAAGTCGATCAAAGTTATTCTGTCGCCTAATCCTTTCATTAAGACCCTGTGCATTTTCTGCAGAAATTGTCGTTCATCTGCAGGTGTCGACAACAAGCCAGCAGATATTTTAACAGAGTGTATTTCGTCGTACTGCAGTAAAGGTACCGCGACATTCAGAACAAAAGTTGCATCAAAACCATTCTGATTGCGAGAATTGACTGCAGCCAACGACACTTGAGCGTGGTGACGCAGGGATTGATATGACCAAGGAGACATCTTGTAGAGGATATTGACACCCGTCTCTCCATCGTAAAGAACTGGCAGCTCCGAGCGTGGGAGATCGAACTTAGCACTATTGAGAAGCATCGGTTCCTGCAGATCGCGCCCGCCAAGGATCTGAAGCATGGCCTTGAAAAATTGGACGCTGCTGTACTGTTTTGAGAACAATGGGTGGCCACGGTGACCTCCTCCGCGCGTCAACAGTGCGCATGCTAAGGTCCACTCCAAGAAGCCGAATCCCCCAAAGCGAACGGAACTGGAGAAGCCTCGCTGTCGTAACCAGAGTTGGCCGATCCGACATGCTTCATCGAAGGATGGGCTCCGTGCTGAGCGGACTAGGTGGTCAAAGGCTAGAAAGGATGCTGCGTACCGGATAGCACTGTTGTAGAATGGAGTTGACTGGTCACTTTCTTCTTTACTGGCCAACGTTTCTTGCCTAAGACAATTCTTTGCAGGTGACGTCTTTGCTAGAGGTATCGACTGGTTTGGGAATCCCACAGCAACCTGGAACTTGAACTTTGATAGATTTGCGTCCTTGGCCACGAGGTCGATGACCGGCAAAAGATCGACATTGTGCTTGTGTGTAAAGGAGATACTGAAATCACCTTGCTCACTGTTCTTGATTGCTGAAGCAATGCAAGCGAGATAGAATGCAGCCTTGTAGCACGCCCTGTTGTTGAGATAGTCCTTCTCCTGTAAGACACCATCAGGCATAATAGCTGTAACCTCTATGGCGTTCTCATCCTTGAGACTCAATCCCCATGGTAGAGCACCACCAACCAAAACTTGCTTCGGAGCTACAAAACCGAACTTGTAGTTTGTGTCTTTCGATGGTCGTGGTTCCGGAAATGGCACCTTGATTCCTTGCTTGAGAAGCAACTTTACGGCATCCGTTGCATTGACGGGCGAAATTTCCGGAATGTCTCTGATGAGTGATACAAGCTCGTTCGAGATAGCGATCCATCTGGGTCGAAGTTTGTCATAATTTGGTGTCAGCTGGGCATTCAGGTCAGCAACTTGGAGCCCGAGAATGGCTGATTTGTTAATTCCTCCAGTTGGTAGCACAGTAGACTTCAGCGCAGATGTCCGACTGGATTTCGAATCTCTATGCTGGAGAGGTCCCCTCGAAGCTAGACGATTTTTTTGGAGGTTGTCTGGAACATTGTCACCGCCACCGAGACTGGAAGAGGCTTCGGAAGGGTCGACACCATCCGCTTGCGAATCATGGCTGAGCTTCCGCCTCTTGGCCGAATGCCGTTCCCCCGACGTATTCTCGATAGACATGTCGACCGCTGGTTTGGTGTTGTCGCCTCTAAGGTGTCCTGAGCATGTTCAAGAGATCGCTCTTTGAGTACCGGGTGCCAGTGATCACAGCCGCGCAATTTCACCTGTTCTCACTAGATTGATTTCGTATCATGATCACAACCGAAATTTATGAGGAGTTCATGTCCAAGTCGTCGATCACCCAAAACTTTTTTTTGGCTGCCAAGACGAGTATTAATAAAAACTGCTCGCGTCTCACCCCGGACAACCCGGATCAGGCTAGTAGGCCGAGGGCCACGCCACGGGGAGCGAAAGTGCCTAGCGCCTCGGCGTGGACTCGCAGCCCACGCCTTGCTTCCAACCATAATATCCATGGCTTTCCATTTCACCTTACACGTGTGATCAGCAGCATAGGGGTATGCGATCTTTGTCATAGCCTTCGTGGTCGCTGCAAACAACCACCTCAGTCGCGGAATGCTAACTTGGGGCCTGTCCATTTTCGCTTCAAACCCCGAAAAGGCATATCAACCTGTTTGAGCTGTGAATCACCTCTCAGACGCGCAGCGGGTGGAGTCGTGTCGGTCTCAACAAGGCTTCGCTGCAGTCTCCAATTATTCTGTCGTTGGTTTGACGCTAGAAGTCTTTCGAGAGCATCGTTGAACGACTCAGGGGTAGCAAATAATGGACTGACACCGCCCTTGGACGAATCCAAGCACGAGTCCATGTGGCTCGTGTCGGAAGGGGGATGATCATTGCGCAAAAATGACATGTCATGCTCTCCAGGAAACTGCAAGGATGGACCATCCGAGATATGAAACAGAAACTCGGGTTCGTCCCGTCGCTCCGAGGAAAGTGTTTCCTCCGCGGATACCGAAGACGTTGACCGAATGGACCTAGGGTCATCCTTCGACGTCACAGCAACCTCACTACGGAAGACTTTCGAGTTATCCTGAGCCACCATGTACTCTGGGAATCGTTTGCGAAGCCGAGAAGACCCATTGATGACGCTGAGCGTAAAGTCATTGTTGGGACATGCTAAAAGGTTGATCAGGTATTGATTACTGGGACCTTTATTCAGTGATGGGAACGGGTCCATGTAGAATATAAGGCACTGTCTTTGCGCGAAAATGCTGAGGTGACTTGGAAGGCTCCTGCAGCTTCCCGAGCGAGCGAATTCGACAATTGGTGGTATCGTCATCCGGGTTCCTTCATTGTCAACCCCGGAGCAGTAGCATTCGTATGCCAATATCCTCGATAGGATGTTGCGTGATTGTCTTGTGAAGCCAGTCCATAGTCGAAGCAGAGGATGGAAAGGGTTGTCTGCAGGAACATCCCAGGTGCATGTCTTCATCGACACTGCGACGCGATAAACAACCTCTAGCGCATAAAGGACAACAACCGCATGCGCCTTTCTGCCGTTCTTTTTTCCAGCGCTCTTCTGGCTGATCTTGGTGCAAAGTGTCGCGAACTCTGAAAAGAGCATCTGTAACCGGAAGGCCAAGGTATAGATCATTTCCATGGATAAGAACTGGGCTGAGCCAAAGTCAGGGGCCGAACCACTGTCGACTACGGTGTTTCCCAGGTTGTGAAGAAGACAGAAATAACCAGTGAATAGCCTTGCAGTCGAGAAGAGATCATTTTCGTCGTCAGAAAGTTTGTGAGACGTCTCAAGAGAGTAAGCTTCTCCCCACATAGATTCTATTACAAACAAGTCGAGTTGGGGCATGCAGATGGCTGGGGCACGGAGTGAAGCCTGATCCGTTCCAGAACCGACAACGAAGGATAGCACCGTGAAGCGAGGTTGGAAGACAACTAGATGGTTACTGCTGAGATAGTGTCTGGACATTCTGTCCTCGAATACTAAGTCAAGTACAATTGGCGCAACAGCTCCGAAAGGCAGCGGCGAGGCATTGAGATACTTCTTCCGGAATGGAGCAATGTTTTCGCCCAGGTCACGGCACAGGAAAAACCAGAGTCTCCAGTCAAGATACGGTATATCCGTCAAAGTAGGAGGTGTTGCCTGTATACCAGGGAGAATGCTGCATCGCTGGCACAATGGATATCCCAGGCATGGACGGTTCCCCTTGTCGACCCGACAACATAGACAACGACGTTTCCTTTGACGCTGGTATAGAGGATCTGCACGGTTTCCCGTAAATCGGAAAATATCGCTCGATTCTAGATTTCGGGGGATTTGCGAGATGCGAGGAGCGCGAGGAGTATCAATGCAAATGGAAAGTCGCGGATCCGACAAGGCGTTGTGATTGAGTATTTCGGTCACTTCTTGGGGAGGAGGATGAAAGTTGGCAGCCGCTCCGACCAAAGCTGTATTGATTGGGAGCTCGTCGACGATATCGTGAACAACTGGCCTCGAAAAATCTTCCTCACCATGGTATACGTCTGCATGAATACTTGCCCATATCCTGGTCTGGGCGAATTGTGTGGGGCTCAGGTACTGAAATGCAGCCGCTGATTGATCAAAGTTCCAGCCGTTGGTGCACAGGATGGCTTCAGAAGTTGAGGGAAGGTCGCAGCCCGAGTCTGGCATCGCATTTGAAGCAGCACTGCCCGCAGTATACAAGGTATGATCAGAATGCTCAGGTGTTTGTTGTCGGAGTAGGGGTTCCAGCTGATTTTCATTCTCGCCATCCATATTGAAAAAGGCAGGCAGCAATTACGGACTAATAAGATTGGGGGGATAGTGTATAAAGGAAAAGTAGCATGGAGAGCGCTGGAAGTAGACCAATATTTATATCCCATGGCGTCTCAAGTTCGTGCCCGACTTTCTCTTCGCGTGAGTTTATGGGAGGTGCGTGTGAGAGAGTCGAAACTTGGACTGGTGCCCGAATTTACAGGGGGGTGTCGGTCGCTGAGGGTCTGAATCATTGGGCAATCGCAAAAGCTTGGCATTGAAGCGACAATTAGCGCTGCGATATTCCGAAACATATCCAATGCATCAATCTCATTGGCTGTCTCTCATTGGCTGCCTTGCTCTATGAGGGTTCTATTGGGTATCCAACGTTCCGTATGAGCCTCTGCATTGGGGTCCAGCATGAATGAATTTTTTTTTGGTTAAGGCTCTGGCCTCATGGGCCCTGCGATATTCCGCTCATGGGCTTTGTGTGAAGTGCTCCATTTTTAGCAGCTCGCAGTTTAACACGTCACTGATTCGGAATATCGCTCTGGATTTCGTGCACATCGAACTCATCGGACACGAAGCTCACATCTATAAGTCACTCGATGCTTCAAAGCGACCCGATGAGAGGAACTTCTTGTTCCCCAATCTGAGTTCACCCTATCTACTTGTACGACCAACCATAATATCAAATGCTTAGCGTCGGCGCGCCCTTCAGACTCGCGCAACTACCATCGTTCCAAAATTTCGATCAACATCAGCCGCCGCATGCAACTTGAGATGTCATCGGGCGCTGCGTACTTCATTGTTGGCACAACCTTGGCTATGTTGCTGGCTGGCGCCCAGACCTGGTACTCCGCTCGCCAAAGAAGGGTTTTCTTGGGTATGTCTTTGACCGTATCCCTTCAGGCACAATGGCTGAAAAGACCCCCGAGAGCAACTGCGAGCTTCGTTTCAGCCGAGTCAAGTATGACTCGGCTACAGGCTTGTCCATGGTGGCATTCTTGTCGATGTAAACCAGGGTATGCCCAGCCTACTCCGCCACACCCTTCTGCTCCCTATTTCATTTGTTGCATTCGACAGCCATCACTTCCCCATTTAGTAACTAAAACAACCCGGATCTCATAGAGAGGAAAGCAAGGATCAACAGAAGCCAAATGACAGAGCATCTTACGCTAAGAGAGTGTCGGAAATGCGATCCCGGAGTATTTCCCCCGAATGCACGCGATCTGAAGCCCGTGGACTCTGCAGCACTGTCTGATCGTGAGGGCAAGGGGCTGTTGATAAACCAGAAATCATAGGATACATCATTCATCTATCCAGGCTGTTCTTCTGCTGCACTGTTACACCCTAACCGAACTCCTCGTTGTCGCTGTCGGCCCTTTAAACCAGGGAGGTGTCTCTTCCACCTACGACTATGTATGATCTACTCTACTCAGTCCGGTGCTGTGGTATCATGGAAATCCATAAGAATCCTTGGCATGAATATCGAGGACTAATTTCGAGGTTTATAGGCTTAGCCTACTTAACTATTAGGTACTTAGGGAGGCCCGTCTTCGACATCATTTTAGCAGCCCTAACCGTTACTGGGCGGTTTGAGCTGCCCTCTTAGGGTTGGGTATTAGTCTGCTGCCCGCTCGTATTTCTTATCGTTCCATCATCAACTTTGTGCATTTCAGTAGGATATGTTCTATGTTAGCTCCCCTTAGTGGCAAGTGCATTGACTGGGGTCTGCTTGGTTAATGCTATAGTGACGATAGTAGGACCGCTGATCGAGGGGGTCGCATTTTGGAGGAGAAAAGCTCGAATCCCGAGAGAGCTGGAAGGGATCTTTTGTAAAGAGTACTTCGTGTAGAAGGGAGGCGGAAGTTAATGGACGGTTGCAAAAAGGGGACGAAAGCGGTCCAAAGGCGAAAAGGCGTAAAGAGGCAACGGTTAGCACGCCGCTCAGTTCAGATCCTCTTCTTGGCGCCGTACGCGGTGGACGAGTTCGAGTTCAAGGTCAAGGACAAGTGCGAAGATGAGCTGGGTGAGTGCGAAAGATAAGAGAGGAGGGTAAATGGACATTAAAAAGCCATCGTCAGGGTGAGTCGCACCAAGTCGCACGTAGGTTTGGGGCAGTTTTTCCTTGTCCTTGATTGCCAAGAGTCTAAATGTCTCTTTGGACCAATTTGCCGCCGCTTTCTTTTAGAGCTCTTTCGCCTCCAACCATTTTGACAAATCGAAACATCCTTTCAGCATTTGAAGCAATACTATCATGTGCGTAAATCAGAAGCCCTCTGGGTCTCTCTACGCACTTGTCTGCATTGAATCGATTGCCGACCTACTATAAGGCTTGCCTTGGCCTTGTTGTCGCAAGTCCCCCAAAAAGGAAACTAATCATAAGACCTCCGAGGTCGGAAAGAAAAATCTCTCCCACTGGGTGACTCCTAACCCCAATCGACTCCTCCCTTACAGTCTGCAAGAAAAAGAAAGCTTTTGCACACAAGCTCAGTGACGAAGGCTTCTGCCATGCTTGCAGCAGTCGGGCAACCAGTGCCCAATACCGCTCATGCTGTCAGTGTCTCGCTGCCCTCATGGGCGGCCACGGTGGGCTATGAAGAAGGGCAGGATTGGGTGGTGTCTAAGATGCAGACTGGCTACCCAAGGTTCTTCATTCATCTGACGATCCAAGAGCTTCAAAGGGAGATTTTAAGGCTGTACGGCAGATCTGGGGAAAGTGTCATGCTTTTCCCGTCTCCAGCAACCGCGAAAAGATGCCAGAAGTTCTTCTATGACAGGGTCGAGGGGTTGGAATCGGGGGTCGTCCGAATTTTACAGTTGGAGCCGGTCGTCGACAAACACAGAAGACACGAGACGGCCTTCTCTGGACTGGCATGTGCTTTCTTCCCCAAGGACTACTTTGGTGTCGCGAAGCAAGTCTGGCAGCACACTGGGGATGGGATATCGAGTCGCCGAGGAGAGTTCTGTTTAAAAGCATTGAAAGATGGTATACTCCAACCTGACACGGTACAATCAAAGTCGAAAACAGACGATATATTTACCAAAGGCCCTCGACGATATCAACGACCCACTTCCCGAAATGGAGTGTTTCATGACAGCGCCGCCTCCGTCGAACCTGTGGCAAACGAAACAACAAATGACGGCGGAGACAAGGACTATCCTCAATTCGTAGAGGAGCGGTTTGGTCGCAACCTCAGCGTCAAATTGGCCCAGCAGGCGAAGATTGCGATTCGTCGCAGAATCAGCGGGTGTCTCACAGATGATGTAGATCTGGATCAAGCATTGGCCCAATCTCCCAATAATTGCAATAGCAGACAAATCGGGCTTTCGCAAGACGACGTCTATCTCTACCCCTGTGGAATGTCATCAATCTTCAACACGCACCGAATCCTCTTGGCCAATGCCGAGGCCAAAGGACAACCCCTCCGAAAGAGTATTTGCTTCGGCTTCCCTTATATTGACACTCTCAAAATTCTAGAGAAATGGGGGCCAGGGTGCCTCTTCTATGGACTCGGAAGCTCAGCGTGTCTAGATGATCTCGAGCGGCGTCTCGGGGCCGGCGAGCGATACCTGGCGCTGTTCACAGAATTCCCGAGTAATCCGCTGCTCAACTCGCCTGACCTCCAACGCATCCGCACGTTGGCGGACACGTACGACTTCGCAGTTGTAGTCGACGAGACAGTCGGCAATTTCACCAACATCGATGTCCTCAGCCGAGCAGACGTCGTGGTTAGCAGCCTGACCAAGCTCTTTAGCGGTGACAGCAACGTCATGGGCGGCAGTGTGGTTCTGAATCCCCAGAGCAAGTGGTACGCCGAGCTTAAGCAGACGATGGCGCGCGAGTACGAGGACAATTATTGGGCTGAAGATGCAGTGTTCATGGAACGCAATTCGCGGGACTTCATCTCAAGGAGTGAACGGATGAACACGAACGCCGAAGCGATTACAACGATATTGCAGAACTGCCCGTTCGTCAAGCAGGTGTACTATCCGAAATGCAGCCCCAGCCGGGCCAATTACGAGGCCTGCCGTACGCCGAACGGTGGGTACGGCGGCCTGCTCTCTGTGACATTCCGATATCCCCAGCAAGCGGTCGCATTCTTCGACGCCCTCGAAGTTCAAAAAGGCCCAAGTTTGGGCACGAACTTTACGCTTGCATGTCCTTACACGATCTTGGCGCACTACACCGAGCTGGACTGGACTGCACAGTGGGGAGTGGAGGCGGATCTTGTTCGGTTGAGCGTCGGATTGGAAGAGCCGGCAGAGCTGACGGGCAAGATAGAGCGGGCTTTGAAAGCAGCAGGGGACGTGAAGGTATAAGAAGGGGGTTTCTCCCTTGGTTCGAAGGGTATGGTCAGAGAATAGGGGGCCATAGCTGTTCAACTCAGTCACCTGCCCCTTCTTGGATTAAGAAAGGAAGAATAATGGGGAATGCCTTATGAAGTCGTTCTAAAAGAAATGCTCTCACTGACCTGGAGCGCGAGGCTGTAGCATGCAAGGCTGCGTTCCTTGCCCCGCACTGCGGGATCGGATTCGTTTGTGCTCTGGTCAAATGATGGCCTCGTGCTGCTCCACCCCGCGAATCAACGTCATACGATTCACGGTTTTGGTGCTCAGACGATTCTCGGGAGTGCATGACCATCACCTTACTTTTTGTTCACTCTCGACGAGCCTTCCAGTCCGTTCGGTCGTCTCACACTTTGACTTTGCAGGCAAGTGACCACACCATCCCTCCATCTCCCTCTGTATTAAAGCCGTTTCTCCCGTGTTCCCAGTCACGTCGACCTGTCTGCAAATGTATGCACCGTCTGTCTTCTTCCAACATACTTCTATGTGCGGGCATTGCAGTCCTAACTCTAGCAATCTTCGCGCAAATCTTCGATCTGCCCAGCATTAGCATTACTTACCACGTCCCGTCGTTCCTCTCCTCGCTAACAGCCATGACTAGAATGGCGTGGCGCTGCTCCGGCCGTACAAACGCCGAGCTCATACAGAACCTCTTCAATGCGGGCGTCATCCAGGCGCCTCGAGTGCGCGACGCCATGAAGTCGGTCGACCGCGCGCACTACTGTCCTCACTCCCCGCATGCCGCGTACGAAGACTCTCCGCAACCGATTGGATTCTCTGCCACCATTTCGGCGCCGCACATGCACGCCGCCGCGTGTGAATCGCTCCTGCCGTTCATGCCCGAGAACAAGGGCGCGAAAGTGCTGGACATAGGGTCCGGTAGTGGATACCTGACGCACGTCATGGCGAATCTTGTCTGTGGGTCAGACGGCAAAGGTGACGGCAAGGTTGTGGGCATCGACCACATAAAGGGACTGGTGGACATGTCGAGGGAAAACATGCAACGGAGCCAAGAAGGCCGGCAGCTTCTCGAGTCGGGCAAAGTCGAGCTCATCACCGGCGACGGCCGCAAGGGGTACCCGGAAGGCGGTCCCTACGACGCCATTCACGTCGGTGCCGCCGCGGCTGAAATGCACCAGACGCTCATTGACCAGCTCAACAAGCCAGGACGGATGTTCATCCCCGTGGAAGACGTGGACGGCTGGGGAGCGCAGTGGATCTGGGTGGTGGACAAGGACAAGGACGGCAAGGTCACCAAGAGAAAAGACATGGGTGTCAGATACGTGCCGTTGACGGACGCCCCGGCTTGACAATCACAGAACCTACTCAAGTGGTGGCACAACTTGTGGAGGCGGTAGGTCGGGGGATTGGCTTATCCGGTAACCGAGTACGGCGACGGTAGCCTGTTGATGATGTACTGGTATGATTTTGCTACGGATCACGATTCGAAAACCTTACTACCGTGGGGGAATCTTGTATAACAAAGAACAAAAAAAAAAATATGCAATGACTGAATCTTCCGGATAAGGGTTCCGGACACGTCACAGATGGACATCACGGGTTATGTTGGGCAAGGTTGGGTTTGGTACGGTAGGGTGGTTTAAATGTCCTGTCCACAAGTACGGAGTACAAGTACTAAGTACTGTAGAGTCACGACTCAAATGTGTGTCATAATCAGGTCACGCAGAGCTCGGGACTAACACGAGATCAATACGGATCAATCATCAGGTTCTCATGCCATTCAGTTCTTCTTAGGCCTTCGATAACAGAGCTCGACGACCACTGGGGACGTAATAGCTCCCTACACTTCCGCCTCTCAATACCTTCAATTTCTATCCACCTGAAATAATAACGCTGTTTTACCTTGCCTCTACCATTGGCTCCTCGGCCACATAGTGCAAGTAGGCTCCCAGAAGCTTCGTTCCCTCGATGTAATTCCTCCGATCCAGCTTTTCATTAATACTGTGCGCCGCGTCCGTGGAACTACCCATCGGCAGCAACAAGACGTTCTTCCCCGTGGCCTGCTCGAATGTGATGGTCACGGGAATCGACCCTCCTTCCCTGGTCATGTCGGGTTCCACGCCGAAGACTTCCTTGACAGCCTTCGCGGCCGCGGCAAAGTTCCAATGCTGGGGAGAAGCGACCCACCATTTGCCGTCGTGCTGGCAGTACACGTCGAGGGTGTTTTTCGAGTTGAGTTTGGCGAATTCGTCGCGGATGTACTTGTAGACGCATTCATTGACCTTGGAGGACTCCATGTTCGGAACGGTGCGGATGGAGAATTTGCCAATGACCTTTGCTGGGATGACCGTTTTGGCTCCGGGGGCCGAGAACGCGCCTTCGACGCCGTGAATCGAGAGTGAAGGGTATCGCCAGCGGGCCATCAGTGTGTTTTCCTTATCAGAGAAGATGGCGGTCTGGGAGCCCAGGGATTCGTACAAGTTGTCCATGGTAAATGCGATAGGTCCATAGAGGGCTTTCTCCTCCTCGGTGAGCGGAGCGACCATTTCGTTGATGCCAGGGATAAGGATCTTCCCGCCGTTATCGACGAGTTTGCTAAGAAGAAGCGTCAGGTCGGTCATGGGCTCCTGGGCAGTGCCGCCAAAGACCCCTGAATGAAGGTCCTGTCCGGGTCCGGAAATGGAGATGGAGTAATAATTGCATCCTCGCAAACCGTAGGTAAGGCACGGTTTCTCTGTTCCGAGCCAGTAGTTGTCAGAGATGCAAACAGCGTCGGCGTCCTTGAAGAACTTCTTGGCTTCGGCGTTGATGAAGTCGTCGAGACCTTCGGAACCGTACTCTTCCATGCCCTCGAAACAGCAGAGTAAATTGACAGGGAAGTCGACGCCGGCCTTCTGGTGAGCTTCGATGGCGTTCAGCCAGCCCAGCACAGGGCCTTTGTCGTCGGTGCTGCCACGACCGTACATGCGTCCCTTGTCGTCGATGGTCAACTCGAAAGGTTTTGTGGCCCATCCGTCCTCCACAAGGGCGGGTTGTACATCATAGTGTCCGTAGACCAAAATGGTGCGCTTGTTCTTGTCATTGCCGTAGCGAGCGATGACGACGGGAGGGAGATCAAGATGTTCTTTGCCTGGTTGTTTTCCTAGCGGTCGTTGTTGCACCTCTGCCCCTAAGGATTCGAGTTCAGAGGCCAGGAATTGACCCATCTATCATTCTTTCAGTCACTTGCTAGCAAATGCAACTTCTTTTGGTCGCCTACCCGGAAGACATCCTTTCTTCTTTCTTCATCTGCTGAGACGGAGGGGATAGCCACGGCTTTTCGTAGTCCTAGAGAGAGTGATGATCAATACCCCGCCAGTCATTGAGGTTGCAATGTGTCCATACGGTCAATGAAGGAGTCTGCAAGCTCGTCCACCCTACACTTTGTCAGAACACTGCAAAATCGAAGAGTCCCGTGGCCTACTTCTTAAAATAGGGCTCCAGCTGCGGTGCCATCCTGTCGTCTGAGATGTGGCCGTAGTAATCTCGTGTACTGGAAGGATATCTCAGGGTGCGCAGCGGGTAATGAGGTCGGGATGCAGTGCCTGACGAAGAAACAGTCCTGAAGAGTCGATGGGGACCTTTGGAAGAGGTACGACCTGTGCAGAATGTGTGGAGCATGTGTTGGCAGGCTGATTGCCTCTTGACTGAGCTGGATGCGGTTTGGAGGGTGGTATTGATTTTGGAGATCTCCGCATTGCAAAACACGTCTGAAAATTGTACAAAATTACACCCCTAGCAGTGGTGCTAGGTAGTACTCTAATTTGATGCAGAAAGAGACAATGCGCCTGCACGCAAATACTGCGTTTTGTTCATATCTGTACACAGCTTCAGGCATCTCTATACCAGCGTTCCTTTCTGATCTGTCTGTCCTCACGTGCCTCCCTTCTTTTCTTGCCCCAGTTCGATTTGACTATGTCGGTCACCATCTTCTGCTCTTTGCCTTGCTCGGGCGCCAGTCCCTCGACGACCAAGTGTGTAAAAACCGGAGAACAGTCAAACTTCTTCGATAGCCGACTGACGCTCCATTGCGTAGGGTCTGTCCTTCTCAATTCCCGCATCTCCGCTAGGTCCTTCTCCGTCAAGTGGTATCTTTTTTCCGTCTGCCCAGGGATGGCTGGAAGCTGCTGAGCCGATTGTAGGAGTGTGTGTTGGGTTTCGGGGTCTGGAAACACTTTTCTGCGGTCATTCTTAGGAAGGAAGATATTGGGCGTGTGGTAGACATTGGGCATGCTCGGAGGAGGGTTGAAGATGATGTGATCGTGTAGCTCGGTCTTGGAAGGTAGGAAATCCGGATCTGGCTTAATATTGAGTCGGGATCTTGTTCGTCTGTAGGATGATTGATGTCGGCGGAAAGAGGGTTGGAGAATTTGAGCGCAGAGCTTGTAGAACCGCGACGATGCGGTCGATGGCGCCGGGAAGAGAGTCGTCGACTGCATGTTGACAAAGACAAATGCTCCGTCTATCGGCAAATGTCCAAGCTCAAAAAGATATTAACGCTCTTCAAGCTGGTCCCCTCGAAGCCTGGTGTCAATGATTCTAATGAGAAACAACTTTCCCACTGCTTGACAAGTCGAGGCTATCGTCGATGAGGCATGATCTCGAATGGCGCACGGGGACTCCGGAGACTGTAGGAATATTGAGTTGGACTTCTCCCGGGCCTCGACGATGACCGGGAAAGTTGAGATGCCGAAATGCTCAATTGTGCTGTGCTTAGGGGGGCGGAACGAAGGTTTGAAGGATCAGCAGCTCGCGCAATCAAGGTTGACCAGCGTTGACCAGTAGCATTGGAGCGCAGGCAGAGAGTCGTCGGGTGGCTTGGCAGGTTTGGATTAGCTCATCGGTTGTTCCACTTGTCACAAGACATGGGCGGTGCTGGGTGATGCACTGACGGTGATGTTGCGCCCCCCTGAAACTGCAGGTGCTGCCAAAAACGGGGGCCTAATTGCCCGTGGGTGCCCCCCCTAAGGTGGGCACCATGGACACTACCGTGGCTCCCACTGGGCTCTGCTGGGCTTGCGAGCTCAATTGGACAATGGACACAGATCATGAGCTTCCCTTCCTTTCCTAGGTCAACAGGTGTGTCTCGCACTGTGGCTCTCTGGTGCCTCCCGTGCTCCGAAACATTCACCAAGGAACACTTCCATTCCTCAACTAGTGTGTACAGGCTATGTACTACTTGTGACTACTTGCCGTCCCCTCCCAGGTTTCCTTTCTCAACAACAAAAGCAAATCGACTGCCATCCTCACTCTCACCTCCTCTCCAATCCGCACCAACCCACATACTTTCGTTGCACAGGCCCTCTGTTGTAATACCCTGCACTCTCCCTCTCGTTGTCCAGAGAACGACGCTCAGTCCATCAACATCGTCTGCCTCCCACCTCGTATATCCTCCCTCCGGCGCCCGCTGCTCTCCGATCTTCGTCCACAACTGTCGGTGCCGCAACTGCGTGGCCTGGCGCGAGCGGTTTACTGCTACTCCAAATCAGCTCCCATTGGAATCTATTTTAAGAGTCTCTTTCTGATTTCTTGTCTACAAAATGTTGTGCTTCGAGCGCTTTTTCTAAATCCAAGTCACCTGTCGACGGTCTACCATCTATCTTGGCCTAGTGATCTGGGTCAATTCCGACTTGAAATACCAAATAACACCATCACTTGACTGCAACGTATCAGTCCGCCGTCATGTCGTCGAAAGAGCCATCCGTCCATGACAAAACCAGTGCTCCCAGTACCGAGTCAAAGGACTCGGCCGCTCCGTTGCTGAGAGAGTCCTCTGGTGCAGTCACCGGAGCGCTGACTTCGGAATCAACTTTCGAAGAAACTGCAATAAAGCCGCGGAAGAGAGACTTTTGGAAGTTGGGCAAGAAGCCGGAGGAAGACAAGCACCATGCAAAGGGAAAAGCCACCGCTGCCTCGAAATCCTCTTCCTCTACTGCGAGCCCTTCTACTGGATTGAATCCGACATCACCCATAAGATCCCCAGACTCAGTCGGGAGCTCAGTATCACCCCACAGAGGCTCGATGGCTCATCCCTATGGCATGCCGGGCTCCCCCGGGTACGGGGTGAGTAACTCGTCGCCCAGACCGCACTCGCCTGCATCTTCCATGATCTTCGAGCGAAATGTCCAGGAAGAAATCGCCCTTCCCGAGACGTCCCCACACTTGCCTACTCACGTCCTAATCGAAAATCACATTGCGCCCGCTCTGGACGCATCTGCGGAGGCCATCACGAACGAAAAGCTGGACCCCGACACTGTGGAAATCGTCACTCATGTCACACATCAACCGGCAGCCGTGACAATCTCCGGTCTTGGAGCCGAACATTCTCTGGCTTCTTCGGTGCAGGAAGACTTCCCTCCCGCTTTTACGCACCGGCAAGACGCGGACACTGGGTCAAATTACGGCTCCTTGGATTCAACCGATGTGCGGCGCCTGAGTTTTATCTCCTTCGCTGATGTCGTTCACGGTGAACAGGAGCTTGGAGATACGCGCCGCGACTCGACCCATCTGTCGGGGCACCCGTCCCTTGTCCCAGCCCGCTCACCTTCTCCTATTCGATCGCCCACTTCTTCGGCAGCGTTTGGAACATCACCACCTACAAGTGTGACTGCCTCTGTCAAAGGATTCGAGACATCTCCCAACCGAGCCCCAAGAGGCGCTGGAAGCCCGCTACCGGGACAGAGCTCACCTCTTGCGGCTGGGAGTGAGATCAATGTTGAAACGATGACACAAGCGCTCCGAAGGACCGGGAGCGGGGATCTGAGCCATTTCCGCAGTCCCCCACTCAGCGCAGTGGGCAATGATGATGGCACATACGAGCGGCCGTTCAGATGAGTAAATGCGACAATGAGATGACGAGCATACCAGCACGAGGCGACATGATCTACGCGGGCGCATATCATGGTGGAAGTTATACATCTTGAGGAGAAGGAGTGTGTGGATATTTGCGACAGGTAATATGGCTTGTTTTTTTGGCACGCTGACCTTCTACAGGAAGGCGTCTTTTCGTTTCATTAGGACACTAGATACCACATTTTGCTGAATGATTATGAGCTTCTGCTGCTTGCAAGAGAGACAAAACTCTTGGGCCTCGATCCAACGTACATGTCCAAGTCTCGTTATTGGCCGGGCGCAGTGTCGCCTTCAAAGCCGCATTGACATTGCAGCATCTCTCAACTTCGCCTTGGCCACATGACGGTGGGCGCTGATGGGCCATTGTCGCGATCCCAGGCCCAGACCTCGGCCAGGTCTTCATCAAGGCTACCTTCAAGCATCTGAGTGACATGTTTACCGAGGATGGGAAAGGATTTTCAGCCATGGAAGGAAGCCAGCTGTGGCGCCGAAAAGGTTCTTGCGATGATGATGAAGACAGATGGCGAAATCCTCGTTTAGTGTTGTGGCTTCCCTGTTCCGCTGTCAAAAAACTCTTCACTTTGACTTGTCTACACTCGGCTTGCCATTCCTGTTCAATCCCTACGCCTTGAACCAGTTTACCGACAATGCTCTCGCCCACTTGCCTGGCTCCAGTTTCCACGGACGGCGTGATATCCCTCTTCCCATGGTCAGGCTTATCTAGGGGCATCGAGATCAATTAACCTAAAGCCTAGTTGACACTATTCTTGTGGGGTATATTGCACCAGATCTTCAGCTCATTGTCTGAATTCGGTGGTATGATACCACCCGCTTGATCATCAGTCTTCGACCCCAGGATGTCGTTGCTGGGAAACATGCCTCGTACCTCGTCCAGGAAGCAGCTCTTATCAACAAACTGGCCGCACGACGGGCATCCAGCTTGGCCAGACCTGTGCCAATGGCTGCGGCAATCATACGGTCACCAGCCTGGAATTCTTTATCAGTCGGGTGCACTGTCAGCAAGGAGTTTTGGCGCTTGCGGCATTATATAGGATGACATGATCAGCAGACAGATTTGATCCAGCAGCCCAAGCGCAGAGCTTTGCACACGCCGTCAACGTGAAATCCAACAACTCGACAGTAAAGGGGATGTCCGGCATCGATAGCAATCTGCAAGACGGCGACTTCAAGGCTAACTCAACGTCTACCCAGCCAGAGCTCTCAACACCTCCGAGACATCAGTATGGTCACCGTTGTCAATCATCCGGCTGCACATGTTCTCGGCTTTTCCATCGGCACAAACTTACAGTCTCCATCAGTTCCCAGACGCCGAGAGGATTCTATTACTGTGCAAGCCAGCTCGGTGTCGGAGATGCAGAACATACCATCCCCAGGCTACCATTCTTAAAGAACGGGCCTGTCCTCAATATGGCCCCAAACGCCAGTCATATGTATCGGATGTGGTCTCAGTCGGCTCTATGATTTCTTCGCGGGAAACAACGGTTCTTGGGAACCCAACGGCTGCCGTTAGCGGGCAAACTCAAGTTATGCAGTGAAGGGAGGCTATACCAGATAGTTTACGATATTGGGATACATAGAGAATCGGCAGGGCTAGGGACCTGACACGGTCACCCTTGAACCGACGGCTGCGGGACGCATCCGGGCTGTGAGACGATTCGGACCAGAACAGTAGCTGATACAACGAGTCATCGAGCGTGGGCATTGCCAAATGAGACAATCCAAGTTTGCCGTCCGAAGTTTTGTACGGAGGCTCGAGCCTGTGAATGGCGTGTGCACAACAGTCCGCCAGACCTCCCAACACCAATCACAAGGGCTTATAAGCCTTCAGGTCGCTGTCGGGCGTATCTAGTGTCGCCGAGATCAAGGTGTAGAAAGCGGGCTTCAGGCATCGAAAGAGTACTGACTACCTACTTTCATGTACAGCCTTGCCTCTCAGCTAATTCCAGCGCAGAAATAGGTGGGCCAAGGCCATCAGACGCCTCTGCTTTCCGCTTTAGGCTAGCCAAGTGATTTAGGGTAATAAAAGAAAGGCTTCAGGCCAGTTAGAGGGTTCTGATGATTCCGGACTGCGTATGTAGGTACCAGATGCGAGTGGACATGGGGGGATGCATGGGGTTCTCTGAAGGTACTGCACGCTTGTTCCGCCTGGTCTAATAGACTTGCCACTGATGTGCTGCGTCATGCGAGAAGACTGGGCGCCGGATGCACCGCCTGGGGTATGAGGGGAGGCTGTGGCTCTCCTTGTCGCTGAGTGCCGACGAGTCGTGCCCAAGATGCGTCTTGCCCATGTCGAGAGACAGTCGAGCAAAAGTTGTTATGGAGGATGGTCAAGTCCAATCATGTCAAGCCAGGGCAGACTCGGTCAGCTCTGCACACGAGCCTGGTCTTTGGCAATGGAGTATAACTACTCCCCGGAGAATACATCTCGTTGCAAAAAAAGGTCCAACAATTCTCCCTGCAAAAAGCTATCCCTATTCCATCTTCACTCTGTCCTTGATACGTGCCCGGCCGGGACGCCAAGTTCGACATAAGTCGCCATCATGAAAACACACAAGCCTGTCTTGCCAGGGATCAAAATTGTTGACAGCAGTGAAGCAGAGTCTCACATCCATAAGACGGCAGCTGAGGATCAGAAATATCAGCAAAGCCCCTCATGGCTGCCGGAGCCTTCAAGACTTGTCAAGAGGCCCAAGTTGTCACATAGCACCTCCGGAGAGCCAACAGCACCGACCGTCATTTCACCAAGGACAGGCATAACCAAGGCTACTACCTTTGTCGAACATGACAGCACAGAGCACTCTGTACTCAATAGTGAACAGACGGATTCCACTTGCCATTCCGGAAGCAGCAAGCATAAGTTCGATCACGCCACCGAAGATACTTCCTCGGTGACTGAAGAAGAGGTGGTTCATACCCAAACAGATGCATTGGACACAGGTCTGGGAATTGACCTCGAGCATGCCGCCAAACTTAGCTGGGATCTTGCCCAGATTGGCGCTTTTGTTGACGACGAGGAGGAGGAGGAGGAGTATGTTTGTAATTCTCCCTGTACCTCTGGAGACATCCACTGAATGTGCATCGCAGGCTTACCGAAGCTCTTCTTGCCGCACCAGATGAAGTGCTCTACACCGTGGCGGCGAGGTTGGAAGGTATATTGAAGAAGGCCGAAGATGTCCTTTCGAAACTCAAAGCGGCGCTCGAGAGTGTCGAGCAAGTCGTGTCTGATCAGGGGTTATGCTGTTAGGTATTCTTGCGTTGGTGTACTGTTGTTGACTGCGTCCGAGGAGTCTTTCAGGGAATGTGTATTTCAATGTCGCGGTCCCCGAATATTGAAGGTGACCCTGGATCATGACGATGCTTCCCGGGCCAGGTGATTTCTGTCAATTAGTTTGTCGGGAGCAGCCTCTTATTCATAGTCGTTGTTTCGGGCCATGCGCTTCTCTGTGGTCCTTGACCGATTAGTAGGTCCATGGAATTCACTGTTCTCTTCCAAAATCCTTGTCAGGAAAAATTTTTCTCCTGTTGAGGCGGCGCGTCGGTTCTGGCGTCGCTTTAAGGACTCCATCACCCCCAGGCATTCGAGTCGCGAGCTATATCCGTAAGATCTCATTCCAGCAGAAGCAATGGCGATGCGGCAAGAGCATTGATTAATCTTCAACAATACCAATATACCAAGTCTAACCACACAGCAAGGTATAAACCACGTCAATGAGTCCCTCGGTTTCTTCGTCGTGCCACTCCTCCCTCGCTTCTTGAAGGTCCTCCTTCGCGGGTGTGAGATCGTCGCCTCCCAAAACAGCCACCAGAAGCAAGGCTCCGAATATGGTCATGAGGGCGCAAATCGCGAGCCACGCAAAAACCCTGGCAAAGGATACCTCGGCCAGTTGTCTCGACACGCTGGGGATTGCGGTGTAGGCCAGGCTTTTCTGGTCTTCGTCAAAGGAGTCGTGGTACATGTCCCATGCGGCGAGATATGCTTGACGCATCAGAAGCTCGACGTAGTGGTCGATGTTGTCGAACGTGGGCAGGAGGGTCGAGTTCATGACAGCAATCATGGTCATCAGGTCTGGCAGCAGCCACACGGCTTCTTGGACCCATGGGTTTTCCTCAAAGACGACCTCGTCCAGCGGCGTTTGGTCCTCGACAACGCGATTCGAGACGTACTTGCTTTGCGGGCTGGTGGTGACTCCGGCGGTGAAGTTGACTCTGCCAATAAAGTAGCAGTTTCCGTTCGTCGAGTCGCCCCAATTGAGGAGATATCGACTCAGGTGGTCCACGCTCCCAAAGATTGTTGGGTCGAGCGCAGAACAAGGCGGATCCTGGTTCGCGACGCGCTTGACCATCATTCCCACGGTTTGCGCCTTGTTGAATATTGTCGGCGCCGGCTTGCTGTACCAGTCCTGTGACTTGTTCCACCCGACAAAGTCGTCAAAGACCACCGCCGTTCCGGGTCGGTAGTATGACGAGGGAGGGTCATCGACAATACTAAGGCTGCTCGAGTCCGCGACATAAACCCACTCGGCACGAGGGACTTCATAGTCAGCCCTGTACCACTCGAGGCTGTGGATTCGGATGCAAGGCACTGTGGCATTGAGGAGGGTCGAGTTGGGGCCCACCATGTCATGGCTCTGTACGACATGCCGACATCCGTTGCCAGTCAACGACGTTCCGTTTGCCGACGTGGTCGTCTGATCGCTCCACACCAAACCTGCGTAACCGGCTGCGGTGCGCAAGTACGGCTTGCGGTCGAGACCAAAGGGCTCGAAAGGGTAGTTGTACCACTTCCAGCCGCCAAAATCAGCCGTGCTGTCGACAGCAGCCACAGAAACCCTCGTGTCTGGCGTTGGTACTGGGGTGGATGTCCAGTTCACTGCGCCAGTAATGATGGGGGCGATGAAAGTTTGGACGGCAGTGATCAGGAGTGCGACAGAGATGACCCATTGACGAGGGTTCTTCGGCTTGTTGAAGTGCCGCGGATGAAGCCATGGCGGCAGTTTCCATCGCACCATCCAGCTGACCTCTTTGGCCTTCGTTGTGGTGGCGATCTTCGGATCTTGAGCCGTCGATACAGAAGTAGTAGCGGACAGCAAGAAATGGCCACACGCCCATACCGTGAGCGTCGACCACGCTCCAACCAGAAGCTTGACGATGACCAAAGCAGCCGAGACTATCGTCGTGACATCTGCAACGCGCAGGATCAACTTGCCGTCAACGTACGTTGCATGGCTGGCAGAATCATCGTCGAGAGCTTCATACCCATTTATAGCAAGGGCAATGCTCAGGGCGAGGGCAGTACACACAGCAAGGTGTGAGAGAAGAATAACCCAGGCCTTGACTTTTGGCGGCAATCTGAATTTCGATTTGGAATTGGTAATGTTGTTGGTATTGTTCGCTCCTTGGTGGTCATTTGGCTTCTTGCCGTGATGGTCAGGCTTCAAAGCCGTCTTCTCTGGCGTAACTGTTGGCACCGGAGCCGGTTTCTGCGTAGCCATCTGGAGGATTTGGAGGATAGAGCGGGCTTCTTCTTTGACGCATGCAGTATCATGGGAAGCATCTACAAACAACAGTTGCAGAGCGACAAGGCAGCAGCACAAAGTGAAGCCGTCGCGCAAGATCTAGTGCGGCTCGGGCTCAATTTCCTTGACTGGGAAATTCGCACGGCTCATAGTACTGACGTTTATCGACATTCTCGACTTTAGATAGAGCGTGGGGGGGGGAGGAGGAGGGGCTGGTAGCACTTCGCCTTTGCTCTGTGCGGCTGAACGCTTTCCTTCGTTAGCAGTACTTACTTACATAGTAGACTGGCTCAAAAGAGAAAGGAATCCTTCAACTGACGGGCGCTTTCTTTTCCGTACGCAGTAGTTGACGGGGAACCTGGGCTGTCCCGGCCACCAGAGAGGAAGGGCGACTAGTAGGTGCAGCAGCTTCTGGCCGCATGCATCCTAGTCTCGGGGGGTAGTTTTGCATTAATGCATCCTATGAACTGGCATCGTTGGCCTCTCGGGCGAACTTGCAAGAGACGGCCGCCATACTTGCAGGATCGCTGCCCAAAGGGTAACAGATATAGGTGCATTGTACGTAAAACGCGGCCTATTCTGTCGAGCTGCTTCCAGAGTTGTAGTGAGTAGTAAGAAGTAGCCGACTTCCTGCTCTTCAGCCCTCGCTAATCAACTAGCCCACTGGTTGCTCGTCGGTCGCATCCGCAAGGCCCGGAAAAGGATCGCGTGGGATGTGATCTAACAAAAAAGACTGGATTGCTGGAAAAGAAATATGAAGGACATGAAAACATTCAGGAGACGAGCGCACGATTCCGCAACTACTGTTGAAGAGGGTATTGCATGGCTTCCGCCACGATTCCTCGAGGAGGATCACGGCGACAGCCTCGGGCTGTTGAGGGAGCTTCCTAGAGCTTGTCGAGCACCGCTGGAATGCCAGCTTACCCACCATTCACAGAGTATCGCCCAGTACTATTCCGGCCAGCGGGGTGCATGAAGAGGTGGCGGCAGCCTGGCGATCACCTTGGTCAACCAGAGGCGATTTCTTGTCCGACGACATCCTTAATAGGGATCTTCTTGACAAGGCCAGGTCAAGGACAAGGCTAATGAAGCCCGCAATCTCGTAACGGTCGACACGGCCTTGATCAATCAAGAAGATATCAGCAAATGAGATCTTCAAGTGCTGCGCGTTGGCGGATTTCAATAGACACGCCGAAAATGTCTTCGTGTGCCTAGACTGTGGATGTTTGGCAACGGCGAGATCCCTGCTCGATGTCATGGGCACCGATACAACCTCGCGAAGCGGCCTCATGGGCTTCAATCCAGGCCTCACTCAAAGGGTGGCTAGCGATTCTCATGTCTGACTTGGTCGTCGAGGGATCCTGCGGATCGCCATCAGTCGAAAATCTATCAGCCGAGTGCAGCGAAAGAGGGCGACGGGTGTGGCGACGGAGAGGATGATGGCGTTACGGCCGGTAAACAAGCTACTCTCCAAGCTCCCAAAGAAAGACTGCAAATAAAACAGACAGCCATATGGGCGGCAGTGAGATGGGAAGGAAAGGGAAGAAGACCCGTGGACGGAGTTAACAAGCAACTTACCCCTGAAATACCTAGCCTTGGCGGCTGGTGGCACCACGTCTTTAACGACCCAATGCCTCGGTACTCTGTCCATTCCCCATGCCATCCATGTAGTATTCGGGTTACGCGTCGAGGGGCCTTAGGGAGTCCTCAATTTCGAAAAACAGACATATACCGAGTATATATCCGTCAGCGACGTGTCGCCCACAAGACATACCTTTCAAGGCAGCGAGCTAGCAGCTCCAAGCACCAGGACCAGGCCAGACAGAACATCAATATCAAGCGTGTGTGTCGACAGGCACAGAGTATATATATACATCTTTCAACGACAACATCATGGCAGTCCAGTCCACCTTGTCCGACCGCTTCTCACCCAGGAGAATCATTCCCGAAACCGTCTTCAACCCTCTCATCACAGGTGCCTTGCTCGTCTACACCCGACGCAACCCATCGGTGCTCCAGGCGCTCCCCTGGCCACCAAGCACGATGACCCTGACACTACCCTTCCAACTGCCATTCAACCTCCCCAACAGCGTCAATCTCAAAGCCACGCCACCGCTAAAGACGCTGAAATATCTCTTCGCCTTTGGCCTGCTCGTGCACATCAACCGGATCCTCAGCCGCATGGCCTTGAACTACTGGCACGTGCAGAAACAGGGCGTGCCGTGGGATTTCCAGACAGCGGGCAAAGAAACCATCTTGATCACGGGTGGGTGTTCGGGATTTGGAAAGGAGATGGTCAGGATGTTCGCCGAGCAGACCAAGGCCAAGATCATCGTGCTGGACATTCAGGAGTTGCCGGATGATCTGAAGAACAGTAAGGCGGCCAACCCATTATGCTTAGGACATGAGAGCAGGATCAATCATACCCCCCGCCCCCTGTATTCAATTCCTTAGCCAACAACTAACCAGTGTCTTTTTCCAGTCCAACGCTTATCCTACTATAAAGCCGACCTGACCTCGACATCCTCGATAGTCGAGGCCGTGGAACTTATCTGTCGCGATGCTACACCAACGGTGCTGATCAACAATGCCGGGATCGCGCAGGCCCACACGATCCTCGACACCAGCGACGCCTGGCTCGAGAAGATCTTCCGTGTCAACCTCCTTAGCCACTTTACGCTGATCCGCCTACTCTTGCCCAAGATGATGGCGCAGCGTAAAGGCCACATCGTGTCCATAGCTAGCGTGCGTTCCCCCAATCCCCCCGGCCCTCCCAACCTCCAAAAAAGTTTTTGTAGTTCAGGAGCCGTGCGTGCTCGGACAGGCTAACACTGGAGGTACAGATGGCCAGCTATACAGGATGCGCGAGCCTCGCCGACTACTGCGCCACAAAGGCCGGCGTGCTGGGCATGCACGAGTCCCTCGTCGCCGAGCTGGGGACCCGTTACAAGGACCAAGGCGGCCACTGCATCCAAGCATCCATCGTGCACCCCATGTGGGCGCGCACGCCGCTGGTCGGGTCGTGGGAGAGGGAACTGTCCAGGTCTCGGGCGTCGGTCCTGGAGCCGTGGGAGGTCGCGGCGAGAGTGGTCAGGCAGGTCCTACGCGGGAGGAGCGGGAGTGTCTACGTCCCCGAGAAGTTCTGGGTCGGCAGTCTGCTGAGAGGGCTTCCGGACTGGGTGGGCGTCAAGTCCAGGATGGGCACGGCACGGGCAACGGCGACGACTCCTGATTCTACACCGTAGTCTCTCTCATGAACGGGGGGGGGGTTTTTTTCTCTTCGGCGTGAGGGCCCTACAAGGGAGAAGGGGTTACAAACGTAGCCTAGCCTAGCCTTTACCATGTACAAGGACATGGGGCAAGGGTGACACAGCCGAAGTAAGTGCGCAAGGTGATAGCGAGCCGGAACAGAGCGGAATGAATGTCATATAAATGCACCGCGGCGTTTCGTTTCCTGTTTGTCGGTACTGCAGTGTTGACGTTGATATGGAAGGAACCTCTAACAGGGGGGCTTTGCTAAGCCGTCGCTTGAGCCAAGAGCCCTTCTCCATCTCTCTGGAGAGTTAGAAGTAGGCCCAAGCGAGCTCAGCTCGGTCCGAAAAGGCTGGGATGCCGCCGTTGGACAGCCAGGACAGATTCGTCGAGGACAGCTCCCTGCGGAGTGTGGTGATTCCGCCTTGGATGTTGAATCCGAGGACCTTCTGATAGCTGGCATTGCGTATGTCACATAGCCTTGTATGACACCGAGAAGGGGGGGCAAACCGTCAATGTCGACGGGAAGGCGTCTAGACAGATGGAACAAGCAAATCCCGAGGAGACTGAATTGTCACACGTTCACGGGCGGCAAGAGGGAGTCAGTCGTGGTTGGATGGATGGATGTCTATATAAGTACTCTGCACGCCCCAACTCGAATCACGCACCTGTCCTCGACCCACCATCGAGGGCTCCTGGGTCCCCAAGGTTTTTGGGAATAATGATCAAGAGTCCTCCCATCCCTTCCAACGTCTCCCCGACTTTCTCCAACAGCGAGTCCACATATTCAGTCCGTGATGGCACGAAGCGGGAGGAGGACGTGGATTTACCACGCCTTGGACCCTGAGCGTCTAGGCAGATTAAAGACCCAACCTCGACCACCAACTGAGACTGCCCAACTGTCAACGACACAATACGCAGTTATCTCGAAATCCTCTAGCGAGAAACTAGGAGCTATCCTTTTTTTTTTTATTAACTCGATCACGGTGCATTAAATGTATGAAGAGCTGGGACGGTATAGCATGGCATCACACGAACAGCCGACGGATGAAACACATATGAGTATAACATATATACATATATATATATATACGAGTTACAAGGATTCTGCAAAATGGAATCTCATCATCTCCTTTCTGGCTTTTCCCCCTATGATGGTCCCCCTTCCTCATTCTCCGTCCTGGTCGTCAATCATCGTCAAACCAATACCCCATTTTCGGCCTTTTGCTTCAGACTTTTATATTGCTTCCTCCTCCCTGTTCAAATCTCCCGCTCCCTCTCAGCATGATCCAATACCTGTCCCCCTCTCCTCTTCGGGACGAGATAGGTAGTAGGTAGGTAGATGGGAGGATAGCTAGACAGAGAAACCCAAACATCCCGACTGCGAAGTTCCAATCCAGCAGAAAATCAACCAAAAGGAGAAAAAAAAAAGGTCAAAATCAATGGAACTGCGTCTCTGTCACGCCCTTGCCCATGGCACTAGTACTACTGACTCCGCCGGTGACCATCTTGAGCATGTTGTCGACGTAGTTGGCGCCGCTCCACTTCTGGTGTGTCACCACGTCGACCTTGTTCTCCATTTCGGGCTCCTGGATGAGCTCGCCGTAGGCGCGCATACCGCGCTTGGCGAAGGCCTTGGCGAAGGTGTCGGAGATGAGGGCGGTCGAGTGCAGGCCGGCTAGGGTGATGAATTGCCAGCAATAACCCAGTTCGGCAAGGCGCTGGATGTATGTCTCTTGGTCCGAGGAGGACATGGCGCGTTTCCAGTTGAAGGACGGAGAGAGGTTGTATGCGAGCCTAGAAAAGAGACAGTGAGTTAGTCATGGGTCTCTTTGCACTCTTGCCGGGAGAAGATCCAGGAAGGGAGATTCAGGTTGGACTTACTTCTGCTCCGGCCACACGGCGTGCACGCCCTCGGCGAACTCCTTGGCCTGGGCATAATCCGGCAACTTGCTTTCCATCCAAATCATATCCGCATACGGCGCATAGGCAATCGCCCTGTTCACCGCGCATTGGCATCCACCTTGATACCTATAGAACCCTTCCCTTGTCCGGGGGGAGTCCCAGTTCCAGTAGATATCCACACCGGTCAAGCCCTTGGCAATGGCGCGGCATTCGCTGTTGGATTTGCCCTTGGAGGCGGCCTTGTATTTCTCGATGAGAGCTGCCTTTTCCACGTGGACACCCGCGTTGATGGAGTCGATTACGGCCTCGTCAAACGACTTGATGCCAGCCTGAGCGATCCAACTGTCTTCGATCGCTTGGAGCTCATCCCCGTTCCTGCCGGCTTGTTCGGCTGCGACCATGAGATCGTTGAGTGGCTGAAGATTGGCGTTTGTAGATCCCAGGATGAAGGGGTGGTCACGGTAGTCAATTGTCGTGGTGATCAAGGTGGCAGCCTCGGAGTCGGTACGAGCCACGGCGAGCAAGTCGACGCCCATAATGTCGGCCTGGGCGCGGATGGCCACGAGACGATTGATGTGCTCGGAGATGGGGACGAGCACTTTGCCAGCCATGTGGCCGCATTTCTTGGTGCCTGGAGCTTGGTCCTCGATGTGTATGCCCGCGGCGCCTTTTTCGACAAACAGCTTGGTGAGCTTCATGACGGCCGTGAGACCTCCATGGCCGGTGTCTGCATCGGCAATGATGGGCCGCAGATAATCCACGTTGGCTACCGAGCCTCGCTTGTCTTTGGGTGTGGTAAGACGCTCTTCTCGTTGCTTGCGGTCGTGGAACAGCTGGGCCATGAACAGGTGCTGGACCTTGTTGGGAACGGTGTTCATGGGGTAATCGGCCAGATCGGGAGAAGGCTCGTCGGTGGAGGAAGCGGTGGATGAGGATTGCCAGCCCGAGACATAGACGGTGTCCAGGTACTTGTTCATCTGGGTCAGCATGGTTGGCTCCAGACAGCCATAGGTGGCGGAGGCGGTCTTGGTCTGTACAAGCACGTTTAGTCACGGTTTCTGGTTGATGGACAAAGTATGGCATACCGCAAAGCGATGCTCAATAATCTTCCACAGCTTTTTGGCTTGGTCATTGCTGGGGTATTGGATCTTGATGGTGCCTCGCTTCTGCACAATCTGCTCGGCTGTGTAGGGTCGTTTGGTATATCGCCATCTAGAGTCAGTCCACCACTTCTTGACGGCTTCTACGTCCTGCAGGTATTGCTGCTCTTCCTGGTCGAGAGGCGACATTTTGAACGTGTCAACAACCTTTTTGAGGGCAGACGTCATAAATAGGTGTAGATGAGAAAAGAGCTAGCAAGCTTCAGGAGCAGCAGTAGTACCAATAAGGATACTCTCACAACAGGTCAGCACAATGTACAGAGACACAAGAGCCCAGAGAGCGGGGAGAGACAGGTCTTATACAGAGGAACCCCAGGTCTTGAGGGTCGAGGACCGAGAGGAAAAGAGGGCGATGCAGGAGCATTAAGTACAAAAGAACACGCCAGGCGAAAGGGAAGCTTGGGTCAAGGCTCGGAAGTGGTTCGACTGGTGCATCGAGCATCGAGCATCATCGTGCAATTGAAGCGTGGATCCCGATGATTCAGAAGGCAAAAAAAAACCTGGAGTCCAGGCGCCATAGACTAAGCCTTTGCCGCTTGAGGCCGGGCCCAAGGACGAAAAGAGATTGGCTGCAAGCAGTAACAGCGCGGAGAGCGTGTCGATACAAGGCTCGAAGAAGGATAGTGAGTGGTGGTGTCGGTGCAGGGTCGGCACTCTGACGATTCCCCCACAGTTGATGATTGGCATGTGGGCATGACGTTGGACTAGTTGGACTCGTAGAAATTCCGTTCACCCGCCACTGGCCGTTTGGGGTTTGCCATTTGCCGGGAGAGTGACCAGATTGGAGATAACCAAGATCCCTTTGAACCTGTAGTCAGTGCTGCTCGATGTTCCCGTTGAGGTGTCGCTGTGGTTGTTGTTGCACGTCCAGAGATGAATGTAGTTATGACGCCGTGGTGCTTGCCTGGAGCCTCGGCAACAGAAAATGTCACAGAGGCACAAGACCTCAACTGGAACTCCTGTCACGTGAATTGCCGGCCACTTTCCACTTTGGGAGCTGCCCGCAATGCCCGGCAATGCATCCATTTGCTGGCGGAGAAAAAGACCCGGGAAGCCTCGTCAGGTCCCAAGCGCACCACGCCGATTGGCCCCTCCAGCATCTTGTATGCCCCAGGATGTTTGGTCTTGGATACTTGAGGCGCTTGCACTGCTTGTCTTCTTCAGCTCAGTGCAGGCTCTTGCTCCTTCCTTTTGCCGCAGCTGCAACAAACTAAGCTATGTATACAAACAGTTCCTCCCTAGGTGAGTCCCGTTCTCTCCCCCCCCCCCCCCCCCCCCAGCCTCCCCCCGTCTCGGCCCAAAACAAAAACAAACCCTGCCAAAAGAACAACGACGCAAGAACGGCCTCCGAATGCATCTCGAGGCCCGATGCTCTCATGCTCGCTAACGATAAACAATCTCGCTCGTCTTGTTCGCGTGATGCCCTCTAAGTCTATTCCGTCGAATCGAATAGCCCATGCATCTGGAAACGTATCCGCCGGCTGGCTCGCCGCAAGTGCTCAAAACAAAAAAAAAAAAAAAAAACAAACCAGATCCGCCAAGTCAGGACCGAGACCTGACTGCCTCTTCATAGCGATTCCAGGCTCGAGCTGACCGCCGCTTCATCCGACGAGTCCTGTCTCGATTCGTCTGACCCTTCCTGAATGATATCCTCGACCGCACCAAGCTTGATTTCGGTTGCCTTAGCAAACGTCTCATATGGTGTGAGGGTGCCCAGAGCGCGCTTCATGTGCATCGGAATAAAAGACAATCCATACACGTAGCTGGCGTTGACCCAGCCGAACCTGAATCTCGTCAGCGACAAAGCGGCCCAAATCAACATCAGAAAAAAGACTTACCCTTCTCGGGGAACACCCTTGAAGTCGGCCCCTTGGTTGCCATACTCGGCCTCGACCTTGTGCGGATCCAGCTCTCGAGTCACGTTGTATTTTTCCACCACCACACCGTTGAAGTCGACAAAGGCCTTGGTAACCATGTACAGCCACTTGTACGCCAGTCGCTGAGCTTCGTCAATGTATCCATATTTGATGAGCCCGCCCCATGCCAACATTTGCTGAGGGGCCCACCCGAAGGGATAGTCCCATTGACGGTTCGGTCGATCAAGCCCAACTTCTCCACGAGACTCCTCGGTTCCCGACACCAGCCCTCCAAAGCAATCAAACTTGGGCAGCGCGTTGAACACCAGCCCAGCCGCTTGTTTCGGAGAGGCACATCCCGCCCACATCGCCCAGAAGGTGGTCGCAGTTTCGTAGCTGGTGCGCTTCTTGTTGACCGTGTCGTAGTCAAAGTACATGCCTTTGGCTTCATTCCACATATACTTGTCAATGCGGGCCTTACGCAGTCGTGCTCGCCGATCCCATGATGCCGAAGTTTCGAACCCTTCTTTTCGGTTGGCATCCGTCTGAAATTCGCGCGGAATGCTCAGTCGATCTTTGAAGTAGTGCCGGATACACCAGGAAATGTCGATTTCGTATTTGTACAACAGAGAATTCAGATCGATCGTAGCCAAGTTCGCCGCACAGCCCTCCAGACGGTACGAAGTGTCGTGGCCGGATTCGCGGACAGCACGGTCATGCAAAAAGTATTCATCCAGCTCCGGCTCGTGGACCTTTTCATTGTTGTAGGCCTCGACAAACTCAGAAAATGTCATTCCGTGTTTTTTGGCGTACGGGGTCAGAATGTGCACAAAGTGAGACGCCTCGGTTTCCGGGGGAACACCAAGGCCATCTGGCCGATATCGTGACAAACCAGTGGCCGGATCGTAACGGGGTGTCGACATCCAAACGTTGTAGTATTCCTTGATGGCCGCTCGGATGGCCAGGCGCAAGAAATCAAGGGCGCCAGGTTCGTGCTTGATCTTGTCATAGACCTTGAGAGCCATATCAGTCAGGAAGGGCGGTTGTGATCGAGTCAGGTAGTAAGAACGATTGGCGTTCAAAATCTTGCCATAATGCTGGATACAGAAGGCGAAGTTCAGGACCATTGACTTGCCCAGGTCCACTCTTCCGTTCTCAATCAGACCTAGAGACTCCATGTAGCTGTCCCACCCGTAAAGCTCATTGAAACGTCCCCCGGGTACAATGAATGGCTCTCCCTTGAGTGTCTCTTGTCCATTGACCATTTCTTTCTTCATAGCCAGGGCTAGAATGCCAGGAGCATTGTTAAGCCCCCGCACGTATTCTGCAGTAATGGGGCCTTCGGGAAGGTAGCGCACATCCAGCCGCATGTCGGGGCGGTCTTTGGCAACCTGAGTGTAGTATTCAAACTGCTCCGGGCATCCCGAGGGAATGTAGATGCGAGGCCTAGGATCCGCTGTCCAGTCTTTGGGATCGCGACCTGCTTTCTCGATGGTGGCAGCGTCCAAGCAGCGGGTTAGGTTGTTCCAAAATTCATCCCTAATGCGGCGGGAAAGACGGTCGACGGGATTTTCACTCAGACGCGACCGGTGTATCTTGACCACCTTCTTGCCCAAATCTTTCGCCAACGTCAACTCTTGTAGGAGATTGCTGATCATGTAATTTCCACGAACTTCGGCCGATCGGTAGCCTGCAGAGGCCAATGTGCCCAAATTGATGTGCTGCGTGGTAGTTAGTCTCCTGCAACATCAACGCGAGGCTTGAGCCAACCTTGGGGCCGTTGTCCTCTATTGTGATTTGTTGGTTCTTGTCCACGTCTTCCCGTTCCAAAAGATCCTCCAAGGTGCGGTTGACGTCCACCAGTAACTCCTGGTGCTGTTGATGGTGCTCATCTAAAAATGACCTTGTGTCAGCCATCTTTCTGTCTCTGTCGACCACGAACGACATTGGACAGGCATGCACGCACCATGACTCGTCCTCCGAGCGGGATAGTTGCCCTTGAAAGCCTCTAGAGCGTTTTCTCGAGTGGTTTTGATGTACTGTCAGGACCGGGTCAGCAAGGGGTCGGAAAGGAGGGACCAGGGCACAGACTGAAGTGACAGCTCTGTTTCGTGAACCCAGAAGTTGACGTCTCACGGCTTCCTCATCGTAGTAAACCGACGGCGACGAGTAAGGATCCCGACGCTCGAGAGATGAGCTCCGTCGACGATGGTGCGTCGCATTCGGCAAGCTCATGACCAGCAGATTTAAAGTGTCGTTTGTGTTCTGGGAGGTTGAAGAAAAAGAGGGGGCAAAAGGCGTTTGTTTTTCTTTGTGCGTGTGCGTGTGCTTTACAAAAAAACAGCAGTGGAAAAAGCTGCCGGATGGTCGGTCTTCACCCTCGGTTGATTATCAAGGTATTGCCCAGGACAGAAAACGAGGTTGCAGACCAGGAGGCGGCGGCAGGGGCAGAGATTGGAGGCTTTGGGCGATGATGACAGGGGCGATGATGTCGACTTCCAGAGCTCGGACCCGCTGAAATCTCCAATTCTTGCCTGGGGTAGGCTGTAGGCGGTAGGTTGTAGGCGGTTTGGTGGCTGCACCCGGGGTTAAGGATGGTCTTAGGTAGGTGGGCAGGCTATTTAGGTCGCTGAATCCGGGCTACCCGAGTCAGTGTCTTTCAGGGCACACGACCAGCAAAGGACTGTAGCTAAGAATAAGGAACGTGTTGAGAAGGTCAGCTGGACGGAGGGTGAGTTGAATTGTGAGGTGCGAGGTGTGGGATGAGAGACGAAGAGATGAAGAGAAGAGTGAGGATGAGGGATTTGTTGCAGGTGGTCGGTCGTGGTTGATGGGCGGTGATGATGTGTCTCTGTCTTCCTTTCTCTCCTCTCAGCTGTCGGTCGGTTTCCCGCCCGTTTTGAAATTGAAGTGAATTGAAAGTGAAAGGAAGCCGTGGCCAGTGCGCGTTGTCCAGCGTGGGCAGTCGCGGTCAGGTGGACAAGCGGTGGGTGGTGGATGGTGGATGGTGGAACGTGGATGCAATAAACGAAATCGACTATTTTTATGGCTTGCGGGCTTGCTCTCTGGCTGGCTGGACTGATTCTTTCTTTTCTTCCACTTCTTCTTCTTCTTTTTTTTGTTCTGTTTCTTTCCCCCCTCTTGATTGAAAACCCAGATGACAACTGGGACACAGGAGATTGGTCTCAGGTGGGACTTCAGTCAGTCAGGGTTGCTTTGAAAAATTTCCCTCAGAGCGGACGATCGATGCAGGAATTGCTTTTGGCCCAGCCTCCAAACTCCAATGCCCTGCGAGCCTGCTAATCTACTTTGTTTAGTGACCGTCCTTGCCGTGGAGCTTGACCGGGGGGGGTTGTGGGGGTATAATGGTGCGATAGTAGAATTGGGATATCGAGCCGCTGCCGTTATCTGGTTCGAGACATTTCAGACATTAGAGGCGGAATGCTAAGGGCCTCGTTGGGGCCTCATGGCGCCTTCGGAGTCCGTGCCAGGCCCCAGGGTAATGTCTCCAGCGTGTCCACAAAAGCCCTGCCGTGTCACTTGTCCAGCCTGAATCAACTAAATCACAAACCCCCAAATTCTGTGGCATGTCAGTCCGTGGGTGGCACATTTGCACACGGGATTGCCAATGCCTCGTATAACAAGGATGGGGCCGTCATCATCCATGCATTGTCTCGTATTCCTTTATCCTCCAGCTTTGTTGTCCGTCTTCATCAGCCTCAGCCTTGTCTTGCCTTGTTGCACTTCTCAGTCTGGGCAGCAGCCCCATATCTACATGGATATGCCCCAGGCCGAGCTCCCCCTCCATCGCTTACTGACTTAGGCTTTTGTGTAACCGCATTTCTCTGGGATGGGGCGAGCCAATCGCCCCCAGCGGTTGCTGTATCTTTCATCCACAGCCCCCCCCCCCCCCCCGGCTTTCGCCATCCGCATCGCAGCTGCATCCGGTGTCCTGCAGGGGCATTCAACGACTAAGTTAGCATTCCCGCCAACCACCTCAGGCGAAATGTTATCAAAAGAACTATGTAGGTACCTTCCCAGACCGGCATCTGGGGTATTGACAAGCCTAGTACCATTGGCATTCCCCCAGAGAGGGGAGGGTACTTTGCCACCTGACACAAGACCGTTGTACTTGTACATACCTAAGTGTAATTGATACTTTTTTTTACTACTTTGGTACATTGCCTCCGTAGTGTATAAATGCGATGTGTTGGTACCCGAGGGATCTTCGCTGATGTACCACTCACAAATACAATGTCAAGCTCCTCGATGTCTCCGCCGAGTATATCTCCCTCACGCCTAGACTGCCGTTCCTGTCAAGTCCATGCAAGACCCACGCCTGTCCTTCTCCGAGGGACATACTCGCCCACACCAACCACACCAACTGCGCGCCGTCCCTTGTGCTTCCCTTTCCAGATATTTGCCACTCTCCCTCTCATCCTCCCATTCCCAAACCCCTGCTCCGACTTTGACGCGCTTCTTGACCTTCTTCTTGACAACACCTCCGATGCCCTCGATCTCTTGCTGCAGATACCCAGGCTTGTTACTGCCATAGGCCGAATCTGGCGTACCTACCCGGCTGAGGCTATTTCTGTCGGTATCAGTTCCATCGTGCGCCTTACCTTCAGAGCATTCAATCTCCACCCAGCATATCGCCTTGCCGCTCATTTCCAGGCAATCTTCCCCGCGGCCGCATTTCTGAGCTTGGTTTCCCAATCCCAACCCTGTACCTAGTCCGTCGCCAATGTGTGTCGAATACCGAGATCGCCAAGTCCACACCCTCTTATAGGTGGTGTCAGCGGCCCGCAGACTCTGGCCGCAAGGGGCACACAAAAACACTCCTCGAGATTCGCAGGTGCATGGACCTCGAAGAAAGGCCGAGGAAGTAAAATAATGGTGTGATTCAGTATCGGACTCACGATTCTCCAGGCCTGTGGTGGAGCCCAGGGTGGATGAGCTAGAGAGGGACCGCTCGGATCGCATCGAACTCGCACTGGAAATTGGTGGACCGTCGCTGGCATCCTCAGAGGAGCCGAGGGCTTGTAGATGCGCTTCGATCGGGGCGTCGAGGCAGGTCTTGCATAAGCGGCGAAAGCGGTCCTTCAGTCTCACAGTGCTCGGAGATTTGGCCGCACAGTTACGACACACTACCGTTCCACATCGGCGACAGGGAGCCACCAAATCTCGAGCACAAGAGCTGATCTTGCTGGAAACGCCCATCGACGCATACAGACCTCCCGAGTTCTGGGCCGGCCAGCTTCCTCCGATAGCCCCAGCTGTTGCCTGCATCTGCGCGATTGCAGGCCCCTGCGAAAGAACCGCACTCCCCAAGGAGTCTTCAGTATGTACCCTGCCTCTTTGTGCCAAGAGTGCTTCTGCTAGCACTGGTCTCCCATCATGACTGCAACGCAAGGACTGAAACTTGAGTTGATGCGCATATTGTGCTAGGCCGTCGTGGACACTTCGACAAGTGGCAGCAAGAGCGTGCAGATCATTGAGGTCCAGATGGGAGGATAGGGACAGGGCAATCCTAAGAGATTCATCAGGTCAGTACGTAGAAGAGGGTCACACGCTGTGTTTGTGCATACGGATAGCATGTCAAGGCGGCAGCGAGTTTGTTTGTTGTCGACAACATTATTTGTACATTGTTGATGCCGGAAATCCTGCTCACTGCATCTGAGCCTCCATTGACAACATGTTTCAGCTGATTTTGCTGGGGTGATGGTTCCAGGCCAAAGCGCGATCGACTGCCAGATGAGCAGTCATCGTCCTCAAGATCGAAGAACACTGCCATGTCGCCATTTGAGTCCGGGAAAACGACAGAGAAAGCGGAGGCCCCGCAAATCAAACGAAGGATAACCAGTTGCACAAAGAATGCAAAGTGCGAATGAAGTTGGGGTGAAGGAGGATGGAGGCACAGAGATTCGGTAACGCAGCAGAAGAGACACGATGGTTGTTTGAAACTGCGGAGAAGGAGAGTTGCAGCGTCACGGCTTCGAGGAATGAGTGCCTGGCCACCATGCTAGCTAGTTGAGGGCAGTGAGGGGCGAGACTGACAATGATGATGATGATGATGATGATGATGCACTTTGGCTGCGCCTAGGGCGCGTGAGGCTAGTGTGGCCGCCAGGCTTGTTGTGGTTAGTATAAGCATGTTCGCGCCTAGGGGCTTCAGGGTGAGGGTAAAACAGCTGATGTGCTGCTCACAGTAATCGAGAACTCGTCACGTCAAAACATCTATTCAAGTGTCCTCTGTGCGACTAGACATCACTGGCACCATCGCCAGCGCAATTATTCATCATACGCTTTGAAGACTAACAAGATTCGGGAGATCAAAAATCACACATTCGCCATCTACAGCCTGGATCTCAGGTAACCCAGTAAACATCGGCTGGCGGCTGGACCGAGGCATCTCTAACTCAGTGGTTGCATACGACGTACAAAACGTCTCATCTTACTCCCCTCGCTGACTTCGAAGACAGAAACCTTTCTATCTTGTTGAGTCGCATCAGTCCTCGACTTGTCATTAAGATCCGAAGCCTGGCTCGGTTTCTTCAACAACAACGACAACAACAACAACGAACTTGGAATTTCCAGCAATCGTGCAAAGTAAACAAGATGACGTCCGTCCAAATCCCACCCTTCACAACCACACCAGTCGAGCAGATCCCGTCAATCGTCTCCCGACTTCGAAGCACATTCTTCTCGCAAAAGACTCGCCCTGCCGAGTTCCGGATCAAGCAGCTGCGCAAGCTTTATTGGGCCATCGCCGACCACGAGAAAGAGCTCTTAGAGGCACTATCACGCGATCTGGGCAAAGGCTCTTTCGAGGCCTATACTGGAGAGATCAACTGGACTCAAAATGATATCGTATTCACGACTCAGAACCTGGAGAAATGGATGAAGGATGAAAAACCGGCCGACATTGCCCTTTCGAATCGACTGGTCAACCCTAAAATCCGCAAGGATCCCTTGGGTGTGGTCCTTGTGATCGGGTAAGAAGTCTTGACGGGTCTTGCATATCATACGTGCGACTGATAATACTCCTAGTGCTTTTAACTTCCCCGTAAATTTGTCCTTTGGCCCCATGATTGGAGCCATTGCGGCGGGCAATACTGTTGTGTTGAAGCCTTCCGAGCAGTCACCCAACAGCGCCGCTGTCATGCAAAAAATCATCGAAACAGCCCTTGATCCCGACTGCTATGCTTGTGTCCAAGGGGCTATCCCTGAAACTTCAGCCTTGCTGGAGCAGAAGTGGGACAAGATATTCTTTACCGGTTCTGCCCGCACGGCCAAGATCATCGCCCAGGCAGCAGCGAAGAATCTGACTCCGGTCGCTCTAGAACTGGGTGGACGGAATCCTGCAATTGTGACCAAGAAGGCAGACATGCGCTTGGTAGCGCGACGGCTACTATGGTCCAAGACCATGAATGCAGGCCAGATCTGTATCAGCCAAAACTGCATTCTTGCCGACAGGGAAGTCGTCCCGACTCTGATAGCAGAACTGAAAGCGGCTCTCAAAGAGTTCTTCCCAGAAGGGGCGAAGAAGAGTGCCGACTACTCCAGGATCGTCAACCTCACTGCATTCAATCGAATCAAGAAGATGCTGGACAATACATCGGGTAGAATCGTCATTGGCGGAACTATGGATGCTGACCAGCTCTTCATCGAGCCGACTGTCATCGAAGTCACCGACCCTAAGGACTCGCTGCTGGTTGAAGAGTCTTTCGGACCCCTGATCCCCATTTTGCCCGTTGACAACCTGGATCAAGCTATCAGTATTGCCAATGAACTCCATGAAACACCACTGGGCGTATATGCCTTTGGATCTAAGGCCGAGACTGATAAGATCCTCACAGGCACGCGCTCAGGTGGTGCCAGCATCAACGATGGCTTCTTCCATGGTATCATACCCAACTTGCCTTTTGGTGGTGTGGGCGACTCGGGAACAGGGGCGTACCGCGGCAAAGCTTCATTCGACTGCTTTACGCACCATAGATCAGTCACCTATACGCCGAACTGGATGGAGAGTTTGCTGGCCGTGAGATACCCCCCATTTGCGGGGACCGGCAAGCTGGCACAGTTCAACAAAATGGGACTCCTCAAGCCTGACTTTGACCGAAAGGGTAATCGGAAAATAGGAGCCGTATGGTACTTGCTCACACTGGGAGCGGGGAGTGTATCCGGTGGTGCATTTCGGGCAGCTTTGATAGCGGGCATTTGCATCGCCCTGAAAGCCTTTATGGATGGGAAAGTCTTGACAGCCAGCAAATGAGGGTGGAAAGTGTGAGATATCCCCATCGTTACGGGACGGCTCGGATCATCAGGAGGAGGTAATAGAAACATGCAGATTACCTAGGTGTGCAGATCGAACACCTTCCCACTTGTATGCAGGGTACAGTAATTCTTACGGGGGATGGCTTTTTGTCAGCCGGGACGGATCAACCATGAGCCTGATCAGGCTGGCGAGGCTGTCCCTTTGGACTGCTGGGGATGTGGTATCGATAAGCTTGGCACCGCCACAGAGGCTCGAGCCACCCACTGCTGGTGTGCCTGTGTACCAAGTACAGTACCAACCAGAACCCTCGAGCTGCTCCGTCCACTGTCCACTGTCCACTGTCCACTGTCCAGGGTCCAAAGGTGCGCGTCATCCACCAGCCCCAACGAACGGCACCGACTCTACCGAGCTGCTTCGTCCATCCCGCATGGATTTCCCATACCACGATCATCATCTCCTGCTTGGGATTGGATGGTTTTTTTGCAGCCACCCAAAATCCACCCCCTTCGATATCTCGCTGGCATTATTCTCCCAAACAAAGCCTCCCGGCCCTCCCTCCTCCAAAAAGCTGGCCTCTCATTCTTATCCATTCCACCACAAGACAGTCGCTCCTTGAACTCTAGTCCCTCCCAAGGCATCACCGACGGTCAAAGTGCGCACGCGAGTTCCTGTCCCGGAGCCTGCAACAAAAAGATTCCCAAGGCTCATATCATGACCTCTACCTCGAATACACCTTTTGCTACGCCTGCAACCTCTAATCCCAACACAAGACCGGGCACGCCCAGTCCCGCCACTCCTCCCGCGGGAGGCATTGTGCCTGCCGATAATGATCTGCGAGACGATAGCTCAAAGCTGAGAACATTCCTGAGCCTATTAAAGAAGTACGTCATTGCCACAAACAAAATATTGCCTCCGGTCGGGGAGAGGGGTGTCTCTACAAGTTGGAAGATGTGTGTGCTGACGCTTGTTGGGATGAATCAGGTTTATCGGTGTCTCAGATATTGCAAATGTTCGCTTTTCATTGCCGTCACAGTTAATAGAACCTATACCAAACCTAGGTATGTGCTGCAGCAAGCGCCACTCAGGAGCAGAGGCGTTGATAATGTGCAGAATATTGGCATTACCTGGATAGACCGGAGACATTTGTCAGGTAAGGCTGCGTTGCTCTGGATACACTAAATCTTGCAGGACTGTATTGACAGGACCCTTGAAGTATAGGAAGATCAGATGAGCCTCTCGGTCGCATGCTGGAAGTATTACGATTTTGGTTCACCAAAGATCTGGTTCGTGAAAAGGCCATCGCTGTCTCCGGGTGGTCACGGCTAAAAGAGTGCGCAGAAATACGTGAAGGGCAAGCCTTGCAAGCCTTATAACTCGACGCTGGGGGAGTTCTTCAGGGTATGTTTCAACACGTCTCATTTTCTCCCCATACCCTACATAGGTATTTAACACGACTTCTCCATCTAGTGCCACTGGGAAGTTAGTGTAGACGCCCCGTCCATATCTAACCCATCCAAAGCACCGCCTCAGCCCTCGGTCGACCCCACAGAGCCGCAACTCAATGGCAATACCAACGAGAAACCGATCCGAATATCCTTTCTCACCGAACAGACGTCACATCACCCTCCCGTCTCAGCATATTGGTACGAATGCCCTTCTCGTGGCATCTACGCCCGGGGCTACGACCAAATCTCTGCCAAATTCACAGGCACATCTGTTCGCGTGGTTCCCGGTGTGCACAACCGGGGCATTTTCATCACCCTCACCGAGCGGGAGAATGAAGAATACCAACTCGCCCACCCGACCGCCTCACTGGGCGGCTTGCTTCGAGGGTCCCTGTATATCTCGGTCGCAGACACATGTTCCATAACCTGTCCGCAGACAAGGCTAAAATGCCTCCTTACATATGTGGAAGAATCCTGGTTCGGTAGAGCGCAGAACCGGGTCCACGGCCTTATATTCCGGTATGACCCCTCCGACGACAAATACACGCGCGTCAAGGACGTTCCCGAGAAGGACATTCTCGTGAGGCTTGAGGGATGCTGGCAAGAACAAATCGTCTACACGATCCCGAACAGCGTGGCGGTCAAGGAATCTACAAAGGTTGAGCCTACCTTAGAGAAACAGCTTCTCATTGACCTCCAACCACTCTTCCCGGTGCCCAAGTCGTGTCCTCCTGATCACGAACAACTCCCGCATGAGTCCCGCACGTTCTGGGCTGAGGTCACCACCGCAATCAATGAAAAGCGCTACTCGGACGCCACACGGGTGAAGCAGGATCTGGAACAGGCCCAGAGAGATAAGGCAGCAAAGAGGAAAGACTTGAATGTGGAATTCAAGCCGAGGTTTTTCACGGCGCCAACTGAGTCAAGTGGGAAGCCGGAGTTGACTCAGTACGGGAAGGAGGTCTTGTCCGGGCTGGAGAGAAAAGAATATGGGATTGACTTTGTCCCAGAGCCAGGGATTGATGCAGATATATAGAGTGTGGATGTGGGGAGTCGCAATGTCAATCTGGGTAGCAGGTTGAAAAGGAAGAAGAGATGGAAGATAGGGAGTATATCGTCAACGATTGGATCAACAGAAACACGTAAGAGTGTACATAGCAGTCAGGGAGTCACAGCTGGATCATGAAGAGCCTACATACCCATGCTCCCACGGAAGGCTCACGGATAAATAATGCGCGAAGATTAGACGGGAGGCCGTCCAGAGACTACATATGGCCGGGGCAAGATTGGGGCACTCTATGGATATTTGGAGGGGGGGGGGGGGGGGGGGAAGTTCACGCAAATCCCTAAGGGCTCTGGGCGAGCATTCTTAATGAAAAGATAGATCATCTTCTTGTACGGGGATAAGTTGTAAGCAGCATCATTTGGCGAGAGCCTGCGCTTTTGTTTGTAGAATACTTACCTACCCACCGACGCCCTCTTCACTACTTACTCCTTAATTACGCGTCCATTCCAGCCCTCCCAGCCCAGGTTCATGAGGAGAAGAGGAGGGAAGGGTAAAACGCAGACGGATAGCAAAATCACGGAGCATGGATCAAAGTCACCACCATGGCTACCAGCCTGGAACACGCGGCCGCGAGGCTGTCTCCGCGACAAGAGGTGATGTGATATGTTGTGTTGGCTCGGCCATTCTTCTCGATGAAGGAGGCAGGAAGGAGACGCGCATGCCGCATGCTTCCCGCTATGCAGATGAGCTCCTGGCGCTCCTTTTGCTGCTCTGATTGTAGGGGACGTCTGGCGGGGGGAACACTAGCAAGGTCTTCTGCTGCTGATCACCGCAGTAATGGCGGGAGAGTATTCGCCTCAAGGCGTTGAAAAGTCAGTGGCGTCAATGGGAAAGGCAAGGAATGATGGGGAGGGCAGAAAGAGACAGAGAACGACGACAGCGCGTGGAGGAAGATGATATGGCGATTGTCAACCTGCTCTTACCCAATAGTCGGTACTTACATCCTGCATTGGCGCCGAGGAATCTGGACCATTTGATAGCGTTGGTTTGTCAGGCTCTGTCTCTCAGATGGGTCGCAGTCATCTTCCGCACGTCTCCTCTATTTACTGGAAATTCCCTTGAGCAACTTTCCGCTGTTTTCGAGGGTTGTTATGCATCACGCAAGGGGCCTGGCGAGACCCTTGTCCCAGGAGCCGAACCCGAATACGACGGATGCGAGTATGAGTCGCCCGGCCTTCCATGTACCTCCTTTCTGCGTCTCATTCCTCCCGTGCCGTGTGGGCGAGACGCCGGTTCCTGCATACAGTATGTACCTAGGTATATCTAAGCCTTGGCTTGTATGGAGTCGGTACGGGTGCTGACCACCCCGGCTGTTGTTGTATTGCTCGAAGGGGGGGGGGAGCTTCTGGAATGCGTAGAACCATGCTCTAACATTTCTTTGCACCAAGCTAGGCCTTGAACAGAACGGCGAATACATCTTTCTGCGATGAAACTGTCACAATCAACTTCGCCTTGGCCTTGGCCATGGCCAGGTACCTGCGCGGTACCTGGTCAGGGGCTTGCATTTAGCCAGTATGGGCAGTTACAACAGGGTATCCGCCGCTGTTCCCCTTGTAGTAATGGGGTGTCAAATATCGATTGGCGGAAGCGAAACGGAGGTCCTCGAGGAGTGTTTCTGAACGTCCTCTCTCGTGTTCCGGCAGATGGGCCATGCAGATCTTGGGAGGAGAATACACATTGTGGACTGATGTGGCGCGCCCTCGAACTTTGAAGGGGGTATCGGGCACTAAGAGCTTTTCTCGCCCAATTGTCTGAAACTGTCGCTAAGGCTGAGAAAGAGGCGTTGTCCTGAAACGCTGGCGTCAAAATTGGGAGGGTTCCCGTCGGAAAATCCAGCACGTGATTGCTGAGATCGCCATCCTGTGCCGTTTCCGGAATTACGAGGATCAATAAGGTTGAGATGGGCTGTGGAGAGTCACGAAATATTTGTCAGTAGTACGGAGTACTCAGTATTTGCAGGGCGGGGATTGATACGAGCTTCTGTACTGGGTACGAGGTACTCGGCGAGGGGAGCAAATATGTTCGGTTGGACGCAGAAGAAAGGGGTGTTGCTCGTTGGATATGGACAATGGAGGAAGCAAGCTCGCCGTGATGCAGGAGCTCTACCCAGTACCTACGAGGTAATAATGGGCGGAAAAAGTTCCCGCAGAATACGACTCTTGAGCCCTTTGATGCCATTTTCGCTAGGCGACTGATTTACGAGGACGCGCGAGGAGCCTTCGCCAGGCATCATCTCGCCAAAGACCAGGACTGGTTGGCGAGTGGATCATTATCCATCTTGGGCTCGGCAGAGCTGAAAGTAGATTGTCACTGTGATGATTGAGGAAAGGACCTCTGAAAGAATAAGTGGAAATTGCAGATCAGACGGGAGAAAGAGATGATGCGAGACTCGCAAATCTTTGTACTTGTAAATAGTGTGTCCCGCAATTCAACCGGACAGCATCCACCAACCTCGAGCATCTTTGTTGCTAGGTCGCTAGGCAGGTTGTCATGTTGATCCATCCATCTTCAGCCGCACACCAGGATCTGGTGTCTTTCAATTCCTGAGCGAGTTTCATCGAAGGATTTGTCGTGCCTCTTTGGTAAGCAACAACTGTTGACTGAAGAGCGCCACTGTGTTCAGCCACAGATATCGGATGATGACCAGGCTCGTGGTGCCAGCCACACCGGGCTATGTCGCTCCAATGTGGCGAGTGCCCCCGAAAGGACCTCTTTAGAGCGGCGGGCGGCGCAAATCCTTCCCGCATTTACTGTACGGCTTCGCACCAAGCGAGTAAGCTACAGAAAAGGATCAGAGGGTGAGAAAGACCACACCCGATCTACCGGTGATCTGCATGAAGTCGGACCTTCTCGGCGTCCTGGATGAGAAAAATTTCGCAAGGGTTTACTGAAAGACGAATGCCGCTGACCACAGAAAGGTTGGCTTGTAGAAAGCAGAATCAGGGGCGCCCCGTTCCTGCAGTAGATCTTCTCAGCTGGAAATGCCATTCCGGAACCTGGATATCCTGTTTGTTGAATGCACACTTGTTCATCCAGGTATGCGAGATGCTTTGCGCATCACTCGTGGTCTTCGTACGGGAGCCGGTTCCAGAACAGGCCCATTCCCCGAACTGGTTACGACTTTGGTCATACTCGGCGCAAGCTGTCAAGCAATACCAAATCTCTGTCGAGGTTCTTTCTCCTGGGTTCGTCCTTGCCTGTGTCGCCTCACAGCGACCTATTCTCTGGCCATGACAGATTGATCAAAATTGGCCATCCATTCAGAATGTGTATGATGGCATCTACCAAGAATCGCGAAGGTGTCGCTCAACCCTCCTCCCCCAGGATATCCCCTGCGTCCAGTTAGTGTGACCGAGTGACGGCATCAACGGGGTGGAGCCGCATAACCAATACTAGGTTAGGTGATCGGAAGACGGAGAATTCGGCATGCGATCGGTTTATGAAGGTCGTAACAAGTAGTTCCACCAAGCATATGCCGAGCTCGAAATGCCACGTATGGAGATGATCATCGCCTAAGATACAGGTACGAGAAGACTTTGCCGGCGTGTTTCTCGCGCTCGGTGTTTAAACAGGATGTGGTTTGTGGAAGCATGAATGGGGAGAAGGAGGGTGCACGGCTTGATGAACAGGACTGTCAACTGAGGACTTCGCTTCTCTTGTTTGGTGTTTTAGTGCTCAGGTAAGGCAGACTCGTCTAAACAGCAGCAAGCTTATTCTAAGCTGGCCTAGCGGATCACTCTTAGACACTCAGGGGTGGATCCTGGTGGATGTGGCTTGGCCGATATCTGGTTGGCCAGTGTTTCACGCTAGGCCAAGAGTAGTATAACAGGGTCTTTAGATAGTAGCAACCACATTAGTATTTGGCTTAGTGTGATCGGCCTGCGCCGCACTCGCGATAGAAACCGCTAAGCGTGTGGTCTCTCGTGCTATTCAAGGATGACGGAGACTTCCCCAAGCCCAATCAGCAGCCGGCTCCGCTTGTTGGCCTCAGGTACCACCTCATTCTGCTGTCCATCTCTCACGCGAACATCGACCAGCATCTGACGGCCCATCTCACCACTTGCTGCACCCGCCTACCAAGTAGAGCTAAGACCTCACGGATGACGGGTTTATGAGGCTATGACTGGCGGGTGGACTCGTTACTAGCGGCCGTCCTACCGTTACTCCATCCACACGCTCGGTCCCTCTCTCCAAAAGTTCCCAAATGAATGCCCTTACTGCCCTCCGGCCTCGTGGAAATGGGAACCTTTTCCTCTCCACACCCCCCAAAGAAACGACACTACACCCTCCCCTCCTGGTTACCAGTACGGTCCCTTACCACACGTACGAGTAGGCTTCCATACTAGTCAGCGTCATCCGCCTGCTTTCGTTGCGCTGTCCAATCGCTTCTCCAGCGTCCCTTGATCAGACGCTCTATATTTCGACTGGGACCGGCCACGCTTGGCCCAAAAGCCTCATGCAGAGGACACAGCCGCTCCGCTCTCGGCCGTTCTATTGGAGCAGGAGGCTCTATACCTCGCTTGCCTCTCTTACACCCGCCTCTCGAAAAAGTTATGGTAGCTAATTTCACCCTGGCTCCTGCGTCCAAATTCATTTCCATGCTTTCCACTTTGGAACCACTTTCTGCTGGATTTTCTAGTATTCCCTTAGGTGCCTTGTCTCCATTCTTGGGACAAGAATAACATCCGGCCTATCTTGTCCTACACCTGCGACCTGCCCTCGCCCCGCCACGTGCCTCCGGCCTCCCATACACAACTCAGCCCTGCCGATAGGTCCTGGAAACTCTCTAATCCTCCTAGCCTCTCCCCTTCTTTCCACCATCAAGTCGTCATTTCCCTCATCACACCTACCCTCCCTCCAGAAACCCATGCAATCGTCTCCATTTCCTCAAACAAGCTTAATCTTTGCTTGAGGCTCAGAAGGGGGCGGAGGCTTCCAAGCATTTCAGACTCCACAGTGAAACATTTGGCGCAGGCCTCTTGGTCACTTCGTATACTCTTATATCTTCTATACAATATCCTTTTTCTCCATCATGGCCCCAAAACAGCGCTCCCAAACTCCTCGACAACCTGGCGTCGCCAACTCCTCCGAGTCAATCCTTCCCCAACAGCAGGCCACGACTACACTCTTTTCAGACCAACCAGTCAAAGATCGCCGTCGCCGACAGAGAGAAAGTCCGCGACCCATATCTTTTGCTCAGTCGCCTTCTCAAGACACGATTGCCTTGAGCCGATCACCTATAGTGTCCGACTCGCCTGCCTCACCGGTCGAAGGTGCTGCTCACGGGTTCTCTTCTCGTCGTGAAAGCTCTTCCACCATGAGGACATCATCCATTTCTCTCGACATGGTGCCCATTTGTACACCAACAGGCCGCATTAGCAAGGCAAAGAAAGGCAAACGTGTTCATGCTTGCGAGTTTCCCGGGTGTGGAAAGGTGAGTTCGCCCATCAGGCGTTATGACCCCCAAAATCCAGGCCCCAGCAATTGGACCCAAACGGCCCTCCAAGAGAACTAACCGGACTAACTTATGATCCTCAGGTATTCACCCGGGCAGAGCACAGAAGGTAAGTCCGACTACTGGGCCGCTCGTTCCCGGCAGCAGTTTGAGATCCTCCTCAATCTAACAGTCAACAGGAGGCATGAACTCAATCACAATCCTGAAGCACTCTTCCCCTGCACTCGTCCTGGATGTCGAAAGGCATTCCATCGAATGGATCTTCTTCAACGTCACCAGGAGAGACAGTAAGTCCCTGACTGTATTGAGGAGAGAGAAAGACCCGGCTCCTAACTTTTCCTGCACAGTGATCTGGAGAGCGCAGCTGATGCTTCCTCCTCTGCACACATGGGCCAGATGGCACAGGTCTCAGTCACTTCAGAACCTTCTTCTGTGATGCCTGCTCCTGTCATGACCAGCCCTCAAGCCGATCGAAGTGCTCCAAGATCTTCTGGAGGCCTCTCCATCGGTTCTCTTGTTCATCCTCAGCAAGACTACCGCTACGGTCTGGGAACACCAGCATTTAACGGGTTTCCACGACAGCCGATGCATTATGTCCACGGCTACAGCTCTGCGGACGATTCTATGTTTTATACACCTGAAAGCAGTCAATCTCCTGTTTCTGAATATTATGGCCGGTACGCCCACCGCCAGAGTATTTCCTCCTCTTCCTCCGTAGCTGCTTTCGATCCCAGCGCGGCCTCTCCCTTGATCAACGGGACAATTCCCGGTCCTTGGGTGCCCTCGTCGGGACCTCCCAGCATTATTCCTTCGACTATGCTTGACGATGGGACTTATCTTCCTGTATGTACCCCTTTTTATTGGGTTGGTGCGTATACTGAAGCTGATCAGTCTCCTGCAGACTCTACCATACCAATACCCCTCTCCGACCTGGATGGAATCGAATGGTCTGTCATACGACGAGAACTATCAAATGCCTCTGGACTTCAGTCAAGAAATGCCTCAGCCAGTATATCCGACACTATAAGGTGGGATTGCCTGGAACTCTACTGGCAATACTTCCACCCGTCCTATCCTCTCGTTCACAGGCCTAGCTTCCTGCCAACAAAACCAAGTCCACTCTTGGCGAGTGCAATGGTGGCCATAGGCTCGCAATACGACACCCGACCAGACGCAAAACTCTACTCCCTGACCCTGTTAGAAATTGCCACCAAACTTTTGAGAAGACGAGACAACATCACGAGTCGGTCAAGGTTAGCAGACTTGCAAACCGTATTCCTTCTTGAAATTTTGAGCAAGTATTGTGCGAGGCGGGTGGAAGTGGAGATGTCAGCCAGGTTTCGATCACTGTTTGCGAGTCTCGATCAGGCGCGACGAACTCTTGCAACGGATCCCTTGGCGGTCTTGAGAACCCTCCCCAAGGAACGGACGGCGGACGACATTCAGAGAGCCCACAAGTTCTGGCTCGAGCATGAGACTCGGCGACGGATTCTGCAAGCATGTACCGTTCTGGATCTTCAGCAGGTGGTCTTCTTCGAACAACCGGCCACCATTGTGCATCACGAACGACCAAGAAGAGCAGGCCCCGGTGGACTTCGATTGAATGTCTCTCTGCCTTGTTCAGAGGACCTCTGGGAGACCAGCCCGATCGAGGAGTGGGTAGAGATGGCCTCCGGCTCTGAAACATCACCTTCATTCAGCAAGGCAAAGCCTTCTCGCCAGGATCAAGCGTCCTCTTCGACTCTGGACTACTTCCAGATCCAAGTGAGCCTGGCTGCCAATCAGGGGCTATCCCTCGATCAACTCCTCCCGCGAAAGGACCAGACTGGCGAATCCGCATCCCGGCTCTTTTTCAATCGTCATGCGCGGGACATGGCAAAGAACGCACCGATCCGACAGCTGCTTGTGGTAAGCGGCGAGTCTTGGATCATCGGGAAGAAGCTTGAGAACGAAGCTGAATTCCAAGACGCAAAACGGAACCTGAGAGTCTGGGTCGACTCGAATCGTGAAAGCCGGGTGGCGCTCTGGCACGCCACTCAACTGATCCGTAGTCGGGCAAAGTTCTCGACTTCTGATGCTACAAACACCGAACTCTCGGTTTCATTCTACGATACCCACATGCTCCATGAACCGTGGGCGTTCTACCTGGCTGCGCTAGTTTGTTGGGCTTATGGCTTTTCTGCATCGACCACGGCCGATAACAGCGGACAGGGCTCCGGGGCTGCTTCCACTACTAGCGAGCCCACTTCCAATCCTTCACGAAGCTCCAGCTTGCCTTCGGCGCATCCGGCTCTCCTTGACTCGCATGAAGCGGTCTATAGTATGCGAGAATATTTGCAAAACACCAACGTCAAAACAGTCGACGACTTGTTACGCTTGAACCCACAGGTGTTTGGACGGACGCATGGTCTTCTCGAAATCATTCGGCTCAACAAGGTCTCGCTCTTCCTGGGCGGCCTCATGAATGAAGCTGATCGGGTATTGTATCGACTCGTGGAGGGACGCAGTCGACTGTCACACTTCTAGAGCACGGGGAAAACATGTTTTTTTTTGGTGTGTGTGTGTGTGTTCCCTATTTCCATTCTAAACTGTTTGGTTGGTTCTCTGTCACGACCATGATGCTTTACGACCTTTACGAGGATTTGAATTTTTGTTTTGCCTTTGATACCACATTTGAGGTCGATCTGGATTACGAGGAACTAGGACTAGGATTTTGGCCGGCATTGCGGAAGGGGGAAATTGGCGATTGGCGTTCAGGGCGCCCGACCATGATGAACTTTGCATGTTTGAAAGAATCGGACAACACTGGGCTTTTTTTTTTGCGTTTCTGATGACATACTCCGGCGTACATACATACCTACAGGGCACACTTTTGCATCTCGTCGCAGGAAGCGAACAGGAAAAAGAAACACAGGAGCACAGCGCGTTCAGGGCAGATTCCAGCAAGCGAGAGAGATTTGTAAATTTCGACCAAACTGTATCCACTGTACAGAGTTATGCTCTGCGAGTCACTCTTCAATCGAAATTGGTCTACTTGACAAGTTTATCAAGCCGAAATGTATGTTTGTGCCGTGTGGTCTTCCCTCCAATCTCCTACCCTCTAATGTCGTCTGCCGTGGTTGAAAATTGACGAGAGGTCTCGTAACGAGATTTGCGTCTCCGCGTTCAAAGGACCTTGGACCTTCGTGAATCGGAAATCAAACGCCGACAGCTAGGGTCAGGAACGGGGACGATAGACGCGAACGAACGAGCATCCGGGATGACTTGTGGAGGCCAAGCCAGAGAGCCCAGCACAGCACTGGCCAGCGCAGCAGACCAACCACCAACGGGATGTGCCTGGCCTGCTACTAAATTTGGGATGGAGAGATGGAGCACCGCGAGATTTTGAGGGGCTGAGCCTCGTCTCAGCCACCATGTACCTGGCTTGGAAGGGATGAGAGACACCAAATCCACCCACCAGCGACAATGATTCTTCGAGAAGCTCGATTACCTATGCATGCATGCATGTCTCTCTACGAGGACCATGTCATCATCGCCCTTTGGCACTCTCACAACGACCGCAGTAGGCGATTATGTCAGGGTCGTTTGACTGGTGGTAGAGCCGCCCTTGAGATAGCCCTAGCACAGCCCCTGCGCACGAAACTGCATGCAATCAGAAGAAAAGACAAGAAGAATAAGCAAAAAGACCAAAAACCAAAACAGAACTATTGATCACAGACCACCCATGGGCCAAAGGCCCTGAGTGAGGCTTCGAAATCTGAATCCCAACCAGTGACAACACCAGCAACAGCGACTGTACGAGGTAGACGAGCCAACTCGTTTCTTCTTTCCATTCCTCCTCCGTACTGTTTGTCGCTCGCTCCCTACTACCCCCTGTGGCCTACCTCGTTTAAGCGGGCTCATCCTCCCGTTCGACCTGCATTGGGCCAACGCGGACTAACGGCGGAAGGCGTCCTCGTAATCAACCACTGATCACACCACTCCAACCACTCCGATGTCGTTGCTCGACTGCTGCACCCCAAATCTGAAACGTTGGAAAGAATAAAAAAAAAGTAAAACGCATACTTGTAGGTACAGGTATGGAGTAGGTGGGTTGCCCAGGGCATACTCGTACGAGAACATAAGTACTCCTGCTTTGACCAGGGGATCATCCCCTTCGCTCCACTTGGCAAGGTACGGGACGCGGGAGGCCTGGAACTGCCACGCCTGGCCAAAGGCAGGGAGATACGAGTTCGCTCAGGCATGTATCTCTGTCATCTCGAAACGAGGCGACCTCACGGCACTCCATGATACTATTCCTAACTAGGGTAATCACAACAACACCCTACGAACACACAAACACCCTGGAGCAAATCACCCCCATAATTACGCCACGGGGTTTCGGATCATCAGTGCGTGCCGCTATGGGTCTGGCTGGCGCTTCGCAGAGACAAGGGGAAGAGGCAACGAGGACGGGTTCTTGAATCCAGGACTGTTTGGCCTTTTTCTTTCAAACAAACAAACACCTCGCAAGTTTCTCCAAAAGCGCAACAAGAGAGAGATTTTTCAAACTCGGTTAATCCCGCGCAAAATCAGGCCTCTGATAATGGGCCCCTGAGTTCTCACACTCCTTGAACGTCTTTCCAGAGCAAGCAAGGGGGAGGGATCCACGGCCCGCAGGATATCTTGCTCCTGCTCTTTGTACAGGCGCGGTTTTGAACCAAAAAATTTGAGCGAGATATGCGTCGCACTAAGCCCATGTGCACTCTATCTCGCCAGACCAAATCCTACACAGTGGCGCTGACCCAAAGTCCGAGACGGCGACGGCCAGCATGCAGTGCGATCGGGGCTTTCGTATTCTATATGAACCACAGATCGGGTCAACGGGCAGAGAGACGAGCTCCTGGAGCACGTTCTTACCTTTGCACAGTCGGTCGTCCACAGTGAGCAATAGTCATCGTTGGCCGCCAGATTTCAAGAGAAAGCAGCAACAGAGCCCTCGAGAACTGCAACTAGAAACTACAGCCATTACCGTCCAAGGTGGGCCCCCTTTGCCTTGAGGACAGAGACACCCTGCCCGTCTCAGACTTTGTTCAACCGTCACTCAAAGCCCTGTCACAGTATGGAAACCAAGCGCACGTTGGCAAAGGATCAACAAACAGCTTGCCAGCCAGATGAGAGGACCGTCACCAGGGCCGTTGGCGCGTCCGTTGCAATCTATCCGATGTTTTTGGCGACAGTCTTCAGTACCGGGTTCGTGCGATACTGTCTCTCATCTTTCCTCGACGATTCTCGCGGATGGTGACCCGAGACAGCATTTTGTTGTCGTAGTAGTTGCTGCTGCTGCTGCTGCTCCTGATCCTCTCCCTCGAAATGTATCTCGAACCTATCTGCAACATTCACATTCCCTGGTACCCAAGCCCCACTGGTTATCATCCTTCTTAAATATGTCTTTCGGTCCCACGGCTTGACTTGGTGATTGTACCACCTTGAAACCTCTTCCAGGAGACATCCAGTGATAGGAAATGGATGCTCACCGTGGCGAGTGGCTTGGTGCTAATATCAGCTTTTCCAACGGCCAGTGTCCGCAGGCCATGTTGGAGTTTCCGTATCGTCCTCTAAACCGAAGCATGGAACCACGACAAGACCCCTTGAAGCCTTCGACACAGGAGCAATCCTTGACTAGCCGTCCTCTCACAGCCGTTTTCTCGGGGTGATTCTGTTTTCGCCTATTTCTTCAGTCGCAAGACTCCAGAACGTAGCTTGGATGCCCTTCAGCGATGCAATATCGGGCGTGGCAACACACTGAGCAACGGATTGCATTTTCAACTCGACCGTTTGTGCGAGCAGACCGAAAGTTTAGAGCATGCCATTCAGCTCTCAGTTGAGGGACCGTACTTTCGGCTATCTGTAGGGCACTGACCATGCAGTTCAAAGCTGCCCGTGAGTTGATTTCCACAATCTTCCTCCCTCTCTGGTAGCTCTTATGGCCCTGCTTCTCAGGGTCAATGCATAGGACATGGTGTAGTCGGTGCAAGGCAGCATTTACTTCCTCCAGAGGGTCACTAACAAATAGGGCTTGCTGGGGAATCCGAGGGCTTCGCGGTAGATCTTCGACCAGGAGACACTCGGATCATTCAGAGATGTTTCGAAGCCTGAGATGTTTGAGATCATTTTTGTGGTTTCCAATGAAATCAGAAAAGGGGAGAGTGGACAACAAGATTTGCTGAACAAGCCAGCGAGCCACCTTGGCACAAGCGCCTCGCATTTTAGCCACAAGGCTGGAGAGCCACAGCCTGATCAAGGGATCCATTATTACGCCTGGACGCATCCACCACGCAAATCACCACATCCCTGTTCACATGCCGCTCTAATGACGGAAAGATCTTGGACAGGGCGCCTTAGCGAACACTCACTGCCAGAGATCGACCTTCATTCAAGGTTGATGGGCATTCATGCTTCTTAGTCCTTGTGCCTGGGGGCCAATGGGAGCCTTTTTGAACCACAGCAGTGGCTATGAGATAGTCGCTCAGATCCACACACTTTTCCAACTGTGTATTGCGAACGGGGTCAAACTTCGGGAACCAGTCCTCCACAGGCGCGTTGAAACAAACTAAGGGTGGAACGGTAGGGTGCCTGAATATCGCAATTACCCAGTTCGTCATATTCGCATCGTCGTCGAAGCGTCTCTTCTCTGCTTCCTGCAGAATGTTGAGTTTACTACCGTCTTCTTGATTGTTGACCATCACTTGCGTCTGGCGATTGCGTCGCCGCAGCAATTGCACGCTTAGGGCGTCTTCCGTCGCGACAGCCGACTTCTATACTCCAAGACACATCACCTCGCGTGTCAAAGTGAAGAGAGCTTCGTGCTCATCTCCATGTCGACCTTAATCTTCGCCGCTTCCCTGCTTCTCATACCACAGCTGGCCTCGGCGACGTGCTATTGGCAAAACAGCACGCTGGCCCCAGATGATCCGTACTCAATAGCCCCCGACGATACTGCATGTTTTCCAGATCAAGAGAACTCGGCCTGTTGTGGTACGGGGTGGACATGTCTCTCAGACGGAGTATGTTACATTGAGCAAGGTGGAAGCAGTTTCTGGTACCGGGGGACATGTACAGATCGGACGTGGGACAGTCAGCTATGCCCCGGATGGTGCTTTGCTCAGAGTAGGTGCCTGGAGCCCTCTACTGGCTGCCGTCGTTTCTAAAGGTCTTCGCTGGTGACATGGAATGCTGAGGACGCGGTGCTGACAGATGCCAATTCATCGATACCCTTACTCAAATGTGACACGGCACAGGATTGGGTAAGCTTCCATGAAGTCACATCATTACTCCACCAAAGGCCAGTACAGAGCTAACAGATGCCTGGAGTACTGTTGTCCGGGAGATTCGGAGTGCAGTTGTGATACAGGAAAGAATGCCGTCAAGCTCGGGGACGCTCAACCGAGCACGGTCACCGTCATTGGAAGCACCAGTTGGCCGGGGATAGAATCTACAAGTACCCCATTTGTCCAGACAAGCCCTCTCGTGGCAAATGGCACCGCCACAAGCGAATCTGGCGGACTTACTTCCAGTACCACTAGTATTAGTACAAGTTCTATTACACCCACGTCTTCGCCTACCACCAACGGAGTGGCAGCGGCAGCGGCAGCATCCGCGACATCAAACACTCCTGCACCATCTACGGGCGGAAGCTCGAGCAACACGGGCCTTGCAGCAGGGCTGGGAGCTGGTTTAGGAGCAGCCGCGGTGATAATCGGCGTCCTTATCTTCTTCCTGATTCGCAATAGACGTCATCGCAACGCAGAGAAGGAGGGACCAGGAGATGCAGGTTATAGCGGTCTCCTTCAGGGAGACCAGACGATGCAAAAGCCCCTCTCGGTGGCATCCCAACCTGCATCTGCATACTCGGACAACCAACAACAACACGTGGTGGCGGAAGCACCACCATCTCGGGATGACAGGCCCGAATTAGCAGGAGCTGGTGAATACGAGCGAGTTGAGATGCCGAGCGGACAGAACGGAGACAGGCTGCACCACCAAAGGAGTACGGAGAGGGCCGAACTTGGTCCATGACTCCATGACGCCTGGCCCTCAGGGACGCGCGGCGAGGCAGACCGTTGACGGGGGATATATAATATAGGAAGAGGGAAGAGACAGCCCCTAGGAATGATGTTTGGTACCGTATGAATTGGATGTCACATGCTTGAAGCCTGGTCAGGGAGAAGCGGCAGGGGGAGCGAAGAGGGAAGGCTGTGGCAAACAAGACGGGGAGGGAGGCAACATGCATGCAGCTGGTCATCATGCTTTGCTTTGACAGCACTTCTACTTGTAGATCTTCTTCTGTTGAGTGGTGGAGGGGGGGGGAAGATACTGAATGAGACAACCGGCAGTACGGAGGCCACCACTCTACAAGTAGGCATACCAATTGTCACCTCTTGGTCCAGGCAAACCATTCTACCGTGGGATCCTCTTTGCACCTTTCCCAAATCCCCATCGCTCCGTCTTTCCTCAGCTCGCGTCCTGCAGGGCATTCCTGCATGGAAGATTCTTTTCCGCTAACTAGACGAGCTGTGGAACTTAGTCCACTGCCTGTCCGGGACAGTAACACATTCCTTTTCCTTTTCCCGGCTGGATGCGGTGCCCATGCGCATCCCCATCCGTCCATGGACCATGAGTGAGTGTATCTCCTGAGCGCCTTCTGTCCAGCACTTGGTGACCACATCACATGCCATTCCTCAACCGTTGACCCTGTACCTTTTTGCCCATTTTCTGCTCTCACCGACAGGGCAAGCGCCGCAATGGACCATCTTGGCGGGGCAAAGGGCAAAGGGCAAAGAGGACGACAAGACGCCATGCTGGGATGATGCATAACGTCGCATGATGCGTCAGCAACGCTCAAGACACCCATTGGCCCATTATAGGCCATCGTCGCCCCTCTGTTGCTCCTCCTCCCTCGCTAACGGCCCGTGAGTGGCTACAACGGGCAAGATGCCCGTCGACGGGGTATCGGCCCCTTCTCAAGAGGGTGTGGTATATACTCTAGACCTCGAAATGTTCAGGAGGATGGAATGATTTGCTAAGTTTTGCGTAAGGACCAAGGGCATTTGTCGTGGCCCGAGTCTTGTCTGCTTCCTGCTTTCTACTTTTCTACCTTTCTACCTACTGCTACTCTCTCGGTAGTGACTCTCTCTACACCACCCTGCCCTTTATAAGGCCACGTGCGTTTCCGCTTCCTCCCTTATTCTTGTGCTTTTCTCCTTTGGAACCCCAGGCCTCCTCTCCCTCCACCACCCACATCCACTGCTTTGCCTTCGACGCGCGAAAGAGGGAGACAGAAAGCCCTCATTACAGATCCATTACCGCTACAGCGCCGGACTAGCAGGCGCGCTGAACCTCGGACAGTGCCTCTCCAGTGGATTCGGCCCTAGATCTCCCGGCTGAGCGTAACACAGAGTTCTGATCGAGAAGCTGCCTTTACAAAGAAAAGCGGAGAAGCCGAAAATCCCGCTTCCACAAGACTCGAGCAGAGTGTTCTATATTAATACGATATAACACCAAAAGAAGCCAAAATCGACCGGCCGCCTGAACATCACACCACACACACACATACGCACAAATGTCTTCTCCGACTTCAGATGAAGCCCTCTCGCCAACCACGACGCGCTCCTCCACCAAGTCCAACATGAAGATCTCGATGCCCCCCCCGCCGTCAGCCTTCGTCCACCCAAGCCCCGCATACATCATCGCGTCGACGCCCTCGCCGTCGCAAAACCCCGCCGATGCCTCTTGGCACCCGCAAGGCCATCACCACCACCACATCCACATCGCGACGCCGCACCCGCTGGCCGCGGCCGCCAACTTTCTGGACAAGCACGTCCCGCTGTTCGCCAAACACCACGCCGAGTTGACGGCGCAGCAAGAGATCCGCGCCGCCAAGCGCGAGGCCCGGCACAGTCTGGTCGAGTCGCCCATCCCGGAACTCGACGCCGAGCATGTCATGTCGGCCAGCGGCGGGGCGGTCGGCGCGGCGATCCACAGCGCCACGGCGACGGGTGCGGCCGCCGCATTGGGCGAGGAGTCGCAGCACGCCCTGGACCCGGCGGCGTGGGACGAGGTGCTGGCCAAGCGCGAGGCCGCCAGGTTGAGGTCGGGCTCCAACATGCCCAGACCTGATGGGCAGTTTTCGCACGAGGCCGGCAGCGACTCCGAGTCCAAGAACTCGGGTTCGCCAGCCATTACGCCATAGGGGCGTCAGCTTGTTTTGGAACGGCAAATGTGAGAGACAGATCGAGAGTGAGAGAGAGCAATTGTGTGTTCTGTCGTTCGTGGAGCGTATGTTTTGTTGCGGCGGTAAGTTTCTGAGCCCCCGGAGGCTCTCGGAGGGGAGGCACTCGTCCGTTGGATTCATCTTGCTTGCCAGCCAGCTCGCCAGAACCGCGCAAATGGGTGTCTAAATCTGACCCAGCAACCTTTTTCATCTCCAAATATCAAGCTACCCACCCCGCCCACCCACATACCGAACTATATACCCAAGTATCTCGACCAATCGATCGAATTCAAAATTCAAACCAAATCTCTCGACCGACCGATCGAAGGAACAAAGATGGGAGGACGAGCAATCGTCCCACCGCTCGCTCCTTACGAAAGCGAAGCCAAATGAAATGCACCGACATAGCATGGACTACGGAGTACCTATTCCATCACCACCACCACCACCACCACCATCATCAAAGCCGGAAAAGTGCGACCGAGCCTGACCTTTTTCCCATTCAGCGCAGACAGCGGCAGTGGTGTTCTGTGGCGTTTTGTCGTATGGCGTTTTGTGCTGTCTCTATGCGGTAAATAGCTGGAGTTACCAGCACCCGTACAAACCAGGACCTTTTATTATTGTTGTTGTTGTTGTCCTGGTCCTTGCCGGAAAGGGGGCCGGAGTTATGGAGGGTTTGCGGACGGTGAAGGGACGAGCATGATGGGGGAAATGCGTGCGAGGATCAGGGTCCACCACGGCCAGACAGATGGACGGATGGACAGAGTGAGTCCCATGCTTGCTACCAGGTACCCAAACCAGACACAAATAGTCTAGGGAAGCACACGCTGCTGGCCATGATCTGACCTTGGTACTCGTGTATATCCTTGCATGCACCACATACTCCGAACGAAGCCTCAATGAGAAACATCCCAAACTGCTTCGGGATCCATGCATCGATCCATCCAGATTGGTGTGGTTGTTGTTACAAACTGCAAGGCTAGCTAGCTATACCGCACGCACCCTTGCCAGAACTATTCTACGGAAAGACCAGGGAACCATCCATCGTCTAACAAGCACAGGACAACACGGCACTGATTTCATAATCTCGTCCAATTCATTTCGTTGTCCATGCTACATGTGTGTCAGTAACACACCGCCGCCTCCAACCCAGATTCTCGAGACACATTCCTCGATGGCAAAAGACAGAATGTTACGCCTCCGTCTCTACCACTCTGTACCCCTCCTGAATCCTCCTCACAATGTCCTCATTCTTATGCTGCAGCAAGGACAGCGCGTATGCTGTGTCGTCCCATTGACGTTTATTAGCACACCTATTAAGTCGGGCTGCGAGTTTTTCGGCCAGATTTTTGGCGTGCTTGTCCTATTTCGCTCACCAGTTAGTTTGAGGGGAAGTGGCATAGAGTCTCGTTGCGGCGTTGTCATTTTGCAGGCGGAAGAGATGTGACGGTGCATGCGTACCTTTTCGATAAATCCACACAAGAACTTCAAAATCCTCTTGACTGCTTCCTCTTCCATAACTCCACCTTCCAACGGCCCCTCTTGGGTGAGCACACTGAACATATCGACGAACTGATTGTACACAGCATTGTCCTTGGTGGCTAACTCGGTGAAGAACATGCGTGCCAGATCAGCAATCTTCTTATCACCGTCTTCCAGGCACTTGGCCATTTCTCCCAGTTGACCTTTCACCTTAACCTGTCCTGCCAAGATGAGGAAGGTCAATGTCATAAGACAAGTTCGTTTCACACTTTCGTCGGCGTCATTAAGCCGGCGGTAGAGGAAGTCCGTGTTTTCGTCAATGAGATGGTTGAAGCACACCGCCATGTCGCCCAACGCAATCACAGCATTTGACCGGACAATCGGGTCAGTGGACCGCTCTAGAATCGTAATCAGGAGTGGCAAGTTCTTCTCGCAATACTCACTGCTCACGCACATGAGTTTCGCTAGACACAATGTCGCCTGAGCTTGGAGGTTTCGGTCTTTGTAAGCTGTATTGTTTGCACAAATTTCCGTTACCAGAGGGCCGAAATTTGCGAGCAACGAATGTGGACCGTAGAGCAACTCTCGTTCTCGAATATGCGCAATAGCCTCGGTGAAGTCATCTTCGGTCGTGCCACCGATCAAGTCAAGCTCATCCTTTTCTTCCTCTTTCTGCTTCTCTACGAGGACTTCTTCTGCCGCAGTCTTCTTCCGTTGAGCCGACGGGGGACCTGATGACTTGTCAGGGGAAGGGTTGGCCACTGGCTTGTTCTTTTCTTGGTCCTGTTTCCGTCGCTTGAAATCGAGTTCACATAACTCAAGATGCACGATTTGTTTGATGGCAATGTGGCCGACAGTGAACAAGAGCTGTGAGAGCGCAATCGAAGGCTTCTCCTGCTTGGTTTCTGTAGGTTCCAGCTCGTGTGGTTCGGTCTCTGGGTTTGTGACTAGCTCTTCGCCGTCAATGTCCATCGCATCGGGTTCGGGAGAAGACGTCCTCGATAGCGACGACAGGTCTTTCGTCTGTTGAAAGACAAGCCGAGTCTTCTGTCTCAGCACTTCAGAACACAGGACATCTGGATGATCAGAAAGGACGTAGATTGCGCTGATCGCTTGTTCTGCCATCCCATACCAGTCCTTGCTTGCCGAGGTGGTCAGGAGGATGGATGCAAGCATACGCAGAACTTCGTGGTTGTTGGACATCTTCGAGAGACCCGCAGAAGCAGTCTTCTCTTGCACCTTCTTCGCTGTTGGGATCATGCGTCGGAGAGCAACAGAGGTGAACTTGGCGAGCACGAGGTCATTTCGCCCTAGCTGTCCGAGACCGACTCGCAACATCGTGTCAATCTCCTTCACCACAACCTCAGGACTTGCGAGAGCAATCATTCCCAAGACGATGATGGCACCTCTCCTCTGGGCTCTGGAGATTTCCTTGTTGACGCCGTATACCTGCCACAATTTCGTAATCACTAACTCGGGAATATGACCGGCCTTGAACATAGTGCTCAGCAGCTGTTCCAGCGAGGTCAACTCTGCAGGTGTTGCACCGAATGTCAAGCTGATCATATTCCTGGCAACGAAATTGGCAGCATCATTGGTACTAAACATCTCAGGGGCATCAAAGAAGAGACTTTTGTAGTTGTCGATTAGATGGTTCTGGACTCCTTTGCCTTCATCACTGTTTCCTTTCGTCCAGATCAAGCGCAGCATTCGACGGATCCCTTTCCGGGCCGTCTCGATCTTGAACGCGTCAATCGTGACAAAGAAGTCCATCACATCGATGACCTCAGTCTTGTTGGGTGACGACAATAGCTGGACGGCGATTTCAGAGGCCTCATGTATGATTTCGATGAATTTGAGAGCCTCGAGATAGTATTTGCGGGTCAGTTGGAGTTTGCCTATGAGTTCAGACGTTGCTGCCTCTTCTTGCGCCTTCTTCACCGCAGCAATTTTCTCTTCTTCAGTCAGCTCTTTTGGCTCTTCCTCTGCCTGGGTTGCATCGTCAAGGAGTTCTTGGTCAACTCGCTCTTCACCTGCAGCCGTCCGGGCCAGCCCAGGTGAGTCGGGGGGGGGCTTCAGGGCGTCCAACTGTGATTCGACTGCCTCAAGTCTCTCTATCCACTCTTTGTGTGAAAGTTGTCCACCATGCATGAGGCTAAATGGGTGTGAAGAAACCAGCTTCCTCAAAAGCTTGATAGCATTCCGTCGAACATTACTGCTTTTGTCCTGGAGACTCTGCATGGCAAGTTCGGCGGCATTCTGTCTCCTCTTAGGAAACTTCTGCTCCAGGTCGCATATCTTGGCGAGAACTTGCATTGCCCGTACTCTGCAGAATGGGGCTGTGTCAAGAAATCGCTGTTCAAGGGTGTCGAAGAAAGCATTGATCTGTATCTTGGTGGTTTCGGTTTTCTCATCTTGTTTGCTTAGATCTACAAGCAAATTCCCACAGACTTCAATCACTGCACATCGTAAGGTGTGTGCCTCGCTGTCAAGAAATTTGGCAAGAAGGCCCATCTCCTTAATCACGAGTCTCGGTTGGAGCTCTGAAAGCTTTATTATAAAGGCCGAAACCGACTTTGGCCCTTTGGTGTCACTCTGACTGAATTCCTTTGCAGCCAGCTCTCGGAGAATCTCGGCAGACAGCTGAGGGTAGTCGTACTGCTCTGACAGGATGTGGAGAAACTCGGCCATGGGCTCTGACAAATGTTCAAAGTACGTGAGATTCTGGACGATTGAGGTCTGTGCCCCAAGAGCGTGGCCATGATGCTTCACGGCGACACAGAGCACTTTGAAGCAAAACATGCGCACCGCGGTAATCTTGACTCTGGCCTCACTCTCCATGATCAGGTATATGGATCTCGTAAACAGATTGATGAACGTGTCCCGATCAGAGGTAGTCTGGAAGATGCGATTCAGCTTGAGCTTCATCACTCGACACATGACATCCATTGCATTCTGGATTTGGCTGGAAGAATCCCAAGCATTGTCTTTGGCAGTCGACTTTGATTTTGCGCCTTTGCCACCTCTTCTAGCCGGCCCTGTGCTCGACTTCTCCTGCGCTTTTGTTTCGACGGCGGAGATGGACCACTGAAGAAGGAATGCGTACATTTCGAGCAAGCGTTTGTGCTGTGGCAAGGTCTCTTGTTCGTCATTTTCAATGTCGTGATTTGCAACATCTGCAGAGGTTGACAGTCCGGAAACGATCAGATTGAGAATCTTACTCAGAGATTGAGTAGACAGGACGGATGAATGCCTGGATGCACGAAGTAGTTCAGCACGATGCCATTGAGCACAGTCGGTAATGGAGGGAGTGGAGGTGGCGAGCGCACTTTAATAGAAACTGTAGAGTATCAAATGTCGAACTTCTGAACAGTCCTTCTGGGTTTTCCGTAATCAAGTCTATCACCGAGTCCAACACACTGTCCACCAGCCCGGGTGTCAGGCTGTCTGGGTCATTCTCGCCGTCGATCAGTTCTGGATTCGCCTCAGGAGTAGTGATGGTCGTCACATCGCTGAGGTACAGCTTCAAAGACTCGTTAATATCGAATTCGACCTGATCATCCATGTTCGCTATGGTCAATGGTCAAGAGGTAGAGATTCTGTTGTCAGGAGGGCGCATTTGTTGTGTTGACGGGTGGTGGCAGAAAAGGAGTTGGACATTCACAGTGGCAGCAACCTTCACTGATCAAAGAGTTGCTAGCTCGCCGCCTTCATCAACAACAGGGTCAGAACCACAGACTGACTGCGACCACTGTGGCGACCATCCGGCTGTTGTTGTTCGTGATTAGATTTATTGACGAATTTCCTAATCTGTGCTGGCGGATATGCCCTGTTATGCCCCCACATACAAACACCCACCACCATGAAATTAGCGAAGACGGCCAGAGGTGTCCTTCAAAGCCTCCAGCCAAAACAGACCAGTCTACAGTCAACAAAGACCTCAAAGGCCTTGCTGTCGCGTTATCATGTCTTGCTGAGCGACTCCGGGCTGGGAGATACGCCTGAGAAGGAAGCCGAACCTGAGTCTGCGTCAACGCGTCATCGTCATCGAGAGAAGGCACAGCGGGCCGCAGCAGGGACTCAAGGGAAGGAAGTGAAGGAGCTTCCCGGACAAGGCAACATGGGGCACACTTCGATTGCCATTCACGAGGATGCACAGAAACAGCCTCGTGTGGGTGAAAGAGAGGTACAGGACATGGCGCAGCACGAGTTGGAAGAAGAGGACTCTCTCGACGATCCTGTCTCAGAAGACTCGGACGAAAGCGACGACGACGATGTCGACGAGAGCGTAGTCGATGACATGCGCAGACTCGAGGAAAGCTTCAGAGGCATCTCCCAAAAGTACAGACTTATCAACCGCATTGGTGAAGGTATCGATATCAACTGCAGCACATTGCTATCTCCTCGCTGACCTCTACATGGCAGGCACCTTCTCTACCGTATACAAAGCCGAAGAGCTTGTTCAGCCGGACGAGCTGGACCAGGAGAATGACGATCCCACGAGCGAGTCCACTACGGACATTCCCCCTACTAAGCGGCGGAAAACAAATGGTTTCTATCGTATGGACAACAGATCACGGAGGAGACCTATGCTTGTCGCATTGAAGAAGATCTATGTGACGTCCTCGCCTCACCGCATCATGAATGAACTGGAGCTTTTACACGAATTACGCCACTCACCATACATCTGTCCACTATTGACAGCCTTCCGTCACCTCGATCAAGTCGTCGCGGTGCTCCCATACTTTAGACACCTCGATTTTCGCCTGTACTATCGAGATTTTCTTATCAATGACATGCGCCATTACTTCCGTTGTCTCTTCAATGGCCTGGCCCACGTCCACAAGGCGGGCATCATACATCGCGACATCAAACCCACCAATTTCCTCTATGACCACTCCAGGAGGCAGGGTGTTCTGGTCGACTTTGGCCTCGCTGAGCGGCAAGGCACAGACTGGCAACCATGCCTCTGTACAGAATCAAGGGAGAAAAGGAGAGACAAGTTTATCAATTCATATGCAGTGCAGGCCCTGCAGTCGTCGCCCGAGCAGGTGTCGACCGGGTATCCTAAGAGTGACAGCCGACCATCTCGAAGGGCAAACAGAGCAGGAACCCGTGGTTTTCGAGCGCCCGAAGTTTTATTGAAATGCACCGCCCAAACCACCAAAATTGATGTCTGGTCAGCCGGGGTGATCCTCCTCACCCTCCTGGCGCGACGATTTCCATTCTTCAACAGCGCCGATGATGTTGACGCCATGATTGAAATGGCTTCGATATTTGGCCGAAAGAAGATGCAGTCTGTCGCGGCAATGCATGGCCAACTCTTTGAAACCAACATCGAGACCATTGGCGAACGCGGCTTCAGCTTTGAAAAAATCATCATTTGGGCAAGTTGCCGCGAGAAAGAGCACGACAATCTCCGGCCGGGAGAGGCTCAGGCAGTGTCGTTCTTGTATGGCCTTCTCGAACTCGATGCTGGGAAACGAATGACTGCAAGGGAGGCACTGCAGCACGAATTCATTACGGCACCCGTGGAGGACGAGCAAGAGCGGGCCGAGAGAGAAGCGCAAGAGGCATTTGATGAAGAAGAGGCGAGAAGAAAACGTCGCTGAATGTGGGGACGAATGGTGGCACAGACCTGAGCTCTGGTGTCTGCATCGATATATATAATTGCATTTCAAAAGCTGGCGAATCGGTCGGAGCTTTGTATTACTAGCATCTTATACCCCCACGGCACAGCATGTCTTTGCTTAGTTTGTTGTTGAGTTGCTGGTATGGACAGAGGGCGGCTTTTCGACGTCTGTGCAGAAAACATAGGAAAGAGAAGAGCCTCTGATTGTTTAAAGGCGAATCACAACGACCCATAAAAACGTGATTTCTTGGTGCAAAGTCTGCTAATTAGAATATTTCAAAAACTTTGCCAGTCTCCTCTGATCGATATGATTTCACCCTTGTCGGCGGTATGCTTCACGATGCTGGAGAGTTACCCCAAGACCGAGGAGTGATGTGCACGAAGAATGTGATATGCGCGAAGGGCTCATATTCGCGCTACCCAAACCAAACGCTTCTCATGGTGCCCAGACTCTGCATCGTCCGTTTTGCTCTGTTCATCCTCCGTTTGCTCCGTCCACGGATTGTAAAGTGGCCGGATCTTTGACTGCCAGTCCTCCGAGTGCTCCGCGTTCGAAGATCTGAGTCAGTCCGCGACTTCCTGGTGCCCATCGTTGACGGCTTGAGCCCAAATTGTGCATGCCCTCCCATCCTCGAGGGATAGATCCACACCGGGGATTGACAGGAAGACTTCGAGAGCAACAAAGCAGGTACACTTTATCGCAACGGGGATCGGTGTCCGAACTTCTTTGTCCTGAGCGTTGGGATCAGCACCTCGTTCAACAAATAATGACAGGTAAAGAATGATGCTTGCAAAGTCGAGGACGTTTTTGGAACCAATAAAAACGTCGTCAAGCTCCAATTCCACCAAAGCCATGTCTTCATCATCAAATCCGCCTTCTACATGTGCTGAGCGGTTCCGCCAACCCGCGACACCGTGGAGAACGGTGCGCCCAAAGATATCATTGTGTCGAATCATCACCTTCAATTGGTCTCGGCTCTTCGAGAATTTGGTTAGGATAGTGTTGACCTGGGCCAAACTCTCGCTCCCCACTGCAAGCTGTGGAGAATTTCGTCCGACTTTGTCTAATGCGTGAAGACCGCGGTCGAAATCAAGAAGCGATTGCACGCTCGACAGGGGAGCCGTCCATTAGAGCATAATGAATAGCGATGAATCCTGCCGCGTCTCGAATATTCAGCGCGGCTTCAGCATCAAGAAGGGCTTTCACCCTTCCAGAATTGCCATAATTAGCCACGTAATGTAGGGGATTTCGACCTTATTTGTTAAACACATCAAGCTTCAGGCGCAGAACTTTCAGACACTGGCAACGAAGTTCACTAGATGCCACATGACCAAGAAATGCAAACCCTGTCAGCCCTCGACGTCCTCTTCGGTGGAGCTAATCAGGTACTCCAACAAGCTTAACAAAATATTTCCGTGACCTTGTTCGGCTGCGATGTAAGCAGGAAGCCGACCTTGCTTGTCGCGTAGGTTGTAGTCTGCTCCGGCCTGGAGAAGATCTCGAAACGCCAAATCGTTGCGGTTTGCAGCGGCAATGTGGAGGCCGGACCGTCCCTCGTGGTCTACCAGGTTGAGGTATACCGGCGGTATGAATCATGGTGCGGCCGTGCTCATCCTTAGTGAAGTCGGAAAGCCCAAAATGAGACCAGAGCTTCAAGACGAGTGAAGGCCAGCCTTGTTGGACGAACAACGTCAAAGTTTCTTACTGTCGTAGTCGGGGGTTCTGTAAAGTATGTCTTTGGGAAGATTTTCCAAAATCTCGGTCAGCCTTTGCTTCAAGCCATAGAATGCGTACTAGTCCAGAAGATTTCGACCCGATAATCCCATTTTCAGAACTTGAGTAGGTTGAGATTTCAATATGGCATCTTCCACTTGATACCATGAAAGTAGTGCTGCCGATCCAAGATAGCTTTTGGGCCCACCGGATGCGCATTCCCTATGGTGCATGCCTCTTGAACCAGTTGATCGGAGCATCAGGTCTGCCAACAATTTTCGACACAAGCATTTCGAAACGGCCGTCCCGGAAGCATTAGTCGAGCTTCGTACAGGTACTGGACGCCAAGTGTGAGCCAAAGGGCCCGGACCCTACGGGGGCGGTCGCCTCGGGCTACATCAAGCCGTCGGGCCCTGTACTCGGCGTCCGCATAGAGAGCGTTCATCACGCGGAGACGTGGCATCCCAAGCTCGGTTTACGAACAGCCGGGGGGAATGAAGCCAGCTACCCATGGTCAGCGGATGCCATCGATCTTGTCGGAAAGGCAGCTCCGGGAATTGATCTATGGTTGCTTCGTTTAAATGAACATGTCACTCTTGTTCTCGAACAAGACAAACAAGACACCAATGCATTTTACCGCAATGGAATTAGCAACGATACTGTTCAAAATGGATTCCTCGACGAAGCTGAAACGCGGGTTATAACCATTAGATGAGATCCAGGCATGAACCTGCGGGGTGAGTACGCAGGTGAGAAGGGGGGTGGTTAGGGTGAATTGCGTGTGAACTCGGGCCCGACTCGGAGATGTCGTTGACATTGATTCATATTTCCCCGCCAGGGCTGGATGATGTGACCTTGGTGAGAGGCGAGGCGAGGCTGCCTCGCTAATATCATGGCACGGATTTTCCCGTCGCGACATCATCATCATCGCACAATGCCATATGCCGCGTCCCCTTTTCCTTCAAGGGGTTTTAAATGAGATAATACCATGACCGCAACGCCCAGTTCAAATATCCTCTCAACATTGGTGTGGCCGAGAGTTGGCACTTTTTACTTTCTTCGCCCTCAGGCAGCATCTTGCCGTCCCGTCGCCGTTGCCACCAGTCGATCTAACCGGCGGCAAACACCAAGCCACCATCTCTTCTTCTTGTCAATCTCAACCTCGATCCGATCCCCAGGCCAGAGGGCGTATTATTCCGCATGCCGTCGTCTGCAGTTCTCGACAAAAGTTCCCGCAATGCACATCTCGAGGCCAAGAGTGACAACAGCAATGTCAACGTCGTCTGCGGCACGCGTCCAGGCGGCGACGGCGAGGTCTCGGCAGCGAAATCCAAAGCGGTTCGCGCCGCTCAAACCCGACGCCGAGACCGGCCACGATCTTCCTAAATTGCAGGGCATCATCTTCGACATGGATGGGACGTTGTGGTGCGTAATCTATCTGTCGACATCAACAATGTCGCCTTCTTGACTTAAATGTATCACATCCGTGGTTTTGGAGAACGTAAATCCTCTAACCCTACCTTTCTTCCACCAGTCTTCCTCAAAACTACATGTTTCGAGAGATGCGTGAGGCGTTGGGGATACCCAGATCGGTCGACATCCTCGACCACATCCGCTCGCTGTCCAATGAACCCGACAACTCCGACGGCGCTAGCAGTGACGACATCGCGCCAGACTCAGTGTCAAGACGGCCGCCACCTCACTCGACACTGAGCCCCTTTCAGCTCCCATCCGAAGATATACTCTCTCCCATCAGCGACATGATTCCCCCCTCGGCACCCTTATCGCCACAAGCTCGCGCGGTTGCTAAGATCCAGGCCATCGAGCGCCACGCCATGTCCTCACAGCGCCCGCAACCTGGCCTGCAGGCACTCATGGACTACCTCTCTCGGCGGGGTGTGAGAAAGGCACTCTGCACGAGGAACTTCCCTGCCCCTGTGCATCATTTGTTGAGCAATTACCTCCCCGAGGAAATCTTTGAGCCGATCATCACGAGGGAAACGGAGGGAGTGTCGCCAAAGCCTAGTCCCGATGGGCTGTGGATGATTGCTCAGGTTTGGGGGTTGGATAGGGAGATTGAAATTGGTGAAATTCGAGAGTCGGTTGAGGCCGATGGTGGTGAATTCGATCCCCTAGAATTGGCCAGGAGGTATCTGGGGTCGGGCTTGATTATGGTCGGTGATAGCATTGACGACATGGCAGCCGGCTGGAGAGCGGGAGCGGCCACGGTGCTGTTGGCGCAAGACGAAAACCAAGACTTAACAAAGCATGAATATACGGGTCTGAGCATCAGACGGCTTGATGAACTGATAGATATCCTAGAAAATGGATTCGCCGAGAGCACACAGATATAGATTCAGACAGTGGTGATCCAATTGGCGAAGATTCTTGTGGGAATCAATACGACCACGAGGTTTGAGGCTCGCACAGTTCGGTATGCTCGATGTAGACGGTGGTCCAAGCATGTCTGGGGTCGTCCAATACGCGATGCAGGAGCAGCTGTCCGTGAAGGCGGTCAAAAACTTCCGGTGTGTTCCAAGCGACGTAGCACAACCCTCAATGTTCACAGGGCACTATATCACCGTAGGTAGGTGACGACCTCATTGTTACTACAACATCTTCTGTCGCACCTAGATGCGGCGATATCTGTGCGAGAAATTGAGAAGCAGGGTTCTGGGGGCACGTGGCAAAGCTCACCATATTCCTATGCTGAAGGCATTGTAGCACAACATCCATTATCCGTAGCGCAACCCATTTTTGGTCGTTTGTGCTGGTGAGGAGCGTAAATGCTAGGCGAGACAAAGGATATGATTGGCAGATCGATGGCTGATGTGTTGGCAAGCTGAAGAGGCGTCGCTATCCACGCACAGCTGAGTGACGAATGGAGAGGCGGGATGGAAATCGCTGCAAGCCTGAAACTGCTTGTCACAAGCGGTCGCCCGTACAACCAAAAGATTTAACATCGCCAGGATCAGGCCGTGGCGGGTGGGTGGACCCGACGGCGGCAAAGGCCCGTAACCTTTACCAAGTAGTGAGAAGGGCAAGAAGGGTTGCGACCCCATCCATTTGCCCATCTGTCCATTTGCCCAGCCAGCCGCTCCCTCGGATTTTCCTCTCACTTCGTACCAGGTATGTCTTTTGCTTCTCTTTCAGAGTGCTTCGTATGCCTACCTGCGCTTCCACTTCCGGCGACAAATTCAGGCGGTCAAGCACTCAGTAGAGGAGACAGCAGGAGGTCGCTGCATCAACAGGTGACCTCGCAGATATGCATGCGCAAAGCAATGGCCAATGGACAGTGGAGAACGCGAATGAGGCCGGCAACAGGAGGCTATTGCCTACAACAGTTGCGCGTTCTGCGGAGGAGAAACCTGATATTCCTGGCACTCACCTGCCTACCGGGTACACCCACAGATCCATTGTTGATCTGTGCAAGGGTGCTTCCGTGGCCTGTTCTCGCTGTCCGGTGCTCTGAGCTCGGCGCTGAGATGGCGGCTTGGGTCGACAATCGCTGCAATAATGTGCATAACTGAGAGCAGGGGGCGCAGGCTTTTTGGGCTGTCGATTTCCTTTTTGATAGTCTGGTGGGAAGAGAACACGCAGTCTTGAACCAGTGAATGAGACCCAGGTGTTCGTTCCCGGGGAATTTTTATCAGTTTAGCTAGGCACATATCGGTGGAGAAGCGGAAGGGAGTGCAGTCTCAGAGGTCAGAAAGGTCCATGCCTCGGGCGGTGAACCAATAGTGCTGCGAAGTGCATAGGTGGCGTGTGCTTTTGGCCCTGACTGGTGGAGGATGAGCCTGTTGGACGCTGTTTTCTTTAGCGGCACACCCGTGAAAAAGGGTCCGGCAACTGACTGGGGCTCAGGCTCCCTACGGGCGAGCTCTCTTGGGCTCCCTAGGCTCTTGGGGGCCCTTGGTGCCCTCCGCCTCCCCCGATCCATCCATCTCACCTGCAACCAAGTACGTAGCAATGCACCTGCTGGCTGCGCGGCATCTCTCTGGTGCCTCTTCGGACATCTGCAGCCCAAGTCCACCGCTTTTGCTTCATCCTTTTCCTCGTTGTTTGCTTTGCTCTTCCAGCGACTATTGTCTTGCCAAACAGCCATGATACCCATGGGCATTTCCAGCTTTGTTGTGATCCACGGTTATTGATACTTGACTCGTCTCAGTGAGGTCCTGTCCCACCACTCACCGTTACCTGCGGTCGCCGAACCACAAACTCCCAGCCTCGCAATTATTCGCCTGCGACCATCGATCATTAACACCACCACAATCACCTGCCCATACCTTCGCTTCCTGGTAAATCGCTTGCCCTTCAGATCAAGATCACATTCGCCGTCATCAAACTTGCGGTTGACAAGAGAAGGGCACCTGCGGCACAGTTTCAAAATTCCTCGCTGGTCTATTTACTTCCGATCGATCAACCTCACAGCGAACCTCCACCAACCATGATCGCTCCGAATTTATTAGCAAGAACATAACCATCAGACCCTCAGGGCACATGCGCATCGACCCCTGCGTATGTGCTCCATGACCCGGCATACGTGAGGTCGTTTCAGGATGGGCTTTTCGAGTCGACGCCCAATTCTGCCTGCGCCTACAGATTCTTTGCTGGAGTCGGCCGACGACACTGGCCAAGGTACGGACCTTGGGACCGATCTGTCTCGACGAAGCGAGAAGACCTCCGAGATCATTCCTGACGACGGGAGCCCAATCACCATTACCCCTGCCCCGAAGCGCAACATAGGAAAACTAGCAAAGTCCGGTCAACAATCCCAAACTTCATTGCTTATCGAGCTATTTGAAGGAGGAAAAGCATCCGATTCTGGGCAGAGACGGCCCAGCTTACGAGTTCGCTATACACCATCTCACTCTCGGAAGAGCAGAGATAAAGGCGACCGCCACATTCTAGTCACCGAGTCTCCAACGGCGAGGCGGCCATCCTTCAGCCACCGCATTTCACTTGGAGGAAACGAGACTCTTGCGCCGAACGTCATTGAAGGCAGCATCAGTTCTTTGGATACAGGCGACGACTTCAGGCCTGCCATCCCTGTCGACATCGAAGTCTTACAAAACGAAGACAGCGACAGGTCCGTCTTGAGCTCACTTCCTGAGACCAGGTACATAATCCCAGAATCCGACATTTCATCTATGCCAGCAGAGAGTTCTCTAGGACCCAATCCACCTATCAACATGTCCCCTTCCAGCCAGAGTGTCAGTATCACCCGAGGTATGTCTGCTGAAGGGGCCTCTTTAAAACCACCTGTTATTCCCGCCGAACGCAATCTGAGCAACGAGCGGATCACGCAGAAAGTCATCGAAAAGTTGAGCAATAAGCCACGCGTTTCGAGTAATGGAAAGCGTCATCATAGTAGCCATAATGGAAGTCGGAGCAGCGCCAGCAGAGAAGTGGAGTCTACGCCCGCCGAACCGCGAATTCGTGTCACAAAAAACGTCGACGATGATTCCATGCAAAGCATGACCGGTTCTAGTATTGTTAGCGGCTCTCAAATCTCTGCAGACCCGCGGGCCACGGACCAACGATCGGCCCGCTCAGGGACATCAAACGTCTCAGTCACGAACAATCCGAAATTACTTCACGCCGTTGAAGATGCCATCCGAAGGCTTATATTGCCCGAGCTCAATGAACTGCGCCGAGATCAGAAGCATTCCCACCGATCCCGGCATGATAAATATAGCAATCCCGATGTGTCCTCGAGTACCCTATCGCGAGAGGACAGGGCGCGTCGCAGATCATCAGGGAGCAAATCCAAGCGTCGAGTCAGTCGGGAAGCTGAAGGTGGAATTCCTTCAGATTCGTCTCGTCGTCACAGACGTCACAAGACGGTCGACTATGATTCACCATCTGAGCAAAGCTACGAGCCATCTGAGTCTGTTGACAGCTTGGGCGACGAGAAGAGGTCCCGAAGGCACTCAAAAAGCCGGCGTGCCCGTGATGTCGCCGCTGGGGCCGTTGGTGGTGCAGCCCTGACCGCTGCCGCTCTGAAATCGCACGATTCAGCATCGAGTCTGGAGTACTCGGAGCACCGCAGACGGCGGAGGAGCAAAAGCCATAGCAGCCGCAGTGCAAGCTATACAGAGAAGGAGGACGCTTTCCAGAAACATCAAGTGCCGCCCATGCCCTTCGTCAGTGAAATTGGTACCGATCTCACTCGAAGCTCGCTTAAATCCTCAAATGATGGCCGCGCCGAGACACCAACCCGACGTGAGGTGCGTGAAGTGATACGTGGATCTCCTCTCGAACTTTCGTCGCCAGCATCTCAGACGACGCCCACCGCCAACGCTCTCGATCTGAAGAGGGGACTCGGTACCCACCATGGCAATTTTTCAGAGCACGATCTGTCAACCCACGACTTGTCCTCAAAGAAAGAAATGTTCGATGAAGATACTTTTGACAAACCACATGAACCTGAAGAGCTGGATTTCGCTACTCACGGTTTTGCGGCTTTAACAGATCCAGAAAGGGCTCGTCAATATGAGAGGAATCTCCATCAGCAGCATCCCATTAGACGAGGCCTTAGTCCGATACAGAGTGTTGCCAGTTATGCGACTACGGAACCCAATCGCAACTCCCTGATGCAGGCACGCAGCTCAGAGTCTTTGCACTCGCCGGGCAAACATCCTCAAATGGATGACCAGGTCTCCATCTCTTCCTTGTCATCAGCGCCCAGTACTGACCTGGCCCGCTCTAGGCGGCCTCAAGGGATGAGTTTGGAGAGCCGGAGTGAAGTCATGGCTCAACATGTGAGCTCGCTTGAAAGCACTCCTCGCCAAATGGATCCACACGTTGCTTTTGGAGAACACCACGAAGACGACGGCTATCGTGACTCACCGTATATCGACAAAGTCACTGCAGGCCAACAGGTTGTCGCTAAAGGCATCGGGGCGACAGCGCAGTACGTGGATGAGCCGTCAGGTGTCGAGTCCGCTGTTGCATCGCTAGTCGAACCTTCTCTCCTCTCCGCCGACTATACATATTCACCCCGTCACAGCCAGACGGATTCGCTTGGCGCTCATGAGATGGCAAGTCCTCTGCTATCCCAGAGGGATTACATGTCGAGGCACAGTGGCAGCCCGTTGAAACGGCAGCTTTCAAACCATAGCGAGAGCCTACACGGGCTCGCTCCAGGAGCAGCGGCTGTGATGACGTCGCCACCCCAGAGTCCTGCTCGCTCACTTGAACATTTGGAGCAAGCTTCCGCTAAGGCAGCGCACCCAGCACCTCTTGCTACCAGTAATGTGCCCAGCGGTCAAGTGGAACGTTCACCCGAGTCAGACATCACCACGAATCCGTCTATCATCCGAGGCCCGATTGGCGGCCTCGCACAGGGCAATACTGAGCACTGGCCTTATGATCCAACACCTCCACACTCTCGAGCTAACCTGGTGCTTCCGCCAGTGAGTCGCGACATCGGCTCCGCTGGGGCGGATCTCATCCCTGAACCCTTGTCCACCAACCGTGATCATGACTTTGACCCGAAACGTGACCTCTATTTACAACCCCAGCCTCTATCAACTCCTCCAGGGGCTAAGGATGAGGGCTATGAAACTGGAGCAAATGTACCATCGCCAGGTCTTTATTCTCAAGGCCGAGGCGTTCAAGACGACAGCTTCACACCGGACATACCACTCGACAATGCTCCTATTGCAGAGGATCCCTTTACTGCGCAGCGGGATCAGTATGTTAGTGGTCTTTCGCATGGCATGTCACCCATGTATGACAGTGCAACTGGCCGCGGCCGCGATAATATCCAATCAAAGGATATTGTGGCTCTCATGGATCATCTTACAATGCGCGACGCCCAACGAAATGCAAGAGATACGGAAATTCTCGTGACGCTGGTTCGCAGCGCTGCAGAGATGCGCAACTCCTTTGAAGACATGAAAAAGTTCATTGCAGAGCAGGACGATCTCATCATGGACACTGCTGATAGGCAACATGAAAGAACGCAAAAGGTCATCGGCGGGCCGCGACCACAACCCGTCGCTGCTCCTCGCCCGACAATGTCGGCAACCTCCGAGGAGGACATGCCATCGAAGCGTCGCAATGTATTGCAACGTGTGCTTAGAGGCCTTGGAGCTCAAAACTCACAAGGATTGCAGAACATTGAGGCAATGCTGATGCGGCTTTTGGACGAAGTTGAGGCATTGAGGGCTTCGCAACCGAGAGCTATTGCAAGAGATCAGCCTAGATCTACGAGCTTGACATCTGCAGAAAACGCTCGTGCTCCTACAGACACAGGATATGAACCAGAGGGTCAGGCAGGGACCTCATCAACCGGTGATCGTTCGGGATACTTTTCGAACAACTCCTCTCGCCAGGCAGACTATCGCAACCACAACATGCGTCGAGATTCTGGTAACCGAGTGAGCACAGTCATGGAAGGTGATGAAGAGTACGACGACTATGGGAACCATCTCGGCGGCGCTGCAGGCGGGAATGCACAAGTCGTCAGCCACACGCCACTGGGCACGCCACCAAGGAACGACGGAGTTCGACAAGCCAGAGGAGGTTCGGTTCCCTTGAATACTCCACCTCGGACGCTGGCCCAAAACGCGGGATCTTTAAGCAACGAAAACACTCCTCACCTCTCCGCAGGTGACGCATCCGGAAGGAAGCATAAGTCTTTTGCATCTTCCTTTATTCCAAAGATGGTCTCTCGGTGGTCCAAGACTACTTCATCTTCTGCCGATAACTTTCGCTCCAGTCAACAACGAGTTAGACCTTACTCGGAGCACTCGCGATCGGGTTCCAACCTCGGAGAATATGAGTACGAGCATGATCCTCAAGGCGAGGACCGTATTAGGTCGAACACTTCGTTCAATCGGGATCAATACGAGGACGTGGAGAATCGACCACCATCTCCTTTAGTACCAAGCCAGTTGTCTGACAATCCCAAGTATCAAGCTCACCGGAACAGCATCAACCTTCAGCATCCACAGCCTAGACAAGGGCCCACGGGTCGCTTCCAGTCACGTTTGGAGTCGGAAGCACAACACTACAACAACGAACAAATCTCGCCGACTTCACAGACTTCATCTCAGTGGGAGACCCACTCGGGGCTGCACCCTACCCATGCGGCAACCATTTCCTATGGAGGACATCTCAGTCCTATTTCTGACTCGCCCTACTCTGCAGAGCCTGGCCAAATACACGATAACAGGAGCATTCGATCCGGAAGCTCTCAGGGGCCGCCTCGACCGCCAAAGATTCCAAATGACGAACCATTGGTGCCGCAACGTCCGCCCAAGATTATGATGAGTCCTACACCCTCGAACAGACAGCCGACTTACGTCGACCATGTTGCTGCGGCAAGAGCTGGAAGCCCAGCATTTGACAAGGTACGTTCACAGGCCTCCACGTTTGAAAATCGGAAATATTTACCAGGTTTTAGTCTCCTGTGGCAGCATTGAGATCGCCACAGAGCCAGGCACGAAAGCCCTCAGGGCCGAGACCCCTGGCTGGATCAGGTGGCTCAAAGGGTGATCTGAATGCCATCAAGAGAGCCAGATTCAGAGGCAGCCCAAACCAGATCGACAGCGAGGATGAGGCCACTGGGGCATACTGAGTATTATATTGGGTCTTTAATGGTAGTGAAATTTCTTGAGCGCGCCATTTGAGCGGTTGACATGAATGCATTAGAGAGGCGTACAGGAGTTGGTGTATTTCCTGCCACTGCTGGACAGTGGAGCCGGGATGGTCTTTACAAGACCGATCGGCATGACAAAAGTGCTTGGTGTGAGCGTTCTGCCTGAATGGAGTTGGAGACACGAACTCGGCAGTTTAACAATGTTGTGACCACACATTGGGCATTTGCTTCGAGATAACACAGACTTCAGCGGCATCGACAAAGCTACCCCCTGGGCTGAGAGATGTGATACCATAAATCGCGGCATCGGCTATTCCCGGGGGGGAAAAAGATACGTAATATCGATATAAACAACCAAAAAGGGGTCGGAATCCAGCCTTTCGCCTTGTTCTCTGTATTTTCTTGCAGATCCAACCAGTAACTGGCACCCAATGGCAATCTCTTTCAGTGAATACTTCAACGTGGTATGTCGGACAATCCAGCGGCCACTTCGGCTACATGGATAAATACTAAGGTACAAGGTGTAAACGCATCGTGTATGTAAATGGAAGGGCGCAAAGGAGGAGTTTACCTAACTTTGAAGACGTGAGAACTATTTCATTGCAATAAGCTACACCCGTCCAGCTGACTACGCCAGGCTCGAACTTGGACGAGGCTGCGGAGATAAAGGGGTGCTTTGCTTGCTACGTACAGTGCTCCGTTCTCCGTATTTAGCTTGCACATTGAGCCCTCGCAACATCAGCCCTCGCCGTTGACAGACAGGCAGGCGGGTAGATAAAATGGGATCCTCGCCGCTCGGAAATGAGTGTCGTAGGATCCATTCATACATACCCAGAGGCCAATTTCGTCGTCCATACTCATGACTTGGAATGTCGCGCCTTGAGGAGTTTGGAGACCATACCTAGGCAGCTAGTACTCGGCAAGGTCGGTACCGCATTCGGGGTATCTACATCTAGGGATATATGATCTCCTCCTAGAGGGCCTTGTCCACCCTCAAGTCAAGGAGAGCTACATCTGTCCGCCTTGGTTTCGCTTCCTTGATGGACCCAGAAAGAAGGCCTTAATGGAAGAGAACAGAGGGATGTGTGAGCATCATATTGCGGGCTAAGTGGACCTCAGGCATCAGCCCCACTGAATGGTTCTGATCCCTGTTTCTCCTTAAGGATCTCGCTGAGTACAGCTCTCAAGGCCATCGTGATGGCTGATCGGCAAAGAAAACAGCACTAGCTCCGCAGAAGGCGGCTCTCCGAACCCGTCCTGCATCTGAAGGCGCAGGTGCCCGTGTCCAACTAATGTCACAGCACACGGACATAATCTGTTCACGCACAACCAACTGCCGCGCCAGCAAGGTTGAAATATCGATCACCTCATGCAGCGGTGATAGGGAGTGAGGAAGGACCTCACGTCGATATTGCCGGGCTTGAGATTGCTAAGGAAGGCAACCAGGATTCGCTGTTCACGGGAACTCAACTTCCATAAGTTTTCGTCAGCAGCAGCTTCATGCATGATGACCCGTCAGGTGTGGTGGAAAAGCGCAACGTCGCAGTTGCAGTTGTCTGTAATGGCCTATCTCAGGTGGATTTAGTGAGTTCGAATCTCAAATGGAAGGGTCTTCGCAACAACTCTGAACAACCGGGGAAGTCGGGAAAATTATCATGTCCAAAGAAGCGACAGCCCTCAAAACCTCGAATTCCGTTGCCAACATGAAGAAGGGTTTGACTTGGCTAAAACGACGCGCTCAAAGTAAGTACTCCAGTAAGCAAATGTCCATGGGCAAGTGGGATCAGTGTACTCTATTGACATGTTCAATTGAATGAGACCCTAAATGACGTCGTTTGGAGCATGGCGACCTTTGGACGGTTGGGGACCTGATTCATCAGATTCAAATCGCCAGACGAGCCAGTGGGATAAGAGATAATATTGTCTGATCGGGGCAGCTTGCTCGGATGCAATCGAATACATGACTGTGTGTATCGAAGTCTTTTACGCAGGAGACTGGCTTCCTCTAAAACAGGACGCTTTTGCTGCATACGACGGATTCCCGAGAACCGTCCATCACATCTGAAAATAGCCAACTCACCCTTAATGGATATTAAGAAGCCATGTCAAGGAGGAGCGTAGGCTCTGGCACCCTCGGTGCTTAACAGTACAATGACAGCGTCATTAGGCATGCCTACGGGCAGAGAATCTGTCGACCCGATCTTCTTCACTGCAGCAAGTGCCGCAGCTCCACAAGGCCCAGCATTGACACCGTGGGCCTGCAGGTACTGTACGGATTGATGGCATTCCGAGTCTGATATTGTGATGCTGATGTCGACCGCTTCCGAAAGAATTGGCCAGGCAATAGGCGAGACAGTCCCACAATTCATACCATTCATGATAGTTGCCGACGTCTCGATTGTAGTCCATTTGCCAGCCTTAAGATTTTGGTGCAAACATGCAGCGTTTTCGGGCTCCACTGTCACAACCCCGATTTGCCTGCCGTTAGACTTGCAATAAGCGGCAACAGAGTGGCCAAGAGACCCAACGCCAATAGGAGTAACAATCATGGTCGCTTCCTGGGTTTGTGCTTTGAGTTGCTGCTCGACTTCGAACAGAAGCGTCGAATAGCCTTCAACGATCCAAGCCGGAATTTGCTCGTATCCATCAAAGGCATTGTCTTGAATAAGAAGGCCCGTTGGCGCCTTCTGGGATTCCTGGAAGGCCATTGAGACAGCATCATCGTAGTTGCCAGAGATAGCCGTGACTCTGGCACCTTCACTTTCGATCTTTTGACAGGTCTCATGATCGGCAAATTTGGACATGAAGATCCGAACCGGAATCTTCAGTATCTTGCCCATTCTTGCAACAGCCCGGCCATGGTTTCCTTCTGTTGCCGCGAATAGTATTGTCTTCGATTTCTTTGCAGCATCCGAAATATCTTCAAGGCTCGAGTCAAGAGGAAGTCCATGCTTCTCGGCGATTGCACGAAAGGTGCCCCATGAAGCTCCCAGGATCTTAAACGACGGCAGTCCAAGCCGGCTGCTTTCGTCTTTGACAAAGATTGCTTTGACTCCCAACTCCTTCGCGAGGTCATCCAGAGGCACCAGGGGAGTCTCGTTATACCCTGGAAGGCGCTTGTGAAAAGCCTCAGCAAGGTTTATGTCTGTATCGTACGTGTGTGTCCATGAGCTCGCCCGTGGGTTCGTATAGATGAATGATTTGGACATGGTGTTCGCCATCTCACCAGCTGGTAGCTCGAGAGGTTGAATGCTCCTAGCATATTGCTGGGTTGATATTTCTTAGATTTTACCGCTCGGCAGTTGTGATAGGGCGTGAAATATAACATTGCTTCGGAGGCAAACAATGCCGCTAGCAATCCCCATCCACTATTCGGAACGATAGTGGGTCGCAGATGCTGCATCCGAAGAGCAAACTAGCTATTACAGTATTCCCGTCATGATCTGATTTTCTATCGAGAGTCGAAACAATACGTACATACCTCTTATTAATGTCGGCGGCGATCTACTAGGTAGGAGTGCGGCTTCGGGCCGGAAAAATATTCATGCGCGGAAGCCAATCATAGTTGCAGAAGCTGCTAGTCCAAGGCTGCGGCGAAATCGACTAGAGACGAGAGGAGGCTTAGGCTACTGGGGATTCGGTGGCCATCTTGGCTATCCAAGGTGTCCCGCCCAACCCGCCTCCAAGGTCAACTGCCAGCTGGCTTGCCACTATTGGCTGCCTCATTGCAAAGGCTACACATCCTGCCAGCAAATCCAAAAGATGATGCTCCTGTCAGCATACAGCACCGCGTGTTCGCCAACCTGCTCGTCACTCCACGAGAGTGGATGCTGTCTGCGCCACCCCGTGATTGGCTCTTTACACTTCATCGCGGCCCAAACGCACTAAGTCTCGGTGTCTGGTCATCTGAAGAAGCTGTAGCTGGCCTAGTAAAAGAGTCAGCCATGGCTGGGGACGAGGTCAAGAGAAGGAAGACTCATCGACACAAACATGGTGACACTGAGATGCCAAAATCCCGCAAGACGGCCGAGAATGACAGTGCAACACCAAAATCGCCCACTACCACTAATAGCCCCGCCGACATCGATGCCCTTAGAAACGCTAGACTCGCATATCTAGCCAAATCTCCCGAGGAAAGACAAAAAGGAAAGGACATGAAATACGAGTATTGGAAACGGCAAAAGACGTCGCAAGGGGATGAAGAGAAGGAGAGGCGACACAAGGCTGCACGAGCGCAAGTTTCTGTGCGAGATGATCGACGACCCGAGCGCCGCTCCAACACACGCTCAGACGATAATCGAAGAGGCGCAGTCCAAGATGACAGCGAAGACGAATACGTGTATGCCAAGTCCGAACGAGTATCAGGCGCAGGCGCAACGCAAGCGGAACCAACTCGCACCCAGAGAACAAACCCCCAAGGACAAAGTCCCAGAAAGATAGAGGCGACACGCCGACCGTCGGAGCGACGATACACGGAGCCATCAAGAAGGAAGGAAGTCTATGTCTTTGACGAGTAAGTTTGATCGTTTGATATCGCGCACATGGCTGATCGCATTTCGTAGACCCCTCTGCGCGGTAGACGAGTCCCAGCCACTATTGCGTCGGACGTCGGGATTGGTCGAGAAACCACAAAAGCCCGAAATCAAGAGAAGCGCTACCACTGCAAAGCCCAAGACCGAAGCGGGTGTTGTAAAATCTTCAGACGGCCCAGGAACGCCCAAGAAAGGACCAAGTCTGTTGAGCGGACTTCTGCCACCCAAACCTGCCCCACAAAGAAAAGTCTCCTGTCTCACGTGCGGCGACGATGAGATCCCAGTAGCCCAATCTGCTCTACTGCCCTGCAAACATCGCATGTGCAATTCATGCCTCAAGCGAGTTTTCACCATGTCTGTTAAGGATCCTGCGCACATGCCCCCTCGCTGTTGTACCGATCAACACATTGCACTCAAGCACGTCGAGAAACTGTTCGATGACAAGTTCAAGGTGCTATGGAACCGCAAGTTTCAAGAATACAAAACCAAGAATCGAGTCTATTGCCCAGGCCGAAAATGTGGTGCCTGGATCAAACCGCACTATATCACGATAGAGAATGGGCGTAAAGTGGGCCGGTGCAAACAATGCAAAACAAGGGTCTGCCCGATGTGTTCTCAGAAGATGCACACTACACGCGAATGTCCCAAGGACCCAGAAACGAAAGCTTTCATTGAAACAGCCAAGGAGAAGGGCTGGCAAAGGTGCTATAGCTGTCACGCCATGGTTGAGTTGAAGGAAGGCTGCAATCACATGACATGCCGCTGCACCGCCGAGTTCTGTATGGTGTGCGGTCTGAAGTGGAAATCCTGTGACTGTCCCTGGTTCAACTACGAAGCTATTGATGCGCACTTGGGTGATCCTCTGCGGTATCAACAAGAAATGGACAGGCGTCGGGACCAAGTTAACCGGGACGAGGAGTTAGCTCGACGCATGCAGCAAATGGGGGTGGGCCATGACGGCGACGGCCAAGCTCCGCGCATGTTTGGACTGGGGAATGGAGCGAACCACCATATGAACCAGGACTTCATCCAGCGAGCGCGCGAAGCTTTGGCGGCGAATTATGCAAACGCAGGGCAAGCCGCCATGGGTCTTTTGAATGGTTACGCCAGGGGTCGAGAAAATCCGTTGCCTGGCATGCCCATGGAGATGCAGCAGATGCTGGAAATGCTCGGCCAAGGAGGAGGCAACATGCACGATCCAGCCGAGGGTGAAAACCTAGGACGAAGAACAGGACGACGAGCGACAAATAGACGACGACGGGCTGGGCTCGATGAGGCGGCAAGACTCCCTGGCGAAATGGCAAGGGGAGAAGAGAGACGGATTCAAGAGTGGGCAAATGGCAGGGCTTGATATCACAGGGACTGGTTCATGACTTGCCGGATGATTTGGATGAGGTACATGACTCTACAACTGGACCCATGACCATGAATTCTCATTATGGATGGACAGACGCGACAGGCGTTCCGCGGTGGTACTTTTGGCTTTGGGATACCCCTTTGCAGAGGGCTTATGGTGTTGGAATGTCGACGGGCTGAAGCAGCTTAGGATCTCTACTATTATGAAATGGTGTATACGGATGAGCGGGCCCGACGCCCCAGGGCCCCCGTACAGGAAAACTATTATGTGGAATGATGTAACTACTTTGGTGAGATGGAATGACTCTCAGATTAAATTCGGATTTTTATCAGTTTGTGTTTCAAAAAAACAAAAAAAAAGAACAACTTTTTTTATTCCTGTGACTGATCACTGACTGCCTTCCTTTCTCTATTCCCCGTGCAGAACATGCATGAAGCGAGTGCTCGAGGTTACGACATGGAGGAGATTGACGTCGCACATGCCCGTCAGCGAGATACCCATCCCCCGTCTCTCTGTCTCTCTCATTCTCACACTCTCACCACAATTCTCACTGGCTATTGAACAGACTCTCCAACTCCCTGGCGACCGCGTCGCCGACTTCGACGGTGGAGTTTTCCCCGCCAATGTCTCTGGTGACGATGCCCTTGTCGATGACGGCCCTGACGGCCTGCTCGACGAGCACGCTCTCCCTAGCCATGTTGAGACTGTACAGCAACATCATGGCGACGCTGAGGATGGCCGCCACGGGGTTAATGACGCCCTTTCCCGCGATGTCTGGCGCGGAGCCGTGGATGGGCTCGTAGATGCCGTTGCACAGGCCCTTGCCGTCGGGCACGCCGCTGAGACTGGCGCTGGGGAGCAGGCCGAGAGAACCGGGGATGACGGAGGCCTCGTCGGAGATGATGTCGCCGAACAGGTTTGAGGTGACGATGACGCCGTTCAGGGCGCGCGGGTTCTTCACCATGATCATGGCGGCCGAGTCGATCAGTTGGTGCTCGAACGTCAGCTGTGGGAATTCCTTCTCCATCGTCTCGGTGAAGACGCGGCGCCACAGGCGCGACGTGGCGAGCACGTTGGCCTTGTCGAGACTCCAGACCTTGGAAGGCGGGTTCTTTGCCAGCGCGAGGTACGCTGCAAGGCGCGTGATGCGTTCAATCTCCCGTCTCGAGTACGGTTCGCGGTCCTCGGCCCATTCGTTCTCGCCGTCTTCCGGGTTCCCTTCGACCCGCTCGCCAAAGTAGATGCCACCCGTCAGTTCACGGACGATCATGAAATCCGTGCCCCGGCAGACCTCTTCCTTGAGCGGCGAGCGGGAGGCGAGGCTGGGAGAGGCGAAGAAACAGGGTCGTAGATTGCCAAACGTGCCCATCTCCTTGCGGAGTCTGAGGAGCCCTTGCTCAGGACGTACCTTGCCCACGCCGTACTTGGGACCGCCGATTGCGCCGAGAAGGACGGCATGGGCGGATTTGGCGGCGTTGAGGGCGTCGTCCGTCAGAGGGGTGCCGTGAGCGTCAATCGAGCACTGGTGAGGCAAGGCAGAGGTCAGTGGTAAAGGGGTGACTTCCTGTAGAACAGGCCAAGGGTACTATGGCGGAAGCAACACTCACCCCTCCCAGCAGGTGGTCTTGGAAATTGAACTTGACATCTTTTGAGCACTTCTCGACCACCTTGAGGACCTTTACAGCCTCCTTGGTCACCTGTCGCCATCCTCGCCGTCAGCCATGTCACGTCAAGTCTTCAATCTCTCGGACACCAGCATACCTCAGGGCCTGCATAGTCGCCGGCGAACACGACGATGTTGAATGTAGGCATTTTAGATTCTTTTTTATGCACGTAGCGGCTTGAGATGATTTCAGGTCACTTTCGACCGAATAGTGAATACTCCTTGTCCTGCTGAACTGCTTTAGCAAAATGGCTCAGCAGAGCAGAAAGTGAGCGGCGCCGATATCGGGAGTAGCACGTGGCCGAGTGGGAAAATAAGTGGCACAGTCTGACACAGAATGGACGCCGTATCTTCAGCTCGCTGAAGAGTATTCAACCACGGCGAAGTGGCGGCCGTTGTGATAAATATATAGCAAATAGAAAGGAGAGAGCACCACTGTCTCAAAGGTAAGCAAATAGTAAATACTGCATCGAAAATAAAAGTCAGATTTGAGCCCAGGCCCTACAAGTCTATACACCGTACAAAGGCCTTTTGTTTCACTGCCAAGACCGTCCAGCCTGACCGTCTGACCGTGGCATTTGGTTTCATCGAGCCTCGTTCTCTACCCATCTCGCCGTTGATCAACACATAGCTCGAGAGGGCATACGAGGTACTGGCTATAGCACGCTCTCTTTCTCCTTGATCAAACCACATCAATCTCATTCTCATGATTCGTAGAGATCCTTGAACCAACTCCCTTCGCCCCCCAACAACACTTTCGGCTCTCCAACCTCCACCACCCTCCCCTGGCTCAAGACCACGACCCGATCCGAATCCTCAATCGTGTTCAGTCGATGCGCTACCGCAATGACAGTGCAGTCCTTGAATCGCTCACGAATGATCCGTTGCATGAGCTGGTCAGTCTTGACATCAACATTCGCACTGACTTCATCCAGTACCACGACTTTACTCTGTCGCACCATCGCCCGGGCCAAGCAGAAAAGCTGACGTTGTCCGTGGCTCAAAAAGTCGGGTGTCATTACTGCGTCGAGCCCGCCTCTTTCTCGGATGGCGTGCCAGATCTGACACTCGGTCAGGAAGGATATGAAAAGTGCGTCGCGTTCGCCGCGTCCGACAGGCCCGTCGGGTTCTGCATTCGCAGTCGCCCATGGATCCATGTTGAACCGCACTGACGCGGTCGTCACCCACCAAGGTTCCTGCGGAATCACATTGATCTTCGCACGCAGAGTTTCGCGGGAAACGCGGGAGATGTCGACTCCATCGATCTGAATCTGTCCACTGCGAAACTCGAGGAGATGGAAGAGACTGGCCAGCATTGAACTCTTGCCACTTCCCGACCTGCCACAAATGCCCAACTTCTCACCATGCCACACCTGCAAGTCAATGTCCCTCAAAACTAACACAGAGTCCGTAGAGTAACTGGCGCCAAAGCCCGTGAAACCCACTTGTCCTTTCTCCGGCCATTGGTTCGGCACCGGCTCAGCTTCCCACGCCTTGTGCTCTGATTCAGTATTCTTGGCAAAGTCCCTCAATCGGCTGATTGCTCCAATGCTGGTCTCCATGTTCGTCCAGCACCGTACCAGATTTGTCAGATTGCTGCTCAGGTTGACGGTGCTCAACAAGGCCAAACCGACAAGTCCCGGCTCGATGGACTGCCGCTTCGCCACAATAATCACCATCAGTATAGTCACAAGAGCTGTAACCAAGAAATCGAGGACAATTCCGAGCCATTGTTGGATACAGTACATCAGATAGAATGGACGTTGGCTTCGATCCAGGAGCTCCAAATTCCGCGCTCCGAATTTGTCTGTCCATCCAAAGGCACGAACGCTCACCAGCCCGGCGGCGGTCTCTCCAAACAACGTATACAGGGGAGCCTTCTCCTCTAGGTCTAAAAGACGCAGTTGGCGACTGGTGCGCAGATAGTATTTTTGGATCCCGTACAGGGCTGCGAGAACAACAGGGATGGTGGCAGCGAAATATCCCGTGCCAGAGGCAACCATAAGTCCAAGTCCTGCGACACAAGATACAAAGGATAAGACGAAATCCGCGTATGAGAATGGCAAGTCGGTGTCGATCAGTGCCATATCCTGAGAAAACATATTGATTATCTTACCAATATCGGTGCGCGTGAAGAAGGACAGTGGCGCATTCAGGACCGCCTCCAGCAGACTCAGATGGAGGTTGCTGGAGCTGTTGGGTAGCATGTCTTGGAGGATCTGAACCACGTAAAGCAGGAGGGCCACTGCCGCAACGATGCATGTTATCCCGAAGATGACAATGAATGTGGTCGCCTGTGAAGGAGTGTTGCTGGAAAAGGCTTTAACCAGCACACCAGGTGTCTGGACGGCGATGACAAAGAGAAATGCCCAGACGACGGAGAGTAAGCTTGAGATGTACCCACAGGATCGGAACCAGTGTTTATATGTGGCCCACTCGCCGGTCCTCCGCAGGAGATCCTGAACATTTCCAGTCTCTTCTTCAACTGTCTGGGGTCCTGTAGGTGCTTTGTAGATTGTTTCAATCTCAACAGAGGTCTCGGCTTCTTCCTTAGTGGGATAGTCGTGCTCCTTGCTGAATCGAACATCAAGGCTGTGGACGTAGCCACTCTGATTCACCAGATTGAGGTAGTTACCTTGCTCAGAAATCCGACCATTCGCATCCAGGCTAACAATGAAGTCTGCATAGGGAAGCCGGTGTACGGCATGAGTGACCAAAATGACCGTCGTCTTCTGCCGTCTCAGAGGTCCAGAGCGACTGAAAAGTTTCTGGAATATCAGCTCTTCCGTATCATTGTCGAGGCCGGAGAAGACGTCGTCGAGCACAAGGATCGGTGTCCTCGAGTAGACAGCTCGAGCGAGGGCAAGCCGTTGTTTTTGTCCCCCGCTCAGAGAAATGCCTTTGGAACCAATCAAAGTCTTGTCACCCTTTGCAAACGATGAGATATCTTCAGTCATTCCACAACAATCCACAACTTCCTGATACCAGAAGTCATCTTCGTATGGAATATCTCTTGAGCTCGGGCCGCGAATGGCATCTCTAACGGCGCCATTTTGAATCCAAGGCTCCTGATCAGCAAAGGCGACAGACTGGCTTTGAATATAGACAAACCCACGAGACACAGGAGTCTCGCCGAGAATACCCTTGAGCAGAGTGGATTTTCCGCAGCCAACAGGACCAATGATCATGGCGATCCAACCAGCATACACAGACAGATCGACATCCTGCACAACTGGCGTACTCTGTTCACTCCAGCCAAAGGAGCAATTCTTCAGAACCAAAGCCTCCTCCATTGGACTTCGATTGGCACCGCCTAATTGTCTCATCTCGATTGACTCTGCACCCGCAGCAGAGCTCCTCCGGTACCTACCGGAATCAAAGGCGTTGGGCAACGAGAGCCGATTATCGTTTCGGGTATTCGATAGTAGATATTTCTGAATCCGTTCAAAGCATGAAAGGGAGCTCGCCAGTTGCGGACAACTGTACAACAAATTGTTCATAGGCAATTCAATCAGTCTAAATATGGTTAATATGCCGAAAGCGGTCGCGAGATCGAGCGCTTCTCCCGTCTCTCTAGACCTGATGTAGTAGAGGAGGAACGTTGCAAAAGGCGCGAAGACCATGTGTTCATTTTGAAGGAGTACCTGGACGTTGGTGATGATGCGGTACCTTTTGCATTCATTGATCTCTGTCAGCCGAAGACCCTGTGTGCGGTCCTTGATAATCGAAGACATGCCCAGTAGTTTAACATTTCTCATAGAATGCAGTAAGACCGAGGTGAACGAGACGCGAGTCTGGACTGCGTTCAACCATCGCTTCTGGTATCGACCGATGACTCGGACAACCCAGGACGTGCCTAACATGGACATCACATATACGACCGCTGGCGCGTAACAAGCAGCACCGAGGCTTCGATACAACAAATATATGGCGACGCCAAGTTCGACAATGCTGCCCCAGGTCTCATGCAGCAGCCCGAGTGGGTCAACGATTCTTTGTACATCAGACGACATCAAGGTTAAAGACGCGGACGGGTCGACAGTGGCGACGCTAAGCTCAAGCGTCTTCTGGTAGAGCAGAGAAATCAGTCCTCCGCGTATCTGGGTGACACATCGATTCAGAAGATGACGGTATGCGGCTGTGAAAATAGCTTGGAGAAAGTAAACCAGGAAGCATGCCCCTGCAAGTCCCCACCCACTGGCCACTGTGTGGGCGTAGTTGTTACCAACAAACTGAATCGTTTCTTGGACTAGGAATGGTTGTGCAAATTTGGCACCGATGAGGAAAAGGCGAGGACAAGCTGAGACTAGTAGTTGCCATCTCAGAATGTAAGCCGACACGAAGAGGAGGCTGAAGCGGTGATGTTCCTTGATATCTGCCCACTTCCGCCTAAAGCCTCTGGCGACGTTGACAGATGCTAGCTTTTCGTCTAGGTTGTAGAGATCGTCAACTTCCAATGTCTTGCCAAATCCCAGCCTTAATAAAGGATTCAGCCACCAGAAGACTGATTTGTTGTAAACACCGCTAGTGGCTTCCGGCGGCAGATCGCGATATTGCTCCAGGAGTATCCCGCGCTTCTCAACGGCTTCAGTGACCAGCACACCAAGCTTGATCGCCAGGGACAGGGACAATAGATTGGCAATGCTTTTGGCAGCATATCCGTGGAGCAGATAGAAGGTTCGCAGCAGGACCACACCAAAGAGAAATGAAACGATCAAATAGAGTCCAATGATGGTGGAGGGTGTCACTGAGCGTGAATGTTCGAAGCAGGAAAGAACGAAAAGCACGCAAGCAGCTGCAAAGTCAAGAGCGGCAGCAGCGATGGAAGCCTCTGTAGCTGCTTCCAAGTTGGTTGCGCGGGTAAGAAGAACCGTCAGTTGCACAGTGACAAATGCAGACAGGAGTACCTATGACATGTGAGCTTGCCTGTGGGCGCAGCATCGTGGAACAGCGTCTTACAAGTTTGGTCAATCGGCTGAAGGAGGTTGTGACCTTTCTCGGTTTGCTCGTCAACCATACTGCCCTCGCACTGGCGGTGACAAGGAAGAGGGTCGCAGGAAGGACGGTGAGAATTGTATCTTCGAAGAGGACTGTGAAGTCGAAGTGTCTGAACGAACCTTCGTACGCAGGACCGAACAGGGCATCTGAACTGTTGGATACGAGGTAAGCCATTCTCATTCGGCCGCCTGCTTCAACATGGCCATCTTGTATAATGTGAGGCTTTCGCTCAGATATATGCTTGACCAGAAAGATGCTGCCTGAGCGGGCACTTGACCCGGTCCGGACCCTCCATGTCGATCATATCAGTTCAATGTAACATCCAAGGTGGTCGGTTGGTCGGCAAGACGAAGAGAATGCTTGGTGCCTGAGATGCCATCCTGCGTCAGCTGTTTCCCGAAATCCGCCAGCGCCGTGCTGTGTGTGATAGGAGACTGAGAGCCTGTTATGATGATGGCCGACTTGAGAAGGAGCCGCATTCCAAGCTACATATCCCGTGTCAGACTTCACTACTGATTTCTGAGCCTGGCTTATTACCTAAAGAGATAACTGTTCTAATGCTAGTTGGCTCCACCTACAACATGCGCACTCGTGTACGCATGTGAAGTAGACATTTTTGGGCCGAGCATAATGCTCCTGCAATTGGCGGTTGGAATGGCGAAATCGGCAGTGTCGTCCACTTAGTAAGTTAAGCCAGAAGATCGCTTAGAGATCTGGGCTGTTGATTTTTTCTTCGTGCCATTTCCTTCCCGTTTTCTTTCTCTGCCGTATACGAGTGTGAGAAGGGAGGTGGTTGTAGCTGTCTATTTGGTGGACCTTGGTGCTTGGAATAGCAACCGAGGATTCGTGGCGTTGGAAGCAGAGCCCAGCCCAGGATACCGGAAAAGTTGATAAATGCACAAGAAATTGCCCAAAAAGGTATGGGTCTTGGGTGGAAATTAAGGGAATATTCATTCGTCTTTGCCCCCTGGGGCCTTGCCAGTCGAATTATTAGATAGTGCAAATAGTGCTTTTGCTTGGACCTCCAGCAGCCGTGCAGTTGTCCAACCAAGCAGGTTCCAGAATCGAGGTGTTATAGTAAGCCACAATACTCTCCACGATCATAAATACGTCGCTGGTGCTGGGTGTTCCGCTCCACCACTTGTTCCCGTCTGCCCACAGTTTGAGTTGTAGATTGCCGCCCTTTTCTGGGACATTATCAGTGTTGGTATGGATGAGCTTGCCATCGACGTAGTACGCGACCCCGAGGTCCGGATGACTGTCAAATCGATATTCGCGGAAAACGTCAGGGGCTAATTTCGGATCGCTCAAGGACTTCGAGAGCGTCGCGCCTGGGATGGGAGAGCCGTCTGGTGCGCGAGACGGGTGGGAAGTGAAGCTGACCGTATTATTCACCACCGAAGTACCCTTCGTGACAATTTCTACGTCTATTTCCGATCGGTCGTCCTATAGTGTAGAATTAGCCTTCCCGTCTCGAGTTCGGCAGGAGGGTGAAAAGCTGCTCACATGATACCAAAAGAATCCCGCACAGGCGCCACCGTCGGAGCCTTCGACTTTGAAAACTGTTCGATAGGTTCCATGGAGCATGTTGAGCCGTCGACTTTGGATACCAGCAATGCTGACGGTCGTGTAAGAATTGAGATCTGCCCGGCTAAAGCCGCGCTGCCTCATCACGAGGTGCTTGTCCTTGATCTTGACGTTGGTCCAGTCATATTTGGCGTTCAGGCGGATGGTTGGATTGTCGGCGCGCTGCTAATAATCGTAGATCATCCAATCTCGGTTGAACTTGGCAGCCTCTGGGTTGTTGAGAAGTAACTCAATGTCGGGATACCGGGTGAAATTCTCATAAAGTCGGTGCGTATATACAGCGTCCTGCTCGTCCAGTAGCCAACCACAGGGACAGCTCACGCTCAGAGATTGGCTAGCTAGGATAAGTGTAAGAGTGCTGATGACAAGGAGATGCATCTTTACGGGATGTCAAGCGGAACGTGGTACGTGATGGGATGTGGAAGCGTGAAGCCAAACGTTTTAGCGCTCTCAGATGGAATGTTCGAAAGCTCCGTAGCTGGAAGGTGCATCCCATTTTAGGTCTTTGGCTCCGCCCTCTAGCCGAGGCAGGCACGAATCGTGATTTTCAGGTATACGCAGGGCCCGCTTCAATAAGGGCTGTATCTTGCGCCTGGGGCCTTCTTGGATTTCGTTGCTTTGGCAGGGGTGGTCGGTAGCAGGCTTCCCTGTGGACGGAATGCCATAATTCGCCCATCCTCGCCTGCCGTAAAGATGGTGTTATCCTGCGCAGGATGTTAGCGCGATCAAGTTGGCATCCAACAGGGGCTAATTGACCCACGGTCTCATCTGCAAATATCGATCGAACAACCTCTCCCCCATGAGCGTTTTCGAGGATGATTCGCTGGTCGAGACTGAGCCCGGCTCCTCGGCTCATTCGGACTAGATCAACACGAGAGTTACTGGAGAAAGAGTCAGGTTGAGAGCAGACAGCGTGTCGTAGAAGGAGGTTCTCCGTACCTGTGCGAACCACAGGCCACGACATGGTCCGTGCCGCTATGTAAAATGTCAATCACGTATTCGCAGGGAATGGCTGGTCTTAAGTCCCCCAACTGATTGGGTGCTGGTTGGTCTGCTTCAGCATCTCCGTCATCAACGGTGAGAGAGTGCAGCGCAAGATTCTGGTCGGAGCTCAAAGCGTAAAGATCTGTCGGTCCCAAGAAGCCTGCCTTGTGAATTGGACCATGGTTGACACCTTGAAGCAGACTGTCTTGTTCTTCCTGAATTTGAGTGTCAAAGACGCAGATTGCACCGTCATCACCTCCGCTAAGGAGGAGATGATTCCTGAAGGGGTGGAAGTCCAACGCCGTGATCTCATCGTTGACCTCAGCATTCTGCCACCTTGGTTTCCCTTGTCTTCGATCCCTACCATGCCGGATCAGTGGTTGATCTGTTTGGGCAGCAAGGAGACCGTGCTGATTGTGACACAAAGCACATGGGGACATACCAGATGGCCACGACGGCCTCCCCACCGATAGCCACATCATTCAGCCTGGGCGCCACAGAAATGACAGGTTTGCCTTGCATCAGAGATGGTCAGTCAGCTTAGGTAGCACTGGAAGAAGGATCTTGTCTGTGCCTTACCCAACTTGAATTGGGCAACACTGGATTGGGATCGGATGTCAAAAATGGCCACGGTGCCGTCGTTTCCAGAACAGATGACCGCTGTACCCTGGTCCTCAACGGCCAACGAAGAGACCCCACGGGGCACGCCTTGGAGCCCCACGGGATTGGATCCGGCCGGGTCATTTCTGTCGAGAAGGAGGAGTTCATCGGCAGAGCTGATGGCGGCAAGCCCACGGCCCGCAACGGGTGCTATTGCCAAAATGTAGACATCCTCATGCTGGGATGGCGCACAGCTGGCGAGTTGTTGATAAATTTGGAGCATGTCGAAGGCAGGACGGGGGTCCTAGTTCGGGCTAATCGGCGATCAGCGCAGTGAAAGGCACCGCTCGACCCTTCACACGGATGCTGGGAAAACAACTGGCGGTGTGCAGTGTGCGGTGTGCAGGATGGAAGAAAAAGATTGCTCGGCCCTGTAGAAGACATTTGAGTTCAGTGAAGAAGTTGTTAGTGGTGACGGGCGACGAATCACGGAGAGGCAGCGAGGTGGCGGCTTGCGATTTACCAAAGAGATCAGCCACAGCGATCGCATTCACTGGCGAGCTGGGTACTCGGTATGTACATAGTGAGAGAGATCTTGGAGAGATTTGGAGAGACCTACTGAGTACGGAGAGGCAAAGGCCCAGAATGGCGCAGGTGCAGCACCAGGCTCACTAGGCTTTTCACAGGCTTTCACAGGCTTTCACAGGCTCTTAGGCTAGTGCCGCCGCGAGTCACTCCTGGTCTTTTCAAGCCAACCCCCTCTACCCCCTGTGCTGGACGCCTGGGCCACTCTGCGGTGCCCTCAATGGGTGGTCCAACTGGTTGTCAACCATGTCCACGGAACCCCCTCGTCCCCCCCCTTCGTACTGGGTACTGGTGCTACCTACGGCATGCAGTTAGTTGCGGCGCTTCGGCTCGCGCTGGAAGACAGCATCCCCCGAGGCCCCTCGTCTTGCCAGCCATCGGCGCCGCCGACTGTCAGTTATTACACACAGGATGAGGTCCCAGCAATCTGGAAACCCTAGTGAGGCCCTAGCGAAGAGTTATTACCCAGTACCTCGTTCCCCACCTTGCAACTTCCGGTTCAATGCCTACCTAGGTATTATTAGCCTTGACCGGCATTCTGAGGTGACACCCAGCTGCCAGCTGCATGCAAACAATAATAAAGCGAAGAATTACTGCGGGGATGCCTATTGTCTATTGCCTGCCTAGGAACCGAGTCCTCTCCTCTGTCTAGGCAATACCCAAGTCCTTGTAACGGCCTTCTTCTTTGTCTCCTTTTGGGCTGCTGGCCCCAGTCACTATTATTGCAGCGTGCTTCGTACTTACAACTTACTGTAGCTGTCGGGCTGCTTAGTGCGCGCAACGACCCGCGACCTACTCGGTAATACTCCATGCCTGGCTACCGTATTGCTGGCTGCTTCCTGCAATCCCCCTTTCTCACACATGCAGTCTGGCTGCTTGAGTCTTTTCCTCACTCGTCCTCTACAGCCCTCACCACCCACCACCCCTAGCTCGAACATCCCAGTTTCGGAGCCTCCAGCCGTGGCTTCCTGAAAGAGAAGAGACGCCAGCTGAAAATTCCCCCCCGACTGTGTGAGCTGTCGTGCATCACTCCACCCGTCCGTTGTGCGCATCCTGCTGCTGCCCGCTGCTCGAGTCAGTCCTGGTCAGTCTCCACCCCAATGCCGATGTCTACCCAGTGGGTGCTCGTGCTGCTTGGGTGGTGGGCTCCGACTCCTTCATCTGACGAAATCGGCCGTCCTTCGTGTGAACTGGTGGGATTTTGCCCATACCCATACCCACCCCTCTCACACCCCCTCCAATGTGAACTGTACAAGTTCTGACCCGCAGCTTCGTCAAACTTCAAATCGAATCTCGACTGACAAGTGGCCAATCTAGTGCGCAAGAGAGGAGTCCAGGGCAATACAACACGCCCGCCACCCTCGCATCTGGCCCCTACGAGGGTAGCCTACGCTGATCGTCTAACTAGAAGCTCGTACCGGGATTAAATGACTACCTGAGGCTTTCTTCGCTCCATCTGTCTGTCTGTCTCTCCATCAGTCCCTTCGTTGCAAGGCACTTCTTCCGTGCGCCGGATATCTCACACGCGAATTGGCTACAGACAGCAACCCAAAAACATCCTTGATGCTGGGTGACACGATCCGTCTTTTCTGGCCCGGTCTAATCGAGTTCAGCCGGTTTTCTGGGAGTGGTTGTGCAACTCCTCCCTCTCCCTCAACCTAGCCGCTTCATCTTCAGACCCGGGTCCAAGGGAGCGTTACGCCTCGTCGTCGGTTTCGCGAACTTTGTGTCGCAAAAGTTGTGCGGGACCCTTTTTTGGTCCGTTCCGACCGAACTCATTGAGGTGTATTCCAGTAAAGAAGAATGGGGGACGGGCAATCCCAAGCGCCCAACTTCTTCGTCCCTCCAAACTTCGAAATCCACCCACGCTCCTCCACAACTGGATCAATGGCTCCCGAACTTCCTCCTTGGAGGACAAGGGTCCAACGGTATGGTCGAGAATATGGCTCTTACAGACTGTGAGTGTTCCCGACTCCTTCCTCGTATAAACGGCTAACACAAGTGTGGCCTCCAGTGGACAATACTTGTTTCCCCACGATGAAGCAGAAAAGAGAAGGATGGATATTGTGCACACAATGCTCAAGGTCCTCAGACCCAAGGGCCGACGAATTACGGAAGTCCCGCATGAAATTCTCAAAATCCAAACAGACGGATGGGACGGGCGACCACGTCGGCCTCGGGTCCTCGACTTGGGTTGTGGCACCGGCATCTGGTTAATAGACATGTCGAAGGACTTCAAGGAGGCTGAGTTCAGGGGCGTCGACATACAATTTCAGGGCCCGCCAAATCCGAGTGACTCGGTCGACTATACCGTCCCGTGGGATTACGAGGGACCATGGGCTCTGGGGGAGGCGTCATGGGACCTGATCCACCTTCAGATGGGACTGGGCAGTGTTTCGAACTGGGAGTCTCTATTTCACAAGATTTTGGCCCACCTCGTTCCTGGTGGTTACTTCGAATGGGTCGAGTTCGACTTTGAGCCCCGATGTGACGATGGCACGCTACAGCAGGGTAAGCTGACGGAGTGGTGGGAACTCTACATCAAGGCTACGTACGAGGCAGCCGGTCGCCGTCTTCACTGGGACCCGACAGTGGACGAGACATTGAACCGCGTCGGCTTCCGGGATGTTAGACATGTCGTATTCCATATTCCGTTGAATAACTGGGGCCAAAACGAGAACGACTACATGCGTCGCATGTCAGGATGGTGGCAATTGATGATGGGTCCAGATGGGAACGCCGGAGGTCCCCAGGGCGGAGGTGCCTACGAACAAGGTGCCTACGGCCTCGAAGCAATCAGCCTTGCTCCTCTGTGCAAGTTTTCCAATTGGCCTCCTGATCACGTTAGACGCCTTTGCAACGAAGCACTGGCTCAGGCTGCTGATACCAATGTCCATTTTTACAACCAAATTCATATCATCACGGCCAGAGCACCTCACCGTAACGAACAATAACCCGCGACCGTCATGTGTTGGGAGGATACCCGAGTCTTTCTGCTCCAACACCCGATATTATCGCACTTTGAAGATATGGCACGATCAAGAACACTCGCTGCGCTTGGAGCACCTGAGGAGCAGAACGAGAACAGAGTGGTGGATACCAATATCGCATACCGTTACGGCTTGTAAGCCGTTCGGTTTGAGCTGATGTGCTGCCGGATTGCACATATGATCATGGCAGGAACTTTCCGGCTCGTGGTTCTAATCTCGAGTGCGACGAACACTTTGGCTATGTACATTGTACAACAATAACATGACCTCTGGATGATAAACGGCTTCTCTCCGCTGTTCCTTTCGATATCGAATCTCTGCCTCTTCGAGCCGAGATGAGACATGAATTCGCAAAAACGAAGATACGACTCCTACCGTGGCAGTTCGACGAGCAGCGCAAAGGAACATCCGTTCTGTGGAGAGTTTTTCCGCCCCCTTCCCCAACTCACGACGTGGAAGATTCGCACACCATCCGTTGGAGACAGAAGACACCTCGTTCGTTGGGTCGGCAGATGGCTCCAATCCCACTCCTGGAAGGAGAGGGCCCGAACCTATATCCTGTCGACCTGGCGCACGGGCAGGACCCCAGGCCTCCAATCACCCATCTCCGACTACCGCTATATCGAACAGAGCAAGGAATCAAGCCGTCAGCTACGAGGATAGGAACGGAGAGAGCACAGTTTAGACCTGCGCAATTCATACCGTACTGGTACAGTAGTTAGATCGTCGGTTATCTACGCAGGCCGTTGGTTCGCTTGTTGGGTATTTAGTACTAGGTAATTGGTTAGTGTCCGCCTGGCAATCTAGACACGTTCCCTTTACTTGGGTTTTATTTTTCTTTTCTTTTCCTTTGGGGGAGCCTTATTTTGGTGTTTTGTTGTGTTAATTCCGTAGGTAGATGCCACTGCGGAGCTCACGAACAGGCCGCCCGTTGTCATAATAGGAGAAAGAGTAGCAGCAGCAGCAGTAGCAGCAGCAGCAGCAGCCTCTCGTTGTCTGCGCAACTACACAGGAGAACAGCTTGCACACACTCCCGCCGCCGGGGGGCAAGCCGTATGGCTGAGCATGGGTATGGCCACGAGCATGAGTATGAATATGGACACGGGGATATCTCATCTGACACTGACCGACCGACCGAATCGACTGAATTGATTGATTTGATTGATCATTCATGTCCTTTTACGTTTCTTTTCTTTGTTTTGGGCTTGTCCCCAGTCGCGGTCAGCCAGGCAATGCAGTGAATAATGAACCAGGCCCAGGCCCCTCGCTCAGGCTCCGTGTCTCCATCTCCATCGTCGTCATCGTTGTCGTTCGAGTTTGGCCCCATCCCATTCCGTCCAATCGCTTCCTCGGATGCATAGCTCGAACAAGAACAGTTTGCTCCCCCTCTCCCCAACCTGACCACTCAAGTTTCTCCGTGTCACGCACATGCGATAGCAAATCTAGACCGTGAACCTTCCGCCTCCCTTCGGTCTCGCAAAAATACCATGTCACGCTCGCAATCGCTTGGGGGGCTTGCAAGGAAACGTCGTTCTTAAGCAAATGTCGAAGGTCTCTTGGAGGTGAAGAGCTTCTTTTGACGGCTGCTGCGATGCGGGAGCGGGAATTTGAGGTTGCGTGTAATCAGCTGCTTGATGTATGGTCGCTTGACGTCGCTGGGGTTGGCGATTTCGACGACTTTGAGGATCTGTAAACGGCTCACATCGTCAGCAAAACTGGTAATTTCTTTCGGCAGACAAAAAAGGTAGGGCGGTGTCGAGAAAATTTGGGCCTTTATTTAAGACCAGACGTGGGAACCGTGGAGAGGAGAAGAGAAGGACGTACATGAATGCTCCTGAATCGGGCACGATGTCTGGCAGCCATGTCCTGGTACAGCGCCTCGACGGCTTCAGTGCGGCTCATCTCTCGGTACTCCTTGTACATGTTGTGGGTTCCGGATCGCGAATCGTATCGGATCCAGATGCCAAAGTTCTTGACCTTCAAGGGCCGCTTCTCGTGGATGACGTTGAGGGACACGACCTCGCCGGTGGATTTCTTGAGCTTACGCAGCTTCGACAAGAAGTACCAGAAGCGCGACTTGGCCACCACGGTGTTGGGTGCGAAGATGCGCATGCGGTACAGTTTAGGTGTCGGGTTCGCATCGGTGGGCAGCGACCGGCCGATGACCTGGTATTCCTGAAGGCGACCTGGGCGAGACATTGCATCTGTCAGTTTGCTTTTCTTTTGAATGTGGGAATGTTGGTATGAGCGTTTGGGTATCATTGACGTCCAAATCTCAAGACGGAGGAGGATCTTCCTTCTCTTTCGCCAGTTTTTTTTTTTTTTTTTTTTTTGAAACTTCAACCAGTCTCGTCATTGCTTCCATGTATGCACCTCTTCAAAGCCCTCCACATCATTGTTCTCTAAATCCTTTTTGCAAAAACACTCAATCGAAAATCCCTCGCGGGCGCTTTTCGAATCGACAAAATGTAGCTCGTAGGTGAAAGAATTGCATTGCGGAGACTTACCCATCTGCGCCTAATTAGTCTTTAGACCTGAATAGACAGACTCTTACATACCTTGACTGTATTTGATCGACCTCAAACGTGGCTCGTCGTCGATATGCTGTGATCACTGAGAAAGTGCAGCAGCGAGGCTTTCGGATTTCAAGTTTCGATCTAGGTTCGTGTGCCAAGAGTTGCGTTTTCCTTGGCGCTCCTTCCAAGCTGGTTCGGTGATTGGTCGATCGGACTTTCTTCGTAAGTCGAGGAACCGAAACAAACTTCCTTTCTACAAATTGTCCATCGTGTGCCTGACAATTTCACTACAAGTCGCACTGATGGGGAGCATCTTTGCGGATTTCCATGAAGCCCAGCGGGTAGGGCATGGTCCGCTCCTTGCATCCTGTCTGGCTCCCATCGATACAGAACGCGACTCTCGTCGCCTCGAGTCATTCGCGCAGCTATCAAACTATCAGACGGTCTCGGCAGATGTGCGTTATCACATCATTCAGGGTCGCAATGCTGCAAAACTGCCCAAAGCCGAAGCTAATGCTTGGGTCGACATCTTTGTCGCACTATGGAAATGTGTCAAAGAACTTGTTGCGCTCCGGCAAGGCACTGGCATGGGCGACTGGTCCAAGGCGTTTGATTCGTACAGAGAGTTGTGTAATCACCTGGTTAGAGGGTACACCAACTTTGGATTCCAGGCCTGGACTGTTCCCTGCCTCAGCGTGGCAGGAAAGTATCTCCGCATGATAGCGATGAGAGCAGACAGCGAGAACAAGGCCAAAGAGGGAAATGGAGATGTCTTTGCGAGTGGCTTCTCAGACGACATCATGGGCGACACGAACAAGAACGAGAAGTTGGAGCAGGCCGCATGGACCATCAATCGCATGTTCACGATATGCTTGAGCGACAGAGCCGAGGAGAATGAGTCACGCAGATGGGGCATTTACAGCACGACCAACTTACTCTTCAAGACATATTTCAAACTCAATTCGGTCTCGCTTACCAAAAATGTCATTCGTGCTTTAGAAGCCGCAGCAGATGACATACCAAATCTAGTGCGATTTCCGAAATCTCACCAATGCACGTTCAAATACTACCGCGGAGTTATTGAGTTCTTGCAGGAAAACTACACTGATGCTGAACAGAATCTGACGGAGGCATTGCATCTCTGTCACAAGGACTCCCTGAAGAATCGAGAGCAGATCCTGACCTACCTAGTCCCTGCACACATCATCAACCACCACCAACTGCCCAGCAACGCCCTGTTGGCTCCTCATCCAACCCTGTCAAAGATCCTCACACCATTAATCATCGCCATTCGCGCCGGTTCACTCGCCGCCTTCGACGATGCTCTTTCTGCAGCTGAATCAGAACTAGTCAGGCGCCGCATTTATCTCACTCTTGAGCGCACCCGCAACCTCTGCCTGCGCAACCTGTTCCGGAAGGTCTTCTTAGCTGCAGGCTGGGAAGAAACCAAGGATGCAACGACTGGAGAAGTGACAGGCAAAATTCGCCGAACGAGGATCCGTATCGAAGAGTTTGAGGCTGGAATGCGCGTGAGTTATAAGGGTGACACGGATGTGTTGATCGAAAGGGACGAGGTCGAGTGTTTCTTGGCCAACATGATTTACAAGGTGCGTCGTGTTGCCTATTTTATGTTCTTTTGCCAACCCCCTCTCGTTTCCATCCACCTATCACCAAAGACACATTCAGTGTAAGATGCCTGCCCAACACCACGGCTGCCTTGGTGATTGGCCTGATTCCTGGCACAACATGATGCATGTGACTCAACTCTCAAAAGTTCCGCACACCATCACCGACTAGAAAGGAAAATGCTGACCCGGAGTCTCTGATTCGTTCCCCTTCCACAGAACATGATGAAAGGCTATATTGCTCGCGACCGAGGCATAGTCGTACTCAGTAAGGCTGGTGCCTTTCCTGGTACAGGTGTCTGAACACGAAGTACACATGCTAGTGCAACGCTTATTCGCTGTTTGAAGCCCTCATGTACCGGACTAGACTGGTTTATGTCCGACTGGCAAATTCACATTACTACTACATCCCTGCCGTTTCGATACTGGGACGGTTGAATCCTCCCGAAGTGCCACCACCATACACTACGGCGTCGAGGTTAAGTTACAGTTATAGCAAACGGCCTTCCTTCTAAAATGCCCCGCCTCGATCTAAACGAAGCAAGCATGCAATCGGAACTACCGTCCAATTGCCACACTCGCTACATTCTTAACCTGCAGCCTCTAAATCAACGCGGCCACCCTTTTGACCTTTTGGCGTACAGAATGACTGGTTCTCGATGTTCCTGAGGTATCAAGCCACCATTTCCGCAAGGGGGATCGAATTCAGCCAGGCAGCGCACTAGCTGCTTGCAGCAATAACGGCTTGTGGAACTGTCTCTGTAAACCTTGATGAGCAATATTGTCAAAGGTATCCACACCACCATCTTCCCGGGGAGACCACTACGGATCATGCTGGAAGCGAAAGCGAGGGAACCTCTTGGAACGAGAAGAGGAGGGAAAGGTTGATTGGTACGTGGAAGGATGGCCCGTTGTCTGGCCTACCGTTCCACGCAGCGGGAGAAATTCTCATAATGGGACTGAAGGAAGGCGGAACCACCAGAACTAAGTGAGTGAGGCAACAAGGTGTGGATGAGAGATATGATCGAACAAAAGTGGGCATCCGGGGGCACGTATTGGAGCGGTAGGTATGGAGGCGTGACCCACTTTTCCTCAAGCCCGGGAAGAAAGAATAAAAATGGCCCCCTTATTACGAGCACCAATCGCTACAACACACAATACACACACTGAGCACAAGTCCTCCATACCCTCGTCCTGCACCTACACAGTCCTGGTGTGATGTGATACGAGATTCCAGGGTCCAGCCTCCCAAACTCAAATCCACCTTTCTCCTCTCGCTCGTTGCCTTGAACTAGGCACCACAGCCTGTATTAGCGAGACCAGGGATGATGGATGGATCGGATGGGATGGGACGGGCGGCGGAGCACGCAGACAACGGGGCCCCTTTTCCCTTCTGCAGTGGACGGAAAGACACAGCTAGTTACAGTACTATCAACCAGGTTGCCCTTTTTGCTACGGGTGCCCACTGCGGGAAAAGGAATGCTGCGCGGATTATTAGTACTCAGTACTCCGTACTCCGTATCTATTGGGCCAATGAGGCCCGGTCGACTGGAGAGAAGGGGAGAAAGGGTCCAGGCTTTCCATTCGCGTTTTCTTCGAGCAGAATGGGGCTCAAACGTACTCGAAGAAGGCAGGTCCCCCCCAAGTAAGGATTAAGGGTCTCTACAGGTTGGTGAAAATAATCAGTTCCATTGCGTTAGTTTTCTCTCTAGAAGAAACATTGACCTCTGCGTTCGAGACAGTGATTGAGCTGTTTCAAAGCTGGTAGCAGTCAAGACCGAGCAATTTCCCGCCGCTCTTGCCCTTGTTGTCTGATATTCCTTTCTTTCAGATAGACCGAAATGATAGTACATGTCCCCTTGGGGATGACGTCGACCTCATCCCTTTCCAAAGGGGGACAGGGTTGTCAGTGTAGTTTTTTGTTGAATAGTGATACAAGAGTAGCAGATAGCAGATAGCAGCCAGCCGACAGCAATATCCTATAAACTCCGACACACTGGTAACCCACGGCAAGCTGGTACAATTGGTGGCGGATCGAAGATGCTCACGAAGCTGGCAATTTAGGTGGAGAGGACTGGCAGAGCACAAACAATGGACACATCGTTTTCTCGTTCGTTCTCTAGCGAGAAAACGGCGATGCGAAGGGTGAGCGTACTGTTTTGAGATCATCCTATTTCGGATGTCAATCTTTGATATGAAGCTCACCACGTGCGACATACCATATGATTACACATAGCGACGAAAAGATCGAAGAACAAGGTACCACCTTGCTCCATTTCGACCTTCATGGTGCCGCTCTTCTTGAAGTTGTTGCGGCTGCGGATGATCAAGGTGAGGTATTGGGCTCGAAGCTTCGAGTCAGAGTCAGGAGTGTGGCTGTAGGCATAGCGTGCCGAGGCAAGGATGGTTGAGATCTGCATTCCTTGTCGCAGACCTTGTTTGCGAAGAGCAAGGCGTTTGAGCTCTTCAAGCCCGTAGAGTTCGGCCGAACAGCTGTGGGGAGTGTTGTTAGCATCGGCATGCGATTGGAAGGTAGGTGGGAATAACATACTAGATGACCGTATCCCTCATAAGTGTCTGTTTGGCTGCATGATGGTATATTGTGACATTGGAGCCATTGGCTTCGTCTTCCAGTTCCCAAGTGTCCTTTTTCTTGTTATGCAACAGCTTAGGATAGTAGTCTCCCCTGTAAAGGTATTCGAGAACAGCAGACAGGATCTCTGGCTGTTCGTCAGGCAGATTGATCCTTCGGGCGTTGGATTCAAAGAACTGGCCCTTGCAGGCAGCCTCGAAGAAGGGGGAGCGTGAGAGAACTTCTTCGTGACCGGCAAAGAGTCTCTGCTCGGGACCGACACAGATGGTGACGATGGCGGAGGTGAGGGTACTGGTACAGGAAGACAGTCAGTAAAGTTCAATGTGGGAGGATGTCAGCCACTTACCTGCCAACTGGTGGGCTTGTATGAGTGCTGTGTTCCCTTCTATGCGACCTCATTGACTCGGAGCGCTGAAGGCCCCGGACGACGGATTGCTCTCGAAAGGAAGATTGGGGCTTTGTAGCTTTGCTTGTCCCATATCGAGAGGAGAAGCTGTTGGATGGTTGAGCTCTCTTGCCGCCGAACATTCTTGTTCAATAGCTCTTGCGCAGAGACTCTGTGCAGGCTATCCGGTGAAACCGCGGGTAGAAAGCAGAGTCAGTGGTGGGAGCAGCAGCGATTGATATTATGTTAGTGATATCAAGAAAACGATCGAAGACAGCATTGGGACATGAAAAGAATGCAAGAGGCAGAGATACCAGGACCCAGCTGCTAGAAGTTGATGGAATCAGTCAGGGTGAGTAGGGAAAGTCGAGAAGGACATTCTGACAGCAGGAAGAAAAGCTGGTTTTGAGGGTTGGACATGGCGGCCAGGTTGCTCCCCCCTTCAACGGGCAGGCTGCTGGGGAGCTTATCACTGCAACAAAGTCCCAGGCCGCATCGAGCCTAGATGAAGTTGTCGGAAGCCTGACACGTCTGCCGCGTCGCAGGTGGAATCCACTTACACGAACGAAGAGCGCAACCATGTGACCGCCCTATGCAAGCACTATACGCGGATGGGCGCGATGGGTCTTCCGGGGCTTCGAACTTGCAGTATGACTGGCCTCGCTGGGTCCTTCGATGTGACTCGATATGGTCGCTAACTTCCCCCCCCCTTCTGATGTCTTCCCAGAGTGCCCATGCCTGGGCTGAGTTCCCGGGATATGTACCTGGGGGCCCATGGGCTAGTCTCGAGCCGAAGCAAACTCATGCTTGTAGTGCCTCCTTCTCGTTACTGTGTGGTAGTCTAGTCCCCTTGCGCACCAAGTGCCGGGCGCCGGTATGACCAGTCACATCCGCAGTATTCGATGGATCAACGGTGAACAGTCATAATAGCAAGCACTTTCCCTCTTGTGTGACGCCTCGCTGATCGCCGCAAGCAATCAAAGAAAAAGAACCGGGTCTGAAGGCAGCAAGGACTCAAAAGAGGTGAACGACGGGATTCTACCGGGCAAGCTACATGTTGATAAAGATGGTGTACAGGCCCATGTCCATCGGTCGAGTATGGCAGAAACACATGAAACACCTAAGCACAAGGATATACCCAAGTAGCGAGTGTAAGTAGGTAAGCGTCGTCCCCGGCATGCAGTGCAGTAGCCCAATAGAGAAAAGACCGAACCCCTTCGGCTCTGCATTGAACATGGTTCTTTGGGTATTAGTTGTCATTTGTTCATCAATTGTTGCGTCCCTGCATTAGTCGCTTAGAAGCCTGGACCTCATCCCTTCCCGTGGAGCATACAAGTCTGTACGAGGTACATGTGATGGTATTGTACATAGTGAAGCAAACAGAGCAGAGATGGATCTGATTAGTCTATCACGTTGAGATGTTGCGAACACAACGGTAAGATGAGCTCGCAGGATATCAATGGAACATGCTCTCTCTCACCACACTGGACGAGGGACCTTCCGTAATGCATGCCATTGCTGGCCCCCATCTCCGAGGTGTGGTGCTCATCAGTATTTGCTCACCTAGACCTATGCACAATGCCCAAATGAACCCTTCTTGGTCATGCGCCTCGACGACCCTTTGATGAACGCCGACCTATCCACAGCTTCCCAGATGTAAGTATGAGTGAGCATCAGGTTCGTCGAAATAAATCAAAATTCGCAGGCCGCTACCACGCATAGCTCTGTCACAAGATGACTATCTTTGCCTCTTTTTGATGGCTCTCTACCGGACAGTAGGGGCATTTGAATTTGGCACCCTTGCTGAGCTTCTGCAATGATTCTTGCGCAATGACGTGGCAGCAAGGAAGCATCATCGGAGGATTTTGATCGGTCGTCTGTTCCTTCGATACAGGACACACGAAAATAGAATGAAATTGATAGGAAGGAGGTAGTGGCGTTTCCACAGGGAGTTCGTTTTGCGATGTCCATTCTGTCCGCTTTTGTTTCTGAATCGTCTGCAATTTGAGAAGTATAGGTAGGGCGATCGCTCCCGCAGTAGCTGCTATGTACAACGGTGAATCTGCCGATAGCTCGAGGAGTGAGCAGAACTCTCGTGTAAAAGAGGTTGCGACTTCGTCCCAAGTGGTGGAATTGTTGAACCTGAGGCAGTAGGGTGATTCCTCCAAGTTGGAGCAAAACGGTATAGCACCCATCAGTTGTTGTATCTCGACTAGATAACGTCCTCGGAAAGACTGGAATTCCCTTTGTGCGTATTGTAGAGCACGTATCGGTGCATCGAAATCGTATTGATCTCCATCTCGGCGGTCAAGGAACAGGTTGACAAACTGTAATCTGCAGAGTTCAAACTCTAGATTACTCCCACGGGCTTCCAGCGCTGCCGCGTTGCTTCTAGCCCAGTCGATGGCAGGTTGTAAGTTGTGGTTGTCCTTGAGTTTACTCAGAATGTGGTACATGTTCGAAAACTGTTCCTGCATGCTCTCTTCCGCGTCCTTGTCCAGTCCCAGGGGATGATCCATGGACACATCCAAGCCCAAATGAGCTGCTATCTCCTGTTGGCCCTTCTGCCTTTCCAGCGCCTCGGAATGAAGCGTCGACGCTACATCGAACAGCCCTTCACGAAGCAAATGCAAGTAGATTGCTCGGTTGATTAACGTGGGGTGGGAGGAGAGCGCATCGATCTCGCTGCTTGGGACTTTATCCTTGAAGACCTTGTCTAGCGCTCTTGTATATTTATTGTGCAGTCCATGTGTGTCCTTCAACCCTGAGAAGATGCCATCGAATGATGTCTTGACTGGATTCTGCAGTTTTGCCAGGGTAATCTGTCTCGAGTTGGGATCTTCAGCGATGGCGTCCCGCGCCCTCTGAAGGGCTTTTATGATGTCGTCAACATGGCCGGTCGTCCTAGTCAGCTTGCTGTTATTCCACACTTTCTCGTGCTCTTTCTGAATGTTGTCCATGGCGTCTGCGTCTCTTGGCTATTCCATATGCCTGACTTGTATCATCGTCCCCGGTTCGATCTCAGAATTCTACTAGGCACTGGAGGAGAATACCGCAACCGGAGGACGTATAAGTGCAAGGTAGAGTCACGAGCGATGCGGCGTTCGAGGAAGTGCAGGTGATGGTGCCATGCGGACAAGCTTCAATACGTATAAGGAGGGCGGCGAGCAAGGCAGGTTCCCGTGAGGTGTATTAAATGGCTGATAAGCGGCGAGGCGGCAATGCGGGTGGCTCTTTGGGTGGCAAGATCCGCAGCCCACCAACCAACACTTTCTCCAGGTAGAGGCACCAAAGACATTTCCTCCTGCTGGATCCATCGCCATACATTCCCTGCCTCAACCATTATTTGGCACAATCTTAACTCTTTAGCGAACTGGGATAATCCAACGCCCCATATGTTTGGCTAGTGTTACCAGCACAGCGTACCTCGTACGGCACCGTGCAAGCTGCAGCCTACAATGTCATTTGTGGGAGCCGGTTTCTTGACCCCCTACCACCATTCCCATTCCTTTGCCGGTTCGCCGAAGGACAGGTCGAATAGACCTAGTCCAAAAGACGAATACAAGACTCAGAAGCCAGATGGCGTTGAGACCTCCAGTCCGACTTCTAGCGGAGGGGCCCAAGGACGAGCAGGCCAAAACCGAAAGCGCCTTGTATTTGCGGACCCCGTCGCCTTTCGCTACCTGGAAGAAGATCCTGCAACCGATGCTATAGAACGATGGAGGCGTCTCGAAGGGTACGAGATGTACGTGGTAGAGCAATGGGCCTGCTCCAGAAGTCATCCTACATTTATCATTTGCACCTACACGGGCGACCCTTCACATTCAATCTTGGTGAATGTCCTCGCTGTGCCCAGTGACGAAACTACATGGTCTCAAAGATTGCAGGTCTACTTTCAAGCCGTCTCTCAATATCATGCGAAGGAGAAGGACACTCCTTTGGGTGCCCTCATGGTCACCAACCTGAGTGGATTTCCATCAGCCCTTACCGTGATTCCTGTTCCGGATGGCGACGTCAGAAAGCACCGAGATGATTTTATCGTCAACGAGGACCTCAAACGAATGGGGTGTTCGGGGAGAGCTGGCATCAATCTGCAACCTCCTCAATCGAGCACCATTGCCAAATTTCACCACCTCTATCGGACAAGTGAGACGGTGCCGCTGTATCAATCGGTCATGGAACTTGTACGGACATGCCAGATCGCATTGGTCCTGTACGATAAACTCCAACCAACGTACGCTGACGGCCTGCTTTGCGATGTGACTGAGCGAGCAATCAACGATTGGTGGACAGATATTGGGACCTATTTCTACAATGTCGAGCCTAGTGACGGTATTCTCGGGCCAACCACAGTGGCGGCTCTTCTTGGGCTTCTTATTGGAGCTTACAATCGCCTCAAAGCCTTCGGATCTCCTGTTGGAAAGGACGTCTTGGATACTGTGTCAATGAAGCGAGCCATTGGTCATTTCCAGAAAGGCCAAAAGATGGAGAAGACTCGACGACTCGATCGAGAGACCCTCGATCGTCTCCACAGGGCCACAGCCAAAAATGCCAGCGGTGAGGGTTGGACAGTGCCAAAGGCAGTTAAGTCCACCGTTGCTGAGCTTAGTGGCAAGGGAGGGGAGATGGTCATGGGCATAGTGGGGGGTCGCGATAAGGCGGGCATCTCGGAGGCTGAAACTATGGACATTGAACGTTTTGCTCAGCTGGTTACTGGTCCTAAGATGAAGTGGCTCTGGCAAGGGAAGCCCATCAAGTCGGGCGATCCGTTCGCCTGGCCGACTGGTGACCTTGACCTCAAAGGAAGAGTGTTCAGCACAGACGATCAAGGCAATTTCTTGTGGACCGGCAATCAGCATGAGTCCACCTCAGATATAAACGCCCTTGAACGGACTGATACGGTGTACACGAATCAATCGGACTCTAAGTCCGGCCGGCACCGTTTGAGAGGAGCCGTTGGAGGCCTGAGAAGCTACAACCATCGCTATCAGAAAGACATTGAAGAGACCCAGGATTGGGTCGAAACCGCCGCGACCAGGTCCACCCTTCGTGATCATACACTAAGGGCGGCGACTGGAATGTCTCAACTAGATGGACCTCATGTGTTTGACATGAGCTTGGTCAATACAGAGCCGGCTTCGCCCCGTGGCGAACGGCGCCAGCCCCTTCGCCGAACTCAAACGACGACTGAGAAGAGAATACCTTCCCATCGGGAACAGCTGCGACCCGCCTTGCCAGGAGACTCGCCCAGGAGAAAGAAGGTGGACGCCGAGTTGGCCGACCTACGGAATGAATTCAAAGCAGATATCTATCGCAATTTCTCTGCTACGATGCCATATAAAGGCCTCAGCAGCCGGGTCCTGCGGCGAACGCAGAGCAGCGTCCAACTAATCGGCCATACCATCGACAGTCCCCGCCAGAACCGAATCAACCGGCGACTTTCCTTCAGCGTGGTGGAAAGCGCAGTTCTGGACACGGGCAAAGACATCGTGGAGGAGGGCATTTTGAAGGGCAAAATCGAGGGAGACCTCACTAATGCACTGGCTGAACGAGACGCCCTAGTGGCCTCTGCACAGAAGAAAGCTAAACGCATCCAGCGCATTCAACAAGGTCTAGTCCCATACACAGAAAGCCGAGTCGCCCATGTGGAGAGCCTGGATCGAGTCGCGCATCAACATCTTGAAGAACTCAACGAACTGTACTATCATCGTCTGGAAGAGTATCAGACTCTACAAGCTACTTCGTCCGATCTTGTGTCGCAAGAGAAGACTGCTTTGACGGAGAGCTTTCGACGCATGGAAATGCTGGGTGCGAAACTGGATTATGAACTGGACAGCCTGCAGAGTCGACTGCAGGAGGTGGAGGATGGGGTCGATGACTTTGAACGAAATGTGTTGCTTATTGAGGGGCGGGCCAGGGAATTGAATGGTGAAAATGAAGGCCCCCCTGCAAGTTCGTCGTGGATTGCCAGGATGCTGAGCCTTTTGGGAACGAAGAAATGAGGGAACGATAATGGGAGTTTGAAGGGAAAAGGCCATGCTTTCTGCAGATTAGCGAGGCGTTTGTGCATTGTAAAAGCTCGCCGATCTGGACCAACGGATATAGAGCTCTAGTGGTCTGGTCTCAGGCTGTAAGAATCGAGATTCGATGCTCTTTCTCCACTGTGCCATCTCTTTAACCCATGGCACGAACACAAACCAAGCAGGACTGTTCTGTGCCAGTTCTCACATCGAATCTGGCCGAAATACTGTACACAAGTTTTCCAATCTTCAAGTCCACCGTGGAATCCCAGTCCAACAGCCCACTTCCATGGTGGATGCAATGACACGAATGTAGGCGCCGATCCAAGGCCATTTGATATGCGCTCAGATGATGGCCATCGACATGATGAAAGAAACTGATATCTCTTCCTCGATTTACATTCCAAACATACCTCCTCCACCAGTAGCACCCCCTTGTCTCATGGCCGCCTCGCCCTGCATCTTTTCTGACACTTTCATATTGACTTCAAAGAATTTCGCCACACATCGATCGAGGCAGACGCTCTCGGCCTTGTTGAGATCGGCTTCACGGTAGTCGGCCGGTATGCATTTCTTGAGGCAGGATTGTGTTAATCTGGAAGGTATCAGCACAGTATCCATCATAGTGAGGCGGCTACGAATCTCTCAAAAAGCGTTGAAAGAGACACAAATCGGCCAGAAGGCTACATCCGTACCTATTGAACATGTCCGAGACCATCTCGACTTCATTTTCTGCCGCCGCAATCTTTTCTGCGGAGGTCGGTTGAGGTCGACCACCGCCAAAGAGGAAGGACATTGCGGGTGACGGTGAGCCTTGCCGTAGGAGTTCTTCTTTTCGAGAAAGAGCGCGCGGAGTGTTCTAAAGAAAACGCGCCGTAGATAAATGTCGCCTATTCTGGAGACGTAGGTATGTATTGGTATGTAGCACAAAACGTTGCGCAGCTCGGAGACGAGGGACGCAGGCGCGAAGTTTCCCCGAAGCTTAAGCGAAGATTTAATTTTCCCATGGATTCTCGCAACAAACAACAGCTGCGACCAGTCCTCTTCGTTCAAGGCCTCAGGTCGTAGTCCTGTTCATGCAGCTTCATGTACGGAAGGTCGACGTGGCGAGCATGGCGTTCGACTCGTTGGCCGGCGCAAAGAAGGTACGTCTGCCTCAATCATTGCCCTCTATCACTCTCGCACCCAGATGATGAGACAACGAGAGAACCGCTGCGAGTGATGCTAGCTTCTGCTGGTCTGTGATCAAACTTCTCCGGCGATTGTCTGACTATGGCCCAAATGTTCCAAATGTCCATGCTTCATACCGCTGTTAGAGAAAGGTACACACTGACATTGCGCCTTTAGCGTCCCTGAAGCTACTACTGGTAGTCCCGTCTCAATTGCATTCCGCCGGCGAAAATCTCGTTTGCAGACGCCGCCATGGACGCCGCGACCATACGTTGCGGTGGGAGCTCCAAGGCTAAGCTCCCACAGCGCATTCAAAGCTGAAGGTCTACATGCAACTAAAGAGGTCCAGGAGCGGATGCAGGAGCTGCAGTGTTCCACTATACCGCTCTACCCACGGTTTCAACATACTCCTCAAGCGCGAAGCTTCCTGTCGCTGGAAGAGCAAGTGAACCACAATGCCGACAAAAATGATCTTACGGTTCCTAGGGACTGGATAGAAGGCAAGACTAACAGCTGAGGAGGCAAAAAGACGCAAAGAGTTCTGACGAAATTACCAGTGTCGGGAAGGATCTCTTCCATCCGGCTGAGCGGCTCGAAGTTGGCATTCGTCGATATCATCGAGGATCAGATGAAGCTACAGGTCATGCTGTCTCACTCGGCATTCGCAGATTCCGGAGTAACCATAGCCGACTTCAAGCACTTTTGCCGGCTGCTCAGGAGAGGCGACTATATTTGTAAGTCTTTCGAAGCGGATCATATGAAGCATTGCCCGCTGATTGTGGGAACGAAGCATTGAAGGGATTTCGACCATACAAGGCCAAGAATGGTCAACTATCCATTCAGGCGTCGACCTTGCCTGTTATTCTGTCCCCTTGCCTCCAACGGTTCCCTGTCGAGCATCGAGGTTCTGCAACAACCGAATTTGTGGAGTCCAACTACCAACCTCGACATGTCGAAATGCAGACAGATCCCCAAATCATAGAGACGTTCAAGGCCCGTTCTGCACTCATCCGAGCAATGCGACAATTCTTCGAATCACGCTCCTTTATTGAAGTGAGCACTCCCATCTTATCCACCGCGGCGGGCGGTGCAACTGCCAAAGCTTTCGAGACCAAGGCAACAGAATTTCCTCATCGGAAACTCAGCCTACGTATTGCACCCGAACTCTGGCTGAAAAGGCTCATTGTCGGTGGCATGGACAAGATTTTTGAGATTGGACCTTCTTTTCGGAATGAAGGCCTCGACAAAACGCACAATCCCGAGTTCACGACTTGCGAGTTCTATGCCGTTCGGCACGATCTGCGCCAACTGATGGACATGACGAAGCAGCTCATCACGGACATTGCGATGGCCATCAAAGCCCTACCTGACCGATACACGAACGCACCGTCATATCTTCTCGATTCTGTTCAAGGTTCTTACGAGGAAATTGACTTCATCCCGTCTCTCAACTCTGCGTTGGGAATCAATCTTACCAATCTCTCCTCATCCTCCGCCCACTCCCAGCTCCTCGAAATTTTTCTTTCGCACAACCTACCTCTCCCCGGCAATCCCACCACTCCCCGGCTCGTGGACAAGCTCTCTTCGCTTTACCTGGAACCACAATCTTCCCAGAAACCGGTCTGGATCACAAACATCCCCGAGTGCCTGTCCCCCTTGGCAAAGTCATACATTCATCCCACCGCACCCAATGATCAACCAGTTGCTGCACGTGCAGAGTTGTTCATTGCAGGGAAGGAGGTCGTGAACTGTTACGAGGAGGAAAATTCACCATTCGAGCAAAGGCGAAAGTTCTTGGAACAACAGAAGTATGCCAATGTTAACCCCAGCGCGAGGCCCAACTCAAATTATAACGGCACGAAGACTGATCAGGCTGACGCGGAAGAGGACGAAGAGGTGATGAAAGTCGACGAAGACTATCTACATGCACTGGAATGGGGACTTCCACCCACGGGTGGATGGGGGTGTGGAATTGATAGGTTGGTCATGCTTTTCACGGGGAAAGAGAGGATTGGGGATGTGCTCAGTTTCGGCAACTTAAGGGCGGTCACAAGAGGTGCGGAAGGACAAAGCCACGCAGCAGATAGAGCAGGCAAGTCGAGCAGATAAGACGAAGCCGTAAAGGTCCTCACCATGTCTCGTGAAGTGCTCCTTGGAGGGTACAATTTGACGGCAACCAGGTTGGTTTAATCGGTTGCTAGACGGGGGGATATCAGCCGAGAAGACGCATCTTGTACAATACAATAAATAGCTAAAATGGAGAGAATAACCCCTCTGAGAAGCTTGCATTTGCCATGTGAGCGTAGCCCGTGCCTCCTCCAGATCCGCTGACAGCAGTCATCGTCTGGGAAGGATGGGGCATGCATCAATGGAGTCGTTGGCGAACCATGGGTACTGTACTCAGGAACTGTTGCAACCAGCCCCCTTTTCGCAGCGCAGCCTCGCGACCTCCCACCCATCAGAACCTCGTAGTCTGTGTGGTTACTCGTAGGTATGCCCACCTCCCCCCCCCTTTTTTTTTAACTTCCCCTTTAATAGTTCCAGGACTCATGTCCAGTCCAAGTTGGAACTCCGAATCAGAATCACCAAGAGAGGAGAGAGGGGGAGAAAGATCTAGCCCCAGCCGCCCAGAAAGCATCGAGCGAGTGCGTAAATTCGAAAAGATGGGCAAAAACTTCGTAAAACTCGTATGACTTCATCAGGCCATACACCAGATAGGTCGTGGTGTGAATTGCAATCGATAAAAGCCCCGGTCGGTGCCTGGTATGATGACCCCGCGAAAAGTAGAGTTGAAAGTGTGAAGACGTGCCAATTGCATGCCTGTAAGCCCAGCCTTGTTTTGTGTTTGTGCCGTTTGTTGGTTCCTGAGTCGCAAATATCCCCCAGCCCGCCCGGTCGGGACGATCGTCTCGAGCCATTTCTAGAAACCGGGTGTTTAGCTGGGGGGAATTACCATGTCATTGCATCTTTCGTGGTTGACGCGTCCCTGGTGATCGCGGCCGTCCCGGTGCCGTGCGGTGGTGTTGTGCTCTCCCGCATCGTCTTTGCGGCGTGTCGTTTTCGTGTCCGTTGCTCGCTACGCTCATGCTCAGCACCAGCTCATTTCCTGTCCGAGCGCAATCTTGGCCAGCCACATCAGCCGTACCTTTCTCTGTTCGTTTGTTGTTGTTTTTTTGGGGGTCTCTCTCTTCATGTTTCTCTTAGCTACCGTCGCGCTTCCGTTTTCGGCTGGGCCGATTTTCCGGTCGCAGAGGGGTTTCGCTGTGACGGAGCGGGCCCTGCCCCGTTGTCATTCTCTCCATCTTGAATCTGTAAATCTGGCGCTCAATTTTGACCAGTTCCGGTGCTATGACGATATACAGCCCGTCGTATCTGAATCCCGTGATCGGCCGATGTGGCACGATTTTCGCCAGTCGAAATGACCGGAACACCCGCACAGGGCGACCAGTCCTGTACGACGTGAAGAGGGACATGGTCGCGTTTGTTGGGCCTTGGCCTCTTGAATTCTTCGTGATTCTCTCTACCCGGTGCGTGACGAGGTCCTTTATGTTGGTGGGCTCTGTATCATCGGGCAATCGAGGTAGCGCGGTTCCGTAGTAGTAGATAGTATTCCCTTTGTCGACGTCGGCATAGTAATGTTCCTTGCCCTCGTCATGAAGTCCCATGACAACGCTTCGCGCCCCTTCTTTCTTTGTGCCGTAGATTCCCGCGATAGGCGGCGCATGCGCCCCGTCGTGCATCATTTCAGCGCGGAAGCACCAGGTCTGGCCGTTCATGAGATGGCCGTGGCCGAAAAAGTCGGCACTGCGCTTCCATGGCCAGTCGGGGTCTGGAAACAGCAGGCCATTGAGTCCATGTAGGCGGAGCCCGCGACGGGCGAGGACGCCTAGATCACCGAACTCCCATTTTTGACACAGGTAAGTAAGGTCTTCAATGATGTGCTCTGGGACAGCTTTCGTCCGCCAGAGCGCCGCATTGTCGTCCGAAAGGAATTTCTTCAAATGGTCAAGCACTCGAGATTCGTCGAGAATCTCCTGGGTCATGGAGTGGTTTGACATCAACCTGGTCCACTCTTGGATCTTTGCGAAGATGTGCCGAATACCCATTGACATCCGCTTCCGTGTATGAACCTGGTCCAACAGCCTGACGATCGGTACCACCTCTTGCAGTGTGATAAAGGGCTCCTGTTCAACGGGATGATTTGGAGGCAGTCTGACCAAGCTTTCTGTTAGTATAGAAAGTGCATCCCTCGGAAATATTGGTATTGACTTACTTTTCGGCGCACGTTTGTAACTGGGTCCATTGCCATTCTTTGAACTCGAGTACTAGTGTGCGGCAATCCACTTGGTCGTCACGCTTGTTGGGACAATCAAAGCCTATGGGACAAATGCAAATTGGGCGAGGTCCACCTGCCCTATCTGAGGCTGACGGATTTGGACATGTTGGAGGAGAATTGCGCTGCCGAAACCCATGTCTTTCTCTCTTTATCGTTGGGTGTGGTTGTTCATCGGTTGGTGCATTTGGTCCCGAGCTTTCGTCGGGATCTTGTGGTATGTCTCTTTCGAGCTTTGCAGTCTCCTCTTGTTTGATGCGAGGTCCCGGTGATCCCCTCAGAGATTTGCTTCTTTCGAACCGGCGTCCACCTCTTGTATAGATACGGTCCAGGCCAATGTACTCAGCTTCTTGCTGGCTGCTGTTGTCGCTTAGAACTTCCTGCCTCGTAACCTCGTTAAGAAGTTCGCGCCGCCTGCGAGCAAATCCTTCAGCAAGAAACTGCATCGGATTGTGATATTCGAGCGCAAACCCTGTGAGAACCCCACGAATAGTGTTAGTGGTTTGCTCGCTCCGTAAAGGATTCTCCCGGCGCTGTCGGCTAACGGGTTGGCTGTCTTCTCTTGTTCCTCGCTGTTCCGAGTTACGCTGGGTTTCTCCGCAGCTCGAAACACGTTGCTGAGCATAACGACCATAAGATCGAGGTCCATTGGATACCGAGCCAACACCAAGCACAGCCGTTATTAGCTTATCCGGGAGCTGATGACGGTCAGGACTCCGACTGGGAAAGCGCATCTTGGACAATAAGAGGGGTAGATGAATGCGATGGCGAGGTCTAGGCTCAATTGAGGCAATAAAGAGTGCGATCAAATGAAAATCTCAGACATCCACAACGGTATGAATGAGGAGATGCTAAATCGAGAATGAGCAAAAGAGATGAGTTCAACAACGGAATGAGCTAATGAAATGCGAATGTGAATATGCGATGAGTTTCCTGAAAATTGCAGCTGAAGCTGGTAACGGCGAGTGAATTGTCAAAGCTGAGGGTTGACGGATGCACCGATATGCCTGTCAGACGGGCTCCGGGATGAATCCTTTAAACCAAAAGAGCGACTCAAAACCTTCAGAACTCGAAAGAGATATAAGACGCTGCTAGAGATGCGGGAGAACGAATATGTGTCGGAGCAAAAGATGAATTGGGTGGAAGGGGTATTACCGGTGGGAGGTAAACATGAATTGAGTGGAATGGTCCAATGGATATTGATGGCGGGGGCGAACGAAATACACAACGATGAGGGTGAGAGATGATGAATAGAGTGAAGAGAGATGGAATAAGTGAAGATGAGAGAAAGCATATAAGTAGAGCGAAGAGATAAATGGAGTTGAGGGGATTGGAGGGAGGAGGGGAGTAGATTGAAGGAAGCAAAGTGAATTTAGGGGGACGGCATCGTGAGAAAGGCCACCACGAAGTAGAATACAAGTACGCAGCAGGGAAAAGGGGACTCATCATTAGCCCTCGAGGTTGAGAGATGGCCACTGTTGCTGTTCGCTGTAGTTGGGGCAACTCCACGAGGCAAACAGCAGCTGGTTGTGTTCTCATGAAAAGCATCGAGTCAAAGGATGGAGGCAATGGGTATTCCAGCCACTGATCGATCATGCCGCCGCGTTGATCTTCAAAACCACGCTGGGGACTGGATATGGGCCCCAGCACAAGCCAACACAAGGCTGGTGAGGCTGAGCATCATGGATGAGATATGCCCCTGTTCGGTCTAGTGCCTTGGCAGGTCGAGCTTGGTGAAAACGTCACGGTCCGGACTTGTTCACAATTTTGACTTGCAATTGCTGAATCACAAAGCATTCGTATCAATGAGATGTGCTCGAGCATGGCGGCCGCTCCTCCTTTCGAAAGGACTTCCGATCCGTCATACCGGCATTCAGTTCAAGAGATGGCACGTCCCAAACCCCAACCACCACTCGCCGTTGATCACGACACGTTATTTTGGTGTTGAATCAGTACCGGCTTTTCTCCTGCCGCCTGTAGTATTCGGGGGATTGCTGGTCACTTTATGGACGTACAAGTGCTTGATGATGATTGTCTTCCAGAACAAAATCATCTATATGCCGTCAGTCCCGCCGTTCTCCAGGTCCGAAAAAGTCGGCGATTATGCGTTGCAGTGCAAGCCTGTGTCATGGGTAGAACATGATCTCAAGGCGGCAGATGGAACTGCAATAAAGATTTTGGAAGGATCAATTGCAACCTCTGCCGAGTCCGAAGTGAATGGCCATCTTGTTGTTCTGTATTTCCAGGGGTAAGTGGCTCCTCATGACTTTTCGGCTGCTCTAAAATTGTATCAGGAACGCCTCGTCATTACCACCTCGGCTTCCTTACCTTTCAAGCGTCTTGAAAAGCTTGTCACAACAGCAAAACAGAGGAAGGTACACCATTGTGGCTTTGTCTTATCGTGGTTTCTGGAAATCAAAGGGTAGTCCTTCCCAGTCTGGGATTGAGCTGGACGCCGAAGCGGCCTTGGAGTGGACTCAAAGTCGCTACAACCACGATGGAACTAGATTTGTGGTATGGGGGCAGTCCATTGGTGCAGGGATTGCCACCGTAAGCCTTGCGAATCTATCGAGACACGGCAACGCAAATCTCCAACGATTTTCAGGGCTCCTCCTGGAGACCCCGTTTGTGGATTTGAGGGCCATACTTTTGGCTCTTTATCCACAAAAATTTCTCCCTTATCGATATCTGGCGCCATTTCTGCAGTCGACATGGGATAGCAAGACTGCGCTTCATCAGATCGGAAAGAGTCGACCAAATCTGAGGGTGCTGATCTTGGAGGCAGGAAATGACGAAATTGTACCTCCAGGCCAGGCGCCGGCCTTGGAACAGGTCTGCAAAGACGAAAATTTGGAGGTGGATCGAAAGACTGTTGCCGGAGCCTTGCACACCGAGGTCATGATCAAGGCCCCAGGTCGCGGCCACATCGTGAGGTTCCTTCAATCTTTCTAAGTAGGTAATAGATTGACAGCACACTCTCTACCCTGTGCTTGGCTGGGAGTGTGGAAAAACGAAGCACACCTGGTATAAACGGGGCTCATCTTCTGCACGGCCTTTTTGTTCAGCGGCAGGGTCCCCGGCCAGGAGGGAATCCAACCAGCCCGAGATGTTGTGCATCACGGCTCGTCTCTGGTTGTCATCACTGCTTCGTGCATCCCATCGAGGATCCAGGAGTGCATCATTTTCACCGCCCTTCTCAAGAACATAGATTTGTATTCCAGGCAATCTGGTCTCACCTAAGACCCGCTCCAGCCCATGCATGCGTGTCACCTCCCAGGGCGATCGATTATAAGCACTGTACACATAAATCGTTCGTAACAAAGACAGACTAGTGGCAGCTGCACGCAAATCGAAGGTGGCATTGCTATCCGCTCTCGCCCTTCGTAATCTCGTCATCAGGCGCCGAGACAAATGAATCATCTGCACGGCCGTGTTATCGACAAGCCAGCGGAGGAGAGCCTCATATGCCTCGGCCGAGATGGCATCATGCTGTCCGCTGTAAATCCGGGCTGTTGTTATCCGCTGCAGATGGCGCCGCGGGCAAGAGGAAAACTTGACATCCAACCCAAAGGCTAGGTTAAGCTTGGGTCCGTTGCCGGTCAGAGAATCAAATAAATAGGAAGCTGGGCGCAAGGGGGCGACGTTGAGCACAGCCCGAGAATAGAATGCCGCCGCAGCTTCTTCAGAGACGGCTTTGTTGACGAAGAAAAGACTGGGGATGCCGGCCGGTTTCTCAGCGTCTGGCCAACCAGGGTCATAGAAATCCTGGACTTTCAGCTGCTGTACGGGCAGACTGAAGTCGTAGATATTCTGGCGAAGCTCCGGGGGGAGATTGAGAAAGCTGGTCATGTTGTAGGACTATCAGTGCGTTTGGCGAGGTGATAGTGAGGTGAGAGGATTGGGGTGATGCTCGATATCCCTACCAAGAATGGAGCGATCAGTGCAGGTGGCTGTGAGGACGACCAGGTCGACGTGCTTGTGCTTTGGCGCCATCGGCTCCAATGATCCCAAGTATCAATTTCAACAGCGGAGCATAAGAACCCATCCAGTATTATCACGAGAATCGGCTCTTAGTTGATCCGCAGCCTTGTTCAGCCTCGCCTGAACCTCATTAGCTTTGCTCTGACTCTATGGTGACCTTTCTGGCTCTCTATCTTATTGCTGAGAGTGATGCGTATTATTATCCAGGATGCCCTATATCTTATTATATCGAGAGTGATGCGTACTGTTCGCCAAGATGCGCTCTATTTCCCACAACACACACCCTTCCATCGACGCTTACAATTATCCAGCCAAGGGAGGTAACGGACATTGGCCGGCCGGGTAGACAATATAGTTATCCTCCATGCCAAACGCCAGATGATTGTCCACGTGGCAGATCAATTGCCACTGGCCTTCGGCGGTCATGTTGGAATGCAACGTTTTCATCTCGCCGTCATTGATGCCTGGATTCTAGAATTAGAGAGGCCATGATGGACGTAACGAGGACTCGAGGGGAGGTGGGGAAAACGCCTCGAGTGACTTACTGATTGCGGCATAATTATTCCCATTGAGCACGAACCCATTACCATGCATGTGAAATACATGGGGATTCGAGCCAAATGCTGAGACGTACCAGATGGTCGGATCGTTGACGCAGACTTCAAAGGGAGCATTGTTCGCGTAGACATATCCATTGAGAGTGGAAAAAGTCGGGGCCTGCGTTGCGCTCAGTTGACCAGACGACATCAAGTTAACCTGTTGTGGATGCCAGATTGAGAAGTTTCCGTATCCACGGTTGAGTTGTGGGGCCGGCAAGGATAAATCGGTGCCAGAGTCTGATATGTTGGTCCCTGTCAGAAGCTCCAGGTTCGTTTGCGACATGAAAGAATCCGATTCGTCATATTGCATGTATACTAGGACGAATTCGCGGTATCGCGCCATAGTGTCGTTCATCATGCCTGGAGCATAGACGATGGTCGATCCGATCAGACCTGCGTTGTGGTCCTCTTGCATGCTCACGTACGAGTGATACGCCCACATGTGAGAGACTTGTCCTTGGGTTGGCGCCGATCCCTCATTCACCACCCATTTGTAGACGAAGCATTCTCCGGGCGCAACAGCATCGCCAGGCAAGAAAATGCTTTCTTGTCCCGGACTTGGGCTGTCAGCGTACAGACTTCCATCGTTCTCTTTATTGTACGAAAGGCCCATGGAGTGCATGGTGGCGTAGTTGTTTGAGAGGCGGTTTAGGAATAGGATCTCGATCATGTCTCCGACCTCGGCCCTGAGCGTCGGGCCATTGATACCTTGCCATGCAGGCTGAGGCGAAAGTTTGGTGAAGGTAGCGTCGGTATATCCACGGTAGAGTGCTTTTTGCCATGTTAGGCCCAGAGAACCTGGAGCTGTGTAGCCCGTCGAATTTGCTCGTGGAGAGTCCTGTATGGGAACTCCAAGCCAATTGTCCCAGCCGGATGGGACGTAATTCCAACTGACTTCCTCAGCGGCGATGTAGTATCGGCGGATCTGACCACTGAAATGAAAATCCGAAGAGATGGGACTGGGCAGAACACCATTCATGGAGGCCGTGCAAGTAGAAAGTGCTGTACTATTCTGTATCACTGGCGCAGCCACAGCCATTGAAGTCAAGAGAAGGAGGGTAAGACTCTGGTTGATTGTTGCTTTAGCCATCTTGATAGGAGTACCTGTTGACGGTTTTCGGCTCAAACACTGACGGTTTTGAGGGCATCATCGCACCTTTATATCCGCATGGGCGACCCGCTGCATGCCAGCGAGTTCGCCGCAAAGCTAGACAATCGCTGACACCTTGAGAGCATTCGCCATGCATGACTCAAAATGGAGTTCCACGGCACAAGAAGTGAGACGTGACATTCTCCTTCGGCGTCAAGGATCAGCAAAGCTGTATCGGAGCAAGGTCATTCGTCCGTAACAAACCAACATATTGCCACATTCTGGATGTGAGCACTATATCCGGCAATGGGTCCGACGGATGGGTGACAACCAGATAGCCATTTCCATTCTGTCTTTCAGGAAAGCTCTGCGTCGGAGCTCCTACCTGGCGCGTGCTTGGACCGCACACACATAACTAATCGTATACTACCCAAGTATAGTGGAAATCTGCAATAGCGAACCTAAAGCACATAGGATACGAATGCTGTAAGGTTCAAGACATCTCGCCTACCTGATGCGCCCTTTGACTGAAGGAAATAGCCTCGTGTGCCTATGCAGTGGAGCGCGATTGACCTGATCCATGACTCGGTATGGTCGTATAAGCGACTCCTGCGCAGCACGACGGGTCGGTCCCACGGTTGAAAAGTATTGGGCCCTCCGAGGACGTCGACTGTAGCATCTGACATCGGCGTTGAGATCTCAGATGGGGTCGCGCACAAACTCCATGCGTCGTCTGTCGAATAGAAGCCATCGTTCCATCTAGCCTTGTGCAGCTGTTTGTCAGCATTGAGAGCTGCCAGATCTCTAGTGTCGTCACTTGTGAGACAACGACATCACCTCTGCACGTCAGTCGATAACAGATGACGGTCTTTCCGGATCCCCCTTAATCCGACAGGCGTGGTATGAGACCGAGCAACATTTTCATGGGTATAGCTGACGCGCAACACACATTGCCGTATTTAGCAGAACAGTGACATACAAGCATAAGACTTGATGTTGAAGTCCACTTCACGGGTTGCCTGATGAGTAATAAGGCGCACACCATTGGTGGATGGGACGGCAACGTGTAAAACAATCAGGCGGGTTCCAGACTTCCAGACTGCAAACATCGGACCTAAAGGCTGCTTGTTAGAACACAACTCACAGCATCGGGTTTGGATGAAGTTTCCGTGGTTAAGTTGTCTTGTGGTGTCTTCCGGCGGATCGGGGGCATATACCGTCCTAGGTTACGGCAGCAGTGTCAGCCCTACATCATCCTCACCACCAATGCTCCAACACCATCGAGAATTTGGGTCCTTCGAGATCCTCCGCTTCAGCACTTGCTCTGATTATGTGTCATTGTTGGAGACGGATTAACCCCGAGGCTGGCCAATATTCTGGAAACATTCAGGCGATTGAACCGTGAGACGAATTGTCAATACGCCATCACTGACCTCACAGCTTTGCGGCCTACCGGATTCAACGAGAAAGAGGAAAGAAATACGCATATCTCGCATTTCAAACCCTTCGCTAATTTTAGGATCTTCTTATAGAAACCTGGGCTGTAATTAGTGAACCACTGTTTCTTCCCTGAGCTCTGTAGGCCGATCATGGTGCAAGCGCTCGAGCTTAACTTTGGGTCAAAGAAAGGTCGAGAGCAACAGAGAAGTTCTCATGAATCTTGACCAAACAGAGGACTATTCGGCTGTGCCGCAGGTGAAGCTCATAACCACAACATCTGTCGATCAGGGAACGAAGAGAGAACACCTCTTAACGAAGGACGAATATTCACACAGTAAGGGCTCTGCAGGACGAAGCGATAGAAACGAGAGAAAGTATCCATACCGGACGAGTGATCTGAGCCGTTGGGGCAGAGTGGTATTGAGATTGCCGCTTCATCGCGATTTGCGCGGATGAGAGACGCAAGTCATCGAGACGGGTTTGCTCGGCTGCTTCCTGCTGGGGTACTGAGAAGCGGAAAACCTGGTCGTGGGCTGTATATATGGTGGCTCCTGATAAGGCCAGAGTGTGTAGGTCCAGGGCGGTCGATTTTCCGCTCCCGCTCAGTTCATTGACACTCGAAGTTGAAGAGTGAAAAGAAGGGTGTTGCCTCTACAGGCTTATGGCCTCAAGCGGAAGCCTGGGGTTCGTCCTTTGACCGTGCAGACTGTTGCAACCACGCCGATTGATGATTTATTTATGCATGTACTCTGGAAATTCAACGGCGTTTGTAGCTGGCCAAGGTCTGATGTTCACAGCGGCTCTTTGTGATCATTTTCAATGGATTCGGATGTCTTGTTCCTTGAAGCTCCAGTTATCGTCAACCTCCGACTACAGTGAGTCCCTAGTCGTTATGCGAGAAGCTAGGGTTCCATGGTCGAAGGCTGTGCCTCTGTTTCCTCAAATCGGCCAATTCCTTTGGTTGTGCCACCGATGCAAGTAACCAGCTTCGGGCTCGTGCCGCTTCCGCAATAGTGCTACCTTAGTGGAAAGGCAATGGGATGACGCCCTCTCAGGCATAGCAGCTTAATCAAATGAAAGCGCTTCGACTCATAATCAGGCGTCAGTCATAAAGAGAAGCGTCAAGCTGGCCCACTATTCGCGAGACTGGTGAGCTCTCAATTTCTTGCATGGGACCAGAGGAGCCCAAACACACAAATGCGGACATCTTGGAACTCCGTGTTGATCAATGATGAAGGACGGAGACGTCCCTCTGATCAGATCGGCGGCACAGTGGCGCTGGCATGTGTCATTTCTCGCAGACTAGCCAAAGGGAGCGCTGTGTGCCTTGGGCATCAAGTGCGCTCTGCCTGGTAGTTTTAGCCCCTCGTATTGCAAGTGCTCATGGGCACAAGGCCGCATCGAGGGAGAGTCCAGTGCAACAGGGCAAAACAGGGTCATAGGACGTTGGTAGATCTGGAGGGTCTGAGCCTAAGCCTCGCGGCTAAGCACCCGCACTTGCCCGCAGCACCAGCGGCACTGCAATGGGAATGGAATCAGGCACCAATTGGAGGGATACCTGTGAGCCCAGGCAAAATGGGGAGAATTGGTCAAGAGTTGATCCAATGTGAAGGCAGCAAAGGGCCAAACACGAAGGAATAAGTGGGAAGCCCACCAGTCAGATGGACGTTGGGGGGAGGGGGCCAAATGCCTGGAAGGCAGCAGATCAATCATCTGCACGATGACATGACTTGGAGGTGGGAGGAGGTGGGAGGAAGTGGGCGGGAGAGACTGAAGCGAATACAGTACCCAGTAGACGGAGACAGGTTCTGGCAAGCTGGCGCCGATGGGAACAATCCATCTGTTGAACTGTTTGGTGACCAGTCATACCAAGAAATCCGGAAGCTTGAAGGCTACGACAATGTCGCGGGGATGACCATTCAAACCCCATTGTGGCAGTGGCACAAGTCAAGTCAAGCGGTGAACAAACCCAACAACCCGGGAGCTTGCATGAATTCTCCCACGATCCTCTCTCTATTGAATCAAATCCACATCCATTCACACAGCTCTTGGGAATCCCTTCACTGACCACCAACTCCTCCTGCCGCGCTCAAATCACTCCATCTCCTCTTCTTCAGCCAGATTGACTCGAACCTCTGCCATTTGATCCATCGCGACCGCACCCCGAACCCTACCATCCACACAGCCTCGTCCTCTTTGCCGCTCCTACGTCCCTACCTATACGCCGAGCTCTCAGTATTGTTCTCACAATTGTGTGAGTGGGCGGCCTGACCATGAGAGCGTCTTCACCGGGAATATCAAACAAGAAGATCCTTGCTGTGGTGGTCCGCAGCATCAACCACCCTTCATCACACTAATGGAACCTAACCAGACAGCGGGTTCCACTGCTGGGTTTTGGAGATATCTCATCAACCCAGACAAGAGCGCAACCCTCCAGTTTGAGCAGCTATGCCTGGGGATTGCCAAAGTCGTGGTGAGCCCCAGACAGTGGCTCGTCAAATTCAACCTGCTAATTGGGAGGACAGGCGACCCTCGAGCCGGGACCCGACAATGAACTCACCCCGTCACGTCTAGCCACCTTCTACAGAACCGTCGGCGGCAACTATGACTCGCTGTTCCTCAAATCCTCCGATCACGCCCTCTCCTTCATGTACCAGACCCTTGGGTGCTTTCACTCTCTGCAGCCGACTCCAAGTCCCTTTGAAACACCCCGAATCCCATGCCTGACGCCTACTGGCTTTGCTCGTTGGCAAACGATCCAGCTCCTTCTCTGTCCCGAGGAAAACGTCGCCTTCCTTCGGAAAGCGGTCCACCTGTGGAACATCCCGATGCCCAATGGCGGCACCTACCCAAAATACATCCCCAAGGAGGTTTTCCCAGATAGACCAGACGAAGAGATGGAGAGATGGCACAAGATGGTGACTGGCAAACTGAACCAGCAGAACTACAATTTGCGGCGCATCAAGAATTCCCCTTATCAATCCCCGCATCTTGAACCCTACGATCGACGAGAAGGCTATTTCTCCGGCGCCCACACAGGACGCCCGACAAGGCCTTCGCGCAGCAGCTCTCGCGACGATCAAGATCTTCTGGGTGATGTCTATTGCAGACGGAGCAGTGTGCCAGATTTCCCTTCACCGTCGGGGGAGAGAGGGGATCCGCGAAGTCAGCACGAGGCAAGAAAGACCCGGAGCCACTCTGCTCAAAGATCATCGCCAAAAGCTTCACCGCGCCAGCGGTCGCATACGACCGCCGCCCCTCCTGGCCACCATAAGACCTCATCAAATAGCCCCTCAAATCGGAGACAGGGGACTGCCCCGACCGAGCAGCCCGGACGACGGCCATCGTCCGGTTACAACAACATGCATTACCGCTCTCCCGCACGCACTCCCTCAACTGTGGACGAAGACACAGGCAGCGAAGCAAGTTCAGAGACCTCGCAGATGGGTCGGCATCATCGTAGATCCGACGAAGATCGGAAGAGTCGTCGCTCCTCCTTATGGGTGCCCTCCTTCATGAGATCGTCACACAAACGCCGTCATTCATCAGATGCAGGTTACCGCGCACCTGGCCCTGGATCCAAACATTCACAACCATCCCGGCCGGAGTACTACCCACCTCGTGCAATCAAGCCCCCGCCTCCGCCATCTCAACAGCCTTATGGCGGAGGCCGCCCACCGCAATGGCGGGAGACCCTCTGGGATGAGGTGCCCAGCTCCACTCCTGCGACACCCATCCCAGAAAATGCACAGGCGCAGTTTGACCCACGAGCGCCATCAATTCGTTACCCGGACCAGGCGAGCTTCGAACCACTGACGCGAGAGAGTAGCAGTGGAAGTGATAATAGACATCGCTCCTCCGACTGGGAGCGAGGAAATGGACAGAGACGACCTGTGCAACCGGCTCCAAGGATCGCCACTGTAACGGGCGTGCAAGGGCGAAAATACCCGACCGCTGACCCGATGAGCCCCGTTGAGCGCCAACGGAGTCAAACTGCTCGTGGCAACTTCACAGCCATGGTTTGAGACCTTGACCGGATGGCTCTAAACCGGCCGCAAATACCATGACATGACGAACACGAACGACTGCTCGGATTGACGAGGACAAGATGGCATACGAATCATGAGACGAAGACGGGGTGGTAACCAACGGATAGACTCTAGCCTGCTGAATGCGGGCGTTTTTGGGTGGGTGACGATTCTGTTTCGCGAACAATGAGCATGCAAACATCTCTTTTCACTTGACTATCCGCCTGCAAAGGCGGTTACGCGCCCGCAAATGGGGCGGGGCTGGCGCTATTGCAGAGTCTACGGATTGCCGTAATTCTTTGCTTTGGATATATGGTCTGTTTTTACTGAGACCTGGATAGCTTCGCAGCTGGACATGGTTAGCTTGCCCATAGCTAGAATAGCTGAAAACCAATCAGCAGTCAATCCAAGACAGACGATCCTAGACCGTGTCCCCAAAGCCATGTTCATATGAGTCCCAATCACATTTCGCTTGTGAGATACCTCCTCGCCCGGACTGTGCATGCAAATGTACTTGTCTTCGCAAAATATGGCGCCCTCAGTCCGGCATTGAACCTGCGCAGGCCCTACCAGGCCAACAACCCCGCCCCGCCCTCCCTTGGGGAGAAGGGCCTTCGAAGTTGGGAACCATAGGACACCGCACGAAGTGTTGGTTAGTTATCGGTTATGATATCAGTTATTATTAATATGTTGGTGAAAGTTGATATGTGCTTAAGTTGGGCTTCTTCGAGACAGAAAAAGAAAGGGGGGGGGGGGGGGGGGGCTGAGGAGCTCGAGCACAGTGCTTCACTCGACCTCTACGCAAATAGACACTCGTGAGCAATGAATGAATGGGCTGTTACGCGGGCTACCGAGTACTAGATGGTCGAACTGGGTTTCTTCTCGTGATGGCTTTGGCGCAGGCAGGCAAGCAAGCGAGCACCCGAGCGTCCCAGCGTCTCGGCGCTCAACAATGCTGAGACTCATTCACAGCCATCCCTAACTACATACCCATAGCTAATTCGGCCCTTTTCCTCCGTTCGTTGCCCTCTTCTCTTCTCCCCCCGCCCCCCCTTCTCTTTTAAAGCGGACAGTTCAGGGTAGTACATACAAATATTATGCTCCAGACGTACCAATCAGTAAACAAAGTACGTTTGGCCCAAGGGCACCACCTCAGCAGGGGCGGCGGTGCAGAGCATGCCGTCAGCCTCGACCCTGTACGACTCGGGGTCGACCTTCATCTTGGGCATGGCGTCGTTGAACTTCATGTCCTTCTTGCTGACGGTGCGGCAGCCCCTCACGGCCTCGACGCGCTTGGACAGGTTGTACGAGGCCACGACCCCCGAGGCCAGCGAGTGCTGTGACACGAATGTGATGCTCCTAGAAGGCACGTGCGCGGCGAACATGGGCCGCATGATCACCGGTTGCACAGTGGGGATGGAAGCGTTGGGATCGCCCTGTTTGTGAGAATTGGCGTTAGCTTGGTGGACGAGGCTGAGGCCAGCAAAAAATAGGGGTGTGAGGCGAAAAGGAGGGGACATTACCATTTGCGCATAACTTATCATGCCTCCTTTAACCACCAAACTGGGCTTCGTGCCAAACATGCTCGGCTTCCAGAGTACCAAGTCTGCCACTTTCCCCACCTCGACACTGCCCAATAAGTGGCTCATCCCCTGCGCGATCGCCGGATTGATCGTATACTTGCTCAGGTACCTCTTGACCCGGAAGTTGTCCGCATCCGTGCCCTCGTCTTCTTTCAGCGTTCCACGCTGCTGTTTATTCTTGTTCGCCGTGTTCCACGTGCGAAGGATCACTTCGCCGCAGCGGCCCATCGCCTGCGAATCGGAGGACATCATAGAAATCGCGCCGAGGTCGTGGAGCACATCTTCAGCCGCGATGGTCTCTGCGCGAATGCGGGATTCGGCGAAGGCGACATCTTCCGGGATGTTCTTGGAGAGGTGGTGACAGACCATCAGCATGTCGAGGTGCTCGTCCAGCGTATTCCTCGTGTACGGTCTTGTGGGGTTGGTCGACGAAGGGAGAACATTGGGATGTTCAACAACGGAGATGATATCGGGTGCGTGTCCGCCGCCGGCACCCTCGGTGTGGTATGTGTGAATGGTTCGACCCTTGAAAGCAGCGACAGAGGATTCCACGAAGCCAGACTCGTTGAGCGTGTCGGTGTGAATGAGACATTGGACGTCGTATTCATCGCACACAGATAAACAGGTATCAATCGCGGCGGGAGTCGTGCCCCAGTCTTCATGTAATTTGAGACCGCAAGCACCGGCTTCGCATTGCTCACGGAGGGCAACAGGGGAGCTGTCGTTTCCTTTACCCGTGATACCGTAGTTGATGGGAAGTGAGTCGACCGCTTGAAGCATCTGTTTCATGTGCCATTTTCCGGGCGTGCAGGTCGTCGCGTTGGTACCTGTACTGGGGCCGGTGCCACCTCCTAGGTAGGTGGTTATGCCGGCTGCGACGGATTCATATACCTGTTGAGGACAGATCAAGTGAATATGGGAGTCGATACCTCCTGCAGTGAGGATGCTGTGTTCGCCCGCAATGGTATCAGTGCCATTGCCCACAACCATGTTGGGATGGACACCGTTCATGACGTCCGGGTTGCCAGCCTTGCCGATGCCCACAATGATGCCGTCCTTGATTCCAACATCGGCCTTGTATATGCCAGACCAGTCGACGATGAGGGCGTTAGTGATGACCGTGTCGAGCACATCGGCATCTTTCCGATCGGATGCTTGCCCCATCCCCTCTCGAAGAGTTTTGCCGCCACCAAACTTGCATTCGTCACCGTAGACCGTCATGTCCTTTTCGACCTTGATCCAGAGATCTGTCATTCCCAATCGGACAAGGTCACCAGTTGTGGGACCGAACATGCCGGCATAGTCTGCACGGGTCATGGAGGCCACGTCTATATGGGCCAAGTCGCCAGCAGGTTCAGGTGCGTGGGCAAATCCGGCTTGTTGAAGCTTCTGTACGATTTCTTCTACACGAGATACATCAACGGCACCAGAAGCGAGATTGTTTCCGCCATGTATCGCTTTGTTGCCTGCAATCTCGACCAGCGTGACTGTTTTGGCGTCTCCGGGCTCGAAACGGACCGAAGTACCCGCTGGAATGTCTAGACGGAAACCATAGGCTCTGCCTCTGTCGAACTCTAGTTGTGGATTTGTTTCAATAAAATGATAATGAGACCCGATCTGCGGAGTGAGATGGTCAGCCTTGGAGATATCCTGAGCAGAGCTGGGGCTAGTCAATACCTGTATTGGTCTGTCACCCTTGCTAGTGATCTTCAATCGAATTCTCTTCCGTCCTTCGTTCAACGTAATCCTACCTTCTTTGACAGGGATGACGGCACCGGGCATTTTCTTGTTGTCATACTCACTTGCCTCTGGTAGTGGGAATGCATCTTTCGACGGCACAGGAAGGAAACTTCCATAAAGCGCCTTTTCAAGGTCTCCATCGTCGGAACTGATCGGGTGGTGGACAGTGACCAGATATGTGCCAGTCTTGAAGGTACCCTCGACTTGCAACTCGGTCAAGGTTGAGACAACAGAAGGCAGAACATGTCGTCGACCGAGCATGGTCTTGCCGATGGACATCAGGTCGGCAACTGTGTGGTTTCCATCGCGAATCAGCTAGAGTAGTCGGTCATTAGGGTATATCACCACGGTTCTTGAGCTCTTGATGATACCTCGTGTAAATTGCTGGCAATCAGAGCCTGCAGCACAGATCAGTCCATATTCCTGAGGTTGTCTTCCAGCGAGTCACTCACGCAAGCCTCTGAATGGTTCAGTTTGACCCCTCTGGCGAGTCTCCTTTGGGCCAGGAAGCCCAGCTGAGATATAACGAGCTTATCCAGCTGTCCCAGGAATAGACGAAATCAGTGCCAGGCTTTCTCAGGCGATGGTCGCCCACGGAAAATTGACATTCATACCTCTTTCGGAACGAGCTGCATCGTGGACACCGATCCGTCCTCGAGGCGGGTGCAAGCTAGGACTTCAGCTTTTGAAGAAATTCGACACTGTCCCATCGAGAAGGCGATGATATTTATCTATGTCCGTTCGTCCTATCATGGTCGAGGGGTGATGCGGGGCAAAGGAAGAGCTCGAAGTGGCATGAGGCAGGTTCCATCTGGATAAGCAGTGAACCCCGGTCCATACCGTCGAGCTCTTCGAGTGGTTCTTTTGCAGGCCTTAACGGTGGCAAGCTTTCTAACCACATGCATTGGGGCATCAGTGCGGAGAAGGAACCGAGACAGGAACTTTGTTTTGGCCTGGTGCGTCATTCAGAGAAGGGCTGCGACGAGGTATCAGGAGGGGCAGGCAGGGCAAGGCATGGATGGAGCAACTTCAGAAAATATTTCAGCATTTGACGGCATTGAATCGACTAGTTACTCGGCCCTTTGCATAGCGCTCGAAACTGTTTCAGCACAGCGCCGACCAGGGACCGCCTTTCATTATGAACATTCCATGACAGCAGAACTCATGACAGCGAGAGTTGAGTCCCTAAATTCCAAAATTCCCAGACCGAAACGAAAGCCGTAGCGAATGATCATATCCACACAACCCCCGCAGAACCCTGTTTCCTCGGTGCGCTTACTTCTTCGACTTTTTGGACTTCTCGGGCTTGGTTGACGCAGGGGCAGCGGCCTCCCTCCGGCTCTTCTTCGACTTCCTATCCTTCTCTGGAGACTTGGCCTCGGCCTTGGGGGTTGCTTTGCTAGGAGTAGGTTCGGCATCTTTGGTCTTACGTCTCTTAGACTTGGGAGGGGTGGGCTCCGGAGCTGGAACTTCTTCCTCTTCTTCCTCTTCCTCCTCCTCGACAGGCTCTTCTTCCGTTTCTGCTTCAGCATCCATACCGGCGATGTGCTCAGGAGCTTTGCCCATCTCCACCAGGCGCGCTGCAGTTTCGTCGTCAGGGACGGGTTGACCAGCTTTGTAGGCTGCCATCTTGACGCGGTATGCGGCCAAGTTCTTCTGATATTTGTCATCCCATATCTGCGCGGGTGGTCAGTCGATGCCAGCAGCAAGAAACAATCAGCTGAATACGTACGCTCTTCTCGGCAGGGCTCATCTCAGTCCACCGGCGGGTTCCCTCATCTGCAACCTCCTTTGGCTTAGCTGAGTCGCCCAATTCCTTCGCAATAGTGGCGCGAGCACTTTGCATGTAGAGAAAGTACGGGGTGAGAGCGCGCTTCGGGGCGTTGGGATCATGAGGTGTCCTCTTGCGCTTCTTCTTCCCATCTAGTTCTGGTTCGGGTGCAGCCGCTGGAGCAGCATCGGCAGGCCGAGCACTCAAAAGACCAGATTCGGTAAGTATGCTGGTGAGGTTGGCGTCAATGGGGTTCAGGCCATGTTTGCCAGGCGTCAGGACCGTGTTGGCATGTTGAATGTAGGCGCGCGAAAGGTCTTGAACCGAGGATTGCAGTGTTGCAAGAGCAACAATGACCTGGGGGTATGTGTGAGTAAATGGTATGGGATCATTGCGCACTTCGCGGATCGACTCGCCGAGGACCGCCAAATCTTCAGTGAGAACCTCAACGCATCTGATGGATGCACGGTTCAACAGATGCCCAAACTCAATGCGCTCAGCATTGATGTTGACTAGACCTGAGCTTGAAGGCATGGCAAAGGCAATGAAACATGAAGCATGGGAGATGTGCTACAAAGTTTGGAGATTGTGTGTGCGACGGTGAGGTGGGTGTACTTGGGGAGCAACAGCGAGGTGGGTGTTATGGTCGAATGCGAGTTGGGGCAAAGCCTCGTCGCGGGGTTGAGGGTTGGACGCGTGTTGTGGGTGGTGAGGCAGAGAGACAAAACAAGCGAATATACAGAAAAAACCACGCACGTACCGAATCCCGGGTTCGCTGAAAATCAGCAATATTGACCTGGGTCGTTGCAGACTCGGGGTCGTGTGTCTTTTTTGCCATGGCGTCTTGCACCCAAATAGCTGGAGACTTTGCTAAGGGTATGAGCAACCGACAATACAGGCGCCTATAAGCGACGGCGATGGGAGGTTGCAAGGCTGAGCTTTAACTAAAGGATGGGTGGCGGGACGTGAAGCCTGAAGCGTGAAGCCAGAAGCCAGTGTATGGGAGAAAGCGAGAGGTGCGAGAGCTGGGAGATGCAGAAAGGAAAGGAAAACGGGGGTAGGGCGAGGGCAGCTGGGGGGCGGGCCTGTTTAAGTGGGCGAGGAGGGTGCATGGGCTGCCGCTGGATCAACCCAGAGGAAGTGGAAGAGGGAAAAAAAAAACAGCAGCTGCGGGAGGATTGATCACGGCCACCTGGCAGCTCCCCCCCTCTTTTTTTTTTTAAGCCCCCCTCTCCTCCCTCCCTCTCCTTCTGCTCGGCCTCTAAGGATGCCGGGATGCTCTCTGTACAGTGCTTGTTTCGGTGTCCTGCGAGCTCCACTGTCGCGCCGCTAAGGGTGCCTTCCTAAGGTCTAATTGGCTCCTAATGGGACCTGCCTCGTTGAAGCTGCTGCACTGTGCCGGCTTTAAGCTTGTAGGCTTCAGTGTTATTCGCCCCCAGGTCCAGAGGGCAGCTTTTCCTGCTGCAACACCTGGGCTTGTTTCCCCCCCCCCCAACCCTGCTTGACCCTGCTTGACCCTGCTTCTCCTGCAAGCTAAAACAGCCTAGCCTAGGCTCACTTGCTGGACTTGTGCGCTGCATTTAGAACCCAGCCCTCGATTCACTGCCGAACAGAGAGGCGCCATTGCCCTGTCTGTGATCTGGGTATGCATGTTACGAAGCTTCTCTCAGAAACGACTCATCGGTCTGGGACGCTCTACAAGCAGTCCATTCCCCAAACCCTTGTGCTGCAGGCGCGCTGCCATCCCCTCTATCCGCCCATTTCGGCGCCAGTCTGACAGATGCAAATTGTTGCTTATGCTTTTCGCTTGCCTCACCGTCCGGTTTGCTCGGGACAGAGATTCTGCGAGGACAGCTTCTCAGACAGAACCCAGGCTCTCCTGTTGCTCAAAAAGAGACGGCCGTATGGAACCAAAAAGGCCACAGCGAGCGGCTGCACTGCTGTCGGGAGCACAATGACAGGCATTGGCACCAGAGAGTGGAGGGAAACTGGTAGGCAACACGCCACCGAGCAAGATGGATGGGTACCTCTGAAATGCCGCTGCAAAGCTTAAGCTGGCAAGCTCCGGGATCGCTGGAAGAGGGCATCACAGCAACTGCCAGTCAGACCACCCTGACCACCCTGCATGGCCTTGGACTCGCAATTCTGATCATCAGCACCCCACGGAGCTGCATAAGCGCTTCTGGGCGGCCGCCTACCTGGGAAATTTTCGAGCCTGTCTGACTGACCTGCTTCAGGGTGAAAGGCCCCGGGTTAGCGCCTAGTCGACTCTCTCAGTTTCAGTTGACAGCAATGCTGACCGTCACGAAGATTGTTGCTTTGGAACCCCCAAAGAATCAGCGCCCCTCCGACAAATCAGCGCCTGGCAGCGGTCGCCGTTCGCTGTCCCTTTTGGGCGTCCCAGGCACATCACTCTGTCAAACGACCCGCCAGAGCCGGATCATCGCTGGCGAAGCCCCGGTCATGCCTGTTGCGTCGTGGCTTCCACCATCCCGGAAGCTCGACCTCGGCAGCTCCCCCAGGCACTCTTGTCCTTCTACTTCCGGCTCACTAGGCCTCCGTGGCGTTGCCAGGTGGTTGTCTCCAATCTCCATCACACCCGAATGGCAAGGGCACTTTTGCATTCCCTCCAGTACCTCGCTCCCACGACCAGTCTGCGGGTTGACAGTTTGCGGAGGAGGCACTGGTGCCACTGCTCCGGGCACCTCATCACAGGCATGCTACCAAGTCCATTGTCCTCCGTACTGATAGCCAGAGCAAGGTATACAAATGGATAGGAGCCAAACCAGGCGACCTTAGACCTTGACCTAGTCTTTGCCCATAGCCGCCTGGACCTCGAGATCGTTAAACGCAGTCCGACTAAATTCTTTTCGTTCTCGAACGGCTTCCCTACACTGCTCTAACCTAGGCGCCAAAGTGCCTTTCTCCATGAAACAATCCCTTGCTCCAGAGCAAGCCTGTGTTTCCAATTGTGCCTGCATCAAAGCAACTACACGCGACGGTTCTGACTGAACAAGAAACTCTTCAGCTTAAACTCAATGGTCATTCAAAATAAAAACCTTAGGCTCGTATGAAGATAACATCAAGCCACAGAGTCACACGGGTTCTTCCCCCCCCGTGTTCATCATTTCTTAGGCCTGATAAGCTCCTTCCAGTTCCACCAGCAACGGTTTATATCATGTTCAATAAGATCCATGTGTATCACTCGATTCAATAATACGAACTCGTTAGTATGTATCAATGATACCGCAATCTTAGTAGACTGTTTGACAGACTCGTGCAGATATGTTCTTCGAGTACTCGGACTGTTACTCAACGAACTGGCGCGCCTGCTCTATGTCGGGGCTCGCACTCGACTGTCGAGAGAGCACTTGGGCGTTTTGGTAGAGACACACCCTCTCAAACTCCGCTGCGCTATTGGCATCATTGGCGGATTCAATTCAACGGCTACCAGACAAGGCTTGATCGCAACTAGCTTGGACCCCGCGCAAGGCTGAGCTTTCGGGCCTGCTCATTTGGGACAACAGCACTCAATCACTTCATGGCACTGATACTATCATTGCCACTTTTTATCTATACTCCGTAGGTTCATGCTAATACCTACTAGGACACGATCGCTTCATGAGTCGGTGACTGATTCAACTTCTGCCTTCACAGACGTGGGACTACACAATGACCAGTGACGATTTCAAAACAAACCGAGGCCTCAGAATTGTTCGTTTGGAAAACCTCTTCCTCGCCCCGAAAAAGAACCACTTGGGTGAGCGTGAGAAGAAAAGCGAAGTCGACCAACCTACACCCATCCGCCCTCACAGCGATCCAGCAATGATCTAGTAGACCGCGGTTAGAGGGGGAGGAGTAGGCGAGAAGGGGGAGAGATGAGGCGTGGACTTAGAGGGCCCAGTATATATATTCTCCCTACATGTACGAGGTATGCATAGGTCCATACTCCGTACTTATCGACGGCCCTGTGGACCTGGCTAACCAACTAAAACCAAGGACCTAAGCAAGTAGCTAGGTAAGTACCCACCTATGCCTACGAGACGCCGGGACAGCGTTGCTCTGGGGAGGCAAGCAGGAAAGTCCTCGTCCTACGGAGGATATTCATACCCAAATCAAGACTCTCACCTCTGCAGGCACGACGGCAACAGTAAATAAGGGTTGCACTTCGTCATGATAATCTCAAAAATTTCTTTATTGACAGTCTACTTGAGTTTTGCTTTTTTTTTCTCCATTGGTTTGTGCAGAGTTGGACTGACTGCTCTGGTTAAGCGAAGTCTCTTCTTAGTGGTCCTCTATATGTACAAGAGTTTAGGTGACTGTTGTACACTTTTTCCCGCGGCCTGTTTATTCTTTTTCCCGCCGTCAAGTTCTTCGACCATTCCTCTCCTCGTTTCGTCTCTAGTCGTTCCCCCAAGTCTAGAATTTGAACACCTGGTCCTTGGCGTAGCCCAACTCTTTCAGGATGCCGGTCAACTCGCCCTGGTCTTGGGGAGATGTTTTCGCACCACTGATCGCCTTGTACATACCCGGAGGTCCACATACAAAGATCTTGATGTTCTCGCTCTTCGGATCTGGAATGACCTCCTTCAACAACTCCTTGGTGATGAACCCTTTGCCGTACGGCCAGCTCTCAGGCGGGTTGTCCAAGGTATAGAAGCACCGGAACCGCTGAGGGAACTCGTTCTCCAGCTGCGACAGCTCCTGCTTGAGCAGGATATCCTCTTCCTTGATGTTTCCAAAGACGAGCGAGACTTTGGTCGTGTCGTCGGGGTTCTTGAAGATAGTGCGGATCAATTGGTACATTGGTGTTATACCCGTACCGCCGGCGATAAGCGTGATGTGCTCGTGTTTGTTTGGCGCCCAGGGGTACTTCGGGATGGGACCTTTGAAGGAGAGAGTTTCGCCTGGCTTCATGCTGTGGAGGTGTTCGGACATTGGCCCATTGGGATAGACCTTAACCAGCAGTTCAAGATAGCCTTTCACGTCTGTAGGAGCGTGTGAGTTGAGCGGAGACAGTTGGTGGGAACGGGATTGTTACCTTCATCATTGATGGGCGTGTATGGTCTAATGACCGGCTTTTCTTGGTCGGCTGGTTTGAATTTTGTGACGATGGCAGCTTCGAGACAATCAATGACCATGATCGACCGTGTACATTTCGACGTCATTCGACTTACAAGCAACGTTCAACCCGCTCACATGCTCCTTATCCGGAAGCTCAAACTGGAACCTTTTGGTATTGTGGTTATACGGGATGATCTCGGCGAGCTTCAAATCGATGAATCCCTGCTCGCCACCCGTAAAGGTCTTCCCAGGCGCGGGGCCCTGCTGGTCCGTCTTCTTCGCATCCTCGGAGGGCTTGGGAGCGTCGGTTTTGGTAGTCTTGCTGCTAGATCCTAGGTAGTTGTAGCCAATGATGCCTGCGCCGACTGCAGCGGCACCCACGATCCAAGGCGTCGACGAGGAGGACGGTTTTTGAGCTTCGGTTGCGTATGTGCGGAAGTTCTGTGTGTAGGGACGAAGTGTGAGTTCATTTGTAAGCTTGAAGATGAAGCACCATGTCCATTGAGGAAGTTGTGGATGTTGCCCACGAGGGAATGGACATGAAAAAGGTCACGTACCTGGCGAAGAGGCCCACAGGACCTCAAGACTGATCTGGCAAGCATGGTCGCGGAGACTTAGAAGTGAATGAGGCGATAAAAAGAAGCGGGAGAGAAAGATAGACAATGGTTTGTGAGACGTCGAGGGAAATCGAGATGGCGTCAACAATGGGGTTTCGAGCGCCGAGCTGGAGTGGTTCGCACGCGTAGCCAATTGACGTGCTTTCGGTCTTTACAGCATCCGAGTCTGTTAAGGCCGAGCCCAGGGCAGGCGTAGGGCAACACAGGGCAACACAGGGCTAGCTTGAAAATAAATAGTCCATACCCAGTATAGGGAGTACACATATATACTCCTACGTGCTCCTTATACCGCTTTACCAATTCCTCCGAGGGATAGAACTTGCAAGTTACAGCTCAATCTCCTCACTGTCGTGTCCAATGTGGCCGACGCTCCTCAAGGGCATCGCGTCCCAATCCGAGCTGTCATTGTGTACTAGGCACTTTATCGCAGCCTTGTACGCCCACAATCTCTCTTGCCTCCGTTTTAGCGTATCTTCTGCGTCGAGGGGCTGCCTTCCCAATATGTGCGCACCTTGGCCATCTCGCTGAGATCCCGCAACTCCCGAGGACTGCTCTTCGACATCTTCATCAGATAAGACCAACTGGTCCCCCGCTTGCCCATCAAACGCCGAAGGGGACAAGGACTCGCCGTCAGAATCGTCCACTCCCAAAGAATCCCCGTCGACGCTCCCCTCGCGCTGGTGGAATGCTGCATCGAGTTTGGGAAGACTGGTGGGGCTTAACTCACGTCGTTCGTCGTTGCAGCCCTCTTGATCTGGCGCGGCATCTCTGAGCTCAGCAGCCTTCTTGGGACATCGCAGAATCTCCCCGTTCTCGGCCACACTCACGCCGTCGTTATGGTTGGTAACCTGGGATTCCGTCTGCTGAGTATCGTCATCTCCTCGTTTCCTTTTACCGCCAGCAGCACTGCTAAGACTCTCCTCCTCTTTCAACTTTTCAACTAGTTCTCGAGTCTCTTGATCAAAGTAGAACCTTTGGCCTGCACAGAGATCTCCGAAAAGTGCTTGCATGCTGAGCTCTTCGGACCAAGTTTCCGGGCAGACAGTACAGGGGCAGATATCCCTTGGTCGAAATAGCCCAACAAAATGACGAAGCTCATTATATGAGGAATGGCGAGAATACGGAAAGCGTATGGTATCGTTTGTATCCATCTGAGGTCTTGACTCTTGATTGGAGTGCGTGAGCTGTAGACCCGAAGGGTCTGTCTCCCTGTATCTGCTCGACAGGAAGGGCACAAGATCTTCCAGTCGTATATGACCATTCTGGTCTACTTTTAGCTCATCAGGTTCTTCAAGAGCCAGAGACCAATCTCGTGTCATTCCGGATTGACCAAGGCCCTGGAACACCTTTGACTTCAATGAAATGTCGTCCCCGGAAGACGCAAAGAGATCCAAAAGCTGTTGAAAGGATGCTCGATCCTCCAGCTTCAACTCAGACGTCGGATAGAGGTCTCTCGCTCCTCCTCCAGCTCCTAGCTCTCTGATCTCGCTTCCATCTTTGAGCCTCGAAATGATTGGAGTAATCCACTTGATGTTCTTCATCTGTTTGATCTCAGAGTGACACTTCAACCCAGGTTCGCAGCTATGAATCCTTGCAGTGTTATCTAGAGTGAAACAACCTGGAAGCTGACTGTTGCCGATGGTGAATCCTGTTAGCGCACCACTCTCATGGTTACCAGTATCCTCGAGCCCCTTGCCATATATCCTCAGTTGATATTCGTCCACATGGACACGGGATTGCAAAACATTGGACAGGGCGACCCAAACATTTTCGTAGCCTAGAGTCCACGCCCGAAAGTAGAATATAGTTTCCGGAGAGCACTGACTCACTTTCTCAAGAAGCTCTTTTAACCCTTCAGCTTTTTTCGGGAAGTTGCTGTATGGTTCATCGCGAGTGGCAAACGTGGTATCAAGATAGATGCAGTCAAGATGTCTCAAGCCGCAAGCATATGGTAATAAAACAGGGTTCTGCACAATTGAATTCACCCACCAAGATTCAGCTCTGATGTCTCCCGTGTAAAGAATAGCCTTGTCCTCGCCTTCGATCAAGAACATGACCGCACCAGGGCAATGGTTCGCATCCAGCAAGGTCACTCGAATGGTGGATTTTGGACCGAGCTCGAGTTCAACAGCGGTGTTCATCGGGAGTGTTCGAAGGACAGTCTTCAGATGCCGATAGTGTTGCTTGCGTGCTTCAAGGATGCCTTTTGCAAAGTTGATGCGATGGGGATACTTTTCCATATTAAGCAGGATACCTTTGGTTGCGGCCGAGCAATATACGAACGGCATCTTGACCGACTCTAACCCGAGTAAGTGGTCGCTGTGGACATGACTGAGAAAATACGCAGCAGGCGGTGGCCTCCCTGGATGACGTCTGAAGTAGTCAATTCTGATGCTGGGAAATTCCTTGACAAGGCCATTGAACGTCGACATCTTGGCCAATGACGCCTAGAATAGTGCCAACCAGTCCACCCCTCGCGCCACATACCCTCGACTGCAAGGCTGTAGATCTGACCAGGTGTTACCCCACAGGCTCCGACGAGGTTCCAGGGCGATGGGGCCTATCCGTGGGGTGACTTCGCAAAGGGTGGCCAGTCAAGAGGCTGCCCGGAAGAGATCCTGGCCAACGGCAGTCATGACCTGCAGGCACTTTTCGAGCGAGGGAGGGGCCTGCCGGTAGCTTGTCGTATCGGAAAAGCAGGCCAAAAGAGGATTGGCAGTAGGGTGGCCACGCACAGGCAATGGCGTAAAAGCTTGCCGCCTATTTGTCCACTTGACGAATGTTGAACCCAGGCGTCAGGGTCATGCACGGGCTGACCTGGCCACCTGACAAACGGGAAAACCGCCAAAGGCGAAAAGCGGGTTTGGTCGTGATAGAGGACGTGACTGTGGTTCGAGGTGTGGAAGGCCAAAATCTGCCCGGTTGGATCGATGGTGATGTGGCAGACCCAGTCGCTTCGGACCTGATTCAGGTGAAGGAGAAGGGAAGCAGCAAACAGGAGGGAGGAGGGAGGATCAAGGCCAAACGACGTCTCAGTGCATCGGTTTGTGCCAACGCACCGAGTGCTGGCAAAATCTGGACCCAATTCAACGTCGATTCGCATTCAAATCCCTATTCTCTTTCTTCTCTTGCCCTTGGCTGCGCTTCACTAGAGGGGTGGCCGCAAACAGGTTACCGCTCGTTTGTCGGCGAGTGATTATATATGTAGGCCGGATCGGTGACACTTTCGAAAGTCGAAACATCCAAGCGGGAGTCGGTCGTGTCAGTTGACGCCTGGACTCCGAGATATTTGGCGGTCACTCCGTTCTTCAGTGAGCATTGTCAGCGGCGGGGTTTAAGGAGCCTGCTAAGCCTGTTCGCCTGCGCAGTCTGGTCAGCGGTCACTGGTGGTACCTGAAGCTAAAACCGAGATCCTTGCCGCCCCCAGGGCCCCAAAGGAACAAGACCACCGAGCAAGAATCTAGCGGACTCCCTCGAATTCCATCAGGAAGCGTCAAAACCTCAACAATCCCCCTCATTATAATACGAACTCTGCCCGCTCTCCAGCGGTACTTCCCTAGCAGCTACCTCCCATCCCTTACCTACAGTACTACCTCCCGCCGAACCCTATTGCCTCAATCCCGCCTGCCTTTCCCTACAAGTACAAAACAGCGCAGTCTCCCGATCTCAATCGACCCGTCCTGCTCACGCCATTCAACAGAGCTCCGAAGATCCTGAAGGTCACCCACGTAGGTCCCGATAGACGTCGATAGCCGATTACTCACCACCCACCAAACCATTCTGTTGCCTGCGACCAGACCAAAACATTTCCAACCAGCCTGACCTGGGTGCAAATATCGAGGTTCCAAGTCTGGTCTCTTGCATAGGACTGAGCAAAATTGAGCTGAACAGGTGGACTGGCCCAATCTGGGTAGGCCGTAGAGCATCATGAGAAAACCGTCCATTCCAGAGTTGATCTACCAAAGGACGTTCCCCAAACCGAAGCAAGGCGATCCTGTCTCCTTCTACGCCCATATCCAACGTCATATCGTGGGTGAAGTCCGGGTCGAAGTACAGAACTTCTATGGCGCCCTCGACACCCTAGAAGCACAATACCCTGGGCTCGACTACAGTTTCACCCCTCACCGCCGTCGGCTATCAAGGTACCCCTGGCATAGACGCCTTTTCCGTGTCTTCGACGAACTGGGATTGACAGAGGACGAAATCCTAAATCTATGTCAATGGGAAGGAACAAGGGCGGCCAAGGAAAGATACGAACGTGAAGCAGGTGTCGAAGTCAGGACTACTACAGCCGATGATGTCGTTGCGGCACTGCCCGGAAATGGTCCCAGAGCAGTCTTCGAAGATCTTTCCCGGCCAGCCTCTGTCGAACAAGCATCTTCGAACAGCGAGACACTGGTAGCGACCCCGGAGAAAGGAGAACACAAAGCAAAAGATGTGCACACTCCTTCACCAGCACCAGAAGAGGACTTCATCGACCTACTACGTGACGCAATGCAATCCCGCCTAAGAGGAGATCCTTCGGCCATCAACCAGGCATGGGAGCAGTGGCTCAAAGAAACCTTGGAACGGCACGATGAGATTGACATTGACTTGGTCATGACTGCCATTCGGAACCTGGAGCCCGAGACACTGCGAGCTATTCAGCAAGCGGGCGAGGGGGATGAAACCATGTCACGCTCTCCTACGCCTGAGTCCCAAGCAGATTCATACCACGAAACCAATCATCTCGACCGGATAGAAACCGACAGCACCCATGTGCCCAGTGACAGTGCATCTCTATCTTTGTTCGCGCGGAGATCGCAGACAGAAGCAGCCAGATGAAACCACGCTTCTGCCAGAGAAATCTTGCATTTTCCCCCGCTATTATTCCCGGAGATACCAAGTTGAACCTGGAGTTCGATGTCGTTGCGGCTGGCTTTTCTTTTGGCTTTTTCTGCGTGGTTAACAAAAGTACGGCTGAATATGCTTTGATACATAGATTTTGCGGCAGACACGGAAACTTAGTTATATCCTAAAGCAAGGCGTTTTGACGGATTCTGACGACTGGACTGGCCTTCCATGTCGCCAGCGTTTGGCGAGTTCAACCAGTATTGACTTTTTCACTGATTCTGCACGGATGAGGTGCTTGTGGTCCGGGCGTGGAAGTTTGAACTTGTTGAGCAAGAATGGGAACATGGGTTGTGGTAATTATCCAACAAGATGAGCCAAGGCAAACATAGTTGGTACGGGTATGAAATTAATCTACGGGCAAGGCAGATTACCGAAGCTGAACAGACAGACTTAACAACGAGAACCAAAAGTGGGTATTGATTTTGCTCTACAGAGAATCATATATCTTAGCACAACTTGATGCCCCTTTCCCCCTTATCCCCTGATGCCTGATTCTCATTGTTTCCACGCGCCCCTAACCAGCAGTATTCCGCTTCACGACACCCCTCGCAAACTCGCCAAATGTCAAACCCGTCTCCAAGTCCACGGGCTCATCCAAATTCGGTTGCGTGAACACGGCCAAAGTATTCCTGGCGATATTCCTGTTCATGCGCGCCCCGTCGGTCCTGTCGGCGACTACGTTGTTGGGATCCACGCCCTTGACAAAGTGCGGGACGGCCTTGAACCTGCCGCGCGTGATGAGCTCGAGCGCCTCGCCGGTCTGGAAGGCCAGCGCGTCGCGCGGGATGCTGACCTTGTGGATCTGCCCCGAGCGCGAGAGGATGTACAGGCCTGACTGCGGGTCCGAAGAGGAGGGGAGCTCCGTGTACTCGTGGAAGTGCGAGTGCTCGGAGTCGGGAGGAGCAGACTCGGATGCTGATGAGGACGAGGCAGAGGCAGAGGGAGAGGGTGAGGATTCGTCGAGGAACATGGCTGATGTCAAGCCCGTCAGGCACCCGTGGTCGAGGTGCGTGGTGCACCAGGAGTCGTCGATTTCCGGCTCGTCCTTCGCATTCGCCTTCGCCTTTTCCTGCTCCTCTGACAAGACAGAGACATAGTGCCCGTTCGTATTATTCCCTCCGTTCAGATTTCCGTTTGAATCTACGTTCGCGCTTTTTCCGTTCACCGTCTCCTGTGCAGTGGGGAAATAATGCAAGAGCCTCGCCTTGGTGGTCTCGCTTCCCTGGACCACCTTTTCGAGATATCCGGCCTCGTACCCGTCGATCTCGTGCTCGGCGAACCGGTCGCACGCCCTCGCGACCAACACCGCTGTGTCGATGATCAGACGGATGAGCTCCTCGGCGTCGCTCCTGAACTCGGGCACGTCCGCCTCCTCGGGCCAGACATTGGGCGCCGTGTACTCCTCAAAGCCCGGGAACTTTTCACCATCCGCAGATTGAAGTGACGGGGACTTGTAGAATGCGCAGTTGATGTAGTAACTCCCTTTCGCGGTGTCGACCACCCCGGGTCTCAGGGTTTCGACGCCGTGACTCCACCCAACGAGATACTTGGCGCTGGGTTTGGTCAGGTTCTGGAGTTTCTGGGGAGGAAGGTGCGCGAGTCGCGAGGCATTGGTGAGGACTTTTTGGCGGAGAGAAGGGAAGGTGGAGGGGAGGTCGGTCACGACGAGGATGCCCAGGCTGTCGGGGCCGAACGCATTCAGGAGGGCGCTGAAGGGGACAGAGTTGGATTGCAAGTCCCGCAGAGAAACGGTGACGGGTATGGCTTGCTTGTACTTCATGATGCGAAGCGAGAGTCGTCAAAAATAATCGAGGGCGGAAAACCAGAGAGTGCTTTGAGTGGGGAGTTGTATATCAATCGAGGCTAGGACTGAAGGCAACCCAGGTGCACAGCGCGAAAAGGATTCGGCCTCCGTTGGGAGGATCATGTCCTTCTCCTGCTGGGTGAGGGACACATGCCTTCTCGTCTCTCGCCGACGTGTAAGGTCTCGATCGGCTTTTCTTTTCTTGATGGTCGCGGAGAATGCAACGCTGTTTATCAAATCTTACCCCACAGTGGGATGGGAGGCAATGGGCAATGAGTTCGCGTGTCTCCATGGAGAAAATGTTTCGGCCAGCTCCGACGAGAGATCGTCGCCGAGGCTTAAGTTGGGGCGAGTGGCTATGCTGAAGCTCGTCTGAAATTTATGCTCGTGTTGAGGCTCCATCGTGGTATATGTAACACGAGGACATGGATGCCACCAAGACCAAAAGAAGGGTGGGCAGCGACAAGTAGCTGGAGGCTGACGCATGCTCATTCTTCATTACCACATCTGTAACTCTTTTTATTGTAAGTGCCTATGTACAGACTTCTCCCAATTGACCGCTCGCTTACTTCAAGCCAAAAGCCTCGAGCAGTTTCGGGAGATACGGCGTTCCCCATCCCGTCACCGCATCCCACCCAGGGGTTGCAGGAAATCCTGTCGTATTGCACCCAGCAGACGTGCCGTTCGTGACATCCGTGAACAAGGTATGACCCCACTTGTACAGCCAAGGATTGAGGAAACCCATGGGAGGGCGTCCCTCGGAGATCAATGCGTCGTTCAACAGAGTGAACACAGACGCGCAGATGGGTGAGGAACCAGATGTGCCGACGAGGTTGAGTGTACTGCCGTTCCAGGTAATGGGGAAGACTTGTCCAATGCAGGAAATGTCGGGGTAGGCGCGTCCTAGATGGAGGAATGATATTAGCCAGACGAACCAATATGGTCCAAATCTTTGAGAACCTAAGGACTTACCTGATTTGTTGTAAAGTCCATCGTAGAGCCCTCCGAGACCATCGACATATGCGTTTACAGTCTCGGCCTGGTAGGCGGGCATGTCGAAATAGTTGCTGAAGCCCGCCCCACTGGTAAAATAGGCTCCAGAACTCAACTTCCTCCAAGCAGCAGATTCAGGGTAGCCAGTTGTCGCTCCCACGGTGGTGACGTAGGGACAATCAGTTGGAAAAGATGGAAGGAACATGGCTGTTGTATTGTCCACGTTGCTGACACATTCTCCATCACTTCCGACACCAAAATCACCACTGGAAAAGAACAAAGACACGCCTCGGGCTCCCAATTGTGCGAATTGGTTGCAGACGGCTTGGGCATAAGACCGACTGACAGTTTGCTCGTCGTCTCCATAAGAGGTGGAAATGACTTGGGGCACCTCGTCATCCGGCAGCCCTGCCATGTAATTGGCCCAAACCAGGAAAGGCTCGTCGGTGTTGGTGGGAGTCACTAAGTCGGGCATGAACGATGGATTTCGCCCCCCGGTGTGATATGCAGTCAAGGGTGTTGGATAACCAATTCCAATCATGTAGTCAGCGTCCAGATCTGCCTCCCTGTCCAAGCCCTCTGCCGCAACATTGGTGCCATTGTCTAGGACACCGCCTGCAATGGAGATGGCCTCGAACTGGTACGCGTAGGCAGCGGCTTCGGGTCGATACTTGGACAAAAAGATGTTAATATCCGAGCGGTTGGTCGCCTCTTCCAAGTAATTTGTGTGCCCCATCTTGTTCTTTCCGGCTGCTTTGACCTCGTAATCAATGGTGCCATAGAGGGTTCTCAAGCAGTCTGGGGTCACAGAGGTGAAATTGCATGCGGCATAGACAGTGGAATTTGCGGGCAATGGAATCGAATCGGGTGGTGACCAGGTGTCTGCAGCTTCGAGAACATGGGAGCCACGCTTGGTGACTAAAGAGCGCTTCCTGATCTCGGTTCGTTTCTTGTGTCCCTCAAGTCGGGCCCACGAGTTTGTTGGCTGGATGGTGCTAATATGTTTGTGAACGTAGTGCGGGAGAGAATATCCTTCGGTACGCACGAGCGTCGATCCGTCAGAATGTTCCCAGACCGAGTAGGCCGTGTTCAGCATGTCCTCAATCTTCGAGACGGGCAGGGACACAGTGATCCAGTCCCTGGCTGGGCTGTAAGTGAGTTGCTCAACGTCGACGTCATATTCCTGCAACCACTCATGGATGGCTGCGGAAGTCTCATCTGAAGGTTTCACAAGGTCATGGACTTCTTCAGCTGACAGGTGCTGGCCGTAGCGCGCATGCGATGGGTCCGAGACTTGCACACAGGTCAGCTCCAGTGATGATGGCCTCCAACATCACGTCTCATACCTTCATACAGGTGCCGTTCGAGCTCAGCGAAGCGACTTTGAGAGAGGCCGATGGTCAACCTGATTAAATGTTCACCCGGAGCAGGCCCCAGATTTGACCATGCCTTTGGAGCTGGATGGAAGTCCTTGACGACAAGGTCGGAGCGACGAGTAACGGGGCCAGCTGCAACAAGAGAAGCTTGGAAGCAGCTCAACAGAGACAATGCTGTGGTAAGCATGGTGGATGGTTTGAGAGGGGCCATGCTTGGAAATCTGGAAGACGCTGCACGCGACCGACCACGAGAACGAACGACGAGGTAGAGGGCTGTGCCTTCTTTTCAAAGACAGCAGCGGCCACTACCTATCTAAATACCTGGGTTGTGGCACAACGGCAGCAGGCGCGAAGGCGGCTCCTTCTGCGTCCATTTCCCCATTGAGAGAGGTATGACAACGTCATGTAGCATCGGCTTGATGTGCTATCCTGCCTCTTTGGACGTAGCCTCGAGAGATAAACAAGCATTGAGGTGGCATCGAGGGCGTCCAAGAATCCACCTTAGGTCGCTAGCCCTTGCATTGGGGCGGAGGGAGATGCTGAATTGGAAGGTAGCTTTCAGGACCGGGGTATGCCATGGGCAGTGAGGATTGGACGACCGCTGAACAGCTTCTAGATTGAGGATAGACATGGAGGCAGTCGTTGGTGGGATCGACACTGTAGCGGATACACCCCCAGGGGAGATCGCTTGAGGCCGAGCAGGTGGGGTGATAAGCTCTAACGAGGTGGAGAGCAGTGGCAGCGGAAGATTCTCTGGAGGCGCCATGGAAGCAGATGTCTTTTCGAGATGACACCTGCTGCACCTGGAGCTTTGCCTGCTCCATTGATACTGACGGTCATTGGCAGAAGGCGGGAGATGTGCGCAATCTTAGCGAGCTTAGCGACAGATACGAGCTGCATCATGCAAGAGGGCCGCCACCAACCGATCGTTGACGGCGGCTGGTTGCACAGTCAATGAGAGAAGATGCAATCTCGTCTCACACAGTGCGGAGGTGATGCTGGAATTGGGAGCGACGGCCAGGAGAAGACATGCCGCGGTACGAGGCACAGGTGGTTTGCAGGAGACTTGGAAAGTTGGGGTAGAAGTGAGGAGGAGGTGAAGGCGAAGTGCAAGATGAATTGGCCCCGAAAGCCTCCGGGGCGGCCGGGGCCTTCTGGGGGCTGGCTTGACAAAAGGATTCAGGGTCGGTTGGTCTCGGCTGCTCCCGGATGATGCCCACGGGAACATTTTAGCTACGCTTTTCGTACCTCGTACTCGCTAGGGCATCACGAGTACCTGGTGCTCCAGGCTGTCCAGGCCTAGGCACTGCAGCCACAGCGAAGCACCTACAGGCCGCCTTGTGTTCCGTCCAGCCTCAACGTTCAACGCTTCTCTTCTTCATGCTGCAATACATACATACGTCGACACTTCTACTGCTCTTTTCCCTTTCTCTTTCCTTCTTCTTCTATATCTAGCAACCCACCTGTCCCTCAGCTCTTCCAACTCCGTCCCTTCCAGCTGACTGACCATGCCTGATCCTTTAGGCTTGCACAATGTGGTCAACGGTGCGGTGACTCAATCAGCCCAGATCTCATCCAATATCAATGCCCAAGACCACTTTTTCAGCTGACAAGAGCCACGTCCGTCTATCCGTCACAAGATAGCTTGCCCATGCAACAATGGCTGAGGCTCAAAAGCAACCCAAGCAACCCAAGGCCCTCGAATGAGTCAAATAATGAATGCTATTGATGAAAGTCAGGCATCCGTTTGCCTTGGCTTGGCTTCTTGGACCAATCAGCTATGGTAGGACTGGCCTACTCTCGAGTACTTTTGTCCGTCTTTCGGCCCTTCACTTGTCCTTCAGCGCTTTGTCGCCTGCCTGCGGTGGCAAATAAACATGTAAGTCGCAGCCTCTCGAGCGGTGCTTGTGAGATAATATCAGCGTCTTCTCCCCAGCTCGTGCCTCTCAATGAAGCTGCTTGAGATATAATAAATTACCCCTCTGCCATCTCAGCCTTGTCTTATATTCTACCTCTGGGGACATGTGCAATCTTCTGGTCCCTCTTTGTCCCTTTGTTCTCCATTCAGTCACGGCCTCTGGCCATTCTTCCTCTCAAGGTGCTCCTTCAAATCCTTCGTCGGACGCAAAGATTTTCTTCTGCTACCTGTCAAAGCGGCCGTACAAGTCCTCCCGCAGAGAGACACGCCAAACACAATCCCAGCCACAGCCGCTAGCCATACCATCCCTCAAGCTCTACAAACGCATAAATTGGCATACATGCCCCTGCTTCTTCAGCCGTGTCTCTGTTCTACACCCTCTGTCTGGTCCTAGCCGACCGACATTCGGATATGCGCACAAATACTGTACGCCATGTTCCTCGGCCGCCAAGCTCTTGCGGCCAGTACGGCGTGGTGGGCCTGTGGATCACATCACAAGAACCGACCCATACTGGGATCGTTGTGTCTTTCAAGGCGCAAGTGTTGTCTTCGAACCGGGCGCCACCAACAACAACAGTTGTGTCGTCAGCGGTAATCGAGCAAATACACAAGTTCAGCCCACTCAAAGGAGCTATAGAAATGACTTGGTGGGCAACCCCAGCCGCGGTCAATGTGAGGACTACGACGGTCACGGTACTGGAAAACGGCTCAATGATGAGGGTGTGAAGCATTGGGGGAAGAGGAAGCAGGTGCCCCAAGCAGCAAATCCGTCAAGAAGGAAAGGCCGCTACGAAACCGATCTAGATGCATACTTGAGCGAGACTTACGGAGAAGTAAAGTGGAAAGCGAAACACACGTGGATAAGTTGACCCATGCCAAGCCCATGCTAAGGGAATTCGAGAGCACAGAGAGATCATCGGATACAGTGTACATATGGCCGACTTTCATGAACATCACATCTTCGCAGAGTAGTCCCCGTGACTCTCCACGTGACCACCAGCGCTCTTCGAGGAGTATTGGCGACTGTTGTTTTCACAAGACCTCAATGCTTTGCTCCGAGGCTGCTTCCATCAACCATTTAGTTTATCCATTTAACGGGCAGAATCGATGTTGGTGAATCATGCCAGAGCCTGAAAATGTACAGCTCCCGCTCCGGTAAGTCAGGCCAGCTGTATTAACAACGTCCAGACACCTGCGCCAACTAGACGATTTCTTCCTCCATCTTCTTCGTCTACTGCAAAATCAACAGGTCTTTCCTCTGTGCGCAGGAACCCATTTCAAAGCTCGCGCTCCACACAGCCACCGTTTGCTACCCCTTCCTTCACTGCGACGCCACGGTTTCAACGACCAACTCCAAGGATAAAAGATGATATACAGGCGAATTTTGACGAGGGGACAGACCCGGCACTGTTGTCGAATGATGACTTTAACATCAGCCGTGGAGATATAATCGACCTCGATGATGACGTGGATCACGGCGCTCTCTCGCCGCTATACAGCCGAGGCGCTCGGGCAGCAGACCACGAGCAAGACCACGTCGAGAGTGAAGCATCACCTCTGCAGTATCGACTTCGGAAGTCTGCTCCAGCCACGAAACGACGGAAGGTGTCCCACCCTGGCCCTGGAGCTAGCGTTATTAAACCCGTTGCTATTTCTTCCTCACCAGATGATGACGACCCTGGGGATGTTAGTTACCAAGCTGGCGACAATTCTCCCTCATCGCAATCCGATCTAGACGATAACCTAGGCCGGAGTACAGGGCTAGCGACGATTAACGAATCGAGCAAGATTGCCCGTTTCAGGCCCATCGCTCAAGGAGTTAGTCCCCCTAGCCCTGTTTCACGGACCATTTTTAAAGTAGTTCCGGAAGACCAAACACATGGATCGGGTGGAAGGGGACCTGTTTTACCGGATATATTCTCGCCCTCGCGCCGCAAAGGCAAGAGGGACTATATTCTCGGGGGCAGTGCGCATCTGGTCAGAAGCTGGGTCCTGGATATTGCAACTCAAGAATCCCATGCCGAATCGCTTTCGGAGGAAATTCTCCTGATAGCAGAAGTCGAGAACGACGCTAGTGGACGTTTTGTTGTGGTGTCTGATGAGAAAGCTCGACGGTGGCTCCTACCAGAGCAGCAGCATGAGAAATCAAGTAGAAGCTCCAGCTTCTTCGACTGGTCTGAACTTCGCCCCGGATCGCAGGTCCTCATCAAGGGCCGAGCTACCAGGTGGCCTCTCGACCTCGAATCCCAAGGTTTGGAGAATGTGGTTGTTGCTGCATACTGGGAGCTTGTCTCTGCTGGTTGAACGTATTCGCACACGCAGCGCCGCCGCCAGGCGAGAATCGTGGAACTTAGGCGCGACGGCAGCCGCTCAATTAGAAGATATCTCGGGCTAAGGATATGGATTGATTGCGTCCATTAAGTATTCAGCTCTTGTGAAAACGTTCTCTCTCTCTCTCTCTTACGATATTTAGAGGTGCCCGCTTCTACACGGCGTTCTCGTCCATACAGCCAGCACCGCTATACTTGAAGAGACAACACGTAAGTAGGGCGGCCCCCTCCTCGTCGCGAGGGCAGTCCCGAGCTACATGCTCTGTCCAAACTTTAGATCCGGTTGGCGTGCGTCCGGAGTGCTTGTATGGCGGCAGGCAGTCCTGGGGAGACGCTTTTGACTACCTGTATGACTGCCTGACTGACCTCCCTATTCGCAGATTGCGGAACTGCCCAGGTGTCAGAGAATACTTGGCTAGGTAGGTCGGCAGACATGCATGCGTAGCAGGGGGTGGAAAGAGAGAGGCAATCAAGTAAAAGTCCCTTTTTTTTTTATTCTGTTATCGTTTCGTAATATACCTAACCTAGCTGAAACGTTTTCAATACTCACTGGGGTTGGGGCACCATTCTGGACGTATGACTTCCGCATATTAGAGCTGAAAAAAAAAGAGAAATGGGTGCCAGAGCAAAATAACTTCCCTTGCTCCTTCGCAAAGGATAACTTTCATTCTTGACCGATGAGTTATTCCGTGTGTGCCCCCTCCTGCCTTGATGTCTGCCCTTACTTGGTGGCCATGGCGCACTTCCCTAGATCCATCTTGACCGCCTCCGCGCCGGGCGAGATATCAAAGCTGAAAACGTCCATGGGCAGCCCGATGGTCGTGCAAGCATTGGGAATATCCACAATCCCCGCCACGTGCCCTTCGATCGGAATACAACTCAACATCAGGTAGATCTGATAGTCACTGTACCCGTATCTCTTGAGGTACTCAATCACCCGCAGACAAGACTGACGATATGCGACAGTCGCATCCATGTAATGTTGTTTGCCGTGTTCGTCGACACTGAAGCCCTCGAAGTAAATCATTCGGCCGGGCCCGAATTGTGGTTGCACGGGGCCTGGGATGTAGATGGGAGATTTCCCGCCGACCATGCCGAGTTTGCGCTGACCGTCTTTGATCACATCAAACTTGATGGTGATGATGCCGGCGATTTCAATGGCGCCGCAAAAGGAAATTTCACCGTCGCCCTCTGAGATCATGATGAAAATTAGAGTTAGCGATACCGGCGTTCTATACAGAATGGAGAGCCAGAGGGAACGTACGGGAGAAGTGCAAGTCTCCTACGGAGAATTTTGCACCCTTGACATGCACCGGCAAATACACTTTACTTCCGCGTGAAAGATTCTTGATATCACAATTCCCGCCATGCTCGGGACGTCCTGGAATCGTCCTGGCACCCTCCTTGCCCACTCGAGCTGTCGTCTCTTCGTCGGCGGTGCCGGCATGCACGCTCCTGGGTTCAGGCGGTTGTGCTACAACACGCTTGAGGGATGTCGTCGAAATGAGCTCGGCTTCGCGCTTATTCCACTCTGCGAGGATCTCGTGGGATGGCGCGCAGCCTAGAATGCCTGGGTGGATGAGACCCGCAAAACGGACACCCGGGATGTGACGCGAGGAGCAGAAGATGCCTTCGAAGTCCCAGATAGCTTTGGCGCTATTTGCACGGTAACTTGTTAGACAGCGTAGTCCTGCTGGAGCCTGAGAAACACCTTACGCCTCAGGATAGATCTCATCCAAGAAACCCCCACCATTGTCCTTGTGGAATACGCCTGTGAAACCCCATGGATGGTCCTGGAAGGGCTGCACGTCTTGAATTTCCACGAGGAGAACGTCTCCAGGCTCGGCGGTCTCGATCTCGAAAGGGCCAGAGAGATAATGGACCTGAGTCAGGTCGACATTCACAACATCATCAGCATCGTCAGTGTTCTTGATTTGTCCACCAGTCCAATCCAAGCATTCGATCTTGACAGTCTCTCCGTTCTTGATGGTTCCACAAAAGGGCACTGAGAGCTGGAAGTTAGAAACGGGTACACGGACATTCACACCAGCGTACCGTCAGGATGCCATCTGTTCTAGCGAGCTTGTCAGTTGCTGGCTCCTTCTCCCACTGCTTCAGTGCTCACATGTAGATACGGTTGGTCTTTGGCAGGCTTGTCGAGATCAACTTTCAATGCAGTCCTAATTGGGCCAGGCATAATGCCAAGCAACAAAAAATCGAGTGTGAGGTGACTGGCAACGCCTTGGACGAATTCTTTCAATAGATGGCCTGTGAGCTGCGCTTGAGTCTGGCTGTAAGAGGATTTGCAGGTTGCCGTTGGGAATCTCGTTCTCATATCAAAGAATTGTTTACTGCTTTGCGGGGCATGACCGATCAGCGTAGGAGTTACCCCTCACGCAAGTGATAGGCACTTGTCCGTTGGCATGCGTATGCCCTCCACTGCCTCCGTCATCGACTTGATGGAAATGCTGAAATAACGTTACAGCTTGGGTGGGAACTTGATAAGGAGCGTTCTCCAGGCCCAATAATAGTTCCAACCTTGCGTCTCGGTTAAACCAGGAAAGGCAGCTATGCTGGACGAACGGACGTTGGTCTCCCCCGCGTGCCTGGACATGCTTCAAGTTACGTATGAGATACGCAAAATGGCTTTCTCAATTGCTGTCGAATCATCCAAAGTATGTGTCGTGTTTTATCGCAAACGGGCGGGCTTCTCCTTTTCCGCGCGATGGCACGTGATTGATGGGTTGTGTTGCAAAAGGGGCGCACGACGAACAGCAAAAGCCACCCCTGAATCGTGAACGGTTGTTGGCAAAATTGCGGAGGTGGCTGACAAGTTCGCATTGGACGTCCAGCTCATTGGAGTACCTCAGCTAGTCTCCTCCTGCACTGGCGTCGATGCTCCTGTACTAGTTTTGGTGCTGCTCGCCGAGTCTTTCTTTGGGGGACTTGTATCAATCTCGATGGTAACCTGGATTGTTTAGCACCGGCACACTCACCAGTTGACTGCGTGTATTGAAAGCAGATCTTACTGGGCCGTCATTGACAATGCTAACTTGCATCATGGCTTGGAAGACACCATCTTTGACTCTATCCGAGCCGTGCTGGTCACAGACGCGAGTCACGAAGTAGTCATACAGCTCTTTCGCAACTTCTGGCTTAGCAGCTCCACGGAAATCCGGCTTGGTACCTTTCCTCGTGTTGGCCATCAACGTAAATTGTGATACACACAAGATCTCTCCCTCGATGTCCTGGACACTCTTCTTCCAGTTCACGCCATTCTCGTCTGGCCACAGCCTCATCTTGACAATCTTGGAAGCCATGGTTTCGACATCTTTCTTTGTGTCATCGGGACCAATCGCAGCGAGAACCAGAACTCCTTGGCCGATCGCCGAGACAATTTGACCATTGATCATGACAGAGCTCGATAGGACTCGCTGCAGTATTGCTTTCATATTGCTGACTTGGAGGGATGGCTCCCGCAGCAAGCGCGATCTCGTACCTCACCAACGGCCAGCACCAACGCGCAAAAACATCAATAAGATACTCTTGAATATCTCACCGCGACTTGTGGGTGGTCAGTGTCATCGACCTAGAGAGTCCGTGGTGTTGGCGGCTGTCAGTACAGATACAGATCAGTAGGAAGCCCCTCTGCGGCCCAGGCGTGTTGTCTGGTGGCCAAGAAAAGGAATCTGATGGCAATAAGCGTGTGAAATGGCGATGAAAAGTTAGAGCATCAAATTGCTGGGGAACCGGCGGTTGAATTCGACATGCCAAGACCCGCGTCGCCTCAAATCAGCCTTCACGTGACCAGCGACCTCCGTCCAACCTGCTCGCCTGGTCAAGCCTGGGATGCTGCAGTCAACGCAGCGCGTGGCTGCCACTACCGTAGACAGTCCCAACTACAAAACACGCCCATGCGCCCTCCGTGCACTCAGTAGACCCTCCACCCGACCCTCACATCCTCGCCGCACTTCTCCCAACCTCTATTGATGTCCCACAATCATGGCGTCACGGAAAACACAGCAAGAAATCGACAAAACCTTCAAAAAGGTCGACGAAGGTATCCAAGCATTCGAAGGCATCTATGAGAAGATATACTCGTCCCAAAATGCCGCGCAGAAAGACAAATTGGAGGACAATCTCAAGAAGGAGATCAAGAAACTCCAAAGATCCCGCGACCAGATAAAGACATGGGCAGCCGGCAACGAGATCAAGGACAAGTCTGCACTGCTGGAACAGCGCAAGCGGATAGAGAAAGTGAGGCTTCCGGACAGCAGATGCTCTCGAGACGGGGACTGACACCAACGCAGTGCATGGAGATATTCAAAGCAGTGGAGAAGGAGATGAAAACCAAAGCGTTCTCCAAAGAAGGGCTATCACAGAATGTCAAGCAGGATCCCAAAGAGAAGGAGAGAGAAGAGCTCTGCGACTTCCTGTCCGACCAGTTGGATGAGATCAACAGAATTCTGACCGAGGAATTAGAACCCGAGGCTGGCAATTTACAAGCCGCTCTCAAAAAGAAGCAGAAAGATAACTCCAAGGCTGATCGGCTTGCCGAGATCGAAGCCATGACCGAGACATACAAATGGCATGAATCCCGACTACAACTTCTCCTGCGGTCGCTACAGAACGGCAACGTCGAGAATGATCTAGTGGCATCAATCAAATCCGACATTGAAGAGGTGGTGAGGGAAGGCCGTGAGCCGGATTTCGACCCCGAAGCCTACGAGGGTATCTACGACGATTGCAATCTGGACAGCGAAGAGGTGCAGTTCGGACTGAACAACGAGGTAGACAGAATATCATCTCAAGATGCGCAGTCTATTCAGGAAGACGTCGACATGGATGCGTCGACCGCCCTCAAGAAAACGAAATCAGAACCGCACACTGCCACACGACGACCCTCCACACAACTCAAGTCTCCTCTGCCAGCACTGGCAACTCTGAACACGATGCCACCGCCACCGTCAATACCCAAGGACTCGGCAATGAAACCCGCACCAATCCCGAATCGACCTCCAGGAGAGACCTTGAAGTATGCCTCAGCTGCAGCCGCAGCAGCAGCAAGCGACAAAAGCGGAGTGGGTATTGCTCCGCTCCCTCCGCCAGTTGGAGCAATTACCGCACCTACATCACATCCATTGCCTGCCCCGGTCAAGACATCGGCAACGACATCACCTGCTTCATTGCCAGCACAACCGGTGGAGAAAACTGCCTCGCCAGCACCTGCCGCTGCAAGTATGGATGGCTCAGCATCGCAAGAACAATCCAATCACTCAAAGTCTCCGACTTTAAGCTCCACTAGTGCGCGGGCCCCGAGCATTCCCAGCAGCGTTCCTCCTACGCCAGCAATGGAGAAATCCGAGGCTGTCCAAGAGCCTATGATTGCAGACGAGATACCAACCACGAATGGCGATGTGCACGAAGACTCAGCCGCAGAGGAATCGATCTATCATCTTCCTCCTGGACTTCAGGATCTACTAGACTCATTCGAGACTACTAAGAGTCGAGCTGCCCAGCCTCCGTCACAACTAGCGAGACTGCTGCAGGCTTCTCAGGAGACATGTCCGGAACCCTCCGATAGCGATCGGCCCCAACATTACCGGCCAACGTTCAAGTACAACACACCGGCGCATTACCCTCAGGATGTTCTGCCTATATTTGATGATCCGGCATTGTACGAAAACCAAAGGCTGGAGACGGACACACTGTTCTACATATTCTACTATCGGCAGAATACCTATCAACAGTGGCTGGCGGCACGCGCTCTCAAGAACCAGAGTTGGCGCTTCCACAAGCAGTATCAAACATGGTTCCAACGTCACGAAGAGCCTAAGCAAATCACCGAGGAGTTTGAACAAGGCACATATCGATTCTTCGACTATGAAAGTACATGGTACGCATCATGCCAAATCCTTGGCCCTCACCACGTCTCATTCTAACCCCTTGCAGGATGAATCGACGAAAGGCAGATTTCAAGTTTGTCTACAAGTTCCTCGAGGACGATTTGTAGGATAGCTCAGTCAGCGGCGTGCTGGCCGTCGGCCCGCTGCATGCATACAGCTTGCCCTCTTTTGGAGAGGGGTTTCGATCACCTCTCAAAGAGTCAACCAAGCTCCAGTTTTGCAACTTCCAACCCTTGTTCTGAGATATGCTGTGTATGCCATGCCCGCCACATGGATGTGGCCTTGCCTGGCTCGGTACTGGGAGGCTCCGCTCAAGGCGCGGTGTGGAATATGTGCTACCCATGTTTCGATTGTTTGTCCATGTGGCAGATGGCAGCCTAGTCTACCACCGCCTCACTTTCGGTGTTACAAGTTTGCCTTGCCGCAAATGAATCGAGACAAACATAAGGCCGTCAAGCCGAGTCCATGCAATGAGGCTGTGAAAAGGCATCCACCCCTAGTCCACTTCGGGGTTAGTGTCTACATCCCCACCAATAGGATGTTTGTTTTCCTAGCCTTGGTACTCAGCCTCTTTTCCCTGCCTGCTTTAGTCCACATTCCCTCGCTACTACCTACCAAGGTACAGAGCCGCTTGGGTCCGCAAAAGGCAACCATGGGCTCGAGAGAAGATCTCCAGCGGACACTGCCGCGCCGCCCACAACATCTTGAACATCTCAACTCTGAAACGTCCCGAAGCGGCTTGTGGCCTTGACAGGGCGATCCAGACACATCTGCACGAAGTACGCAGTACGCAGTACCTAGGTGTGTTCTCCAGTGTACCCGGTTGGGCCCATCGGCCAGCCATGTCGTGGTCTTCCTGTTCCTTGTTCCCTCGCTTAATTATGCCACCTTGCCTCATGTCCACAGTGTCCTCGATCTGGCCGTCACCTTCCAAAACGAGTGCGGCGTCAAGAAATTCAAATATCGAGGCAGTGTTACCATAGTCCCCGTATGCCCGATGATGCTGAATGCTTCACAAACGATAGCAGCAAACTGCAGGTCCAGGCCCTTGACAGGGGTCGGAAGTTCTCTTCTGACGAGCGAATCGCACTTATCCTCACGACACTCGGCACACGGGTAGGTAAGGAATGCTTTCTCGAAGGATAAGCCCTGGAGGTTAGCCTCACATTCTGAGAGCCGGACCTGATTGGGCCTCCTTTGCAAGGAAATCCACTTGGGATATTCACATTGGTCTTCCAAGCATAGGGTGGAAGTCCGTCCATACTGCGAACTTGATCGCTTCTCCCCGCTAGGCTTGTACAAGAGCGTCAGGTGGATTGACTCCAGAGTGTTTTGTCTTCAACCCGGGAGCACGCTTCGCGCTAAGTCCTGCATTGTCCTCCTGTCGAGTGGTTCAATCCGAGCGGTCTAATAGCCCTGATGACTCCCGCAGCCATCGCCCATCGGTCCAAGGGTGACCGAGTCAGGTTCCTATCCCTGCCAGTTCTTTCTTGTGTCCCAACATCGTTGACTATTCGGTACAGCCTCCCTTCACAGCATAGCTTGAGTTTGCCTCGTCTCCAAACGGATGCTGGCCGCGTATACTTGAGACAGAGTCCCTCCCTGGCTATCTGAGATTCTAAGCTCTGAATACCAGCATAAGGCTGAAACTTCAGGTCGACTATTTGCATCCGTCCCATTAACAAACACCTGGTCCCTGTTGCAAGTCGAGTGTTCCTACTTCTCGTCTGCTCAAACTCTGGAGGCTCTTTCTCTCTCTGTGCTTGAGAAATTCGTGCACCATCATGGGGAGCTTCGACCACCGTGACTTCTTAAGGGAACACTTTGGTTCGGATGCATTTCTTCCTCAACAAGCACTCTCGATGAGCGTCTCAGAGGCCTCGTCTGGCCTCTCGATCAGCCTGCCGGCTAGCATGTCATATCAGCTTGGGGGTCCAACATACGACAACACTTGCTGCACTCCCCGAACGATAGCACCTCATCCCAGTTACATGCTCTCTCTCCCGACCCATGGCTATCATCTCGAAGAGGCGTATGCCATCACTGGCCACTCGGCTTGCGCGAGGGGTCGAAGCTGTAGCGGAGCAAGCACAGTCAGTGCAGAGTACAGTGTTACAAGTCAGGAGGCGACGCCGAGGTCGCCTTACTCTTTCGTCGAGCCCGGCAGTCAGTATCGGGCAACGTATGATGACCAAAACACTCATACAGGGGCGCCTGTATTGAATTCCCAGGAAGAGTTGTCGGTGCCTCGGGACAATCAAGGGCCCTTCCTGAAGCAAGAAGGCGATGAAACCAATCCGTCGAACAGCAAGTAAGTATACCGTGAAATCTTGACAATTTGCTGCGCTATTGGAGTTCATCAGACCCCCCACCCTTTCCACCTATGTCATCCTGTGTTGTCATTCTGACAAGAATAATTCTAACAATTGTGTCGCCGACAGGCAGACTTTCTGTCCGCATAGAGATTGTTTGGATGAAGAGGGAAGACCCAGAAAATTCTTCAGCCGCAAAGCCGATGTGACGAGACACTACAAGTCTCGACACGACATCAAGTACATTGATTGTCCAAAGAGAAACTGCGAGAGAAAGGGCAGTCAAGGATTCACAAGGCGAGACCATTTGACAGAGCACCTTAGGGGCTTCCACATGGAAAAGATTGCAAAAAGACAGATTTCTAATACCAAGGCTAAGCGAGGTGAGACACACGCGAGTGAGGACAGCAACGGGTCCAACAGCTCGTCTGAAGGGCTTACTCCGCCCGAGCATGCCGAGGAAATCTCATACTTCCCCTCTGGACAACCAAGCTTTGCAGAGCAAATTGCTCAGGACATCAAACAAGAGACTCCGCAAACGTCTGATGACGAAGCTGAAGATATCTTCCCAATATGGGAAGTCTATCTTCCTAAGAGGACCAAGCGGTTCAAGAGTCTAGCACAGAGGCGCAAAAGCAAAGCCAGAGCTTTACAGAATCATCCAGTCCCAATAGCACGAAGAAACGTGCGGCCCCATCACTCTCCAACAAGTGCAACAGCTCAAGGCCCCCTTCAAGGACTCGCTTTCCAAGCAGACTTTGCAACACCTCGAATGATGCCCGACCCGCCAGCATACGCGACGCACCACCCGGATCAGCAACACCAGCACCAGGTTTTCAGCACGAGCAACATGGTGGCCCCTCTCTACACAACAAACTCGAGCATGGATTCATTTTATGGTCCTTCGTCAATGGCGCAGGTCTATGACAACCTTCCAGCCCAGGCGATGGCTCCATACCGGGTCGAGGCTCTTGACGGGTCTCATTTCCAACCCATGCAAGAGTAACTATTCCGGAAATGTTCGAACAAGATGGAATCTCGTGACTTTTGGCTGCTGATGGATGATACTTGTTTTGGCTGGCTGGCTGGTCGGTCTGTTTTCTTGCTCACTGGTGGCCAGGAATCTGCGCAGATGGAAGGTTCATATCTATCTGTCTTCTTTTGTCCTCTTTTCTCTTTTCTTCTTCTTTTCAACCATGACAAACCACCATGATGATGAGCCACGACGACAGAAACGATAGATACCCGATCCAATACTAGCTAGTCTTCACATACACTTAACTATGTCCTTGCCTCCTTTTCTAGTCTTGCGGGGCCTAGGGCCTTGTTCCTTTAGCTAAGTCGTAGGTAGGGTCGAGAGAAACTCCAAGATTTAATCGATCCATCGCAAGCGTATCCGTCTACCCATTGAAGTCAGGACCCAAAGGCAGAGGGCCCCCTTTAGAGAAAGAGGGGTGAAAGAGTGTCGAGAAATGGACGATGGGTGAAGAGGAGGCCTGGCGCTTTTCAACAGAGAGAGGGAAGGAGATAGGGCGATAGAGAGATAGAGAGCTAGCTCGCGAACGAATCGCTGGGTGATCGCCAGGACATAGATGAATGCCTAGATATAGATGTATAGATACAAAGAGGGGCACATAGAGAGACACGTGAAGAGCCGGTATTCGTTTGGAATACTAGTAGTAAATTTCTGTGGATAGTATAGCGTTTCCTTTTGCGAGGACTTACGTATACTTTCTTTCCTGTGGAAGCCTCGTTCCTATTCCTCTTCTTCCTCTTCTTCTTCTTCTTCTTGTTAAGAGAAGTTGGAAGCCGGTTCGATTGTTTTTATGGCCTTTTTATCGGGCTTGATGAGATGTCGGTAGATATGCCGTTGGTCTTTTCTCTTATTCTCCTTTCTCCCTTGTCCTCTGTCGGCCTCCTTCGCCCTTTTTCTCTTCTCAGGTTTCTTTTCTTCCCCTTTCCCCGTCTCCCTTCGTTTTCTGCTTCCCCCCTCTGATCCTTCCCTCCCTGATTCTTTCTATCCGTCCATCCGTCCATCCATGCCCTTTATCAGGATCTCACGCTCCGATTTCCGCCTGTCGACTTTGCCAACAGCCCCAAGAACTTCTCAGATCTCTGGCTCAGCATCTGGCATTTTTACAAGCGACCGTGCGTCTCAAAGTCCTTGTACCCCTCGCCCTTGACGAACGTGTACAGCCACGGCCCTTGTTCCTCCTGCTCGGCCAGTTTCAAGTACTCCTCTGCCGCGGCAGGGCCGGAGACCGCGTTGCCGACGGGTAAACCGTCTGCATTCCGTTCATCGGCGTAGTAGAACCTTTTATCGGGGGCGTATGAATGGTCAGTCTGGCTACGCTTATTGAGGGCTGCCTCAGAGAGGATAGAGAGAGAGCCTAGGGAGGAGAAGGAGAAGAGGAAGAAGAAGAAGAAGAAGAAGAAGAAGAAGGGGATAGAGGTGTAAGTGCTGACAGGCGACAGACGGCAGGCAACAAGCGAGGCAAACACTCGATCAGTCGACTGATGAGAGAACTTACCTGACACCCTCGGCGGCGTAGATCTTGTTCTCTACAAGATACCTGATGGCATACGCGGTGCTGGTCTTGCCTAGCCCGAAATTCAACATGCCCTTCAAGGTCTTGAGGTTCAGCATGTTGCCCGTGAAGATGAATGTCTTTGACGCATCATTCGAGGCGGCCAAGTTGCGGAATGACTTGACTGCTTCGTGAAGGGAGACCAGGGCGGAAGTGGCGTTGACGGATTGTGAGTCATGGTAGGTCTGGATGGATTCTGGAGCGAAGAGGGAGAGAGGATCGGCAGGATCTGGCTTGAACATAGCGGCTGGGAGAACGGAGTCAGTTTCCATCCCCGAGGTAAACGGTTCCTAGAGAGTCCCGGAGAAGAGCCTAGACCTCAGAAGCTTGGACTGATAGAGGAAGGCTGTCACTGTGCGGGAGAGTTGACGAGCGAACAGGCAAGCAAGCAGACAAGTTCAGACCATGGCAACTCATCAGCGCTTCCTTGTTCTCAAGGTCAATCCACGGCACCCCGCTGCCTTTCTGCGAGGCCTACATCGCTTCGCCCTTGTCCCAGCTCCACGGGAACCAGCTTGATAACAATCTTTGATGCCCGTCGCGCATACAGCTCTCGACCTGCCGCTCTCCCTCCGCCGGACAGCGACACTCCCAGCTCGCGCCACTTGCAACGGCAAGCAAGACCGAGGAGTACAACGGAAACAAAGGTGTCCGAAACGTACCATTATAGACCACGACGCCCACCTCGCCGCCCAGCTCCTTCCTGACCCTCTCAAAGACGCCCGGGACCGTGTCGGGCTTTGTCAGGTCGACAGGGATATGCAGGGCCGCGCCGTCGTTGTTCTTGGGCGGCGTGCGAGAAGCGCTGGCGACTTGGTACCCCTTTGCAGAGAAGGCTTTGGCCAGGGCAGCCCCGATGTTCGGGCCGGCGCCGAGGATGAGGATGATCTTGGGCCCGGAGGATGTCATTGTTCGATTGATTCAGAACCTAATGGGGGGGCGAGACAAGGTGTCGACTCCGAGCAAGCGGATTTGGTCAACGAGATAGCTGTGGTTTTGCTGCAAGAGGTTTATGGAATGCTGGACGCCCAACAGTTTCAAGAGGAGACTCATCGATCCATTCATTATATACCAAACCTCTTCCCCGTCTGTGCGCATTGTCGCCGGCCGAGATCCCCAAGACTTCGAGTCAGCCATCCACCCACCCCCCGCGAGAATCACAGGCCGTTAGAACAAAACCATAAAGGTCGATTTCAAATCACCCGTCTGGGCCTGAATTGCGTGGCTGGTCAGTTGCGGCCTCAACACACCGATGTAGGCCGTGGCCGTCTCGCCGTCCTTCCTAATCCGGCTGACAAACAATGTCCGGTCCAATCAACCCCAGCCGAAGCGAAGGACCGGACGAAAGTTCATACGATGCAGAGCCTGGACCGTCTGCAAAAGTCTCCGTTGAAAGGCATTGCTCTTGTCTAGTCGGATGGATGGAGTGCTTGCGCCTTCGACAGAGCGCGTATTCTCACTCTGGGATTACCTATCATCCAGCTGGGCAGGGTGAGACAGGTCCGACGACCTGGTAACTACTGCAGCCATGGTGTTTTGGAAAATGTGGAATGTCGTCTTGTCAGGTACTGGCTGGGCCAGATTAATGATCAATCATTGCTTGCCTCAATCTTTTCAAGGCTCTGTACCAATTCATATTGGAAGCGGTTCCCTCATCTTCGTCATGCTGTTGACAGGAACTTGGTCTCTCTCGGGTTTCAGCTCTCGCGGTCTCCTGTCTTGACAATCCATTCGTGTCTTGTTACCGTGTCGTGCTTCACACACGCCTTGGTGTCCCTCAAATGGCGCAACTCCAAGCCAGGAGCAGTCCACACGTCTCCATCAGGATATCTTTACCAGCCAGAACCGGCAACAGCTTGCGCACCACCCCAGGCAGACTCGCCAGTTGGAGGAGTTTCCCAGTCAGCAGGCGCAGAGCCAGTGGTCGGGGTAGTCTCCCAGCCAGCACCAACGCCATGTGCACCGTGGGCTTTCCCAGGATCAGGCTGTCCAAAAACCTCAGCTGATTGAGCTTGAGGGCAGCGCGAACGACCATGACCTTTCTCATTGCTATGACTCGCGTTAGAAAGAAAGACACCTGAAAGCTCAGCAAAGCCACTTACCAAATGCTGCAGGTAACCTTAGTCCAGTCGCGGGGTGGACGGGGACCAGCTTGACCTTGCTTGGGACATTCCTGCAAGACCACGTTCAGATGGACCAAACATGTAAGAGAACGGGGGGGGGGAAAGAGACTTACGCGAGCAATGTGGCCTTCCTCACTGCAGATGTTGCAGGTAATCTTTCGTGGTTGGGGGCAGTCTCGAGCCACATGATCTTCGTCGCCGCAGTTACGGCAAGTTCTCTTTTCACGAGCCGGACAGTCTTTCGCCATATGATCCTCCTCTCCACAGTTGCGGCAAGTTCTCTTGTCGCGAGTGGGACAATCTCTCGCCATGTGGTCCTCGTCACCACAGTTACGACAAGCTCGCTTCTCCTTGTTGGGACAGTCCTGTGGAATCGGATCAGTCTTGTATGGTAGTGGGGTTAGCAGTGATAGGACATACCTTGGCCAAATGCTCCTCGGACTCACAGATCTTGCAGGCGCGACCACCACGCTTACGCTCCTGGGCACAGTCACGGACACGATGACCCTCCTCACCACACAAGTAGCAGGTAACGGTGGGCTGAACACTTGCAATTCTTTCCTCAGGGCATCGCTTGGCAATATGACCAACCTTATTGCAATTGTTGCACTTGTCAACTCCACGATCAAGAGGAACGCCGGCATCAGCAAGACGAGCAAGGTTTTCCTCGGTCGACGCTGGCCATTTGTCGACGAGCGTAGGACGCTGAGGTTTGTCGGAGGTGAAGTAGCTCACAGCGTACTTCTTGCCGGTCTCGCCTTGGAGATTGACATTGGTCCAAGTGTCACCATGGTCCTTCAACTGCAGGAGGGGTCAACAGGGAGACTATGTACGGTTTTGTAGAATGCAAACTTACCATGGCAATCAAGTAGATGCTGAAGTCACGCTTGCGGAACTCCTTCTCGAGCTCAGGATAGGTGTAGTGAGGAGCAGCCTTGGACAGAATTTGAAGTGCCTCTTTGAAGTCTCCAATATCACGTTCACTACTGGCTTGCGTGAGCAAGTCCCAAGCCTCGTTCTCCGACTTGTCAGCAACCCGCGCATTGTCGACAAACTTGGGGTTGGTGCAGTTCAGGGCATCGTGGCCTTCCTGGTGACAGTTCTTGCATTTGACGACACGGGTAGGGCAGTCAGCACCCATGTGGCCCTCTTGACCACAGTTGCGGCATTCACCCTTGAATTTGCGAGGGTGAGGGCACTCGGCCTTGGACTGGGTACATTGTGAGCGAGCTCAGCGACAGGAGAGTGAATACCTACATGACCCTCCTCGCCCTGTGAGATATTAGTGAGAGGAGAGCAAAATGCGATGATTCCACTTACGCAGTTGAAACAAGCACCCATCTTGCGTTCATTACCACCATTCATATCATCACCGTGGGTGCCCGCTCCGAAGGCGTTGTCCAAGCCATCAGGCATTGTGATGGCACCATCATCATTCCAGTTTGAATCGACTACCACAGTCAGTACACTCACTAGACGCCAAGTGAGGAAGCCGAACATGAAGAGGGGATTTCCTCTATCATCCACAGATCTGGGTACTTGTAGCAGGGTTTTGTTGCACGTAGGATCCTCTTGCGAAACCTGTACATGTTTGCTTCGAGTGTGCAAGAGGTCGAAGATAGTGTAAACCGTTTGGGAGGAGAATGGGAAGAAGGAAGGAGCGAATTACTTACATGCGCTGGCAGCGCCGGCAGAGTCCCAGCCGCTCATTTTGGTCGTGACGGTGATGATGCGGCAGATGGAAGAGGAAGAAGAAGAGAAAGAAGAAGAGGAAGAAGAAGAAGAGGAAGAGGAAGAGGAGGAAGAAGAGGAAGAAGAAGAGGAAGAAGGGTGATGTCGAGGTCCTGGGGGTCGGGTATGAAAGAAGAGTCAAAGACTGTGAGGAGGTTTGAGTGTTTGAGTCGAGAGAAGGAGGAAGAGGGAGTCAGAGAGGTGACTGCCAAGATGAATCGAGTTGAAAGAGTCGCAGAGGAGCAGAGACGTGTCTTGCGCTCTCAACACAACGCAAACCAACCAACTCTGCCGGACCACAATGCTATCTCGAAGCACTTCTGATCCCTCTGGTGATTATGCGCATGCAATAGCAACGGCAAATCTGCAGTTTGCTACCTCATCGCCGATGGAGGAATGAGAGGAGAGTTGTACAGCCCGACCCATTGTCCCTTTGTTCATGCGCCCAAACTGACATATACTCACAGCCTAGCAGTGGACGCATCTGCACATTAATGGAGACCTACCTAGCTGTCTGTATTGGCTGGAAAGAAGCAGCGCATTGAGGATCGGCAAGGCTCTGAACATTGCCGGGGACCAAGTTTGAGACTCCTACTCACTGGACTCCCTCTTTGCATGCGTCTTGCAGGGGAGACATAACGAGGGCTGATATCCTGCATGAGGACGTGAGTATGCCATCCACGGTTGTGAGCTGATGTGGTAACAGGACGTTGTCTACGACGTTGAGCTTTTCTTTGTCTTCAGGGGCCGTAATCTCGGGTCTGTTAGCGGCTGGTGTGGAGAATGCGGCTATCCGAAAGCTGAGAAGTCGCTGCCATTGGCGACAAGAACAAGTGCTCACAGCCCGTCTTCTACTGGTAGTGATGCTACCGTCGTTCGGACTCAGCCGTCTACATACTTCCTCTGCAAAAGACTGATCGCACTTTGGCCTGGTTCCTCCTCTCTTGAAGCAAGACAAATCTCCACCAGCAACGGGTCCTCCTACGAGATCTGCAGCCGTTTGCTCTTTCCGAGTGTCGTGCTTCTCTGCTAGGTGCTTCGGAGAATTCCAAGAACGCCGTCAAGGGACCCATTCTCGCCGGGGCAGAACGCTACAAGGGCAGAACTCCATTATAGTCTAGGTCGAAATTCCGCCTTCGCCATGTCTCTCAAGTCCTTCCGCAAGATCTTGCCGACCGCGTTCCGAGGGATCTGATTGAGATATATCACGCCACCTCTCAGCTGCTTGTACGGCGCCGTCTTACTCTTGACAAACTCCTTGATCTCTTCCTCTGAGATCTTGTTCTTGTCGGCCACAACGTACGCACGAGGGACTTCGGTCCCTTCTCCAGGCACACCAATCACAGCCGCATCTTCAATCAAAGGGTGAGAGATCAAGAGACCCTCGATCTCAGCAGGCGCCACTTGAATGCCCTTGTACTTGATCAACTCTTTCTTCCTATCGGTTACGTACCACAGTCCATTGCTTCGTTGCTGAAGAATGTCTCCTGTGCAGTACCAACCGTCAACAAAGGCCGCTGTTGTAGCTTCCGGGTTTCTGTAATAGCCCTTGGTCACCATTGGACCTTTTACCCAGAGCTCGCCGGGTTGACCCTCAGGGACGTCGTTGCCATCGTCATCAACAAGTCTGAATGTCGTGTTCGGATGCATTATTCCAACGCTGCCAGTGTCATCGGGCGTTCCTCGAGGAAGTGTGCAGACAGAGCCAGTAGTCTCACTCATGCCATATGTCCCTCCCATTTGAATCCCTGTTCGCTGACCAGCCGAATTGCAGAGATCCGCATCCATTGGCGCTGCACCACCAAGGCCGCCCTCCAAAGAATCAAAATGATCGGTGACATCGGGCGATTTGGCGATCCGAGCCCAGATGGCGGGCACGGTGAAAAAGGCCGTGATTTTGTGCTGTTTGTTGTACTCGATGAATTTCTTCCACTCGTATTTACGCATCCAATAGCACTCCCCACCAGCATACAGTGGGGAGACGAAGTAACCGGCAACTCCAGCAATATGGGCAGCTGGTAGATGAGCGATTGTCCGGAGTGGTGACGGAGTCAGCTCGCCGGACTGGATTCGTGGCAGCGCCCATTCTCGAGCCACCTGTGAAGAGATGACCATCTGAGACACCATCATCTTGTGCGAGAGCATCACAGCTTTGCGAGAATCAGCTCTGCCCGGGAACCAACCAGCTTGACTCACCTTTCGGAACGCCGGTCGTGCCGGACGAGTAGAGTAAGTTGATGATGCTGTCTTCCAACTCCTGTGGATCGGTGATTCTTTTCCAGGTCAGGCGTTTATCCGTCCAGCAGTCGATCTTGCCGTCAACCGATTTAAGACTCCAAGCACGGTAGGTCGAGTCAAGGACAAGCACGCGGTCGAGGCCCAAGGCGCAAGCTTTCGCGGCATCCATCGCGACCCTCACAAGGTCGGGGCTGCATATGAGCAGCTTCCCGTCGCCCTGTTTGATCTGTCTGGCAAGTTCAGAGGCGGTAAAGGCATGGCTTGCACATGAAAAGATGCCCCCGGCGGCGATGGTGCCGTAGAAAGCGACGGGCAGCAAAATCTGCAGAGAGGAGAAGCCCACCACGACGTCCTTCGAATGGCCAGACGACCCAATACCGTATATGTGACGCAGGCTGTGGGCGAAGTTCTCGGTCAAGACTCTGGCGTGCGACTTGTGGAGATAGTTTTCAGTGTTGGCCGCATCTATATGTACCTTTGTATCCTCTTGCGACAGGGCATATTCATTCGGATCTTTTGTTAGATTTTCCCAGCGCATCAGCATTTACCGGGTTTATATACCCAAAACAAAACCCGCAACCCACGACCAAAAAGGGATCCCACACTCACCGAAAAGAAGCGACAAAAGATCCACGCTGGGATATGAATAGTATCTTGGAGCATAATATATCTTGGGAGGCATCTTTGTTGCAGCGTAACGGGAGGGGCAGCGGCACCGGCACCGGCAGCGATAACCAGTCTCAGATCCGTCAATTCAGTCAATTGAGTCCTATCTCGGAGAGCTTAAACGATAATCCCGGGTGATTATGTTTTCCAGCAATTCTTGCAAGTTGTGGCTATCTCGAATGAAGATGTGCACGTCTCAATGAATGTAAGTATCAGTATATGGATATACCAAGCAAGTCCCGAGGAGCAGTGAACTGAGTTTGAATTGGAGCGAGTCTTTCGAATACTAACTACTGTCTACTCGGCACTCTACTTTACATACCTTAGTCACCCTATCTATCTAAGTTAGCCTCGCTAGATGGGGGTGGGTAGACCGAGGTCATTACCGAGGCTGTGTGAGCGCGTGTGCGCTGGGCTGCTGTCTAGGTAGGTCGTGCCATCCAATATAAAGGGCTATCCCTTTAACAGCGGAGTACGGGGTAAGTGCTAGGAGTAGCTAACCGGTGAGGTCGGCAAAAGAGCAAAGACCGAAACGCGGGGTCGGCAAGCAAGCAAGCGTTGGGGGCTGGAGCACCTACGTGCCCACTCGTACAAGGAAATTTAGTACTTTAATCCTCTCTTCCTGCCTCTTACCTCCTCTGAAGCGCTGCGGCTCGGCGAGTCCAGACATCTCCTTTTCAGGGTCTGCATGCAATACGAGGTCTAGCACCGGGCGTCGCTCCCAGGCGGCCAGGTCAGGGGAAGGAAGATCTTGGCCGGCCTCTCGCTGGAATCCAGAGTTGTGCCGCATAGACAGACGAACGGACGGACAGCCGGTTGCCGTCTCGATCGATGCCTTGAGAGAATGAGGGCACAGAAGGACACAGCTGACGGATTCTGTCCAGGCTTTCACGGTATTTACGAAGCCTGCCTACCGCGTCCATCGGACTCGGTAGAAAGGCAAACACATCACATCACTGGGCCGTTCAAGGCTTGATGTTACATCTGCCGTGGAAGGGTAGAACCAGTGGTGGCCCTGATATGTTATGGGTAGTCTGATTGAGGAGTAAAGCAGGACACCACAGAGTATGTATAAAGATGGATCTCTAAAGTAATGATAGCCTTCGAGGCTGAACCAAGAAGCGCAACACTCAGGAGACGATTAGTCATTCGCATTAAAGCACCGTCGGCATTGACGTGATCGAAGCCGCCATTGTCGCAGTCTTTTCGTCGAGGCATCATTCAGGCCCAACTATCTCTTCCAAAAAGACCTCCCAAGAATCCACTCTTTTTGATCTTGGCCGCCTTCTTCTTTGCAATCCCCGCTCGTTGGCTCATCTTCTCCTCGCGGATCGTGGGTCGGTAGTTGACCGCGTTTCTTCGACTACCAGAGCCTTTCCTTACAAACTCCTTTTCTTCGCTGGCATTGCCTCGCTCAGTCTTGTTCGTTACCACCCCGGTTGCAGATACATTTTCATCCCGGCCAGCCATGCTCCCCAGGCTTGAGTTGGTCGTTGCGCGGCGAAGCAGACTGGGCACCTTGTTGAAGGCACCGCTGATTGAGTTGCTTGCGCTCAAGAACGCCAACTTGGTGCTGCCCGAGGACCCAGAAGAGGATGATGCTTGACGGAGCATGCTCAGCCGGTTGACAACGTTTGTCCTCTCTTTGGTCCGTCGTTCCGAGAATGGGGCTCGACTGTCGCCGGAAGGTAAAGCGGGCTTCTTGAACGTGCCCTCGGCTTTGGCGTGCCCATCATCGTCGACAATAAAATCACCCAGATCGTCCCCTTCCTCGGCATTTTCATCCGCTGCAGCCGAATACAGATGTCGGTCGAGATCTACGTATGCCTCGGGATCATCTTCCGAATCGGAGAGACCAAGATCGATAGTCCCCGCCTGTGAATCTGGCTCCTCGATGAGAAACGATACGGATTCTCGAATCTCGGCGAGAGTGCCGGGCCTTCTGTTGTGAAGAACATGGGTGGGACGACTTGATCGTCCAGCTTGATTCAGCTTTGATCCTGCTGTGATTGTGAGGGCTCGGGCACTGCCTGTTAATGGGGGTTGATTCATTCTTTCCTGAGCATCAATACCTTCGTCCTGCTGTGCATTCTGACTATCCTTTACCCGAGAATCGCCCTCGACTGGAGTCTCCGAGAGATCGAGGTCATCTCCATCGTCATCGCTGTCTGGCCGGTCCTCAATGCTTCGCAGAAATGCTTCCTTCTTCTTGTCGTCCGCAATCTTGCCGACAGCTTCATCTTTTAGTAGTTCTCGGCGCATTTTGGCAAACTCTCTTCTTTTGGCTTCCCTTCTTCTGATTACGGCATCTTCTTCGTCCGAGAGGTCAAGGTCGTCATTAGCACGCTTTCGCCGTAATGCACCCGTCGTGATGTCTTTCAGCAGCTTGGAGACGGCCGCTTCGTCTTGCTGACGTTCACGATCTGCAAAGAGCTTGGCCAGTCTGGCTGCATCGCCCACTCCGACCTCCGTATCTTCATCAATCATTCTGCGGTCGTCTTCATTTTCTTCCTCGTTCACCTCATCATCGCTTGCTCCACCGAGGCCAGCATACTCATCTTCAGATTCTTCTGCCGCTTCATCGACGGCCTCTCGTGCTCGTGACTTTGTTTTGTCAAATGCTTCACGAGACTTTTGTTTGGCTGCTCTTTGCATGATGTCAAACGCCGATGGATCATTCGCTTCGGTCGACTCCTCATCCGACCTATCGAGAGATATACGCCCGCGCACAAGCCTAGCCTTTCTTTGCATGATGGGGCTATCTTGCACATCATTCGGGAGTATGACGGTATCCACAGTTGAGTGCGGTGCTGGTTGTTGAGGAGTGTCAGTGGCAAAGCGATTCCCCAGGAAAGGACTCAGTTCGTATCCCGCGTCCTGTGTTGGTTCGAAATGCACCTGTGAAGGAGTAAAGTCCACACTATTAAGACGCGAATGATTCGCCGGGGTCTGTGAAACTGGCTCAGATCCAGAAAACGACAGGTTGACATCCAGTGGTTGCGTCTGAGAAGCTGGCTGACTGTCGGTGATCATGTCGACCGAATCAAGACGGTAAAGTTTTGGTACCATTGCAATGTTCGGCGACGGAAGGTCTGCCGTCATGGTGAGGCTGTCTTGTTCTTGCGCGTTCACCGTACTCTGACTTTGCGAATCTGCCATTGTAGCGGCAAAGGCCTGGGTTAGGCCGATCGGAAGGTCGTCTGACATCTGCAGACCAGGAATCTGCTTTCTCGCTGAACGAGACATGGATTGGGGGGTCTTTACAGGCCTAGGAAGCTGTGGAGATTGTAGCGTCGCAGATGATATGTCTTCATCTTCGTCGTCGCTGACTATTCGATTTCTTCGGCTTTTTCGTGGCATGGAGTCAGTTTGCAAACCGCCTTCTTTGACCGCAGCATCGGAATGCTCGTTCTCATCATCGGGGTCGGCCTCTGAAGAAGAAGATTCGGCGGAATCTTGTTCTTCAGCTAGATCGTCAAGTAGATTGCCCTGCATATCATCATTTCCTTCCACATCTTCTATCCCTTCCTCCTCTTCATCGCCATCATCGCGCTCGGCATCACTCCCATCTTCCTCTTCAGAATCCCCATCTAGATCACCGTCCTCATCTTCAGCGAAATCTTCGTCGTCACTTTCGTCTTCATCATCCAGCTCATCCTTGGTGTAACTACCGTCCTTTTTTGCAAGGGCCTTTTCACGTTTCTGGATCTCCACAGCTTCCTGTCGCGCTCGCTCCAAAAGATCTTCCACCTCCTGTTGTTCGCGCTCCCGCTCCTCGGCTGTCTGCACAACGACTCCTTTGGCCTTTAATTCTTCGATTCTTTGTTGTCTTTCTTGCCGGGCCTGCGAACGAGCGGCCCGTCGTAATGATGCTTCCATTTCGGCTGCGTTCATAGAGTGCTTGAGATCTTCACCAATTAGATTTGCAAGCGAACGCAATGCCAGGTATGACGGAGCCTCTTTAGCTTTTCGTGAAGGCAAATGCTCGAACGCCGCATATTTGCGCATGTCGCCGTGTGAGGTGACCACTTCGAGATCTGAATCAGAGCCGTCATCCTCTGACCCAGTCGTCGCAGCTAGTGAGATCTTGGAAAGGACTGATTTGTCTAACGGCTTGACAGAAGGTTTCAGTGACTGCTCGTCTGATGCGTCGACCCGGAGTGCTGTCACCGAATGGGTCTGAACTTCTTGCCCCATGGGTCCCACAGAAAGCGCCCTTCCTTTGCCCTTGTTTGGCCTTTCAACGGCGACCTCCTTTTGGTCGTTGACGATTTCCTCCGAGATTGGGCTGGTAGGAGGCGTCTCGCGAGCATTGCCAGCTTCGTTGTCTGATGCTGCTCTAGAGCTGCTGGTAGGACAGAGGTCGGCTTCTCGCTCAAGTGTCGAACTTGCGAACGGAAAATTGAATCGAGCCAACAGACTGTCCTTGGTTATTTTCTTCTTTGTCCGGGCTTGATGTGCAAGTTGCATGTTTCGACTGATCCTTTGGGTCTCCCGATTCATTTCTTCAATAGCCTTCTTGCTTGCCTTTCGTATGGGACGTGCGTGCTTTGACAGCTTCTTCCCTGCAGCTCCCTCAGAGAAATCACTCTCCTCGTCCGTATCATCTGCAGGGCTTGAACCGCGGATCCTATGTTGTCCTTCTCCTTGAGATTTCAGGCTTTCAACACGGGCCGCTTGCTTGGCGGCTTCTTCTGCTTCCTTTTCGAGTCGTTGCTTTCTGTGCTTCTCGACGAGGGCAAGAAATTTCGACTTTTGCTCTTTGGGGGACGGAAAAAATAGCGGAGAAGGTGATCGTCGTGAAGGCGTACCTTTTGGGTTCGTGTTGGAAGTGCGCCGTCCTGCGAAGATGTTGTCCTCCTCTGAATCGTCTGAATCTCCGTCTTCCTTGTTCAACTCCACGCGGGAGCTAGGTTGAGGGTTAACATGCTCATAACTGTGCTGCGGAGGAGCAGGTGGATCAGAGTTGATGTCCTTCGCAGACTGGGGTCGCCGTGGTGCTAAGATGTCATCATCATCTGAATCATCGGAGGGATTTTCCAGCTTGTCCTTCTCCGGCCTGGGGGCGGATTGAGCAACAGGATTCTTGTCGACTTGCTGAGGCCGAGGAGGAGTAGCGGTATCAGAATCCGAGTCATCGAATTGGGCAAGCAAAGCCCGAACTTTTCGCGTTGGAGTCAGTATGTTTGATGTTGCGCTCGTGGGTGAGCCAGCGGCGGAGGGGGAACTTGTTTCTGAAGCCATTTCGGTCTATACAACGCCGCGATGGTTGTGTTCTAGGAGTCTAGCATGTTGCAATGTCAATATCTTGTTGAGTTTTTTCGCGAGAAGATGCCATTGGCAAAGAATGGCTTTCGTTACTTAGCTCGCGTCGCGCGTGAACGCGAAGAACGCGTGACGTCAGTAAGCGTGGGGGGTTCGGATAAGTCCAAGACTTTACTTGGGTACCCCGTATTTCCATGCACCACATACGCGATGAGGACCTCGACTTTGGGAGACATCCAACCTATATCGAATATTCACAGGCTTTGTGTTCCAACAGGCCCTAGCGATATCGTTCGATCACTGGGAATCAACTTCTATCTCGTTCGGGTGGGTAGCGGTGCGCGGTTCCGCGCCTCACTATGTGTCCCCCAAAAATAGTCATGTCTGATATTGAAGCTCTGCGGACAGAATGGACGACATTATATTCTGAAATCCTGCCCCAAATGGCCAAATCTGGCGATCCTGCTCAACCTGTATGGCCTGTGACTTTTGACCACTGCTTTGCCCGCATCATTCTCGACAGCGTAATAGGCAACAGTCAGCAACCATGGGACGCGATAATACATAAACCCGCCATTAGGAACATGAATGAGCAACAGTTGCGGGATGCCATCGCACTGGGGCAGAAGATTCGAGCTGGAGAAGTCGACCTTTGTTGCTTAGACGAGGCGAGCCTACGATGCAGAAGCAAGAACGAAAGAAAGTACGCAAAAACGACCCCCAGCAAAACAGTGGCGCACAGACATCAACCAGCGTCAACTATTGCTGGTCGAAAACGGGCCGTAGAAGAGGTTGACCGTCCTGCTGCTCAGTCAACAACGGTGAAAAGCAGGAAGACAGGGAAACAACAATCAACGCTCAAATTCCGCCAGTCCGAGACTTCTACAGAATTGACCAGCACTGCGAACTTTGCTGCGGAGGGCAAGACAACATTGGCAAAAGCGACCCAAGCAGGCAAGGAAGAGCTAAAACGAACTCTAGATCGTATCCATTCCCATCCTTCACTGACTCCATATCGAAAGAAGCTCTATACCACACTTCTTTCTGTTCCACGTGGACGCTACACGACTTACGCCGCAATCTCCGACTATCTCAAGTCTTCTGCTCGAGCGGTGGGAAACGGGATGCGCAACAACCCTTTTGCTCCTGACGTGCCATGCCACCGCGTTTTAGCAGCAGATGGAAGTATTGGCGGGTTTCATGGTGACTGGGGTAAAGATGGGAAATATGCGACCAAGAAAATTCAACTGCTTCGGAGCGAGGGAGTTAGATTTGATGGTCGCGGCAAGGTTCTTGGTAAGCCATTTAGGGAGTTTCAGCCCTTGACCGATGTTGAGGGTGGTATTTTGCTTTAGCTACAACAACGGTGGAGAAGATTACTCTATCTAGAACTCTATTATGCCATCAGCGACCAGGTTCGTCAGACCAGAGTTGGACTGATGTCCACTGTGTTGCTATTCCTCTCTTTCAATACCTTTAAGATTTATGGTTAGTGCTTCTATGAGTTGTTGCTGATGGAATTTTCCTACTAAGCGCTCTGATCATCGAAGAACTCCAAGAACGTGGAGAAAGATGTCGGTCTTGCTTATATTTTCTTCGAACGCAAAAGGCGCGACAAACAGACCTTTCCCGAGATAATCGCTTGCATCCTAAAGCAGCTACTATTAGGGGTGGAACAGCTTCCTCAATGGCTTCCACAATGCGAGGAGTTGTTTCAGGGTTGGCGACATCGAAGAACGCCAAATGTTGACAGTATAAACGCAGCCATACGAGCATTGTGTCAAAATCGAAGGGCGATGTTTGTAATTATCCATGCTCTTGATGAGTGCGACCCCGACGCCCTGTTTAGCTTCTTTCCTAGCGCTTTTGGACGAGCTCAGAGACCATAGAACGAGATGTCTCATTACGAGTCGAGAGGCTCTGTCCACTATCACCCATTCCTCAACTTGTTGGAGTCGTCACATTTTCGTTAGCGCAAGCGGCGATGATATCAGAAGCATAGTTAGACACAGGTTAAATGACTGTGCGATAGGTGAGCTCATCGATATCACGTTAAAAGAAAAGACCATGAGAAGCATTTTGGAGAAAGCGAACGGCATGTGGGTCGCACATCTGTCATGACAATGATAATGATTCCGACTAATAATGAAAATAGGCTTCATTTACCACAACTATTACCTGAATCTCATTTCGAACTGTAGATGCAGAGAACAGATTTTAGGAATGATCCATCAATGGTCGGCAGGACTATGGGGCTTACCTTAAATAGAGAGCCCGACGATTGATAGACTTGTTCAACTCAACAGCCGGAAGATGTTCGCGGCGTCGCGGTCGAAAATTCCTCACGTGGCTGTCCAGTGCGCAGACACCGACCACCATCCATGAATTACAGCATGCTCTTGCTGTCAAGTTTGGAGAGAAGAATTTCAACTTCGACAGAATCTTTCAGCAAACATACCTTGTTTAGTTGTGCCAAGGACTGGTTGTAATTGGTAAGGAGATCAAAATTCTTCGGCTCGCCCATTCGTCCTTGCCAGAATACTTCACGCAAAGTTGTCAGCGACTGTTCACAACGCGACACAATATGTCATATCTGGCACTTGATGACAGAAACGAGGAGCTCATCATCCAATGAAGCAGACCAGAGAACCAAATGGCGATTACTGTCTTTGCTCCCGTATGCTGCAGGAAGATGGACATATCATGCCAAAAGAACTTTCGATGTGTCAGAGTCTCTTCGGAATGGACCTGAAGACTAAGCGCCATTTCTATCGGGCACGGAGCAGTTCTTCGGCACCCCTCCATATCGGGGCTCATCATGGTCTTCCATCGTCTACTAAAGCCACTGCTCCCCCACGATATGTCCTTCTTAAACACGCCTGATGAAAATTGACTAACGGCTCTTGCAAAGCGGTTGAGCAAGGTCAGTGGAAGGCCGTGGAAGTCCTTCTCTCCTGCATAGGCGTCAACGTATACTTTGGATATACCCTCTTCAGAGCCATCGACCGGCACAACTACGATTTCGTAGAGACACTACTTTCTAGGTCGGACTTCAAACCGGCAGCTCTGTCACGCTACCCTCCAGTGTGGATCTTATTCCTCGATGGAATAGTCGGATGGAGAATTGATCAGAAACGAGACTGACTCTCTGTCATGTTCCGGACTGTGGCTAACTGAACCATTAACTACTAAAAGCTCATTCAATGGCTACACAAGAGGAGAGCCCCAACAGGAAAGCAGAATTGTGGATGTTGAAGCATTGAAGGCCCCCCCAGCAGCCAGCACGGGTTTCTTCATTTCCCAGGTATCGACCTCCCAATCCTCCAGATATGCTCTCAATACTTGACAGCTGTTGACGGTGAAGAATGCCCTATGAATATCACCCAGAATCACATTTGGAGGCGAATGGCTCAGAATCCTTCGGACAGGAGCTTACAGGACTAGTGAGAAGGGGGGAGATGAGGAGGAATTCATACAGTGTTGCCCGGCAGGTGATCAATCCTCCAATTTAAGCATGGCGTACCTCGTACCCGCTCTTTATTAACGAGCATCCCGATCGTTCCGCTGAATTCTTTGTTCTAGAAAATCAACATCGTTATTGGTCCGTTGGTTATACTGGTGGGTGCCTGGAGAATAGTGATTGGCTCGAGGAAGAGAGGTTTGCTCCCATTTCCGCCCCGAATCAGTTGAGCAAATGAGAAGCAAACCATGAAAGGCATCTTCTCAAACAATGTTAGGCTATCTAGCTCTTGATAAGTCACAGATACCTATGGCAGGACGCTCCCTTCCTCTTTTCACATCTCTCCTCTCGAGTTCGAGAATGAAAGCCAAAAGAGTTTCCCGCTTCAAACGTTCTATGTCCTTTAGAAGGGACCCGGATTGGGATCTATCTCAAACTGATCCAATCGGCTAAAGTCGACGAAAGTTAGTGTTAGGACTGCTCAGGGATCGCTCAGGGATTGCTCCAGAAGCAGAAGGTGAGCCGATGGTGGAGCCGAGGGCGAACAAAGAGGCGAGCAGCTAATCACAAGGAGAACATGGATGTTTAGCCCAATCGGTGATAGTCATGTGATCGGCTAACCTTCCTTCCAACATCAAAGCAAGGTCGCGGTTGCACGAAATCGACGTCGACCTCGCTCAACTCGCTGTCCCTGCAGCATTCCCGAGATGCTGAGGAGCTACCGAGTACAGGAAATGACTATCCAAGCATTTGTTACAGGCTCTTCAACATGGCACTTTCGCCGGAAAGGGTATTCGGTATCTTGATCACCGAGGATATAGATGAAATATTAGTTGGACGGAGAGACACAAGCTTCTGTGGTGAGACCGACGTCTTTTCCAGGCTGCCAGATGAGATTGTGGATCTGATCCTGTCCAACCTCATCACGGGCGATATCTATCTGTACCAGGCCGGTTGCCCGTACACTCTCCACGCCGCTGCATACCTCAGACAAGTATGTCGTCGATTTCGAAACCTGATCGATGGGTTGATGTTTATTACTCCTCTCCGGCACATCCGGCTCATAGGTGGTATTTCCGGCGACTACACCGAGATGACGACTGTATATCGAGAATATCGGAATAGTCTTTAGCCAAGACTGTCCGCAAGGAAGAGCGATGACATTCCGTTAATGTTGATTGTGCACTTCATGCCATCACTTAACATGACTGCTGCTGCGAATTGGTTTTGTGGTGATAACCTCGCAATACAACTGAAGGACGCTTATGTCGCAGAGAAAGCCATAACAGCGCATCGGGTGGCAGCACTTATCCTTTCGCGAATCTTGCGACAAATCATTCACAGACGATTTCAGGGAAACCTCGAAGTCGCCCTCCATTTAGTCTTCCACGAGGTCGACGGTACATTTTTTCGAGGGGACGAGTACTTTGAGAAGAGACATTGCCATCCAGAGTTCATGCCTTTCGTGAGTGCCCCCTTCAGGTTGCCTTTGGACTTCAACTTCGTAATTACATTGTTCTCTGGTCGAAACCCTGCAATAGTAACCCAGACTAACATATGCTTACAGTGGGAAACAGACGCCGTGCAGATCATCCTGAAAGAGTGGCAATGGATATTTCGACTCCCTTGTGAGAATCACGGCTATCTCGTCCTAGTTGCTCTCCCCAATATCGTCCGGGCGACTTTGACTGAAGTCCCCGAAGATGAGCAAGAAGCTGCCAATCAATGCGTTGCCGAACTCTCCGAAGCTTTCACACCAGAGAACGATCCGCCAAACGAGGAAACGCATCTTTTCAGCCCAGATGAAGATGAGATTCTTGCTGCAGATCAGATCTGGTTACCTGGCTTTCCCCGCCCTGTCACCGCTGTTATGGAATCGCTTTTTGCAAGGTGGCTTGGAATGTGGACTGTGACGAGTGGGAGGTACTTCTGCTTCGCTATTCGAGGGTTACTCGTAGGGGTCGATCCCGATGGGAGAATAGCCGTTCTAAAGCGGACCTATCGACTCCCATTACAGTCCACCGAGTCTTCGAATGACCCAGCCTCCCAGGCTGTAGATGGAGAGAAGATGCGTCCACACCGAGCAGTGCTCTTGAGACGACCTGAAATAACACCGGGAGTCATGGATTGGTGAAGGCAATGTAAGAGTCCCCGCACCAGGAACCTTCTTGTACAGACTCCTCGTCTAGAGAATAAGATGGAGCAGAAGAGGGACGTGTAAAGCAGCAAGGCTGAGGCGAACGAGCAATCATCAAACGGACTGTTCTGGGAAGAGGTCTGTGTGAAGGGAGAACAGTTATTATCATTTTGGGAGGCGACCGCTTCTAATACGAAGTCAGAGGATGTTTCGGTGGAGGAACCGCGACACTCTTCGACGATACAACAGGTATCAAGGATCCGTATTGTTTGCCATGAAGTCAGCGAATCGCCTGAAAAATTCCCTTCTCTTCCGCGAAGCTCCCGATATACGTCCAACCCCTTTGTCGCTGTTGACGATGGCGACGTCCCCCTCTCCAAGTAAAGTCGTTGTGCGTGTCAGCTCGAGCTTGACTAATATCGCTTTTCCGATCATGTACCGACGTTGTACCACGCCAGGGACCTCATGGCATTTCTGCCATGCTCCATCGCAGCAGCAGCAACTTGGACCATCCAATATTGTAACTCCACTGCGGAGTTCCAGTCCATTGTCTGCTTCATCAAATCGGCGTCTGGCAGCTGCTTCATTTCCGGTGTTCCTCCAGGGACATATAGTCCTATTTTGCCTTCACAGAGAAGCCGCAGCCTCTACAGCACCAATCCCCTTGAACGCAGCCTTGCTGGTCACCACGATCTCGACCGGATATTTCCATTCCATGAACTGCTTCCAACCTGTGGTTTCTCAATTAGCGCCCCCCCCCGACAGAAGAAAGCTTGCGCAACACGGGAATGCAGTCCACCCGCATATATGTCACATACCCCAGTAGGCGAATTTCCTCCCGAAATATTTCCCGACGTAGGGGACAATCACCATAGACAGCAGTAACTCCAGCTGTTGCAAGCTCTCCTTCCACTCTCTCTCTGCGTCTGACTCTGAATATTCTTCATCTTCGCTCACAGTGACTTCGTCGGAGTCCGGTTCGGAAGGTAGGGAATCGATGTCATTGTTGTCGTCGCTGGAGGGAGGTTCTATGAAGGAAGCAGCTGTGCCATCTGTTTCGGACATCTTTGGCAGTGGAAGATTTTATCGCCTTCAGCCAAGGACAGGCTTCTGGGGAGAGGAGCTTAGGACAGAACCATAGCAGCAGTCCAACACCGGGGCGGGATGAAACAATGAACTGGAGTGCCTGCGTCGGTAGTGTCCAAGTGTAATACCTAGATGCACGAATGAAAGTCGACAAGGCTACTACAGGTCACTGGGGTGTTGTCTGACCAGGTGAGCCACGAGGCTCGCATGTCAAATGTGCGTGGCGGATTTGTCAGACCGCAACAGATTAAAGTGGCACGTGCCATGCGTCACTCGGGATCTTTGAGCAGTTTGACTCATTATCGCCCTTCGTATTATTTGAAGGGAAAAATTCCCGGACTTGCACTTCTTAATTCCACACATCTTCCTGAACATTCTCGCACACATTCAGAGAGCAGACAAAGGAGCAGACAAAGGAGACCCAGGGCATTCGCATCTCTTCTCATCTACAACACATTCAACCATCACGAATCATGGCCGAAGTTGTGCGTAACGCCACACAAATCCCCACCTCGCACGCAGATGGCTCACCAGTCGGGGAAACCATTCTGAAACCGCATGCACCTTGCCCCACCAGCAAGAAGAATTCAGACATGACTGACACATCATCTGCTCTTCTACAGGAACAACCTCAACCGATTCCTCATCGAAAGCCTCGCAAATCCGTCGCATTCAGCGGCGATAGCACCATCATGGATGAGAACGGCGAGATCTCAGAAGCGCCTCTGTCCAGCTCAGAGGACAAGGTCACAGCGGAGAAACATTCATCACGTATGGACGCTCCGGGATCATCAAAGAGCAAACTAATACTGACACCTCATGAATCCACAGCGCCCGATGACCAAGCCGTTGATGAAATGACGGATATGTTCGCCGGCCTAAACAAGAAAAAGAAGAAACCGACCAAATCAAAAACTGAAGACAAGGAGGATGGCGAAGCTGCTGCTCCTGCTGTTGGTGCCGACGCCGACTTCGACGCCTCCGCTTTGAAGAAGAAGAAAAAGAAGACGACCAAGCCCAAGGCCGAGGGAGAGGACTTCGCTGAGAAACTCGCCCGGGCCGGTCTTGCGGAAGCGACCACTGAGGAGGGAGAGGAAGGCGCACCACAAGAACAAACAGGGGATATGACTCAGGGAACAGGAATTTGGGCTCATGATGCCACTAATCCGATCTCCTACGATCTTCTCCTCAAACGATTCTTCCATCTTGTCAACGAACACAATCCCGACATTCTGTCCTCGGGAAGCAAATCATACAAGATTCCACCCCCTCAATGTCTAAGGGAAGGCAACAAGAAGACGATCTTTGCCAACATCGCCGAGATCTGCAAAAGGATGAACCGAAACGACGAGCACGTCACCCAGTTCCTGTTCGCCGAACTCGGCACAAGCGGTTCGGTCGACGGGTCCAAGAGACTGGTCATCAAGGGCAGATTCCAGCAGAAACAGATCGAGAACGTCTTGCGACGATACATTGTCGAATACGTGACGTGCAAGACCTGCCGATCCCCTAACACTGAGTTGAGCAAGGGTGAGAATCGGCTGTACTTCGTTACCTGCAAGTCTTGCGGCAGCAGACGGTCCGTGACGGCAATCAAGAGCGGTTTCACGGCCCAAGTGGGTAAGAGAAAGAGGCTCAACGGATAAACGTGAAAGGGCCGGATTCAGTCCGACGTACCCGCGTCGGGGGGGAAAGGGCACGGCGTTGGTGAAAAAGATACAACTCCGTGTGAAAATAGTCACGGGCAGGCTCTAAACTGGAAATTGAACTCGATGATATGGAGCACACAGAGATTTACAGGTGTAACGCTCATGAAAGTAAACGTAGGATCGCTACCAGTATTAGAAATGTCATTGGTTTTCCCTTTTCACACCTCCCGATGGGCGTTCCCGCTCATAAACGCAGAAAAGGCAGCTGTATTTCGTGTCTGCATGAAGACCGATCCAGGACCTGTGAACTTACATACCAAGCCTTCGCCCGAGCTGATTCCGGAGATGATGCCCCCGGAGGCGATGCGTTCGAGGACGTACTTGCAGTTCCAGGCGACGAGGTGGCCGTTGTCGATGATGTACTTTTCGCCGTCGACGAGCTATATACACATATGTCACCCAGTCAGAAATTGAATATTTTACCACGAGATTTCACGAGGTCAGAGGGAGTTGAGCGAGGGTGGCCTGGGCTTCTTGGCTGTGATGGGGACACTCACATCTTTCCTCAGCACCGCTCCAAAGGTGGACATCCACAATATGCCAATACCGGAGATCTTGTAGACAAATAGGCCCTCGCCGGAGAACATGGCCTTGCTGATTGACTGACTCTTATATTCTCTCACCACTCCCTGCGTGCACGCCAGAAACGCATCGCGCCCGACACTCCACGTCTCGTTCCCCGCCAGACGCAGAATGGAGATATCCCCCAATGTGCTGGGCGCGAGCAAAATCTCCCCAGGGCCCGTGAACGTCGAATGTGCCATCTCTCCACCAATCAGTAATTTCTTCATGCTGAATTTTATATTCCCTTTCAACATGACCGAGGGACTCATTGCGATCATCACCCCCGGTTTGGCTGTAATGGGACACCCCATCGCCAACTGTATCGTCAATATGGAATTCGTGTCGCGGTGAGAGATGCGATACGACCCGCCATTGAATGTCCCTACATCGTCCTGCGTCGTGGCTTGGACACCGACGAATTGGCCGCCTTGAGGGACCCCCACCAAAGAGGGTCCTTGAGGCACTTTCATCACGTTCGCCATCTCCTGGGTAAGTTTTTGCAGGCGCGGTGAAGCAACTTTTTCGTCGGCTTCGTCAAGGGAGGTTGTAGGGCCATTGTACGAAGGTTGTCGGTTGTGAATTGCGCTGTGGTCGAAGGTGGTTTTGTGGGCAGGCGCCGAGGCAGGGACAGTAGAATAGTTGAATGGTCGTTGGGCGGTGGGTTGCTGGATGGGAGGGGGGGAAGGGGTCTGCCCAACTGCATGGGATATGGGAGGAGGAGGATACGAGGGATTCTGCGGAGGAGATGGCCCTGATGGAGGTGGTGGGAAGAAGCTGGGAGGCGGGGACTGTTGGGGAGGAGGAGGAAATGATGCTAAATGAGATCAGCCTTGTCGGAGACTAAAGGACGAGATCTTGTTCAATGCCGTACGTTGGCCATTAGAAGGAGGTGCTGGATGCGAGTTAGTGACGGCTCAAGCCGGATCATAGGCGAGGGACTCAAACGAGGATAATAGCCTCCTTGCGGCTGTCCTGGGCTAGGAAGAGAATAGGACATGATGACTATGGCTGCTGGAAGCAGTTGAGGGAACCTCAAGACGGAGCAAAGAACTCGGAACTAGATAGTGAACAAGATGAAGCTCAACTTTTGCACAGTGACCAACGAGGTCGATTAAATGGTGGATGTCAGTCAGGACATTAGATGTTAGAAGTCTCAGTTGCCCGCGGCGTGTTGAGAGGCCGACGATGTCTTTATATAGAGAACATGATCAGCAACGAAGAAGGCAGAAGACGGTCAGTGAGCAGTTAGCCGCCATGGTCCATTCATGAGGCGAGGTCAGTCCATCTCACCAGCTGGACATGCTTGGTCGACCTTGGTGTTGCAAGGAGCAAGCCATGTGGTTGGTTGGAGAATGTTTCGGCAGGGCGCCTAGACATTGAGGGGCATTGGCGGGCGTTTGGCGAGTCGGCAGCCCAGTCCAGAGGGGTGAGTGCCCCGCGCCACCCAAAGTGCCCGTACCCGGGAGACCTGCTTATAAGGGGACTGCCTGCGCTGGTACCTAAATGGCACCTAAGTAATAGAGCAGCTTGGCGCTCACAAGGCACGGTCCGAGGGAGAAGCGGGTTTGGTTAGTGAAAGAGGGCGCAATGCTGAGGCTGCATGAATTCCTTGTATCGAGTATCGATAATTCTGTGGAGCTAGGACTGCGCGTGACTCACCCAGGCCGTGTCGACTTCGACACGACTGGCCTGGTCGACAACTGTGCAGCCTCGATTGACCCTATTCATATTGCAGTCGTCGCTCGACAGGTGAGAGAAAGGGCGCCTATTGAAACAACAATCTACATTTTTCTCTTCCTCGTTCACTCTTCCTTAAAGCCTCCTCTTCTTGACACTCTTCGATATCTTCACACTTGTAGCATATCAAAATGCCCAGTTCCCTCGGACTCCCAGATCACTTTCTACACGATGTCATTGCCTTGCTGATAGATTCAACACAATACAGAGGTTGGCAGATATCGCTGAGACTAGTTAATCGTAAGGTTTACTGAAATCTACTCGTGGGATCTACTAACACGACTTCTTCTCTTGTAGGTCAATTTAATGAAGCTGTCCTTTATACATTCTTCTTACGACAGAGACTTGCAGCCACAGTAGGTGGCCACTCACTCGATTGCGTCCCTCCATGCGACGACGTATTCTGCCAACGTCATGTCGATTCTCGGCGAAGACAACTATATGCGGCACGCTTTAATTTCCAGAGTCTACTTGCTACGCAAAGATTGCCTGGTGATACTGTTTACACTCAGCATTCCTTACCGCAGTGGGAAGCAGCTCTAGCGATACTACGAGCGGTAGAGGCCTCGGGACAGCTCGATATAAACAATGCTCAGTTTTACTCGACCTGCAGCGATAATCCAATATTCAATGATATTCCAACGGCGATTCTCTCTGCGGCTGTGGCTTCTAAATGGGGAACACAATTCCTATCTAGCGCCCAACACGGTTTATGGATTCAGCATTCTCAAGCTCAGCCAGCTATATTTTGGGTGGCTTTATGTGCATGCGTACTAGGCGACTTACAATTATTTGCGCTATATACGCACGAACTGACTATATCTATTAAGACTTCTTCGGCGCCAGGCTATGCGACTCCCTCTATTGACACTCAACTCGAAGACTTATTGGAAGTGGCGATAAGATTTACGAAACTGAGCATTGTCGCTCGTCTACTGGAACAGAATCCGAATATAATGTTCGAGACACCAAAAAGCAACTATATCCTTCTACAAGCTGCTATTTTCTCTAGCAGTAATGAAGTACTGAAAGCTCTCCTCGAATATACGCCTAATATCCCCGATTTACTGACTACCGCCTTATCTCATTATCGAACTTTACTACCGCGGTCTAGCAGTAGCTCAGAGACCATTCGCTTATTAACACGACATTTCGCCCCTCTTTCTACGAGAGCACGTACTTGGCTAATTATGCATTCGTGTGCAATCGGCGACGTAACGCTTCTGAAAGAATTCTTGATGGGGCCGCTCTTTGACGATCGAATCGACGATGTACGTGGCCGCGAACCAACATATATGCACTTTGCCGTGCGTTGCGGCAATATTGACTGCTTTCGCTTCTTATTCGATCATGGAGTCGTTATAAATCAACATCGATATTCGTGGGAACTGGTGACGGAGCAGACTCTATCATACAACCAAATAGAATGCTATCGAGAACCATATCGGCGAATTCCTGGGCACGATTATGAATGGAATTCACCTGGATCGGCACGCTTCTTCATTCAACTCACTTCGGCAGAAAATGCAGAAGGGCTCATGGCTGAGTTTATCCGCAAAGAACCTCTCATTTTAGAGCAAGTAGGGGATTCAACTGACGGGCCGCAACCAACAATGGCACAGAGAGCGTTGTGGAATGCTCTACAAAGACTTAGGCCTGGTAATCTAGAGTTTCTCCTGGAGATAGGAGTACGCCCATTCCCATGGCAGTTGTTGACAATGCCGGAGCATTATCCGGAGCAGTTCAGTCACGATCCGTTCGAGATCCAATGGCCTTATTTCAACATGAATCGAGATGCATTTCTGAGCATCCAGAAGCTGCTAGAAGCTTTCAACCTACCGAAGCTGAGGGTGAAGGTGTGAAGGTGTTAGTTGACTCTATAGTATGGCAACTTCGAACTGGTGTCAACCTGCCAACACCGAACCCGCTCGGATATCTCGTGTTGACAGGCAGTCAAGTGGCAACTGCCTCGGTGCTGATCTCGCTGTTAGGCTAGGCACTAGTCTGGCCTCGTTGCGTCCACAGTGTCGCAGCTATCTCAGTATCGCAACCTGAAACGTTGCAGAGCGAGGCTTGCCAGATCTGGACCTGCCCAGATCTATTCAGGAGAGGTCCTGTTGTTACAGCCCAATTTGTATATAAATAAGAAGATGCTCGCTCGGAACGAGTGAGGACAGACACAATTGATCAGTTGCAACCAATGCAACCTAGTTACGTAGTTAGCTTGAAAAGTCTCACATCTCGCCATCGTTCCTGACAGATAGTACAGTACAGTACAGCAATTCTATAGTCTCTAAAGCACTTCGTAGCCGAGTACTTTCAGGGCCATGATTCATTCTAGCAAATGCGCACGCGTTTTGAGATTTCAATTCGGATCTAATGTATTCCCACGCCAACAGAAGTTCCACTCACGCACTATATGGACAGTATGGATTCATAACCGAATAAAGCACAGACAAAAGATTACGCAAACGATCCCCCCACCCTACCGTTTCACCTCCAGCTCGTGCTGCCAGTTTCGGTACATTAGCCAACGTCAAGAACTGTGCGCCTCTATGCAAGGGTGACAACCGAGTTATAGCTTGCACTACCGAAGCCAGCTCTTTGCAGAACAGAATGTCGGGGCTTCTGGAGCCCCAGTCATTGGCATGGAAGGCCAACAGGTTCACGGTCCCTTTCCCATTCGCAGTCCTGAAATAGGCATCGAACGCTTCTTTTTTGGCTGGGTCGGTGTCTGATCGCCGGAGGACGACCACGTTGTTGTTTGGATTTCCGAACTTCCTCGGCATACCAAAGCTTTCGAATATCGAGTCAATCGTCTTCTCAGTTGATGTGTTGGCGATTCTTGTTTGGGCGATCGCATCTATCTTTGAAGTATCCACGCCTTTGGCCTTGAACAGAGCCATCGTCAATTCGGTGTAATGTGCTTTCGGTGACATGGCACTGGTGTCCTTCTTCTTGTAGCTCCAGTCTGTAAATGCCACCTTCTGATCTCCTGACCATGACCACTTCAGAGTTGGCTGTGTCGCACCGTTCGATGTCAGAGCTTCTCTGAAGCCCCTGGTGTCACTTAGCGTCACGCCAGCTTGCGACAATAAAGGTGGAAATTGTCCATGGTCCAGAGCAAAGTTGAACACATCATCGAACTCGAATGGCTGCGGGGCTTCATCGCCTAATTTTACTGGCACGAGGGGAACTGTCGAGCCGAAGACAAAGTTGTTATTGATCTCGTCGGTTCGTACCGGATCATCGGGGGCATCAGTGGCAATCCTGCTCTGCAAATTTGCCAGCTTGTCGTTGACCAAGCCTGTGCCGCGTTCACTCTGGACCTCAAGCAAATAGTCATATGCGACAGCATCATCATCCACAGGGCGACCTGCTCGTGTGGCAGCAACGGCGTCTGGGGCTTGACCAGGCACATCATCGCCAATATTGTCAGAAGGCCCTGGGCAAGGCCCGTCTGAGCGCTTCAGGCCACATCCAGCGGCATCCGACACCGTCGTGGGCTGCGGCACAGGAGTAAAAGGATCATCAGCAGATACTGGCTGTAGAACACTATGGTTGGGATCAGGTTCAATGGACGGACTTGGGGTTTGGCTTGGCACTGAAGTCGGGCTCGCGCTTGGTTCTTCGGAGACTTTGGGCTTAGTCGGGTCAAGTCCTGCGGCAGGATTACTTGCGGGTTCTGTGGATGGACCGTCCAGGTGGCTTGGTCCAGTCGCTGGCGAAACTGGCTTGGGCGCTACCGGCTCGGGCTCTTTGGGGAGAGCAAGAGCCGCAACTCTTGGGAGCGACTGGTGCTCTCGTCGAGACCAGTGAGTTGTGATGCCACTGAGATCATGGTCTTGGAACCTGTCAAGCCGAGGAAGAAGATCTGAAGGAAGATCGTGTGATGCGCCATTGCTGCAGAACTCATCCGCACAAGACGGAGTGCTTGCGTGAACAGCTCTCGATATTCCCAACCGCGAGACTGAGGCGGCCAGGACCAGAGTCAGGAGATACTTGGTCCAAACCATGCTTGCTGGAAATCGGGGTTTTGGTGCCTGCCGTAAGTCTGATATCAACAACTTCGGATTGTAACAATGCTGTTGTTGCCGTGTGGTGTATTGTGCTCTTGTTGGTCAGAGGGTGTTCCAAGAATGTGTTCGTCCTCAAAACTGTTACTGTCGCTGGTAAGAAAAGATGATGCTATACAGGTGCGACCCCGAATCAGCATTTATGTATTGCTTGAGCTTCCCAGATCGTACGTCTGAACACTGTGCGGCACATGGTCGCGACGGGCTTTATGGTCGACACTGTCTCCAGAGTCGCCAGCACTCCTGAATTAATCACGCGATGGTCAACTATAGTGCAGCCAGCAGCAATGAAACATTCTTTCGTGGTCAACAATACGGCTCTTGTACTCAACGCTGACACCAAGGCCGTACCGATGCTTGATAAAACCCAAAAAGCCACCTACCTGAAGCAGCCATGGGCGGCTGTTTGAAATGTCGCGCGCCTCCAGGCTCATTGCTTTGCGGAGTTGGTGCCATAATAGTGTTTGCGGCGATATATTTTTGTCGCACTTTGCGGAGTCTCCTGAGTCAGAACTACTGTCGCATAGGGTTGGAGGAGCCGCTGCGCTCATCTATTAAAGGTAATCTTAATTCTCTCTTATTCTAACGTACTTATATATACTTAGTACTTCTTCTTAATTAACGTTATATTAGTCTTCTACAATAGAAATTATCGTATAAGTAGTTTATAATCTTCTTAAAGAGATTCGAGATCTTATACTAAAGAGAATTAAAAAGTTTTAAGATTATTTTCTTTATATATTAATAGACTACTTAATAGTATCTAAAAAAAAGGAATCTTATTAGATAGATAGAAAGCTTTAGATAACACTAAAAAAATATATACGACTATCTCTTTGCTTCAATACTTTATAATACATAAAATTGGCGGGTGTAATTTAAATATTACGTAGCGAACGTAAATTAAGCCATTTTTACGTATCGGGCCTCAGACTCGTTTATCGTAACATTCTTTAAATTTTGTGATTGGCCGGCGCTTTAGCTCATAGCCTAGCCAATTAGGGCGTAGCCCCGATATCGGGTCTGAGCACTGAGACAAATCTTTACTTGTCTGGCGTTAGTTTCGGCTAAGCTTCCAAGCCTACCTTGAGCGTGGCAGAGCAGCTGCCCGAGCCTCTCTAAGCCGAGGGCAGGGAGCCTAATCCAGCTCCTTTCGTGTAGCAATACCTAGGTACCCAGTACAAAATATGCTGTCAGTCGTACGAGGTACTCAGTGCCTCTCTTTTCTCCTGAAACCCCCCCAAGCCCATGATTCTGGGATGGCAGGCAGGCCAAGTAAAGCACAACGAAAACCTGCACGCTAAAACCCCACAGTTGATCACTCTAGGGCCCAGGGGCTAGGGCAAGGCATGCCCATTCCTTCACCCTGGTAAGTTTTAGTTAAGGAGGCTCTCCGGGACGACTTTCCTGACCACTAAAGCCACTCCATCATTTCCTAATGCGACCTCTGTGGTTACTAACAAGCTTCCAACTTCCATCAGGCCATGTTTAATGTGCAGCGACGCAGTCGGCAAATGTCCACAACGTGCACCGGATACTCGCCTCCCATGACTCTGCATCCGCCCTTTTCCCTGAAATCCTTCTTTAGGTCACTTATCTCACCTAGCATTATCCCACTGCTCCGATCTTCCCGGTCTGCAATCGGCGCAGGGGGCATTTATCTTTATCACGCCTCCGTCCTGTATCTTTGTAAACGCTAGTTGAGCCCTCGCCGAACGCTGCCCTCGAACCAGGATCGAACCGATCCGCGTCCTCTTGCCCCTTTCTTAGCATTACTCGACCCCCGAAAACCCAAGTAGCGGCCTGCCTGCGACTCAAGAAAGTGCCCGAAAGAGAAATACGCAGTTGCAGGCAAGCCAGGGCCACTATGTTGGGCGTAGGGAAAAGTATACGACGTGCTCGGATAAGGATCCCCGTTCTGTGACGGCTGCCCTGACCCATCCACGGCAAGATACAAAGATGGCTCAGCTTCAGCAAGAGCCGGTCCTGAGCCGCCTCGAGGTCCATTGGAATGGAGGCTTGATTGCGGCGTCCATTGCTGTGTCCCTCTTGGGCGCCTTCACCTCGACTCAAATGATGTGTCAAGCGCGGACGTCGCGATACTTTTCAGGCGTCTTGGTTTGGACTATACTTGGGAGCTTGACCTTCGGCTTCTGTTCCATCTGGTGCCTCCACTTCATTGCCATGCTGGCGTGTGAACTGCCGTTTCCAATAGGGTTGAATGTCCCATTAACGGTCCTGAGCGCGGGGTTGGCCGTCATATTTACTTTCGTGGCGCTGGCCGCAGACCTGATGCGCGACCGTTATCTACGTCTTGTTAAGAAGAAGAAACTGAAGGCTGTCAAGCGAGAAAGAAGGAAGAAACCAACAAGGGAGGATGTCAATGGTAGCTCAGATGCCCTTCTGGGAGCATGGACCTCAGGGGATGTCGAAGAGGAGCAGGTCAGAGTGTCCCACCATCCCAATGGCCCTGCCGACCACAGTCCTCCGACCCGTGACAGCGGTGCAAGTATGACGCTTGGTCTCTTGGAGGACCATTTCACCGGGGGTACCGCCATAGAATCGTCTCGGTCGCCTCAGCACCTTCAACCGCCGTTAATCCAAAATGAGTCTCCCCTCGAGGACGATTCTACTCGCGACACTGAAAGCTACCAAAGGAGCTCGGAGGAAGGGGAGCGATCTCGACGGTCATCTTCGACAAACCACTCCGACGGTAGTAGCCTTGGTCTTCCTGGTTTCATGAGCTTCAAATTCTCTACGAGTACCACCACCACCACCACCACCACAACGAATGCCCTTCTAGGGGCAGCTGAGCTACTTTACCATGGAGCAACACTGCCGAACTTTTGCAAGGGTTTCATATGGAGCTTGGCAATCACCACTATGCACTACGTTGGTATATTGGCCTTGGAAATTCCCAAAGGCCACGTTACCCTCCAACCGTTCATTGTCCTCCTCTCGGCATTGAGCAGTTGGTTGGTCTGCACCTTGGGTTGTATACTGATGCCCCAAATCGAAGTCAACCTGTCCCAGCAGCTCCTTTTCTCAGTAATAGCCGCAGCAGGGGTTGCCGCAATGCATTTTACTGGAATGTGGGCGACCACCTTTTGGTCTCAGGCCAAGCCAACGTTGGAACGAGGATATCCTCCGGATCTAGCAGTGGCCGTCACTAGCATCGCTATTCTGACCTGCTTGCTTGCAAACGGTCTTCTCGCGCATTCGGCGACTCTTGCTCGGAATAAGTTGGCTGAAATTGTCCATACTAGGAGGAAACTCTGGGCCGCAATCGCTCAAAAAGAGAATGCAGAAGCAGCTGCGGCAGTAAGGAGCGAGTTTATAGCGAGCGCCAGTCATGAAATCCGGACTCCCTTGCATCAGCTGCAAGGCTACAGTGACTTGTTGTCGCGAACGGAACTGAGTGAGGAGGCTCGTCTACTCCTCCTTGCCATACAGCAAGCGACGAGATCTCTCTCCATGATCACGGCTAACGTCCTTGACTGGTCTCGGTTAGAAAAGGGAGAAGCTGTTTGTCGACCAACCAGCCTCGATCTCCGCAAAGTGTGTGAGTCCATCCTGGCGATTTTGCCGAACAAGGACGAGGATTTTGGTACTGAACTGATGATTGTGGTGGCGCCCGACGTTCCATCCTCGCTTTTCCTGGATGAGACTTACCTACAACGGATCTTGATGAACTTACTCACAAATGCTCTCAAGTTCACGCAATCTGGCTATGTGCTTCTGCTGGTGGAAATCAAGGACATGGACTTGGCTATCACTGTTAGAGATTCCGGATTTGGCATACCTGAGTCATTCTTGCCACAGCTTTTCGAACCATTTAAACAGGCCCAAACCCGAGGCGCCGAGAGAGGGGCTGGTCTCGGCCTAGCCATCATTAGGCAGCTACTGCAGAAAATGGAGGGAACAATTTCTGTGGAAAGCAAATGCCACCAGGCGGAAAACGTGGGAGCAGAAAAGTGCGGCAGCACCTTCACCGTCACCATTCCAATCCATCCCTCAACCGATACACCGCATGCCTTAGGCTCCTTAGGTCCCAATCGTTTGATTGCCTTGCTGCAGGACTGCAATGCTCGATTTGCGGAAGGACTCCAACTAGCTTGGAAGGCATTTGACTTCGAGTTAACCCGAGCAGATCCGAATGATGAAATACCCGACTGTTTTGGGTATATCTGGACAGACTTGATGTTTCTGAGAAGTCACCCAAAACTCCTTGAGCGAGTACTTGGCCTTCGACACCAACTTGTCATTTTGTCCTATGACTCGCAGAAATTGCTTGATGAAGCCCTTGGCTCTGTCCCTCCGCCACACGTCATACCAGTTAAAAGACCATTCCTGTGGCATCGCATGGTCGAAAACATAGTTTTGGCAGCCCGTACCGGAAGGTCATCGATTGATCGATCCGTGAGATTCGCCCCTGTGGTCGACGTGGTGGACAACGAGAACTCGGGGCAACCTCACGAGACCAAAACACTGAGCGGCTCGACGGTACTATTGGTAGAAGACAACAAGATCAATCAAAAGCTGGGGGTGAAGATGTTGAACACGCTCGGGTACGATGTTATCATCGCAGATGACGGTCAAGATGCCATTGATAAGCTTGTCGCACATGACCGGGACATCGATATCATTCTGATGGATCAGTCGATGCCGCGTATGGATGGCATAACGGCAACAAAGCGGATTCGAGAGATGGAGAACCAGGAGCTATTGGGGCCACTCTCTCGAACCAGGCGGCCCATCATTATGGTGACAGCGGTTGTCGGTCCAGACGCACAAGCACTTTGCATGTCAGCAGGTACAGATGCATTCCTCCCGAAGCCGCTGGCTATGTCCAAGCTCGAGCACACGCTAAAAAAGTTCCTGGGCTGAGATTACTGGTCGTTGAATTGATGCCATTTCCGAATTCATGGGATACTGCGCAACCCCCGATTACAGGTCCGCACTTCGCCTTGGGCCTCGAGCGGGTTCCGTCGCCTCAATCAGCGCGGAGTTCAGAGAGCCCTTCCGAGCGCGTTTGCAAGGCATGACTGCGAAATGGACAGCCGCTTCTCCAGCAGTATGCAAGTCATGCAGAGATATATCAAGCCCGATTGTGGACACTCGAAAGATACCTACCCAGACCTGGCTTTCAACTAGACAGGAAACCATCAAGACAAAAGAAATGTCAAACCGCAGAAGAAAGATAGTGCGAAGAAATCTTGCCGCAAAGAGTATGAATGACACAAGATATTGAGCTTCAGCATTGGGCCTAGGGTCAGCTGGTCAACATGTACAGGAAGACCGAGTGGGGAGGTACAATATAGAACGAAGCCCGAGGGGCCCGAGTCTATGTGCCCATTTTTTGCCCCTTGAAAGATTCCAATTACCAAATAGAAATGCTCTTCTAGCGGAGCTGAAATTCGCCATGTGATGCATTTACAGGGACATCTGAGCACTAAAACTCTTCTTCGTCAGGTTGAAGTTGTTTCTGTTAGCAATGGAATATGCCAGCCTCGCGAGGACCTGTACTTAGGGGAAATGGAATGATAAGGCAGGATGCATTGTCACTTAACGACTTAGCCTGCTTTCTCTCGGGCGCTTCCTTGTGTGACACGAGCGCGTAATCCTGCACTTAGGGGACACGAACCCACCGGAGCATATCACCCCGCTGATCCTTAGCATCCTCGGCGTTGTTGCGGATGTCCAACCCCACGGCGGCGGCATGCTCATTCGTGCCCATGCTTGTGCTTGATCCAAGGGTTAAGTAAACGGTGGGAGGGAGCGGGAGGGAGCAGGAGGGAGTCAACAGCCAGAGTCTCCGAAAGACGGAGCGGAAGAGAAAAAGGGCGGGGGCAAAAGAGCAGGGATGAGGGTTGTGGAATGGGAGACGATGATGACGCTGCAGCAAGGCGAGGTTGAGTGGTGAGTGATGGGTGAGTGAGTGGCTTCCAACAAAACTTTCTCACGGGCCACATAAAACAGCATCTCGCTCCCTTTTCCCTACTCACTACCCACATTCTTTTGCTCCCTTATTCTCTCACGGCAAGGCGGAAAGACAGGGCTGTACATACAGACGGAAAAAGTATTTCTTCGGAGTTGATTCTTTTTGCTGCGCGGACACGATCCCTTCCCTCGTTGAAGCAGCTACCAAACCAGGTCTCGCCCGACGAACCACTCAAACAGTGTGCCTTGACCCCGTTTTCTGGGGTTTCTCTCCTTGCCATTGTTCGGTTCACACCCTCACACGCTTTGACCACCAAAGACCAATCTGCCAAAATGCAGCCCAAAGCTCCCGAGAAGTCTTCCCCTTCGACCACCACCAACGACCACACCAACGGCCATACAAACGGCTCCTCATCCTCCCACAAGTCCTCACACAGCAAATGGGACATGGACTCACCCTCCACGATCCGTCAAAAGTTCCTCCCCTTCCCGTCCGACCTGGGCGTGGTCCTCGTTGGCTTTTCTGGCGGCCAATGCAAAGAAGGTGTGGATGCCGCTCCCACGGCGTTGGTCGGGGCAGGGCTGCTCAACCAGATCCAGGATGAGTTGGGATATACACTCCACGGGGACACAGAGGTCCGCAATTACAACGAAATACGCCCTTCTTCCGATGAACCGTACAGAGGAATGAAGAACCCCCGTTCAGTCAGCGCTGTCACGGAGAAACTCGCAACCCAAGTCTACGAACAAGCTCGCCACGGCAGAATGGTCTTGACATTAGGAGGCGATCACTCTGTAGCGATCGGCACCATCGCGGGCACAGCCAAGGCCATTCGTGAACGGTACAATGGGCGCAAAGAGATTGCGGTCATCTGGGTCGACGCTCACGCCGACATCAACACGCCCGAGACGTCCGAGTCAGGGAACATCCATGGCATGCCAGTTGCGTTCGCCACCGGCCTGGCGCATTCCGACGACAAGGATATTTTCGGCTGGTTACAAGAAGACCAAAAACTCTCGACCACCAAGCTGGTGTATATCGGTCTGCGCGACGTGGACAGAGGTGAAAAGAAAATCCTACGTGACCACAGGATCAAGGCTTTCTCCATGCACGATATCGATCGCCACGGTATTGGAAGAGTGGTGGAAATGGCCCTCGCGCATATCGGGTCGGACACTCCCATTCACCTATCTTTCGATGTGGACGCCTTGGACCCTATGTGGGCCCCCAGCACCGGAACGCCTGTTAGAGGAGGCTTAACGTTGAGGGAAGGGGATTACATCGCCGAATGCGTCCATGAAACCGGGCAATTGGTGGCCATGGATCTGGTCGAGGTGAACCCTTCTCTGGATGTGGCCGGGGCAAGCGAAACCGTGAGGGCAGGGGTGAGTCTTGTACGGTGTGCGCTGGGCGATACCCTACTGTGAATTTGAACCGTGTCTAGAGGAACTAGGGTTCCCGCGTGTCGTGATACGCGGTATATTTATAGCTCTCTTTTTATTCTTGTGTGTCTCCTTCGGTTCCTTTCTGGGTTGAGATACAACTCGTACGATGACGACCCTTTACATGACCTTCTTGGACACGACAGAACAATGGCAAAAAGGGGGTTTCGAAGGGATGGAGAAGGGGGAAACCAAAAGCCTTCTTGGATTACATACCTATTATCACTAAAGGGATAAGAAAAGCTCACTTAAATGCCTCCACCGATACCAATACCAACACCTATACCTCTCTCTGTGCATGTGCATGTGCATGTGGCTATTGTTCTCACCGATGCTTACATCTACATCTACATATGTACCTGTACAGAGTAACTCCGCACGTATGACACGAAGTCCGCATTCAAGGTGGAGCCTGCCGCGTTACAACTCGTCCAAAGACTGCATATCCGTGCTGAGTCAGTCATGTAGTCATGTAGTCTTAGATCCATCCAAGAGGCCAAGGCATACTCTACTCGTGAGTCGAGAGTCTTCAAAGCTAGACGCACGGCTGCATATGCGGAGTACAGAGAAGTCCGCACAAAGATACATCTTCTATATATATACGCCAAAGCTCGGGTGGGCACAAGGACCACCTACTCGGGAGGACGACGACAATGACCAACAACAACGACAACGGCACCGAGCGAGGCAGAAGAAGATGGACGGCAATCAGCCAATGAGTCGTTGATTTGCATCCCAAGAAATAAACTGACGATTGGTCCATGCAACGTTACTGGTAGGCATGGTCATGGTTGTCGTTGCCTTGCAGGCATGCCCTAGAGCCCTCGAATCGATTGCTCTGCTGACGGACTCTTCCTCCTCCGTCGGCGTGTGCTTAAACTGACACATCACTTCGGCCGGGTAGGTAACAGTACCTTTTTCCTCCTTTGTCGTTCCCGTCTGACTCTCGTGGGCTCCATTGCGGCTCGGTGCCTCGCCGCTCCATTTTACAACTTCCTTGGTTGGAAGCACAGTCTCAGAGGTCCCAGCCCAAGGGTGAAATGGTCCTTTGTCCCCATCAGTAGATCCTGCCCAGTCTCTCCTTCTGCTAGTCTGACGTCGAATTTCCGAATGATATTCGCCGTCAAAAGACGAATCTCCATGTAGGCTAGATTCTTGCCGATGCAGTTGTATGGACCTGCCGAAAAGGGCGCAAATGCATCTTTGTGGAGGATGAGCTCTGGGCGGGAAGAATGTCGTTCAGGGATGAATTCGAGTGGGGAGGGGTAGAGATCGGGGTCTGTTCCAAGATCAACCTGGTTAGTATCCACGAAGGAGTAATTTGAGAGGCCTAGACGTGGACAGATGTCGAAGCAAAGCAAAGTAAAACCAGGGCAGAGTTCAAAAGCCTCCAAGGAGGGCAAGAACCAAGACAAAATCCCAAACTCACCTCTCGCCATCGCATACTGCGGCATCTGGATCACCGTGTCTCCCGGGATATAGACGCCCCCAATTTCCACTCCTTCCTTGGGCGTCTTCCTGAATACTCCACTTGGCACAGGAGGATTCAGTCTTAGTGTTTCATTGATCGATCCGTTCAACAGCGGTGCATCCTGAATTTTTTGCGCGTCAATGGCCTCGTCAGACTTCACCAACTCGTCGAGCTCCTCCCTCAGTCGCTGGATGAGACCTTTTTCCGTTGCGATATGGTAGAACAAATGCACCAAGGTGGCCGCGGTAGTGTCTGACCCAGCGACGATAATGAGTCGGCTATCGCCCTGCAACATGGGTAGCTGAGCCTTCTGCGCCTTGGGGTCCGAGTGGTTGAAATGCTCAATCAACGTGTGCGAAATGTCCTGATTGTCGAGCTTCCCTTGAATCTTCATCCGCTTGTCAAGTTGTTCGCAACAGTAATTAATGAACCGCCAGTGATCTGCAGCAGCGCCAGGGATGGAGAGCAGAAGCCGGAAGAACCAGTTTGGCAGCCAGAAGCCGATAATATCCATGCCATCATTGAGCAGCTTGATGGCCCAGTGCATCTCCCCGGATTCGAGACACTGGTATGAGTCACCGAAGGCGAGATCGCCCATTACATCGAAGGAGTATAGATTGAACCATTTCGCCATATTCATCGGTTGCCCTATAGATGTGATGTTAGTTGCATCAGGGCGGAAAGCACCCTCAATGCAAAGTGCGTATCAAGGAACAAAATACCATTTGACTCCCCCAACTTCTTGATCAACAGATCATTATACTTCTGCACGCGATTCTCGTAGCCCCGAAGTGCCTTGTCACTAAATGCAGGACTCCAGATCCTTCTACGTCGATCATGCTGCGCCCGATCTCGACATGTGTGCATGGAAATGAATGGAAGGTCCACTCCATACCAGTCGCCTTTAGTACATTTGGATTTGACACCAGACGTGACTTCCACGCCATCAGGATGCGTGACAGAGATGCTGTTGGGGTCAAGCCGCACAAACTTGCCATATTTCTGATGCATGGCGAGCAGGTGGTGGTGTAGATTTCTCTTCCCGGCACACCGGATGACCATGTCGAATCTTGACAGCCGCGCCCAGTAGGGACCAGGAAATTTGTTCAACGGATTGAAGAACAGGCGGTAAGTGATCAGGCTGGTGTAAAGGCCAGCTAGATACAGTGATGCATATTTGACGGTAAATGCAAGAGAATCTTTTGCGGGAATATTGCCATAATGCGATCTAGCCACAATCGTGACAACGCACCCAAGAAAGAATGCTTGAATGTAGCGGGTAGGGTACAACCAGTGTTCGCCAACTTTGAAGAAGAAAAGGTGTGTTGCCACACCAGCTGAGGCGACGACCAAGGGCAAGTAGGTTGCCGTCATTGTGAAAAACAGGCGATGTCAGACAGAAGAGGAGAAGGATGAAGGACAGCATGAGATGAAGTTCGTTGGGCTAGGTGGACGCCGTATTTAAGGATATCTTGCCGCGCGTCCTGCAGCAGGACATGTAACCCGAGCAAACATTTTCGAATCGACTTCCTCCGATCCTTGCCATTCCTTCGAGATGGGAGTCCTAGCCAAGTGTAGCGATCGATCTGTTGGAGGGCGGCCTGAGGTGATAGTATCCCTGCGAGCGGCGTAACGATGCCCATCTTGGAAAACATGGAGCCCATCTCAGAAACTCGAGTGGATCCCTGGCCAAGTACTCCGAACTCCGTACATTTGCACCCCATCTTCCGTACCGAAATGTGGGGAAGCGTTGAAGTTTGACCGAACCTTTCTGATGTCGACGTGCTCGAGTCAAGCTGACTCGACCATATCGACAAAGACATCGTTCAGGATAAACGCAGTAGCTGCAGAGGAAACTGCCCGGACGCGTGCAATGCAGCTGAGGGTGGACTTGGTTTTTCGAGACGGTGCACTTCACGAATCATGCCTTAACTATTCTTGTTTCGTGCTCACCCCGGTGCGAAACGCAAGAAGCTGCTGTGTCAGCAAGTTGCCAGCTTTTGGTGCTCTTTGATAGGTACGGAGTAAAAGGTGGACAAGGTCATCAAGCTTCATCGGAAGAAGCCAAGCAACATTTGGCTTGGTCAGGCCTCCTGTCAACGGTTTGTGCTTACTGTGAGGCGACTGGACGTGTGCATACTGCATACGCGTGTATGTACGGAGTATCTTGAGGCGAACAAGGTGCTGTGTTTCGTTAAAGGTGGGCCGTAAGCCACGGCCATTCTCATCTGGTGAATGGAAGAAACGAAGATGACTTGGGTCAGCCCAAGTGTGGAGCATAGAGCATTTATCCGTACCGTGGGCGTTCATTGAGCCCTTTGTTTGCGTGCATAAATATTTTCCATTTATGCAAGGATGCCTATTGTAGGTTGACTGACGTTGTGTTGCTCCCTTTCTCAGGAACTCGGTTGAAATCTCCCTTGCCTGGGCGGACGTACCATCAATTGTTCTATGGCGTTTCCAGTATCATCCACGGCTCCCCAAGATCAGTTGGCGAAGTGTTTTTTCGGCCTCAGGGGCACGCATGTCACCCCTTCGTGGGTGTCTCATCATTTGTCCCATGAGGAATTGCAATTTCCCAACTTTGCCCTTCTCAACAATGTCTTTGACATGCTGAGGGAATCGTTCGACTATTTCCTTTGCAATTGCTTGGTAGGTTTCGGTCGACATTTCCGAAAAGCCCAATTCCTCTTGTTTGATGATATGTGAGATTGTTCTTTTGTCACCATTGTAGATGAGCTTGAGGATCTGTTTGGCAGAACTCCCCGTAATCTGATTGTCTTTCAGCCGATAGATAATTTCAGCCATGGACTTGGGGGAGACGGGGTTGTCGCTCCATTGCCTTTCTTCGGTGGAAATTAGAGCACCTAATTCGTGCAACACCCAATTCCCAACGGTCTTGCCGTGATCCTTGGGAGTCGTAGTAAATCGGGTGCTGGACACCAACTCATCCACTACTTCTTGGAAATATATCAATCGCTCGCCGTCGTCAAGTGAAACTAACGCCATCGCGTCGGTAAAACTGAGGCAGTACTCCTGGACCAGGATCTCAACCAATTCACTCGCTGTGGGTGGCAGGGTCTTCTTAATCCAAGAAATCAAGTCGGTACTGATGTAGAGTGGAGGGATGTCTGCATCAGGCATGTATCGGTAGTCCACCTCACCTTCTTTCCCTCGAAGTCTCTTTGTTTCATTGGGGCTCGTCATGGACCAGCCTCGAGTCTCACCTAGGACCCGGCCACCGGACTCGAGGATCCTGATTTGGCGGTCTCTTTCCGCCTTGATTGCATCTTCGATACCCTTGAAGGTGCTGAGATTCTTGATTTCTGTACGCTGGCCGAGACCCGTCACGCCACTGTAGGCGAATGGCCCCTCCTCGGCACCCCGGCGACGGACAGAGACATTGACATCTGCTCGAAGACCACCTTGTTCCATGCCAGTTGTGACGGCGTCAACAGCGTATAAAAGTGACTGGATCTTCTTAACGTAGATGGCAGCATCTCGCGGAGAATGTAGGTTGGGCAAGGATATGATCTCAACCAAGGCTTGACCACAACGGTTGAAGTCTATCAACGCCGTATTGCTATCGTCCTCTTGAGTTCTGGCGGTATCCTGTTCCAATTGCACTTGCTTGATGTTCACCGTGACGGTGCGACCCTCGTCTAACCCATCTTCGGCGGTTAACACCACGCGGCCGTTCTTTGCGAAGGGGTGGTAATATTGAGTAATCTGGTAGCCCGCCGACTGATCATGGTAGAAATAATGTTTGCGGTCAAAGTTGCTCACTTGCTGGATTGTACAACCTAGAACGGTGGCCGCACGAAGAGCAGGTAGGATAACAGCCGGTTGAAGGACTGGGAGACTGCCAGGCAACGCGATATCGAAGGGAGCCACTTGACTGTTTGGGACCGTAGTCGGCGCAGTTATGCCAGCTACCCAAACATCAGGATCAGTATCTAGACAGAGAGGAATGGAGATCAGGCGAAACCTTACGTGAGAAAAGCTTGCGAGAAGCATTGAGTTGAGCGTGGATTTCAATGCCAACGGTCAACTCCCAATCGGCGAGTCTATCTGGATTCTCAGCGGCAGCCGGAGCTGGTGGGAGAGCCCGAATTGCCTTTGCAGCGTCTTTTAGCTGCTTGCGAAGGGGGCCGTGGTCTTGTTGCGGCCATGGGACACTAGAATAGAAGCCATAAGAGATAGCTTGAAGATTGCATCGAGCTGGGCGCGTGGGCGCAAAGTTAAAGAGAGCGCTGGTTGTCAGAGGCCGAACTGGAAGCAGCTGCCGAGTCCATCTCAACCATCTTTGGTGCATAGGCTTTCGCGATGCACCAGCACGAGCAGGAGAAATCCAACAAACGAATGGTTAAACAGTTTATCGATCATCGCATGATGCGATCAAATTCTGGGACGAGAAGACCGCACCAAACGGCACCTGCGACCTGCTAGAGCAGCTGCTTTGCTCCGCCGTAGAACATTTGCCACGGATAAATAGTTTCTCCGAATACTGAAAATTCCACCCCCAACCGGACATGAGGTATATCAACTGGTTCGTTCGTCATCGAGGCGTCAATCGTTTTCTTTGTTCAAGCCCAAGGACATGCTTTGAGCTTCATCTCATCCCGGCCCAGGAAGCATGACAAAGTCGAAATGTCTAACAAGCATGAATTGTCTTTCAAACGGCGAGCATTGCTAGCCTTGCCGTCCTGCGGCTAATCGCATTCTTCACCAACCGCTTGAGCTCGTGCTTGCAGAGGGAAACACTCTATTTCCTCACCTTTATATTTCGCATAACGCTCTCATCCCAGGTCGCCCATTCATAAATCATAATCCTATCTGCACTCCCAGAATGAACTTATGAAATGCAGACCATGAGCTTCAATTATTTTCGGTTGTTGGGGAGCCGCCAGCTACCCCAAGAGTCATGGGGTCGGCCGGCTACGAAGCCGTGGATGCTGGCTATTAATACTGCTCTGAGCTTAATTTTGGGGGTTGGGTTGCTATATATTGCAAGATCCTATCTGCCCTCGAGTCAAGATTCGAAGGAGGAGGCGGCGACGGCTGACAAGGACCATCCCGTGCTCAAGAACCATTCAAGCGTCCAGTCATACAAAACTAAGCACGCCGAATATCCGTCGATAAGAACCTTTTACCATCCTCATGCTCATGCCAAAAAGCTCCAAGCTATCGCAGATCTGCCTTTACTGGTTTTCATCCACGGGTTAGGTGGCTCTTTACCTCAATTTGCGCCGTTGCTTGGGAGCCTTGTCAATATAGCCCCCTGCTTCGGTATTGACCTACCTGGTCATGGCATGTCCGCCTTCTCTCCTATGGATTATGAGGCCTACACCATTGCAGCATTTTGCGAGCTGTGGGAGAGAGCCATTCAAGATATTTGCGAACTGCATCGGCATAAGAAGGTGGTTTTCATTTGCCACAGTATGGGTTGCTCGATCGCCGCAATATTAGCGACGTCACCGTCATTTCCGATCCGGATAGAAGGGTTCGTTGGTATTTGTCCGAGAGCTACGCCACCTTCCCCTTCAGAGACGGCTTCGGCGAGGCGATTCTTATCGCTCCCAGATACAGTGCTCGATATGTTAAGAGCTCTGGACCGACGAGGGGGAGTCAACTCCAAAAGCGTCGAAAGGATGGCTGGAAAGGCTGCCGGAATAGACCTCCGCCGCCTTCAGTTGGCGTTTAACAAAAGCTTCAAGACACCAGTGTGGAAGCGCTCCGCATTGGGCTGCTTGCCGCGTTACGACCCTTCAGGAAGAGCGATAGGCGGTCTACCGGGAAGAGACACGTGGGCAAAAATCCGTACACCTCTGTTCCTCATCGCTGGTGAGGCAGATGCTGTCACAAAGCCAGCAGAAGTTACAAAAATTGTGTCCTTCCTAAAAAAGCTCGCGGTTGGGGAGGAAATCAACGGAGACCCTGGGAGCAAACCCCTTCCTCCTGTCGCCACTGCCCCGGCACAAGCGGTAGGGGACACGTCAGCTGTTGGCAAAACCGAACCAAGAGCAGATGAACGTCAGTTCGGTACCCTTCCCTCAACAAGCGAGATGTCCAGCCAAAACTCGGCGATTGTTAAAACAGCCGTCCTCCCTTCTCCGGCGGCCCACGCTTTAATGTACGACCACTCCACCTACCGCACCGTGGCTGGTTTGATCGAAGACTTCCTAGCACGCTACGTCTCGCCTGAACTCTCCCTCGGCTGGCAACTACAACAACTTACCACCTCGGGCAAATGGGACGTGAAGAACCTGGAGAAATGGAAAAGAGTCATGCCCGTATCCGGTCCCATAGGCCACCCTCCAGAATCAGGAATATTTCGGGCCATGAAGACGCTGAGGGAGCAGGACGAAATCCACACACCTTCCGTGTTCGTCAAGAACTGGAGCGACAAGATCTTCGCTGTCATCGACATCTCCCACGACTCTCCCGTGTACGACACCAAATCGCTCGAGCGCGGCGGCATCCAGTACCACAAATTCCCTACCGTCAGCAAAGTACCACCGACGGTCGTCGAGGTCGCAGACTTCATCGCCCTGGTCGACCGCCTGCGCCTGGAGGACCCTCACACCGTGCAAGGGAAAACCATTGGCGTACACTGCCACTACGGCTACAACCGCACGGGCTTCTTCATCTGCTGCTATTTGATCGAGAAACTGGGATACAGGCCACAGGACGCGGTAGAGGAGTTTGCGGCGGAGAAACCCCCCGGCATCAAACACGAGCACTTTATCGACACATTGTTTATGCGTTATCATGTGGGCTTGAAGAAAGCGCCCACTTTCAAGGATTCCAGACAGGGTTCGATATCCGGGGTGGAGTCGGTGCAATCTAGTATAGACTCATAGACCAGGGTTGTTTTTGGGACCGGCGGCTCTTTCACCTTTTTTTTTGGATCCCTTTGAGATGGATTCGCACTTCCTATCTGGGGTCTGTAATCTTCGCTGCGGCTGCTCTAACAGGACCTCGCTGGCATTCACGGTTTGCTGTGGGTCGGGCGACTATTTGCCATGTGGGAATACGTTTATTGAGCCATCGTTACGCAGGCTGTAGGTGGCTATGTAGCTAGCATTCCAACCGTCCCTCACCCAAGCGAGCATCACATGGAAATCCTCCTGATGTGTGCTTTGTGCTCATTAGTCCCCTCATCCTCCCGGCCGAAGCTGTTCTCTTGTCGACCTTCAGTCACATATCTCAGCCATCCTTCGTAGTTCTCGTAGAAATGTGGGCTCGTACTGGCAAGGAATTGGCTGAAGAGCTCTGTGTCAAAGTTCATGTCAAAAACCAACATAGGTCTCTCGCTGGCGAGGACTGGCGAGAGGGCCCCCGATCACTCGCGTGCGAGAGAGAATGACATCAACAATATCTGGACACGAGAATCAACCAAGCCTCCCCGTGTCTCACCATGTTCAACTGCCATGGGCACATAACTCATTACAATCCCCGCGTCACAGCAAATTCACATTTACGAAGCTCTTGACAATCGTTTCGTCAATTCCACTCACCCATTTCTGCTGAAAACTCTGCAATCCGCCTGTCCTCTCTATCGCTTCCCTCAATCTTGAACCAATGAATTCGCGTATGTTGACGGTGTAGATCGGGTCATTGTTACTGATGACCCTCTTCCGCCCATCCTCTGGCGTTGCATCCGGCCACTCGGGGACATCTCCACCATCTCCATGGCGATTATGCCATAAATAGTCGCCCTCGGACTCATCTGCTGCTTCCTGACCCAGTTCCATACAAATGTCGGTCCAAATTGTGAATAGTGTCTCAAGATTCTCCAGCATGATTGTTGGGAAATGAGGTGGAACAGTACAAGTAAGCAAATTTGTGAGGGCGAGGACTTGGAGCTTTTTGCTTAGGATGTCGCCTATGGTATCGATGTGAAGGAACCATTCTACCAGAAGCCACTGGACTGGTGATGGAAGAGAAGACGACATTAGTGCTGATGTCGACACGGGGGATGTGATGTTAGTGGCGGTGATGGCTTGAGTGAATTGGTCCGGTGAGAGAAGGGCCATTCGTGCCAGCAGGCTGAAAAGGCTTGTCTCTCCCGGGCCAATTATGTCTGGTGGCTTGCGACTCGGACGAGGATCTTGGTGATATTCATATGCTTCCTTGAGGAGCTCCAGCAGAGATGCTAGGTAGTCGGTACTTATCATTGATTCCAACAGATGTGTGAGGGCTTGTTGAGGGTTCACAGTGGACTGGGACTCGATCGAAATTGTGGCGACGAGGTTTTCCAGTACATGAGGTGCTAATGACGCATCTCGTGCTCGGCTAGTCGATAGGGCGGGCAAGAGAGATTTCATCGATGTCAAGAGCGGCGTCAGAAATTGAGGTGACAGAATCGTGGTGGGCGACAATATTGTGTAAGATTCTGTGAGTTCAAAGATCTGCCTTAAGAGTTCACTGCCCATATCCAACAGTGGAAGGAGAGATTGAGACAGGGACAACAGGTCTGAAGAGGCGCGTTCCGTTGGGGTCTGCTGTATAATGGCAACCCACAGCTCGAGTGCCTCCTCCAGGAGATACACGATCGCTTCCGACTGTGGCTGGACAGAGTCATGAATCAAGGGCAGAATGGGACCATGGTAAGCCAGACTCTTCTGCCCAAGACTGTTGACGATTGCGGTGATCAAGGTCAATATTGCTTGTTTCATCAAGTGTTCTTCGCCAGACTCTGTCCACAATGGCGGGAGCATCGACATTATGCCCTGCGCGTACGGCTCTATGTGGCCTTCCAATCTCGTAACAGCCACCCTGACTGTCTCAAGTAATGCCATTTTTGTCTCTGATAGTTCTGTCTCGGTGATAAGAGACATGACACCTTCAAGCAAAGGCGTCGCGTAGGGGCGGAAATCGGAGTAGCTGAATTCAAAAGGTTCTAGTACTAGGCGTAGCTGTCGTCCTGCTGTCACGCGAACGACATGGTCATTGAGGGGCTCCCGGTTGGAAAGCAAGTGTGTGAATATCTGATACACTGCGACTCGGTCGACTACCTCGGGTTTGATTGGGACCCATTGGCCTAGTAGAATTGCAGTTCGCCGACGAAGGAGGTTGTAGTTTGGTCGGTTCATCTGCACTTCTTGCACCAATGTTTCACGGAGAAAAGTATTGAAATCAAGGACATCTTCCAAGCAAGCGGCCGCAATGCCGATAGCCGCGTAGAGGCTGTCTTTCAGAAGCACATCGGTGTTGGAAGTGGTCGCGTATTGATAGAAGACCTGGAGTAATCGTGGGACCAGTAGCTCTTTGAAGTTGATGACGAGGTCTAGGAACAACTTTTCCGAACATGAGCGGATGGAAAACTCCCATGCATCTGCAATTTCTTCCTCTCGGCGTTCCCACTCGTCTGGCTCCTGTTCCCAGTCGCGCAAGTCAGATGGCCGAAGAACGAAGTATTGGGTCACTAAAAGTTCCATCAGCCGAAGAACAAAGTCTTGCGTAAGAACTATGTTTTTGACGTAGTCGACGGCGTCTTTTCTGTCTTGCTTGTCCTCGGGGGTGACATATTTGAATGTTTGGACGGGATTGAAGACCATTTTCATGCAAGCACGGAAAAGGAGGAGAGCTTTCAAGCAAAGCTTCTCCACTGGTGACTCTTCAGCACTATCGCCATGGCGATACACTTTCCAATCGAAGTCGGCCTGCAAGGCTGACCGGCCGGTCCCGCTCTGACTGATTATCGACCAAGAGTGATTCAAGATGTCCATGCAGCCAAGAAGGACGAAGGAGGCAGGGTGATTTCGCGCCATGTCGAGATACAACTTGGCCAGTTGAAGCAGATGCTTCAATACTACATTTCGAACTTCGGCAGGAACCTCTTGGCTGTAAGCTGCCCAAAAGGCCTGTTGGTGCGTCTGCAGGAGATCCCAAAACTGCTTGACAGCCTCCTCCCGATGAGGATTCTCGAAGCCAACAACGAGAAGACGCCGCAATGTCTTCAACGCTGAATGACTGCTGACTGCGCTGGCAAGGTCAGACTGATCTACAGCTGACTGCCATCTGGCCACCAAACTAACATAGAGGCGGCCAAGAACCTGCAAAAGTTCCAATGCCACATTTTGGAGGCTCTTCTTCGTGCGCTGCAGACGTCCCGACGCCAGTTCCTTGATTATTTGCAGGGTAATGGTTAAAATGTTCGAAATGTAAAGGGTTGCGCTTGGGTCCTCACTGGCTGCTCGAAGGTGCTGGATCACAACATTGATGACATCCGGCCAATCATGGGGAAATTCATATCGCACAATCTTTGCGAGCATCAGGGCATTCTGGAGTGCAAGGGCAGATATAGGCTCTCGCACCCCCGCTTCGATGGATCTGGATCTGATCTGTTCCTTCTCAATCTTGCTGATGGGATTTACAGAGGTTTTGCGCCAGTGTTTGTCGATGCCATTCTTGAGTTGGATGATGGCTTGGAAACGGACCTCTTGGTCCAGTGAGAAGTCGGCGTAGACATCTTGAAGGAGGGCATAGTAGCCGGGTGACTTTTCCCAGTTTCCAATCTGTTGCGTAGCTACCTTTAGGCTCTGAGCTGTGGGGTGTGAGACACTTTTGAGAGTAGAAATGACAGCGTTCCTGGTTAGAGGATTGGTTTCCCCCTCCGCCTCAATGGTGAAGGAGGGCATTTCTATCGCACACAGGCCTAAATATTGACAATGGTCATTATGCTGTTGGGAAGATGGAATATTGGGTGAGAGGAGGGTTTCGGAGGGGTCAAACACGATCTTTTCAACATGAGACTGAGAGTGAGTGAGAAGGCTCTGATGAAACAGATTTACATAAAAGGAGCCCCAGCCTTTCGTTGTACCTTCAACACGATGAACAACGAAAAGGGCCTAATCAAAAAGGGCTTAAAACGGCAAGAGGCTAGGCCGCGGGCACTAACTAGGCTGGTGGGCAGACCCGACAATGGATGGCGACGGCTAATCTCTCCCCGAAGCCAACAAGCCAGCCTCGGCTGCACATTATTGCAACCCAACATAGACTTCTCACTCTCCTTCTGCCTCTTTTCCCTCTCTTTACCTGGCAGATGACTGCGCCATGTCATCCAGCAGCTTTGCCGCTGCTCAGCAACGCATTCTAGCACAGCAGACGGCCCGACAGCAGGAAGCCCGTACTCTCACTCAACAAGCCGAGCCTAGCAGTGGCCGCTCCTCTTTGACGCGACTCGCTCAGGTGCTACGACCCAAGTTGTCTTCATTCTGGATTACTTTGCTAGATTCCGAGGGCACACGCCCAACCTTTCGAGTGGGACAGGTGGATGCGGAACTCCTCGATGAAGAGTTGCTGGGGCTGTTGAAGACACAAGTGGCAGATGCTTTGAAGTACCTCGGGCCACATCTTCAGGATGACTGGTCGCAAGAAATTCTGCTTGCTCTCAGGGCGATACTGTTCAAACTATCCATATGGGACAACGATGCTTCCTACGGCGCCGCCCTACAGAACCTCCGATACGTCGATGCAAGAAAATCTGGATTGGCCCTTCCGAAACCAACCAGATGGCAAAAGAGTCTCTACGGTCTGTTAACGGTCTTTGGCCGCTATGGATGGGACAAATGGGAGGATTGGCTGATTGATCAAGAGCGAGGATATACAGCTCCTTCAGAGACCGTCCAGAGCTTGATGCGGTTCACCTCCTTCCTCTCGACAACACATTCTATCGCCGCGTTTTGTTCCTTCCTGGTGTTCCTCGTCAATGGCCGCTACCGAACTCTCACAGACCGTCTGCTGAGATTGAGGCTGATGTCACCGTCCAATCAAGTTAGCCGTGAGGTCTCGTTTGAGTATCTGAATCGTCAATTGGTCTGGCATGCCTTTACAGAATTTCTCCTATTCCTTCTCCCATTGGTCGGCATCAGTCGATGGCGGAGATGGCTCGCCAGAGTATGGAAGAAAACAAAGGACGCCATGAAGTCACAATCAACATCAGAAGAAGACAACGATAAGATAAAAAGCGGACCGCTGGCTTTCCTACCAGAAAGGACTTGCGCCATTTGTTATCAGGACCAGAACCCAACCTCGACGTCTGAAGCTGAGATCCTAGGAGCCAATTCAGCCGCTGGAGGAGGCGTAATCGGCTCGGCCACTACGGACGTTGTAAATCCGTACGAAACCATTCCATGCGGCTGTATCTACTGCTTTGTGTGCATAGCTACCAAGATTGAAGCGGAGGAAGGCGGCGGCTGGACATGTCTTCGATGCGGAGAAATCATATATAAGTGCCAGCCATGGAACGGCGATATTGTATTCGTCGGGAAGAAATCCAACAATAAGAGCGCCAAATCGGTTGGGTTTTCTGTTGCCAACGACGACTCAGATGAGAACTACCGAGGTGGGCCGTCTGAAGATACGCCGGAATTGATTAATTCCACTTTGACCGATAGCCAGTGGACAATTGCGGATCAGGACTCTTCGAGCAGCTAATGACCTCAACTACGAGGGAGACGTACTATTCTAGACGCGCGAGGCGTTTGTGGCTTGCGGTCCAGTCAATCAACGGACGCACAGGAACGCTTAAAAAGCAGGACGTCGTGCATAGACTGAAACCTTCAAAGTATGAGAGGACGAACGATTTAGGGGAGCGTTGTATTGAATGGCATGTGGTGGGATGCATCAGCAACAGCTCTTATTTCGGGGACACCTAGCGCGCTCCGTCCTGAATCAACATGCTCTGCCAGAGGCGGGCCACTGGTCGACTCAGGTATATGACCTGCCATTGGCGATCAAGTTCTCATATGTTTCTTTGTCATGGCCTGGAACGACCCGGCCTTTGGTCGTCCTCTCCAAGTGCTTCAACCGCTGAGTGCTCTGGAACCACGCCGGATGATCTCTAGCAAGCCAACCTTGTGGGATACCATCGCGCCACTGAAGGAATAGATCAGTACCAAGCGAATCGAAGGGTGAAAAGATACTCACATTTTCAATTACGTGGCAGTGGTCACTGATGAAGAAGAACGTGCCACTCTCCGGCATGTTGATCTGCATCCCAATCAATCCTGTGACCAGTCAGTACCTCCTTGTTTTCAACCATGCAGGCCGGCTCTCACCGTCAGTATGGCCTGGCAGGTGATGCAGGGTGATGCCCTGGCAGAAATCGAACGTTCGCTCATCGAAAGTCTTCCAGTTCCTGCAAAGAGTCAGAAGATGGACATTCGTGGCTTGAGCGGAAGCAACATACAAGCTCAGTTTGAGGTAATGTTCCAGATAGACGCCCACGTCTGCGCCTGTGGCAACGGACCAGAAAGCTGCCCTGAGCTCCCTATCGTGGACCCAAATCTCGACGTCCTTTCTGTCAAGGAACTCGTCCAAACCTCCCGCATGGTCAAGATGCAGATGACCGATGATGATCTTCTTGATATCCTCGAGCTTGTTTCCTGTGGCCTCAACCGCTACCTTGAGTTCATGTTGAGGGTCATAGCGCACGCGAGAAAACACATCGGACACCACAGGGCCCCAGATCTCGGGGTAATCCTTCCCACAACCTGTCTCCCACAAGATGAGACCTTCATGTGGGTGTTCGATAAGGATGCAGAATACAGGCAGCTCCCTCCGTTTGTTGACAAAGGATTTGTTTTCGGTGCTCTTCAGACTGGTGTTGCCGCCACGCACGACAAATGCTTCATCACACTCGAGCCAGCCTACCTCGAGGATGTGAAACTTGGTGCCCTTGGGACAGACATTGGAAACGTGATTGGGCACGGCGCCGCGATCGAGCTGGCCTTGGATAGCAGACATGGTTGAAGAGAAGCGATGATGACCCACAGATTGGGAAACAGAACTCACTTCTGGGTGAGACAGATGCCTGGGATTTGAAATATAGGGTTTGAGGGGCTCATACAGCTGTCGAGCTCGCCCCGCATCCCAAAAAGCAGAACTCACTCCGCCTGCGGAGAGCGGATGAAGATGAGGCAAGAGTAACCATATCTGGCGTCTTTCAGGGAGGAATGGAAGCGGAGACAGCCAGGCAGGGGCATTTTCCGAGACTGCAGCAGCATCTCGAGCTCGCTAGGTTGACGCCACAATGGGGCTCCAAGCCTCGGATTTTCGCACCAGCGGGAAGACTGCAGAGGATTTTTACGAGAGGGAGAGGGGAAACAATGGATTTGATAAACAGAAACCGCATCTCTGGAAGGCAGTGACGCACCCAGAGACATGGCCACTCCACGGCAAAGCACCGCAATGTCTCCAATTGGGTCATTTTAGAGGGGCACAGAAGGGGGGCAGATCTACATATGTACCACAGTATCTTGATTTCTCCTCCGGATGGGGAAGCATCCGAGGCATCCACGTACCCCAACATTACCATGTGCATGAACTGGCATATGTTTGGTTTCTTTCCAGCTTCTCCAACCAGCGAACCAGCTTGATCGCAAAGCAGTGCAACCCAAAGCAAAGCGGCGCTCCTGTTGGTCTGCTGCGAGCACCGCGTCCGCATTAGCTCTCGTTCTCTAGACTGTTGCTTCCATGCTTCTGCTGATGCTCCTCCTCGTCCTGCCCAATCGCCTTCTGCTTCTCGCTCAACTCCTTCGCTTTCATTCCCACATTCCTTGCCCAATTCCTCAGTCGTCGCATATGGACAGGACAGGTGGAATGGCCACACCAAAGGAGTCATATGTTCTGCTTGCTGCTGGGAAACACACGGGTGACAATCTCGTAATGCCCAAGAGCCGCGTGGTCGGCCTCCTCGGAGGTGACAGCAGCGGTGAATCTCGGGCAGTTGAGGATGAGGGTTGCCATGCTCTTACCTGGCAACGCAAGCAAGACGAGATCCCGATAGGAGAGGCGGTCCAAGATCAGCATAAACTGTTCACGGGAGAGGTCTTTGAGGAGGGAGAGGAAGTCGGTGGCTTCGCTACAGCACTGGGGACCGTCGTCTGAAACCGTGGCAAGGACCTGAACCTCTAATGTCAGAAGTTCGTTGCAACACAGGGCAGGACAAAGCATCATGTGCCGCTTGTGGGATCTTGAAAGGCTGAATCACGTCAGTGGTAATGTGTTGCCATTGTGGCTGCACTAATTCGTCGATAAACGCCAGCACTATCGAAGCAGCTACGAGAAAGAGGATGGATAGCCGAACAGATATATATAAGACTTACAACTCTGGAACCCATCGTGTCACTCCTTTGTTCACTCTTCAATGACAATAATCAATCGCAAACTGGAAGAGAAGCGGTTGCCTAGCTCACACAGAGGTTTGTTTACACAGGTAAGCGACAGCGAATTCTTAAAACGAATCAGAGCTGTTGAGATCGGTCGACGCCAAGCACAAGCAATTCTCATAGACAGATAAGAGAGAGGCCGCAGACACATTATATGGTCGATGATTGTTTGTCACGGCTGAAGCTGAATGTCTGGGGTGTTAACCGTTCGGTCAATGTTGCAGGCAATGGCTCCAACCAGACTTGAATCAACATCAACAACCCTATTTCTCCAAAGGCAGGCCCTCGGCCTCTGCCACAAAAGAGGCTGCAGCTGTACAGTTTCATCTCATCGAGGCGCTAACAACTTAGGTAAGTTCGTTATCCTCTTATTAACTGTACTTGTATGCAGTTTGCATTGGAACGTCAGTCACGTGTGGGAAGAAGCTAAAAGCGGGCGTGGGGACAAGTGGAGTGACAAAAAGCGGAAAGTGAAGCGAGTGGGGTGAGCGAGAATAGAAAGTGAAGCGAGCTGGCCCCAAAGTGACTAGCGTAGATCTGAATGGCAAAGGTAAAAGACGAATGACCCGCCGCTCAAGTGCGAATGAGTCTGAATGAATCACCATCGGCTCACAGCCACACAATGACCACGCTCTCTATAACCGCTATTTCTTCCCCCCGATTGACGCAGCTACCCCCCTCCTCTTCCACTCATCTACACCACTGCTGCACACAGTCCTGAGAGAAATGAAACGCCGTGCACCTCGCCTATCTTTCCCGATCCGACCTACCTTTCTCTAACCACCCATCCCCTCCCTCAAGACCTGGAGAGCCCGCCTCTCTCAGAAGTGCTCATGCCCGACGACGGAGACCTCCCATTATGGGATCTCAACGACGCAATCAAACTTTTGAATAGTCTCGCCCTCAAGAACCCGGATCCTGCCATGAGCCATGAGCTTATCGTTCACTGCAATAGCAATAACGATCAAGTGGCCAACGACACCTCTGGTGGCTCGCTTGGGGACTTCTCCTTTGTGTGGGATTTCCTAGGACGTCATCATGCGGCCGATGAGCAGCAAGTTGCAGAGCTGGTCAAATACAAGGTCAACGATGAGCCTGTTGCCGAGATCGACCTGAACCAGTTGAACAAGGGCGTGCGCTGGCGCGATGAGGTGGACGGCGCTGATCTAGAAGACAATGTCGAACTTCCCAATAACAAGGCCACGGCCGCGTACATTCGCAACCAGAAGCGTGCTGCAAGAAGAGCCAGAGCCAAGGAAAGGGCAGAAAATCTTGTCGCCCAACAGAAGACCGTTTCCGACACCACTGATCTGGAATCTGGAGAAGAGCTTGAGTCGCTACGCCGCTCCCCGGATCGCAGAGCTGTTATTGACGGTATTCTCGGTCGCAGTCGACCTGGCCTCCGCGATAACAGTTCACCTCCAACCTCTCCATCACCCCCCAAAGCTGAAATCAGAACTCCCAAACGCGACTTGGCTGTCTCTAACCCCTTTGTGTGGGCTACTCCAGCGCTTTCTCCGCCATTGAAGCACACCGTCATTATTCCTCGTGATGGATTGACGCCCAAAGCTAGAAAACAAGCGCTGATCACCGAGTTGATCCGCCGGCATCCTGAAGAGAAGAGGTATCTGAAGAATTCAGGGCTCCTCGAACCTGCCTTTACTCCGCTGAATACATCTGACATCGGCATTCATGTCTTTGTTGACATTTCGAACATATCCATCGGCTTCCACGACTGCTTGAAATTAGCACGTGGAATGTCTCGTGAAACCCGCCTCAAGCGGGTCCCTCTCTCATTCCACAACTTTTCTCTCATCCTTGAACGTGGTCGCCCGTGCGCCAAACGCGTCCTCGTTGGATCCGACAAATACGCCGCAATCCAGCAGGCTAAGTCGATCGGCTACGAAACCAACATTCTCGAACGCGTGCACAAGGCGAAGGAGCTGACGCCGCGTCAGAAGAAATACCAATCTCGATCCGGAGGTGAGACAAGTGGTTCTGAAACGAACACAGGTCTCCCCAGCTTTTCGGGCCCGGAGAAATGGGTCGAACAGGCCGTGGACGAAATTCTACACCTGAAGATCCTCGAGTCGTTGGTCGACGCACAGAAACCTAGCACCATTGTTCTCGCCACTGGCGATGCTGCCGAGGCTGAGTACTCGGACGGGTTTCTGCGCATGGTTGAACGCGCCTTGGAAAAGGGCTGGTGCGTCGAGCTGGTGAGCTTTAAACTCAACACCAGCAGTCTGTACAGGAAAAAAGTTTTCCGTACCAGATGGGGCCAGATGTTTAAACTGGTTGAGATGGATCCGTTTGTGGAATTTTTGATCGATGAGGAGGAGAACGATGGTTAGGTGCCATGGTCAATCTCCCGTGGATCAATCTCGCAATCGACGTCGAGTTTCCACTCGACCCTTGGTGTGGCGCCCAATATGTCGACTGCTTACGTATTGGCCTGTGCTCAACAGACGGCGATGGATGCGAGCAGGCGGCTTTGGGACTTGCGACAGGCAATACTGTTTGACCAGCTTGCTCGCAGCGGCAGAGCGAGGTCCTAAACATATGATCGACCCTGTTGATATCATGGTCTGTGTGATCTGCGGATCTGTAGCGAGACGCGGATATTGCTTGCCGACTTCTGCACTGGAGGTATATCGACCTGGAAACCAAGACATTATGGTAGCTGTTTGCAGAAGACAGTTTCAGATGAACGAAGTCAAACTCTGCGACTTGTGCCTGTTTTCCCCCCGAAGATCTTACTGCCTATCTTGACAAGAGCGAACGAGCAGAGACGTATATTCGGTACATTGTGCGTAGAGATTGTCCAACAACACGGACACGAGATGGAAGGCCTGACAAGGCTTGCAAACCTCGCCCACCGTCCGCTCCACAGAGCTCAAGTCCATACGCCAACCGAGAATATGCTGTGTAGGACAGTAGTATAGCAGCGACAGCTTAAGCGCTTCGTACTCGCTGCGGTACCTACACGTACGATAGTGTTTTAAGGCAATTTGCCGGTCAAACGTGTCCGCCATTCCCTTTTCAGCCTCGTCGATCCCCTCGGACGCTCGCTGTTCCCATATCTCCGAGACATGGTCCCCTCTCCAGTACAAGTACAGTCGATAGCTGTTCGCGCTTTCGTACATGCTGCTGCACCCACTCGGTCGATTTCGTCCGTCAACCTTCCAATGATGTTTCGGGCTCTTTCGCGCCTCGAGATGGTGCAAAAGACGAGGGATTGCACGACCAGTTCTCGTTCAAACTGCGTTCGAAGGGCGAAGAACGATGTCCGGCCTGGCTGTCGAGCTGTAACTCGCCCCGAGCAGTGCCAATTTTAGGGGCCATGAGCAGGAAGCAACAGACTGCCTCAACGCAGTCCGGCCTCATTCGTCGGTTCTTGTACATCATTATCAATCTCTGTGTTGTGACATAGGCTAACCTCATCAACGGTGGTCCACCCCGACCGTTTGCTACGTAAGGCTTTGGAAAGAGAAAAAGTTCATAGACTGTTTGTGAGTCACCCTTTGCCCTCCATATATCAAGCAAAACATCTTTCTCCCTTTCCTCTCTTCCAATCACGAGCAGTTTCATTTAAATGACCAATCCTCGCGCGGATGCCTACAGCCCTTCGCTAAAGAGTTCGGAAGCACCCAGTCAATTGCACAGGCCAGAGACAGCAATTGCTTCCAACGACACCACAGTAGAGATATCAAGCAGCTCAAGCATGATGGACCCGACGATGGACAAAGACCTGGAGAAAACCGCAGAGGCCATGGCCAATTCTACCTCTAATCATGCCTTGATTGTGCGGAGCGAGGACCAGGTTGGCGGAATCGGTGGTGACAACGCCTCTATATCTCAAGCTGTCAATCCAATGGACCCATCGCAGTTTCCTGAAGGAGGACCCAAGGCATGGACGGTCGTGTTTGGAGCTGCATGTGGCATTTTTGTCAGTTTCGGCTGGATCAATTGTGAGTCTGAGTCCGATGCCCGAGGATGCTGCCATGGCTTCGTTCTAACCGCGACTCTCCAAACAGGCATTGGTGTCTTCCAGGAGTACTATGAAGCGCACCAACTCAAAGACTATTCGTCGCAGGAAATAGCATGGATCCCGTCTCTCGAGGCGTTTATGATGTTTGTCGGTGGCCTCTGGGTTGGCAGAGTATATGGTACGGCTCCTTTCCGTCTCTTCGTGCATCGTCCCGTGCTCATTATCATCTCCGCTTGTCGTCTATATGGATCTAACGGTGTGGGTAACAGACAACTACGGCCCTCGCATCCTCCTTCTCCTCGGCACATTCTTGCACGTCTTCGGCCTGATGATGGCCTCCATTTCCCACAAATACTATCAATTCTTGCTATCCCAAGGCGTGTGCTCCGCGTTGGGGGCCTCGATGATCTTTTACCCATCCATGTCCTGCGTTGTAACATGGTTTTTCCGCCGCCGCTCCCTTGCATTGGGCATCGCGGCCACAGGGTCGAGTATCGGCGGTGTGATATTCCCTGTCATGGTTGAAAAATTGATCCCCGAGGTGGGATTTGGCTGGACTATGCGCATCTGCGCCTTTTTGATTCTGGGGCTGATGGTCCTGGGCAATCTGACTCTCGTCAGTCGCATCCCACCCATGGCGAGGCCGGTCAAGCCCATGGATTTTGTCAAACCGTTTATGGAGGGGAATTTTGCATTATTGGCGCTGGGGAGCTTCCTGACTTTCTTGGGTATGTGCCTTCCCATTCTATTTTTCTTTGGAATTGATTTTATCTGCAACAAGCTTGGTTGTTAACCGAAAACCTTTGCCAACAGGCCTCTTCCTCCCTTTCACCTTCATCATCCTTGCCGCCCGTGCCCGGGGCGTCCCGAACTCTCTCGCCAAATATCTGGTCGCGATCCTCAACGCCGCCAGCACATTCGGACGTACAATACCTCCGTTCTTCGCCGACCGGCTGGGCCGCTTCACGGTGTTCCTATCAATGTCACTCCTCTCATTCCTCATAATCCTCTGCCTCTGGGTCCCTTCTTCCGGCACGGCTGCCACCGTCGTCTTTTGCGCCATCTTCGGATTCAGCTCTGGGGCAACGGCCAGTATCTTGCCGAGCTGCGTGGCGCAGATAAGCCATATCAGCCAGATTGGTGTGCGGACGGGGTGTTTGTTCAGCGTGGTTGCGGTGGCGGTGTTGATCGGATCTCCCATTGGAGGCCAGTTGATTTCAAACGATGGATACCGGAGTATGCAGGGATTTAGCGGCGCTTTGATGGGAGGTGGCTTTGTCGTTTATGCCCTGCTTTGGCTTAAGCTGGGCGGCTTGAAGGGCAAAAAGGTATAGTTTCCAGGTATGCATCAAAGGATGCCATCAGCGCGGTTCGGGGTTGCAATATGAATATTTTTCACCTGGTGTATAATTCAATGGTTCATCCCCGCTAGGGCGGTTGTGCTCCTACAGAAATAGAAATCAGAGGCGTCACTGTTTCCAAAGAAGAGTTGTTCAGCGCCGAAGAAGGCGAGGTCGTTGTCGAACAAGGGTGGTAGCTCGGTCTCAAAAAATGACGGCTGCGGCTCATTGCCATTGCCTAGCAAAAACCCCCGGTCCGACATGGCAGCAGTATCTGGCAGGGCAGATTGGTGATGGAAGCCATCATAGACGCTGAACATGGACTTCATGATTCCGGAGCGAGTCCCTGTTGTGGTGGTTGAAGGTTGCGTCCTCGTATGAGCGAAATGGTGTCTGGTATTTACTGCTTTTCCTTGTTCCTGGGTCAACACTTTGGCAAAGGCACCTCGATGGCTCTTGATGGCGCCGGCAAATGCAAGAACGGCCTCCCGTCGCTGCGCAAAGGGAATGTTGGCCCAGTGCTTGAATGCGCGTCGGGCAGCATTCACGGCATCATCGACATCCTGGGGTCTGGACAATGGCACCTCTGCGTTTGCCTTGCCCGTAGCCGGGTTGATGTTATGTGTGGTACTGGGTGTCTCGCTGAGTTTAGCCTCAATAACGCTGGTTTCCCAACCGAGTCTGGCTTTGAAGGTAATATGTCGACCACGCAGAAGGACAGCATAATACCGTACTTCAATTCATTTGATTTGAGCTTAGAAAGGCGACTCAGAATCGACAACACTGGTCCCGTACTCGGCAAGCTTAGGGGTTAATCAACTTGTTCAACGTACCTACCTCGGTCAATGATGGGGGCCCACAGACTCTACCTCATTTACCTCGTACAGACGGAGTCTTGCTCTCACTCTCTGCGGGCAGCTCCATTTCCCAAAAGAGCTGAAAAATCTCTCGGTATGCTCTGCACTCCAGCTCGGGGAGACCCCGATCTTCTTTGCTGACGTTCTGTGGTGGAAATGAGCGCACTTTGGAAATTGCCGCCCTGCTGTTTTCTCCACAGGGCAGACGCCCGATCCTCATTAATGTGTGGAGACCATCCTTGAATAGGGCCTTCTCCTTTGTTTCCTTGTCTCAATAACCTCTCATGTCCTACTCTCATTGTGCCAATTAGCAATCAGCTTTCATAGAATCGGTTCAACAAGACTTAGGGCTGGATGTGGGTCGGCGCCATGAGATGGATCAAGTCGTACTGGGTATAAGGGTAGTGTCGTGACTTGCTGACAAGATTTTTCTCAGGAGAGATCCCGAGCTGCGGCCTGACTGACTTGGTTCAGACTTGGCTTCAGTGTTCACCCACTTTGGCTTTCGGAAGGTATGATATCCCAATAGTACTCAAGGCTGATGGCAAGACTAATTTTCTGCTCTGAGATTCTGAATGTCGTGGTCGTTGTCTAGATCTCTGTAATGGATTCTTGGTATTTCCAACCATTTGCACCAGCCAGCGCCCAATGGCTTCAGGCGAGATATTTGATTTCGTTATAGACGGTGGCGGCATGTTTGGCCGAATCTGCTGCGCGACCTACGGTGTTGACCTACGGTGTTGCTTGTCGACGCCCGGGGAACAAATGGAGACATCCAAAATCGTGTTGATGCCGACCGCTGGCACCACAAGAATACGATCCCAGACGGCAATTGGAATTACTTGACTAAACCACAAGAACACCTGAATTTACGACAAACTTGACTACAGCAGTGGAAGAGGTGCTGGCGGAAGCAGCGTGATAAACTTTGGATGCTACACTGTCGCCATCAAAGATGACCACGATGGAATTGCTCGCCTAGTCGGTGGCGATGAGTGGAAGTGGGAAAATGCCCGGCAAAGATACAAGCGACTCGAGTCCTATCAGCCTTTCACCCCAGATATTCCCGATGGTGTTGGCAAGTACCTTGCACCAAATCCAGAGATCCACGGCCATCACGGCCCTTTGAAAATCGGATTTCCTGCTGTGTGGGAGCCCAGCCTCAAGAATACTTTTGTATTCGGAGGTAGGGCCGGCGGATCAATTGCGACGATACAGGATTCCAGTCCTGGTCGATAACCAATATATTGGGCAGAATCTTCAAGATCATTACCATATAAGTTGTGCCTGGCAACGAACCGAGGGCGCAACTACACGACCGCAGTACTTACGGGACAAGAAAGCTCAGGAAGCAGCACGCCGTGAGTGGGAAGAAAGTCGAACAGGCTCCTTGACCAGAATTTCAACCTGCATGGGCATTGGATTTTTCAAATCAAAAAATGTTTACGACAGCAACGAGTTCAAAGACTTACGCTCTGAGACAAGGCGACATCTCTTGCGACCGACAGTTCCGTCTTAAGAGATCACCCTGAACGCTCCGTGGCCTGGCTACTTCGCCGACCCCGAAAACACACCAGCAGTTAGTGTAATCTACATGCTGTTGATGGATTCCCAATGTCGAGGCCGCGTGGAGCTTCAATCATCGGATCCGAGAGTCCCTCTTCTATTTGATACCAAGCCCTTCTCCAGTGCATACGACCGAAGAGTTGCAGTTGAGGCGTATCGTGAGGTATCTAGGATCATGCGGAGCCCAGCCTACGCCAAGGGTACAATACGACCTCTATCGGCGCCTTAAAGAGAGTCGGAGGAGGACATTATCGAATTCTGGCGCCAGCACTCCACAAGCACTTGGCACATGTCGAGCACTGCGAGCATGGGGAAGACCGGTGACCCCAAGGCTTGTGTGGATACTAGCTTCCGTGTCTTGGGCGTGTCGAACCTGCCCATAGGTGGCCTCAGTGTCCTACAGGTGCTGACCAAGTACGTGCATATCCATATTGAGCCCCCCAAAATCATCACCTTTCAAGTTTAGAACTGGCAGTCATGCAGTGGTCATAGTCAAGCAACAGCGTTCCTGGTTGGTTTAATGGTGGGCGATATGCTGGTAGCGGATTATCAGCTAGATGATCAAAGCGAAACACCGCTACGTGGACATCTATAGAGTTTCATATACCAGGGAACGAGTTGTTTTCCTATTTTCTGTGCTGTTACAGTGGAAGACGGAATAAGGAAATTTAAACCGATATTTTTTTGGGGCATGCATCACAAATGTCAGTGGGTTTCGGGACATACATAGTACCTACTCAACTCCTCCATATTCACATACAATAAAAACTTGCGACAACCTGGACACGATGGCCTTCGGGCTACCCAGCACAATGCATTTGTGAGCCACATCAATGGATTCTCTCAGTCGAGAGGTTTTGGACAGTATGTCCGTTCGCCAGCCATATACTTCGACCTGAAGCCTCGGGAGAAGACTTTGGAGTGGCAAGCCGCAAGCGGCGTGGTCATCTCGTAGTCTCAGAATTCATGTCTGGTGCAGATCCGAGCTTTCCAACACCTCATTTCTGGACTGAAAACTTTTGCAGGTAAGCGGGTCCCCTATAGCAGATTGGAACCCTACCTCATCATGGGTGGAATATTAAATTTGATATTTGGACCAAGTCTTGATTGAGGAGGCTCGGATGATCCGAGGGTGGATCGGACCCTGATTGGGGGCATATGACTCCCTATAAAGCGGCGGCAGTGGCATCCTTGAGTGGAAGTTCGTCGTGGGTTTGTAGCACCAAATAGAAGCCGATGGAATGACGTAAGTAGTTAGACCAGATGCTGGTGACACGAGAGCCACTTGCTGCCTGTCAGAATATTCTCCTACGCTCCCAACAGTGGTCTCAGATGCTTGTGGCGTGTCGACGGTATGGTGGTACATATCGATGACCTCGGGCCAAGTCACCGGTGCGGACTTGCAAAGTGAAAGTCCCTCGCCGGCCGCCGCATCTGAACGAAGCCTGACCAGCGAGACCAAAACTAGCTTCATCGACAGGATATCACCGGCAAACCGATTCAGCGGGTTTCTGCTTTTGTGTCTGTGAGGATGCCGCGGATTGGCTGTACAGCTTCTTTTGAACCAACTCTGAGATGAGGAGAGCCGCAGCGGGCAAAGCTAATGACAGAAAATACTGTCTCGATCAGAGGGTCGAGAGGAAATTCGATGGCCGATAACCGAACATCCGGAGAGTCAATGGCGTTACAGAGGTATAGGACGAAACGGCCTCGGCGACAGTCCAGCGACGGATATTCAGTCGAAGAAATCTCTGCCGATGACATGGGCTATGATGGGGATATCGAAGTTCTTCTGCCCGATCAGTATGAGGAACCTGAATCCGATTTCGAAGATGACAAGGCACTCCTGAGGCTATGGCCAGATACAGACGATGAACTGGCCAGCAAACTGCGGAGGTTGTTCTGCGATCCTCATTCCTTACGACACACTCGGCGAGATGATGGTGATCGGGGACGGAAACGCGTGTCAAGGGAGATGGATGACGGGGAGGAAAATGCCTCGCTCAAGCACACGGAGATTGAAGTATCTGAGCTTGTGGACGGACACGCCGAGCAGCCGCCACCAAAAAAAAGAAAGAACAGAGCCAGCAAGCCACCAGCGGGACAGCAAGGAGTGAAGAAGCAGTCCAGAGCCGCCTGGTCTGACAGCTCCGACCGGTCCGAGGAAGCCATGGACGAGTCTTCGACGGGGACGCCATATGGCGCAAATGCGCCGTCGACGCCAGTGAGGAATGCCGGGTCTGACAATGATGAGCTTGATGCCATGGACCTTGGATGAGAGACTGTATCTGAAAGTACCAACACAAGTGGATGCGGAGTACTGTTACTTGGCAATAGGGCAGTTTGGATACTGCGGGGCCATAGTTGCCGGATTGAGGCATTTGGCGGGGTTCGGGGGTTGGTCGCACATGACCCTGGTTCCTGAATCCTGACTACTTTAGAGCATCACGCAACAACCCACCAGCCTTCAGTGCGCAGTCTGCCGTCTCCCGTCTGCCATCTTGTCTCACACCGTTCGTTCGCACCGCAGGCTGGTGATAGAAGCTTCCACGCCGCACGGGTCTCGTTCCGATCTTACATCATTGTGCCTCTGGCCTCGCCGAGCACTAACTTTAGCTGCACTTCACTTCCCCCCTGCTCCTTCCAGCACCATGACAAGAAGATGCTTGCTGCTGCCGACCCGACTTCAATGGCTTCTTGATCTCTGCTCATTCTTCCCACTCTCGCCCCATCAAGCACCATCTTAGCCAGTATCTTAGTGTCCTTGTTCACTCCCAGTCTTCACACGTATCCATTGCTCTAAACATCCCATAACTCTCCGAAGATGACTGGCAGACGCTCTTCTGCGCGCATCGCTGCTCAAAGCCAGAGCTCCCAGACTTCTCAGACCTCGTCCCCTCCACACCCAAAGTCATCGCCAGCCGGCAGGAAGCGCAAGAATGAGATGTCAGGCTCTTCACCAAGCGCAAAGCGAGGCAAGAAGCATGCGCCGCCGGAACAGAAGACGCTGGACGAGACGCTACAGAAGTACTTCTTTCTCTCCAGCCCGCCCGTCCGATCTATGCTGACACATGATGCCCAGTGGAACTCATGAACAACCGGCTCCGGAGAAGGCCGATCAAGAAATGACCGAGACAGAGCCAGAAAAGCCTGGAGATACACAAACGGAGAAAGTCAATGGTGAGGCGCCCGAGGCGAAAGAGGACAAGATACCCAACAAGGTGGAAAGTACCGAAAAAGAAAGGGAAAAGGACGCAGAAGCCAAAGGCGCCGAAACTGAACCCGCCGAGTCCCAGAAGGATGAGACCAAACCCGCTGAACCTGAAGCCCCAGAGTCCAAGAAGGAGGACGTCAAACCCGCCGAGACCAATGGCAATGCGGTTGAGCCTGGTTCGCGTGAAGACGACGTCCCATCCACTATCCTCGAAAAGGGCGTCATCTACTTTTTCTTCCGCTCTCGGGTCAACGTGGACCACCCCGAGGACGTCAACGATGTTGCGCGCTCCTACATGGTCATGCGACCAATTCCCCTTGATGCGAAACTCGGGGATGGCCCAATTGGCGATGAAGGAAATTGTCGTCTTCTAGCTCTGCCCAAGAAAGTGCTTCCAAAAAGTGGCAAGGACAAATTCGTCACCTTCGTCGAGAAGTGCAAAACCAGCTTTGCCAACCTCAAAGAATCCTTCATGACTGGCTCAGAATACGAGACAAAGACTGCTGGCACAAAACATACACCACCTGTCACTCCACTTGCGGAGGGAGTCTATGCAATCACTTCTACAGGACGCGAATCGCATCTAGCCTACATCATCAACATCCCTGCTGAGATTGGTGAGCTGCAGAAGGATTTCGGCCTCAAACAGCGCGGAAGTTTCGTGACCAGTGTCAAGAACCCTGAGCAACCGCCTCTTGGCAATCAGAACGTGCCCCCGGGACCTGAGTACCCGCAAGACATCATTGATGAATTCCGAGGTCTCCGTTGGAAGCCATTAGAGCCCAAATTCTTGGATTATGACCATGCGCAGTTTTTGATGATCGGAGAGGATTACGACAAAGCCACTGAGCAGCGGCCCAAGGATGAGCGCGAAAACAAAGCTGCTCCTGAGGAGGAAATGGACAAGTTGGAGGGCGAAGATGAGATTCGGATCAAGCACTTGAAAGGTGGGACTGAAATATACTGTCTTTCATGCATGTCGCTGACGTTCTCTCAGGTGATGATGCTGTCTTTACGGATCTCGGAATCTCGTCGCAGGAATTTCCCAAAGTGTCAACCACCTGGTAGTTGTCACTCCGTGACGATAGTCCATGCGGATTGGATCGATTATGTCTGTGTCAATGTCATTTCCGCGCACTGTTCCGTTCAGGGAGGTTTAAGTCGATGTCCGCTTCATAGCTAAATCAGCAGATCAATCCATCCGGCTACAAATGCCATGGATTTGTTATGATTCACTGAAAACTTAAGACCAGGAAAAGCATCTGCACCGTCATTGGATCGTCGACTCAATGGATGGAGCAGACCTAAATAAATGATATTTGTTGAGAAACGACGTCCTCATCACTCTCTTGCGGCATTATTTGTTGCTTTTATCCAGCCCCTCGCTCGGAAAAATACTAAATAACAAAACATGGATGGCTATATTCCCAGAGAAAAGATATCAGTTAGATAGGCAGGCAGGAAAGCCTGGAGGGACCAGAGATCCGGTCTCTGTGGACATTTGCTTGGTCCGCTTTGATCGAGAGGTGGGGAGCCTCAGGATAGCCTGGTAGGTCCAGCGGCTGGGCTAGAGGCGACCGGCCATCTTCGCCACGGGGAGCATTCAAGTCTTCCCAACATTTAAGCCTCGAGAAATAATGTTAGACAGGCTGCATTGCGGAACATGGTGCTTCAGGCTCTCCATACGGTGCCAAAAATGCGTGCTGGGATGAAAACACCACGTGGGCAACCAGTTCTCCAGCGATCCTACCCCCTTTTGGATATCCTTCTTCTCGCTTTGTGACGGCTTCGATCTGCTCCGCTTGCTCCTGAATCTGCCATAAGGTGAACTCGAGATATCCCATGTTGGGGGACAGGTGCTGGAGGCAGCGCGCAAGAGTCAGGCCGCCACGCAGGTGAATATGCATGAATCTCTTTGTACCCCTGCATGCCTTCGATGTAGATGAAGAGGATGCTGGCAAAGGCAGCGAGTTTGACGCTTTCGATCGAACATTCCAGACGAGCATTGAGACGCTGTATGGCCAGTGCTGGTGCATTGAAAACAGGTGGGCCTGACCTCATTGGATTTCTTGTGTCTAATTCTATGGGTTTGGGATCAGAATTGAGAGCTCGTGGTGGAGTCCAGGGAAGGAGACAGTGCAGGAAAGCATATACTTTTGCAGCTTTTGACACCCGGTTTTGACCTTGTGCTGGCCCCTCGCGCCGATGCGAGGTTTTTTCGAGGAGATTGAACTGTTCTCTATTCCCTCTTCCGATATCGCTTGTATTTGGAAATCCGCGGACGGTGCTTGATGCTTGCCTGGTGAAAACACCTTCACAAAAACGACATGACATTCCAAGGCTTCCTCATGAGTCAAAAGAAGAGCCGAATCGCCGAGTATTATAGAAGTACGAAGTACTCAATACCCTGGCTTTGTTCGCAGGGTGATTCCAGGCCGAGTGGATCCGGTCCGCATTATGGGATTGGTTCGTGCGTAATTTGAAGCTGCTGTGCTTTCTGTAACGGTATTAGTCTCTCACATCGGGCATTATCTGTATGTATCGGTAATAGTACCAAGTAGTTGTAATTTGCTTGCGGCATGGTGCCAGGTCGGCAAGTTAAACTTGGCTGTGAAGGTCCTGGTCCTGGAGGCCTCCTAGGGATCACAACTTTTCTACAAATGTCAGGTCCTTTCCCCAGGATACTTCCGTATTCTTCACAATCAACCGCGAGTTGACTCCTCATCTTCCAAACATGGCCACGACACCCTTCGACATCAGCGAGGTCATTCCCAATGAAGATTCACCAGCCGCAAGAGACGCTCGCCGCAAGGAAATGCAAGCTTTGGAGCAGGCCACCCTCGAAATTCTCGGTTCTTGACCCCCGGGCTTGAAGGAATCGACAATCGACATCCAGATCCCAGATGGGATTGCCAGCCGGACCATCGTCATCTGGCCTGTCTTGGAATGATCGAGGCAGCCAGACTGTCGAGAAGTGTCCCCTCATCGTGTACATCCATGGAGGAAGCTTCACTGTTGACACGCCAAGCTTCACACTTTCCCCGGCCCGTGCGTTCGCATCGTATTTTGGACCCATCGTCGCCTGTCCGTCCTACAAGCTGGCGCCGGAGAACCTTTTTCCGATGCCGATGCAAAGTGCATGAGAGGTAATAGCCTGGCTCTCTGATCCGCAAGACCTCAACAACGGGCCCCTCAAAGACGACGGGGTCGAGTTGGATGCTTCCCTCGGCTTTGTGCTGGCTGGCTGCAGTGCTGGCGCAACCATCTCCGCAGTCATTGCTGGCATCGCCTCACCTGCACGGGCAGGTCAGATGGAGCTGGTGCGAGGGTTACGCAGCCTTGTCTCTCCCATTCGAGGAATCTTCGTGTCCCTCCCTCATGTCGTCCATCGGGACATTGTCCCGGCGAAGAATACATCTGCGTTCCAGTTCCGTGAGGAGAATGCAAATGCTCCAATCAACAACGCCACGTCTCTGGCCAACTCGGAAAAGCGACTGAAAATGGAGTTCCACGCACCTTGGTTTCCCCCCCCTCAACCTGGATCTCCGTGAGATAAGAGAACATCACCCTCGACGGGTTTACGTGCATGGTGGCCAGTTGGATATCCTTCGTGACGACGCGGTCATCTATGAAGGGGTGCTGAGAGAGGGCGGCGTCGCTGAGACAAAGATCGATGTGCTCGACGGCTACGGCTATGTGGGTTGGGCGTCGCTGCCGTTTCCCGAAGCCCACTCGCCAGAGGTAAAGGAAACGACAATGGATGGCATGGCGTGGCTCCTGGACAAGGATTGGGACAGAAGCAGACCGCTGCCATAATAGCGCTCTCGACATACCAATAGCTTTTGATTTCACCCAAAGACTTGTCAAGGAAGCACCTTTTTCTGGTATTCGTCGAAGGTGGAGGCATTCCGCCTGGGGCCATGCATAAGAAGGAGTAACGGGACTTGCGAGGCTGCCCGGCAGCTCGAGGAATGGGTGCCCCAAATCAGCCAGAGGATGGAGGATGTTTACTCACTTGTTTCTCGTGCCATAATCGCCGTTGCCTGAGTGGGAAACATTGAGAGGTTGAGAAACCGCTGTGCACAAGAAATACACAAACCTAAGGCGTTTGGTGGACGGAGTTTATGATCGACCTGTTTGCCGACAAACCCTAGGAGGACCCCTATCGTCTAGCCTCGTCCGTTAGATGTCTAAGGTTGAGGACAAGAAAAACAGGCCATATATCAGCACAGCACTTTGTCGAATTTGTCACTGACGAGCACCCCCATGGTCCAGCCTTGCAGAGCCTCGTTCTCGCCGAGACAAACAAAACACATGTCGCGATTTTGCACACGTTCCGGCACATTCTGTCGTCGGGCGATCGCCATATCACCCCCTGAGTATTTCAGCCGCGTCACGTGCCCTCACCCATCCGTCCTTTCTTCCTACATACTTCTTCCGCCCACACGCCCACAATGTCTTCTGGTCTCACTCTTTTCGCTTCAAACATTCAAAGTAACCTCCTGCTCGCTGGCTTGGGCGTCAATTTCGAGCTTCGCGTCCCCGGATACTCGTTCAAGGTCCATCGGTTCGTCCTGAGCGAATGCTCGAGATATTTCGCTAACGTATGCTCAGGACACTTTCAAGAGGGCATAATGGGATACCTGGTCTTGAACGAGGTCGAAGATCCGCTGATGGTCTTGAGAATGATCCAGTCGATCTATATAAAAACCTACACGGACCAAGAGTCAAATTTGCCGCAGGCGTGGAGGAGATACCTCGAGCAGTCAAGAGTCGACTCCGTCGTCGGCGAGGGAACCAGTGCTTCGGCGGGTTCGCAAGCCAGCACCGCTGTTGAGGACGAGGAAGATCGAGCCTCTTCCGCTTCCTTTACCCCCGAAAACAGGCCGGACGGCCTCTTCCTCCACATTGATATGTATTGGCTGGCCGAATTTTATGCCGTCGATGCGCTCTCCACCATTACTCTCCAGAAATTCGTCCTGGCCACTTCCGGCGAGCTTTTCAGCTGCAATCTGCTCCTCTGGACAATCGAATACCTCTACATCACCACCCCAAACCAAAGCCGAGCGACTCTGGGGCAAAAGATGAGGATGAGGGCCGTGTACCTGGCGCAGAAGAGCGAGATGCGTCTGTTTAGGGAGAAAAAGTTCAAACTCTTGATGGAAACGAACGCAGAATTCATGTGGGATTACACCACCAAGTGCCTGCGGGCCAAATACTTACAATGCCGGAGGGAAGAATGCCAGGCGACCATTGAGCCGAAGGCCAGGGAAGAGTGTGACTGTGGCGGGGAGGACGTCTGCCAGGTCTGCTTTGACAGTGATTGGTACGGGAGGGTGAGAGAGATGCCAATGTGCCCGAAATGCAACCAGGGCAGGCTGGCGAGATGGGACTTGGATTTTGTGGACAAGGCCGACATGACAAGTGTCAACGCCTTCGGGGAGATGTTTCATCCGTCCGCCCGTGAGACATAGAGGCAAGGGGGACAATTTGACAGGACAAGCCGAGAAGCAACGAGGGGGAACTTGAAGGGCCTGAGGACGACGGCTTCCGTCTCGGGATGGCCTCAAAAGAACGATGAATTGGCAGGCAAAGGCCTTCCATCATGAAACAAGACATGCATAGTAGAATACAGGCGACCGTCGAGCAGAACGCGATTTCATGCCATTGCACCATTCGAACAGGCGGTGACCTACAGCTTCTTATATGCATAGTGAGGTTTAGGGATTGTAGACACAAAGGATGATGGACCACTGCATCCATTTGGATGTCGGGAATGCCGTGGTGAGTAGTGTGTCATTCTGTGAAGATTTGATCTTCTTTGCACCAAAATAGGCACATTATCCTGGTGATAGCTTTCCAAAAGGAAAGGGATAAAGGCCAGAGTGTTGGCAAAGGTCTTTGTGCTTGTGAAATAGAGGGAGTGGAAAGGGGGCGTGGAGGGAAGCTTGGGACAGCAAAAGAAATGGGAATGGCCAATGCCTTGGTTGGGAATTCATTCTCGTTATCCTCATTATTGTTTTGACGAGGGACATGACAACATTTCGAGACATTGCTCATGGATGATATGGTCCTGCTACACCACGCTCCCCTTGCTGGGGCCGGATGAGCTTTGTGGATTCCTCAGCGGGCACTGCATCTAGATCTATTCATCGGGCACTTTCGGACAAGTTAGCAACAGGCACCAAAAAGAAGCCGAATCAATGTTAGAACTTACCCTCAATCGACCCTTCCTTGATCTCATCACTAATCTCCTTGGGACTTCTTCCGTCTACCTGACAACCCACACTGAAGCAAGTTCCCAAGATCTCCAACACCGTACCCTTCAATTCACGAGCGAGTGACTTGTTTGCATCACGCATGGTTCGGGCAATGTCGAAAACCTCGTCAAGAGGGATTGACTTGGAGTGTTTAATGTTCTTTTCCTTCTTGCGGTCTCGAGGGGGCTCTTTCAGGGCTCGAATGACGAGAGATGAGGCAGAGGGAACGACGCTGACAGCAGCTTGTCGGTTTTGGATGGTCAGCTTGACGGTGACGCGGAGACCTTTCTGCAGGCGCAAAATATTAGGTAGTCTGTCAATATGTGAATATGGATTGTTGATAAACGCACCCAGTCGCCAGTGGCTTTCGCGATATCTTCGCCGACCTTCTTGGGTGAGAGACCAAGGGGACCGATCTTAGGGGCTAGAGTTGCAGAAGATCCGACCTCACCGCCAGTGGCGCGGAGGTGACTGTAGAGTAACCATGTCAGTATCTTGCCGATTGGGTCTTGTGGGATGAGGAAAATTGTCGGGGTATCATACATGATCTTCACCTCACCGGGATCTAACTTGGGAGCTGAAAGGGTGAAAACATAGCGTTAGCCGCCGAGCTGATGCTGCTCAAGAAGACGATACTTACGCATGGCGAGTGCGAAAGGTAGTCAGTCTTTCTTGAGGTGGTTGATGGTGAGCTGGAAGAAGAGACAAATTCAGGGATGCGATTCTGGAAATTAAAGAACTAGCAGCTTTTTCGACGCTGCCAAGATTTCAGCTTGTGGGTGAAATTTGTTCCTAATTCGGAAAGGTCGATATGGGCCTGGGCAGATGCAGCTATGTACCAGTAGAGGCAAAACCAACATGCATTCCCTACTCGGGACATTCTTCTTGGCAGCTGATTTTATGTCATGCCAATTTTCTACGGGTGTCTAGCCGTTCAATTTGATTTTTGGTTGTTTGTAAAACGAATTGTGGCCGTCCCATTGAACAGGATCTTCGGGGGATACGTCCAACATATGTAGCCGACGTCACAAGAATTGAGTCCCAAGTCCCCATAGGCACCGTCATCACGCTTGCTTCTACCGTATGGCTCTAGCTGGAGCCAGATACTGCCAATCTGGATCGGATTAGCGTAAGTCAAAGGTTACAAGGGTGGGCAACTTACTTCATCAGATGATCCATGAATGTCTGCAATGACACATCATCAGTGAAAATCGTCTGAGCGGACTGCGAAACACCACCGTAACCTCCAGTCGCATGCGTAGTTGAAGGATTTAACTTTGATAGGAGGAAACGGGCCTGCGAGCCTCCAGCATCACAAATAATAAATCGCGGCAGAGGGAATCGGTCCTGTACGAGTTCTCGCGCGTCTTCCTTTGGTGCGTCGAGAACAGCCCGGAAATTCTCGTAGCCTTCCTGGTCTTGATAGCCAGCTTTACGCCATTCAGCCATCGTTTCGCCATGGAAAATCAAAATCTGGAAGAAAGTATCGAGAAGCAGGATGGTCTGGGGTTGGATGGAGGCGGAGTCGAGCAGGACGGGTTGACCACCTTCGTGGTCAAGACCGTAAGAGTCCAAGGTAGGTTGAATCATGATTAGCGAATCCCCCACGTATTCATGGTTCAGCACGTGTCGATAAAATGCCGTCTCGTCGGGCGAGTTGTTGAACACCTGAAGGAATTGCGATCTGCGCAGGTGGAACATGAATTGCGGGTAGAGGGTGAAATTTTTGTCAAGTCGGAAGGAGGTTGGATCGTCTTTGCGATAGTCTGCGAAGCGCGAGCAGAGCCGGATGAGCATCCGATCGACCCATCTGAGCACATCAGGCCCATCGTCGACCTCTGCTTTGAAAACCGCAATTCTTGCCATGAGCACGGCAGCAGCTTCCTGGTCGAAAGATTGCGCCAGTGCTTGGTCACCGGTTGGACCGCTCAAATTGCGAGCAACGGTGGTCACACGTAGGTGATACTGTCCGGAAGAATGCTGGTAATATGTCAAGAACTGCATCATACCTCGTTGTGGGCCTTGCTGCATGGGCGCTGGACCACCCTGGTTTGCAACCTCAAAGTAAATGCCGTAGCTGGATGTGGGGTCAATGCCGCACATTTTCCAGAGACAAGTGTTTCCAATACCACATTCTGTCTCGCCGACAGAGCTAGACTTCTTATTTTGGGAGACGGCGTGGCCAATGAGACCGGTGACCTTGAGCTCTTTCGTTGTAACGACCTCGAGTGATGCATTGAATCCCATCTGGAGGTTGTCGCTCTCATCCTTGTCAAATACTCGTACGAAAGACTGCTTGAACTGCGAGGAGGTGAAACTGTCTGTCAAGACCATATGCCCTCCAGTCGAGTTCGCCAATCCCTTCATCTCAAGCAAACCAACTTGGTCGAGACAACCAACATATAGATCGATGATGTGTCCGTTGTGGGCAGTGCGTTTTGCAAGATTGTCGTAGAATTTGATGGCCTTCTTGAAGTACTTGACATTGTCGCGATCGATATCATGGTGTGATCGAATCGGCTCACGTAGTTCTGGAGCAACAACCATGCCGGGTCCTTCAGTGGCGGGACCGCCAGCAAATAGCATAATTCTGGCTCCTGCGTTCTGGAAAGATGTCTCCAGCAAGCCGACTGCAATACTCATGGCAACACCGGTGCAGCGAAGTGGTCGCCGGTCATTCGCGACAGGCCAAGGGTCCTTTTGCAGCTGCTCGATTGCATTGGTTATCTGGAACTCAGCTTGCTGGACGGGAAGGAGGAACCGGGCAGCAGGGCCCATCGGCGGAGGCGGCCGGCCTTGTACTGGTGGTATATTGGGTCTCATCCCAGGCGCAGCTAATCCCAGCATCTCTTGAACCTGCTTTGCTGCATAGTCCTTGCTGCCCCTAAAGACGTACGACTTCTGGCACTCGGTATAGCCAATTTCATGAACGGCAACATTTGTTCCGAACGTAACCAAACCCACTAGCGCATTCGCAGGGAGTAATGACAAACTCATAACCAAGGTTTCTTTTAAGGCTTGCAAGCCATCTTCCTCAATCGCAGTATCAACCACGTACACGAAAATTGGTGGGGAAGGGGCAGGTCGAGCAAGCTTGTATTCGACCGTAGTGTTCGCGGGGTGCATCTCTGGTGGGATGTTCTCGGCACTGATATCTCCATAGTGACGAGGCAGCGGGTTGCGTTGGAGACAGAAGGGGCAGATCCATAGTTTAGCCCGCACATCGACGTTAGCGAAGGGATTGAGGACCGCCCGGCAAGGCGCTTTGCATGTGACGGGCTCATAGGGGAGTGGTGGTTTGCCGAGTTCCTTTCAGACTGTCAGCACCAGAAATATCTCTGGGTTTGGAGGGCTCACTTTCAGAGGCGTGAGTAAACAGCTGACGGGGACCACCAGTCTGTTTGCTTCCTGAAGAATTGCTTTTAGTTTTGTTCAAACTGTGCTGTGACTTCCTTTCGTACCATGCGCGTCGATGGAATGACGTTCCAACTGAGTCTAACGCCATCTCTGTCCTCAACCTCCCCCCAATTGTCCTTGATCGCGTCGTACTGAGCCTGGTCCATTATCGCAGCTATGTCGCTAATGCCTCACAAGCACATGCTGGTTGAAACGGGTCTGAGTGAGCGAACGTCTGGGAGATGGAAGTGCTGTACTCGATCTGGGCTTAAGAATAGTAGCAGAAGGCCACCTATCTGTTCCAGCCGAAGATCAGAGTAGCAAGGAGTATAATCGCGGACAGAGTGGTGATAGTCTACAACACAAGTGAGCCACTCTGGCAAGTTTGGGATGAAAGCGATATAAGAAGACGGGCTGGCCATCCCAATCGATAAACTAGCCAAGTCCCCACATTGTGCAGCCTCGCCGTACCTTCCTTTTTGCGTATCATGGACAGCCTGCGGACAATTTGTCTGGCACTGAATTGAGCACCGCACCCAAACCCCATACAGAGCCACATATGCCTTTCCAACTGAGCCCCAAATACTGCAACCGCGACAATTCTCACCGGGGAGTTCTGATACTGACGCATCATAGGAGGGGTGCAGCATGATTACAACCTGTCGTTGAGAAATTCAGCAAGTTGAACTCTTCTCCAAAACGGCCAACATGGCCTCCCCTTCAATGCTCACAAAGGCATGGCCTGGCCGTCTGTCCTCCTCTTTCAATGTCTTCTAACCTTTGAGTACAGTTTGAGAGCAAAAGCAGTCGCGCAAAGGGCTTAGCTTTCCATCCGAAGCGACCATGGATCCTTGTCAGCTTGCACAGCAGTACCATTCAGTACCGCACCTTGACACCATTTCTTGCGGCATCCAAACTAACCTCTCTGCAGACTATGGGACTATCGCATGGGAACATTGATCGACCGCTTCGAGGAGCACGATGGACCTGTCCGCGGTATCGACTTTCACAAGACACAACCACTCTTCGTTTCGGGAGGAGACGACTACAAGATCAAAGTCTGGTCCTACCAAACGAGGAGGTGCCTCTTCACGCTCAATGGTCACCTGGACTATGTTCGAACAGTCTTCTTCCACCATGAGTTGCCTTGGATTTTGTCCGCATCGGACGACCAGACGATTAGGATTTGGAACTGGCAGAATCGGTCTCTGAGTATGTACTTCTCCAAACGAGATCTGGCCCTCCCTAACACACACAACAGTCTGCACCATGACGGGCCACAACCACTACGCCATGTGCGCCCAATTCCATCCTAAGGAGGACCTCATTGTTTCCGCCTCCCTTGATCAATCTGTTCGAGTGTGGGATATTTCAGGACTACGGAAAAAGCATTCGGCTCCAACATCGATGAGTTTTGAAGATCAGATGGCCCGAGCAAATCAACAACAGGCTGATATGTTTGGTAACACCGATGCCGTTGTCAAGTTTGTTCTCGAAGGGCACGATCGAGGCGTGAATTGGGTGGCTTTCCATCCGACCTTGCCGTTGATCGTCTCAGCAGGCGATGACCGCCTTGTTAAACTGTGGAGAATGAGCGAGACCAAGGCGTGGGAGGTTGACACTTGCCGGGGGCACTTCCAAAACGTCTCTGCATGCTTGTTCCATCCACATCAAGATCTCATTCTGTCCGTGGGCGAGGACAAAACTATTCGGGTCTGGGATTTAAACAAGAGAACTTCCGTCCAATCCTTTAAGCGGGAGAATGATCGTTTTTGGGTCATTGCCGCCCATCCTGAGATCAATCTTTTTGCCGCCGGCCACGATAACGGAGTTATGGTCTTCAAACTCGAACGAGAGCGCCCTGCATCCTCTGTGTACCAGAACCAACTATTCTATATCACAAAGGACAAGCACGTCCGGTCCTATGACTTCACCAAAAATGTCGAGTCCCCTTCACTCCTGTCACTTAGGAAGTTTGGCAGCAACTGGGTCCCTCCTCGCACACTCTCTTACAACCCTGCAGAACGATCAATCCTGGTCACATCACCCACGGACAATGGCACTTACGAGCTGATTGCACTTCCACGAGATGGCACAGGAGCTACGGATCCTACAGATATCAAACGTGGATCAGGCAACGCGGCAGTCTTCGTGGCCCGCAATCGCTTTGCCGTTTTCAGTACTTCCACCCAGTTAGTCGAAATTAAAGACCTCAGCAATTCGACGACCAAGTCCTTCAAAGCACCTGCTGGAACTACTGATATCACATATGGTGGCACTAGCTGTCTGCTTCTCATCACTCCCACAAATATTGTTCTCTACGATATTCAGCAGAAGAAGCAGCTGGCAGAACTGAGCGTTACGGGCGTCAAATATGTCTCTTGGTCAAACGATGGTCTGTATGCTGCTTTGCTCAGTAAGCACAATGTCACCATCGTGAACAAATCCCTAGAGCAAGTCAGTACTCTGCATGAGACGATCAGAATCAAGAGCGCCGCCTGGGACGATTCCGGTGTCTTGCTTTACTCAACTCTCAACCATATCAAATACACTCTCCTCAATGGTGATAACGGCATCGTTAGGACGCTCGACCAGACGGTTTACCTCGTCAAAGTCAAAGGCCGTAATGTCTACTGCCTCGACAGATCCGCTAAGCCCCGAGTTCTCAGCATTGACCCCACGGAATACCGGTTCAAGTTGGCGCTTGTGAAGCGCAACTACGATGAAATGCTTCAGATCATCAGGACGTCACCCCTGGTTGGGCAGAGCATTATCTCTTACCTGCAAAAGAAAGGCTATCCAGAGATCGCCTTACAGTTTGTGCAAGATCCCCAAACCAGGTTTGAACTCGCCATCGAGTGCGGCAACCTGGAAGTTGCCACAGAAATGGCCAAAGAGTTGGACAGACCCAAAATTTGGACACGCTTAGGCGCCGAAGCGTTAATTCATGGCAACCATCAGACCGTGGAAATGACCTATCAGAAACTTCGAAATTTCGACAAACTGTCATTCTTGTACCTTTGCACAGGTGACGAGGAGAAACTCACTAGAATGGCCAAAATTGCCGAGCATCGGGGAGATTTTGTGTCGAGATTCCAAAATGCACTGTATCTCAACGATGTGGAAAGTCGGATTCAAATGTTCAAAGAGATTGATCAATATCCATTGGCTTATCTTACTGCAAAGTCTCACGGGTTGACAGAAGAATGCCAATCAATACTCGAACTTTGCGGGTTGACCGAAGATCAAATCTCAATGCCTGACTCGGGAGGGGGTCTCGCTCCTCCAAAGGTCATTATTCCGACCTACAAAGCAAACTGGCCAGTCAAGGAAGCATCCCATTCCTCATTCGAGAGAGCTCTCCTCGGAGAAGTCGGAGTGGCCGTTGAAGACGAAACAAACCCTGATCTCCTCACCGAGGATATGCCGGTGGCTGCAGACGGTGGCGGACTCCCAGCAGAGGAAGAGGCGGATGCTGGCGAAGGTTGGGACATGGGTGACGACATCGGCCTCGAAACGACAGGAAATGATTCTGATTTCGTCAATGTCGACAACCCAGATGCACCTGCGGAAGCTGCTGGTCCGGGCAGCTCAGAAGCAGATATGTGGTCACGAAATTCTCCGTTAGCTGCGGATCACGTCGCAGCAGGCTCTTTCGACAGTGCCATGCAGCTGCTGAACCGTCAAGTTGGCGCAGTGCATTTTGAGCCTCTCAAGTCCAGGTTCCTGGAAATTTACCAGGCGTCCAAAACATTCCTGCCTGCCAATGCTAGCTTGCCGCCGATTGTGAACTACGTTCGCCGCACCACTGATGAGACGGACAACAGAAAACTCCTGCCCGTCATTCCCAGAAACCTGGAGACCCTCACAAACGTTGACCTTCAGGAAGGGCACACGGCTATGAGAACCAACAAACTGGAGAATGGTGTTGCTACGTTCCGAACGCTGTTGCAATCACTTCTCGTCAATGTCGTTAGCTCGCAGGCTCAAGTCGAAGAAGCCAAAGCACTTATCACCAAATCGATGGAATACACACTTGCGATGAATATCGAGCTTGAAAGACGTAAACTCGCAGCTTCAGGTGGTGATTCAGAGGCACAGCTTAAGCGACAGCTCGAACTTTCCGCATACTTCACCATGCCCAAACTTGAGGTCGCCCATCGGCAGTTGGCTCTTATGGCGGCTATGAAGTTGGCCTTCTCGAACAGACAATATTCGAGTGCACTGTCCTTTGCAAATCGAATCCTTGCCAATGGCGGCGCGGTCAAACTGCTTGAACAGGTTAGTTTATAGAGAGCAGCTGTCCAACGTGTTTGCTAACTTTGTTTTGTAGGCGAAGAAAATCAAGCAACAAGCCGAGCGTTCTGGGTCTAGTGACAAGACCGACATCGAGTACGACCAGTTCGCCGATTTCGACGTTTGCGCAGCTTCTTTTACTCCAATCTATACTGGAGCGCAGAGCGTGTCCTGCCCATTCGATGGGGCCAAGTACCAGAGCCAGTTTAAAGGACAGGTGTGCAGGATCTGCGAAGTCTGCGAGATTGGTGCCGCGGCTAGCGGTCTGAGGTTATGGGTAAAGGGACTCTGAGAGACAACAGCAAGGAGGTGACGACTCATCAAGGACATGACAATTGTTGCATGAAGGACTCCAAGACCGACAGTAGCATCAGCGGTGCGGCAGCTTTGTGACTGCTCCCGGCCTAGAACACATTCATAGGCTAGCTATAGGCCCATGGCACAATGTAGCTAGTCTCAAGGTCGCTGTTAGAGGGTTGAGGTCATTGCCACACTATTCCACAGCCTTGCTTCGTGAGCAAGGACGCCAATGTTGGGGCTGATGAGGAAAAATGCGTTATTTCCGTGCAAATGAAATAAGGCCACAACTCTCTGGTCAGGCTTGTCTTTCGGATTCCTTGTCGGCTGCGTAGGATCCTTTGTATAGTACGAGGTAAAGCTATGTAGTGTTTTTCTCAAGCTCAGTTCAACCCAAGGTTGCCATGGAATTCAAGATCCTGCCGCGGGACTAGCGTTTCTTCGGTTCGACTTTTTGGTCCCGAACACAAGTCTTTGCTGAATCGTAGGGTTGGTTCCATGCGCCGAGGTTCGGTTCTGTGCTCGTGGGTGGGTATTGTCAGCAGGTGACATCCAAGCCCACAACCTGGAATGGAGAAATGGATCTTGCCAGTGGAGATAAAACGGTTGGAGAGAGGCATCGTACAACCAGACAAGCGCAATGGGAACTCGGCATCCGGTCCCGACGACCGGATGCCTGAATAGTATAAAACATTGTCAAGGCGACCAAGTATTAATAATGCATCCCAGCTGCTGGCACTGCTAGAAGTTGACGTCGTCTGCGAACAGATGTCTATCACAAAGACCGCAACGATGGCTGACCTTGACGAGATTCTCCGAAGATACACCGATCCTTCAACAGGTTCCGTGCATGGCGCGACCTTCATCGCTGTTGACAGCGCAGGTAAGCAAGCCTTGTATGGTCAACATCAGTCCTGACAGCATCCATACCCTTGCAACTCGCAAAGAAACCCCTACCGTTCTTCGAGTGGACGGGAATTGACAACTTCCAAGGAAATGATCTTTACCGCAATTCCTTCGGGAGTCGGACTGTCGACAGATCTGATCCGTTGACACCGGACACTCTGACATGGATCGCCAGCCAGAGCAAGCTTGCGACTTCGGTAGCGGCGATGCAGGTAGTCGAGAAGGGCCTCATTGGCCTGGACGACGATGTGCGCGATGTCCTGCCGGTGTTGAAGGATTTGAAAGTTCTTGTTGGCTTTGAAGGTGACGACGAACCGAATGAGCTGGATCCTCAAACCATTGCCAGAGGAGGTGGTGGAGTGGATTTGGACAAGATGAAGCCTAGCGGAAAGCCTATCTTGGAGGACGTAAAGGGGAAGATTACCTTACGGTTTGGCCCTCGCCCATCTCTGGACAATTCCATGACGGTAAGGTATCGCTAATCCACGGCTTTCAGACAGCTCATGTCCCATACGTCAGGATTTTGCTATGACTTGGGCAGTCCGTTGCTTCTGAAGTGGTCCGCTGCGACCGGGCGTACAGACAACATGTTCAGTGGGAAGATTGTAAGAATGCCCGTCTCATTCGGACCAGAGGGATCTAGAACTGATCACCAAACGTTCCAGGAAGGCTCATTACATCCACTGCTCTTTCAGCCGGGTGAATCATGGATGTACAGTCCAGGACTCGACTGGGCCGGACAAGTGGTACGTTCGGCATTGTGGTTTTTCCCATCTCCCATAGCTCAGCCACACCGGATTGAATCTTGAAATCATTTCCGTGTACTTATTTCTGCCTGCTGCCAGGTCGAGGCTCTCACCAAGCAAAATCTCGACAGGTATATGCAAGAAAACATCTGGGGGCCTCTCGGGGCCAAGTCTACGACCTTCTACCCGACAAAACACTTCCACCCGGAGCCCATGCCGCAACTGCACGAGACAGGCCAACGCACCAATTCGGCAGAATCCCCAAAGGCACTCGACTCGGAGTCCGCCACGTCGCCCTGGCCCATCTCCCCGCGCGACGCGATCGGCGGCGCTGGTCTCTACGGCACCGCGAACGACTACATCAAACTGCTGTCCTGTCTCCTCCAGGGCGGCGGGTCCTTACTGAAAAAGGAGAGCGTGGACGAGATGTTCCGCCCGCAGATTGGCAAGGGGAGCACCGAAGCATTTCACGCCTCCATCGTAGCAGGCGGCAGAGACCGCTTGTGGAGGCCGTCCTCTGCTGCCACTGCCGCTGCCACCGTAGCGGCGGCGGAGGAGCAAGGGTCTGTGCCCGGCGGCCACTGCCTGGCCGGCGCCGTCAATCTTGAGGACGTCCCTGGCCGGAGACGCGGGGGCACCGTCAACTGGGGCGGCCTGCCGAACTTGCTCTGGTGGGTTGACAGGGAGGGAGGTGTGGCGGGCACGCTGTTCAATCAGATCATTCCGGCTGGTGACCCGTTGTGCATGGACCTGCTCGTCGAGTTGGAGGAGGCGCTCTATCGACTGAAAGAGCAGAAGGCTTAGGTGAGACATGCTTGCTTGCCTGCCTGACGGCGAGTCGAGGAATCATGTGTAATTTTCGGTCTATCATCATGTCAGGACTGCTCCTGTTCTATTCTATGCGGTCTATAGTATCTAGTGTGTGACAGATCTAAAGCGCACCAGATGCCTCCTTCAGTCACATCAAATGCGTGCTAGTTTGTTGTAGGACCAGCTTGGCCTTAATGTCCTTGGTCCGCTGAGCATCTTCTCCGAAAGCAGTAATGCATACCTCGAGCTCCTTTATCCTCCATATGACAGCCTCGTCAGCTCCTCTATCGCCTTTTCTCTCGGCCCACTTCGCCATGCTCCGGTAAGTGTTCGCCAAGGGCGCTCCCACGAGGCTTTCTTTCAGCAATAGCGCCTCCAGCCTCGCCAAGGACCTCAAAGCTTCTTCCGCTAGTTCAACCCGTCTGGCTTGCTGCTCTTCCTCACTGATTACTGTCCCGCTCTCCGCAGACAGATTCTTCTCACACCGCTGTACAGCTCGAATGGCGTCGTACATGCCCATTCTCCGCTCATCGCTCTTGGCCCAGAACTCATTCTTCGGCTCACACGCCTCGCAGCGACACACGAAACCATAGTACATTTGCTGCTTTCTCTGCCGCTTCGCCGTGACCTCAAAGACCACCTTGTCGTAGTTACTGCACATCTCCTTTCCCCTGGAGATATCCCGAATGGCGTAAAACCTCATCTCGTTGCTGTTCGCGTCATAGGAGAATTGCAGGTTGGGAACACAGCTGTGATTGATGCGGCTCGACAATGCCCCGATCGCGGAGCCGCCTTTGCCGCTGGGTCGGAAACCTTCGCAGTTATAGCAGTTGCTGTAGTATACAGAGACAACCTGGGACATGCGCGACTTCTGTGCATCGAAGAGGCGCAGGTAGACCTTTTGTTCGGCGCGAGAGAGTTTGGAGAATTCGCGCTCAATCGCGCTGGCATCGTTCTCCTCGTGCTTGTCCAGCGAGATTAGGGGGCGCTCGGCCAGCACAAGCGTCCCGGCTTTGATTTTGCGAGCGGAGAAGACAGCAAGGCCACGGTCGGGTGTGGAGACGACCTCGAGGATGCCATCTGTTGGCCTTGATCTAGATCCTGCTGCTGAGCCGGGAATGCTAGGTTGATCCCCCAATTTTATAGCACGAACGCCTTCAGCAATTGTGTGCGGCCAGATCTTGTCAACTGGCAGCATGCCCGAACCATCAGCTACGGATAAGCCGTCCAGCTGTAATACGAGTATGTGTCAGCGGTGGCAGTGACGAATGCTCATGTCCGGTACTTGCCTGGTCTACTTGGGCACCATTCTGCAATGCTATCCTAGGGGATACTGATTGAGGGCTTTGGGCTGATTTCTTCCCAATCCTCATGACTGGCGAGATGGGTCCGCCCCAAGACTACCAGCAAAGAAGAACTTCGGGGGATAAAACAGGCAAAACACGTGTTAGAGAAGCGAGGTGTGGGAAGCAGGCAATTCTAGGATGTCCATGTTGGCAAGGTGATTGGGGATCTACCCAAAAGAGTGGTAGAAGGACGGATTGGTAAGAGGGAGAGCCGTAGACGATTACAAGAGATATATGTAGAAGCAGTCGAGATAACAATCTTACAGTATTGTTAAGGGTCAGGAGATGCTGCCATGGGATGAGATATCGGTAGGAAGCCGGCTCGTTCGATTCCTATTGGACCGGAACCTGGGTGTGGAGTGTTCGGTCGGATTATTGTTATGCCGATACCGGGACCGATGATCCGAAGTCAATGAGTGACACTTGCGGACCTTGATATAATGTCTTGGTCCCTCCTCGACTCCCATCGAGACATTCCTTGTCTTCATCTCCTTTCAAGTACAAGTTTACATGGAGCAGGTCCAATCCTCCCCTGTTGCCCTGCTGCCCTGCTGCCTTCTGCACGGCACGGGCAATGTCTGTCAGGCAAGCGCGACATGTCTTGGGTCTCGAAATGGCCAACATGTCTGATTGGCTTGAATTGACCTCGTGCAATCCTCCATTTCCTCAGCCACCAAACCTCCAGATCAGGCCTCCGTAACTTTTTCCTTCTATACCAGTCACTCTTGGAATCTGTTCTGTAATATCTGTCCATCGGTGTCCGATGAAGTAACTCGCAGCAAAGCTACGGCATAGGTCTAGACAGGATGTTGACCCAGAGACTTCTGGCGCCACCCGCGCTACCACTTCTGCAGCCGCACAATCACTTATCCCCGGCTCCAGCCGCACGGATACTTTTCCGGACGGTATAAAGGTTCTTCATGATCTCCCGAACGCTGCCGTCGACGTCTGCTTTGTCCATGGCCTGACCGGTAATCGTGACTCGACCTGGACCGCCAAAGGACAGCCTCAGCCTTGGTCACAAGCCCTTCTCCCATCAAGACTTTGCAGATCACGCGTCCTGACCTATGGATATGATGCCTACGTCACCCGCGGACTAGGTACAGTTGCATCATCCAACAGATTGACCGACCACGCTTCGAATTTTTTGAATGATCTGACAACGAATGGGGCAGCTGATGATGCGCTCTGGAGGCCGCTTATTTTTGTTGCTCACAGCCTTGGTGGTCTCGTTTGTAAAGAGATGATTTTGGCTTCAAGGAATAACCCTGAATCACATCTCAAAGCCGTCTTTGCCGCAACAAAAGGAATCATTTTCATGGGCACTCCGCACACTGGGAGGTGGATGGCTGACTGGGCTTCTATCCCTGCAGAGGCCCTTGGCGTTATCATCTCAACCAATAAGTCATTGCTCAAGGTCCTACAAACAAATGATCCATTTCTCAAGTCTATTCAACACCGGTTTCTGGCCATGATTCGAGATATTCCGAGCAGCGGCAGCAGCATCAAAATTACCTGCTCACGCAATTTCGCTTGATGAGCCTCAGACCGCCATCACTGTTGACCGCCTCGATGCTGGTGTTGCTGTCACAAGTTCCCAAGCATCTGCCCCCGATGAAGACCATTCCCGTTCTCAGAGTCTCCTAAAACGAGCTTCCGACCTCTTTGGTCTAGGAAATGATGGTCGCTGTTTGATCGCGGTGGAGAAATGCTTGGAGGCACTCAACATGAATTACCAGATTGAGGAGATCGCTTCTCTCCAAGCCGATGGGTCAGAAGAGGCACGAAAAACCCAACGTAGTTTGGAGATCAAATCGAGACAAAATTACCAAGACGCATGCGCAAGATGTCTTCGATCATTGTCATTCTCCGAAATGGGAGCAAGAGAAGCCAGCATTGAGCAGCCCTTACGAGACACTTGTCAATGGATATATTCTACGGCTGCCTATTGCTCGTGGGACGCAAAAACCACCAACCTCCTGTGGATCAAAGGTAATCCAGGGTCAGGAAAGAGCACGTTGATGAAAGGTCTTCGCGCTCGGCGATCGCAAGCGGCCAGCGCTAGTTCCACTCTGTTCTTGCAGTTCTTCTTCAACGCTCGTGGTGCGATTTTCGAAAAGACGCCAACCGGGCTGTACTTAGCCTTGATGTACAGCTTACTGCTCCAGAGTCCTATTCTTAAATGCGAGTTTCTCCCAAGGTTCTTAGAAAAGGAGTTTTACAGTGATACTAGCAAAGTCGCTTGGCGGACAGCAGAAATCGAATCAATATTTCACTCCATGATCACCCAGAAGCAATCACACGGCATTGAGATCTTAATTGACGCCTTGGACGAGTGCAAAGAAGATGAGGTCCGAGCCATAATCCGCAAATTCGAAAGATCGATTGATAATGCAAGGCAGTCATGTGCACCTCTCAGCGTCTGCTGGAGCAGTCGACATTATCCCACGATCAGTATGTTATCAACGCATGGTGTTGAAGTGAGCATGGAGCAATATAACGGCTCGGACATCAAACACTTTGTTAAATGTGAGCTGCCAGCACGCTTGGATCCTCTTTTGCTCTCAATCCAAGACGAAATAATATCGAGAGCCAATGGCGTGTTCCTGTGGGCCGTTCTGGTCAGCAGAAAGATGCTCAAAACCATCGATCAAGGCAAAAATAAGCGACAACTGCGAGAGCTGCTTGAGTCGATTCCTGTCGAATTAGACGATCTGTTTGATGAAATATTTAGAAAGATAGGGTCTGCGACGCAAGGACACAAAGAGCTTGCGCTCGCATGCTTTCGGACCCTTGTGGCGGCTGGCTCCGATCCGGCTCGAGCACAGGAACAATATTTACCTTCATGGGACGGTGGATTGTTGGAAATACTGCACAGCTCCTGGGAACCCTCTGTGGATTTATACCATCCCTCTTACATGATGGAATACGCATTCAAGCACTTCAAATGCGTCGGATACCCGCCGTCTATTGATTTTAAAGAATCCTCACGTCTATTCTTAACAGAACTATGCCAACGCGCAACGATCAACTACATGAAGATGTGCTTGAATTGCCCGGCCGGATCGTTCCGTGAGTTCAATGATACCATCCTGATCATTGCAGCAAACCCGAGCGTCTTCGGTATCACCACGGCCGACTTGACTGGCCTGGTCACTATCATTTGCAACCTGTCGGTGTCCTCACTAATCTTGGAGAGAAACTGGGGGATTATCCTGTCGAAATGGACATATGACAACACGCATCACGGAGCTCCCAGGACAAGGCTTGATTTCGTTACAGTTTTCTGCCTAGTGCCTGGCAAAGATCCTGCCTCTGAGGCTGGGGTTTTGGTGAACGGTTATTTTAGACCGCTTAAGACTCGGACGATGATCGACCAAGCGTTGCAAAAGCTCGGCGCTTTAGGCGTTTCCCGTGTGATTGCCGTGCAGTGGTCTCTGTGGACAGAAGACCCCCGACAATTTCTTCAGCGCTTCACGGGAGAAGACTGCAGCCGCCCGCCCCAGCAGACCAGCCACTGGGAGATCTTGGAAACATTGATTGGTTGCCCGAGCACAAAATTCTGTGGCAAACATTGGAGCAGGACGCTTTCTATAGATTTCGCCGTTGCCAGCAGTTTTGTATCCTGTTCCAATTAGGACAGGACAACCCTTGTATCAGTGACCGGCCGCGCGGAGCCTTACCTTCATTCGCGACCGAGTCATTCCATACACCTGGAGCAACTCCAGAACAAACAGGAAGCAGGAGTCCCCGCCGGAATGCTCGATTCGTTGTAAGCACATGCAGGGACTACTATAGTGGGCGTGAACTCGATGGGCTCGATGACTTGGAGCGGATCTTAAGGCGCATTGTGTTATGGCGTGGCATTGGCACAAGCACAAGCACAAGCACAAGCACAAGCACAACAAGGAGGTCAAGAGAGCGACATACTCCGTAGATATGTACCAGCAAATCTAATCCTCGGCGGAAAGAACAGACCAAAAAAAAAAAAAAAGGGAAATCTTCTGTAGTATCAAATCGCAAAAACAGGGCACGTCCTATTAGTACAATAACGGTTATTTCCTGCTGTCCTCAGTAATACTTCCTTCCCGTCCCTTTTCCCAATATAATTCATTTTGCTTCGTTCAAAACTGCCCGCGTGCCCTGGGTCCGGGGCCTTCCTTTGATATATTACACTCCTCCATACACAGTTACAACGCAAGCACAAATACAGACACTCGCTCACTCCGTCGTACAGACACACAGACACAGACACAGACCCAGACAATCACCACACTCGCTCGCCCCTCCACAATCTCGAGACAGGTCCCGATGGAAAATATTACAGTTACAAAAAATGGGATGGTGCGCTTTGTTTCCTAGTAAAACAAAAGGGTAGAAAGAAAAGGGCCACAATGCAAATCGATATGGCAATGTCCCACTCAGCTCGCCGGCTTAGTTTTTCGTCAATCGCTGGGAGTGTGATTTGGTTCAATTCAGTCGTGTTGCTCGTCCTCGTCGTGTTCCGAGATTTCTGCCTGAATACGCTCTTCGTGCTTTCGTGCTCCAGTTCATCATGGGGCCTGAATGTCCCTGGCCCAAAGTCGCGTCGTTCTATTTCTTCCTCGCAAACCGTTTGTTGAGCAGGGCCAGAACCTTCGAGACATCAAACTGCACGTATTCCAGATCGAGGTCGTCCTGACCGTCTTTCTGCATCTCGAGAAGATCGTCTAGTTTCAGATCCAACTCGAGGAGACCGCGCGCACGCCCTGCCACGATGTTAGTGCTGTCCACTCGGGAAAGGCTGTGAAACTCACCTTTGTAATGCAGGCTGATGACGAAAGTGCCTGCAAGTGGACTTCGGAACATGAAGAAGATATTACCTCTTCGGTTCTCAGGAACATTGCTTCTCGTAATCACGCCATCTTTCTCCAGTTGTGCGTGGGTGAATTTGTATGGGCCGAGCTCGCGCACTTTTTCCGTTTTGCCTCTTCTCGCGCCCTCAGACTGGCTTCGCACATTGTGCAAGTAATTCTTGTACGTGTCAAGCTGGGACAAAAGATATGCGTTGTGGTCGCGAATCGTCTTATAAACATCCTCCAACTTGTTCGTCTCCTCCACCACCTTCTCCTTCAGCGAGCCCAAGTGGGCCAACTCTTGCTCAACTTCATCACGGAGCACCGCATAGTCGTCAGCACGGTCTATCACTCCCCATTCGGACAGTTGCGTTAGAAGTTCCATGCACCGGATGCCTTTCCGTACCATGACGGCGTCATTCTTAAGGGTCCCCGCCGCTTCGGCAACCCGGTCAAGGCGAAGTGGGCGTCGCATGACCACCGCGTTCTGCGGCAAGCTTCGCATGATCTGTACAAAGGTGCTCTTTGCCTCCATAAAGTGGATCTCTTCCGCAGTGATGTCGAGGGCGTGAGTCAGATCGTCGAAAGTTGCCTCCCATTTGCTGAAGAGAGGCAGGTTGATTGCCCTGTTCTCTTTCCTAGGTAATTGCGGTGGTGCTGGCCCAAGTTCCTGCAGCAGGATTCCCAGGTGAGAAGAAGGGTCCTTGGCCAGCTCTGTGCTATGCTTCTCAAGTAATGCATGAGTGGCATAAACTTCGTTTAAACTGATCTGAAGCTCGAGATCGCGCTTGGACAATGCCACATAGTTGTCCATCTCCAGGCTCTCATAGAAATCTTGAACCTCGCACAGGTCTAACATGAACTTGTTGCAGCGATCCTTGTTCCGTTGGATGAATGGTTGCAGCTTGGCCATGTATGGTTCCTTCGCGTAGGATGGCTTGTTGGCCAGGTTCTGCAGCATCTTAGCGATGTAGGTCAGTGTCCTTTTGGGTTTGTCCTCCGGCACTCTCTCAATCAGCATGTAAGATTTTGGGGTGACGATGGCAGGGTTGATAAAGCGTAAGAAGAAAAAGCCACCAATCAGGGTGCAAATTGCCTGGTCCTGGGCGTCAGGGTACTTGCGTCGGGACAGGTTCCGAATCTGCTTGCAGATCCAGCGGATCCCATACGGGGTATCCTCCAGGCATTCAATGATGGCAGACAAGAATCCTTCCGCGATCTCAGTCAGCATCTTAAGCCGCGGTGTGATGATGGCCTGCACTTGTGCGTTCTCCGCAGCAAATTCGGCAGTTACAGACCGGGGTAGGTCCTCCGGGAGAGTACCCGTATCCTCCTCGATCTGCTTGACCATGGCCTCGTAGACTTTTAGGGGGTTGATCTCAAGATCCACGTCGCTCAACTCGGTCAAGGAGTTTATCTTTTCAGCAAGGACTTCCTTGAGGAAGCTCTGACCGGGACCTCGCCGGGTATAGGTGGTCATCATGCGAGAAACTGGGGTGTTCTGACGCAGTAAGGAGGAATATTCAGGTGTCGTCTCGAACTGATGGGTCAAGACCGATTGAAACATGGTCAGCAGCAGATGTTCTTCTCGGGACTCGTATTGATTTCCATAAATTGTGAACATGACAGTCTGTAACAGAGAATCGATTTCGGCCATGGTGACCAGACGGCATAGATGGGCGATATGCCTGGGTTCTGACTGAAGCATGAAGAATAAGTTGCCATATTTCTGGGTCTTGTCGTCGTTCGGGAATGAGCCTTCTTGGAGCTCGGCGGCCTCGTCAAGGTGACTGGCAACCTCATTTTGCTGCAGTGGTATTAGCCAAAACGTTCGTGATTAGACTATTGTGGTGCCAAACCTACCTCTTCCAAGGCCATACGATTTTGAATCAACAGAGCAATTCTTGAGTCCAGGTAGCGGACATCCTTTTCGAGGACGAAATTCTTCTTGGATTGATTTGAGATCTTGACCTTTAAATCTCTTAGCGAGCGCTGTGCTTTGGCGAGTTCATCGCTGATTTCCAAATCTTTGTCCTTTGCGCTCATGCTCGCATAGAGGGCGGTCATGCTGACCCGTTTGCTTTGTCGTAAAGAGCGAGCGCCATCATGGCTTGAGAAGGTATTCGTGCGGGTGACAGGTTCAAAGGAGGAGTTGGTCGAGGTCGAGCCTCGTGAAGCTGGTTGCAGCATGGTTGCGACCGCCATGTCGCCGCCCTGCCTGGATCGACGCGACGACCTTGAGCGGTCCTTTGCGCTGGAGACACGCCTGGGGACGTCGGAACGGAGTGAAGAGCTCATCTACTCTTTGTGTGTCGGGCAACAGAATCCAAAGTAGAATATGAATGTTGTATGCAACTCGGGGGTTGTATGATATTGTGACGTCGGTCGTGTTTCAGAACGGGCCGCAGGTCATCTGGGATCGGTGATGCACAATCGTTTCCTCCCGGGAGGCAGACGCAGGTGGGTTGAAAATATAGGACTGGAAAAGGCAGATTGCAGTATTATTTGTGTTGAAGTTTTGACTGGGGGTGGAAAAATCCAATGCGACCGGCGCGAGAGCAATGTAAATAATCTCTTTCTCCCTTCTGCTCCTGTCAAAGATGCAGAGTTTGAACAAACGCAAGCAAACAGCTCCACCCGACAGAGATTACAGATATCCTTTGACAGTGAAACGCGGAAAGGTGAGGCCCTCGTTAACGAACTGGCGGGGGGGTGGGTGTTCAAGATGGGTGTTGAAGAGAAGGTCTGGTGGAGTTTGAGGTGTGCAGGCGCAATGTGACTGGCGGCGTAAATGGAGGATTGCGGCTCGAAGAATGCAACTGCAGAGGAATTGAGGGAAGCGTGGACGACGCTGGTTGGCGATTGGGATGTAGATAAGAGAAGTGGCCGCGACGAACGGTAAGGCAAGGAGTGGTGTTGGACAGGAGTCTGTCAGGAACCAGGAACAGCCGTGCGGACGAATGAAGGGAGTGGGAGGACGGCAGCTGGATGGCCAGAAATGATAGGGAGGGAGAGAGGGTCGAGGAGGGTGTCAAGGGTGTCAGGGTGTCAGGGCGAGTTGATGGAGGATTATTTTTTTGGGATGGTGGATGGGTGGAAGTGTGGAAGTGTGGACGGTGTGGATGGTGTGGATAGACGACGGGCAAGACGGGATACTTGGGAAGAGCGAGAGGGAGAGAAGGGGGGGGTGACTCTGGGATTGGATGCTCAGGGCCACCAGGGCGGGTTTCTGTTCTCTTCAGGCACTGGAGTTGAAGCCTGGAAGTGGAAGAGCCCTGATAATCCCTGCCCCGGGGTGCATGCCAGTTTAACCTTATAGGTGGCTTCAATGCCTGAAGAGGAGGAAAAGAAGAGAGGGGGTGGTTTAGACTATGATCTGGCAATTAACTTTTGTTTAGTAGTAGAGAGCAAAGGCGACCAGGTGTGGACAGGCAGCAGTGTCGGTACTGGGTGGGTGATGGAGACTCCGGTGTGCTTTGACAGGCAGCATGCCAGTGCTGAGTGCCTGAAGGAGGGCGGAGGGGCTGTTTAGGAGGAGGAAGAGGAGCTGCAGGGAGCTGCCACAACTGCTAGCTCCTACCCGCTTAGGCATCGCTAACTAAACTATCTACCTAGCTGTGGTTAGGCTAGTAGGCTGCCCGGCCTTGGCTGCTTCGGCTCTGATCCCTCCTCTCCCTGTGCTTTCACCTCGTCTTCTTCCTTGCCTCTCAGGGGTAAATCAGAGAGTCAACTGACTCCGGATGATGGTTGGCGTCCCTGCCCTTCGAAGCCCTCAACCGCCAACGACGCCCATCGAGCCTAATCCGTCCAAGATCCCGAAAAGGTCGCTGGTCAGCTCGTGAAAGCCACCACCGCCATGGCGTATCCCAGAATCCTTTTCCCTTTTGACTTTCCGAGGCTGCTTCCAGATTCTGAGGGGCTTTCCAAAAGAAGAGCGCTAAGTTACGGGATACAATGGACATGGCTCTCCTGGGCTCATCGAGAGGTCCCTCGTGTAGCAGAGAGAGACATCAACATCAAGTTACATACGAGGTACGACGTACATTCAAAGTACCCGGTAGATGGACGATCAGATGCAGATCTATAGCCTGAAGCTGAGCCTTGCCGATCAGTTCGTCCATTGCACATCTTTTGTCGCTCTCTCTCCTTTGTCCTCTCGCAAAAATGTGCCCTTGGTGGCCTGGCAAATTTGGACATTTCGGTTTGGCCGGCATGTTAATCTCTCGATATCCTCTCCCGGAAATGCTCATCAAATGTCAAAAACCTCGTGCATGCCAGGAGAAAGGCCGAGGCAGCTCAACGTCAGGCTTACTACCCAATAGGAAGACTGACGCTTCGGTATCCGCAAGCTTGGACCTCGTGTGTACCTGACTACTGAAAGATAGCTCGTGGCAAAGAGTTCGCCCTTGATTTCTTTCGATGGCAAGCTCTCCCGGGCATGGCATGCCATAAAGAGATCTTCTTAGCCAAAGAACTCTCGACAGCAGCTCCTTTGTCCGGTCACCAGGTCTAGATCAGCCACCGACGCCTTTTGCACAAGGCCTCGAGAGTCGAGAGCTCGTATCTGTATGGTGTCTTGCAGCGCTAATTGTTGGTTTCACAACTCCGACGAACAAGGGGTTGACCCAGCGAAGGTGGAGCATGTGCAGGGGCCCGTCAAGATGGCTTGAGATTTGTTTGGTGCTCGAGTCCCAGTTTCAAATGGGCTTCGAGGTTGCTCTGGAGCACACCTCAAACCCGGGCGTTTCGCCTCCTCCAGACCCCAGAATCCCAACCGCTGGCTCGCTGGGTCCAGATATGTTGCTCGCTCTAAGCTCCACGAGGGGGCCAGAGCAACAGCCCGATTGTTACGAGGTATTTCATGAGCAATTGTTTTCTCGTCATCATCTCACAGTGAAAATCCCTCTGTCCCCTATTGATTGCAAAATGAGGTCAACCCGATGGAATGGGCTCGACATCCTTTTTTTTTTCCCCCAACGGGAACTTCCCGACGGTTCTGAGCCCCTTGGTCGAACGAAAAGTGACAGTCGTCAGTGGCGGACTTTTTGGCTTGTAAACCCCCTTTCACCGTCAAGATGAGACCACGTTTTTGGCATGACAAAAGTGGCTTGCAAAGAGACGGCACGTCTGGATCCGTCATCCTGGGAAAAAGTCGGGTTCGATTGATGGCGTTGTCGACCCGCCAGCTCGGCCTCCACACTATCTGGCAGTGCCTGACAAAATTCCAATAGTACTCGACTCGCTAGCTATGTACATAGTATGTACATACGAGTGCTCTGTATCTCAAGCGGTACATATGTAGATCGCCTGTCCGGAGTACGATCGCTTGATGTCAGTTTCGCAGATCAATGTCGGTCGACATCCACTTCGCCTGGCAAGGTTCGCCGAAACTCTCGACAACAGCGCTCATCAGAGGGGATGACTTACAGTGCTCCATGGCATTGACTGACAGCCCTCTGCAACAACGCAGCCATCAGGTGGTAGACGAACTAGTGGATCAATGGATGAATTAGGTAAGAGCAATGTCTTTCTATCGCCACTATTAAGGTGTCTTGTGGTTTTGACAGCGGACTATGGAGTCCATAGTGGCGTACCTCACCTAGTGGAGAATCATTGGCACGGCGAATGCGCGAAGTGTGGAAGGGGGCGGGATTCTACCAAGGACATCTCGGAACGCCCCATCACTTGGATGACAAGTACAGATATCTTCTCAGGGAGTGGCTGGTACAGTATGTAGGTTCTTCAATATCATGTTTGTCAATCACTAACAGACAGCTTCCCCTTGTTCTCGACCGGGGTCCATCATCCATCGTCAGTACATGCGGGATGCTTTCAGTCTTGCCTCCAGGTTCCACAGGACGCAGCTCGAGAACCTCTCGATCGCATCATGATGGAGCGATTCTGATTGACTATTAAAGCCATCCTTTGACAATGGCTCCGACATTGCGAAAGTGACGTGCCCAGCTGTCGCTGCCCTCTGCGCCCTCGTGCCTACCATCGCTCTTCGTCAACGCTTCAACATCATCATGCTGACGACGGTAGCTGATGCTTTTGACTTCATTCAAACTTGCTCCGCAAGTTGTCGTACTTGCTTTCGGGATATTCCAGGCAGTTCTTGGCCTCTTCCAGTCGACTCGGTCCACCACTCTGCCTCAGAAATGTCTCTATCAGACTCCCCTCTCCAACCGGCTTGTCAGCTGAACTCTCCCACCACATGCCACCGCCTAGGCCGTAATCTCGGACAAAATTTGCCTTTTGAGCTACCACGTCAGGGGTATCATAGCTTATCATGGTATTCGAAGAAGGACAGTAACTCCAGCTGGCCCCAACCTCACGATCGTGGTGTTCGGTGCTGTCGGGCTTTGGAAGAGCTTTGTAGTCCCATACACCTTGCTCCCAGCTGCCTTCACCCACACCATTGAAGGAATGCCCCGGTCCAGAAGTCGATATGAAGGCGCGACCATACAAGGGCATTCCCAGAACAATCTTTGAAGGATGGACTCCCTGCCTAGTATAATGTTCGATGGCAGCTACCGTGCTGAACGGTGTACACTGAGGATGGGATCGGGAGGGGAATAGATTCGCTTGGTGTCCCGCTCGCTGATCCCACGATCCGGCATAGTCGTACGCCATCAGGTTCCAAAAGTCAAGCAGTCGGTCCATCTCAGCGATCTTCAACTTGTCAAAGTTGGACGATCCAGCAGGACAAGCCACGGTCAGATAAAACCTCGCATGGTGGCGCTTGGCAGCTGCCGCATCGAGGGCTTGCCGGGTTTCCTGAAGCAGCTTGACAAAGTCATCTGCCTCGCGTTCGTTCTTGGGGTACTCCCAGTCGACGTCGATACCGTCGAATCCAAGGTCTTCCAGCAGCTTGACGGCCGTCTCTGCAAAGTGTTTCCTGCCACTGGACGTGCTGGCCGGCTGTGCGAAGTTTGCCGAGTAAGTCCAGCCACCAATACTCAAAAGTACTTTGAGGTTGCGGTTTCTCTTCTTCAGGAGGAACAATTGCTTCACGCACCCATACACATTCGTCCCCGTGTCATTCCAACTATCGCCCTCGTAGTGCTTGTCAGTATCAGACCAAGGGTCTGTCAAATAGACCTCGCCGCTGTCAGGTTTGACATTGGCAAAGGCATAGAGGACATGAGTGAGATTCTCGGCAGGGAGGTCTTGAGGATGGTGATTGCGTGCATAGGGTGCCCAGTTCACGTAATAGACGACAGAGCGGATGCCGTGTCCACCACCCATAGTGTGATAACTCTGGCCAAGGTCGAGTTGAGGAATGAACTGGGTCAAGGATCGAATTGGATAGAGAAGGACGATGAAGAGGAAGGTAAGAAAGACTAGCATGTCCCTCCAAGCCGAAGACTGTATATGAAAAGTCACGACCTGGACTCAGGACGTGGCGTGAGGTGAATATGAAGCTGAATGTTCAGCTGCTGTCTCCAAACCCGTCTGCCTGTAAAAGCTGACGGTGATCGTGACGAAGGCGGAGAGCCTCGAAGTGGCGCAAATACGTGGCTTCGGGTGGCTTGATATGTGGCTGATGACGAGGCTGTGCAAGGCTGTGTTCGCGACTGGTGCCCATTTGAAGCTGCCCGGCAAATTATTGAGGCGGCATGCTTCCTCGGCATCAAGGCTATCCTCCTCGCTTGCCTTCTCGACCTCAAGCCTCCGGTATATTACCTCGTGCATATCCCAGTGAGGTCTCTGTGGCTTCTTCAACTCTTCGGCTCTCTTTCTTTCTTCTGCTGAAATGCCCCTCGAGGTCTTATTCTTCGGCGCAGGCGCCATTGGGGCATTTTATGCTTCCCGGGTGGCTCGCAATGCCAACACCAATGTCTCGGTCGTCTGTCGCTCAAACTACTCAGCTGTCAAAGCCAGTGGCTTCCAGATAACATCTTCTCAATACGGCGACTATAATTGGACACCGACTCGGACATTCAACTCTCCCGAATCTGCTCGCAAAAGTGGTGTCAATTGGGACTTCGTGGTGGTCAGCACCAAAGCACTGCCCAACGTTTCAGACGATTCGAAACTCCTTGAAGGGCTTGTTGGTCCCAAGACAGCCGTTGTACTGATCCAGAATGGCCTGGGCGTTGAGCGACCGTATTCTCAGCGATTCCCCCAAGCAACGATCCTAAGTGCCGTGACGATCGCTTCCTGTGCACAGCCATCTAATGGCCATATCAAACATAATCGCTGGACACGGATAAACGTGGGGCCGTACTTCTCAGACTCAAGCCCATCCGCCGAAGTCAAAGCCAAACCGACGGCTCAGAACCAAACGTTTGTCGACCTGCTCCTGAAGGGAGGCATCAAGGATGCCATCGCCGATACGCACGAGAAGCTCCAGCTCGTCCGCTGGCACAAGATCGCCATCAATGCATCGATGAATCCGTCCGCGGTGCTATCGGGTGGATCAACCAACGAAGCCATGTCCAACGACCCGGAGCTATCGAGGCATCTCCAGGGCGTGATGGAGGAAGTGCTCACGACCGCACCCAAGGTGGTCGGCAAGCCGTTTCCAGCCGGGTTCGCCACCGCCGAACAAATACTTCGGTCGACGCGGAAGAACACGAGCGGGAGCAAGCCGAGCATGCTGCTCGACTGGGAAGGCGGCAAGCTGATGGAGCTAGAAGTTATCTTGGGCAACCCAATCCGGCTCGCGCGGGAGAAAGGATATGAGATGCCTAGGATGCAGACTTTATATGCTCTGTTGAAGATGGCCGAGAAGAACCGGGAAGCTCAGAAGCAGAATGATGCCAAAGGGGGAAGCAAGCTCTGATCCTAGCCAAGTTTGCCCACTACCTATGCTGGGCTTGTTGGTCTCGCTCGATGTCGTACTGGGTAAAGCTGACCTTGACATCAAGATGAGTCTTAATGTCATCGGCGCGGCGGTTTCAGACTTTTGCGTCCTTCACACCAGCTACTGCAGTCACAGCGGCCCGACGGAGAACCTCGTGACCTTCGGACAGTCTGCGAGGTTCCTTCAAATATCTCAATAAGAGACTGGTGTGCTGGAAATTTGATGCATGATAGCGAATAGATTGCGAACAGACACATTGGGGAAAAAAAAAAAAAAAACAAAAAAACCAAATGATCATAAAAGCCAGATGAATGTGACGAACATGCAATAACGATTTCCGTTTGTCGAGCCTCGGGACATACACACACACATACAGTGATCTGTCCAAGTCCAGCCTATCCGTGAACTGATGCCCTGATGAATCCTTCCCTCGTCCTTTCTTCCACATCCTCTATCCCCCTTGGGTCCCTTCAATCGCCCCGAACTTGCCCCATCCCGTTCCCGCCCGTGACTGAGGTACGTACGGTGGATTCTTTTCCAACCTCGCTTCAATCCCTTCTCACTCGCACCTGGCCCTGCCCCCCCCCACCAACCACGCCCTTCCTCCATGTGTGACCTCATCCATCTGTACAACTTACAACTGAGTCGTCACACCCTCGACCTTGTCGGGCGTCGGACCCCTGCTGAACCTCTGTGTCACGGCTCCGCCAAAGTCCGGCACCCACGCACACCTTACCTCGCAGAACTGCTCCTTCTGCGGCGCCCAGCTTGTGGGGGAGTGCTCCAGCACGCCGGCGGGGATGGAGACGATGGCCTCGTTCAGCGGCGTCAAAGCGTGCACCTTGGAGCCGCAAATCTTACAAAACGCGCGCGACAATGGCTGGCCCGACTGTGTAGCACGGTCCACGTACGTGGTTATGCGATCGGAGCCGGTGTGGAGGGTGTATTGCTATCAGCCCCAAACAAGGAGAGAGGATATGGTTAGGATATGTATGGCATGTAAGCGTGCTCGGGGAAGACTAGGAGGATGAAGAAATGGGGAGGGGAAAACGGGATGGGAGGGTAACAGGAGCTCACCTTCTTTAGAAAAATGCTTGCGCAGTGTAATGTGCTGCCGCCCTGTCGTCTAGATGTGCCCGAGTGTCAGTCTTGTTCTCTGGCGGAATTGGCCTCGATTCCCTCAATGGGTTTTGGTGCGCTTATTTTCCTTTTGTATCTTGCCTTGGAGGTCTGTCACTGATCCTCTTGCCGAATTTTGCTCGAATATATTGCAGTAACCCGTATAAAGAAGAAAACAACCTTAAGACACGCACTCCTTCTTCTAAAAACTGGGATGCAGCGAAAGGAAAGCACAGAAAGCAACGCCTCGGCACCAATCCCGGGCAACATAATCCAACGTTCCAGCTAGAGACAGGACAATGGCGAAAGAGCCAAGCAGGAAGATGTGCTCGAATGGGTCACACACACCTGCAGTTCTCGCAATGACACACCACGTTATATATCGGCTCGCCCACGACTGTGAATGTCACGGCACCGCAGAGACAGCGTCCGTGGTCGATCTTGTCTGCCTGTGACTTGTCCTCCGGCATCGCGCCTGAGAAGGACTGACGGGTGGAGAGAGGAGAGTTTGGGAGGGAAAACAGATTCCAGCGCGGGACGAGGGCTCTTTGTTGAGAATGGAGGAGGTAGGGGTAAGAACGAGACCGAGGCGAACCGGCCAAGAACGAGTATAATACCTCCTTGGAATGGCCGACAAGGTCGACTTGTCGATGTTCGGATAGCTCAGGTCTAATAACCAGTAAATGACGATGAACAGCGTTCAAAATAGCCTTATGCTGCAATGATATCCTTCCCCCTACAGTAAAGAACAGGTGATTCCCAGTCTTTTTAAAAGTACAGTATCTAGACTCGACAATAAGGGTATATTATCTTGCTAACCCAAACTTGAGCATGGGAAGCAGCATCGTAGAGGAGATTTCCTCACATCAGCCTCGAGGATCGCCAACTGCAAGACGATATTAGTCAGGAAATCCTGACATTCGGGATGCTGTCGTGCGCGGTTTAACCGATTGGTGGTCGACCCGTCCAGCCTTGTATCAGCTTGATCCATACGCTCGACTCTGTGCCCAAGGTATTGAGAAAGCGTTAGACGGGACATTTATAGACGAGGTGCCGCCTGCTCCAAGCTGCTCTGCTGGGGAGACTGTAGCTTACAGGGACTGGCCTCAAGAAGAGTCGCCTTCGAGTGCCCTCCAGCTGTTTTTGATATTCCCTGACAGCTTCAGGTCTTGAGCATGATGAGCCGGGGAAGTGGATGTCGAAAGGTGCAATTGCGGAGATTTTGTCGCTTTCGGAGCAGGGCTCCTTCAACTGGGCATCCTTTCGCCTGGACCTGCTTTTCTGATGCCTGCCGAGTCACGACAGCCCTTTTGATGAAGCTTTCTTCCTCATGTCTTGCGGACTTTTGGCCGTCTCCGTTGTCGCGAACCAAGAGCTGGCCACCAAAGTCGCACCCACAACCCACGCTGGCAGCCAAATACACATGACGCCAACGGGAACCCCCCAACTACCCCAGATATTCCAACCTAGAGCAAGCCGTTGTAGCCACTCGACTAGAGCATCATCTCGTCCCAAGACAAAGACGCCATATGCGCCCAATCCTGTTGCTAAGCCCATTGGGCTCATGATGACAAGTATCAGATATTGAAGTAATCCCAGTCCTGGCCTGGAGCGAGTCCTGCCCACAAAGGCCAACGGTATGCAAAGAATACCAAGAAACATGCTGAGACTGAAATTCAGTGTCGCTAGGACTGTCAGGAAGAGGCCAAGTAATAAAAGGCTGAGCGACTTGATTAGGACGTATTGCTCGTTCGTGGGCGCGGAAAGGGCAGGTAACGTGGTGTTGTTTGGCATTTCCGCAAGCGCTGATGCCAGAACTATTGGGAGCACCAGAAGAGCAATCGTTATGAGGAAAAATGTCGAGGACATGGCCTTGAGGCTCAGTGAAGTAAGGAGGTATAGCGGGATGAGAGACGCTAAGTGTAGCGCTGTTATGAAGGCGATTGGGAGGACGAGCTGCCTGTCGACTGGTTTGAATTCGATCTTTGGCATGGGCCCTTTCGACAATGGAATTTGCTGTCTCGAAACGCCAGTCTTCTCTGTTGACCCATTTTCCACCTTGCCAACCGCTGGGCCTTCGTCTTTCTCGGCGACGTGGTAACCACTCAATACCCAAAGGTAGATTGCCATAATCGTATAAGCAGCAGCCATGATCATGGCACCTGGGAGATAAGTGCCAATGCTGACGAACCGATTTGACTGCATCAATAGATAGAAGAAGAAGCTCTGATGCAGTTTCTCGAGCAGATTATTGAGACTTCGGCAGATGCTTTCAATGGTTCTTCCAAACGCCATCTCATCCTGCCAGCCTTCTTTCGTTGCTGTCAAGGTGATAGCATCGATATGGTAAGTCATGAAGGTGGAATGGGGACCGGTTGCGTGGCCGAGGGCTTGAGAGGACATTCCACGGATGAGTGTTTGAAGGCGCACAGGGTAGGCACTGTATTGCTCGTGCTTGCTGTAGGTGTGTTGAAATTGGATAGACGTGCTAATACCCATCTGGCCCGATGCAATAGACACGGCGGTGTTGAAGAGATCGAGATTAGGGAGTGCGCCGTTGATACCATCGTATGCGATGTGAAAGTTCTCGAAGCGATGTTCAAAGGGGTAATCGATGCAAACAGCGGCCTGAAGTGCACCAGATTTCAACGACAGGTCTTGCACCTTGTATGGATCATGAGTGGAATGGTACGCATCAATCCATGCTTGAGGCCCTGCAGTACTGTCCGGGGTGACCAGAAATATAATGTCCTTTGACCAGAGTGACCAGCGCTTGAAATAACGCGACAGGGAAATGAGGAGCGGCACACCATTGATGTTTGGGACCCGGTCGATGTTCTTGAGCGGTGCAACAAGCACGATTGCTTCGGTTCCATCTCCGCGAGGGGCGTGCAGAACGGCATAGACGTTCTCGCCTTCGTAAAGTTGACCGGACGAGATGTAAGAGTACCGTTGCCTTGCGGTCCTCAAGCCAGCATTCTGAAAGAGTTCTTCGATCTTGTCACTTGTCCTATCTTCTCCGGTTCTCTGCTCGGTTCTTCCCAGCGTCTCGTTGCCCGCCGATATCGAGGCATCTCCCAGGACCGTAGCCAGCTCTTGTCGATATGCGCGAAAAACATTCTGTTCGCTACCGCCGAAGTAAGTGTGGACCTGACCGGGAAGAAGCGCATTTTCTGAGATGTAAGTTTGCCGAGAGTATTCTTGCAACGGTAAGGGCAGAATCCACGCAATGCCAACGAGCATACAGAGCAGCGACAAATACGGGGGGATTCGAAGTAGTCGGGGGTCGTCCTTGCGGAGACTGGAGATGAGGTTTCCTAGCGACCCAGTTCTTAGTTTGTTGCGGATTGCTGGACACCTGACGGCAGACTTACGTATGAGGCCCATTCTGACCTTGCTCGGCTCATCCAAGGCTTCACCGCAAGGCCTCCGTGCACATTGAGACTCAGGACGAATCTACTCAAGGGGAATCTGGACACTTTCGACTTCTCAAGATGCCGAAGATTAGCCGCTGAATGAATTCCGAGGACGCTTACAGGGTACTTTTCAGGACGGCAGGGAAATACTCTGTACACATCTTGTCTTCATTAAACCATTGGCAAATATGGCTACTAGTACATCGAGCAACATGTCTATGGACGTGACCCTCCATTTATCCAATTCAGGATCGATCCAACCGTCCAAGGTCCTGCACGCTTGATCCAACACAGTTTTCGAGAGGCTGAGCCCGTCCAAAACTACCTGTTAGATGGTCATGGCCCAAGCCTTTGTCCATCACTATTAGTGCCCATCCAACCGAGTCCTATCGGACTCATATGAACTTCCGTTCCACTAGCTGAACTCGTGGGAAGAACGCCATAGCGTCCATAGGTCTTTTGATCCACAGACACATAGTGTGGTAATCGTCCAAGCAGATTGAGTTTGCCTTCGATCCAGCGAAGGACTTTCTCCGGAGGTGCGAGGAAACGAATATAGCCCAGACCCCCTATTTCGATAGCAGTTAGACTCTGACGCTCTGGCAGCAAGGGGAAGGTCCAAGGATATAAAAACACGCACATAGATATCCGGTTATACACCCACTGAGGTGCCCAAGAAAGGAAGCACTGGGGATCAGTATGGAGGTAACAACCAATATCACCAGTGGCGATATCCAAGTCGGGATCTTTTGGTCTGCGATCCTGTTGGCCAGATGGTCAGCAGCTTGTGGCAAAACTGGACACTTCCCGGTGTTACGAGGGAACCCGACAAGGACGTACTCCAGATATGGATTTGTCCGATAGGTTTTGATTGCTTCGGCAGCAAGAAGGAGGAATACCCATATGCTGGTCGCCCATGTCAGCCTGTCTCGTTCGCCGCATTGTATGGCTTTCCGTACCTCGCCCCAAGGACTGGCGTATTGTCTCTGAGGATGACACCGTCCAACAATAGATATAATACTGCAGGTATTTGTCCCAGTGCTGTCATATCAATTAGTAGCCACTCTTCTCATCGAAACCGAGCCATCCGCGTTCTATCCCCTTCACATAATTCACGTGAGACTTACGGCCCATAAATAAGGCAATGCTGTTCAACGTGCCAAACTCAGCCTCGAACCTCTCTAGCAAGGGCATCAGGCAAATGGTATTGATCAACATGTGCCAGAACCCCGTGTGTATCAAGACAAAGGTGTTCAGCCTGTACAGGCTACCGAGGTTGATTTCCCTGGGTTCCAATGAGCCCCATTTGATCACACTCCACACGGTCTGCAGTTCGAGCAGCCAGAACGCTACTATGGCGAGGAGGATCAGGCGGGTAAAGAGAGGGAGACGTAGAATGTAGGATCGTATCCGCGATGGCTGGATCAATCGGGTTGGGAGAGGGAGACTGTTGGTCGTTATTCGAGGCATCGCTCGAGGTGCGGTCATTCTGGCGCGAAGCGGAGGAAGATGGGCAATTCAATGCTTTGTCAGAGGCTGGACTTGACGGAAGACGTGCAGCGCATGGGGTTCGTATGAACTTGAAGTCTTCAACATGTAGAAGGACAGATACAGTTGCTGTCGTACGCCATGACTCTGGGAGATACACTGTAAGACTAGGCAAAGTGAGGTGTCTCGTGCCAAAGGATCAATCGACAAATCTGTGTGGGAGATTTTTGGAGTCACCAGAGTTGCTGGAGAGTGAAAGTGGTTGATTAGCGGGCGCCAGCTGCGGAGAAATTGCAGGTCGATCCTGCTGAAATTAGTGGCCATTGCGGCCACTACAAGAGCCTAGTGACCTCTAGTCAACTGCTGGCAGCTACTGGGCATTAGGCCTTTACTCTTGTCTCGGCCTCTTATCAAATACTTCGTCTCAATTTCTCTGGTTCCAGCACTCCAGCACGTACAATAGGAGAAGACCTGTCCACGCATTTCTCTATCCCCTACATACCTAGTAGGCCATCTCCATCCCACTCAATACGACGCCGAAGATGTTTGAGCTTCAAAGCAGAAATTGAACCTACAGCTGGCTGCCTCACCCTCACTTAATCACCACGTCTGCTACTGCTCAGCCCTCTCAAACCCGTGTTCTTTCGGTGACCAGGCTAGAAGCATTCCCATATGGTTTGGATGAACACGAGCCCCTCATGTGATATTGCCCGTCAAGTCCAACAACACTGCTGATACCACGCCAAGGTCCCATCCGTACATGTGGAGAATCCTTTGTGCTGGAGACTTTGTCAGAGGCAGATGGTCAAATGTCATCAGCGCCAATATGGAGGTGTGGTGCTAAGTTGGACCACGGCTTCAACGCCTCCATTGTGAGTTTGCCGGTCTTTCGTTTAGCAAGCTCTTGTTTGCTTAGACACGGGCATCTTGAACTGCGAGCCCATATATGCTAAGTGTTCATCGAGGGTCGGCGTCGCTTGACAGGCTGATTGATGGTTTGCTGTTCATGTTGAGTCTGTCCCATAAGACTCGTCACCATGTGTCCTCGGACATATCATCCAGCACTCACAGAAGTCCGTAGAAAAGCTGTTTCGGCTTGGGTGCCTCGGAAATTCTCAGGTGTCCTCAGATTTATCCCATGCTCAAGTGCAGCCTCAGAAAGTGAGGGATATATACCCCTCGAGCAGGAGGCCTCTGAAAATGGCTGTGTGGCTTGTCTGTTGGCTTAATCCATGTCACCATTTCCCGGTGCGGGTTTCCCTTTATGAATTTCCTTTATAATGTTAGGCCGTGGCATGGATCGAGATGCGACGTCTTGGAGCATCGACTCATGAAGTATAGCAGAAGTGGAGAGTCCCCGAGTGGACTGTCAACAAGCGCAAGGCTGTCTGTTCCTTTTCATCATTTCCTATTCGGGAATACTCGGACGCAACATAAACAAAGGATGTCATGCGGAGAACGCCTCTTGGCCTGGACGTGCTTGGTGCTGGCGAGTTCGTTGGCTCTACTGGGTATTAAGTCAGGGGCTGCATGAGACAAAAGAACTGAACGGCAAGCGGGTAGGAGATACTGACATGTTACAATCGCACGATACACCTGATTCTCCCTCGCCAGCGAACTAATCTCAAGCCGGAAATTCATACTTGAGGGTCTGGCGCTCGATTTCCATTGCAGGTGTTCGCCCTGCAGCCAATCAATTCAACGCCGTCAAAAAGAATTGCTATGTAGACCCGCATTAGGAAATGACAAGATGTTCAGCTCTGCAAATCGATACAAGTTCAAGTGTTCTCCCACCACAATCTGCTCTCACCCTGTCTCTCGAGCTCCTCCCTTTCGACGCACTTTCGTTGAGAAAAGTAAGTGCACCAGCTGGGAGAAGAACTTTCGTCAGAATAGGAACCAGCAAAGAGTGGGTTGTCGCCGACTGATAAAAGCGCCCTTTGTCTAGCCGGTTCAAAGTATTTCACCACATTGTCGGCCTTTGAGCCTACAAGCAGAGCATGACATACCCCTCAACAAGTGCACATGGCGGATCTCAAGCTCCTCCTACGCAATGGGGGCGGCAAATCGCGCTTTGCAAAGCACTACGATCCTGCAAATCCGCAACCGAGCTAAAAACCTCGATGACCTCGACTGAGAACCTTGTAGTAAAAGAGGCAGTGACAAGGGACCACGAATTTGGTCATTCCCGAGCACAGATGACTCAACTGCTGGGGAATGAGTATAGTTTCTTTGCTTCGTAAGTCATGCTCCCTGGAAGGGCGTTCAAGGTTGTCTCTGATGGATGGACGAACGAAACAGTCCAAGTGTACCAAATGAAAAAGACGCCGAATTCTTCCATTCCACCAGTTCAAAAACCTGTAGTTGCGAATATCTTATTGATTAGTTTCCGAGGCAGGGGTGTCCCCACTGCCGCTTTGAACAATAACCAGCTAAGCTAAGCTATATACTAGAGAGGTAGCTGTGGTGGTAATAATTCTATGAGTTTGGTTTGGTTTGGTTTGGGGGGTATCACTTTGATGATGAATGGATGCGCGGGACGCCTATGTATGGCAGTAGTGCAGTTGCAGTGCAGTTGCAAAGTAGTGATAGCAGAATGTGAACTGGCGTTGGCGGCGTCTCTGCAAAAAGGGGGTATCGTCGCGTTTTGAAAAAGCAGATAATAATGAGGATGATGATGTTCCTGCCTCCTTGCGTTGCTTTCCTCTTCGTCTTCGTCTTCCTCATTAGGTATCCCTCCAAAAATCAGGGCCGTGGTGTCGTAAATTATCGTATAGCAGGGGTATCGTCTTCCGCGTGGCAAAGCCACTGGTGCTTGATGCGAGGAGCCGTCCAGCAGGTTTAAGGATCGTAAGAAGCTGTATAACGTAAATGCATCGGCGGTTCCGGTGCAGTGTGTGATCGAACTTTGTTCGATTCCTTCGAGATATTTTTGTTTGGGTCGAAATTCGGTGCACGGCTTCGATTGACACAGTCAACCCAAGAAAGCGCCGAACAGAACGTGATTCGACCCTCAAAATCTCGGAGCCGCGCCCTTGTTTTCCCTCCTCATGGCCCAGCCCTTGAGTGATAGCACCACAATCTCATAGGCCATGATGAACGCCGTCAACCCGCAGGTGACGGTGAGCACAAACATAGCCATCAGACCTGTCGTCTCCATGTAGTGGATGATGTCTCGGGCACTGGCCATGAAGATGAATCCACCACTGATCAAGCAGAAGGATGCAACCAATTCGGTGGGGGGACGGGTAGGGTAGATTGACTTAGGTGGGGAGAGGAACATAATTATGTATGTGAGCATTCGAGCGACACCGAAGCCGACCAGCAGCGTGCCCCATTGTGAGTGTACTTTGGTCGAAACCATCGAGTCCTGGTGGTGCGAGGACATCATGACTCCGAGGAGGATGATGACCAATGCAGGCATAGGGTTGAGAGATGTGGTGTATTGCTTGGGCGTCTCGCGCAATTCCAGAGCCTCGTTGGGATGCACCTCCGTTCGGGCAGGCATGTTGTCGACAACAGTATTCAGGCATCGTCGCACGATGCTGGACTCGACGAGCATGCCACACTGGGGAAATGGTTTAGCCGGCCGTCCCGGGGGGGAAATCAGTGGAGTCGGGAACACGGGGGACTCACCATTCCACCGCCAAAGAACATGATAGTGATGGAGACATGCTCCAGATCTTGCGCCGTCCACTGGCCGCCCCAGGCAGCCAGGTGCTCCAGGAAGACATTGGTTGCGCCATACAGCCAAATGACAAAGGATTCTGTGAATTCAGCCGAGGGGATTTTGGCCTTCCATTGGCCGACTTCGCTGCGGGTCGGCTTCAGATTCCAAGCCCAGCCCAGATCGGCGAAGCAACCCATCCATCGCCCTAGCGTGAGCAATCCGTACCAGAAGAAAATTCCTCCCTTGATAAAGTGGGCAAGGCCCGTGAAGACGTTGTTGGCTCTCTATCCAGACTTGGTCAGTCGCTGTCGGGCTCTCAAACGGCCAACTGCGCCCTTCAGGGGAAAAGGCGCAGTTAGGGAAACACTCACAAAAAGGCCACAGTAGGTGACGAATCCAGTCACCAAAGCGATGAAACCGAGGACCAGAATCAGTCTGTCAACCACATTGTACACAATCTCGATGACTCGCAAGATCTGAGCCGAGACAAGGTTGGGGAGTCGGGCGGACAGGTATTTGTCGATGAAGCTGATGGGCAACCAGCGGGATTGCTGGCTAGGCTGCTGCGGCAGCTGCACGTCTTCGTCATCTTCCGACTCTGGCACGGCTTCAGGCTTCTCAAAATCGTCAAAGGTATCCCGTCGGCCCACAACCGTTGGAGAAACGTCCCGGCTGTGCAGAGTCGACGAAGTGTCGGTGCCTTGGCCACTGTCACCGGACCAGCGGTAAGGATTATAGGGCGGCCGCCCGTTATGCTGGGCCATGTTCTCAACCGACACTGGGAGGAACGCCGCCCTCTCACCGGCCGGAGCTGGGGCTTGCTTGCCTCTCCGAGAGTAGGCGAACAACAGGCTCGCAATGACCTGAGCGGTCATGATCCAGGTTGCGATCCAGCCAATTCTGTGGTGCGCATTGTGCACGTACAGATCTGGAGTGTTGATGTTGTACACAATCCCGAACAACAGTCCCAGACCGTTTACCAGCAGGAAGAGGAACTGAACCGGAAGGGCGAGTTTCGATCGAGCGATGCTAAAAATGGAAGCTACTGCGGTTAGGATCTATACCGTCTAGCACATTGCCGTCGCCGACTCACCGACTGGAAGAATGAAAAACCATGCTAACACCATTAGGACCACATGCGCCAATATCATGTTCTGGTGCTGGCCCAGGCCGGCATAGCTGGGCATGTCATACGGATTGGCATCTCCCGTATCGTTCTGAGGAGCCTCCGGGTTCTTCATGTCCATGTCATGGTGCTCCTCATCGTGACCATGAGCCAGTGTAAGTGAGGTGAGTTGAAGCAGCGCCGCTGCAATGGTCCATCTGGACAGACCCATTCGGCTCACTGTGTCGGGCTGTCTTCTTCAACACTCCTTCTGTTACAGCGACGCCCACCTGGCTCAAAGCTTGGTTCGTTCACAAAGTGAAGGGCGGGGTGAGAGGTCAATTGAGTGGTAGGACGGAATGCGACGGAGGCGGAAGAGGGTGTCACAGCGAGGTAGCGGACAGTGAGGACGGTCGTCTTGAAGGGGGGAGCGAAGAGGGATCAAGTGTACACACAAGGGCAGGGCGAGGGTTCACAAAACGACAGGAGCTTCGGTATAGAGAGAGATCGAAACACAGGCTTCCACATGCAGCGGTCACGGGAGATTATTAAAGAGACGAGGGCATTTCTTGGGGACGTTGGAGCGAGTCATCGGAAAAGGGCTTGCGCAGTGCGCACAGGTTTGCGTACCAGGACGGGGACGAATAGGTCAGCAGAGCAAAAGCTTCTGCAGCATGGAGCATGGCATCAATTGCTGGCATCAGTTGGACGCATCTTGGGGGAGTGGTGGCCGGATTTCTCGGATGCGCGAAAGAGTGGTGCTGGTGATGGGTATTGTAGCTCGCAGCCCACCTTTTGCTCTTGGCCCTTTCTTATCGCCGGCCGGAGGAAAATCGAACGAGGCGTTCAAGAGTTGACAAGGCCCGCAGGTGCAGTAGCTCCAAAGGCCCTGGGCGGCAGTGGGCGCTCTTGACCTCAGCGGCGTGGCCATTGGCGGCTGCCCGGAACGGCCACAGCAGCTATTAAGAGCCCACAAGAGCCCAAAAGAGCCCAAAAGAGCCCAAAAGCGCCCAACCAGGGCTAATAGGCCCAAGCCAGGCCTCGTTGTTTATTATCCTCAGGCAGAGCAGTTGCTGCCTAGCTGCCGAGCAGCCAGGCAGAGAGGTCCGTCAGATCACGAGCATCCTCATCATCTCGCTCGCGAAACCACTTCGCTTACTCTCGAGCCCAGCCTCCTGCGAAGAAGTGCGTTTATGGGGCATGCCACTGAGATCCAAGCAGAGAGCTCCTGGTCCAAGCTCACAATAGGGCTGTTTGTTGTGCTCTCTCTCTCTCTCTCCCTCTCTCTCCGCAACGCCATACTCAACACAGTACTGAGCATTGTCCAAGGAGCTCAAATTGCCTCAGTTCTGGGGTGGCAACCCCCACCAGGAAGCATATTTCCCGTTTAGCCTCCGCCGTCTGCGCCTACGGATACCTGCTGACAAAAGAGCGACTGGATCGGAGTCGTTTCCAGAGCCGCCATCAGGGCGGAGAGAGAATCCTTTCCTGTCGTACTCGCAAGCTCGGTCCTTGTACCAAGTGCGCAAGTACGAGGTACAGGATCAACCTATTGCCGTGTGAGATTCTGTCATGACGCTTTCGTTGATCTCATCAGTGTCTATATTTGATCAGAGACTCCATTCTCTTCAACCTCTTACGAGCATCATCGTCGTCGAGGTCGTCCGTGCTCCTTCAAATGATGTCACTTATTTGGTAGCTTGGTAGAGTTTTGAGGTGAATGAAGGCGCCTTCCGAGCCATTCCGTGGCCCCAGTTTGCGTACTGGGTACTTGTCAAAGGATCTGGTGACGGAGACACTGGTCTCGTCGTCAGGCACTGGTCTCATTCGATTCGTGGGGTGTGAAGAGACCTTGGGTGTGGAACGGAGGATGCCGACTGCGAACCGGGCGAGTGGTCAGAGAGTGTGGTGTGAGATGTGGTCTATGACTGGTCTACCGAGGGACTGAGATCGCGATCGTGAGATTTGGATACTCGTCTCAAACGGCAAACAGATTGCAATGGGTGACAGGCGGAGGAGCGGTGACTCAGTGGACGGACGGCCTTCTCAGACGAGGAAGCTGACAGGTGCGAAAAGCAGTGGCTGGAGACGCAGCATTGTCCTGGGTTGGTCCAGAGAATAATACGAGGCACGAGGCACGAGGGAACTGCCTCCCTGCTTGCCAAACCCACCTTGTGCGGCCGCTGCTTTGGTCATGGCCATTTCAGGCAAGCCAGCCTTGCCCTTGACATGCATGGTCTGCTTGCACTTATACAGCACTACCTCGTACTTGGTACTAGCATTGCCCTTTCCGCCTTCCTTATGATGTTCAATGCTTTTTCCGCTCTCCTCTCATTACCCACGACCTACCCACACCCACCAAAGCTGACCGCGGATTTCCCAACACCTCCCCCCCGTCGATTGGAAATGTCGGATCGGGATTCTCTCCCCTCCTCTCGCTTATGCCTCTCATTCCTGTTCCTGTCCCTTTCTGCTGACTTCCATGAGACGCCCCCATTCTTTCGTGCCTTTCCTCCCGCGCTCCTCTCCTCTCCATCTTCACCCTTCTCAACCAATCGCTGCTATCACGCCACTTCCTAACTGGATGGTTGCCCTTAACCAGTCATCGGTCTCATCGAGACGGCCGCTCTAACCTGATATAGAAAATATAACTCTCCCTTCCGGGGATTTATCTGCTCTATGGAGTCGTTTGGTTCGATAATCCAGCAACCTGAAACGCCCAAAGCCAGGCAATGGTCTGCCTATCTCCTTAGAGGCATCGGGATATTGTCAACATCCTCTGTTTTCAATCAAATCTGTTCGTTTGTGGGACTGAGCTCGACGTACCGACTAGAACTCGCCGAGTCGGTCACCAATGAGTCTACCTACCTGGACGAGCATTTACCAGTCGCAGAAGAAATACCCTAGGAAAAGTTTGACCTGCTATCTTCCCCATTATCGAATCAAGACCTTGACCCACTTGTTCACTACTGCAATGCGCTTCAAAGAAAGCTTCGATGATCGGTTGAGGGAAGACTCCACCTCTTCAAGTAATGGAAATGGCGACTTTTCTTTTCGGCCGACTCGTCTGCCCGAGGCCCCGAGCCTTGTATGGATTTGCAGTGCCGTCTAACCCGCTAGTTCGTCTTGCTCGTCCTCACTATCCCTTGGCCATGGCTGGCAACCAGTTGTCGTGCATCCAATGCATTTAGAGCACATTTTCTGAGCGTCAATCAATGTGTGAAACGCCGTTCTTCACACCCCGACACCCTGGCCCCTTTCCCCTCCGTCCAAACCACCTGCTGGTGCTGCGTGCTCGGACATGATCGCACCGCTGACTCGTGTGGTGGCCTGGCTATACCTGCAAGTGGTCACAAGGACGCCATCATGTCGATCCCGCATTGGTTCCTGCTTGTGCGCTACGACTGACCGCCTTGCACAATTGTTTTATGCACATCATGGATCGCTGATCTTCTCTAGTCATTCGCATCAAAACATGCCGTGGAACCTAACTGTAGTCGCAAAGGCAACCGTTCACAGCTTCACAACATGCCGTGATTAATACTGGATGATGATAAGGGGAGTCTGTCCCTCGGTGCCTTATCGTGGAGAAGCATATCCTCACAACGATCGAGATATGGTCTCTTCAGCGCAACGAGTGCCGCTATTTATCCGTGCAGCAATTCTATCGAATCATAGGGAGCCTCCCCGACCGTATCACGAGTCTCGTATAGGCGCATCTCTGACACCGAAAGGGCGTACTCGCCTAATATGCTGGCAATAAGCAAACATGAACACGCCCCTCATATGGGGATCGTTCCAATGACTGTCCAAGTAGTACGAGCGATGTACGAAGCTCCCCCTTCCAATGGCAGGGTGGTGCTGCGGTGTGTCCACAGCAAGGCTCGATGCACAATCTGTCCCCAAAAGAGGCTAAGGAGAAATAGGGGCCGTGGAAATAGCGATCATCCCCTGACGGGCTCTTTCGACGCGGATTGACTCCCTAACTGACTGGCAGGGACAAGTCAACGATTGTCGTTTCGCAAATTCAATGAAGAGAGACAGCTGGTGCAGAACTGTAATGTATATTCTACACAGGCTCTATTCAAGTGGTCACCACAACACTCCCCTGTTTTATTGCTATGTTAACTTCATGGTTTCATATCCAAGCCGACTGACGCCCAACCCAGTCTGTGAGCCCGGAACCAAGCACGCCACACGCCACAAACCACAAACCACAAATACGCACAAACACGCGCACGCGCACACACACACGCCTCGTTGCTGCTGGGCGGCGCCTCAATCAGACCTTCTCGAGGCTGCGCAAGCTGTAGAACAGGAGGTAGGCCTCCTGCCTCAAGACGTCCTCGGTGGTGGTCGCGCTGACGATCTCGTCATCGAAGCGGAACCACTTGTTGTCCTGCCGACAAAAGGCAAAGTAGTGGCCGTTCTGGGCATGCTCGCCTTGGTGCACCACCACGCAGTCGAGGTCGTATATGAACTCGCTCTCTTTCCTTGCACCCCCTCTGGTGGAAGTAGAGGTAGAGGCCGAGGCGGACGTATTCTTGCTGCTCTCCTTCTCCTTCTCCTTCTTGTCAGCCTCGCCGCCGGCGTCCTTCTTCTCTTTCTTTACAGCCGCGGCGGCTGCGGCTCCACCATCTCTAGCAGGCGGCCGCGTCGTGTACGGCGCCATGTCAAGGTGCAAGCCAAAGTCGATCTTGCCTTCGTATTTCTCGGGCCCGAACACGCCGCTTGCAATCTGCTTCATGCCGAACCTCTTGACGTGCACGCACAGGATGGCGGGTAGCTTCCGGATGCGCGTCTGCTTTGAGGCCGACCGCCGCGTGTTGCATTTGTTGCATCTGTATTGCTCTGGCGATAGGGGCTCGGGGGCGGTGAATGCACGCAGGCAGTCTTGGATGGTCGGGATGGTGATTTTGAGGTCCGCGGCCTTGTCCCTTTGGGACGACGGCTTGTTGGTGTTGGTGCTATTGTTGCTGTCGCCTTTCCTGGCGTCTTTCTCGTCCTTGCCATTTTGCTTATCGTCTTTGCTCCCCTCGTTGCTAGCACCACTGGCCTCTTTATCTTTCGCACCCCCGGCCTCTTTCGCAGCTCCGGCATCCTTCGCCCCCTTCTTCCTTTTCTTCAACTGTTTCTGGAAATCTAGTGAAATGCTCGAGAACTCGTCTTCTCTGCTCGACACAGTGTGGCACGTATCACAAGTGATCTGGCTATTGTAGCGCCCGTAGAAGACCTTGTGGAAAAAACATACACATTGTTTGTCCAGCGTTGCAATCCCGTTGGCCTGGTTGGCGGCCTGGGATTTGTTTTCGGAAGAGGGGACGTATTGAGCGACTCCCTCATGGAGGCGGTCAATGATGCAGATAAACCACTCTTGGGCATCTTGCTGGCCTTTGCCAGACATTTGCTGTGTGTAGAATCAGCATCAAAATTCTCCGAAGAGCAAAGGGGGAAAAGGATGTAATGGAAAATAGGAGGGACAGCAACGTACCGGAATATTCTTCCATGATGCGAACAAAAGATTGACGGCGTGAGCAGGAAGAGGCTGATCCACCATAGTAACATCAGAGAAAAGCTCCGTCATGCCACAGGCGACGCAACTCTTCTGCTCCTTGATCTGGGAGCCTACTGCAGACCCGTCATCATCGTCGTCGTCGTCGGAATCGTTCTTGTCCTTCTTGTCGGGCTCTTTGGAGATCGGACAGGTGTGCGTCGGATGGCCCATTCCCAAGAAATAGCTGGCCAGCAGCGAATTGTGCACCATCATCTGCAGCACAGCGTTCATATAGCACGTCTCCCCCAAGTTGAACAGGCCACGAACACCGGTCCTGCCGCACGGTCGTTGCGAGGTGTTTGCTGTCAGATACGAGTCGTCTTCCCCATCGTTGGATTCTGCAAGTTTGCGTTTCACCCCGTTGACCCTGCTACTGATGGCGCTGCTTTTGGCGCTGCTGACTAACAAGGCTGGATCGTATACCAGGTCGTTACAGTGACCACAGTAGACAGACTTGTGGGAGACGGCGAACCCATGCTGGGACTTGGAGAAGTGCTTGTCCAGCATCGTGAAGCTGCCTGAGAAAGAGCATGAGACGCACGAGTATGTTGCAAAGTCCGGGTCAAGGTGGTTGTTGCTGCTGTCACGAAAGGCGCTGATTTTGCCGGCGACGTCACTGTCGAGGTGCTCACAGCCCGCTGTGGGCATACGTTGAGCTAGAGCCATGATTCTTGAGTAGACGTTTCGAAGGTTAAGATGGATAACTGGCAGCGCGTGGACGAGGAAAGTGTATATAAAAGTGGATTGTCCAGGACTTGTCGAGTTCAGGAGAAATCAGAAGTGGCAATGTTTGAACTGGCAAACAATCCACAACGAGGTTGCCCTTTGTCCCTGAATACTCCTCAATGGCTGTCAGCAGTGATTATAACATTTTCCCATTCATGAATACAAGGACAATAGAGACTGGTGCTATTGTGGTTTGAGGTGGCGGCAGAAAATCAAGCAACATTTTGCGTGTTGGAATTGATTAATTTTGCGCTGTCCGCAGCTAATGCTCCACACTACAATTACGGTGGGCCGATTCATCTGGCACGTGTCGCAGCCTTGCATATCAAGGTCTAGACCCCTTCTGACCCTTTTCACCCTTCGAGACCTTTGTAACTCCCCATGGTGTCGTCTGCCACAGCATCTACTCAGTGACGTGGCTGGAGATGGCTTCCATCCCATCTCATCGGAATTCTTCGTCTTCCCTGTCGGTTTGGGTTGTTCAATTTGCATGTCACGTCGACCAAAAATACAAAAGACCGTGTTAAGTGTCGCTGTTTAACTAGCTCTGAGCCTCCTGTCGACCTCCAGTCTTTCATCGGGGGCCAACTCCCTCTCCACTACCTTTGTGCACTGATCGACTACCTTCCTCAAGGGTAAGAAAAGACTACTCGGGGAAGTCTTCGAACGTGACGTCGATCTCATCATCATCCCACATCGCATCTTCAACCTTCGAGACCAGTTCAATGAGCTTATATGCCCACGAGTAAGACTGCTCGGGCCTTTGTGGCGACAAGGGATCGCCGTAGTCATTAGTGTATTGAACCGCCGACATGAAGTTGAATAGCCTCGCACACCCTCGGACAATAGACTGTGCCCGGTTATATGCCGCAGTGGCTTTTTCTCGGTAACCCTCATACAATGCCGGGTTACGCACAGCTTCCTCTTTTTGAGCCTCCTCCAAGTCTCCAGAGTCCGTCCTGCCCGTCTCCAACGTCTCCAGAAGACCCGTGACCCGAGTGCGGATCTTGCGGCCCAAAGTCTAACCCGACACTGTGACACGAAGTATGTTGAGAATGAAATTCCCAAATTTGTCATTGTACGTGTCATTATAACGAACTCGTACTCTAACAGACTTACTGTAGAGAATGAATGAGCAAAAGGGTGGTTAGTAAGGATGGGACAACGACATGCTCGCTCTTTAGTTTGAGACCTACCATCTTCTTGAAGTACAGTAATTAGAAGACAGGCCGAGTGGTGGGAGTGTGAGGAGTGTGATGATGATGAGGAGGAGGAGGAGGAGGAGGAGGAGGAGGGAGATCAAACTGTGGATGCTGTGTGGTGGATGCGACTTTGGAGCCCGACGTCTTCTAGGGCCGTGTAAACAGGTGATTTTTGATGTGGCGCTGTCAAGGGTCTGTCCTTGGGGATAAAGGTGTTCTTGAAGAGGACGTCTTGCGGACAGGCGGAAATGGTCGGCATGCCTCTGAAGAGGACAAGTCCTGAGAGAAATGGTTGCTGTTCTAGCCGTGTGTCATGACGAGAACAGCAGAGAGAATGATAACCTTGGACAAATTTCATCCATGAAGTTCGTGCGTGAGCGTTAGACATTATTATCTCGGCGTCATAATGGAATCTCTCGACGGCGAGAATAAAAGGACACGATGTCGTGGAGTGGCTGTCCCCTATTTGCTTCCCCTCGCTCTACCCCGTGGTAGACCACTTCCTCTCGAACCACGGTTTCCAGCACTGCCTCTATTTCCCCTCCCAGCCGCAGCACCTCCACGACCGGTAGATAGATTGCTCTGCTTCATAGTCGACGAAGTGCCAGGTGTCGCCGGCGGGGCCATGCTTTTACGACGTGGAGTTGCCTTCAAGCTTGCGAAACTTGCATCTGCCGTGGTCATGAAAGTTGCATCTCCACTACCATCTCCGAGTCGACTATCACCAGTGGGTGGACTGTGTTGCATTGTTGTCGACTGCTCGTCCGGATTTCCCAGACCTCCCTGCTGTCGCTTTTGCCAGCGCTTGATCGACTCGGTGATTGGAGCCTAGGGTTGATATGTCACCGTCAATAACAAATCTCAGCAATGGCCACAGAGCAACAACGACAAAGAGAAGTGTCAAACATTCAACTCACCTCGGGGAAGTCAACAACAAAGGCATTCATGTTCAACCCATACAGAAAGCTCGCAAAACTCTCTCCAAACCGACTGAGACTTTCATGCATCAGTTGCAAGTGCATCAAATTCGCCTCCAGGTCAGCCATTGAATCGCTCAATTCTGCAAACTGTGGCTCCAGGGAGTCGAGCGGCATTCCAGGCCCCGTGAAGATCCCATTGTTTTGATGGACAGAAGCACGGAATGAGGAACGTGACGAAGGGCGGAGAGGAGTAGTTGGCCTGGAAGCGGGAGATCTCGTTCGGACTAGCATCTGGGATGCTGTGCGAGGTTGTGACATCTTTTACACTGCGCCGATGTCTTCTATTTGGGAAGCTGACATCGTGTTTGGATCTAATATGTACAGACAATGGGACTGGGCGAAGTTTGGACTTCAGAAGACGTGTCTGTGTCCACCAATCACAATTCAAAATTTTACGCACTTTCGGAGAAATAAATATCAGATTGTTCCGGGCGAGGCTGACAAGGCTGACAAGGCTGACAAGGCTGACAAGGCCGGAAAAACAAGGCGACGTGAAAAACACACGTCGCTCATGGGACACAGATCTTCTTTCAAAATCAAAACGACTGTATGAAGGTATACCAGGAAACTATTACATTGTGGCCGAGCTATGAGAAACAGCCGCCACCACAGAACACGACCATCTAGAGATCAGCGAGGCCCTGAGACCGATCGAACCCTGGCCGACCCTACAACTCCAGGTCCATAGGCTTTTTTGCTCGGAAGTACTTGAATTGAACTTTCGAGAGTATCAATCCTGTCCTTGATTCCTGTCCTGTCAAGGTTGCCCGCTTGCTGCTCGCCCAAAGGTCCGTTTGTATGTAACACAAGATGCTTCCCTTAACTCAGATCCCGTCGAAATCACCGCCAGGAGCATCATCCTCGTCCATTTCTCCGTCCACAATCTCCTTCGCAAGCTCCCGTTCGCGCTCACGAGCCTCTTGAGCATTCTTAAGCTCTAATCGGTGTTGGTTCATGGGGAAACGCATAGCCTGTGGTTATGTTAGCACCAGCACCCACTGAAAATGTTCGAGTTAGCATACCTTGACGCTTTCATCGTGCAAAGCTAAGCAAGCTTGGATACGCTCATGGAAAGCATCGCCTGGCTCTCTGGTGGCGTACACGTCTCCCACTTCCTTACTCTTCATGTACCCACGCTCATGGTCCAGGCTGGCTTCAATGACCCCATCGCGAATTGCCTTTGCCACAATGTACTCTGCCGACTCCTCACTGTCTAGGCCCAGTCGCAAACACATATCACGCAAAGAGATTCTGGCATATGAAAGAGACATCATGCGAATGCCGGTTCTGATCACATTCTGTCTAAGTCTCAAAATAAGCGTGTACGTGTCATCTTTTCTAAAGGTGGCGTTGTACCGCTGGACCAAGGTCTGAAATCCGATCACATCTCCCGAGCTGACGGCTTGAACAAGCTGAAGATATGGCTGCAATGCTTTCTCTAAACTCGGCTGGCGGAAGATGGCACGGTCCGGGATGTCCCCCATCAACAGCTCAACCACAATGAGCATTTTGGTCGAGGCTTGATAGAATCCGCTGGCCTTGTAGGACGTCGGTGATTTGCGCGCCGCTCCAGTTAGGTGCTCGTGAGCTTCAGTGTACGAAAGTTGGATTGCTCGAATACGTCCAAGATAGTAGAAATACCTGGCAATCTGGTTGTTGGCGGCGTTGGCAGGGAATTTGGTGTGGGATATCAACAGGTCTGCCTGGGTGACATGAGATGTAGAAAGATAATTCCGCAGAAGCAGAGTTGTGACCGCGGCTTGAATGTCCTGATCTTTTCTCAATGTTGCAGTGCGTAAAGCATCGAGGAGCGGCTTCCGGATTGAGATCACCGCAGCTGCAGGCGAGGGCGGCAGGGGCGTCATTTCTTCGAAAAAAAGCGCATAGTAGAAATACACCCGAGCTGACAGTGAATCCAACGTCCGGCGATTCAACGTCCGAAGATGTTCAACCAGGGCGCTTGAAAACTGGGCGCCTGCGTTGACTGATTTCTTATCGTAGAGATGAACTTGCACCAAAATCGACAGGTAGACGTCTATTTCGGGGAGAACCTCTTTGTGTGAGCTCTTTTGGTGCGCAGACTCCCTCTTGCTGTGCCATTCCTCAACGTGTTGGGTTGGAAAAGATGGATCATCTTTGACGGCGCTGAGTAGGGACATTGCAGTCGCGGTCGGGGTTGCGTATGTGTCGGTAACAACAGAGGCTAAAACATATGGGGACAGATGTTTTCGGATTGAAGGTATGGATCGGAGGACTCTCAAGCTGAATCGAGGATCGAACTGGCTGACAGCACGTTCCAGTAACGGAAGGTTGGCTTTGATTTCTGGATCGACGTAAATATCGCATCTCCATCAGTCGAACTAATGTACAACTTACCCTCGATTGCCTTTTCTTGAGGATCAACTTCCTCTTCACCTTCCTTTTCGCCGTCGTCATCTATTGCCCCATTTGTGAGATCTGCGTCGGTAGCATTATGAGGTGGGTTCGCGGTGCTGGAACCCTTCGCGGGTGGCACGACAACGGTCATCTCGTCATCACCATCCTTTTCCTTTGACTGCTTTGGCATCTTTTTTGAATTCTTTGAACTATCTTTCATTTCGACGTCGTCCGAGCCGTTGATGCCATTCCGGGTGGGATCGGTTCCGTTAAGATCGTGTTTGTTGCCGCTCATGTCTTCGGCAAGAGCTTGATGTGTTGTTCGGGAAGAGGGAACAGGTTACTGGAGAGCGCAGGGTTAAGCTGGGATAGACGTATGGCTTATCCTTCGTTTTGACAGGTTCCTCTGTATTAAAAAGAGGATTTATATCAACACGAGGTCGGGCCACTCAGTTGGCATATCCTGCCCGGAGTTTCTAGGTCTTTGTCCGCCACCAATCACAAGTCTGTTGATGCAATCGACTTTCTAGGGCATATGACTGCAATGCAGAGTCAAGAATGGAGTTTCTTCTTGAGATCAGCAGCCAGGGGCGCTCGAAACTGTTCGTGGTGAGGGAAGGGCAGGGTTGAAGCAGTTGAGGTTTGGATGGAGATGGGAAGTGACTAATGGTGATTTCTTTCTTTGGCTCGCCCTGCGCTGCCGCAGCTCGCCAGGCACAACAGACAGACGCGTTCGGCTTCTCTCCACACACCACAAACTAATCACCAACACATCATCGTTGAACCCATGAAACAATTACAAGACAACCTGTAATGTAAATCCTGGACGTCTTAAGCTCTCCAAAAGCTGTTGGCATCATGGCCGCTACCAATTGTTTGTAGCGGCATATCCAGCGACGGCGCCGGTGGGAGGATCAAGATTCGGACACGTGCTTCCAGATCTCGCTTCAACATGGCTCTCCTTGCGAACCATTTGGAGCAGATTTCGCTGTCTGCAAAGTCTATATCCGAGCTGGAGTATGTGTTTAACCTGGAACCCAGTGTCCATCGCTGACCACATCGCAGACTACCCCCACCCAAGATCTTTACAAATGCTCTGCTCAACAATCAGGAGATCACCACCCTGATTCGCGATACCGAACCTCATGAGCGTGCCCTCTTTTCAATTGACCCCAATGCTCTCAGCAGAAATCGTCAGCAGAACGGCTTCGTGCCTATCGACACTAAAAGCGGTCATCAGGGTCGCAAGAGTGGGTTTCCTTCCGCCCATCCCATTAAACAATCGGCGGTCTCACGGCTGCTGGGCAAAGAGATGCTCCAGGAAATAAGGCAGTCCAGTAGTGCACGATCTCGTGAAGGAGTCAACGTTGAAGTCCTGCTTCGCGGGGCAGAAAAGCTTTGTGAGGTATATACCGTCGCAGGAGCAACAGACAGGATTCGAGTCCTCCGCAACCGTCACCGAGAAGTCGCTGGCTCCATAGCGATGCTCGAGGAGAAAGTTTCTAAGCAACAGTCGCTTTTAGACCGCAGGAATCTGGCATTGAACTCTGAAGAAAGAGAAGATGAGCAGGATCAAGAGCAAGACCCTATGGGCCACAATGACACTCTCGGCTTTCTGGAAGAGGATTTCCAGGTTGAAGAGGAGGAAATTCGCGAGTTAGAGGCTAGGAAAAAGGCCTTGGAGGAACGTGTCTCCGACATGGAAAGAGATCTCGGCGGGCTTCTCAAATGAGGGCGCTCATATCGAAGGCCGACACCACTTCAAGAGGCCCAAGAATCCGTGAACCCTGCGCTTCACCGGACAGTTGACAGGAGCGATGGATGCTTGGCCGCTTGCGTTGCTTCATGTGACCGGCAAAGTCCTTGTTGCTGTAAAAGCTATGTGTGCCATTGGCATTTCTATCCTGTTGTGATGGTCTGTCAACCTTGACGCATTACCCGAGACTCCCGCGGATCTTCTCAAAGCCTGGCTTGTCGATACAAGGATACTTCCGCCAACTGTCAGCCGTCAGCAGGCATCGGGATGTCAAAATACAGTGTCACCACCTGCTGCTAGCGAGGGTTATATAACGCAACTGACGACATTCTCTTATCCGTACCCAGAACAGCCATACTCACGGAAGGATGCCAAACAGTTCTCGACAATCCCGCTCCGCCAGCACTACCGGGCAGAGCTGGCGGTGCGTTGCATAGCGCGTCGCTCACGAGCAAGAGGGACTCGCACTTTCGCTTGTGAGAAATCCTTTGCTCGCTTACGTGCAATGCATCCTCCTTTTCATGTTATCGAACCTCTGACTCCACCTTTTTGCACTCAGGTCAAGACGCATAGTTAGTAAGTAGCATGTGGCTACCAGAAGCTACTGAAGCCACGCCTCTTTGGTGGGGCACCTTGCATTTTATTGACATCGAACTTCTGTCCTTCGTATGATCTGTTCAAAGGGCTCGAAGCAGATGGGACTTTGCTTTCTAGGATAATACTATCTAGGAGATGAAGGTACATAGACTGTTAAAATCAGAAAAACATGTCCAAGTAAGAAGAATGCTTGGATACCATCTGAAAGAATCTGGATGCATGCTTCAGGGGGCGACTGGTACGTAGGAGGTGGATGGTAAATAGGACAAGGTTGTGTCCGGAGCATACCTAACAAGTACTGGGTAGTACGGAGATACCTGTTAGTAGTAAGTAAGCAAGTGCTGCGGGTAAAGAGTTCGAGACAGTTCAACTAGATTCCCCATCCATGGGCATCTGCGGGCGCTGGTCCACTGGCGCTCTGGCGCGGGTTAACATCAAGGGGTGCAGGCCGCCGCCCGCTGACGGAGGCCAATGGCAGCAAGCACGTCGTGCATAGCCGTCCCAGCCGTCAAAGAGCAGCAGTCAAACTCGGACACCTACCAACGTCTGCACTAGGCCGCAGCTTGTCCCCAGCCCGTTAGCAACCACCAGTAGCATGCGCCGATCTCTTCCCCGTAAGGCCTTAAGCTCGCCCAGACTCCAGGGCCGCCGATGTGCAATTGGGCACGCGTCCTCGCTGCTAGGCACTACTCGGTACTGGGTCGCTGGGTCCGCCATGGCCCATGGGCAGCATCCACAGCAATGAGTGTCAAACAGCAAAAAAAAGGGAACCCCATGTCCCGATTGAAACACCAGCCCCGAAAAAGCCCAGCACTCGACGCAATCCAGCAATCACTCACTGTCACTCGCTTCTGCTCTGCTCAGTTCGTCCTCACCGTCGCCGCTTGACACCTTGACTGCGCCCGATCTCCTTCGTTCCTCAGAGTCAAATCCGTCCTTCCGCTGCCAGCGACAGCACAACTCTCTCCTTCACTCTTGGGTAGCAGGTGAATTGACTATTTCGCGCTCGAAATTTCCCCCAATCCCTCAACTGCGGAGCGGAACCGGCTGATCGTCACTCTGTCCCTCTTTTGCGACCGCCGCTTCCAGTCGCAAGAAAGGGCTCGCAGACGCCTCAATTGAACTCACCGCGGTGACTTTGTCAAGTCACCAACTGCAACGAGTGTTGAGTCGATCCTTGACAGCTTGACTTTGAACTCGGTTTCGCATCAACCCAAGCAGCCGCATGGATTACTGATTGCTCGATTGCAACTGCCTTTACTCTGCCTACAGCGCCCATTATCTCACTGCTCCCTTCCCTACTTCCTCACTTCACCAACATGGCGCAACTACGGAGCATGGGGTCAGGAACGGACGTCCTGTCCATGTCTGCGAAATCTACAAGAGCCACGCTCCCTCACGTAACAGCTCCTCCTTCATATGTCTCGGGCCCCGAAGCAGAGAAGTTGGTACACGCAGAGATCGAATGTCTAGTCAAGATTTCGCACGGCGCGATCTACTTGCTCAATGGCTTTCTGGATCAGATACTCTACGACATTTTGTCCAAATCGCAGTCGACCGCATTGGGCGCGGTCCGAGCTGCAGTCCCGTTGGTATTGAGACAAAGATTGGGACGTGCAGCAATAAAAGCTGCTGACGAGGAATTGCAAGACTATTTGGAAGAAGACGAGCTGGAGAATATTCAAACCCACCCTGCTGTCCTTGATCCCAGAGCAGAATTCGATGTTGAGCTTGCCTGGAAACTCACCAGGTTGCGCTGTATGGTTTATGCTAAACTGGGAGACATGGAAGAGGAAGACGAGGAGGACTTCCTGGAGGGCGATGACGTGAGGGACCATTTGAACCAAGCGAAAGAGGCGTACAGATCCTCTGCAAGAATCTCACCACCCTCTGCAATCTTCCTAACAACAGTCCTTGAGTTTCTCGCCGAGCAAGCCCTATGTATCGCTGCTCAACACGCAAAGAAACGAGCCATGTACCTCAAAGATCCAGCTCGAGAGGCGATTCCAATCCAGCATCACCCAGACCCAGATGGCATGCTCCTGGAAGAGATAGATATGTCGGGCATCGGCAAAGAAGGGCCCCTGATCCGACTCTGGCGGTCATGGAAGGGCAGTGTGCGAAGTGGTGGCAGCATGTCCTCCCGTCCTACGACACCCAATATCATGTCGCCGATAAGCCCAGAGTCTCCCATGCAAGAATGGAAGTTCCCCTCCGCTCCAGTAATCCCTCCGATCCAGGAAGAAGGAAGCAGATCCGTTACGCCGGCAAATGTACCTCTGCCAATGACCGAACGTGATGTTGATGAGATAGAGGTACCAGGGCTGGCGCCTACTTTCGAGGAAATCGAGACCAAGGAGCAACGCCCTATTCCTGGAGACCGAAGGCCCACGAGTATGCTAATCATGCCTGGCCAGTTCCCAAGTTCGGCGTCTACAGAAGATGTTTCAGAAAGGCCGTCCGCAAGCAGACGGAGGTCAAGATCGGTGCCTACCTCGCCAAAAACCTTTTCCGGTTCACAGCAGGGGACACAGCCAGGACCTTCCGCCCCTCTTACCATTCATGGATCTAAGGGGCAAACAGGCGCCACGGAGAAAGTAGAAAATGATGATGTTCGACAGCATGAGGAGCAAGACAGACCTAGTTTGCGTTCAACAGCGATTGGCGCCACTGTCGCCACCATCGCTGGGGCACTCAACGTAGAAGCAGCCAAAGCTTTCCGAAGAGGACGACTGAGTTATGATTTGACTTCAGCAGTCTCCCCTGAATCTGCTGGAGAACAAAGATTGTTAAATAGCACAATCGATGAGCTCGATCGGATGAATATCCCAATGCAAGCGCCAACAACTGACCTTGATGAGGCGCAGGCAGAATTGGGTGACCCGGAAGATCTAGCTTTAAGCTTCAGCGATGAAGGAAGAGGTGAGGCCGGAAATGATCACACGAATCCCAGGGACTCTGGATTCAGTGTTGCTGGCCCTGTGAACGAAGTTCATGAGCATGACCAGGAAGCTGCCCCAGACGGAGACCCGTCGATATCCAATCACCATGATTACGAAGAGGCTCAGGCGGAAAGTGTAACCGCCGCCCGCGCCAGTTCGAGGTATTCGAATTTGGGATATGCGACGATCTTCCAGACGCCGGATGCGAGTATAGGCCACAGCGACCCGAATGCTACCCGGTTTAATGACCCTGTTGCGAATTCACCTACCACACAACCCAACATGACATCTGCATGGCCAGCGGTAATTCCTAACAGGGGATCCTCGTTGGACCGGCAGAGGTCCGAACATTTGCAAACTGAGATGCGATTGCCTCAACAGTTGCCGTCATCCTACCATTCATCCGAACATGAAGAGGCAGCCGAACAACCACAAGAGTTACCCCCACGATACGCGACCTCAGCCTCGGCCACGCAGAACGGCCGTGCAAGAAGCGGAAGCGCGAAGGACGGAAGACCATCCACCTCAGGTTCTACGACAGTTAGACGGCAACACATTCGGCTGCGGTCAGATAATGAGGAAGTAAGGCCGCGAGAGGACTTGGACAGGGCAAAGAAGAGTCTTGATCTTTTGATTGACAGCGACGAAACGCTCCATTACACTCTGACGCCTGCGTCTGCCACTGTGGTATACAAATATTTCTCGTTTAGTTTGCAAGGCGCTGACATGCTTTATAGGGAGCAAAAGTAAAAGTCAAAAGCCAGACTCAGGAATTGGCAGACTTCTTCAGAACCACTGCGCCACCCGGAGAAGAAGTCCGCCCAAAGTCGTCTCGTTCTGCGAAAGACGGTCTCCGAGCGAACCCTCCTACTCCAACTACTACCAGGCTGTCTCAGCCCCAGACGCCTGGTCAACAATCTGCCGGCTCACCCTCCAAGCCGAAGAATCGTCTGGGCGAACCGCGAGAGGCTAGGATGGTGCGAAACAATACACGAGATCTCGCTGATTATGCGCGTTCTACCGGCCCAGAACATGAGACGCAGCTTCCCAAATTGCTTAGCCCACGCCCTGCTACTGCTCAAACCAGCCGGACGGATTTGTCTCTGAGAGAAAAGGTCTTCGGCGTGGACAATGAGAATCGCCCTAGCACAACATCTGGGAAGCCTATGAGCCGGTTGAAGTACCAGGCCAGAGATGCTAGGGGACCGCGAACGGCCGAAAGCTCGGATCTGATTGATTTTATCAGAGAAGGCCCCCCACGAGCTGCCGGAGAACATCGTATAGATCGGAACGTTGCCCCGTTTCGAACAACCATGGATTCTGACGATCTGAACGCGCTAGCCCCTCCACCTGAGCTTGACGCCAAGGGACGCAACTCTGACGGCAGCGCCCAAGAAAGCGCAATGACGGTCAAATCGATGCCTTCATCCATGAATTCGCGCACTGGTTTACTAGAATCGACGAATCGTGCGGGCGGAAAGTTCACGAATGGGTTGGGACCCTCTGCCACTGCTATATCGAAACAGCCCGTCATTCCCGAAACGGACGGCATGCCAAAGAGGACTCGAACGAAAGTCAAAGATCCATACGCGATTGATTATTCCGATGAAGAAGATGAAATGGAAGAGATATACGATCCGCCGAAGCGAAGAACTGGCGAGGAATCACTTGTTGATTTCCTAAGAAATACCGCTCCTCCACCTGGTATGACGACGCAGCCAATCCTTGCTGCAATACCCAACCCTACTCAGCCGGATCCTGCAAGCATGGTGAGACAATCAACGAATAGCTCCAAGTTGAAAGATTTTCTACCTGGTGGCTCAGCTTCATCGGCCAAGAATAACCCGCATGCAAGCGGGAACGACGCAACGACCACCACAAGGCCGACCAACGGTGCACGCGCAGAATCTCCTCACCTCACACAAGTTGGTTCAAAGATGGACAAATACAGGCCTACAACAACCACACATGCTGCGCATGTAGAGAAAAACAGACAGAAAATGCGCGTTCAACCGAGAGATGCTACCACGAATTTGAATGGCGGTGGTACTGCAGATCTAGCTGCGTACCTGAAGAGTTCGGGACCACCGCTAGGCATGAATGAGAAGCCGCCACAGAAGTTTGTGGGTTTGGGTCAGAAGGATCAGGCAGGATTTCTGAAGTTTTTCCAGCGGAGGGGAAGTGTGAGAAAGTGATCAAGAAAGCGAGCGATGATGTGACGAAGATTCAGAGGGATCTGATTGAGCACTGAGTGCCTGGGATGTGATAAAAGATGACGCCATTCGATGCAGAGCTGGAAACCATGTAGAGGAAAGGATAAGGGAATGTTACAATGGGCCAAAGATGTTTTTCTCTGCTGGAGCTGGATAGCCAAACAGCCAGGTCAATTTGTTCTGCTGTGTAGATTAACGTCCAGGGCGCTGAGAGATTGTTAATACTATACGAATGTCCCATCCCATGACAGATACGAGGTCCATAGTCCGTGGTTGTCGCGTGCCTCTGCAAATCCAGGGGCTCGGAAAAGGGGGCTGCTTCTCACCGCCCACGTGACCCAAGTTTTGTACACGGTTTCTGCCACTCCTGAACACTTGAATTTCAAAGTCGCCAGTTCTATCAGTTTGAGCAAACTTCCCACACGTCTCCTCCTACCCTCCCTTCAATACCCTGTTTCCTCTGCACTTGAGCCGCAGCGCGGCTCTCGTTTATTTTCCTTTTCTCTACCTCATTGCGTTCTTCATCGACGGCCTGGGTGGTTGTCAGTCAACGCAATGAAGCGCCTCGCGGTACTCCTCCTCTCTCTCCTCCTATATCCTTTCATCTCCTCTGCCTTGAAATTTGAACTCCTTGCCCAACCGGGACACAGCGCCAAAAACGAACGTTGTATACGAAACTTTGTCACAAAGGACACGTTAGTTGTGGTCACGGCGATTGTGAGCGGCAGTCGGGGCGATGGGCAGATGGTTAATATGCACATTAAGGACGCCGTAGGAAACGATTACGGCAGGCCCAAGGATGTTGCAGGAGAGAAGAGGATGGCATTCACGAGTTTGGCAGATACCGCGTTCGACGTGTGCTTCGAGAATACTTTGACTGGACGATGTGAGCGCCCAAAGTCCCCCTGCCAAACGCCGCTGCAGGACTACCCTATCATGCTAACAATTAATTGAAGCGGCTGTTCCTAATCCCTCTCGCCACGTCGAACTCGACATCGATATCGGGGCTGACGCCCGGGATTGGTCTGCTATCCAAGCCAACGAAAAGCTGAAACCTGTGGAGGCGGATCTGCGAAGAATAGAGGAGACGGTCGATGAGATCGTCCAAGAGTTGGAGTATCTCAGGATCAGAGAGCAAAAGTTGCGGGATACCAACGAGAGTACGAATGAAAGGGTCAAATGGTTTGCCTTTGGGACTATGGGAATGTTAGTCGGTTTGGGAGCGTGGCAGGTCGTATATTTGAGGGCTTACTTCAGGTTTGTATTCCTTTCATCGCATCTTTCGTTTGTGCTTGTTTGATTTAGTGTGCGCGTCGCCTTCGATCAGTGCTAACGAATGTTGTCGTCCAGGTCGAAGCATTTGATCTAAAGGGTTCTTCCTGTAATGGATCCACAACTTACGCCATGATACTGGAGTCTCTCATGGAATGTGAACGGCTGAGAGGGGGTTACAAAAGCTCGCGGACGACCAAAAAAGGGCCATGTTTGTATATGGCTTTGTATGTGTTTTTTTGAAGTACGGAGCACCGTCCTGTAATACGAAAAGAAGGATGCTTGGCATGCTTACAGCAATGACAGAGGGCTCGCCAGCATCGCTTGCGTCTCTCCGGCAAATTGGATCTGAGCAGAGTTTCTCACGCTGCCTTACCAGGAGGTATACCCAAATCTCAGGAACTGTTAAGCAATTCATGAAAGGAGGCCTCCCTACCCTCTCCAACCCAAAGATTCTACTCGGCGTCCCCGCCGGGCCGGTTGCGCACAATACTTCTCAATTCTTCAGAGAGGCCAGCCACTTCAGTTTCACTTCGATGTGTCTCGCTTTTGAGGCAGCTGGCTAGTTAGACATATCCTCTGTTCACTTCCTCCATTCACTCACCGACCTCATCTTGGTGAGAATACACATGTTGTCCGATTCATCTTTTCACCTGTGCCAACCTCCTCACTTCCTTGTTCTCGCTACGTCGCGCCTGCTTTGCTTAACATCAATCTTTAGGAAGCAACGCTAGCAGTCATCTATCCTCTGGTCATTCTCATCACGTGCTTAGTTGAAGAACCGAAGAATACGCCACTCTCAAGATGGTAGCCGGCAAGAAAACGCCAGAATCAGGAGAAGATGCAGCGAAAGCTGAGATAGAGGGCAACACATCTTCGACCGAAAATGTCCCATACAAGGACGGTGTTGGTGAATCCTCAGAGAAAGATCCCGGTATCGGAGATGGCAAAGAAAATCCCTCTAGGTGAGCTTTTCAAATGCCTCCATTTGTCAAAAGTCTTGAAGAGCTGACGTGCCAGCCTGGGCGCCTACTCCCTCGAAGATATCGTCTTAGTCACCGTCGGCGAGAAGAAGGTCCAATACCGCATCCACAAGAAAATCATCATCTCAAATGTCCGTTTTTCGACAAATGCCTTGGTGTCGGCAAGAAAGAATCGCAGGAGAATGCAGTTTCCCTCCCTGGCGATGACCCGAAGGCTTTTGCGGTCGTCACTGAATGGATCTACACCGGTCGCTTGAACTCTGGAAAAAAGGTCGTCTCCTCGTCAATGTATACATCCTCGTAGACAAGTTCTGCATGCCTGGCCTTCAGAATGCGATTGCCGACGATCTCAACAGAATGGGACACTCTATAAGTCCGAGGAATGCAATGTGGGCATGGGGCCAGCTGCCAGAAGGATCTCTGCTTCGGAAACTGTTTGTGGATCAGTTGCATTTTCAGATCACAAAATTTCCAGATCAATTCGAACAGGGCACAAGCCAGACTATCGCTACACTTGCAGCAGCAATGGAGAAGCTTTTTCAGGAAAGCGCAGGATTAGCAACGGCACTGCGGTGAAAGGTTGTGGATCATGGGCGAGAAAACTCTAGCCGACTTCCTACCGACCCAGCTTTGCTCGCTCGCTGCTTATACCACGTCCATGAAGAGGAAAAGAGATGCAAATAGGGACTGTGAAATGGCATGTCTGTCTGACTGAGGGCTGGAAATGGAATCCGATAATCTCGGAGCTGCTGGATCAATATCAACCTTTCGGGCTTCGTCAACATTGCTTTGTGGGAGCTGTTCAACGACATGAAATAGTCAGGGAATGAACGTGGCTGCCGTGATAACATCGAGCAAGAAGGGGAGAACTAACAGAAGGAAGGAGAAGATGGACATGAGCAGGACGTCCACGTGTCCTTGAGACCAACAATCAGATGCTTCCAAGCTATCTGAATCATCAAAAGATTCCTGTAGCCGCCTTGCGCCTCGTCGCCACCCTCTCTTCCAGCATCAGCTTGGCATACAAAGTAAGCAATTCACTCCCATCATCTGGTTCAGAATTCATCTGGCAAAAATGTTGACAAGAGGAAAGAGAAGCGAAGGTAGTGAAAGAAATCACTTCATTTACTTCAGAATGACGCTTTCACTGTCTCTCTTACCTTACCACGTCGCTCGACCCGCGCTGCCTTACCCTCTGCCTTCTACCACAGACACAGCACCTCTTTCAAGGGAAACAACATGTCACTCAAGCGACTTTCTAGTGAGGACCACTATGACGCCAGGAGCAAGAAGACAAGGTAGGCACAGATCAAAGAGACGTGGTGCCGACTCGAAAATAAGACTGCTGACAAGGACATGCAGCTTTACTGTCTCCGACGATATCATTACTGTCACTGTTGGCAAGGAGCAGTTGCGACACCTAATCCACGAAAGCGTCCTCTGGAAATGTCCATTCTTCGACAAGTGCCTCCACTCTGGTATGCGAGAACAGGAAGAAAAGGCCATCATCTTGCCCGAAGATGATCCCGAGGACTTTGCCATCATTGTCAAGTGGCTGTACGCCGAGAAGATCCCCGACGATATCAACTGGCACCGAATCATACCCGCATACAACGCGGCCAGCAAATTCTGCATGCCGGAACTGCAGAACGCGCTCGTCGACGCGCTTCGATCCCAGATGGAGGACTGGTGCCTCACTCCCGAATGGGTCTCTCACATTTGGGCGCGCACGGAGGAGGGAAGCCAGCTGCGCGAACTGGTCTTGGACGCCTTCTGCTATGACATATCGAAGAAGCCGTCGCGCTACAACGAGCACAACATGGAACACAAAGCAGACGCTGATGGGCCGAAGTACGCTGCGCAGATGGGGAAGTGCATGGAAAACGAGGAGTTGGCGCTGGCGCTGCTGTGGCGCTTTGCAGACCCGGCATTTCGTCCGAAAGCAAAACCTTGCAAGATGAAGGGCTGTGTCTACCACGTCCACGAGGACGAGAAGAAATGCAGCCGACCCTGATCACCGACCTCATGTCGCTCACGGGTAGGTGGGTGCCGTCTTTCCACATCGAGGACAGATTGTTGACCACGTTGAGCGGTGGTATATTATGTGCGGTGAGAGGGATGGAACGAGTCACATACTCTTGGGCAGAGGGATCTGAGCGGGTGCCAGTGAGCAGTGCCTTTTCTAGATTTTATGGCGTTTCATTCAAGCTTGATATTCGGTGATGGCGGTTGTTGCTAGATAGGGCAGTGCTTGGTGATCCGTCTTCTCTTCCCGACACCACGCTAATAGGAGTTATTTCTCCTTTTCCCGGTCTCTCTCTCTCTCTCTCTACATCTCTCCTTCTCTATGTACATACAAATTCGTAGCTACAGCCGCGACGAGGCTGCCGCCTTGCTGCCGCCGCCGCTGCTGCTGCTGTTGTTGTTGTTTCTCTCCCTCTCTTCTGCGCTTTTAAAGTCCCTGACCATCTTCAGCGCCGCCCTTGCGTAGGGAAACCTCTCCAGCGCCAACGTCCCAGCCGACGAACCCTCGCCGCTGGCCTGCCTCACGGCCCAGCGGGCAGCGATGCCCTGGATCATGACGCTCGTGCGGAAGATGGCAAAGGCGTCGGCCCACGCGATCTCGCCCGTCGGATCCCAGCCGCCTGCCTCCTCGCGGTACCATTCCAGACACTGTTCCTTGGTGGGCAGGCCCGGCGGCCCCGCGCCGACGTCGAACGCCGGGTGCGAGTGTGTTTTTATCTCCTTGAAGTTCTGCGTCACCGTCCATGGCATGGTCATGTTGCTCAGGTCTGACAAGGGGTGGCCGACGGTTGCGATCTCCCAGCTAAACGATTGTGTCCACGATGGACGATCTGGTCAGTCTCTATCTGTCTCATTTCATTCCTGGGTATAATTTTCGATTATGGGGGGAGAGAGGCCTTGAAAAGTATTATGGAGTAGTCATTCGGGACCGGCAGGTACGTTAGGAAACACTCACTCGAGGATTCCAATAATCTCCGGCTTCGTCTTGTGGTAGACGAGATTGTCGATCTTGTAGTCGCCGTGCGTGATGGAGCCGCGATCTTGCGGCCAGTGCCTCTCGTCTTCGAAGAAGGCCACCATCTCATCCATGTGCGGTATTCGGCCCACAGCCTCCCCAGACTCGACGTCAATCACCTTGGAATACGACTCGTCGAGACGCTTCAGCGTTCGGATCTGTCGAGTGTAGAACCCGCGCGGTTTGCCGAAGTTGGTGAGCCCGACCGCAACCGGGTCGACGCGGTGAAGTCGCGCCAGTGTCTTGACGGCTTCTTTCCACCTTTTTGCCCTCAAGAATCAGAACGGCACGACGGGTTTGAAAAGTTCGGCTCGTGGCGAATGTCCACTTCGCTGTATGACGGCCGACCAAACAGAGGTGAAAGCACAGGGGAGAGGGAACGAACGTAAAGTATCCATGGAACTAAACGTACATTAAGCTCCTCTCCTCGGGTGATACCCCAGGGATATACGCCTCCTCGAAGATCCGCCCGTCCAGGAACTCCATGATGTAGAAGGGCGTCCCGACCACACTGCTGTCCTCGCAGAGGCAGTAAGACTTGGGCACGGGGATGCCAGTGCCACTCAAGGCACTGATGACGCGGTACTCGCGCTCGACTTGGTGTGCTGCGGTCGTGAGCAGTTTTCCCGGTGGTTTCTTGCGGAGCACGAAGTGTTGCCCTTTGCTGTCGGTCAATTGGTATGTCGGGTTCGATTGTCCGTACTCAAACTGTTCACGTTTTGTTGGACAACGGTGTGAGTTGAGTGTCCTTGCTTCGTTCGAGCAATATGAGAAAAGGGGGGCAGACAGTTGGAATTTTGGAAAGATGGAAATCCTGGCCCACGTACCTGCCGTATCTGGACGGGGACTTTGATCTCAGGGACATGCAGATTGAGATAGCGTTCCAGAGACTCTTTGTCGATCGGCTGTCTCATTGTGGCAGATGTGGTCATGATGGAAGAACGCGAGCGATCGGGGGGACAGCGACTGCTCACTCGTTGCGTGCGATCGCTTGCGGGGAGGGGGGAGGAAGATGGGCGACAAGAAAGCTCAGTCTATCAATTAATCAATCAGGCATGCATGCGTGACTGACCCGAGAAACGAAAAGAACAAGATCGACAGACTCATCCAGCCTTCTCAAGATATAAATAAGTAGTACTCGGTATGGATCTCAAACCACAGAATGAACATCTAGGATCCTTGGCAGCCATGTCCTCTGTACTTATATGATACCGCCCACAGAAAATGCCTCGGATGTGAGCTTAGCAGGCCTGCCTCACTAGGGAGATATGCGAGAATGTGAAGCGAGCCATCTAGGGACGTTACGGGGGGGGAGGGGGGATGTTGCAGATTGTTTTCATTGAGCGCAGCTGCTGGATGCCGGGGACTTTCCAGGATCGCAGAACCCTAACGCATATATGTACATATGTGTGTAAGTGTAAGTATGTGGTATATGTATGCGCAGAGATCGATATTCATTATACGTCCTAACAGCTGTAATGTTCATCCATCCTATATGTAGCTACGACCTTGACCTTGAGGACCGACCATGCGGAGTCCCGACGCCTTGCGCAGTCTCGTTGCCAGTCAAAATAGTCGTCGAGAGAGTTGTTTGTTTGACCACTTCTGTAATGTATCATTAGAGAAACAACACGCCCTTTCGCTACCACACGCTGATTTAGACGGCGTCGGAAGCCGTCTTGAGATCCTCGGTGACGATGGGGGTGGTAGTCTTTTCGCCGGCATGTTCGTGGGTGATGACGGTGTGGGTGATGTGGTCGATCTCAATCTCGCGTTGATAGATGGCCACCTCGTCAGCGTCGCCGAAAATGGCGGCGATTTCCTCCAGAGGCATGCCCTTGGTGTCCGGGAAGAAGAACAGCATGATGAAGCCGCCAATCGTGCCAGGGATGATGAAACAGAGGTAGAACTTCCACCCAATCGTCCTATCCATTGGGTGAGTAATGATTGGCAACCCTGCAGGGGATAAAACTTACTTGAAAGCAGTGGGAGCGGCCTGAAGCCACATAATATTCATGAGCGAAATCATCGAGACTCCCAAGCAGACGCCCTTGGCTCTGATATGGCTGGGGAACAGCTCGTTGAGGTAGCTGAATTGGGTGCCTAGTTGCGAAAATACCAGTTAGTCCAAGCCTTTCCCTACGAGTGTGATGTTCCACATGGACAAGAGACCTACCGTCAAGACAGAAGCCATAAAAGATCTGGAAGATGTAGAACATGGCCACAGCCGCCAGGAGGGCGGATTGATTGTTGGATGGCACGAATTCTGCGACCAATGCCGCTTCGATGATCAGGGTGACCATGCAGCCCAATACACCGAATGCCATGTATCGATTTCGCGGAAATCGGTCGACCAGGCCCATGGCCATGATGTTGATGCCCAGGGTCAGGGTGAGCCATCCAGCCGGATAGAGCAGCTGTTTGATTGGGCTGAACCCGAGATTGGCATACAAGGTCGGTCCGTAGTCTTGCACAAACGTCAGTCAAGTCTGACCCAAATGATTTTTTCGAGATGGACTTACTATTGATAACTAACACGCCAGAGCACTGGATAATTCCTGTCGTTCCGATTGCAAGCAGGCAGCGTTTTCGGTAGGATGGCTTCTTGATCATGTGCATCCACGAGTTGCCCAGAGTCTTGTCGATGGCGATTTGCTTCTGGATCTGGTAATACTCTGCATTTGCAAACTCGTTGTCCGGGTCGTTCGGGTCGGAATGCAACTTGAAGAGAATCTCCTTTGCTTCATCGATGCGGCCCTGCATGACCAACCAACGAGGCTAGATATTCCCGTGTTCTTAGCCTTGACCCTTTGCACAAATGGCCGGGACAACCTACCGATTCGGGAACCCAGTAGATACCACAAAGAAGGAGCAGCGGCCAAACGCATTGAAGAGCTATCGGAGGTCGCCACGTATTCTCGCCTCCATTCCAGAAATAGAAGCCGAATCCGACCCATCCTTGGATGGTGTAACCGAGAATAAGAAAGACGGCATGAACGTCGACCAGCGCTCCTCTCCAATCGACCGGCACGACTTCTGACATCCAAATCTGCCAAGGGTGAGCATGGGCTATCAAGAAAGGCGCAGTGGACATACCGGAACAGCTGCAAGGATCATGAAGGCTGAGGCGCCTGCAAAGAATCGAAAGAGCAAGAACTCGCCAACATTGGTGCTACCACACAGGAAAGCGCCCGAGATGATAGCAATGACGGCCGGCTGTACCAAAATGTCAGCTTGAACAAACGTCAACCCCAACGAGCACCAACTCGACTTACCAGGACGATTGCCCATTTACGACCCCATCGATCAGCGACATAGGGGAGCATCAAGGTCCCAATAGTGCCGCCAGTCTGGAACAGGCCATTCATGGAACTTAACAGGTCAGTTCCATTGCTTCTGGTGTCGAGCTCGAAGTATTTGATAAAGGATGGTTGACCTGTTTTGGATTGAGAGTGTCAGCCTCGGTGGTGAGGAGTCACATCAGCCGGGAGAGGGATACGAACCCAGGGTGGTCCCGATGATCGAGGCTGTGTAGCCGTAGGTCAGCGACCCAAGGCCGATAAAACACAGCAGCAACACATTGTATGTGTTGATCTTTTGCTTCTTGACGCCCTCGCGGTGTGGCATTTTGAGCAGCTTCTGGGACTGTGCTCTACCCGTTCACTGGAGTCCTGGACAAAAGTCGTTCGAGATTGAGAGAGAGTTTGCCCGAGGTCTAGAGCTGTATATGAACCCGGGCGGCTTCCCCAGGCGAAGGGCTTCCCGGTCTAGCGGTCCCACATGGTGCTTGCATGGCGCGTGCATGGTGCTTCCTTAGATGCATCCGCGGGTGCGGGCGCCTGTGGGGGAAAAGGTGCCTAAAGGTGTCTTACTCTCTTTTTGCGAGTCAGAATCATCCGCTACTTACAAGTGGCGCGTAGAGAATCGAGCGAGCTGCAGATTGTTATCAGTGTCAGGGCCCTCCTGACACCCCCGCTGCTTGACAGAGCCAACGCCCGACTCGCTGCCCAGAAGCTGGTGGCCATGCAGGGACTCATAAGCGGAGCGTGGAAGGCGAGAAGGATTGTGTAAAAAGTTGCGAGCCTGTGTGAGACTTTCGGCCCGGCCATATCGCGTTTCCCAGCCCAGTCTTGCCCAGTCATGCCTGTCGTCAAACTTCCATCGTGGAAAGATCTGCCACCCGTAGAGGGCATGCCACATGGCTGCGCCTGGGGCTTATTTGACGAGGATGGCGTGCGGGACGAGATAGGCACGTTGAACCTCCTTACGCCCGAGACTGTGGTCAAGGCGAGAGAAGAGATTCAGACTGGCAAGAGTGTCGTGCTGAAGTACGTACTGGGTACCTGTACCTAACTCTGTACTCTACCCTTGGCATAAGGCTGAAGCCTGACCATAACCCCGTTGACATGCATACAATAGCTGGCCCATTGACCACGTTCATGAACCCGGATTTGGCCGCATCAAGCCAACAATAAACATCACCGACTGGCGGGCCCAAGGCTCTCCTTGGTATTCGTACGACGATGAGATTAGCATCAACACTCAGTCTGGGAGTCAATGGGATGGTCTAAGTAATACACAACCGAGGAATCCAAATTGCTAGTCTTTTCAACTCATGTCTCTTCGCCAGGACACTGGGGTCACAGTGGTACTGGATTGTACTATAATCGCGTACACCATGACGAGCTTTTGAAAACAGACCATATCGGGATTGACCGTAAGTGATGCTCGAGGCCGGTTTTTTTTTTTTTTTTTAAAAAAAAAAAAACTCTTGCAGCATTGTGTTTGACGCCCTCTCCAGACTGGAGCAAGCGCGGAGGCATCGTTGGTAGAGGCGTCTTCCTTGATTATGTTGGCTACGCAGCTCGCCACAACATTAAATATGACGCCATGACCCGGCACCGCATTACTCTGGACGTGTTGAAGGACATTGCCAGGGAAGAAAACGTCGTCTTCCGTCCCGGCGACATCCTGCTCGTCCGCTCGGGCTGGATACAATGGTACAATGCACACAGCCCGGAAGAGCGAGTGGCCAAAGTCAAGAATGGATCGGAATACGTGGGCGTGGACGGGTCGCAGGAGGTCGTCGAGTGGATCTGGGATTCTCACTTTGCTGCCGTTGGTGGTGATGCCATCGGCTTCGAAGCATGGCCACCGCAACTGCCTTGGTGTAAGTCCAATTCCCCATGCTTAGTCTTGCGTTGACACTGTCCCGCCGACTCACCCGGTCCTCCTGCTTAGGTCTGCACGACTTTACCCTTGCGCTCTGGGGAATGCCGCTGGGGGAGCTGTGGGACTTGGAGGCGTTGGCGGCCGAGTGTGAGAAACATCAAAGATGGAGCTTCTTCATGACCAGCGCTCCCCTGAATACACCAGGGGGGATTGCCAGCCCTCCTAATGCGATAGCCGTATTTTAGTAGTGTGCTGGAGGGTGTCCTTGCTCAGATAGAGGACTCTTTACGAGGTTCTGAGGACTTCGTAGGTGCTCCGCAGACTTATCCTGACAATCTGGAGGCTTTGATACCGTTAGAACAAAGAACCTTGCCTGCTTAGGGCTGGTTGTGGAGCGGGCATCGTGACATGGGTGCCCAGATGCGAAATTTGCGAGACCCATCTGCCATCTGGGGTGCCCTCGTGTCCACCCCTATTCTGAACTCTGAATTTCTCTGGTCTCCCCTCGGGCCGCCGGGGACCAAGAAAACACGATTCCTCCGAAGTGGACTTGCTGGAAAGCCTGGAGACCGAAATCCGTGGTACCGAGTACCTCGTACATGACTCAGACCTGACCGTGTAATGTCGAACGAAGCTGAGGAGGCGCCAAGGTACCTCGCACCCGAGGGAGCGGTTATCCCAGCTCGCCACACTTGGGGTTCCATCGGTCGCTTGATGCTGTTGTTGGGGATGATTTGTCGCTCCTCCTGTTTACCGTAAGTCTTCCAGTTCTCGTGCCCACTATGTCGACAGTCACGGCGCCCAAAAGACGCCTGGAACAGCTCACTGGCCAAGTTGCGCAGCCTCCCATCATCGATGACGGGACATACAAGGGAATGCCTCGGGTTGCCCGAAGGGCTGGAGATTCAGTAGGGCAGTGAGTTTTTCCGAGTTGAAGACCCCCAATACCTCTCTGAGTTGTTGCTCCCCGTACATACAGCTGCTGGTGAAAAGACGAGTTGGGTCTGACAAGAAGGGGCATCACCATGCCAGACGCGCACAGGGCAAAGTGGTCATCATCACCGGCTGCAACTCACCACTTGGCATGGGCCGGGCAACGGCTCACCAGTACGCCAGGAATGGTGCCCGCGCAGTCTACATTTGTGACTATATGGACGACTACCTGAATCTCCACGTGGAGGAGCTGAATGAACTCTACCCCGAGGTGGCCGTGTACGCTCGGAAGTTCGATGCAGGGGACGAGGACGGGGTCAAGGCTGTTGTCGCCCATGCTTTGGAGACTTATGGACGGTTAGATGTGTTTTTTGCGAACGCGGCAAACTCGGGGACGTGGAAGGAAGTCTGGAATATGGAGGTCGCCGAGTTTGAGCGAACAATCAGGACGAACTTAACGAGGTAGGTTTTGTTTTGCACATATACCAACCTACTCCCATGGGGCGAAAAGCAACAACCGCTCCAGGTCTTCAAGCCCCATCAATCTGACATATGACGAAACCTGGACACAGTGTCTTCCTCGCCATAAAACATGCTGGCCCGGCAATGCAGGTGACCAGCAAAGACAAGCCATACTCCAGCGGCTCCATCATCGCGACCTCTTCAACGGCCGGTCTTCGCTCAAATGGAGGCAGCACCGACTACAGCGCCGCAAAGGCCGCGGTCGTTAGCCTCGTGCAGACCGCCTGTTATCAATATGCGGGCCGCAATATCCGGTGCAACGCCATCGCACCAGGAATGACACACTCTGGCATGACAGAGCCGGTCTTTTATGGTCCCGCGCGAGAAAGGGGCACGCTCCATAAAGTCGGACAGCTATGTCCACTCCGGCGCGGTGCGGTGGCGGATGAAATCGCGAGAGTCGCGCTGTTCCTGGGCTCCGATGAAGCCAGTTATGTCAATGGCCAGGTATGGGCCGTGGACGGTGGGTTGAGCTCTGGCTTGCCTTATAAACTGGGCAGTATGGCATAAATCATCACTGCATGACGCCGACGCTCGCGGCCAACATGATAAAATACCCTGAGCTAGCTAAGCATCTCGTGAAATATCCAGATCGGAAGAAAACATCACCACGCTCTATGTGCACTCGTGCTTGGGATGGGAGCTCTGGAATGGCTCATCAGAGCTTCGGTCTCGAACCGAACACCGTCGCCGCGTCCCTCTTCGCCCATTCCTTCATAACTCTCCTCTGGATCTTGCCGCTGGGCAGGCGAGGCACCTCGGGGATGAATGCGACACCTCCGACAAGACGCTTGTGTTTCGACACACGAGCGTTTAGCCACTCCTGGATCTCCTTCTCGGTGACTTTGCAGCGAGACTCTTCCTTCAGCGCCACGTACGCTCTAGGCCATTCGCTGTCGTCAAAGGTAATGCCGACGACACCAGCATCGGCGATGTCGGGATGCTCGATCAGGGCCGATTCGACCTCCGCGGGCGACACCTGGAGGGCCTGGACCTTGATCAATTCCTATCGCCGGTTGAGTTAGCTGATGGTGCACGAGATCAGGAAGAGGTTGTGGTACAGTACCTTCTTTCGATCCACGATCGCCATCCATCCGTCATGGCTCATCACCATCACATCACCGCTCTTTAACCATCCGGTCTCAGGGTCGAATGTGTCCCGCGTCGCTTGTGGATTTCTCCAATATCCCAGACAGACCTGTGGGCCACGGACGTAGAGTTCTCCAGCCTCGCCTATGTTTGCCTCCCTGCCATCTTCTGTCATGATCTTCACCTCAGTGTTGGGCATGACGACTCCCACGGAGCCAGTCCGGGACTTCTCGTAGTAGGGAATCCCAGACACAGCACACGTCGTCTCAGTCATGCCCCAGCCCTGTGTGATGCGGACGTTGAATTTCTTGGACACGTTCGCTTCAAGCTCCCTCGAAACGGGCGCGGCTCCGCACAGGATCTCCTTGACGCTGCTCAGGTCGTAGTTGGCTGTCTCTGGTCTCTTGTTCAACATGATCAGAATCGGGGGAACGGTTTGCAGTCGAGTGATCTTGTGGTCCTGGATAATGCGGAGGTATTCGACGAACTCGAATTTGCTGATAATGAGCATGGGAATATGGTTGATGGTGGCCATGAGGATGGCATAGCATTGTCCATAGGCGTGATAGAGAGGCAGGAATCCCGCCCATTTCTCCGAAGGTTCGAAGTCGTAGAGAGATTTGATCTGCTTGACGTTCGAGACAACATTGAAATGAGACACGCAAACGCCCTTTGGCAATCCAGTGGTGCTGAGCGATTGTCAGCTTCACGCACAAAACATGACCGGGTCAAGCGCACGTACCCGGACGAGAAGTTGATGGCGGCAATCGTGTTCACTGCCTCATCAGGACTGAGCTTCTTCCATTGCCACCGCTCACCCTGCTCGGGTGTCCCCAGAATGACTCGCCAATCTGGAAGACCTTCAAGTGTGCCTGTCTCACGGTCCGAGAAGACATACAGTTGCAGACCCGGCACAGCTGCTTTGGCGGCGGCAGCCTTTGCCGTCGAGATCAAGGTTGGATGCACAAGCAGGACCTTCGGCTGTAAAACCGTAATTTGATATTCCAATTCTGGACATCAACCATAAGTACAATGTTCAGTTCTTCAAGGACCATGCTTCGCCAAAGCTGTACCTACCTTTCGCTGTGAATGACGGGTTGGCTCCAGAAAAAGCAGCACCAATGCCGACAATTCCAAAATATGACACCGGAATCATGATATGGTTGGGCGTGAAGAGTAAGCATCGATCTCCTGCTTCAACGCCTAACTGTTGAAGACCATGGCCAAACCGCTTCGCCAAAGCCAAGGCACTCTTTGGAGAGTTCCAGACCGACGTGTCGGCGGCATTGATCCAGAGCGGCTTATCGGACACAGGTTGATCGGCTGGGAACAGGAAATCCAGGATGCTGCATTTCTGCAAGGGCAGGGACGGGATCTTTGAGAGGAAAGGCATCTTCAGCGCAAAGAAGGGAAGAAGAAGCAAGGATCAACGTCCACCACGTTTTCCAGCGCACGAACACATTTGGAAACGAGCATGAAGGCCTATATCAAGAGGTACATACCGGCGAGCTGGCTCGACCCGCATGGCGTGGGCTGTTGCCGTCTTGGATGAACCAGTAGCCGAGACAGCATGGCACAGCATGGCACAGCATGGCACAGCATGGCAGAGCATGGCAGAGCATGGCTGGGATCAAGTGGGATCACAACAGCTTGTCTGCAGGATGCGTGCAGAACACCACCTCAGAGCAAACGACGTCGATTGCATCGAAGTCGCGGACATTCTGCGGTGGCCCGTGCTGGGAGACCACCCACCACATCTCCGCAACTTGACGAGGTTGTTTACCTCGGCCTTCCCTTCTTGGGCACTCGCAGCAACCGGTGTCCAGCTATTTGTGGGCCTGGTGCGTTGGTTCAAAACGACGAACAACAGCCTCATTCCATGTGGATTCTCACCCTCACAACTACGAAAACTCGTACTCGGTACGGCAAGACGGCATCAACACCATGGCCACCATACCAGATCACCCATCTCTGGCCCGGATCCCTCCAGGATACAGGACAAAGCTGAGCCCCAAAGCAATCGATATCATTGCGAGAGTATACGACTGGGTCGAAAATGAATGCATTCCGGCAGATCACATTGTCAAGGCTCAACTGGAGAAGAACCGGTGGGCAATGCCGCCATACATCAAAGAGTTGAGAAAGAAGGCAAAAGCAGAAGGATTGTTCAATCTCTTCCTACCGAACCACTTCAAAGAAAGCCCCGGACTCACCATCCTGGAGTACTCATGCTGCTGTGAAATTCTTGGGCGAGTTTACTGGGCTCCGATGGTAGGTGAGAAAGCGCTGGAGTGGTGCAGATATGGACTGAAGGAGAATCTAGACCCTCAACTGCCATGCTCCAGATACCGGTAACATTGAACTTCTGGCCAAGTACTGCACCGAAGAGCAGAAGAAGAAATGGATGCAGCCTCTTCTGGACGGAGACTGGTTGTCAGCCTACTCAATGACCGAGCCTGATGTTGCGGCTTCCGATGCGACCAACATTTCGTGTCGCATTCGACGTGAAGGAAACGAGTACGTGATCAACGGCCGGAAGTTGTACGGCAATTGGATCGCGAACGAGGACATCAAGTTCTACATCCTGATGGGATGCTCTGATCCAGACAATCCGGATCCTTGGAAGCGGCACTCGACCGTGATTGTGCCCAGGGATACTCCAGGGTTGAAGGCGGTTCGATACATGACAATCATGGGCTACGACTGTGCTCCCGAGGGCCATGGTGAGTATGTGTACGAAAATGTGAGGATTCCTGTGGAAAACATTATTCTGGGAGAAGGCCGAGCATTTGAAATCGCCCAGGGTCGACTTGGTCCAGGGAGAATCCATCATTGGTGAGTTGGTCTTCAAGGGCACGCATCCTGCGAACTGACGGTATTGGAGCATGCGTCTGCTAGGACAGGCTGAGCGCGCATATGAGCATGCACTCATCCGAGCTACGGATGCGAGAAAGAAGCCCCGGGGCAAACTGATTGGTGAGTTCGACAGCAACATCGAACGGCTCGCCGACATGCGAATGGAGATCGACGCTCTTCGCCTGGTTGTTCTGAATGCTGCAGAGACCATGGACCTGATGGGCAATGTGGCCGGGAGATATGCCATTGCCCAAGCGAAGATCATGGTGCCCTTAGGCGTGACCAAGATCGTTGATGAGTGCATGCAAATGTTCGCTGGGCAAGGTCTGACACAACACACGTTCCTCCCAGAAGCTGTAAGGCCCCTGGAACCCCTTCCTATCGAGAATACGTGGTTCCCCCACTCCCAACCCCTCATGGTACCCTTTGCGAGGAGCGTCTCAACTCGAGCTAATGGGGATTCGCAGTGGACATATGCCAGATTCGCTCGGATCGCCGACGGGCCAGACGCTGCCCACAAGCATCAAGTCGGCCGAGATCAGCTGAAGACTGCGGCTGAGGTCAGGTCGAAACATCTCGGGTACAAGAGGAGATACCATGAATTGGCGAGAGCGTGGGGGGTGCCTGCAACAGAACGGTTTGAGTATGTCGAGCGGATTGAGAAATTGTAGGAGAACCAGAGGTGCCTGGAGGCACCCAGGAGCAACCAGGAGGCATCGAAGAGGAAGATCCTGGGCACGATTCCTAATCGTTGTGTCACGGATACACCACACTGACCACATTGACCACATTGACCACAGCATGGAGCTGCAACAAGCACAATTGATTATCTGAGGTAGAGATGTCCAGGTACGTTGTCACTGCGAGGGGGCGTTGAATAGACGAATAATGGACTGTCACTTGGGTTGACGAGGCCCGTCAGAAAGCCCCGTCAGTACCCTGATTTCCCCCCCCCCCCACCGAGTACCCTAGAGCCATGCCGATAAGGACACCTATAAGCCCGCCCATAAGCATGCCTAGACGCCTATTACCACCCTCCCTAAAAGCATCCCCAATGCCCCAACAACCCCCAACCGTTCCCTTGTAAGTAAGGCCCCCCAAGGAGTACCTTCCCCAAGTAGGTCGCTTCGAGTCGTACTCCTTCCCATAACAGCCTAATACCACCTGACCACCCTGATAGGAACTAGTCACCTCATTCCCAAAGTGTCGAGCGACATGTTTCGCCCCGTCAAAAATTTCGCTTGCTTCGCCAGGGTGTTTTGCAGGGGCGCTTTGGGAATGGTTGGCAGTTGAAGGAGGTTGAGGCACCCCGAGGGCACCCCAAGGCGCCTTGTGAGGGAAAGGCGAGAAGGGCGAGGGTGGTGGTGGTGGTGGTGGTGGCCCCGGTGGCCCCTAGGCCGTGACGGCATGTGCCGAGGGCAACAGTCAATTGCCAAGCCTTGACAGCCCCCGCGTCCTTTGTCCTTCTTCCGACTTCTCCAGGATTCCCCCCGTGTGCTAATTCCTAGCTTCATCTAGTATCCCGTCGTCCGTACCTTCACAGCATCATCGTCGACGAGAACTTTCTGAACACTCTGAATCAATGATGGAGACCATGGCCTCCGAGGTGCTCTTGCCCATCCAGTTGGCCACAGGGCCGCCGCCATCGAGCCGCAAGCCCAAGCAGATCAGCGACAAACGACGCGACAAGAAACGGGTGGCCGACCGGCATTGTCAACGTCAGGCTCGAGCCCGAACGAAGAACAAGATCGCCGAGTTGGAGTCTCTTGTAGCACATCTAACAAGCCAGTCAGGCAACGAAGTGTGCCGAGAGCTGAGGGAGCAGCTCGAGACCGCCCGCACCGAATGCCGCTCTCTCAGACGCAAGCTCGCGACGATATATTCCCTCGCCCAGATCAACCTGGACGAAGACTCGGAGGCAACACGCCACGACGACGCTACGGAGAAGGGTATGTTGCAATGGGTGACATTGTGGCATTGTTTGAGGCGGCTAACAAAGGCTTGCTAGAAGGCGCCGACTTCTCTCCGCCCTTTTCGCTGCCCGGCCATCCCAGGTCGCCCGTGGTGGTCGTGGACGATCCCCAGGTAGATGCCCGCAGCGAACCTGGCCATCAGCCGCGCGGGCCTGTGTGTAACGTCCACGGCGAGGCTGAATTCGGCTTCCCCCTCGATGACAGCCTCAATTTAAACTTTTCGGATGCCATGTTCGATGAGCAAACCTTCAATCCGATGGGGTTAGGGGGGGTACCGCTCGAGTTGGATGAAATGTCCGGCCCCCACAACCGTAACACTCTCAGCACCACAGCCACCACGCCTTCGCCCATTCCGCTCTCGTTTCCCGAAAGTGGGTCCTCGTGCACGTGCTCTCACCACACCACCAACACCCACCCTCACAAACAGATGTGGAATTTTGTGAGCGACACGTTGCAGAATTGGAAGACTCACAACTGTTCTCGACTCAGGGACGACGAAATCCACGACGACATTGCCGTCCGCGCTGTCATCGCGGGCTGGGATGAGCCCACCCTTAGCAACTTAGGTCCCTCGTGGCGCATCTTGCGTGATGTCGACCAGAAAGTATGGGCCAATTCCCGCGACGTCGATCGTCTGGCCGTTATTTGCATCATGGATTTACTACTCCAGGTATGCTGCCACTCGAATCAATGGCCATAGGTGTGTCTGACTTCAGATAAAGTGCCACCTCAACCCTTCGGAGGAGAATATGATGAGGCTGCCTTCTTGGTACAAGGCGAGGTACTACAGCCCTCTCTCATTGTCTGATGGTGGTAACAACAGCGCTGACCAGCACGTAGGCCGTCGCAATTGGCTCAAAAACATGCCTACGCTATTGATTTTTTTGTTTGGTATGTGGCTTCCCAGCAATACTCTTCGAGGGGACAAGATGGTCTGACCTCTTCTTTGCTAGGCCGGGCATCCGCGAGCGATTCATCTATCACTATCACAAATACTGTTCCAACAAGTTCTGGGCGCTACTGGCGCAACATTTCCGCTTCGTGTGGCCATATGATCTCCGTGATTGTTATGTACATAACCGAGAGACTGGTAGATATCAACTATCAGACTTGTTCCGCCGTCACCTCAACGACCTGACATCCTTCACCTTTGCCAGAGACATGTTTGGCAACTACCCAGAATTCGGCAGCGACATCCCAAAGTACATGAAAATTCCGCAAAGCCTGGCTCTCAAGCAGCTGGACAATCAATCACAGAAACGGAACTACCAGCAGATTCCTGGAAACCAGAAGTTGATCGGATTCAGTCCTGTGCCTTCGGCGGGCGCGCAAGGACAGTGGTACCACCCGCCAGACGACCTGAGCAAAAGCATCGGCCCTGTCTTGTGGGCTCCACCGCTCCAATCCAATCAATTTTTCTAGAGCCACAGCGTACGGGACGTGGGTATATCGAACATGGATATGTGCAGGAAGCCTTTTCCGGGAAATTTGACTTCAAGCGGATGGATGGAAGGGCGTTTGCAGGGTGACATTTGAAATGATGATAATGTACGTCCCAAAAAGTCCTTCGACGTCGTTGTCGAAGAAGAACCTTCATTGTATTAAGTGCAAAATTTAACCCTTTCATCTAGGAGGACAAGGTTTACGATCTGAGGAGATGCACGTTGTGGGAGCTGCCAACCCAGTAGAAGCTTTTGGATCGAAGACTGGGAGTGATTAAAGAGGGTGTAAGGGCGTAACATGGGCGCATTTTCGGAAACAGAGGACAACGTTGAGATGTCAGACAGGGATCACACCATGTTCTCTTGTCAGAATGTTCAGGTGCTCGCTGACTTTGAACCACATCATGTTGATTGTTTTATGCCGACCTTCCTCTTTATATGAGGTGAAATGGCCCACCCAGTTGAGTTGGAAACCGACTTACGTCGCCATCACCTACCTGCATATATTTATCCCTTTCACTTCAGTTTACTTTTACTTCACATTATTCTATTTCTCTGTCGCCAAAAGATGTGCCTGCCTCTCATTTCGGCACCATGGCTTCAACAGTCAGGTTCAGCACAACTCAACACCCAACACGCCGGTCGATTTCGAGCCCGCGAAGAGCAAGTTGTTGCACAGCACATTGCGGGAGAAACCAAGGCTTATCAATGCCCACGGGTCTTTGAAGGATCGAAGATGTCGGCTGCTAGCGAAGAGGATGAGATACAGGAAGAAGACTCCGAAGTCGACAGGTGAGCCCTTGCTTTGATCACTCTTGCAAAGCTACTGACCTTTCAGTGCATATGCAAGTCCGGTCGTCAAGGTGATTGTCGGATCACCAGCACAAGTCTTTCTCATTCACAAGAATCGCTTGACAGAGGCGAGCGAGTTCTTCAGGGCTTGCCTTTCGACAGATCGAACAACGAAAGAACCAAATCATTCTTCCAGAGGACCCGTGTCGAGCCTTTAAATTTGTAGTAGAATAAACCTACAAACACGAGATCCTCGAACTTAACCATAATGACGATGCAATGTCTGCCTTACAAGCCTGGATACTTGCCGACAAGCACTGCATCCCAAATCTCCAACATGCTCTTCTGGACAACCTCAGAACCCTCTGCGGCTATCAATATATACATCCTCGATTCTTGCCAGTGGTGGCTGAGAACACGCAAGACACCATTCCTCTTCAGCAATATATTTGGATCAATTATCTCACGATTTGGTGAATTGTCGTTCTCGTCAGTACAGATCGGAGCATGACATGGACTGCCGTGGAGAAAGCGCTCAAGGACTTGCTAACCTACACAGAGATTTCTGCAAGGTTGTTCTAGGCCACGAACAATCTTCAAAGAGATAGCACTCCGCCATCAGACCTGGAAGGATGTCATTATCACGTTCACAAAGAAGGTGATATCTGTCAGAAAAAAGAAGAAGACTGACGATCGTAAAAGACGTCGAACCTCCAGCATTACCTCAAAAAGGGCGCGGCAAAAGACACAAGGCATGAGGCAAATGGACTAAATCAACATATCGGATGCCCTGATAGACAAACAGCCTCCTGCCTTGACAAAAAAGGCTATATGACAGGAAGACAGGATATGCAAGGGTCTGGCCCATCTGGCTGATCTTGAATTGTGAAGATTCAGGAGCTGCGCTACAACCACAATCGTGACCGTCTACTCTGTCCCTGCAGTCATTGCCCATGCTGGAAAGCCCTACCCAGTTCTATTCGGGGTCAACAATCTTGGCTGCACTTTTCAACTGCAATTTGGACGACCTTGAGAGCAAACAATGAGTGCGATAATCGGGGTTCTTGTTTCACGCGCGTCCATCACTGCCAATAAGATCTCGAACAAGGTGAAAGTGGTATCAAGAGACATCGAAATATCTGCCTGGTGCTGTTCAGCAACAATATGATCGCACCGGCTGTTCTGATCCCTTCGGCGGCGCCGTGGCACAACGCTGTAATTGACGAGGCTGGGCTTGGGCAACTTTGAAAAAGGGGGCCAGCCAAAGAGCAGCAAAAACAGCAGAACATCTCAAGCTTGTTTTTGTTTACTTTCCATGAATTACATGCTCTGTTTCGAAAGGTAGCATCGACTTGATGGAAACCCCGGTGCTCGTCCGGTGCCACCTGACGAATCAGCCCATTCTTCGTGCATTTGGCCTGCTGTCTCTTCTCTCCTCGTACCGACGAGTTTGCCAGAGCGTTCACGTCAGAACGGCGCCAGAGCAGGTAGGTGGCTTGGTTGGAGGCTGGGAGCACTGGTCACTTACTCAGCGTCTTCCCCGGCACGATTCCACAAGCGAACGAGGTACCTGAGTTCATTCTATTTGTTATTTGCTTTTCTCATTCATCTGGATCTCTGTACATGTTTGTCCCCCTATTTCGTGCGTCAATCACCCTTGTGGAAATAAGTTTTGCAGCAACTCGAATTCGCTCCTGCACATGCGTGACTGCTTTGTCTTTACCTCGAACAACATCCTCCAGGCTATGAGGACCTGAAACCGGTAGGCCGGGAAAATTATCGAATTCAAGAAGACTCCGCCTCTGACATGGATCACCAGGCTGAAAGGTAGAACACCCCTTTGCAACATCGAGTGGATGGTTCTAACTCTGATCCTCACGCACAGTTTTTGTCTATCTCCTGTTGTGGAAATCATTGTCGGCGAGTAAGAAACAAGCTACCGAGTCAATCGAGATCTCCTGCCTCGAGAGTCCCCATTCTTTGCCGTCTGCCCCAACAACGGTACGATCGAAGCGCAGCAGAAGGTGGTTGACCTCCCAGAATACCCCTGTCAGGGATTTGACTTGGCTGCCGATTGGAGGTACTTCAAGTAGATGAGGAAGATCAAATATTCCCACGTCTGAAGGCCTATATCTCGGCCGAGAAATACTGCATGGAAAAGTTGCAGAACGCCATTTGTCGATGAGTCGACGGACTATTGGAGGTCCCACATCCTGTACCCTTGGTCCATAGCCTGGGTGATTGGACATCTGCACGACAAGAACATGCTTCACAAAGTCATGACGGACTCATTCGTGCTCAACCCTCTGCAAAGGCTGGATCCCCTGAGAAGCTACGACAACGAACATCGGTAGCAACAAACGAGCCCGACTTGCCAGATCATTCATTCCCTACGGTCGACGTCTCTTCAACGCCGCGGTCTCTTTGCCCTGATCAAAATTCGTCAACAATCGCCCATCCCAGCATCCTCCCCCCAGCAACAAGATCAGATATTCACCCCGCAGTATGTTCCACCACCAGTCACTCGCCAATTTTCTCAGCCATCATGGCCACCGATCCAAACATCAACATCAACTCCTGCGTCTCTACCTGGAAGTCCACCAGATCGCATCATCAGACCACGCCCTGGGAAGGACTCGCTGCAGTCGATTGTCGGCTCTGATGTCCACAGCGGACAGTTGATGTCGCTGCTCTTTGCTCGAGTCATTTCATTCCATTCGCTCTTCGCCTCTTCCTTCTGGCAGATGACAGATATATCACGTCCAAGACACTGCAGACACGCCGCTCTCTAACAATACTAGGAGATTGGCGACACCCAATGGGTTTGAACTGTGTGACTGAGCCAACAAGAGTCTGCCTGGGTAGTGAATCCCCACGTGATCTTCCCGATGCAAGAACGACAGTGTGAGTGAAGAATGGAACTGGCGTGCGACAAATTCTCATGAGCTGTTGGGAGTGTTGTTTGTTTTTCTCAACTTCTCTGCTTCCACGTGAAATACTCCATGCTTCCTCACTTTTGAACCCATTACCGAATGCCTCGGCGCAACCCTCAACCCTGGTGGTCTCCCTCTATCCACATCATGGACCCGAACGAGTCAGACACAGACTCTGGCTCGAAGAAGAAGACTTCAAGCAGCACATTGGTCACCGATCGGGTAGAAGCTAAGTTGCCACAGTCAGTGCACAATCCCGTGGCTTCCCTTCAAGACCCTAACTCATTCTTAGCTTTGCCGCCTCCCCCATCATCACAATTTCAGTCGGTCAAGAGAAGGCAACTTACCGGATCCACAAGGACGTATTGGTCGTAAATTCGACGTTCTTTGCCAAGATGTTTGTGTCTGGCATGATCGAGGCGCAGACGAACGAAGTGTACTTTCCAGAAGACTGCCCCGAAGTCTTTGAACAATTTGCCTCTTGGATTTACCGACCACTTGAAGAGACGCGACCCTATGAATACGACGATTCTATAAGGACATTGAAATGCTGGGCCTTCGCAGACAAATTCGGCATCCCATTATGGCAAGATCAACTTATGAAGAATATCATGGAATACTGGTCGAATTATCGTCTCTCATTCCACGATATCTCTTGGGTGTTGAACAACGTCAGCAACATGACTGCACTTTACAAATTAGCCGTCGACCAGTTTGCATGGGAACTGGAAATAGCGCCGGGCCGGCTCGAAGAGGCTGAACCGTTGCTCTTAATGCATGACTTTCCCATCTTGAGGTTTATCTGCCAGCTTCTCTCGATTTGCAACAGGGAAGATCGCATGGTGCCGAGCCCGGCGAGCCGGCTGGGATGCAAGTACCATGTCCATAGCGAAGGGACTCCCTGTCCTGTTAGATAGCGAGAGAATACCCTCGAACAACTCCGCCATCCCAAAATCTCTCTCCATGGGCAGAGACCGGCAGGTGTGAACTGGCATGTGTGGGACACGGAGGGACGATGCCATAGACAGCACTGCACGCATATTCCGAGGCGAGACACCAGCGAGACACAAGAAATCAGATGGTCAAAGCCAAAGGGGGGGAAAACAAGAGACACAGTAGAACAGAGCTTTGCTGGGTTGAGATCTTGTGATTGAGAGCACAACTTTCCGTGGATGATGGATTCTGGGGACTGCCTAGCCTGCTGAGAATGTATTACCACGAAGAGACGAGCTCACTCTTGGATGCCGGACAGATTGTTCTGCGTAGGGACAATGGCGACTCCCTTGACATTGGTTTGACAAACAGATTCAACAAACAGCAGACAGACCTACCCAGCACAGAGAGTAATAGAATTATCCTCCTCGTCTCTACATGCGTTGCAGATATGCCTCTTTTCCTCAAGGCGAGTTTGAAACGCAAGAGGCAGCGCCGCATTGATCTACCGTATGGATGTCTGGCTGAAAGATGTCGAGGCAAAGAATCGGACGACAAGTGCATGTGCCTGTGTCTGTGCCTGTGCAAACAGCACCTGGCCGACTGACCAACGGACTAATGAAGCGAGACCCCTTACGTTCTGTTGCTTGCCAGGCTGCAAGAATGCAACGCAAAGTTGCGTTATATTACCAGACAGCCTGGTGGGCAGGAGAGGCAGGAGAAGCAGTGAGTGAGTGAGTGTGACCCGATGGCTTTGGGTCTTCATCATAGGAAAAGACGCGCATGAGCTGGCTTCTTCTTTGACTGCAAGCGAGATTCTTTCGGGATTCTGCCATCTCCATCACACCGTGGTCTAAGGTCGGCCGTCTTCCGTCTCCGAGGGGTGAAGTGGATCAGAGCGTGGCTAGTTGAAGTTGAGATGCATACAAGTCAAAGGTCAAAAGGGGCGTCACTCTCGTCCCATCCCATCTCACCTCACTTCACCTCACACGTTTTCTTTGCTTTGCCCCTTTCTCTTCCCATCGACTCCTGCCTTCCAGGTCCGCTTTTATCTCATTTTCCTTACTTAGTCCTTGCTCTGCGATCCAATCCTGCCTGTTTCGTTTTGCTATCATTGTGGTCCGCGGACATGGAAAATGCTCCTGACAGTCCTCCCGGTCCGGGAAGTGATCAGAACATCCCTCTATCAAGGTCTATACCATAGTAATGAGTGTCGCCGACGCTTGAGTTCATTTGTCGGTTAACGGCGACCTGTGCCAGCTTCACAGCATCTCCTATTGTGACGATTTCAGCGGGCGAGCACACGTATCTCGTTCACGAGGAACTCCTCGTTACCAGATGTCCTTTCTGTGCCAAACGTCTCGGGTCCGGAACGGAAGAGTCACTCACAAATGAGGTGAAACTCTCCGATGACAGCGACCCCGGTATGATCCATCATCTGATCACCTACATCTATACCGATCAGGTCGACTTCTCGGACGAAGATGACAAGGCCATTTCCATTATGAAGGCATGGGTCTTGGCGGAGAAGTTCTGCATGCCGGACTGGCAAAACCGACCTATCGATCATCTGATGGAGCACTGGCAAGACGACCAGGTGAGGCCGGCCAAGGTTGCTTGGGTCCTAGACAACGTCAGTAAATCTAGCCCGCTCTATAAGTTGGTGATCGATCAATTCACCCACGATCTCGCCTATGAATATGATTACTTTTTGGGTCAGGAGAATCGGGAGGGAGCAGAGGAATACGACAAAGAGTTCGGTGCGCTGTGTTCTAAAACCGGGTTCTCGGTTAATACGTCTGGTCTGGGACGCCCTTTGTCTTCTTGATGGTGATAACGATGATAAGCGCCCGCAGCCCCTTGCTCCGGTCAATCAGGGGTGCAAGTATCATGTGCATGCTGAAGGCGGATACAGCGGGAAAGGTGAGAAAATTCGCCCAGCAAGATAAAACAACTTCGACGTCAACCACGCAGATATGACCACAGAGATTCTGGCCTCGTGGTACGCAAGGAAGCGGTGAAGCATTGGATCCTAGGAACAAAGAAAGGAAGAAAGGGGGTGGGAGAGAATTTGAATATTGAGAATCCCGTCGGATTGATTGACGGCTCTCTTCATCGCAAGGAACCAAACCATGTTGGAAGAAAGGATAGCTTTTCACAACCTGAATGGAGCCACTCGACGGTCAACTATTCTGAGACAGGCCCGGTCTTGAGAAAAGATATGTCGTTATCCAAGATGGTCATTACCAGATTGGGTGCTCTTTGCTAGAATTGCCATTGGAACAAGGTTTTGGTGTCTCGTAGAAGACCAGTGCAGAGGAGCGTAATGCCATCAGGAGAAGAGAACGCAATTTACAGGGATAAAATTTGTCCTCGCGGTGGCTCGCGCTGACTGTGAGAAACATCAGGAAGTAGAGTGGTCTGGGAAAATGAGTCGGCCTCATGGACATTTCATGTTACACAGCGTAGTTGGCGTAGATACTCAACCGCTGGCCGCCTGGGAATTTGGTTCTTCATGGCAGACCCCATCTATCTCTAACTAGGATCCGCGATGCTTTGTCGCTCGAGACCGCTTTTCCCGGCTAGTTGGAAATTCGGCGCTTAGATGGTCCAAGATTTCGAGAAGGGCGAAATCATTCTTTAGGGGCAATGAATTCACAGAATGAATTGGGTTGCTTCGAAAAGCGATTTGGCTGAGATCATTAAACACGGCGGTCGGACTGACCGGTAGGTTTGAGCAAAACAGATATCCGATTTCGTGTCTTGGTATTGTACATGTTGTTCTCGAGTGACTTAGGTCTATCCTTTGGACTGATCCAAGTTCTGCGCGGTATCGAAAGTGACCTTTCCATCACGGCTGACGCTTGCCATTGATAATCTCGGCTGCGAGGCAGCTGGCGAGACAGGCACGGCAAAACCGGGCTTGGACAGTTCGGGGCCCGTGGAGCGGACGTTGGAAATAGCCTCCTGAACAGTCCCTGCCGGGGTATCTGCAATCTCGTTCACCTCTTGGGCGGTTAAGACATCGTTTACCCTCGCAGCTCTGCTCTGAATCAAGAGCGTTGTCGGGCCGCTAAACTGTAAGAACAACCGGTCCCCCCAAATAGTCCTTCGGCTCCAGGTTCGAATTCTGTAAAGCATATTGGCCATGAACTTATAAGTGTTGCTAGTTTTTAACGTCTCGACGAATTTCGACGAAGGGAAGAAGTTTCCGAGCTGGAGAGGTATTTGGAATCGAACGCTTGATGACTTGAATCGAAAGGGCAGAGGTGCCGGAGAAGGTGATGATGAGCTGTAAGCGAGTATGTTGGAAGGATGGACTATGTACGTCTCCCCTTCTGCAAGTTCAACAGAGTAAACCTGGCCTTGACCTGCGAGCGCCAGGAGTCCTCTTCCGGTGACGTTAGAACTCCCCCAGTATGCGAGCGAAAATCTCGTGCTTATACTCGGCTTCACGGAGAGCGTGCTGCCAGTCCATGCCAACAGGGCTTTTCTTTGCGCCAGCTTCCAGTCCATCGTGCCATCCAGCTGCAAAACAGCGAATGTGGTCATTGGCGACCTCGTGGCTATAAGAGCATTGGCGGGGGACGTCGACGTGATCTTCTGGTACAGGAAAGGAATACCGATCAGGGCGCGGCGAACGGGATTGAGGATTCGCAAGGTCGAGACAGTCCCGTTGGGATCTCCAGAAAACGCCACCAGTGTTCCGCGACGAGTATACAGCTCCTGGGAGGGAGAGAGGGTGACCGAAAGCAGCGAGTATGGGCTTCCAATGACTTCGAATGAAGCGTCTAAATGAGTTAGTAGGTGCACCCTCTGAGCAGGAGATTTATCTAACCGGGTGAAGCAGCGGTCAATGATCTACCCGCCAGGTTGATTCTGCTGGTGTCTGTTGCTGGCGTCGCTTGCACCGAAATGTACTTGTATCCGCCAACCCTCCGTCCAGCGACCAAATGCGCCGGATACGCCCATTTCCGAGGGAACTTGGACAGACGTCGCAGACTCTGAGCCGGAATCGGGGGCATTGTGGCGCCAGGTAGCGGTGGATTTTTGGACCGAGGAATCCGACCCTGAAATAGGGCTGTTGGAGCCTATGTCGTTCAGAAGATCGTTTTCAAGTTTTCGAAGATGCACATAGAAGCTGCAAGCTTGGGTTCCAAATTGGACAAATATGCCAAGATGAATATTCGAGGCTACTCCAGATTGGGGCATAGGTGATGCCGCCCTGTGCTCACCCGCGGCAACCGCGGCTCCCGCGTCTCACCAGTCGCGGGCTAAATTTAACCCACCTTGATGAACATGGGTGTCCATGAGCATTGAACGCCCAGATTGATATTAACCCACTTGGCTCTACCTCGTACTTGAACTGATGATATTAGACCGTCCATCCCTTGACCATCGATTGATGGTAGGCATAAAACCCCTTTAGGAAAGGAGTCTCTGAGACCTCCTCACCTCCTACTGGGTATGTGCATCGAACAGCCAACTACCTCGTACCTAGCTAGTAATCTCGATTGGACTGCCAAGAAATGCAAGCCACCGCAAGCCACCGTTGCAGTGCCAGGTACTGTAGGTACATTAAGGGTCGGCGCAAGGACGCGAACAAGTATCGAGAGAAAGCCCGCTTAATAGACCCCTGCATGGCTCTAGTTTGTGTCTCAAAATTGGGAGCTTTTAGGCCTGCGTTGATCGATTTACAAGGCTAAGCCCCCCTCTGACATTTGCAAACTTTCCGCTGCTGAGCCTCTGCTTGGAGCGATGCGATTCTTACGACAGACACATGTTCAGTTATACGTAGCGGCACTGTCGCTACTACCCTTCGCCACAACCGAAATCGCGTTTACTTCGTTCCCTCCTGAAGCAGAGGTTGGCAAAAGCTACAAGATAGCATGGACGGGCGCCAATGGACCTGTGAGACAGTTAACCCACGACATTGTGTGAAAGCTAAATTGCTTCTAGATAGATTTGTATTTGGAACATGTAGGCAACGGGGTTGCCTGGAGGGATCTTGTCGATGACGGTATGCAGTCTCTCGTCTGGCGAACTCTACTAATCGTTGGGCGTAGGAAGCGGAGAGGAGACCTTCTGGACACCGCCCACGGAGCTCGATGCCCACATTATGTATTGTTTCGTCATTTATGAACCTGTATCTGGCGAACAATACAGCACTTCGTAGTTCCAAATCATAGCTAGTACTTCGACAAACAGTACCACCTCCAGCATACCAACTTCATTTACGTCGACAAGCCCAAACACATCGACACGAACCACGGAGCAAATGACCACGACCGTGACATTACCGAGTTCCGCTTCAGTCTCGGCTGAAAATTCTGCGGCCACCAACTATGTGAGCAAACCACGTGGACTAAGCGCAGGAGGTATAGCAGGTATCGTTCTTGGGACAGTTGGCCTATTATTACTCTCAGTCATCTCCGCCCTACTGTACTGGAAGGAAAGGTTGCGCAAAAGCCTTGCACAAGAGACAGATCGGCAACAAGCAGTGGAAAATAAGGAGTCGAGCAATTAGTATCGGGTTAAAAATGAGAAGAGGGGACCTGAACGACAACTGCAAATATAGAAAACAATCCTATATCTCAAACTCATTGCCTACTTGCCATGCGCGCACAACAAGATCCTCCCATACAGCACTTAAACCTCGACGAATCTCTCCCCAATCGGGAATTGTAGCATAGCTCTAGCCGCGAGCTGTTCCAGGAGAGCCTCGGTCTGTTGTGGCTGTCATGGCCCCAGTACTCGGTACTAGTACATATATACAAAGAAGCGGGTTGATTGGGGCAGATTCCCCGGTACGGATTATCTGATGACAAACCTTAGCGCCTTGGCACTGCCTTTCCCGTTCCTGTACTCGGTAGCTCGTAATACTTCTGCCTCGTTTGTCCCAACGTACCTAGGTAAACACAAGTAAACATTACAACACCAGTACCTGTATGATCTCGCTCCTTGCCCTGTCCAAATCATCAACTGAGACCCTCAGCCAGCCATGGTTTGATTGGCGTAAGAACCACGCAATACGGGGTCCGATTTCAGAGCCACTGCAGCAGCTCACCCGTTTGGAACCGAGGTGGTTCTACCCTGTGCTCACCAGCTAGCCCCTTGATGGGCTTAGCCGCAAAGGTGTAGGAAACAACCAAAAGTAAATCAAAATCTCGAGTCATTCAGACACTATCAATTGCATGATATGGTTTTGCAAGAAATGCTTCGGAGTTGATATCTATTCAGTATTGACACGCCTCAATTACCACTCGAGATGTCAGGGGGTGCTCCTATCAGTCGGTGCTCCTCCAACATGGCTCCTCTCACCGCTCTGATAGCTCGATATCCCGTTCTCCAAAACCTCTCATCTTTCCTGTCGACGATAGACCTCTTCAACCTAGCACGTACCAACCGAACCCATTACTCATACATTTTACTCTCGCGGACTACTTTTGATGCTCTGTGCCGCGACTGTCTCTGCGACGGCAGCGGCCTCGCTAAGCGTCAAGATTTCTTCGGATTATATAGCCTTGAACATCGGAACTATTGCTGGGGCAACAAACGCAGGATATGGCAAGACGAGCCTATTGAAATTCAGCTATATGGTACCAAGTGTGATAGTGCACGCGCTTTGCCATGCCGAAAATGTAGCATCAATGTCTGCGAGGTGAGTTTGAAGAGCGTCGATTCACTTATCAAGCCTCAACACCCTGAAAGTGGCTTCATACTCAAACCGGTTGTATCAGGAATGCCGGTACTATCCGCGCGAGCCTCCACTAGCAGGCTATCCTAGACGCCGTCCACATCTCAACAGCCCTTGTCAGAATGAAAACATAATATGTCTCTGTCCCGACTGTGACACCAAAACGGAATCTGAGGAAATCCAGGGCGAATTCCTAAACGAGCTTTGTGACTGTGATATCTACACACGCTGGATATGCCACAAATGCGCCTGGGAAGAAGAGTACTTCACTCGGGACCATTATGCCCATAATACGGCCCACGAATGGGATGAACAGCGATGGAAGGATGGCGAGGACAAAACGAAAATGATGGTTGACCACCAGCATCCCATAATGGTATGCCTTTACACCGAGATCGGCGAGTTTTCGACCGATTAAGTTGCCTTGGACTAACGTCTAATCCGCCAGTTCTTCTGTCCGTGTGGTGCTTACGTTCCCACGGACACTCGACCACGATGCACGTGGTGTAAACGGAGACATCTGCCAGAGGATGAGTGGAATCAAGAATTTGTGGAAGTGGGTTCTAAGATGCCGATCTTCGACAGTGTGTGTGAACACTCTGGTGGTATCTTTCCTGCTATCATCTTAAGTACTGACTGTGTAAGTAGGACCCGTGCTATCCACCGTATGTCGGAGACAATACCGCGGCAGATATCTGGAACGACCTCGGGCGACCCTATCCGCCGCTCCAGTACGATGGCCCAATATGGGAGGCGCCTTAGCAGTATGGATGAGCGCCCGCCTGAGCTTCGAGTAGCTTCGACACTGCTTGAAAAGCCAAGATGAGCAAAGACTACGGGAGTTACTTGCAGCTCATCCGATTGGAACGGAGGAGATGCTTGCCTTTACACGGTACAGAGTCCTCACCCATAAGCCCCGGCTCGCCCGAGGGGGTTCAATCATCACGCGTGTCTCACGAGTCGTAGGGGGCTTCCGAGATGGTCTTCTATGTATGTTAAAGTGCCGAAACTCACCGGTTTCTGCAGCTCCTCGAGAACAGAGTCAGTGGGCTCCAGCAGGTGCCACCGGGTGGATATATGAAAAGGACTTGCTGGGTCTGTGTACTTTCAAGAGAGTGTCAGTCTCTGAAGACGTGGCAAGTGTTGGATGTCAGTTTCTTCTCTGGACCAGATTCGGAACTTTTTGACAGGTTAGGTAGGCTGGAGCTCTAACAATAGAATGCCACGACTCTAACTTTTCTGCCTGCTAGACCTGGGTTTCGGATGGTGGAATATGTTTCCACTAAAATGAGTAGAACACTACCCAATACTCATGAATAAAAGACACGAGAGTCTGGCTCCCCTGAGCGCCTTTGCGCTCCTTGGGTATCTCCTTGTTGCATTGCCCCATGGCCCCAGTTACAGCCTTGCTGCAGTGGATATATCAGGCCTTAGGAATCCCCTCCGAGACTGAACTTCAACACCGTTGTTTCTGAACCTCATGCTTAGCAAAGGCACAATTGTTGCCCGCCTCGAAGCTCCAGCCACCGGGCCCATAAGGAGTCCACAATCCGAATCGCTGTCGTCACCATTTTCAGAACTGAGGCCGCTGTCGAAGGAGAGCCCCTCCGAGATCAAGTCAGCTTGAATTTTCAATTTGCTGAACTTGGTCGTTGAAACGGCCATGCTCGATCTCACAAGGAGTTGGTGGTTGAGAGTTTGCAAAGGAATATCGTTTCCGCCCTTCAGGAAGTGTGCTGGTGGCAGATCTCACGAAGCTGCTAAAGTTGGCTGTTGGGTCGGTCGATGATTCTCTTTGCTGCACGACGGTCGAAGTCTCCAACTGAGCCCTAAGAAGCCCATCTGCGCGTTGCAGGAGCGAAATTTGTGATTGAACCCCTCCCAAAATTGCGGCCGAGGTGGACTTCCATTTCCAGATGGGCTTCCTATGAACTGATGGTAAAGAGCTTAAGGCGTCTGGAGATCCCCTGTTGCTGACCTCTCCAGGGCCCCGAGATTCCGACTGCCATGGGCCGTAAAGCCATGTGAGGTCGCGCTCTTTCCACCAGTTCAAAGTTGCAGGGTTCAAGGTATTCAAGGCATGTCGTTTCTGTGCATTCTCGAATCTCATTGAGTTTTGCATCGTTTGCCGGTTCCTGTATCTGTAGAAAGATGATCATCGTCTACCTCCTTGTTTCGTGGTAACAAAGGTCTAAGAGGAGAAACTTGGGGAACAATGCGAATAGTCATGTTTTTGAACAGCTTCAACTCCAGCTCGAGCCCTGACTCGATCCTCCATTTCGCTGCAGGGTTCGATCCATGTGCTGTATCAGTTGCGTTTTCCTTCGCTCTTACTATGGGGATTGTTGGTGGCAATGGCCTCCTGAATCGGTGCCTCAATTGCCTGACCCGTGTCGCTCTGCGATGTCATGTCACTTGCTTGCTCCAGGAGAGCAGCAGCGATCTCTATTTCGTGAGATTGGGTGGAATGTCGGAGAGGTAGATCTAGCTGCTCTGTTCGACCGATCTCATCGTCGATTGTTTCCATTGAGCGAGGCCTCGGATGGTGGGCGGTCAAATCTTCGACACTATACTCTTGACTGCAAGCAAAATCAAGCGTGGTGAGTCAAAGGACCCACGACTAACAATTTAACCACTTACCAGAAGCGGACCTGGCCTTTGCTGCATGGCTCGAGCGCTCCACGGGATTTCGCGCATTGACTCAGAGAGGAGACCAACAACATAGCCATAGTTACGCGCGCTTTTGGTTTGAACATCTTGGAAGATGTCGAGCGTTCAATTACCTGGCCGCGAGCATTGCCTAAAAGCAGTCAATATCGCTTGCGCATGACTCGCCAGAGACCAGGTCTCTGTCGAAAGTAATACTCGAGGAAGCCGTGAAAGAGCTCAAACTGCTCGCACTGTAGACACGGTACCCGGATTTCGATGTCGAGAACATCCTCAAATGCAATACTGTGGTCAGGTTACAGTGAGATGTGCTTTGGAATATGAAGCAGGCATCGCCGAACTAATTCAACACACATCGGACAAAGTAATGCAAGGACTGGGTCAGCTTGGACTTGCATCCACCACCGACTAGCTAGCTTTCGTGATTGGGGATTAGCATAGAGCAATGTAAATAGTAAAGCCCAGAATGCACGGCTAGCATCTACCATACAGCAAGAGACATCGATTCTGGGATGGGACATGGAGGTGTTTGCAGTTGATGTGCAACAAACTTCGGAAGACAGATCATCTGGAGCAAAAGACCCGGTATCGAAAAATGAGAAGAGGCAGACAGTTTCTGTTTGGTTTGCGACTTGTCCTTGCAGAATCGCTTTCCGCGCTCACGATATCGAAGCTGCTTTTTCGGTTCTGCCGGGGAGGTTGCTGAATATGCAATCGTATCCTGCAGCGCTTTCGCGATGGTCTGCTTCTGGTTTTGAATCATCGAGCATTGGACGGCCATCATTCCTTGTATCTGTTGCTTATTTTCTGCCAGCATCTCATCGGTCAGATTGCTAGCAGGATCGGCTAGACTTTCGATTTTTTTTGTTGCATTCCGTTGACAGTGGTCTCCATGGTGGCTGACACATGATCTTTGATTGCAGCATGATCTCTCTCTCCTATGTCGTTGTGCACCCTACAGAACAAGTCAGACGACTTCACTAAGCTGTTTCCAACTCACCGAAGAGTCTGTAGAATTGCAGCACCCACGGCAAGTCTGCTCCTGGCATCCGAGTCTTGTAGCTCCTTCTCTTCCTGAAAAGCCCACTTTAATTTTTCAGTGCGCAGATGGCCCTGTTTGCAACTCGCACACCTCCTAAGCTGAGAAGGAGCCAAGAGCCGACGCTCTACTCGTGAGTGCCGGTAATGGCATGTGATAAATCTGCCTCAGTGTTGAGATGGCGCAATATTATCGACGGAGAGCGTACACGAGGAAAATACACCGAGTTCACCGGGAGGTATCGTAAGGACAGAATTCTAGCACGAGCCTCGACGGCCACTGGCGAGAAAGGAGCTCAAGCCTGCAACACAGCAGCGATACGCATAAAGAGAACCATGGCACTCGGGTTTCACCCGTCCATACATAATTTGGGAATGGGAAGATTGGGTAAGTTGGTCGAGGATACATGACTTGAGTGACATTGCAGCCGCCCGACTCCGCCAAAAGTACGGATTACATGAAAGATGACACCCCAAAAAGCCTAATATCAAAAATTACCTAGATATACTCGTGGGAACGAAAAACCTTTGCCAAATCCGGCTTGATCCTAGGGAGCGAGCAGAGGCCGGTTTAACCTGAGCATCGATTGAGCCTCACTGAGCAATCCCAGAGCAGCTCACTAAGCTCCAAGGGGATATGTATATATATAACACCAAGAGAAAGACAGAATGGCGGTTGAACCTAGCAATTGGCTCAATCCGTGGTGCATCCAGAGCAAAGTGTTCGACTTGCTTCAAAATATATATATATTTCGTTGGTGTTGCTTCACTGCCGAGTGTAAAATTCTGCCGTATTTTCTCCGGCGGAGTACGTAGTCCCACTTTTCCCTTTGAGGCCCACCACGTCCCACTTGCCTTTCCTGATCATCATCCTCCATGTAATATTATTGTGATCCCTCGTCTTCGGCGCCAACAAGCAATACCGATTTTCTTCCAAATATCAACCACCTATTACTCTACAGAAACCGACTCGATTGTCTCCTTTGAAACCATGGACGCATCTGCAGTCAACTTTAAGGGGTTTCTTCTGATTGGCTGTGGAAGAGCACGATACCAATGACGTGGCAACCACTCGCCCATCATATAAATCAGCTGTAAAGTTCGCCGTGCCTGATCTCAGAACAAGAGGAAGTGTTCTTTCTATCCCTCCCACCTCATTGAAATGATTTTAGTGAGTCGTTGAAACTGTGGAATTTGGTGCAATGGCGGACTCATTCGGGATCATGGGCGTTATCGGCGTCGCGACCCAGATCCTCCAGCTAGGCGTCCAATTTGGATTGGATTGGAATGATGCGCCAGCCGACACCAAAAACTTCATAGCCGAGCTTAAAGTTCTTAAAAGTTATCCTATCCGAAACGAAGAAGAATATCGTCGACAATCCAGGGTTTGTAGAAGCATTCAAGGGCCGTCAATCTACCTTGCTTTCACCGGGAGAGACATCTCTCACAACGGACACTCCTCTTCTCATATCGGCCTGCCGATCCGAGCTAGAAACTCTGCTTGAGGATTTGAAGAAGCGGTGTCAAACTCATCGAGTGAACTGGGAACGACTAAAGGGAGCCTTCCTCGCTAAACGAACGCGAGAGACGGTTGAAAACCTCCATCGGAAGTGCCAGGCCTTGAATAGCATGGCAATTATCAATGCTGCGGCTCTCGGAGCAAGTACTTATAACAAGGTCAACCAAATCTACAGGCGACAGCAAATGTCGGACCAAGCCGAGAATGATCAGCTCAGAAAACAGAGGAAAACGGCACTGATCCAGAAGTTCTATACTTCTCCCTATAGAGATCGCAAGGACAGGAACCCGGGGCGAGTGAAAGGAACATGTGAATGGTTCACACATCATCCACTATTTCAAACTTGGAAAGAGAGCAAATCATCGTGCTTGCTCTGGGTATCTGGAGACCCAGGATGCGGAAAATCAGTTTTGGCAAAATACCTAGTGGATGATGTGCTCCCAAGCACTCATACGAGAACTAGTTGTTATTTTTTCTTCAAAGACGACTTCAGTGATCAGAGAACCTTGGAAAGCTCCTTGCTGTATCTTGCGTCAAATCTTCATCCAAAGACCTGATCTGCTATCAGAAGAGATTCTCAACAAGTTCGGAGAGGATGGTGATCAGCTCATCGGCTCCTTTCGTGGCCTCTGGGATATTTTCATCGATGCAACAGTGAAGCAGGATGTTGGCGATATTCATATTTCGACGAAACAAACTTCTAGTGAGGTTGTCTGCGTCATGGATGCCCTGGATGAGTGTGAAGGTAGGGGGCCAACGTCAATTAGCGGAAGCCTTACGCAAGCTCGAGTGGGCTAGACCAGGCAAGGTTGCCTTGAAATCCCTACTGACTAGTCGACCATATACTCGTATTCAACGCGAGTTCAGCTTCTTCAACAATCTCATACCTGCCATTCACTTAAATGGGGAAGGTGAGGCCGAGGTCGAGAAGATTTCCAGAGAGATCAATGTTGTTATTGAAAGCAAGATTAAGGACCTTAGCTCCTGGCTCCAGCTCCTACCTGAAGAACAGCAAACTCTGAAAGAGGAACTGAACCGGATTCCGCATCAGACATATCTCTGGGTCCACCTGATATTTGAAATTATCAAGGATAGCGTCGACATTACGAAAGAGTCTTTACGCACAGCTGTCCGCAATCTTCCCCCAACAATCGAGGCTGTTTACGATAAAATTCTATGCAAGACTCGCAATCCTTCAAAGGCAAAGAGGATTTTGCATATTGTCGTAGCCGCTGTAAGGCCATTGACTCTGGAAGAGATGGCCCTGGCTCTGGCGATCAGGGAAAATCACAAGGGATATGGTGACCTCGACCTCGAACTAGGGGGCTGATTTCGCAGTACTGTTAGAGAGATCTGCGGCCTCTTTGTGACCATTATAGACTCGAAGATCTACCTGCTTCACCAAACTGCCAAGGAATTCTTAGTCCAGAAAATGCCCTGGAACTCGGATAGTATTATCAGCAACGAGACAGGGTTTCTTCATTGGAAATCTTCCTTCCAGCCGACAGAGGCTCACCGAATTCTCGCAGAAGTCTGCATGTGGCGCCTCCTCTGGAAAGAGGTTGCAGTCTACACTGCCGACGTGGCCGCGGACTCAAAGGAATGTGTCAACAATCATATTTTGCTCGATTATTCTGCCCAAAATTGGGTAACTCATTTCCGCAATGCCCAAATGGATGATAACCGTGCGATGGTTTTCATGGCATCCAGACTTTGTCATCAAGATCCAACCACTCTGCTATCTTGGGTCAAGGGCTATTGGATGAGTAAACGTTTGAATGAGCGTATGGTTTATCCCAAAGGACTCAATGGACTCATAATTGCTTCTTTCTGTGGGCTTGAATGTGTGGTCGAGTTACTTCTGGAAATGGACGGTCTTGACTTGAACTCGAGGGATGATAGGTACAAGGCGACTGCATTGGCGTGGGCCGCCGAGTACGGCCACGAAGGCGTGGTTAAACTTCTGATTGCCGGAGATGAAGTTTGACATTGATTCAGAGAATTCTCAGCGTCGGACACCGTTGTCGTTTGCTGCCGAGCTCGGCCATGAGGTCGTCCTCAAAATGCTCCTTGAAACCGGGAAGGCGGCTGCGGATGCCAAAAGTAATTATGGCCGGACACCATTGTCGTATGCTGCCTCAAGTGGGAACGAGCGGATTGCTGAGCTATTGCTGGACACGGGCCAAGTCGATCCGGATTCCAAGGATAGTAACAACCGCACGCCCCTTTTTTGGGCGGCATGGTGCGGTAGAATCGCCGTGGTTAACCTGCTCCTCCAGACACACAAGGTTGACGCCGACTGTGGGGATGATTGCGGTAGGACGCCGCTTTTATCTGCGGCCCGGAATGGACATGAGGACGTTGTGAAATCACTTCTCAGCACAGGGGAAGTCGACGTGAATTCTCAGGATTCGAGAGGACGGACTCCAATATGGCATGCTGCGCGTAGAAAGCATAACACTATTGTTCGGTTGCTCCGACTCTCGGGCTCTGAATAGCATTTGAGATCTTTCGATTTTAAATGGTATTGTTTGCAGCGATGCTTGCTGTCTGGTGATCTCGAGCGACGCTGAGGGACGAGAAGTCTCCTGTGCTTCTCTGTGCGCACTTCTCCCTAGGAGTACAAATTTTGTACCGGGGTTGTGAACCAGCGTGAGAGGCGCTTCTCAATGGATATTTCTAGGTATCTATTGCCTTCCTCACTGCCTCCGAGAGACAGGAGGTTAGCAACGCCGTCCATATTCTCGGTATGTTCCAAACTGGATCGACACTTTGGACAAGCTAGATCCAGAAAAAAGAGCTCCGTCAGGGAAGAATCGCTTATCATGTGGCCTGCCCGGCGTTCGTCTTCAGTGACAGCCCTGTTTCCCAGTTCGAAATTTCTCCCAGCTGTGCCCATCAGGAGGCTGAAGTCTGCTTCTCAACTGGCAGTAACTTGAGCGCGGGCATCACCAATTTGAACACCTGAATGTCATGGACAATTCGCTTCGAACCTTTGCGAGGCTGCCAAGGCTTGTGAAAAACAATCCTACCTTTGTACAAACGCAAGGAGGTTGAGCCTGGTCACATAATACGTGAGGTCGAAGATCTTCTGAAGACCTGGTCTAGGGCGAAACCGGGCCCCTTCTTGAACAACGGCATTCATCGCAAGGGCCATGGCTATCATCTATGATGACTGAGCACTCTGTCACGGTCGGATCTGCATCTGACTATCGGGGTTTGAATGGACGTATACTTGGTTCCGGTCGGCCAAATAATGCAGTGGGAACCCGGTGTTGGCCGCTACTGGATGGAATTGGGCTAAGCGGTGCGCCCTCTGGGGGTGCCAGGCTGAGAGCCCGGGCGAGCCCGGGTTAGACAGAATACAATGCACTACAAGAACTGCGTACGAAGTGCAACATTAAGTTTGACACAATATAACTCCGTAATCGCCCAAGGCACATCTACACAGGTTCTAGTTTTTCAAGGTTCGACACCTAGCCCGTCATTAAGATGGCAGACACACCCACTTCTGTAGAGAGTTGTCTGTAGGGATGACATTCCTAGATGCAAATAGGGTCGCCCGTACCGAAATCTCAGGCACTTCTTTAGAGATATGCCTAATTAGCGCAGACAGAGTCGATCACTTCAGGGGGTGTTTGCATGTCCAACGTTGTTTTAAGCCAAGCCTACGGTGAACGTGCCTCACCAACTCGCTAAGCCGGGGGTAGGGAGCCTAATCTGGCTACCTTGGTATGACTACCTACTTGTAGGAAGGCAGGGATGCAGCAGCCAAGGTGTCAACTGAATTCTATTCCCTTGCAATATACAGGATGAGTTCAAACTGCTCAACAGATGTTGCAACGAACCGAGAAGACCTATCTAGTAGGAAAGACAAAAACAGTGTCAGTATTTGACTGCGTGGAGGTGGCAAGTTGCACAGTCGAGTGTCTCGACCTGGCTTTCAAGCCAACATAAGAACGCCTTGATCAGAATTCGAACTATCATGGGTTGATAAGTCGTACTCTGCCACCTATAGCCTTCTCCAGCAGAGGATGTCCTTCAGCTAAGTGTCGATAATTGAATCTTCAGTAAACACCTCATCTAACGGCTGCCGGGCTTGCTGGAAAGGGAATGAAGGAGACACTTCCATCATTTTTGAGCTCCACCGTGGACAGAGTCGTAGAACGATCCAAGTGAAAGGGCACAAAAACAGGAGCAAACTTGAAATCTGCTCACCTCGACGAACAAGCAACAACTTGATACATGGCAAGACTGAATTGCGTGAAATAAATCAAAGTCTTGAGGAGTCTGTTGGCGTGCATCGGGCGTTTGCAAGCGATGCATCTGCTCTCCTTGTCCTCGGGATTTCGCCTATGCCTTTCGCTAACAGCTTTCGTGAAACCACCGGGATAGAGGATTGGTTGTCAAGTCGAAAAGGCGTCAAAGACGGAAGGGTCGGCCCTGCACCAATTTTGGATCCTCGTTGGTGCTATACGTGATGAAGTAAGAAATACGAGTGCAAGTGAGAAACATAGCAGATATACGGAGTACAAGCGGCATGGCATCGGCAACTTGCACGTGAGCCTGAAGCTGCGTTACCTCGTATTCATTGCCAAGACCGCTAGCGCAAGAGAAGTCTCAAAGTCCAAGCAAGGCCGACCGTGTTCTATGCTTACTACCTTCCACATATCGCCCTGATAGCAGTCAAAATCTAGTCAGATGCGGCCAATTTCCTGCATCCGCACTTCCGGGCCTACGAGGCTGTGCCATCCTTCAGCAGCGTCGCCGAATGTTTGAGCCTTGGCAACAGGGAAGTTCGGCGTCTTGACGCAACAGAAACATGATTTGGGATTCCAATACCCCATAAAGTGACAGCTTGAAGACTGGAGATATGGCGTCCAAAGCATGTGGCGTTCGGAATTTCTTGCTCAGTCATCGCCGCAGGTGGACTACGCATGATGCCTCGGATGGTTTCCCAAGCAATGCCTCCTTGACGCCTCTAGAGTACATACTATTTTCAGGGCCAGTCCTATCAGTGCTCCAGGTCCTTGGGAACTCAACACCTATAGGTTGGTCTACAAGGAGCGATTGTGTTATGAGGAGGCTGAAAATCAATGCCTGACCCCTGACGTGAACTTCAGGGTCGTTTGCGAGGGAGTAAATTGGGCTGTCTAGACCGAGCGCCACCCCAGGGAAAGAAATGCCCGCCTCCATTCATCTGCGCAGGCCACCCGCAAACATTCAGGTAGGTGGACAACGAGAACTTGTTAGTCTCAGCAATATGAGTGAAGTTAGATAAAGTTCTGAGCGCCTATTCTCCGACACACGCCGCCCATCGTCTTGGCGGTCCAACATCTCAACATCACGCACGAGCGGCTCAAAAGCCCGAGACACCTTCCTGCAGTCTATTCTTATACTAACGATTTCGTGTGCCATGATGGTACTGCCGCCTCTTGCCACTGACTGAAATGTTATAAAAGGCGGGTTCTCGCACACTGCAAGCGTTTTGAAACATCTACAGATCTTTCGTACCCTGGGTTGCTACTGGAAGTCGGCTGAGATATCGTCAAACGATCAACATCATCAATATGCGTTACATTCGACAACTCCTGGGTCCAGCTTTGGGGTATTTGGCCTTTGCCTTGCCAGGCAAAGCCGCTCCGGTCAACCACTCCGCGCCAGCATCACCCCCTTCCGTCTCCATTCAGTTCCCTGTCGGCGCAAATGGACCAAACGCACCGGTCGTGTTCCCGCTGTCAAATGGATTTCCAAACATAGTAAAAGGCACTCCAGCTTTCCAGCAATTGACGGTACAAGCCCATGGTTCTGTATCGAATGCACCGCCTCCACCCTCTTTCGCAGCGGATGACCTGCGAAGCTTCAAGGTTATCCAGATCCAAGAGACATTCGAAGTGTATTACTTCACCCAATTATTGCTTAACATCACAAACAACGTCCCTGGCTTCGAGATCAACGACCTGTCATTGAAGCAAGATATCATTGAAAAGTTGACGGTCATCCAAGGTCAGGAGCAGTGGCATGCTCTCAATGCCGGCGGTGTTCTACAACACTTTAACGTTTCCCAGATTCAGCCTTGTATTTTCAAGTCTCCCGCGACCGACCTCACAAGCGCCATCGACATTGCCGCAAACTTCACTGCGGTCGTCATCAGTTCCCTTCAAGATGTCGCAGTCCGCCTCGGCCAAAACGGCGACTCGGGTGTCATCCGCGGCGTGGTTTCTGTGGTTGGCCAGGAAGGAGAACAGCAAGGCATCTATCGCACACTAGGCAGTGACCTTGTCCCCTCGGAGCTCCCATTCTTGACCCAATCAACCCGCGAGTTTGCATACTCTTCGCTTCAGCAGAATTTCATTGTGCCTGGCACCTGTCCCAATGACAATACCATCGACGTGCCGATCTTCGGAACTTTGAACGTCTTGACCACGAACATTCAAGCCATCGACCAGGTTCTCACCTTCAGCATCCAGAGAGATTCGACCGAAGGTCTCGGTCTTGTCTACCTCAACCAACAAAATCTACCCATCGTTGAAGCGATCACCAACGCATCTACCAAAAACGGTGTGACCACTTTCTCAGCCAACTTTCCATTCAGTCAGAATTCAATGAACGGCCTTACGATTGCGGCGGTCGTCAATTCGACCGGACCGTTTATGAATGCCAACGACGTTGCGAACAAGACCCTCTTTGGCCCTGGCTTAATTTACCCTAATTAGTCTGGTGGGGGACGATTGGCGACGATGTTGATTGAGCGAGACGAGCTAGCTTTCAGCGACATTTTCTTTGATCTAATACATTTGTTAGTGCTGTCTTGTGCAAGCCGTACATAGTCAACATGAGGACTCCATCATATCCAGAGCAAAGTCGACACCGTTCCGCTCGTTACTATCCTGCAAATGCCTTCTCACTAAGACCCCTTTTTCTAGGTAGAACGACCCCAGCGGCGTGCATCGGGAAAGTGTTAACGGATTTACTTTTCTTCTTTTGCCTTTTCCTTTTCTTTTTTTCCTGATTTATGAGGATCACAAGATCAGCATTTATCTTCGGGAAGTGAATCGACTGGCCGAATCCATGGCACCCCGCCTACCTATGTATGTTCCGATGGCGGTGTAATTCGCTGAAGCTGAATGGCGAGCACAGACAATGGTTCCCTGTCTCAACGAGTGGCGTTCATTGGAGGCAGACTCAGGAAGGTCAAGGATTCAGTTGCCGACTGGGAGCCTCGTTCCATATCCCACCTTCTGTGTCCCGTGTGCCCACTCCCAAGGCAATCAATCGATGTGAACAAGTAGTATGCGGTTCCGACACTCCGCAGACCCCCCCAGTCCACAATCTTGACCCGTTTTCGCCTCGCGTGAGCATTCAACCGAAGATCAGCCTAAAAAGGCTTCTTGTGCGTCCTCCCCCCCTTGCATCCCCCTCCATAATTGCGCATCAACTTCGCCCCTGACTCACATATTAGATGCAAAATGGCCCAAGATTTACCAGAACGGAGGTCGATCCGTAAGTACTTAATAGGGATCTGCCCTGCCTAGCAGTGCGGCCTAGGTGGTTACCGGTCTAGCAGGTGGGATGCGCCTTTCGGGGGCAGATTCCCCTCCCCTCACTTGCATCTCACTTCCACTTCACTCTTGCGCCATACCATCATATTGAAATGGAGGGTCGCGGATCACCGCCACCCGCTGGTTGCGACGCGAGAGGGCTGCGTGACCGAAAGTTGGAGACACTTTCTTTCCGCCCGAAGGTTTGTTTCCTTTTCGATTCTAATCCTTTCTCTCCTTTCCTCTCCTTTGCAGGGGAAAAGATTGGTGCGCATTCGTGGATTTCGTTGTCACCACCAGGACCAAATCGGTTTCATTTCTGCAGAGAGTGAGAGAGACATGCCATACCAGCGGCAACAGACTAATCCTTCAGAGCGAGACGACGATGCATATCCGTACCAGCAACTCGCTGTCTTGGGTTAGTATCATGTCCTCTGCTCATATGGTGTTCAGTACCCCAGAGCTAACGACCACAAACAGCATTATGCCGCCTTGCCGAGCCCATTGCCTTCTGCTCAATCACAGCCTACACCTTCGTCATGGTCGTCGACATCAAAGGCGAAGAAAACGCCTCATTCTACGCTGGCCTGTTAATCTCTGCGTTCGCCATGGCCGAAGCCTCTACAGCGATGATCTGGGGCCACATCTCCGACCGCTATGGGAGAAAACCCATCGTGCTGCTGGGACTTGGCGGAGTGGCGCTGTCGAGTCTGATTTTTGGGTTTGCAAAAAACTACTGGGTTGCTCTACTGGCGAGAGTCGTGGGTGGGCTCTTGAATGGGAACGTGGCTGTCATGCAGACTATGGTGGCCGAGATGGTGAAGAGACCGGAGCATGAACGTAAGTCTGCTGAAAAATCGAAAGCGTTACAAGTTTTCCCCTAAAGCTGAGTTTGGATTTCAGCGACAGCATACGCCGTTCAGCCCTTCGTGTGGAGTTTAGGGTCCATTGCTGGCTCGGCTCTGGGAGGCTTTACCGCACAACCCGCCCGATTCTATCCACATCTCTTCTCCCCTGATGGAATCTTCGGCGAGTATCCTTACCTCTTGCCCAACCTGGTTGCGGTAGCAATCATTGTCATCGCCATCATCCAGGGCTGTATCTTCCTCGAAGAGACGAATCCGGTGTCACGATCATCAGGCACACTAGGCACGGTCAACAATGCCGACATCGTCAATGAGACAACACCCCTATGGCCGGGGCAGAGGAGAGAATCGGCGGTCAGTGCCTTTTCAGCAGGGCCCGGCGGGCTCACGTATGTTGCGGAGTCCATGCCCGTAGCTATTGATCCTACCTTCGACCTTCGGCGTCCGTCTCTGGCTTCTATTGGCTCACTTAAGGCACTGGCGAAGGTCGGATCACAAGTCGAAGCTGTCATTGAAGACGAAGACGACGAGCAGACCGCAAAGCCGGAGCAGATCAGGGCTTTCACCAAGCCCGTCATTATGTGGACCATTGCTCTCGTGGTGATGTCGTATCACTCAATGGCCTTTGGCTCGGTTCTCCCTATTTACCTCCTCGACGATCCAAGAAGGCCTCCACGCCAGCTTGACCTGAAGGGGGGTCTCGGCATGACCCTGCATGAAGTTGGGACGTACCTCGCCACCAGCAGCGTCATGTCGTTGTTTTTCCAAGCGGTTGTATTCCCGATTTTCGTGGCGAAGTTGGGTGTCTGGAAGGCTGTCTTGTCCGTTACGCTTCTGAGCCCCTTTATCCACACGCTGGTGCCATTTGTCTCCCTCCTTTCAAAGCCCGGGGCGGGCATTTACGCTGTGCTCGCATTGCAAAGCTTCACGGGCGTCGTCTCCTTTCCAACCTTTTTGATTCTGTTGAAGAACGCGACGCCCTCGCCGTCGGTACTAGGGAAGGTGAACGGGCTGGCCATGTCAGCGTGCTCGGCTGCTAGAACAGTGGGACCACCACTCGTCGGCATATTCTACAGCAGCCTTGGCTCGGCAGGGGCTTGGTGGAGTTGTGCCCTCGTGGCCATAGTTGGGGTTGTCCAGTTTTACTTCTCACCCCGGCCACGGGATGACGATGAGAATATATTGCGGAGAGCGTCAACGGCTGCTGTCGAGGTCCCGCCCATGGCTGATGTGGCGCGGAACCGGGAGGAGTAATGACGTCGCAGGGCTATTGCGTCCTCGCGGCATGTGAGAAAAAAGTTGATGCATCTGTAACGGAAGTAGGGCAGATAGACGACTGTGAGTGCTTGTTGATCCCCGGCTATGATTTGTCCGCTGTATGTATCGTTTTCACGCCATCACGAGTGCATTTTTCCACCCAGAGGATCTCTTTCATTCCGGAGAACTCACGCGAGAGTGTTCCAGCACTGTGCTCTGATCCGACACCTCTCGAGGCAACCTTCCGCCTCGCGAAATAGGCAGAAGAGCGCTAGCACGGTTTGTTCCCCCGCCTCAGCCTGATGGATGGGTTTGTTTCATACCTACCTTTATTCTTGCCCGATCTTCCTTCTCCTGTAGATACGAAAAGATTGCTTGTCTTGGCTGATCTCTCATCTGGCGATTTTCACTGTACCAGCCCCGGATCAAAAAGAATTGGCCCATACAGGATGGTCTCAATCGTCGAGCTGGGAGTTTTCGAGATCCGATCCGACAGGTTCGAGCTGGACACGCCGCCGACGCCGTTGTCACAACCGCCGGCGCCTCCGCACTTCGTCGTGCTCGACGACCTCAACGACCTCAACGACGTCAGCTACGACACGGTCCACGTGAAGAACGCGCTCGCCTAGACGGAGCTAGCGCTGCCACAAAGTCCCTGACCCAACGATCGTCCTGCCGCCCGACCAGGCCGAGAAGCTCCAACGGGACTCGTTCGCGACCGGGATGCTCGTGTGCGTGGAATCACGCGCGGACAGTGGTGGCGGAGGAGGAGGAGGAAGGGGGGGGGAGGGCACACGGCTTTGCCGTTTGGTCCACTAGTTAGTGTTTTTCATGGAGGCCTTAGAATCTGACGATGGAAGAATCATCCAAGGCAAAGACGAGGAGAGGGTTGGGCATTTCACATCATGGCATTCGTGACAATGTGTCCTGTGTGCTTCATTCAAGCTCCGCAGTGCCCTGGATCAGGATAACTTCTGCACACGCCGGGTGTGACAGTAACCCAGACCAGGGGGTGGTCCCTTTGACATCACCAGCGAAAATCGTCTCACAGTTGCTATGAGAGTTTGAATGGCTCCAAACTCCGACCTTAAGGTTTTGCTCCGGACGGGTTTTCAGTATTCCTGCCCGATTTGACTCAGAACTGCTCGCCGAGATGTTTAAAGTTGACATTCCGTAAATCGCGGTCATCTCTTCGGACTGCTGAAACCAGTCAAGCTTGTTTCCCTGAATGATACACAGAGAGTCAATCCAGATATAGCGGAAACCGAGGATCTTTGCGATGACCACGCCATCCCTCAGCGTCTGCAGGAAGGCTTCGAGAGCGATGCCTTTGCGCCTCTCTTCCAAATTGCCATCGCGCGTTTTCAATGGGTGGTCTTCACCCCACTTGTAGGATATCGTCACATAAGGAGCGATTTTTTTCGCGCTGCGTGACATACAGCTTGATCCCCGAAAGGTCGTCGGCTGACTTTCCAATATCTTCCACTCGTTTCGGAAGAGGAGTGGGATCTCCCACACACTTGTCGTGTCTGTGCATACTATCGTCGACCCATTGCTTTGCTCGCTGAAAAGCTGCGCCAGATCCCGGATCTGGATCTGGAAGCACGTGCAGTGCAGCGTACCGTGCAGCCTGCTGATTGCTGGAGAAGGGCAGACTGTTCTTGTTTCCATTTCTCCGGAAGAAAACAATTGAATTGAGTCGATGTTTCCATTCGCTGATATGGGCCACGAATTCGGTGGCAGCACCTATGGCAACCTTGAACTCGCACTTCTGAGGCACTATCCCTAGAAAAAGATGGCATAGGTAGACATGGATTCAGCTTCAACAACGGCGTTGAGTTCTTTTGCCAGAATATTACAAAGTCCACAAAAGCCACTGGCAGATTGCCGGAAAGAACCCAGATAGTTATCCGGATGGGCTTTCCAGTGGGTCAGAGTGACATGCTCGGATTGAATCGTCTCCCACCGGCCATCCAGTAAATCGGGGCCTGAGACGATGTTTGTGAAGAGCAGCTGACGGTCTTTGCAAAGCCCCGCGTCCGCCTTCACAACAACGTCCGGAAGGACAAGCTTGCTCGACACGGGTTGGTTAGCAGGCGCTCTTACGGCAGGCATGTCTGGCGGAGTGGCCTCATTGATGTGCTGCGGAACTAGGTCTAATTTGATTCCCGAAGTGGGGAGACGATATCAGGTTTGACCGTGGATGTTCTGAGGTACTGCATATCTATGTCCAAGGTGCCTCTCCCAGAGTATTACGTGCTCCGTGACGGAGCAAGGCTGGCAATTAAGCCTGACGCAACCGTGGAAAAGTTCCACCGAAGATATATGGCGGGCCAAATGAACGCTAAACGCAGTCTGGGCAGCCCGAGTTTGAGGCTTTTATTCGAGCATCAGCTGGCCGTTTGTTTCTTCAATCCCACGCCCATGGCATGATTTCAGCTTTTTGCATCTATGTATGGTTTTGGGCCCCTTTTGGATACGATTACAGGTGCTGGCGACCGCTCCAAGTAGGGGAGGAGGGAGGGCGGAGTTAACGCCTCAATATCTGTTGTGTGGCAGATAAGTCGATGCTCACCATGCTATCACGACCTCTTCTCCCCTGCGGGAAGCGCAAGCTCTACAATGCCTTTGGCCCTCCTGCAACGAAGCCCTCGTACAGGAACCGGTTTCATCCGCAGCTCCGTGTTTACTCATTCAGCCAGTCAGCATTCTCGAGGCGCGAGGATGGCTCCAAGAAAGCTGTGCAAGCCACCAAGTTTGCGGAAGCACCTCCAAGCAGGACGGACAGCACGGAGGCCCCCAAGCCAGAGTCTATACAACAGAATGAAACTCTCAAGGCTGAACCAGAGTCCGCCAAGAAAGAAACTCTCCTCTCGGAGAAAGTAGTCTCCAACAAGGAGCAACGAAAAGTTGACCTGGCCATCATGAAGGAAATGGTCCAGTATCTGTGGCCCAAGGGAGACTGGGGGACCAAGTTACGGGTTGGTACCGCATTGGGCCTTTTGGTGGGAGCCAAGATCCTCAACGTTAATGTTCCCTTCTATTTCAAAAGCATTGTGGACTCTATGAACATTGATTTTCTCGCCGTCGGGGGCACCGCCTGGACAGTGGCAGGATCGATGATAGTTGCATATGGTGCGACTCGCATTGGCGCAACGTTGTTTCAAGAGCTACGGAATGCTGTCTTTGCCAGTGTCGCTCAGAAGGCTATCCGAAATGTGGCACGCAACGTCTTTCAGCATCTTTTGCGGCTAGACCTGAATTTTCATCTGTCAAGGCAAACCGGTGGATTAACGAGGGCCTTGGACCGCGGCACCAAAGGAATCAGTTTTTTGCTAACGTCCATGTTATTCCACATTTTCCCGACCGTGCTGGAGATTTCCTTGGTTTGCGGCATCTTGACATATCAGTATGGGGCCCAATTCGCCGCGATTACGGCAGCCACAATGGTCGCATACTCTACATTCACAATTACTACAACTTCATGGAGGACCAAATTTCGCAAGCAGGCAAACGCAGCAGACAACCAAGGAGCTACAGTGGCCGTTGACACGCTGATCAACTACGAGGCGGTCAAATATTTCAACAATGAGAAATTCGAAGTCAATAGATACGATGCCGCCTTGAAGAAGTACCAAGATGCTTCTATCAAAGTCACAACGTCGTTGGCTTTTTTGAATACCGGTCAGAATTTGATCTTTTCGAGCGCCCTCGCGGCCATGATGTATATGGCGGCGAACGGGGTGGCAAGTGGCTCCTTGACGGTTGGAGACTTGGTCATGGTCAATCAACTTGTTTTTCAATTGTCGGTGCCGCTGAACTTCTTGGGTTCGGTCTATCGAGAACTTCGACAGTCTCTGCTCGATATGGAGACCTTGTTCAATTTACAAAAAGTCAACGTGACGGTCAAAGAGGTTGCGAATCCGAGGCCGCTTGCGTTGACAAGGGGAGGCGAGATTAAGTTTGAAAATGTTACGTTTGGCTACCACGCTGATCGGCTGATTCTCAGAAATTTGAGCATGACCATACCAGCGGGGAAAAAGGTTGCTATAGTCGGACCCAGTGGATGTGGGAAATCGACAATTCTCCGATTGCTATTCCGGTTCTATGATGCAGACTCGGGCAAGATTCTGATTGATGGACAAAACATCAGGGATGTCAGTTTGGATAGCTTACGACGAAGCATCGGTGTCGTGCCGCAAGACACTCCACTATTTAACAACACCATCGAGCACAACATCCGGTATGGCAACGTCGACGCGTCCTTGGATGACGTCAAGGGTGCTGCGAAACGAGCGCACATCTTCGACCTCATTGAACGTCTGCCAGCTGGATGGAATACCATGGTTGGCGAACGGGGCATGATGATTTCTGGCGGTGAAAAGCAACGACTTGCTGTTGCGCGACTGATTCTGAAAGATCCTCCTCTCTTGTTCTTCGACGAAGCCACGTCGGCGCTTGATACGTATACAGAACAGACGCTGTTGCAAAACATAAACAGCATTCTGAAGGAGAAGGGTCGGACCAGCGTTTTTGTTGCGCATCGACTTCGCACCATCTTTGACAGCGACATCATCTTCGTTCTCAAGGAAGGCCAAGTTGTTGAACAAGGCACTCACGCCCAGCTGTTGGCGCGCGAAGGACTTTATGCTGATCTCTGGGCAGCCCAAGAAGTCTCAATCGGACAAGACATGACCCTTGAACGATCACTGGAAGAAAAACGCCAGACTGACGAAAAGGAGACCTGATCTTCACTGGAACAGTGCCCGAACGTGGCTACCCTGAAGGTACTCCGTAGTTAGCTGGTCTAATCGATTTCGGTTGGTTTGATGACATTGTCTTGGATAAGGTTTGAAAAGGAGAGCGCGTTAGTATTCGGTCCTCCACAATACCGGACGGCAGGACGCGGGGTCTGGAGGTGGCACCTTGGGTTCACACGTGGAGAGAGCGCAGAATTCTCTGTCTCGCACAGTTCGGGGGCGCCAGAAAAGGAGAGCGGCTGTCCCTGGAAGAGAGCTCCTCGTCGACAGTATCTTCGAGAACACCAGGCGAGACATGATGATCCCAAAAGACGCAGGTGGGATGGACTATTGCGAGAGGAGGAATTCAGCAGACCCTCACTATCTTCCAGGTTGCCAGGGAAGCGAGATGATAGACACAGCTGGGGGACAAGGGGGAAACGAATTTCTTTTTCGCACGTGGCGCGAGATTGTGGCATCAGATCCACTTGGTAGAGAGCGCCCACAGCTGCATGCAGCCTAGCAAGAAGCCCCCCGAGTGCCGATCCCTCCCGACGGTGTTCGATATCTCGGATAAAGAAGCCAAACGGTTGTGGAAAGCCCACGAGGAACGAACGGTAGAGGAGGATAGGTATGGGTACAGGTGCGATGGCAGGACAAGTAAGTTACCACCTCACGATAAATTCACGGCGGTCTCGCAACTCGCCCAATCAAGGAATCAATTATCTCTCCAGTCAACTCTCTGCACTGATTCAACTCATGCTCATCTTTTGCGCTAGTCGTCTTCGACCCCTTCGATGGAAGTTTCTCCATGCATGTCAAGGGCCAAGGCTAGCAAAACCGTCGAAATGGATTCTGGGCTCGTCTAGATAGGAGCGCCAATAACAATAGGCGCTAAGCCCGCCGGAGACTCCAACAGAGGGCCGCTAGGTGCCGCCGATTGCGACTCTAACGAGCCAAGCAGCCCTAACGCTTAACTAAAGCCCTTAAAGCCTTTAAGCATGAGCCCGGAGAGATTGCGCAGGCCACATGCCCAATACCACAATGCTGGCCGGCTCCCTTTCGCCATCCGTTTCCAGCTCCGTCCAAATTGCGGCCTAGAACAGTACTCCGTCCTCGATAAAATCAAATGAAGCTCCCACCACGATTGCAGTCTTGCAAGCGACATCCTACACACAGACTCGGTACACACTCTCTTTCAAGACCCCGTCGACCAACTCCAGCAGTCACTCCTTCAACCACATTTCTTTCAGCTTGCAGCCCGTCCTTCTGGAGCCCTCAAAATAACCTTTGATTCTACTGCATGCTTGCTACGCTCCGCTCGTTTCAGAAATTTAAGAGCTTGCATTAGGCCCTGCATACCACAGACTTCCGGCGAACTCAGGCGAACTCACGATATCCCGCTCGCTCACCAGCCTGTTTGATTTCGCGTTGAGAAGAAGTCCGGAAAATCCGAGAAAACGGCTCATCTGACGCGTGTCAGGCGCTCGCTGCGAACACTGTACATAAGACATCATTGGGGCCCGCTGTCCGCGATTGCACCCTCGAAACCTTTCCCCGCTGGGAACCGAAGTATCCGAACGATCAAGGTGCGAATATCAAGGGCGCAAGCCTCTGAACGAGCGAGGACTGTCCTTTCCGATCTATAAAAGAACGCGCGCGCGAGGATTACACCTCTCCATACCAGGTCGGCAAATTTTGAAAATAGGAAGAGGGCGCTGCCTGTATATAAAAAAAGGCCATTGGCGTAGATCAGCTTACACCAAGGCTCGCTACTATCCAAAGGCACTCAGCCTCCGAAAAGCCCACAAAGACCACCACACCTCGACTTTTACAGACGTTGCAAGAAGCCATCTACAAAGAAAATGGGTCTCTTCGATAAGCTACAGTCAAGTAAGAGCGCCCTCTTCCCTGCAGGCCGCTACGCAGCCAGCTGTGCTCGTTGCGCATTGATCGCGGATAGAATATTCAACTGATCTTTTCCCATCACAGAACTGGAACTCTACCGCCTCGAGCAGAAATACGCGCGCCGCAAGAACCGGACGACCTTCACCACAGGCGCCGTATACCAGGACGGCGAATACTTCTACACGGGCACTGCCGACGCGAGAAGTCCGACCATGTCCACGAACTCGACAGGCAATTCCAACAATAGTTCCGCAAGTAACAAGAGGAGGTCGCAGATGTGGGTGCCACCCGAGCAACGGAGATGATTACAACACAACAAGCAACATGGGCTGGCCGCTCGCTGCAGCTGGCCTATGCGCGAACCTGTCAGCTTTTTTGCTTCATGTGAATATTTTCCAGATTTGGTCTTGGGTTGAGCATAGCACTGGCGTTTGTCTTGTGAGGGGCTTTTTCTCCCCCTCTCTCTCTCTCTCTCCGTGTCGATGCCCCGTCTATCTTTTTGACAAGAAGTATGTGTTTTCGAGCGTCCGGGTCGGATGAGCAGCAGCAGCAGCAGCAGCAGGGTCACGAATTGGACTGGGAAGATCCGAGAAGGAAAGAACGAGCGGCTGGGATTTAGACGTTAGGTTATGGTGGCTAGGGTTAGCGATTGAGCACCGTGCGAGGAGGTCTCCGTCAGAAGGGGGGCGGATCGGGCCCATCCATTCGGCCAGAGTCAGGGTACTGGGTATCATACATCACATAACATATGTCTACAGTGCGAGATGAGATACTCGTCGGTCAAAGCACGACTAGACCAAGAAAGAAAGATACATACAAGTAGACACTTGGTACTCGGCATGTTCATTGATGCCGCCGCCATGTTCATCTGATGCGTGCGTGCGTGCGAGCGCGTACCGAGAAACATGGCCATCAATCTCTCGAAGCCTCCGATGCCGTCGGGACATACGAGATACTCGTAGAGATACCTCCATGCATGCATACATACATACATACAGTACATACGTCCACAGCGAGCTCGCCGGCCATCCACGGCACCCACTCATAGAACACGCGACAATCACCGACCTCATTCGATCCAAGTCCAAGCTCTAGCCCCAATACCCAGTACGAGCCCACAACTTCCAAGCACAATCATCGAAATCCGGGACGAGGCTGAGCGAGCGAGCGAGCGACTACTACCGCCCGCCGGCCCCTTCTCCTTCTCAGTCTCTCTCACACACACTCTCTCTCTTGGGGTGAGTCAACTTGCTAGGTAACGTCGTGTTCGTGTTCGGATACTGAATACTATGCTATGCTATGCTATGCTGTGCTATGCTATGCTATGCTATACCATGCTATGTAACGCTGCTTCCCCTGTGCCTTACCTACGCCGCTGGCATCGCATCCACTTTGTCTCCGATAAATATTCAATATCACATACCAAAGTCCATCCGTCAGTCAGTCCGTTACTCCGTCCGGCTGGCTGGCTGGCCGGCCATCCATACATTCTCTTTTCCATTGCCGAGACAACAAGGAGAGGGTTGCTTTCAAAACACACTTCCCAAAGACTAGATCGTTCGACAGTCACGCATTCTTATGCAGCTCATGACATGGCGCTCCCCCTCTCCCTCCTCTTTAAGCGGCCCATGTCCTCATTTTCCAAGGCGGAGACGTCTTTCACGCCTACAGTACCGTGATCAACTTGACCTTACTTCTTCTTCTCCCTGTCCTTATTCCCCCCAGCCCTGGCAATCCCACTTGCAAACTTCCCAAACCCTCCTGCGAGACTATGACCTCTCTTATGCGGTCCAATTCGTTCTTCCCCTGCGCCCGCGGCTCTAGCACCAGGGCCAGCGGCACTTCCTCCACCTGGGACGGTAACCGTCAACCCACTGCCCGCCTTGACCAGCCCTGACCCGGGCCCGGTTGCGCCAACACCGCTCAAGGGTCTACCACTATGCAGTTTGTGCCCCGTTCGGAATGCATCGCCATCTGTTGCTCCACCAATACCACCATCTCGTAAACTCGCACGGCTTGAGCGACCGACATCATCAACTGCGCTCGGTATCGCAGACCCAGGTGTTTCTGCGTCGAGGTCTCCCCGGAGAAGCCTCTCGTTTCGGCGTCTTGCACGTTCTTGGGTCTGTTTGAACTTGTCAAGAAGTTCTGGCCATTTTATCTCGTTTGCGCCGAGGGACGAGGTGGCATCACGCGTTCGCGACAGACGGGAGGCGACGGTGCTGTTTAGGGCGCCAGTGCTCGCAGCGGGGAGAGAGGAAGAAGAAATCCCGGAGACGACTCTAAGAGGTCACGAAAACAAGTTAGAGCGATGTTCAAGCGTGGGACGAAGAACAGGGGAGGAAATGGAACGTACGATGGTCTAGCTGAAGTCGGCATCGAGGGCGGCGTATGCAACAGTCCTATGGCGGAGACACTGTTGAGGCGGTTCTTCAGGGCGCCGAAAGCGGACGATTGGGGGAGCAACATCAGGAGACCGTAGAGACATTTATAGAGGTAGGGGTAGCGGTCGGGTTCGAGGAGTTGGAGCCGCAGATCTGGTGAATTTTCCACGTCAGTTAGAGCCTCGCCCGACAACAGGTTGCGAAAGGGATGCGTCGAACTTACATGTGAAGACTGGGCTTTCTAGTAACTGCACTAGCTTGTCGATTTGGATGAGCATGTTGACCGTCATTTCCAAATCCGCGAATATCTGTAGGAGATTGTAAGCCTGTTCGTACGCTTGGGCCAAAAGGCATAGCGAGAACGTAGCCACGGCATTGTGGCACCACGCGCGAAACAGTGCCACAAAGAACATCTGTCCCTCTTTGCTGTCCGGGTTTCGGAGCCTTTTCCTCAGCTCGGCCAGTTCAGGTGCTGTGATGAGGTTGTTGTTGAGATTCTGGACCATGATGCTGGCGAACTCGATGTCTTCATCCTTTTCGATGCAGTCCGCCAATGTCCTATAGATCCGTTCAGGTTGGAGGTTGATGCACAATTGACGAATAATCAAGTTGCCGCGGATCTCCAGCAGCTTCCGGTCTGTGGAGAAGAGCTGCAGCAAAGCCACCATGAAGGATGTGAAGTATCCGTCTTCGCTGTTCCTGGAGATCTGGGAAAGGAGTTGAAGGTCGCGTGTCACGACCGCTTCAGCCGGGTCTGAAAGCGTCTTGAGCAGCGCCGGGAAGGTTCCATCGTTGAAGGCAAGGACTTTCTTGGGCGCCTTTCTATGAAGCATGATCAACCAGCTCAACGCCGCGACGCGTGTCTCTTCGTGCTCGTTGAGAAATTGTAACGTCAACGCATTCACTGCTGCCGCATAGTCGAGATCTGCTATAGGTTGCGGTGACGGCGCTGCGGTAGACCTAGGAGTGACCGCTGGGGGCGATTGCTCGATCTCAGAGGGGCCCTCTGGAGATGTCTCGGTTCGAGCCTCTGCCTGAGAAGGCACACTCTTGCTCGTTCCCGCTGATTGTCTTTTTTCGGATCCTTCGCCATCCCGCGTCGTAACGCTGGCTAGGGTGCTGGACCCGTGTGCACTTTGGTCCTCAGTCGACAACTCATCCTGAAAGGTGACAATATAATCCATCAGCGACCTGTTGACCTTGCTGGCAGTGGTTCTGACTTGCTCCGATTGCGCCGACAGTGCCGGCAAAACACGAGACAACAGACGAGGCACAAACTGCAGAATTTCTTCCGGGCTGATCTCGAAGAAGCTGTCGATCCATCGCAGGGCGACGATTCCGATCTCTTCTTCCTTTTGTTTTGACAACCCCTCAAATCGTAACTGTGGCGCCGATCCTTTACTGGACGAGACGTCGACAAACTTTAGCAGGATGTCAAGAATTTGTGCATAATCCACCTGTACGTCCTGTCCAGGTATCCAATCACCGTCGCGCTCCCCAAGTTCGTTGAGTTCGTCTTGGGCGGTTCCCGATTCTGAATCTTCGATGGCATTGTCATTTGATTGACTGCCGCGAGCTGTGGCACTGCCCACATCAGACCCATGCCTGCGGTTGGCGGCTCGACGTCGACGACCTTCAGCGATACCACGCTTGATCTTTGCGATTTTCTTGATTTCGTTAAGGAAGCGCTCCAGCAGCCCCTGCGTTGCGACATACACATCACGGTTTGGATCACCGAGGAATTTGAAGAGGCCTCCAAGAAAAGCTGGCAAGTAGTGTACAAGCTCCAAATCCGGAATAGTATCCAGGAGCGTCAGCCATGAAACCAAAAAGGTGCGAGTAAACGGGTTGATGACATGAATGCGCTCTTCAAGAAGGGGAATGAACTTTGCGAGGGAGAAGGTCGTGGGAAGCTCGGCGCTTTCCTTGTCGGGCTCGAGTTGCTCGCCGTCTTCGTTGAAATTGAGGACTGAAACGTAAGAGGCTGCAGACTCAGAAACGATATCCTTAATCAGACGATCGAGGAGCTCAGCACCGTTCTTCACCGAGAGCTCTGAGTCGGCAGCCAGCTGTTTGGTACAGGGTTAGCAGCGGACTAGAGTGGACGGAGGTCAAGTCATGCCTTGCATAATGCATCAAAGATGTCGTTGAAGAAAACTAGAATCTCTCCTTTGGCCACTTTCGCAATGTTGTACATGGCCTCGCAGGCATAATAGCGTACGCGGGCATCTTGATCGGTAAAGCACGCAAGAACAGGTGGAACAATGTCGGATAGATAGCGCGCAACTTCGTCCTAGAGGCGCCGGTTATCAGCCATGGCCGACACGCATCATATTGGCGGACCAGACATACAGAGCCCAAGGCGATGGAAGCAGCTGCTAGACCAATGAGGCCTCCGTTGCGGGCGTGCGGAAGGTGCACGGCATAGGCATAGTCGTGACACAGTTGATCAATCGTCTTCCGGATCTTGTCGTATTCTTTGGCGGCGCTAGCCTCCCTGATGAAACGCTCGAGCCTCGTGGCAATCAGTCACAGACACAAATATCTCGATGAGCGGGTGGGGTCATACTCGAGTGCCCCCTGCTTTCTTTTGTCGTAGAGTTTGTCAGTAAGGAGACGTTGGACTGCGGGATCCATGGCGGTCTATCGATGGAGTGACGCAGGTTTTCAAGACCATTATCGAATGGGCGGTATACGCCTCAGTGGCAATAAGAGTCGGTGGTTGAAGGGCCAACTTCGGGCGCTGGGATGAGGATTTGGGTCTCAAGGATGACCGAGAGACTCTGTCCAGCTTTGGATAGCTATTCAGAGATGTTGGTCGAGTGGAGTGAGGACTTTGTGGTTGATGAACAAACGCGTCGTTGTGCAGGGTCCAGGGGCCGAAGCACCATGAGGGCTGTCACCGTCACCGTCACCACTCACGACTCACCTTCCCTCTTTCCGCCACAGCGACTCGATTGGCCCACACACCACGATGCTATCTACATTCAACTACATAACTAACAGAATCACTCTCACCGGTTTGCGTCGGTTTGCCATCCTTGTTCGCACAGGGTTCATTCATTATGCCGCCTGTCCTTCTGTCAACGGTCACACAGCCATCGACGTTCATCTGTCTAGTCTCTGGGTCGCCCGTTTGTTCCTCAAGCATCAAGGACGGTGTATACTTTATCGGCTAGGTCTCTGACTTGATTTGCTCACACTTAACCGCCTGCCCTCGTCCAGTGTACCAATCGATCATCATGACATCCCCTGTCCCATCGTAAAAAAGGGATCTCCCCAAATGGTGCTGCCTAACAGACCCTGACATCTGACATTCCACCAATCCACTCAGCAATCCTAATGCGGCCAGCAACGACCTTGTAAAGCACTCTTTAGTGACTGATATACTGGAACACAGCACTCACGGCATTCTCCGAGGCCTCCTGCCGGAGGAGGAGATCCTGGATTTTGCCGAGCGGCCCCGTGTCCCCAGAGTTGACAAAATGGTTCCAAGAGCTCGTGTCACCGTAAAGCATCGCTGGCGCCTTGGTTTGTTGCGTCCCATCCGGTTTGCACCGTTTGCACTTAAACGTGTCATGGGTGTCGCTGGTGGTGTCCGGTTTGAACTGGAAGAGCTCTCGGAGAGAGTCGAGAGTAAAATGCCGCTCCACATCTTCCGCGGAGTCCACCACGGTTGAAGAAAGTGCCTGCTTATGTGATTGGCGCTGGAAGATCTTTTCTTCGATCGTGCCTGTTCCCATGAATCTGTATACAAAGCAGTCTTTCTTCTGACCATCACGCCACACTCGGGCAAGAGCCTGCTGGTCTGCAGCCGGATTCCAATCGGGATCGAACAGGACAAGACGGTTGGCACCAATTAAGTTGATACCACAACCACCCGCCTTACTGCTCAACAAGAAGACGAATTCTTCGCCGTTCGGGTCGTTGAATTTGTCCACGAGTTTCTGTCGTTTGTTGACGTTCATCGTGCCGTCGAGTCGAAGACATCCGTAACTCCGCGCACGGCAAAGCTTCTCAAAAACATCCAAGGTCTGAGTATAGTTGCTGATAAGCACAATTTTGTCGTTCGTGTCTTGACGGATTCGAGCAAGCATACGTTCGAGAACGGCAAATTTGCCAGAGTGCCACGATCTGACATCCCGATCCCGACCGCGGGCTTCTTTGGGGACATAGTCGTCAGGCCAATACTTCTCACTTCCGGGCAGATCTTTCTCAAGGTCCAAGAGATCGGGATGGTTGCATAACTTCTTTAGGATCCCGATCGCTTTCAGTGGCTGGCTACCCTTGCCCCGCAACAGACTCTTGATGTCGGGGCTTTGAATGAAGTAATTGTAAAGATCCTTCTGGAACGGGGCAAGATTGCAGAACACCACATGCTCATACTTGACAGGCAAGTATTTGGACAGGATGTCGTTCGTTCTTCGGATGATGAGTTTCTTCACGAGAGATCCAAGCTCGGCGTTGGCTTGTTCACCCTTTTGCTTGTCAGCATCTGATCCCGCAGCATCACGGCCGCGAAGAATTGGCAATTCAAACTTCTTGCGGAAGTCTGCCTTGGTTCCTAGGTACCCCGGATTTGCAAAGTCCAGCAAGGCGTAATACTCGGTGAGATCATTCTGGATGGGTGTCCCTGACAGAATGACCCGTCGGTCAACATTCAATCCGGTCAATGCCATATATGTTTCGCTTTCGGCATTCTTCAAGCGATGTCCTTCATCACACAGCATCAACCCGATCTTGATATCTTTGAGCTCCTCAATGTTCAGCCTCAGAGATTCATAGGACACGATCAGAACAGGCCTTGCAATACCTCTGCCCGTGGCCATTGCCCATTGTTTCAGCTGCATCGTGAGCTCTTCTTTAGATGCCTTTCCATCAATGGCGAAGGGGTTGATGGCGCCCTCACCCAGCCATTTGACAAGCTCATTTGCCCAATTCTTGACCAAACTGGCGGGGCATGCAATGACACATTTCTGGATCGTGGATTTGCCGGCCTCGGGAGATTGTTTGAGTAATGTCCACATGAGGGTGATGCATTGTAGAGTCTTGCCCAACCCCATTTCGTCGGCCATGATGCAACCTTTGGCCTTCTCGTCCACCAGCCCTGTTGTACACCTATACAAGAATTTGACACCCTCTACCTGATGAGGCCGAAGCACTTTGGCTAGCCTTGGATCGATGACCACCGGCACTTTGGGTCTCTCGCCTTCGACTTGTTTCTTGATACCCAGTATTTCGGCCAGGCTTTTGTGCATGAGAGGTGTGTCCAGCTTGGGCTTCTCTTCGTCTTTCTTGTCTTCGGCTTTCTCTTCAGCCTTCTCGTCTATGGTTGGATCGTATAAAACGATCGCAAATTCTCCACTAGGATCATGTAGAGGTTTGTTAACAAAGCCATTTCCTCGGCGCATTCCCAGACTTGGTGCTGGCCTTGACGGGTCGAAAGCATTCTTGTTGATCAAGGGAATGGAGAACCGCGACCGGAATGTCGTCTCCTTATCCTTGACCTTGAAGACTGGGAATCGATCTTTGAGGACAGCAGAATCTTCATCCAGTTTGAAACCACCACTTGTATCTTCAACCCCGCCGTCCACTTCAGCATAGTTGACTTTTCTTCTCTTTCTGGCGGGCTCGCCATTTGACTTGCGGGAATTGGCCGAGCCGGGGCATTTGAATGGTTTGATAAGACGATCAAGAGCTGCTGGTGAAATGGCACTGAGTCTGCCAGCTTTTGTTGGTGGTATATTTTCCTTGTCGTGGTCGGCTGAGATCGACTTGGTACGTATCCTGTAGGCACGGTGAGAACAAGCATGCTGCGGACGACACATACATACATAGTTCCGCAGGCACAACACGCCAGAACAATGAACACCTCGGCCGCGTTGAATTAGACCTGGTGAGAAATGCAAATCAATGATGGCGACTGTGACAGTAAATGGAAATCACGCTCAAGCGCGTCGTGAAGTGACGCGTACTCACGTGCTTTCATGGGCCATTGGCACTTGCCCGATGAGGTAGGTATCCTTGGTTTGTACCAGCTCCACAAGACTCATCACATACACACACACACACACACATTGTAAGATATAGACAGACTGCTGGTCAAAATTCTAATACTCACTTTACCTTAAACAATGCCTGACCATTGAGCCGATCTACGAAGTGTGGTTCAATTACAGGCCTTGGTCAGCACAATATGATCTAGCCCAAAGAAACCCATCCGAAATCGGTTGAAGGGGGCTGCGATTTTGCTTCTGGACTCGAGATGTCGGCAGACTTCTGGGCTAGCTATATCTCTGGCGGGTTGGGGATCTTGGTGGGCAATCGCCTTGATGTCCTGAAGGTCGCAGCTCAAGCAAGCACCAGCGGTGTTCTTGCAGAATCGACTCTACAGGTCGACTCTGGCACGCGGCTTCGGAGGTTTACAGCACTGTTCAGAGGAGCCGCTGCTCCCGTCTTGGGCTACGGGGCATTGAACTCAATATTGTTCATGACATTCAACCGCTCTCTGAAGTTGATGGATCCAAGCATATTTGACTACACCAAACTTGCTGGTGTGGACTTTGGCAAAATTTGGGTGGCAGGCGCTATCGGAGGGTTCGCGACATTTGTCGTCTCTGCGCCATCAGAGCTCATCAAATGCAGAGCCCAGCTAATTGTCGATGGGCAAGGATCTTCATATGGAGTGTTTAGGGATATATGGAAGCAGGGTGGGCTTCGAGGACTCTACTACGGAGGCACAATCACTGCTATTCGAGACGCCGTCGGATACGGCTGGTATTTTTGGTCGTACGAGCTAACCAAGCGATTACTACTTTCGAGACAAGCCGATCCGTTCATTTCTCCTACTGCTACGGAAGTTCTGGTCAGCGGGGGCATTGCCGGAGTCATCACTTGGGTATCCATCTATCCTCTGGATATTATCAAGACCCGTCTCCAGACACAGCCTTCCCCGACTGCAGAGTGCCAAAGGCTTCTTCCCGGGACCAATGTGGCCGCCCACCAAGCAAAGACTTCTATGACCATCGCTCGAGACATATGGCAAACCTCCGGATTGGGCGGTTTCTATCGCGGTGTTGGCATCTGTAGTTTGAGAGCCTTCATCGTAAATGCAGTCCAGGTAGGCCACTATTGTGTCTCGATTGCCGTGTCCTACTAATCTTGGATAGTGGTATGTATACGAAAGGATCATGGCCTTCCTAGGGAACAATCAATGAGGGTCCATGACCTAGATGGGGCGGTGCGGACGGAGTACGGGCAGGTTTGGAGACTCGAAATGCTCGCGCAGGGCGCTTTCTCCTTCCAACGAATCGTGCCTTTGCAGAGTCGCCCCAGCGAGTCGGGATTGCATGCCTTTAGTTCGTCAATAAGGCCGTCCGCAAGGGAGGACCTGTGAGAGTTGTATGCTGCATAGATCCACACGGCTCAGAGCTCAACGTTCAATATCTTTCATGGCTTCGTTGCCGGGACCATCTTCCGAGACGCGAGGCCGACGATTGTCTGTTCCCAAGCCTACGGCAGCGTCTGCAGCTTTCTGGGTGTGTGCCTCTTCCTTGAGCATTCGAACACTAGTTCCAAAGTCAGGTCTCTCCACGGAGCCGGAGGATCGCAAATACCGTCTCTTATGGTTCTTCCCTCTTCTGTGCTCGTTTAAATTGTGGCTGTCTGAGAAATATTTGGCGCATTCGGTGCAATAGAAAGCACCTAGTCCGGGCAGATCCTCAGCGGCTTTGGTACCCTTGTGTTGAGCAAGATGTCTGGGAGATTTGAGGTCGGCTTTGATTTGGTCAAGGTCGCTGTAATGCCATGTTAGGAGGACAACGGTCTTGAGGGCAGTTGAACGGACCGGGTGCGACGCTTAGTCTTGATGCGTCTGATACTGCCCATGATGTTTGTCGGAGCAATCTCCGCAAGGCTTTCGGCTCGAATGTCTACAGGCGAAAAATATCAAGACATGGGTATGCAAGGCTTTTTTTTGGGGGCGGGGGAAGGGCGAATGGCAGAGTTTGTGGGCCGATGATTTTTGGCGGTGCTTGGTGGTGTGGTGGTCCTTGCCCAGCACTGTGGGTGCCAAGCATCTCGCCAGCAAAAGCGCGGGATGCCGACTGGGTCGATGCAGCGGCTCTTTTCGAGCTGCCTCATCCATCCAATCGAGAAGTAGACAATGCATTGGACCTTATGTTGCCCTCTCCTGGGCTCTCCGCACCAGCTTGGAAACCGTGACTTGCCTGCCTTGCTCTTCCACTCTCGCTATATTGCGCTGCCCGAGTTCTTGTTAAAGGTGGTCAACCGCGTTGGGAGAGAGGACAGCTGCTCCAAAATCACACCCGGCACCTTGAAACAGTCTGGGCAAGAAAAGATTGGGACCTAATAGAGGACCTTTGAGTATCTGGTTCAACGACGTAATTACATCCACCATGATTGGCTAGTGCCGCGGTCTGCAGGCCAGAAGAAAAATTGAGGGCGTGAGGCATTTGCTCGGGAGCATGGGCAACATGGGTGGCATGGGGTAGCGGTGGAGCTCCTAGCCTAGGTACCGAGTAGTAGGTAGGAGCTGCGGAATGCTTCAGGTTAGTTGTTGTTGTGCGGCAAGATCGGTCTGGTGGAAGCATGGGCTATATATCAAGGGCCAAGGGATTGTTGGAATTCTACGAACCTCTTCCAGGAAAATATTGCGTCGATGAGGAGGAGAAGTGGTTGCTCTTTTTCCGCACTTGACGTCGTTCCAGGCTTATCGTGCTTTGGTCTCTTTGCCCGAGGCTGATTGGTGCTGGGTGGGTGCTCCAGCCTGCACCCTGCGAGCTTGCAACAAACTCCTTCCATTCACCCACATCTCGATTCTCCCTCCACACTTCAACAGCTTCTTTCTTCATTTCTTTTCACCTCTCCGCTCTCTCTTGATCCTGTCCGGCTCTCCCTTGAGCTTGGGTTTTCTGCGCCTTCCGCTAGACATCAAGTTTTGTCGCCAATATGATGTCCTCGAGGCCTTTGGGCCGCCTGGCCTCCCGCCTGGTAAGTCATCTGAACGGCTTGCATCATACCTTTGCTCGCTTGGTGTTTCCGCAACCTTCATAGTTGCTGCATGGGGTTAATCATTGCGTTGCTTCTGGCCCTCATCTACGACCCCGAGCTGACATGGGTGCTGAACCTAGGGAGCCAAAGTTGGTTCTGTTAGTTATCTATCTACCTCGTTCCGGAAGCAGTACCAGCTCACTAACAATCCACCCCAGCCCTTCCGGATGTCCAGAATGGGTTATGCCACTGTCTCTGACGATCCGCTGAGCAAAAATAAGTCATACCTGGCACATCTGCATTCTTCAGAGTTCCTGACAGCCCAACACAGGTCGAGATGACGAACTGGGAGAAAGGCCATTACATCAACTACAAGTGAGTATCCGGCCCAATTGCTTCTGTTTTCAGACCTGGAGCTTAGAGGTTTCGACTCCTGAAAGTGGTGGCTTGGAAAATCTCATATAGCCATAAGACGTCGTTACTGATACTCCCTGCAGGAAGATGTCGGAAAATCTAGCAATTGTCCGCAGCAGACTCAACCGCCCTCTCACCTATGCTGAGAAAGTTCTCTATTCACACTTGGATGACCCGCACGGGCAAGATATCGAGCGTGGAGTTTCCTACCTCAAACTCAGACCTGATCGAGTCGCTTGTCAAGATGCTACCGCGCAGATGGCCATCCTGCAATTCATGTCCGCTGGCATGCCCTCAGTCGCTACACCGACCACTGTCCATTGCGATCATCTGATTGAGGCCCAGGTTGGTGGGGACAAGGATTTGGAAAGAGCCAAGGACATCAACAAAGAGGTCTACGATTTCTTGTCCACGGCTTGTGCGAAATACAACATCGGCTTCTGGCGTCCTGGCTCGGGCAGTAAGTGCTTTGCGTCTCTGAAAGACAGTTCGGTTGATGCTGGAACTATTCTTAATACTGTCTTTTTGTTGGGTCAACAATGATACAGGCTAACTGATGTTCGCACAAAACAGTAATACACCAAATAATTTTGGAAAATTATGCATTTCCTGGTGGTTTGATGATCGGAACCGACTCCCATACCCCCAATGCTGGTGGTCTTGGTATGGCTGCGATTGGCGTGGGTGGTGCCGATGCTGTCGACGTGATGGCCAACCTGCCTTGGGAATTGAAGGCACCCAAGATGATTGGTGTCAAGTTGACAGGTGAAATGTCTGGATGGACTTCTCCGAAGGGTGGGTTGGCTGTTATGCAGACTGTTGTTGCATTATACTGATTCGTCATAGATATCATCTTAAAGGTCGCGGGCATCTTGACAGTCAAAGGTGGCACGGGGTGAGTTCCCATTGTCCTGAAGCTTCTACTCATATCGACACTGGCTCTAACATATTTGCAGGGCAATTGTTGAATATCATGGTGAGTATGCTCTTGAACCTCGATACGTCCTCGGATGCTCCTACCTCATCACATTCTCCTGGACGGGCCGCGCCGAATCCGAAAATAAGTGGCACCGTTCTTGACCCGAATACACTCTACTTCCAACGTAGCCGGAGTGCTTGACAACGTCGAAGTCGTGGCCGTGTCGAATACAGCCGACAGTTACGGACAACCGACAAGAGCACCGCTATTCCTATGAGGAGACGGAACGCTCATTGCAAACGAAGGCCCCATCCGACCCAATGGCGAATGGCTTCTAGCATACCACTGTTTTTCAGTTCTGGCCCATCACTCACTGCGTTTTCCTTTCTTTTTTGGAGCAATCATACCATGGGGGATTATGCTAATATTTTTCCGAAGGTCCGGGCACCAATAACCTCTCCTGCACCGGCATGGGTACTATAGTAAGTGCCAAATATCCACGTTCGTCTAGACGTGAATGCTAACCATGTACAGTGCAACATGGGTGCCGAGATCGGAGCAACTACGTCCATATTCCCTTTCAACGACCGCATGTATGATTACTTGGTTGCCACCAAGCGCAAGCACATTGGCGACTTCGCGCGTGCATATGCTGCTGAGCTTCACGAAGATCAGGGTGCCGAGTACGATCAGCTCATTGAGATCAATCTTTCCGAACTTGAACCTCACATCAACGGCCCCTTCACGCCAGATTTGGCCACTCCCATCTCCAAGTTCGCACAAGCAGTCAAGGATAACAAGTGGCCTGAGGAGTTGAAGGTTGGACTGATCGGCTCCTGCACAAACTCCTCGTATGGTAAGATTTCCCATTCGCCCAAAGACCGTTTGGCTTTTAGGGTTGTTTTGGTCAGGATCAGTAAAGGCTAACAGATGGTCGTAGAGGACATGAGCCGGGCTGCATCAATCGCTCAGGATGCTATGGACCACGGCATCAAAGCTAAATCTCTGGTATGTGTTGGTGTGATCTTCTACCCGGACAGAGTTCGCTGACGATGTGAAGTTCACTGTCACGCCTGGTTCCGAACAAATTCGTGCCACCATCGAGAGAGATGGTCAATTGAAGACTCTTGAGGACTTTGGGGGCATCATCCTCGCAAACGCCTGCGGTCCTTGCATTGGTCAGTGGGATCGACGAGATGTCAAGAAGGGCGAGCCCAACTCGATCATCTCTTCGTACAACCGAAACTTCACCGGCCGGAACGACGCAAACCCTGCTACCCACTCATTCGTCACGTCCCCAGACTTGGTGGTGGCCATGACCATTGCAGGAAATCTCAACTTCAACCCTCTCACGGACACACTGAAGGACAAGGATGGCAACGACTTCAAGCTCAAGCCACCTACTGGTGAGGGTCTGCCCCGCAACGGATACGACCCGGGCCGTGACACGTATCAAGCCCCGCCTGAGGAGCGTGCGCAAATGGATGTGAAGGTGTCTCCTACTTCCGACCGTCTCCAGATCCTGGAACCTTTTGAGCCGTGGAATGGTAAGGATTTCCTCGACCTTCCTATCCTGATCAAGACCAAGGGCAAGACAACGACCGATCACATCTCCATGGCCGGTCCCTGGTTGAAGTATCGCGGTCACCTTGACAACATCTCCAACAATATGCTGATTGGCGCCATCAATGCTGCCAACGGTGAGGCCAATAAGGTCAAGAACTTCAAGACAGGCGAATGGGATGCGGTTCCTGCCACTGCTCGACAATACAAGAAGGAACGCATTCCGTGGGTAGTGATCGGCGACTGGAATTACGGCGAAGGCTCCTCTCGTGAGCATGCTGCCCTTGAACCCAGACATCTTGGAGGTATTGCCATCATCACCCGAAGCTTTGCTCGTATCCACGAGACCAACTTGAAGAAGCAGGGCATGCTGCCCCTGACCTTCGCTAACCCCGAAGATTACGACAAGATCAACCCTGACGACAAAATCGACTTGTTGATCACTGACTTGGCACCCGGCAAGCCGGTGACTATGAGAGTGCACCCCAAGGATGGCAAGGCCTGGGACTGCGAGTTGCAACACACATTCAACGCTGGTCAAATCGAATGGTTCAAGAATGGTAGTGCCTTGAACACCATGGCTAAAATGCACGGCAGCCGTTAGAAAAGGGATCGCGTTCGTCTCAAGTTAACATGCAACTATTGTACAGGATGCAAATCGAATGAAGACGGATGGGGCCGGACAACGGAGGCGGCTCAAGAAACCCTCAGTTAATTGAGATCGGGGACGGAAAGTGAGAAGTAGAGGTCACATATCAACCGTGTGTCGAGATGGACTGGCGGCAGATCGGGAGCATGATTTTTATGTATTTTTCGTAGCGGGAATACCAGTGCACAACAACTTTCAAAAGTCACCACTATATTCCATCCTCTTCTCATGAGCCCAAGCAGCTTCCACGCACTCGGATATAATGCTTATGTGTCTGAAAGCCCGAGCAGCACAAGGCTGCACGACGATGTCATTGAGAGGCCGTGAGAACCTCGGCATGTGGGGGGAATACCCGATTGACAATTACGGGCCGGCGATTGCGATATGCGCTGTATCTTCTGTCACAGCTTGTATATATAAGGACGATACCTCGTTCTCGGCTCTTATGTATTATGTTCCTACAGTCCCCGAAAGGGTTTTGATACGCGACCGCGTTCTTTGGAAGGGTCTTCTGTGCATGAAAAGGCCGGGATCCGCTGTGTGAAATGGCGTGAATGCACAGAGTCACCAACAGACAACCAAGTAAGACGCGAATTGTTTCTATCACACCTCCCAGAACCCGTTGCTATTATTGCTCCACCAAACAAATCCCCTTGACACCGAGCCAAGGCACATACACACCTTAAGCCGCCGATTCAACCTGTCTCGTCATATCCGACCTCGCAACATTTCAGCCTCTATATAAAATCGGCCCAAGAAGGATTAGTCACCCACGCTACCATCTAGAGAGAGATTGAGGACTATTACAAGCATCCAGCCCGTCAGGCTGTTATATGCGGCAGCTTTCCACGGGACCGAGACTCTTTCACAGCACCACCACCACCAACTCGACCTTTCGAGGCCGGAGACGCGCCATGGCACAGAACCTACCAAAACTCCCGGACTGGGAGCAGATCAGCACGAACATTGTTCGCATCCTGGGCGGGAATCCGAGCAAGGTTAGTGGGTGTGCACTCGCGTTGTCTGTCTAATATGGGCCCTACTGTTGTCATGGGCTCTCTATCTACCATTCCTCCTTCTTCTTCTGGAGAGACGGGCGTCGTCTTTGCAATTTGGTGCTGGGGTACAGGGAGACAACGGAGAGAAAAGACATGATGGCTTCAATATCCTACTCAAACCTTACACACTTTATGCTAACCTTCTTGTGGGAATAGTTCACGCTCCAGGGCACAAACACATATCTCCTCGGCACAGGGTCCCGGCGCATCTTGATCGACACGGGGGCGGGCGAGAAGAAGTGGATCGACACGTTACGCACCGTGTTGACCTCCCAGAGCAGACCCATTACCGTGTCGACATGCCTGCTGACGCACTGGCACCACGACCACCTAGGCGGGGTGAGAGACCTGGAAAAGCTCTGCCGGGAACTCAGCAGTCCCGAAGAGGGAGGAGGGGAAGTGAAGGTCTACAAGAACCAACCGTCGTGGAACCCGGACGGTTTAATCGACCCGTCGCGTGTGCACGACATCCAAGACGGGCAGATTTTCTCCGTTCCTCCCTCAGAGGACTCGGCGTCGAGCAGGACAACAACAGAGGAAGCGCCGTTTGAGATCCAAGCGATCCACACCCCCGGCCACGCCAAGGACCACATGGTCTTCCAGATCACGTCGTCGCCCGACCCGACGGAAGTGGGCGCGCTGTTCACGGCGGACAACGTGCTGGGCCACGGCACGGCCGTGTTCGAAGACCTGCACCTGTACCTCCAGAGCCTGGACGTGATGAAGAGACGGGTGGCGGACGCGGTCGTCGCGCAGCAAGCGCAGAAGGGCAGCACGAGCACGAGCACGAGCAAGAGGGCGTTCCCAGGCCACGGGGCCGTGATCGATGACGCTGTGGCCAAGATCGACGAGTACATCTCGCATCGGCGCATGCGCGAGGAAGAGGCCCTGAACGTACTCAAGCACGGCACCACGACGCCGCCAGGCGGCTCGGAGCCGCTCGTGCACGACAGCATCACGCGAGTCGGCGACAACGGCGACGACGAAGCCGCAGGCGCTTCCCCTGCCAACGTTACCGTCGGTGGAGGCGAGCTCGCGCTGGGCGAGGAGTGGGAGAGCATCGAGATGGTCAAGGTCATCTACCGGCACTACCCAGAGAACCTATGGCAGCCGGCGGAGAACGGGCTGCTGATGGTGCTCGAGAAGCTGCGGCGCGACGGCAAGGTCGTGCGCTCCAAGGAGGGGAGGTGGCGGGTCAGTGAGAAGGCTACGCTTTGAACTTGACTTGAGCGCTGGATTGGACGCTGAATGTGGGACGTTGGACGTTGGACGATATGGTGTTGGAAGAGAGGTTTCTCACGATGATTATCGTCATCGTCATAGCGCCGAAAGGAGGGATAGATGTATGTGGCCAACGCTATTGAGCTAGACAGAAGGGCCGTGAAGTTCAAGTTCAATTCAAGCAAGCTTAAGGAACAAAAGCCCAAACGCGTGTGTGCATGTGCATGTTGACAATATCTACCAAGAGGGATGGGTTTTTAATCAAGATCTCTCGATACTCTGTTATTTTTGTTTTCATGGCTTTCTTCCCTTCCTTTTCTTTTCGGCAAGGAGAAAGACAGAGGGAGAGTACAAATTACTCCATATCTTGTCTCCTATCTATCTCAACTCTTTCTCCCTGAAGAACTGAACGAGGCCCTGACCTACGCCTTCGGGGCTCGGTTTGGCAGCACACACGTCAGGGTCGAAGCTATACTTGTTTCTGAGATGGTCGCGCGTCGTAGGACCGATGGTCACAATGATGTACCTGGTCTGCGCGTCTGATGCAGATACATCGCCATCGTTTTTTCTGAAGTTCTCCCACCTTGTTGTCCTCGCACGTTCGGTCAACGCTTTGCTTTCATCGATATAGTCTAGGGATTGAAGCATGGATTCGCAACCCTGAGGACTAAAGACGACCACCACGGCCACATTGACCCCGTCGTCCTTGAACGACTTGATCCGCCTTCGAAAGTCATCTTGAAAAGATTCCATGACCACGGTGGTGTAGACTTCGACCTCGTCCACCTGGATCCTCTCCTCCGGCGCCAACTTACCTTCGTGATCCATCAGAGTCTTCGGTATGACATCCCTTCTCTGTTCACCGACAAGGAAGAGCAAAGGCTTCTTTTGCAGTCTCGCGTCATCTCTGTCGACCCGTTCTCCCCTCGCCGGCCCGAGAAGGGGCGCGAATGGCAGTCGCGGCGCGTCGTAGAAGGTATACATTTTCCGCGAATGCAGGGCGTTGTAGTGCGAGAGGATGTATTGTGCTAGTTTGTCACCGTTGCCTGTGGATTCGCCCAGCACGGAAGGCCGCAGGCGAGAGAAGGGCGAAGACTTTGAGGACGAAGATTCGGCGACGAGGGCGTTTAATGCCCGCGAGGTGGCAGGTCCAACGGTGTACAGGGGGAACGCAAAGTCATCGTCGAAGAGATCCCTCGCAGCACCGCCATGGTCTGCTGTGGGATCGGACGTCTGCGTCACTCCTGTCAAGGGACACCTACAAGTCAATTCCTTTCCCCGTGCATAGGGGAATAGCGCCGGAGGGACAGACCATACCAGTGTCCAAATCCGGAGTGTACGCACTCACTCCTCCTTGTCCAACACCGTCCGTGCCCCCCTGTTGCTCGGCCCCTCGCTCGACTCTCTTGACCACGTCGGCCCACGCCTCGACCGCCCTCTGACTAGTGAAGACCATCCCACCATATTGCGCACTCAGCCTCCCCCTCTTCAGCAGGTCCTCGAGTGTGCTCAGATTCTGGGTGTTGGCTCGATGGTCTAGCACGGGCACGAACTCGGGCAGGAAGACGGGACTAGGACTATCCGTGTTCTTGGTGGTGGAGGCCGTAGCATCGCCACCGCCGCCGTTGCTGCAGGAGGCGGCGAAGTATTCCTCGTAAGCATCATGTGGGTGAGACCGCGTTTTAAGCAGGAGCGTGGGGATGGTCAGTGGACTCGTCATGTTTGTCGTGTGAGCCGAGCCGGAACCCGCAAGCCGAGCTCTCTGAGACGTAGAGGGTATGAAGTAAGGAGGGGTGGTGAACGGAGGATGATCGGGCGAGGGGAAGAGGTCGTAAGCTTCAGAAGATGGCTGTGCTGAGGGACAAGTGGTTGACAGTCAGTCCTGGGAGAGGCGCAGTCGTCAATTGATTCAAAATTCATCAGTGACAGTGTGAATGTAAAACAGCTTCAGCATCAGCAGTGCAGACACATGATTCCACATACTGGTCATCCGCAGTTGCCGGTGCTGACTCTTAGACCCAACTATGCTGCAAGGTCGAAACAGCTTGTCTGAGCCCGTTTCTGCAATTGAAATCAAAGCAATCCGCCCGCACTCGCCGGCCCCAGACCTGGATGACAGAGGTGTGGATGGACTATGTATGGTACAAGTATGTGCTAACAAAAGCCGCAGCCTTACGAGGCTCTCTAAGAATCGGCAAACATTGCCGTGTCGTGCTAGCTAGAATCATGCTGGGCGGACATCTGGGCGTGCGTACCTTGATTCTTGGTATGTACCGAGTCCGCAGCCCTTGCTCATTCCTCCTCTTCGAAAGCACAAGACCATCAAAAGCGTAACTACGGCCCACCATTTCTCTACCTTTCCGTTTTGCCGCGCTGAGTCCGGTCTGTTTCTAGTACACCACACTCTCACACACACGAAGCAGCCCGTCTCACGGTCAATGTCCTGGATGTTTGTTCCCTTGCCAACGGTGTAAGGTTGCTGCTCTTGCTGATTCAACCATCTGGACTCTGTACACAAATTCCCCAAAGGACAAGAATCCCTTCCGATCTCGTGAGCCTTGTGCGAGCAGTTTTGGAGGCTCACGCACGAAAAATGCCTTTGCTCTGTACGAGTCATGGGAAACATTGTTATTAGACTGCAAGCAGCCTTGCGGTTCCGCCAATTCTCCTATTCCTCAGACAAGTCTCGTGAGTTATGACCTTTCTGCAAGTGCCTCAACAACTGCGCTGGCAAACAGCTTGGGATATGTCAGTCCACTCCAGAATTTGCCCTCTCGTTGTATCTCAATGGATTCGCCCAAACACAAGCAGTAGAGGAGGTCTATAATTAGTAATCCATTTTTCTGCGAACATTTGGAATGTGGCATCGATGTCATGAGCCTCTGAACGTGCTAGCAAGAACACTCCTGCCTATCTAGCAATCCAGAGGAAGGACTCCACCAGTTCGAAGAGGCAGCCGACAGGACACACATTTGCTGACCACGGGCGAGATTTCCAGCCGCAGACCGACCATGGAGTCTTCTGGTGACGTTGTTGTTGACTCCCAGGGATACAATCTTTCGTTGGTAGGACAGGCTAACAGAAATGGGCGGCTCACTGGCTACGACAACGTCCCAAACCTCGTACAGCCGACTAACATTGACAGGTCGCACAACAGCAGCAGGAAGGCTGCCTTTCTTTCCACGGTGGAGCAAGGCGATAGGACGATTTTTTGAACAATCTTCCACCTTAGCCAGAGCTTCAAGTAGTACATTCGAACGGCCAAACCAGCAAGATGAAGCGGGAAGGACTTCTAGGGAAGGTTTGTGAGCCATACGAGCTCCAGATTGGGACACAGGGTTGGACCAGGTGATAATTCGAACAGAAGACGGATAGGAAAGGACGTGACCAGACGGCGTCCATGGCGGCCTTGATATCAGTTTTGACAGCCGTGAAAACTGCCAGTGAGGCAATCAAGCTGAAGAGCTGTCGTCAACCGTCATGTGTTTAATCGCTACTCTCTGAAGGGCCCAGAAGCATCGGTCTCGTATTTGTTTGTTGCCTCATGCATGTCTTAATTTAGCCCCCGAGGTAGCAAACATCTGCATCCTGGATCTGCGCTATTCTGCCCAATGCCAAAACAGTCTGGGGAGACGTAAAGGCAAACCTTGATTCAAGGTTTGTTGACGTCTTGTGGGTGAGCGTCCGTGACACGGCAGCTGTCATATTGGCCTTGAAAGCGGTCGAACCAACCATTCGCAAATGACTGTCACTTTCCGAGCAACGCTTGGGACCCTGGCTGACACCGGAAGTATAGCGACCAGCATACCACGTACCCAATGTTCTCGGGCGTAGCCAGCGCATGAAACAGTATAGACTTGTGCCTTTGCGTTTGCTGCAGGCCGGCGTTTCAAATTGCCTGTCTCGGTAAGCCTGGTATGATGGCCCTATCATGTTGCCCGCGCCTCTTTGAATTGAAATTTTGGTACATGCACATGGGACAATTGGGATTCCCAACGGGCCTGGAACACTCAGACCCCATGCAACAAGGCGACGCATGGGGAAATATGCGGCATGACGGACGTCGTCCGGTTTGGCGTTGCCAGAGTTCCACACAATAACCCACCACGAGGAGCCCTTGCTCAAGGCGGTAACACGCATACATGTCAAACTGGCTAACCTCTTTGCTGTGTGCAATGCACGAGCACATTTGACTTCAGGCTTGATGAAGCCGTCGCGGGACGAATCCATCAACTTTTTCCTGACGCGCCGGAGGGTCCGAATTTGAAAATCATCTTGGCCAGATGCCCAACTGAAAAGCCCGGGCTTTTATCGTCTTGCTGAATTGAACGGCAGGTGGGGATCAAGCCGCTGTTTGCCTTCCTCTGGCGCCTAGACCTTGGAGCTCAGTGGCAATATATATGATGCGCTCAAACAACTTCGCGCTGTCAATCCTGTGACACTCGCTTGCTGAACTCACGGCCTCGTACCATCCATCATCTTGCACATATATTTCGGGCTCTTTTATCACTTCTTTTGCTTCATCGCCAGAATGCCTCAGAGACAGCCGGTAGGACCGAGAGCTCCCAAGGATGACTTCATGAGGGCTCTTGGCTTGAGCACCACCGATCCTCGCCACGAAGGGTATTATCGGGCTATGAGAGTATGTTCGAGGTGGACGGGGGAAAAGCCCATGCCAGAAAAGCGTCAACGGCTGATCAGGCGACAGGATGAGGCAATTGCCGTGTATAGCAAACTGAACTCGGATCGATCGAGTCTGATAGACGAGAAACGAAACGACTCATCTACAACGCCTCCTTTCTTTTGGCACCACATACGCCTCGACCGCCGCCGGCAAGCAATCATTGACACCTGGCAACAAGCAAAACCTGGCACCATTCAACGAACGCTTTTCGATCAAGGCGCGACCACGGGCGAGCACGCTCCCAATTGGGTGACTTTGTGGCTTTTGTACAGCGTCTTTCGGTCTCGGGATATTCGCAACAACCGCAACCGTCGAGCCGGTGAAGGAGGTAGTAGCGGAGGTAAGGACGGTCCTCCTTCTCTTGACGGACTCGACGCTGAGTCGTTTTTGATGATACAGGTCAGAGCTCGAGTTCCAACGATTCGCAAATATTCGATCCTGCCCGAGACAAATATGTGCGTCGCTGAACGGATGGATCGGCGGGAAGACCCTTGTAATTCTGTATGACTCTTTGTTTGATTCCATGGCAGGCTGTTGGGCATATATTAATGGCGTTTTTAATCTTCGTCGTCTCCATCGTCCTTGTTCTTCTTCGACTTGCTCTTGCCCCCGTTTTGGCGCTCTTCTCTCAATGCCTTGACAACAGCTTCGTCGTGCTCATCCTTTCTTTCGTCCCATTCCACATCATACTCAGAAGCCACCGCCTTGATTTCCCTTCTTAGAGCATTTGCCTCCTCGGTCAGAGTTTCCCACTTCTGCGGGTCGAAGCCCTTGAGCTCGTACAAACGGCTCTGCCGACGACTGATGGTGAGGTTCATCGCCGAACGATACGACACCTCGCGATTATGGTATAAAAACCACATATAACCGCCAATAATTGATCCCATTCCGACGAGATAGGTCACAGGCTCCATTACATCCCATCCGAGATCCGTTTCGAACGTCAAACGATATACCACGTACCAGTATCCAATCAAGACCCCGCATCCGCCGAGGGCGATCCTCTGTCCACTTTTGTGGGCGGCCACATCGCATTCGTGCTTGATAGCAGCCAAATCAGCAATCTTCTTCGAGATCCTGCGAAGCCTTTGTCGAAGATAGAAAGTTCTATCGTTGAAAGACGGCACGGCAACTTTGATTGTTCTCGGGTTGCCTTCAATTTCGACTTCAAATTCTTTCGCTCTAGCCGCGTCCCTGATGAAATCACCAATCTCGGTGGAGGCACTCCATCTGACGAACTCGCCGGAGTCTTCGCCCGTCCCTTCTCTGCCAGCTCCGCTGTAGCTTTGGACACCACCCTCTCCGAGAGCACTCTTCTGTTGACCCCGTTCTTCCTCTTCTAGCGTCTGGTTCTTGGGCATGATCTCATCGCCTTCAGCCTCCATCGCGCGAAAGGATATCGCCGGTAACCGTTTGTCTCCCTTTTCAGTTTCAACGCTAGGTAATTCGGCTTGGATCAACCTTTCGAGGTAAGATAGTGGTTGTTGTGGGTGGACAAGGAGAGCAAGGGGAGCAATATTTTTCCTGTCGTCATTGTGATCGGACGTAGTCAAGGGCAGAACTAGTTTGAGCAGTCTCGAAGGGGTGGTGAGCAGCTTCCCTACAATCTCGTTAATGCGAGCTCCTGCGACCGACCGCCAAGAACTATGTACCTTTAGTCATGGCCCCTGCAGAGCGTTGTCGTCGCACAGGAGGCTCTTCCGCTCCTTGACGATGCCATGGTGTCCGCTGTTGCTTTTCTCCATTGTGTGCCAGAACACTGTCAAATTCTGAAAGAGCATCATCGACCCCCTGTTGATTGAGATCTTTTGCCTTCTGTTCGTGAGAAATGCTTCTGCAGCCATATGAAGCGAAAGCGGCCGGATCCAAGGGTGGTAGTCTCGGGGGTGTAAGGTATTGAGGTCGACAAAAAGCAGAGGGTCGAATATTGGGCGCGCGATGGGCATGGGTCAATGGTTTGACCGATCCGAGTCGCCCAAGGGTGAATACGACCCGCATTGTTGGCGCCTCTCTCAACGGCTACAAAGGTCACCGAAGCAAAACCACCATATCGACGGACTGCTGGTGTGCGCTCCGGTTGTGTGGTATTGCGCAAGACGGATGCCGTTGGTTCGCGAGATAGAAACAAGCACAAATGCAGCTTCGAGATTCCCAGGATTGCAGCATGATGATCAACAGGGCAAAAACGCAGGCGACGTCATGGCTCCTGAAGCTTGGAACGCAAGTGTCAGCCACAGCCGGAACAGTTGTGGCCCAATTGGCAATCGCCCACCAGGCACCACGGCACCCGCCTGGGAGGCTGCCCAAGCCACCGGGCAGCCTACTAGCCCGAAATACCTTCCGCAACTCCTGCTAGCTTTGGTATACATACTGTACCAACAAAGCTCAGAGTACTCGGTACCAAGTAGATATCGGTACTTAGTAATACCTAGCTCGCTCAACAACTCGTCAACTCCTGGTGAACTACTTGGAGATTTCAAGCGCCAAGTTCTGAGCTAAGCTTGTTTGACCTGCTCGGCGGTAGCAACAAGTCACCTGATGCTTGCTCCCTTGCTCCCTTGCAGACTTGGTCGCTTGGAGGCCGCTGGTGGCTCGCTTTCTCCTTTCCCGCCTTTCACCCCTCGCTCTCCTCCTGGTCTTCCTTCCCTTTCCGCCGATCCTCAACATTCCGCCCTGTGCTGTTCGCTAGCAAGCACTCCTCGGCGACTCTAGCGAGATCAGACGAAAGAGCGGGCTCCTTAGCCCCAACAGGAAAACCCCCCAGGAAACCCCTGTCGAGTTCCTACGTTTTGGACCTTCGTGAAGAGAGAAGTAGATAAATGATTTGCTATTCTAAATTCTAGCATCAAGAGCATTCACACATCCTTCCGGGCTAAACAATTTGGATCAAGGGGGGATGTTGTTCTCGAGAAGCACTCCACCCGACTCTTCAAGCCGCTATGCTTCAAAAAAAAAAAAAAAAAAAAAAAAAAACAAGGCTCAGAGAACCACACAGTTGCCTGCTAAACTCTTTATCTAACCACGGCCAACCGTCACAGAAAATGCATAGTCGTGTCATCATCATGAATCATGAGGTAGAGGAAAAAAAGAGAAAAAAAATAATAATGGACGATTGAGCCCCTCCGCCGAACGTCATGGTCTCGTGAGTCGTAAGGTTCGTACACAGCATCTGAAACGATCTGATTGAGGACATTATCCGAGAGACAGGGCCTGGTGAACTTTTCAAGGTCGTCGGCAGAAGGCTAGTACCGTGGCACGGCTCGTCTGCTGTATTGGCCGGCGTCCGAGGAGTAGACCGCTCGACGAGATGGAGGCGTGCGCAACGGGCTCGAGAGGCGAGACTCGCTCCAATCAGGGCTGCTTCCTCCACTTCGGCTTCCAGCGCTGTCAGAGTCGCCATAGCGACACTCCATTCGAGTCGTGTCCGTTCCGCTCCTACGGCTGTGACGACCGGAGCCAACGGGCACTGGATTGCCCTGTATCACACCCCCGTGGGCAAATCCAGTCGGGTACATGCCATCGTTGGCAGAGAAGTTTCGGCAAATGTTGAAGGCAATCAATGCAGCATTCTCTTTGGCCGAACTCTCCGAAGAATGATGCGTAGGAGTTTGGTATTCGCGGTTGTTCACCCTGACAACGCAGCGATACCCAGAGGGACTATAGGATATTTGGTAAGCAGGCTCGGGCCATCGCCGGCGCTGACATAGACCTGAGGAAGAGCCGTCAGTGTCTGAGAACAGAAGAGAATGGGCAAGCGTCGAGCAAAGATGAGTGTCAAGAAGTCCACAATCGAACAGGAATCCAGGAGAATTTCCACTGGTCGTGTATTGGGACACATCTGCAAGGCTGGCCGACCCCTGAGCGACCAAGAGAGCGTGTAGTGAATCTCAACAGGTCAACATGATGAGGCACTCAAGCCAGGAACAAGTGTGCAAGCCAGGTATCGGAACCAAACTGGAAGAACGAGGCGTTGAATGAGACATACTGGCCAGGTAGACGGTGTGTAGCATGTCTGCTTCAATTTGAGGTTGCTTTGGGTACTTGGAAGCCCGATAAACCGTGCAGCCAATTGTTGAACAAGAAGGAAAAAACCACCAAACAAGTCAGACGGTTGACAACGAACAAGAACTTATCAACCAGTGTCACCTCTCGCGCAAAGATGTCGCCTGGCTTGAGGTACGGCGGGATTTCGTAGGGCAAAGGTTGTCAGGTAGCAGCAAAAATTGATGGCATCGACATTGCTGGGCCTTTTACAGGTGAACCATGGTGGCATTCCCGCATATTTCATGCTTGGATAACAGGAGAACCCTGCACTGACAGCAAAGCAAGCGCGAAAACAGCGGCATTGCGTGGGGCATGCAAAGAGATTCCACAGTGGCCAAACGGCCTCGAGTGAGCGGCTGGGTATTGGTCCATCTTAGGGAGGATAACATTTTCATGCTCTTCTGCCATCGTAATGTGTTGATGTGTTGGCATGCTTTGCAGCCAGTTAACGGAACCTTGATGTCGGGGCCATTCTTAGCATGATTCCTCTTGTCTGGGGCTCCTGCAGATCCAGATACAGGGCTTGATTGGCGACAAGCTGCCTTGACGATTCCCCGCGCACACCGTCGAATGAAAAAGTGGCCCGTATACCAGAGGTGCTCGTGGCTTGTCATGGCCGTTCGGCTCTGACTTGCTTCTCCGCTTACATGCGTGACCGGTGAGGCTTGCAGAAGAACAGCTTTTGCGAGCCGACTTGGATCCGAGGAATAGATCTTTCTTCTGGGCCTTCACTAGAGATCTTCCATTGACGCAATCAGCGTTATGCAGAGACAGCTGGCAGGTGGGGAATGGTGCTCTGACGATGCAGGGCCTTAATTTCGGTTGGGTCGTCTGCCCGGGGTACTAAAAGCCACCAGAAAATCGTTGACGAAACGCTCAAAGCAGCCGAGTACATACACATTCCGTACCAATATCTTTGATAGGCAGGTTAGGCGCCAAGGGAAGGTTGCAACACGAGCGGAAAATCTTCCTCTGCTGAAAAGTCAAAACTCTGATGTGCGCAATTAGATCAACCTGATCAAAAACTGTGCATCTTGCCACCACCTCGCCCTTATGCCATTCACACTTGCGTCCTGTTTCAACTCGATGGCGAACATGGTTAGGCAAGTCGACGAAAGTGTGTGCTGCAGTGGATCATGGACCGCACTCAACTCGCAGAGCTCCTATGCATGAATGCGTTGTCAGTAATAATGCAGGTTCCCAGATAGCCAGAGCAGAGCAGACTTTTTGTCGGGCAAACTCGCATCAGAGCTCGACATGATGTCTCATGACCGTCTTCTCGGACCATCTGGGCAATGGAGACGCACCAGCCTTTAAGCCCTGATTTAAACGAGCGACAACCTGAATATAAGACGATGAATTCTTAGATGTTTCGATGACGGACAATCAGAGAGACTTTGATGCGGCTGAAGGGTAGTCCGGACGGTCCAGGCGAGCCTATGTGAAAGGACCTGAGTAGACAGCATCAGAGTTTCCAACATGTCGGGAGAAGCTTCGCTCGAATCTGCAAGCAAGGCAGGTCCTGCAACAGCAAACGTAGCTGACCTAACTTGGTTTGTTGACTGCATGAACCGGAGCTATTCCCCCACTCAAAGCCTGTCCAGTGCGGGCGGGCCTGCATTGGGTGGTAGTGATGATGCTAAGCATCCAACAATGATGATGAGTTCATGGTCAAATAGTTGACAAAAGGTCTCGCGACTGGAGTGCCAATGCTGGACATTCCGTCGACTAATGAATCGAGAACTGCGAAGCAGGAGAAGTAGGAAGAGGAAGGAGAGGGTCAGAATTCAAAGAATGATTCGAGTTTTGAGACTGAGTTGCTTGCTTCCACGGCTTCGCCGCATGTGGCGCCCCCCTGTCACACTAGAGTTTAATAACAACTGGATATCGGGGACAGGTATGGCAGGCAATAATGCAGAGAGAATGTGTGCTTCCAGGATTCCCCCTTGGTACCTGTGCATTGACTTCGGCACTGTTGGATTGCGTTATTCTGCGCCTTGCACGTCAAGAGGGCGCGCCAACGACCACTCGCGCATGGCCATCGCGGCTTCGTGGGGAATGACAAAGACTGGATGAACCTCCCTTACACCAGCACTTGTTTCAAAGGTTTTACTAGCATCCCGCTCGCTAGGGATTTCCGCTTTCGAGGATTGCCAGGTCAAGGCTGAACCAAATAAGTCGTCGCCGTCCGAGGTTCCGTATGAGTGGGAATGTTCGACGATACTTAGTCCAGAGAGATTGTAGCAAGTGTGGTACGAGTCCGGCCTCCTGTGAAGTTCAATCAGCAAATCCCGAGGCCACTCTGGGGTGACTAACTTTGATGGTTTGTCCCTAAGTCCACCACCCTTTGCCTGGCAGCAGCACAGAATATATCTTGCCAGACCTTCACTGCTGTACAAATTCTCGCTCACGTCCCTTGCCTTGTCACCAGCTGAATCTCGAGGGCCGCTCACCGCCGCTTGCGCCAAAGGCCAACAACCTCCCAGCCAATGGCTGTAGCAACCATCCACCAGTTTATTTGTCCGGCCGGCAAACCCACCTTCTGGAGCATATTGCCGGGAAGAAAGCCACCAGATCAGGGCGTCGACGTCCAAAAACTTGGGGATTGTTTCGTGCGGCGGACCATATAGGCACAGACAAGCGAGTGCGCAAAAGGCGTAGGACCCGTGGGCTTCGCCTCCTGGTGACGCTGCAACTCCACCTTCGTAGGTCTGGCAACGCGAGAGGTACTCCCCAAGACCATCCTTGAAAGTCTCGATACCAGCATCCCGAGCTGGAGAATCTGGTGGAAGCGAAAGGGGAAGGTTGAGGAGAGAAATGGCAATCAGGGCACAGAGAGCTCCTCGGGTGTCTTCCTCGCCTCCTTCGCATATCTGAAAGCCTCCATCTGCTTGCTTGAGCCGGCCAAGCCAATGCCACATCTTTTCGCGATCTACAAGTGAGTAAGCCTCTTCGCCACCGACCAAGGCAAGACTCAGTAGCGCTGCATATGTTCCAGCCTGATGAGCATCTTGTCCGAAGCCACCCCCGATGCCACCGTTGGGGTTTTGCATGGAATAAAATGTTTTCACGACCCTGTTAGCATGATCAGCCCCACCTCATCGTCACACAGGCACAGCATGAAAGGTTAGAGAAGGGTGAGGGAGCAAATGCAGCAGTTTTGTTACCTTGCACGAAATACGGAGACGTCTTCCCCGAGCATGTAAAGACCCACCAACGCCCAGTAGACCATCCAAGGACGACTGGCATCGATGCCGACGAAAGGCGCGGGGTATTCATCCAAGCTCTGTTGTAGGAATCCAATATGCGCCTCTCTTTCTAAGCAAGGCAGTCCAAACTCATTGAAATCGAATGGACTTCGGCAGGGATCGTTGATGCCATTGAGGAGTGGTAAGCAGTCGTTGACAGTCTCTTTTTGGACGGTGGATGTTTCTGTCTCCAACGTATCAAGCAATGGCGGTGGTTGCCAGAAGTACGCGGGTATTCGGTAGTTGACATTGTCCATGGTGGCCATTTTGATGTGTGAGGCAGGCTCAAAGTTGTGGAAAGTAGAATGACTTGTCTCAGGAGAGGTGGGAGGTTAAGATGTTTCCTTCAGCGCACATACCAGGCGAGAGATATGGCGTCACGCTGGATCTTGATATTGTTCTCAAATTCCCTGAACGTTTATTGCAATGTGGAGCAGGTCACGGCAGTCGGCGCAGTGGCCTGAGCTCTTGAGCAGCAGAACTGGAGTTGAGACGCGTCGTTGACCACAGATAATACTAATATACGGCGAAGATCTTGTCCTCATTAAAGGCTCATTTATGTCATTTTATCTCACCTTGAGATTGAGAGATGGAGATGGAGATATTATCGTATGCTTTGATTGCGGGGTAATTGTTAACAAAGGGTCAAGGCCAAGTCAAAAGCAGTTGTACCTACCCAGTATTACCTACTGAGTACCTAGTAGGCTACGAGGAGGATCGTGCTTGGCGCCTGCCCGCATTTGAGCAATATGTGTACATGTGTGTGTGTAAAATAGTACCTACCTAGGTAGGTACATATATATATATATATATGGTATATTTTTGATTTATATGTCCACTGGCCCCAACGTTGGGGCACCTACTTTATCTCTTGTTAAAGAACGTTCATCGATTCGGAGCCACAACAGCGCATACTGTTGTAAATCATCCTCCTTTCGCTTTGGAAGTATGTGAAGCAATGCAGCAGGGGTATGCCAGCTCGGCCAGTCCTTGAGAGCCGATGACCCGGAGCTCAATCAGTGGAAGAGCACACGGGTGCTGCGGACACGGCTGGTGACTGGCTGGGTCTCGCAGATATGGTCCGACAATGCTCCCGCAAACTGTTTTGTGGGTACACCGTCACCATGATGGTGCCGCGCGGGGTTGAGGCAGCGATATCCTCCATGTCTCAAGACCTGAAACGTCGGTCTGTCACCAACATTGCCCTTGAACGGAACTGACATGTCTGTGGGAAACTCGTGCTGTCTGGGATCGCCAGCTGGAAGTCGCGTTGCCGTCCAGGAGCAGCAATGGCCCGGTGGCTAGGCGCAGGCGGTCTCAGAAGTCTACACCGCTCTTCGAAGGGGGGAATTACCGGAACACCCTCGTTCACATTGTTCAGCTTGCGGCCCTTGACATGCTGTTCTCTGGAGTTCCCGTGTACCAGGGGGATACATGAACTGCAGATGCAGCGAGGTCGACGGCAAGGCTGGCTGGTGAAATAACACATGGGTGCAGAGATGAATAATAACAAGCTCATCAACAAGGACAGCGAGGCGCAGCACAGATCTCGTTCCCTCACAGGCGAAGGGTTCACACGGCCAGAGACGATGGCTTGGGAGGAAAAGACTTGCCATTGCAGGACTAGTGGTCAGCACCGTTCCGCGATTACTTGCATTAGTGGTGAGCTTGATTGGGGCATTGCGACATTTCTATGGTGGACTGCCATCGACTGCGGGTGCTCGTGCTGTTGCCGTAAGACTGGTTTTGCCGTTTGCAGCAGTGCGCAAGAGACCAGCTGCGCGCGTTCTAGGCGATTGACCCTGACCTAAGTAGGCATCTCGCACAGTTGGCCAGCGCCACGAAAGCGTTGCGTTTGGAATCAAGGACATGAAAAACTGGCGCGGGCGATTGAAATGAGCGGCAAATACTACAATAAAAAAAAAAGTGTGAGAAAGGGTGACAAGGCGCGGGCTAGACATCAAGAATCTCATTTGAGGAATTGCGTTCAAGCATCCTTCTCGTGTTGTTGTGCCGTGTCGGTTGTCAGTGGTTGAGTGAGTTGTTGCAAGATGATGGATGGCAAACAGGGCGCAGCCACCAAAGGTCCCAGCATGTTGGATATGGGTTCAGGAATGGTGATAATTAATTCCTCACACCTCTTTCCAGTAAATAGAGAAGCCCTCCGCTTTGTCTTTCTCTTTCCCGCCTCCTGACTCCTGCATTCTGTCTTTTGCTCCTCTCTGTCCTAGTATCTGCTATCTAAGTACCCAGTACTCTCCAACACGGAGTACCTACTCCTGGGAGATCCACGGAAAAAGACGGGCCTCGGCGCTACAGCTAATCCAGTACCCAAGTATTGGTCCTTGTACAAATCAGCGACAGCCAAGTGAAAACCAGTGGTGCAAGGACGGCCGGAAACCCACCTAACCAGCCAGCTAACTGCTACTGTTCTCGCCTCCATCTATTTTCTCGGCTTGGGGTAACTCAACAAAAGGTACCTCGTACCGAATACCTCGTACGTACCCAAGAGTAGGGACGGAGTCGGGTGTTTCCATCACCTCACCTTTGCCTCACTCAATCGCTCACCACCCACTCGCCCTCTCTCATACAGACAACCTAACTGACTGCCTGACAGCCAGAACCCAAGACACCTTTCTCTCTCTCACTCCAGATACCATCAACATCACACTACCCAGTACTCCTAGTTGGCTCACAGACCAACCCAGCCCTGGCCCCCCCCGATCCTCTCGCCCAACTCCGTTAGGCCACAAAGATTGGGGCTGTGAGCTGTGATTCCGCGAATCCATCTTGGCTCCTCACCCAGATCAGCCAGTCACTCGGCATCGGCAAGTCGGACGATACTTATCGCTTGGTCGCTGTTCAGCATTGGGGCTTTCATCCTGCAGGCGGCCTTTGCGACCTTTCGGACCTTTGGCTCGCTTTGGGTTCTGACCACTGAGTACTCGGTACTGACCACTGGCCCAACTGATCCATCATCCTACGAACCACTGGCATCGCACAAAGCGCAGTCAAGCGCAGTCCACCGAGCCACCACCCACCAACACCCACCAACACCCACCAACACCCACATCGCCCGCTGCCACTCTGCTCGTCTCCTCCCACTTTCTGCCGTGTGCTCCCCGCCCAATTCGACGATCCGCAAAAACCTGCATGCTCTGCTCACCGCCTCTTCCTGCTCTCTCTCGCCCTCGCACCTGACGCCCGCCTCTCAAGTCGACCTCGTCTTGAGCGGTCACTCTGTAACTCGTCTTCAGTTTCCTTCCTCCTTGCCTTTTTCTCGACACAGCTCATTCTGCTCTTGCTTCACAAGGCCCGTGAGAGAGAAAGAGAATCAACCAGTCTGTCCTCGAGACGCCTTGTCCTCCAGATCCCGCATATCTTATCCCACGAGGCTGACCGTCTGACACATCTTCCCAAACATGGCGGGCAACATCGCCCTGACCAGTGAAGACCTTGCCTACGATCTCGATTCAAGAGGCGCCTCCTTCTTCCGAGACCATGCCTGGCCTATACCAATCGACCAAGTAGCTGCTACTCGGCCAGATCCCAGGAGGAACATTTCTCCCATCCAGACCAACAGTCATGGCCTGCGGCAGACCACGATGGCAGAACATCCCATGATGGATACTTGGAGGTTCCAGCAGCACCAGCACCAGCACCATCAACAACCCCAGGCACAGCAGTCCAGTCTCGACTATGCCAACCAGCAACAACAGTACGATTTGCATTACGATGCCCAGTTCCACGGCATTCCTCTACATCATTCCCACATGACCATGATGCCCGTGTCGCAGGCTCCTTTAGCACCCGGCTTGTCGCTTGAAGCCTCTTACCTCCCCCTCGAGTCGGGCATTGAAGGCATGCCACAGAATTGGGCCGAACTCCAGAGCGAGTTGATCAGCTATACCACCACGGACGTCGGGCTTGCCGTTTCACCATATCAGCACATGACGAGCTCTCCCACCGGGTCTCACCTCGAAGTCCTCTCGCAACCCAGCTCTTGTGACGAACACGGATGGACAATGGTTGAGCCTCGAAACTCCTTTGAGTATGAACGACAATTTTTCGTTGATCCCAATCAAACCGTGCACAATAGGACTTTGTCCGAATCGTCATATTCAGATCTTGAGCAGCAAAGTCATGGCACATTCATGTCTAATCTCGACATGGGTGCTTCCCAAGCAGTCTACTCCCCGACCACTTTGTCAGACAGCGACTTTGAATACACAGGACATACTCACCGCCTGTCAATAGACCACGGTTCAGCTCCGTCTATGAGCGTCAACCCGTCGGCGCTCGTGCGTCCCATCCCCATCCCCTCGGCCAAGTCATCCGCACCGTCGATACGATCACCCGGTTCCCAAGGCTCCGGCAGCTCCCCTGGCCGCAAGCCTTCCAGAAAAAGTCCGATAGCGGCCAAGTCGACAGACAAGGTCATGAAGAAGTCATCACCCGGTGGAAAGGCCGAAGGGGAAAAGAGGGTCGGACGAAGAAAGGGACCGCTCCGTCCTGAGCAACGAAAACAAGCCAGTGAGATTCGGAAGTTGAGGGCCTGTTTGAGATGCAAGTTCTTGAAGAAGACGTGCGACAAAGGAGAGCCTTGTGCTGGATGCCAACCCTCACACGCCCGCCTGTGGCAAGTCCCTTGCACTCGCATCGACATCAAGGAGATTGGCTACTTTTTGAAGGATTGGAAGTTCGACTACGAGAGACACATTTCGCTCGGCTTCTCTGTGGGTAACATCAAGGGTTTCTCCGACACGGAAAAGACGCTGTTCATCACTCACGGCTACGGCCATATGCTCCCTGTGACCGCTCGAGAAGTCTACGTCAGGGATGAGACATGTCTGAAGATGGACTGGATCGAGGCCAACTCATTCGCGCCTGACGGCTACGAAGTTTCGACGGCTAAACTCTCGGCTGGCATGGAAGGCATCTCGACGACCATGCTGAGTGATTACCTCGACCGACACATTGACGGGACTGGCACATTTGAGAAGTTTGTGGACGACTACTTTGAGGGAACACCCTTCCTCTCACAAATGCTCAAGACGGCGTACCGCTTCTACTTCAAGACCGGATCGAAAATCATCAAGAAGGCGTTGAAGCTGATGCTAGCCTACAATCTGACTCTGCATATTACCATGGTCGAGGGTGTGCCCAGTGAAGAGTCTTTTGTTGGCAAGATCGAGGAACAGACGTCCAAATTCTTTGGCAAGACGATGGCGCCGGTCATGATCAACTTCCAGATCAAGTGTGCCATGGCCGACATGTGGCGTGAATTGCACAAGGATGTTCTGGAAGAATTGTCCAGTCTGTACTCGAGCGTGTACAGTGGAGACAAGCTCAAAAACTGGCCCACCATCTTCATCCTCGCATCAGTTTTGCTGGCCGTGTGGGAGTGCATGCAGTTTGACTGCCACTACCGTGTACCGGACAACGCGGCCGTGGAGAAGTTCTGCAACGACATGGAAACTACTCCCGTCGGTGTCGTGGTCGGCCTTTTCCAGGCCATCTCTCAAAAGCTCCCGTCGTTCCTTGAGTGGGACACCTCCAAGCACCATGCACTCCTGGCATCCAACATGGATGTGTGCAACACCATGAGCGAAGTCCGCGAACATGTTACGAGATATGGTGAGTGGATGCCCCCTTGGCTTTTTATTCGTGCAGAGAACTGATTCGGGGTGCAGAAAACTACTTACGAGGTCGACCTAACGCACGGTTCGACCGCAAAGACTTTGATTCGTTGTCGAACAAGTTCCTTGCCAAACTTGTGATTCGAGCGAATTAGATCTATGATGTATTTACGGCTTATGATGAGAAAATCCCGTCGTTGCAGATCTCACGAGATATTTGACGTCTCCCACGATACCATGCGACGCATCTTGATATTTTTTTTCACGCGAACCGGATGGACGATTGATGAACGACCACGGCGTTATGACGACGAACTCACTCACTAGCATGAATCTAGCCTTGATCTATTTTTTCCTTTCCTTTTTTTTCCCCCCCAGATATATATTTTTATGTCGAAAAGGTTGGTCTTTTTTGGAAGGAGGACTGGGTAGAGGAAACAGGGCCGCGGGGAGAGGCTGTGGGATTTCATTTGGAAGCATGAACAAGGACGGCGCTGTGCATGCAATGAGCGTTCCAAAGCGATGTCCTGCACCATCTTGACCAATCATCATATTTGGCGAGGCTATTGGGCGGGAATGCAACCGCTCAAGCAATTTACATAGACCGCAACGAAAAAAAAAGAGAGAAGAGGTCCTCACGGCAAACTGTCGGCAATTATCACTAGCATGGTCATGTGTGTTGAGAGATATGAGATGTATGGGGCATTTCGAACATGACGGGACGAATGGGTATGTATCATCCACTCGTCAATCGAGACGGTGCAAGAGGAAGTTCTTTTCCTCTGGATAGTTTGGGTAGAAAAGCATCTAGTACTCAGTACCTATATGGGTTTTTTTTTTTTCACTTGTAGCTCTTTCGCTTCTCCAGTAGCAAAGGTGTTTTTTTTATTTTTTTAAACAATAGCTATGATAGCCGAGTCCAGGAATTGATGGGCGATCCAATTCCAATAGAGTGATGGCGGCAGCTATTCGGGCACAAGGGGCTGGGAAGCATTCCGTATTGAGTAGTTGTAGGCAAGGCAGTGGAAGATTCGATTATGCACCGAGTGTTTTGTTGGTGCTGGGTCTAGCTGGGTCTAACTTGCCCGACGGAACCTTGATCCGAAGCTGGCCTGACGTATCAAGCCTGTATGTAGTAGTATCACAGCCGGAACGGTCTTTTCTTTTTTCTATAAGCTAACAGCACCAAGAAATCCAACGGCCTTGGAAACTGAGAACAAGGAAAGCACCAGAAACATCGCCATCGCCATCGCCATCACCCTTTACCAACATCTGGTTTTGCCGAAGATGGGCCTCAATTAAGCCGAACGTGTCCTCTCACATGCTTGCAACTGTTACTTTTGTGTCACCCTGTTCGCCTTGCACAACTACCGTAACTCCTCGACGACTTCAAACTTTGCACTGCACCCCTCGACGACCTTGCATCTGAACCCTCCCACTCAGAGAATAAACCAGAAACCATTATCATCTGCACACAACTCTCCACTAAACCCCAAGTCTCGTCCTCGTGGAAGTTGAAGAAAACGCACCGAGCAGTCAAATCACCGCGTACTAGCTGATACGGATCACGCCTTCCTCGATTCATCTGTCTGCACCTGCATCGCGACTGCATTTTGACTGGCTTCCCGAAAAGCATTGGGCAGGAATTCACCCCTCGACAGCAAACGCAGGAAATCAATCCATCGACTTGTCAAGTTCAGATCGTTTCCTTCTTCATCGCTTCTTTTCTACCACCACCATCACCACCACCATCCCCACCACCGACTACAGTCTTGAAAAATACAAGGTTCACTGTAAGGCGCGTGGGTTCGCTGCTGCCACCAACGCCCCCCCCCCCCCCCGCGCCTTCACCTATTCTTCACCAACAGCCTCTTTCCTTTGACTCTGTATCCATCCCTTCCGCCCACCCCTTGCCATCTGACCATCTCCCCAAGGTTGGTCTGAGTCAGCTCTCGATAGGACACCGTCTAGGACTCTAACAGACACTTGATTTATCCCAACGGCAAACATGCCTTCCGCCACCGACAGCCCTCCCAAGGTGGAATCACGACTTCTCTTAGTCTCGAACCGTCTTCCAATCACCATCAAGCGTTCCCCCGAAGGGAAATATGATTACTCCATGTCGTCCGGGGGCCTCGTCACTGGTCTCAGTGGCCTAGCGAAGAGTACCACCTTTCAATGGTATGGCTGGCCAGGCCTGGAGGTCCCTCGAGAAGAGGTCGGTGATGTGGTCAAGCGCCTCAAAGACGAATTCAATGCTATCCCCGTTTTCGTGGACGACGAATTGGCCGATAGACACTACAATGGCTTTTCAAGTACGAGCCTCTAGAATCCCCAGTTACCATTTGCAGTTCAAGCTGACAGCTCTAGATTCCATTATGTGGCCCCTCTTTCATTACCACCCTGGTGAAATCACCTTCGACGAGTCTGCTTGGAATGCTTACACCGAGGTCAATCGCCTTTTTGCCCGGGCCATTGCTAGTGAAGTCGAGGATGGCGATCTGGTCTGGGTCCACGACTATCACCTGATGCTGTTGCCCCAGATGCTCCGCGAAGAGATTGGGTCCACCAAGTCCAATGTCAAGATCGGCTTCTTCTTACATACTCCCTTCCCGTCGAGCGAGATCTACAGGATTCTGCCCGTTCGAAACGAAATCCTGTTGGGAGTTCTTCACTGCGATCTGATTGGCTTTCACACCTACGACTACGCCCGACACTTCCTCAGTAGCTGCTCACGAATCTTAAATCTCACAACAACGCCCAATGGGGTCGAGTTTGAAGGCAAGATTGTCACGGTTGGTGCGTTCCCGATCGGCATCGACCCGGAAAAATTCACCGAAGGCTTGAAGAAGGAGAAGGTTCAAAAGCGGATTGCGGTGCTGGAGGAGAAGTTCAAGGGTGTCAAGTTGATTGTCGGCGTAGATCGTCTTGACTACATCAAAGGTGTTCCTCAGAAGCTTCATGCTCTCGAAGTCTTCCTAACGGATCACCCGGAATGGATTGGCAAGGTTGTCTTGGTCCAAGTCGCCGTGCCCAGCAGGCAAGACGTTGAGGAGTATCAGAATCTTCGTGCGGTGGTCAATGAATTGGTGGGACGAATCAACGGCAAATTCGGTGAGTTCTTCCTCGTTTTCCAACTTTCCTCGAGACTCTGGTTGGCTGACAAGCCCAGGCACGATCGAATTCATGCCCATCCACTTCATGCACAAATCGGTCAACTTTGATGAGTTGATTGCACTTTACGCCGTCTCAGACGTGTGTCTCGTTTCCTCGACGCGAGACGGCATGAATCTGGTTTCCTTTGAGTACATAGCCTCGCAGGAACAACGAAAAGGGGTGCTCATTCTCTCCGAATTTGCCGGTGCCGCACAGAGCTTGAACGGCAGTATCTTGGTGAACCCCTGGAATACCGAGGAGTTGGCAGGTGCCATTCAGGAAGCTGTGACTATGAGTCCAGAACACCGCGCCATTAACTATGCCAAGCTGCATAAGTATGTCTTCAAGTATACCAGGTGAGTCATCTGACGCCTCCATGAAACTTTGCTCTGGCGGCTTGTCTAACGACCGTTTCAAGTGCGTTCTGGGGACAATCTTTTGTGGCCGAGTTGACTAGAATATCCGCACAAGGCGAGAAGAAGCTGAAGTTACGACGAGCCTCCCTGATAAAATCACCTTCTCAGCAGCCGCCTTCTGATGCCAGAGATGGCGATTCAGGAACGAGACAAACTCCGTCACAGCCTGTGACAACTGCGAGCCCAGAGGTTGTAATTGATGGCGTGCAAGCATCGAGGAATGTCGATGGAATTTCGAAAGATAATCAGTCGATGACGTTGTAAATCAAAGGGACATCGGCCACCAATCTAATCCGAACCCACACGAGGTCACGCGGCGGAGCCCTTGACTTGGGCTTTTCTGTTGCATAACTTACAGTCACGAAGTATTACTATTAGACAGGTCTAGGGAGCAAAGCAACAAAGAAAGGCAGGCAAAGGCGCGAGGAACGATAGATAGGCACTCATTTCACGATTACGAGAATTTATGCTTGCAAAGGCCATAAACGACCGAGGGTCGACCATAGCGTCTGTAGATTGGGCGCCAGATTTTATGATGGAGCCAAAAGGCACATCTTTTTCACCACCTCTGGTTCATTTTGTACTTTTCGAATACAGATCTCTATATGGGTTGTTGTCGACGACCATGGCGCTCGTATTTTCTTTTGAAATAGCTCCCTGGTCTCCCCCCGAGTCTTATCGAATTATATAACTACGTGGCTACACACAATGCTAGGAGGCCACCCTCGGTGTTCTCCCTCTTTTCCTTCTCTTACGCGGGCACCGGGTTCGCTGCCGATCCCCCTCTCCCTTTCACTGCCCCTGCTTTCGCCCGGCTTGTCCTGCTGGTGCTGGTGCTGGTGGTGCTGGCGCTGGCGCCTTTGCCATCCCGTCTCCCCTTCTGCCTCAATGCCAGCTTCTTCATCTCGCCCTCGGTGCCGAGCCATCTGCCCTTGTCGCTCCCTACGGCCCGCGGCTGTCTCTGCTCGAGGGGCACGCCAAAGGGGCTGATGACCTCGCGCACAATGTACCGCACCCCCTGTTCCTTGACCACCCCGTTGCGGTCGCGCGGCCGATGTCTCTTGACCACCACCTGTCCGCGGCGGTCGCGCTCTTCCCTCATCGACGGGGGAAACGCGCCGAACCTGATCACGTCCCCCTCCAGGAGCAGGTTGTGCGGGTCGTGGACTAGGCTGTGCGTCGGGCGCGTGTAGTGTTTCTGGAAATGCGCGTGCCACACCTGGATCTGGCGCGTCACCCGCACTGTCTTTTGCATCGTCCCCACCCTGGACACGGTCCCCACCAGCGTAGGCGATGTAGATAAGAAGGCGGCATCCCGGGCGGCGATTTCGTGTGAGGAGGAGGAAGAAGGGTAGATCAGCGAGGGATCCCACGACGACGATGACGAGGTTGTGGTTTTCTCATTTTGCAACGAGGGTGGTGGAGTGGGTGGTGATTGTGATGAGCGTTGAGGGACAGAGGTAGAAGACGATCCTTTCGAGTCAGGATCCGTCGATGCGCGTGAGAGTATGCTCGGGGCAATGTTTGATCCGTCACCGCTTGATTTGCCCAGGATCATCGAGGCGTCGAGTCCCTCCGAAGATGCCGGCGGCGGCAGGTCAGTGATAGGCTGTGCTCGGTGTAGGAGACATGTTGAAGAGAACGTTCGTTGCTGCTGCTGCTGCTGCTGTACAGGGACTTTGCGGCATCGCGACGAAAGATGGCGATTCGTTCCTCGACTGGCGACCAGTGACGGTGCTGTCGACTGCGTCCGCAGGACGAGCAGCAGGCTCTGCGGTGCAGTAGGTCTTGCCCGACCGGCGCAGGCGCAGGCACAGGCACGCGCGAACGTCGTCGCAGAAGACGGGTTCATTATGACTGACTCCCTGAATGACTAGCCGGCTGGGAAACCACCGACCCTTCCTGCGTTCGTCTGCTCGTTCGTTCGTGCGGGCGTGGGTGCGTTCGTGCGTTTACCGGCGTCAAAGAGAGGATCGAGGATGCATTGGGGGAATGGCAATGGAGAAACCGAAAGCCAGCGGCCTCGATGCTATTATTTTTGGGGTTGTACGGCGCAGAACGGATGGCAAAAGAGCTCCTTGATGCTCGAACATGTCCAATGTCCAAAATTTTAGCGTGCATTGGATTCGGGGCTCCAGTCGGTGGAGCTGCTGGCAGCCTTGCTCAGCCTCGCTTAAGCCTTGCGGCGCTGGGCAGTCAAATCACAGCCGAGTCTTGCTTTCATGGAATGAAATTCGACAACAAGGCGCATTACTGGATTGTATCTCCGATGGCTAATCCTACAATGTTTTGCTTTTTCGCTCTCGAGGGAACCTTTCCCATCGGCCGTCTACCTCTCCTTTGCTGCTTCGAAACGCCATTCCCTAGCCGTCTCACACAATTGTGATCATGATGACTATGCCGCCCAAACATCCTTGCCGACGCCTTCTATCCAGTGGCCCAAATCGTTGACATTATTATCCCACTCCTTCAGCCGCTGCCTCATGCCCTCGATTTGGCTTCGTTCCAGTACTTTGGGCTGTACCCAGTTGATCCTCGCAATCTGGGCTACCTGGTCAATCTTTCCTCGCAGAAGTCCCAAGCTGAGGGCCTTCATAATCAAGTGCTCAATCTCATCGGGCTTGACATTCGTCTCTTGACTGATGGTCTTGAAAGTCATTGCACGGTCATGTGGAGGCCGCTTGAATACCAGCTCTGTCAACGCAGCCAAGTTGATCTTCTGCCAGAGGAACAATCGATGCGACTCGAGGATGGGATCTTTGCTGAGGTTATTGGACATCCGGTCGAATGCAGCGAGATCGCCTCGGTTGAAGGCAAACAGTAGGTCGCGCAGCCATGACTGAGGGTGTGGAGGCTTGAGGACGTCCAGAATGGGATGCAGCAGCAACTCCCCGAAGTTATAGATTTGGTCCGACACCAATGCAGCAATGGCCAGATTGTATGCTCTGTGCTGTCGTTGCTCGGCATTTAGCTCTGATTCGTCTATGCATGCAAGATACAGTAACGAGTTTCGGTAGTAGGATGTGTAGTCGCTCTCAGCTTGGTAATAGTCGGCATTGACTCGGTAGAAGGCAGCGTGAACCACATTCTCCACGAAATCAAATTGATCCAAAGTCTGTTGCGCCTTTTCTAATTGTTCCTTCGCCTTTGCTGCCTCTCCTAGCCTCAGATACACACTGGCCAGCTCGGTGATGGTGTAGACGTGCGCTTCTTCGGAATCGGGTCTAGCAACTCGATCGGCGAGAGTCTTGAGGAACTGGCTTCGTTCGGTGTCATCTGACGGTAATTTAGCATTGAGTTCTCAGTACCGACTCCTGGGGACGTACCCTTGATTTGCGCCGAGGCGCTCAATCCCAATTTGACGAGTTTGAGCTGGTTGATCTTGTCGGCGAAACTAATGATGAATGTGTTGTAGATGGGTAGTCTCTGAGCAGTACTCTCTGGATTCGAGAAGTATTCCAAAAGATTGTCTGTCAGTTGATGCCATAGCTTGCGTTCCCAGAGATCTTCGAAAGAGAGAAAGACATGTTGAAGTTCGGTGGGTGCTTCATCTCGTTGTTCTGCAAGGAAATTCGAGATTGCCTCCGGATCGTGTTTCTTTGACATGGCGATGCTAAAGCGGGAGGAAGGGAAGATGAGAACTCGAGTCGAATTCGGTTCCAGAATGTGCAGGACCTGTAGAAGACAAGAGTGGACAGACACCGTGTTGAAAATGGCAATCTATTAGTTGAGCGGCGCCCGCAGGCAATCGACGAGGCGCGTCAACGATCTAGATCACGTGCTCACGTCGCTTTGTGTTCCACTCCTACTTCGTATCACACCGCAGCGTTCACCGGCCCCTTTTTCTTTTGAAGATCAGCTGGCACCATCAAACAACGACCTCAAATGTTTAGGCACGCATTCAGGTGCCCAGCAACCGGCAGCTACTCAGGGTCATTGGATTCTGGGTGCTATCATCACCTAATGAGCAGTGCAACATATCCGACTTGCAGAGGGTTCTCTATGTGCCTCCGATGTTGTCGATCATGCATGAAATTGGTTTATGAACCCACCACCAGGAGCACGACTCCCTTGGAAGCAGCATTGCTCTTCACTCCGTTTATATTCTTGTTCCGGTGCTTGTGCCTACGTGTTAATGTCCAGGCGCACCATTTCTTCTTGCCAGCTTAGTTGTCACATGACTCGCTGGTCACGAGATCTTGACTTGGCGATCAAAACGGTCTCAATCGCTGTTACCAACCTACCCTCGGTTTCCCAAAGATTGATTTTCAAAGTCGGAGGCGTGACATACGAGATGCCTCTCGCTCTATGTTTTAACTACTGTTCTCAAAGCTCTTCTACTTAACCACCCTTAATGCATTACTGGCCAAGCAAACCATGTACAAGTTTGTTGCCACCAACGCCAATGTGTTCAGCCGGAAACGGAAACACCTGCCACGAGCTTGTGCTACTTGCCGGAAGAAGAAAAAACGGTGCAACCATGACGTCGGGCAAGAAGACGTGCAAGATCAACTCTCCTTGAGTCCGAATTATGGAGCAGTGAATGAGGTTCTTGGTGTGTCCCAGCAATCATTCCAGCAGCACCTTGATGGGGGACAATCGCCACTCAGTGGTTCCAGAACTGCGGCGTCAATCGATAAGCATGCAGTTATCAACGACTTGACGGCGGATCATGCAGAGCAAGGCCCTCCTACCGAAGCTGAAAGTGTGAACGATGGCCCACCTCTCGATTCAAGATTCATTGGGGACATGAATCCCGAGGGAGTTTTCCTGGCTGCAACGAGTCCAGAAAACGTGAGAGGGATGCCTAATGGGAGCAATATCGGGGTCTGGCTTGCAGCAAAGCTTGGAGATTCGCCAAATCTTCCCGAAAAATTGAAAGCGCCGCCGTCGAGTCTCCTCCACGGATTTACACCTCGTATTCAGAGAATATTCTTGCCCATTCTTGAGGAAGAGTGTTTATCAATTCTACCTCCTGCTGTACACTTCGACGCATTGTGCGCCCTTTATTTCGAAAAAGTCCACCCTATTCTCCCGATCGTTGACGAGGCCACGTATAGAAGCTTCTCCAGCGACAGCCCAGCCCGTATTCTGCTTGGGCAAGGTATGTGCTTGGCTGCATCGATGGATTTTTCTTCAAGAAGACACCTGGTCATAGCAGATGGTGCTCCGCTAATGTTCAAGGAATTCGGGATTCGCCTACTCGCTGCTATGAGGGTGGCAGTTGAAATTGGCATCGTGCTCGATAAGATCATTCTCACACAAGCGCTCGCGTTGATGTCGCTCTTCGTCGACGGGCCGGAAGGTAGCGAAAATTCATCTCTAATGATTGCGCGGGCAGTTCAGTATGTCTATTCGCTCGGTCTGCATGTTCCCGATCGAGATGGCGAGACTGATATCGAATATGCCCGAACTCTGTTTTGCTGCGTCTGGGCTCTTGACCGGCTAAATGCTGCTTCTCATGGTCGTGCGGTCGCCATGCATGAGAGGGACATCGCACGGTGTTTTCAAGAGTCATTCGCAAAGCAGGCTCCAACTTTCAGGCTCTTCTTACATGTCATTGAATTGCTTGATGGCGTCGTCAAACTATACCGCCCAAGGGCAACACCAAGCGAGTCGTCAGTCGACTTTGCTCTGTTTGAGGATCTTATCACAAGATGCTCTGCCACCCAAATTCCTACACACCTGCTAGGTACGTAAAGCTTCAGGGCTGTGTTGTCTCGATAGGGAAACCCTCTGACCTGATTCCTACGCTCAGCAACCATCGAAGTTCTTTATCACGCCGTCGCTATATTGTCTTTTCGTCCCCGTCCGGGTGACAATGGTGCCTTCGGTCCTACAGCACCGAGGACTCGGCAGATCTTGTCAGCGGAGCGGGCTACAGCTATGGTTGGACACGAGTTTCGCGACCAATTAGTTTTGCTCCCGTTTGTCCCTTATGCGGTGTCCTTATCCCTGAGTGTTAATTATCGAGAACTACGACGGAGCAAAATCCCCATGTACCGCTCGCGAGCCCGGAATGCCCTGGAGATGAATTGCCGGATACTGGAGACACTAGGCGAAATATTCTGGTCGGCCGCTGTCATGGCAGACATGGGGAATGTGACTCTTAAAGAACTAGACAGAGTCTATGCGAATGTTGCAGGAACTGAGCTCCGGAAAAGCCAACGACATGGGAATTTCACCGCAAAACAAGGTAAGCGCTATGGTATACAATTCTTGAGCTACAAAATACATCATGCTAGTAGACACGGCTGTTCCATGTCTAGCATTGCGTCGTCACACTCTCTGACAAGTCTATTGGAGCAGGCAATAATCCCTACTCAGGATCAAGACCAACATATGGTGTCTTAGACGCCAATTCAACCGTTTTCCAGGATCCAGGATTCTCCTACTTCAGCGAAATGCCAGAGCTGGATCCGTTTGAGATGTTTGATCCAGAATTCGACTTGGACGTCATCGACGCATGTCTGGAAGGCAACCTTGACCTCTCCTTTCCCACAAACCTACAGTGATCACTTCGCTGTAGTTGGCACTGCCTAAGACTCTGCTACTTCTCAATATCTCTCAAGATAAACGACATCCGCCGTGAACGTGCAGACAGCGCTGGTAGTGGATGTGGCTGCATCAGACCCAAGATATATCAACGCTTTTAGCTCATGCGGTTCGCGGTCTAGTCGGTCTGGCCGATTGTCATCAATTGCGGCAGTTAATACAGGACGAGTATGAAACGACCCAGAAATGACTGTCATTCCAGATATCTTTGCTTTTGTTCCCTTTTTGGTGCAACAAAATTGGGACTTGTCTCAGTGATGATATAGCTAGGGCTCATCAAGTATCAGTTTGCAGTCCAAGAAAGTTCAAGTCAACCGTGTAAAACATTGGCTTGCTAGTCTACTGGAGCCTACACTGCTGCCGCAGCCCTAATGTTCGACTCCAAAACCTTCACCAACAGACCCATGGGGCGAACTAGGGACATCTTGCGGGCATTAATTGCGAACTGAAGGGGATAGTCGGTCTCGGGCATCGCAACCTCGGGTTTGCCATGCCATGCCATTACTGATGCCTGGACTTCTGTCAGCCTCGACGAAATTGTCGGAATGCATCCTGCATCATCGACAGAAGGGACCACCAAATTCTGGACTCCTTGCTCGGCATAATGGGACATGTACCTCATGGCCTCGATGATCTAGTTGCACTATAAAGTCTCACGATCAGCCACCCTCTTCTCTAGCTATAACCTAACAAACCATACACCAAATACTCGCCTTCTTTTTAGCACAATACGGCGGACCCAACCTTGGGCCTGCGAGCTGTAATTCCCATGCTCTACATTTATCAACCGTCACTGGACCTCTCGCAACATCTCACACAGGACATGAGTGCGCACTTCTTCGTCGTCAACTTTGTATTATTGAGATACTAGGGCTCAATATATGGAGCCCTTGCGTTGAAAATTCTCCACGAGCTCTTGAGCGAGTTCTCCTTTCTCATTGACACCCATTTGGGCAGCAAAAGTGGTGGTCGGGACCCATCTGGACGATTTCCGAGGCGTGGTTTCCTCGAGCATGCGGTCTACTTGCTCAAGAGAGAGACCTGTTATACACAAGGATTTTCGGTCAGCAAGATAAGGGTTCATAGTGATGGGGTCACAGAGAAAAGGTCCAACGTACCCTTGGTCTCGTAAACGAGGAAGTATGCCCACCAAAAGCAGCCGCAGCAGAGCGCACCCCAGACGAAGAACACCTTGGCGCCCAGATTCCCTTGGTCGGGGTTGACCATGTAAGGTGTGATGACGGCGATGATGCAGTTCCAGAACCAGTTGGACGCCACTGACATTGCCACGCCTCGGGACCGGATGGGAAGTGGGAACATTTCCCCTACAACCACCCAGGCGCCGGGACCCCAAGTGGAGGCAAAGAAGAAGATATAGACGCAGATGAAGGCGATCTCGGCTCGGACGGTGGCCTGATTGCCGCCATCAACAGTCCCGACTATAGCGATGATAAATTGACAGATGACCATGCCAGCAGCACCCCAGATCAACAGCGGGCGGCGTCCAAACCGCTCAACTGTCCAGAAAGAAATTGGTGTGGAGCAAACGTTGACTAGAGTGGTGATCAGGGACATGAGGAATGGGTTCCTGATTGAGCCTATATCCAATCAGTCATTGAGTCGTTCTGCAGAAGCGAATTGGTGATTCACACCTAAACTTTGGAAGAAAACTGTGCCGAAATAAAAGATGAAATTGATACCAGTCCACTGCTGCATCATTTGAGCCGATGTACCGAGCAGAGTACGGCGGAGATTGGAGCCTGGATTGCGGATCGAGCCTTTGAAGCAGTTGAGCCAGCTTTGAACATATCCGTCCGTGTTTCCGATTGTTTTCATCTCGTACTCGTGATTTGCGATGATCTCTGCGAGTTCTTGTTGGATATATTCCGAGCTCTCTGGCTGTCCTCGGAGTCTTGCCAAGCTCCTTGTGGCCTTTTCCAGATTCCCGCGCTTCACGAAGTACCTAGGTGACTCGGGCAGGAAAGCCAGCCCGAAACCTATGAGCCAGTGTCAGTATTTCCGGACTCCTGGTGTGAAAATGTACTAACCAAGAATGAGGGCCCATACCCATTGCATGGCAATTGGGATACGGTACGATGCAGAAGTGGTGTAATTTTGAGTACCGTATACCACGCAGCTGGCCAGGAGAATACCAACAGTGATGCAAAACTGATAGCCGCTGACCATGGCTCCTCTGACCTTCCGTGGCGCGATTTCAGACATGTAGAGGATGATGATTGCCGAGACGAACCCAACACCCAGACCAGAGATGAGACGGCCCGCGACAAGGAGCCCATAAGCGGCAGCAGCCACTTGAAGGACAACGCCAACGGAAAATATGATACATCCCGCTATGATGGTATTTCGGCGCCCAACAAAGTCCGCAATCTAGCCAACCTATTAGCCTATTCTGCTGCTAATAGTTTGCATGGCAACGATTTCATCAAAAAAGAACCAAAACAGAAACGTCCTTTAAAGGAGAAATAAACTCACATCCCCAGCCACGACGGCACCAGTAAACGTCCCAGCAGATAATATGGAAACAATCAGAGACTGCCTCCACGCAGGAATGACAAAATTGCCCATCTCTTGGACAGAAGCTTCGGGCCCGGGATACGGTATGCCTGTAAACTGGTGAATGAAGGATCTCATTCCCATCACACCATTGACATAGCCAGAGTCGTAACCAAAGAAGATGCCACCGAAGGCAGCAAACGCGCAGATCAAGTAGGCCTTGAACGTCACGGGTGCCTCGATACGATCGACATCGACTGGTGCAACAAGGACGACACCGCTTGTAGGCATGGCGAAAATTAGAAACCTGAAGATGGAGATGTTGCAGCAGAAAGGCCGTGAGGTTTTGTGGCAGGAGCAATTGAGTAGGCTGGGGGGTTCAGGAAACAATATGTGATGGATTCGTCGAGAAAGGGGACACCATAGCGCTGTTATATAGTCCATGTCCGTCGGCCCATCCCCTACAATAAGGGGTCATTGTAGCGGACGCTTGAACTTGGACCTAACTCCGCAAATCGACTTCGCCTCAAATGCTCCAGAGCTCCTGCGCATCTCCGCCTGGAGCTGCCCCGGGGGGCTGTCGCGGAGGTTGGGGAACCATGTCAACCAATGTTAACCAATGTAGCAGCGAAGCGTACGTTCATCCAGCGGCAAACATTGTTAAGCGAGTAGGAATTTTATGAATCCAGGCGGAAACTTACTGTTTTGGGAAACCACCGCTCCGACGAAAAAGGGGCCGCCGGCCTCGTTGTTGGCAAGGCTGTGCGGAATTCCTTTTTCGTCGTTTGCGACCCGTTCATATTACGGAATACAACAAGGCAGAAAATAGGGAAAGTAAGGGCATATACATATATCGTGAGAAGAATCCAAGGACTCAGATGTGGGAGAATCCATCCAGCATATCAATATTTTCTAGGCCCTGAAGCTTTGATTGCCCTGATTGACATTACAGAGGTCAACATGCTTGTTCAGGGTGAGTACTTCCTCGGCTTCCTACAAGTGGAGCATCGTTAGGACAATGCCACTGACTTTGATCGCCTAGTCCTCTTGGGAACTGTAGCGGTGGCTATTTTCATTCAACCCATACTAGTCTACCTACTGGATCTCAAAGGTCTCAGGAAATTTCCAGCGCCATCCTATGCCGCTCTCTCGTCCTTGTGGCGCATCTCTCACAATCTTCGCTGTCGACACTTTCTCGCCATTCACCAGGCACATGAAAAGCTCGGCACACATGTTCGGATTGCTCCAAATCACGTTTCCATCTCCGACCCCTGTGCCGTGAACGAAATCTACGGCCACGGTGCCAATCTCTTGAAAGATGCCTTCTACGACGGCGGGGCGGGTCAACATAGGAATATGGCCGACGCCAGAGTGAAGTCCGAACATCAGCTCAAGAGAAAGACCTTGGCTCACATCTTCGCGCAAAAGACCATTGCAGGCCTCGAGCCTGTCATTTCTCGGGGCATTACCAATCTGGTGAAGCAGGTGGACAAACATGCTGCTTGCGGTGTGGACATCAACATGCGTCGCTACCTTAACTACTTCACCATCGACGTCTTTTCAAATCTTCTCTATGGGGAGCCGCTTGGCTGCCTAGACAGGGGGGATGATGTTGTCAAAGCAGAGACTCCTGCTGGCAGGGTTTATGAAGTCCCTTTCATCAAGACACTACACAACGCTACCATCATCGGCACAGCTCTTGGAATGGAAGCTACCTTGCTCCCTCTCTCGAAGAAATTGTTTGCGTGGCATTCCTACAAGCAAGCAGGCGTCGATTACGAAAACATCATCTACCACAATACCAGAAAGAGACTTCAGAACAAGGATGCCGAAGGCGACATCTTCTCAAAGCTGCTCAAAAATGGGAAGGGAGAAGGCCTGAACCTTTCCCCAGGTCAGATTTTGGCAGAATGCGGCGTCATGATGAACGCTGGCACCGACACCACTACCGCCGCGCTGACTAACACCATCTATCTCCTCTACAAACACCCCAAAGTATTGGCCAAGCTGCGGGAAGAACTCGATGCTGCGGGCCTCTGTGGCGTCGTCCCGTCGTATGAAGCTGTGGCCAAGCTCCCTTATCTACGAGCATGCATTGAAGAGTCGCTTCGCTTGCGGCCTGCCAGTTCCATGGGGTTGCCAAGAGTTGTACCTCAAGGCGGGCGTGTTCTGGCCGGTGAATTCATATCAGAAGGCGTGACCGTCTCCGTAGGTTCCCTTCCGCCCGTACCTTGCGACGGTGACAGCTCCTAACATTTGCAACGTACAGGTACCAACGTACACTCTTCTTCGAAACCCTGACGCCTTTGAGAATCCGGCAGAATACAACCCCGATCGCTGGTCCACTGGCGACAGAGAGAAGATGGCTCAGTGCCATCTACCTTTCAGCACCGGGCCACGAGCGTGCATCGGCAGAAACATTGCTTATTTTGAACAACTGCTGGTAATCTCTACCCTTGTCCGCCTCTTCGACTTTGAATTCCTTGACAGCGGGTTTGAACTGGTCACACTTGAAAGATTCAATTCAAACCCTGGCGAATTGGTACTTTCTTGTTGTCGTCGGCGGATCTGATGGCCAGTCAAGCTCCGGTTGTTGGTGGTCGCCATACCTACAGGCATTGTCGTTGTCGATGGTTTCCACAATACTGAGCCGCCAAAGTATCTATCTCCAAGCTTTTATTGATGGACTTACTCAAGGTGGTAAGCGGTCTCGAGCTTGCTGTGGCCTACCCAGGTGATAGAAGGAACACGAAGAGGTATCCTTCTTACTTTCACCACCCATGGACTGCTCACTTTCTTCTTCAGGAAAAAGCGGCGGCGAAAGAATACCGCAAAGCAGGAAGTCGAATACACTCGTCAACGGGATTTGGATACTTTCATCGAGAAAAGATCTTTTCCGGAAGTTGCTGAGCTCGGCCCGCCTTGTGGCTTGAGACACATGGACGAACAAAATGTGGCAATGTATGCCGAACATCATGAGCTCCTAGAATCTCATTTCCTGCTGCCGCCGAGGGAGTTGAATAGGGCAAATCTCCGCGAAGTTTCGGGATCATCCAAGAATGAGCGGCCAAACTCAAGTGCGCAGGATAGCAGCCATACAACCTCGATATGAAGTCACGTGTCAAGCGGTATTACATGATCATGTACCTTCTTTTCGGGAGTGGAGGTACGTGGGATTACTTGCTGACGATCACGATCAAGAGTGTCCGCCTATGCGGGCAAGGACCCCGTGCCTCATCGTTACGCCCATCCGTCCAAGCTGTTGAAGGGTCAGCGTCTGATCGCAGCTGTGGGAGCCATTCGCTGGCGCTGTAAGCGACTTGTGAGAATGTGAAATAGAAGAAATGTAGAGGCGCACGCCATGACAAGCGAGGCCAAAGGGGGATAGACTGAGGACGGAAGTTGGGCCGGTGAAGACTGCATGTACACGTAGGCTTTTCTCACAAACGAGACGCAAAGCTGGCCACCGACCGCATGTCAACAGCACTGCCGTCCTGTCGTACTTCGATACCACTACACTACAGCATCAGAAGGGTAGTAGAGGTGTGTCAACTGGTGCCGCATAGGACTTTCGGGGTCAAAAGCCATGCCTCGCTCGATTTCGTTTCTCAAACCTCGAGGACGTCCAGCACATTCAATGCGTGAGATGGGCTTTAGGAGTCTCGCAAGCCCGACCTTGTACCATGTTGTGACTGAGTCGTGACGCCCCCAAAGCGCGCCGTATGAGCCTCGACGTGTATGTTGCGCAGCCGGGCGTGGGTCTGTAATCCTCGTCGATTTCGATGCATTGACCGAGCCTAATGGGAGCGGAATCTCCATCGCCTTTCCCGCCGCACTCAGGCTCGCAACACACAAGAGAAAACACAATGCTACGGAGTTTTAGATTTCAAAGCCTACCTAAACATCTATACAAGCATGGGCCGTAAGGGGCCTAGTTGCCTGCTGCTGCCTACTGTTGCCTGATGTCGGGCCGCATGCGTCAGCCATACCTAGAGTTTTAGAGGAGCCACAGTATCTGCGGTCAGGCACAATCGTTTGTCAACAATGCCTCTAGTGCCCGGCTGCGAATGTGAGCGATGACCTTGATGGGCCAATACTGTTGAATGAATGGTACATTGTGAGCGGCATCGAGTTCGACCAAGGGGGCCCCATTTGAGGGTGTCTGAAAAGCCCACATTTGGAGGAATGGGAAGAAAGCTGTACCGAACGAGGTGCGCGGCTGCGACGACTTGGAGGAACCTTCAGTGCTGAATGATTGTGCCGACATATAAAGTCCTGTCCTTCCAGTCGTAGATGAGAGACAGACATTCATTTCCATACGTCCTTGCTCACGTTTCTCAGCCGATGCAAGAGTCGATGTATTCGAGTCGATCGTTATGGCAACTAGACCACCATTACCACAAATCCAAGCCCTAACAGGAACAGGAATGGAACAAAGACGTGGAGATATTCGTTAGCGACAGTAAAGCAAAAACACAGCAGCGTAGATTGGAGAGTCGTCGACAAGTATCGTTTTGAATCACTCCACAAACTGCTCGCGCAGCTCGGCTTAATCGTTCCTCGCAAAGACGCCAGCACCTCAGAGCTCCGCATCGAAGAGGGTTCGCTCTGGGATGAGTCGCAACTCAAACAACTCGGCCTCGTCTGGCACCGTCTGCCCCCTTGGCCCGACACCTGCCGTGGCCTGGACTTGCTCAATAGGCAATTCTCGACCGTGGCCCTTAGCAACACTTATAACGACTTGATGGAATCCCTGGTCGCGCATAGCAGCATACCCTTTAAGCATGTTTACACTTCCGACATGTTCCAATCATTCAAGCCGAACCCCAAGGTATATCTCGGAGCGGCAGAGGAGATGGGCGTAAGGCCGGAGGAGTGTGGGGCTCGTGGCCGCGCATCTCAGCGATTTGAAAGGTGCCAAAGCGTGCGGATTCTATGCAATATATATTGACAGGCCGTTGGAAGAAAAAATCCAGAGTTGCGAGAGGAAAACATTCCGGACATGCGGATCAAACAGGATGAGAATGGGTTTGTTGCCCTTGCCGAGCGTTTGGGAATACCAGCTAGTTAAATAGTCGCCGACACTCGCCAAGTGTTGGATAAGGAATGGCCTTAGAACAATTAGAACTTGCCAAAAAGGGTCCTCCTCGAACGTGTTGAGGGGGCCGCCAAGGTCGGGGGATTGGGAGGGTGATCAATGCGCACGCGAAGAGGCGAGGCAGACTTTGACGGAGCCATAAGGGGGAATCGAGGGAAGCTCGATACGATAGAGGAAGATTCCTATAACGCGGTAGATGTTAGAGGTAGATCGAGGATCGAGAATAGAGGGTCTAGTATATTAGGGAGAGAGATACAGGCGGTATTAAAGGAAAGGACGATAGGTATATTAGGGCGCGCAGAGGTGAGGAAGTAAAAACAAAATAAGTTGGAAGAGAAGTAGAGAGGGATTAAGATAGGAGACGACGTTGAAAGCGGCCACCCGCCAAGCCTCTGGCGACATTGAGACAAGTCAAAGTCAGGGGGTTTTTCAGCGAAGCAAAGAAGCCGACACCGCGATAAAATATACTTTCGTTAGACTCTCAAATATACTATGAGCTATTGTCCTTAGGCTCGACAGCCTCGACTACAGGGCTTTTATCAGTATACTGCGTGATGACTTCTTCCAGCAAGGGTTGTTGTGCACACTCGGCCTGCGGATCCTCCACGACTATAGAGCCATCTTCGCCCTGGGAAAGAGTGATTTGTTTCCAGCCTTGAGCTTTAATCCACTCTTTTGTTGACCGGCAGCTACCTGTGCCTGTGCCAGACGGCTCCGCTTCGGGTGACTTGGTGTAGGGCTGCGAGGTCATGAGGCGCCCTGGTGACGTTCGGTCAAGATATCTGCGCATCTTTGTGGTGCCAGCTCGGCCCAGACACAAGACAACCAGGACGGCGATGAGGACGCAAAATGTCCCCAAGGCTGTCATTAACGCCGGGATGCCATACACCATGTGGTACCTGATACGTCGCTGGTATACGGTCACCGGAACCAACAAGCTCGCATCGATGTCCTGCTCCGAGCTGCCGTCGCGTTTCTGGAGGTTTCCCTGCTGCTGCTGCGGCTGCTGCAAACTTCTCGTCCCAACGACCGAATTTGCCGCCACGTCCGTCCAAATAAGATTCAATATTTTAGCAGCGGTTGCTGGAGTGCGAGACAAATCCTGCCACAGCCTATACATGGCCAGATTCGTTTTGCCGGAATAGTCCATAATGGTGCCGTAATATGCGGAGCTGATGCTATAGAGGGCCGCAAGAGCATCGGCGTGGAAATCGACACCAGGCAGGTTCTGATAGCCAATGGACAGCGGACCTCCGCCCCCTCCACCAACATAACCAGGCAGATAAAGGAATTCTTTTCTCAACGCGGTGACAGACACATTACCTTGGTCGGGTCCCGACAGGAGACCCCACAAGATGTGAACTTCCGAGATTACCTGGTCTGTCTTCTCAACCCCCCACAGAGGCTTGGAAGACTCGTTGACGTATACCTTGTCAGATATGTTCGTGACCTTCAATCCTGAGAGGTCGTCGCTTCCATTGAAACGAAAGGAAACAGTCTTGATCAAAGCTTTCGTGGTAGAGATGCACGAGTAAAGCGGGATAGTCCAGTTCGAGCCAGGTTCAAACACAACAGACTCGCTCCCGTCTCTTCGCCGTGGCGCTCCATATAGCAGTCCACATGCAGCCGCAAAATTGGTGATGTTGGCAATATCCTGGCCACCAGCACCTTGACAAAGAAGTCCTGCAATCCGTTACTCAGCGAGCAAAAGAAAGAACCTCAGGGATTTGGACTTACCAGCGCTGGAGAAGTTTGACTGATCGATCCCGAAAGGATTTGAATATAGCGGTGGGACTGATGGAAGGTCGGATGGCAAGGAAAAGTTGTACAGAGAACTGGTGTTATCATAGATTCCCGTTCCCTGATCCAAACCATTCAGATAATATCCATACAGCGTTGATGTAGTGAGGATATCAGGACCCAGAGAACTTGACATTCCCGAGAGTCCAGTTGAATTGGGGCTCATGAGTGGAAATGTCTTTCCGACGTGTGAGTTGAGGTATTCAAAGGCATGAGAGCCCGGCTCGCTTTGATTGGCAAAATCCGTCACGTTCATGAATGCCATGGACCAAGCATTGTTTATCCAAGCCGCCTTGTATGCACGCAAATAGAGCTCTGGGCTTTTCTGCGTATCACCCCGGTCCCAAACTGGATATTTCTTGATGAGATTGGCAAAGCCCCCTCGATCTGTCAGCACCAGATCTGAGACTTGATTCGTAGAGGAACCGTAACTGGGGATAGTGAAATCCAAGGTCAGGTTTGTATCGACGCAGATTGACTCGGGCTCAACGAAGAGAAGATCTTCAGACCATGTGCTGCCGAATGGTGACATCGGCGGTGCACTATGGTTTCTGAAGCCAATTCCACCATTCTTCATATCCACCACTAGGCCTTCAATGGCCACATAGTCGTCTTCCAACACCATGGTCGAAATCTGTCGGTATGCAGTAATAGGGTATGAAGATCCGTTGTCCGGTGCTAGTGCGTTAGGACTATCGTTGATTAGAGACCAAGTGTATGATCTTGATTGAATGTCAAATATGCTTCCGACAGATTTGTCCATGGTTGAAAGGCCGCTTTCGAACACATCAATCACATATTGGTGTACATGAGAATCGTAGTCATCGGCTGACCAGTATTCTCCTGTGGCATTACTGAAATAAGTTATAGTCTGAGGTGAGTTTGGACAATTCACCGGGCTGAAGGCTCCGCAGATGCGGCTCCAAGGAAGGTCGGTCCTTGGAGGAGTCCCGTAACCAAATTGGGACTTATCGGCAACATAATGGAACGTGGAGGGGGTTGTGCTTTGGCTCGAGAGGATGTCTTGGTGTAGGCCGAGTGGTGTTACGATGGCAGCAACACCGATCAAGATGGTGAAGAGAGTCTTCAGCGTCGCAATGGCCACGACACGTACAGGTACTCTTGAGGTCGCTGCAGTGTCCCCGGAGAGAATCGTCGGCCAGTAGGAGGAATGCAGGAACCGACCGACAACAGACCTAACAGAGAGATCAACCGAGACTCTTCGTTTTGGACAAATAGAGCTTCCACGTACCAAGTAACTGCCGTCGCAGTTGCAGCCGAATTCTTTTCCCTGAGGACCCCAAGAAGAATGACCGGCAAGGCCGTGGGAACGAATATCTGGACTGAGTCAAGCAATTAGCCGTCTGCCATCCGCGACTGAGGCTCGTCACACTGCATACCAACAAAAATGGCAGCAGCGATGATGCCAGACACGTAGCCGACAGTTAGATTGTTAAGGTCGATCATGTTGACGAGATATGAACCACCATTCTCACACAGTATTTCCCAGGTAGGATCCCGCGCAAGAGCTGCACGAGGATCAGAGTCCAAGGAAAGACACTCCCATCATCAAGGCCTAGGAGCCTCTGGATGATGTTGGTGTACTCATTAGAATTGATATCACTCAAAATGCCCATGAAGCGTATTTCATACTGTCCCTTACCTAACAAATATTGCAGGGCGTTGACGTGATCAAGGGGTTGACCAATAACAAGGTCAACTCATTGGCAAAACCCGAATACGAGGACTAGTCAAGACTAGTATACCTGCCATTTCGAACCGTTGTTACAGAAATGTAGGTTAGACAAGCCTGGACAAGCAACGCCTATCCAGTATAAATTGGCCCGTCGCAACCTTGTCCCATGGCTTGTCGATCGTCAGGTTTTGTGTTCGCTGTGCGCTTCGAGGTGTCGCACGGATTTCATTACAGACCGTGGACTACCCTTTCCTCACCATCTTGTGTTCTTTGTTCTTTCGAGATTTTTGCTATTAGAGACCTTTGAGGAGGAATCGAATATGGAGATGTAGGATTGTGGCATCTTCCCCTTTCCGCCGATGTCGATCGATCAAAGCAGCCCAAGAACTATAGCGATATGGCCGAGACTCGATGAAACACGTCTAGCTGAGTTTACAGGGGTGTCCCATGGCGGTTGAACTTTGCCCCTGTCAGGGCCAACTCTAACGGTGAACGTCTCTTTCTGAGAGTATGCAAAGTCCAGTGACATTGTGTACTCGGGCAGTCTCGTGCGAAAAACCTATGTACCCTCCTTCGTCCGAATCTGAGTAATAGTCGCTCGCCGCTTTGCTCACCCTCCGCTCACCTTCTGCTTCCTGAGCGATCACTGAGCATTCCCGGAGTCTTCCTAAGCCTTTGGGTCATCCTCTCTTTCTTCTCCATCACTATACCAACTTTTATTAACTTTAGACGATGGGACCTGTTTGAGATGCTGGGGGATCCCAATCTACCCCCCTTCATGATGTGCTTGAACTGGTCTCCTGGTCTCACTTCGGCGGCTATCGTGTTACGGTAAGACGGAAGGTGGCAGCGATCCTCGTGATCGCCAACTAGCCGTGTTTGATGGCCATTCTACTAGCCATTGCCAGAACGATCAACACCATCGTTCATGCTGTCGGTTCAGGGGGATCTTCAGGGGTTACTTTCGTCACCCAGGCCAAATGTCTATATAAACAGGAAATAAATCGCTGAAATGGCGGCTAGACAGATAGCGAGCTACTATGACAGGACGCTCCGCCTTAAACTCCAGGACACAAGTCAATCCAGCAAGGGGAAAAAAGGAAGGAAACGAAGAGTGAGAAGGCAAAGGGGTAAAAGCGACGGATGCGTCGGTCGCGTAACGGCCGTAAGGACCAAAGTGCGTAGTTATGCTGGTCTTTGTTGTTCTTTCGAGGCTATACAACTTTGCCAGCAAAAAGTCCAACAGGGTGTTAATAACCATCATTTGAAAAATCTGAGGGCGACTCCTCAGTAGTTGTAGAGTTCACCCTCCATCCGCCAATCCTGCTCGGGTTGCAGTATCGGCCACTTGTTCAACTGGACGATCTGCTTACTGCATCCGACACAGGAAAGTGTTGAATGATCAAAAGGTTGTCCTCCGTTATTCAGTACGGGGACTACGGTAGACTATATAGACAGTACTGGGTGGCTGGGCTGGATCACGTGACTTCCCAACCCTTAGTTTAACAGAAAGCTCTCCTCATAAGCTGCAAGCACCACCTTACAAGCAGGGTACTTTAACTCTGCACGGTGGGAGACGACATATTTCACCGCAACAAGTACAAAATGCCACGGAAGGCGAGGTACAAGTGGGATACTTCCACCAGGTGAGGCCTTTCTCGATGGCCAGATGTCGATTGCCGTGCGCATTGTCCTCGGCCTGGAACCGTTCAGCCTCGTTCCTGCCAGCAACGTTTGAGGATGGCTTCCATATGGACAGCCTTTGGCACTAGCACTCGTCACTTTCTAGTAGCGGGGAGAATTCCAAGCTCTCAAATTTTGCTACCCACCTGTGCTTCCTTCATCAACTATGCCAGCAAATGGAGCTTTCTTCCATCGCCGCAACTCCCCAAGAACCGCAAATTCCACGACTTCCTCGGCCCGCGTCAATCCCTCACAACCACTGCGCTTTTGATGAAGAGTCCGTCGACCGCAACCTTGACCAGGAATCTCGCCACACTAGCAACACTTACGCTGTCGGTCATGCGCATCCCATCACCCTTGCTGCCCAGCGTTTGCACGTCCGTCTTCATGTCGGTCGGCGTCTGCATCGGATCGTCGAATCGCAGCCTCGAAGCCCTCACAAGAGTCCAATCCATCTTCGTCAGCCGAATCTCCTTGTCGACGAGGCCGTGATCCTCGAGCGCGTACTTGATGTTGGTCCACGCCATGAATGCCTTGCTCAGCCACGGTAGTTCAGCCCATGAATCCCCGACACCTGCTGTCGACATCACTACAATGCGATAAATGGCGGCATGGCCCAGGACCTCGCAAACATTGGCGCACGAGTCGGCCAGGAAGCGAGGAGGTGAGACCTGAGGCGCGAACGGGCTGTCGGACTTGCGGACTGTGTTCAATGTGATGATCGCTGCAGAAGGTGTGAGAGAAGGCGCCGCGTAGAGGGCGCTTTTCAGGTCGGATTTCGATAGTGGCGAGCCAATGACGACGGTGAGGCCAGGACGGGCGATGAGGCTGCCAGAGGTACGTACGAGGGCTACCGCTGTATGACCTTGAGAGAGTAATTCGGATACGACGTGCTGGCCGGTCCGTCCGGTCGCGCCGAGGAGGAGGAAATGCATAGCTTTCGACGATGGAAGGTACCGTTGAGTCCTCGTTTGCTTGAGCTTGTGGAGAGACGAAGAGGCTTCGTTACAAAAGGGCGACGGGGTTGCGCATCCATTTATGAAGTTGACCGCCATGGTCGGTATGGGGGGGGCCGATTCAGAGACAGGGTGTCCCTGATTGGTTTGTTCGGTCTGTATACTTCAATGGTAGCCGCATGCAATCTTATGCACGCACGCCGACCGACTCGTTCCTCCTCTTTCCACCCTGGAATGCGCTAGGTGATGTAATTGAAGGTGTGAGAGCGTGCAAGAGCGTGATACATGAATGAAGTGTGCAGAGTCTCTGTCCAACAGCGTTCGTTAGCGCCGCCGGCTTTCCCCTGCTCGACTTGCTAGCTATGTAGTTCGCGAATTCCATTGATTGAGAATAGAGACAAGGAATCAGGTGCGTGGCTCTCAAAGATTGCGCCACTTTGCCATGAACATCAGTGCACTTTAGATCGCTCCCCTCGACCACTTCTAGTCCCACTGCACGTTCTATAAGCCTTTACTCTTTCGCCCACATTGTTCGCTACGCTCTGCAATCGCTCGTTCTCGGTCCGAAACTCGGCATAAAGATCTGGTGAGGAGTCTAGTGTCCCCAAGAGAACGATTTTCAGTATCCGGTGAAAGAAGCGCATGAAAGACACTGAAATAAGCTCGGGGCCAGGAGGTCTGATCTGCGTCTGAACGAGTTCAAGATCAATAAGCCACGATTCTAAGGAGTCCAGCAAAGCTGCCTTCTCGGATAGTAGTCGAAGAGCGTTTCCCACCGATTCGACTTGTGACACTTTGCCGAGGAATTCAAGCGTCGATGCAGCGATCCTCGTAAGCTCTGTCCGCATGTCGGGTGCGATCGTGCGAAGAGTGCGAGATTCACCAGGCTGTTGACGAGGCGAGATGAAACATTCAGACACCGTCGTCCCGCCTATATCGGCAGTGGCTGGAGGATCCGCGAACTTGCATGGTGCAGCAAACAGCTTGATGATGAAAACATCCAGGAAGGGTAGTTGGTCATGGTGTGCTGGCACCAATTTATTCGCGGCAACAAAATTTGGCCTTGCCCGGTACTCGTGCATGATCCTGAGTCCCCGAACGATGTGCTGGGCCATGGCAGCGTAATTCTCCCGCACTTGCTCAATGCTGATGAAGACCTGACAGCAAAGTAATGCCGACTTCAACCCGTTGGAGCTCGGAGACGACATGTTAGACGCAAGACCCCCCAAAGCCATACAGTATTGCCGGAGGCCATAGTCATAGCTCGGGGTCTGCTGCGCGACAGACGCTGGAACGTCTCCGGACGTCTCGCGATCTTCCCGGAGAGTTCTGAGAGACAAGACTGCGTGTCGTATAGCCGGATCAGTCAAGCTGGCTTGGAGGACCTGCCTGGCTTCTTCATCACAGTCCAGCTTCACATCGAACATGGTTTTGGTTGAGAAGTAACGATTGAGAAGGTCGATGTCCTGAGGGGGGATCTCAGTTAAGGGGGGCCGGATGGCCTGTAAGCCAACCCCTGACTTGAGGCCGCCAGTATGGGTGCTGTTGATGGTCTGACTGATAAAAAATCTAAAGGGAGACTCATAGCCATCGCAAGTACGACCAGTGTCGACACATTTTTGGCAAGACGGCTTATTCTCGTCGCATTTGACCTTTCTTCTTCTATTGTTGAGTGAGCACAGTCACTAGAGAGCTGACCTCCCGTTTAAATTCTCATTCTTGGGGTGTAGACCGGTGATGGAATTTGGGACTGACCTGCAGGTTACACAACCAGTTTTCACCTTGGTTTTACATTGGATGTTCCGTTTGCGAGCGACAAGGCTTCTGGCCATCGTTGGACCGGGGGGGACACTCACGCTTGTCGCTCAACACCCTCCAGACGAGAGGAAGAATCGTAGCAAGCAAGAAATCCGAGCAGATGAATCAAATGATGCAACTTAATTCATCACCAAGCGTGTCGTCGAGGTCTGCGGAGCAGGCTTCAGCGCTAGCTCGATTGGGTAGCGAGAGCGAACCCACCAACCGCACGTGCTGCTGGAAGGGTGAAATGAGACACGAAAGTGTATTAGAACTAGCTAAATCTATGTGGGCTGGGAGGCTACTCTGATGGGCCATAATTACTAGTGGTCTGGCTTATTTCACAGAAGGGCTTCATCCTTCAGCCTTCTCCCAGCACACTCCGTATTCCTGCGACTGATGCCATCGTCCAGCTAGGTCTTGATGAACTGCTCCACATTCCTGCGACTGGCGCGATTGTCATAGCTGCGTTCCGAGGCCCAATTGTCTCGACCGGCTTATATATTGAGTGGCTGACCCGATCTCTCTCGAAATGAGTACTTGCACATGTCGAAGCTCCTCACCAACAGCCCTGGATTCGTGTCGAAACTACTGCACAGCTCGAAAATGCCAGCTTTTACTCTGTATGGCTCTCGCGGTTCGACCAACACCGATCGTGTCCGCCTGACTCTCGCCGAAGGTGGCTTCACGGATTACGAACTCGTGCTTCTCAACCTTCAAAAAAGGGAGCAGAAGGTGGGTGAACCGTTTCTCCTGGAAGACGACGCGGCTTCTCCTTGCGTGAGCAAATTGTATATCGCTAACGCCGCTGCACCCAGTCCGAAGAAAACATGAAACGTCACCCGTGGGGCAAAGTACCCGTCATAACGTTCCCCGGAGGGTTCACTCTCTACGAGAGTCGCGCAATCTGCAAATACCTCGCAAGGAAATACTCCTTTCCACTTCTACCGCCGGACTCCGACGTCGAGGCTGCAGCGCTGTTCGACCAGGCGCAGTCCGCAGAAATGCTCTACTTCGCAGAGCCTGCAGGTAGAATCGCATTTGAGAAATTTGCCAAAAAATTCATGGGGCTGCCTCCCGATGACGCCGTTGTTTCAGATGCACTGCGGTCGGTCGAGATGTTTTTCGATGTTGCAGAACGTCTCTTACAGCACAAAGACTATATGGCGGGAAATGCCTTCACTCTCACGGATATCTACTACACTCCACTGATCCAAAGACTTTTCGCGTGCGGGTACGGAGATGTCATCCTCAGTCGCAAAGCTGTGAGTGCTTGGTGGGACCGCTGCATGAATAGGCCAGCCATACAGAAGATATTGGCCGCTGACAAGGAGGCTGTGGCTGCTGCTAGTAAATAGCCTATTCTATATGTATTTAGTGAAAAGATGCTACCGCGTGCTGTGGACGATCACGAATCCTCTAATTAGTTTATCGCTCAAGACTCTATTCCTAATATGAAGATAATTTCGTCTTCGCTCGGGAAGCGCTCAGTCATAGTCAGCCAAAGGCTCAGTTAGAGCTCGGGTTAAAGCGGCCTTCGCTCACCCTCTAGGATAAAACCGTATATGGCAGATAGGTCCTTCGTTCTCAAGCAATATGGGCACCTGTTTAATCCATATACGGAGCCAGGTAGTGGCTCAGCTCAAACCAAAACAAGCCCGGCTTCCTCATCCGCTCTCCGCCAGAAAGTGCACAAAATTGACTCCAACCGGGTCTGGTATGTCGCCGAAAGATCTTGGAAAAGAGCGATCTTGTACAAGATATTTGGGCGTTTTGACGGCTGGTGAACTTTGAAAAGTAGCACTAAAAGGGCGAAGACCATTGACACAACCGTCCTGTTGGCGAAACTGCACATCAAGTCAAACTGCTCAAGAATTGTATCGGATAGCGCTTCGGCGTGATCCACGCACGTTGCGGGGGATGTCCGAGTCGATCCCCGATCAACAGTAGACTGTGGCCAAAGACTTGCATCTGCGAAAGCATATGTGCCAGAATATGTTTTTGGTCCGTATATTCAACTTTGTCAGGTCTAAAGTTTAAGTTAGTGGGTTACGGAGCGTTCAAAAAGTCTCCCACAAAATCAGCCACCTCCTTCGGTTTCTCGACCATGGGTAGATGTCCCGCGCCCTCGACGAGCTTGAAAATAGCCGTGTTCCCTTCTGCCGAACCCAGCTCTTTCGACAGCTTCTCCATGCCCTTTGGCAGCACGCCGTCGCCGGCACCAACCAAGAACGCGCCTCGGCCCTTGTACCCGGCCAGGAGACCCGTGTAGTCGTAGTTGAACAGAGTCTCGACGCCCCGACGGAACTCAGGTAGCGAGTTGGTGTAGACCATGCGCTTGACGCGGGCGATTTCCGGGACGAGCTCGGGATTGTCGTAGGATTCGGGCACGAACCACCGCCGCACCGTCATCTCCGCGAGCTCTTCGCCCACGACGGCCTGCGGACTGGCGTCCGGGGACTCGTCGCCAAACAGAGACGCCAGGCGGAGCGTGGTGCCCTCTTTCGCGGCCACGGCGATCCGCTGGCCCCAAGTGTCTTTGTTGCCGGCGGGTGATTTCGCGGACGTGTCGCACGCGACGAAGGCCTTGATCCGCGACGGGTATTGGAGGGCCGTTGCTAACGCGGTGACGCCGCCCATGGACACGCCGACGAGGCCCGCCGCTTGAGGAACGCGCAGGGCGTCCAGCAACTGGATGATGTCGGACGCCTGTAGGTCCACAGTCACGGGGCTGGTCGTGCCACTGGGGATGACCCTCCCACGGGCTAGGAACCGGAGGACGCGGTACCTTTGATTTTGTGGGCGAGAAAAAAAGTGCACGAGGAAGGCGTCCCAGATGCCCCAGGTCGTTAGGACCGAATTGACCAGCACCAGGACCGGGGCGTTGGGTTCGGAACTGCCTTCCAGGCGGAAGGGCAGGACTGCGCCGTCACGTGTGGTGACTGTCGATTCTATCGCTGAGCCATATGGCGAAATGTTTGGGAGCGTCCTGGTGACTCCGTCTGGCGACGTCCACGGTGCCACGATTGCCAGGTGGCGAGCTGCAGTTCCAAAGGTGTAGAAGAGTTCATACGTGCGTGCCTTGCTGTCCGCAACGTCCACGGGTAGCGCTTGGAATGTGGGGAGTAATGCCTTGGGGTCGGTGGACGGCGTGAATTCGTTGATCAGAACAAAATCGACCTGTCCGTCTTCGCGTGGTTCAAGATAGGACGTCTGGTACCACGACGTCCTCCTCCAACCGGGGATGTCTTGCACCTTTGGGAGGACAGTGGTCTGGATCCAGTCCCCAACGCTCGAGACTTGTTCCGGAGCGAGGAGCAATCTGAGTGTGGTCAGGGCATTCCCTTGTTCGTTCTCCCGGAAATTTTCTGGCGCTTCGAGTTTCACGAAGGTCTTGTCGTTGACCCGCTCGCCGACAAAATCCAGCGTCAACCGATCCACCCAGATCTGGGCCATGACGTCGATTTCTCGCCGCGTTTTGCCGGGTGGTGCTCGCAGATACTGGTATGGCTGTTCGGTGAACTGGTGCATGTCGGTGGCATCGTAGGTGGCCAGGAACTCGGGATGGGCGCGAGTGCCGGCATTGGGCTCTGGCAAGTCTGTGGCTCGATATCGAAACCCATTCGGCATGAACGACAGGCGGGTTCGATTGGGTCCATGTTCATTGTTGTACCAGTCATGGAAGAGATCGAGCGACAATGTCTCCTTGGGCTGCATGGTCACGAACAGCAACCCGCGAACGGGGCTTGAGGAGGGCATGACGGCAACTCACAAGGCCCCGTTGTCAGTTGAAACCGAACCAACACAATGTGAGAAACTGTCTCTTCCACGTCGCCCGTGGCGAGACCGTGGGTATGTAGCGGTAATTTACTCTGCCTTGGCCCTTTTCGTGATTCAAGTGGCACCACAGACACATTCAAGTGTTTCTCCAGAGAGCCTCTGTGGACATTTACAAGTAGGCAATACAATCTGAGAAAATCTTCGAGATGGTCACGGCAAGTGTGCGTGAAGTGTACCAAGTATTTGCCGAACTTCGATGCCTACGGTCCTCCGTAATACGTAACCAACTGCAAACTGCATCGGAAGATGCCCGCGGCGGGGCAGACGTTGGCATCAAACGCTGCTGTGGGATGCCAGAGCGGAAGACTTTTTATCCGCCACGAGCGCGAAGCGAGAACCGTGAACCAGTCTTCCACGTTTACACGTTCAGTACAGCCGTACGCGGTACAGGATGCTACAGAGAGAAGCCTCGAGCTAGTCGTACCAGATGGCATTCATGCCGAAGCCGGGCTCTTTGATGTCCAAATGAGCGACTCTGGAAAGATACTCGTCGTGCCAACGGTAGATTTCCACCCATCCGTCTTGATCATCCGTCAAAGCCAACCACTCGTCCGTCCAAGGACAAGGACTCACCGCGTTTGAGTGACCTCCGCTATTGGGCGTCGGGCTGATACATAACTGTCTCTCAATCTGGCCCTGCGGTCCAAGTTTGAAGGCGCTGATATAGCCCGTCACGCTGAATGAGTTCGACCGCGCGGTTGCGAAGAGATACTTCCCACTCTGCGCACAAAATACCACGTCCGATCTGTACATCTTCTTGAGATCCCGAACACCTGCTTCTCATTAGCCCGAATGATACGGCGGGAATCCAGCGCGTACCTGGAGGAACAAGCGGAAAGAGGTTTTGCGTGAAGACGGGGAGGTGTGTCTTCTCGTCGACCACGTAGACCCCCAGCCGATTCCCGGCTTCCATCAGCACGTAGAGATAGTGGCCACTGGGATGAATCTCCACCCATCGAGGATGATCGCCTGCCGAGGGTGCATCGACGCTGCCGACCAGGGTGAGGGTGCCATCGCTCGCTTTCTTGTGCGTCCAGATCTTGTCGGCCCACATGTCGGCGGAGTACAGATAGGTCTCGGTCGGGTCAAAGACCATTCCATGGATGGCAGACTGTTCGCAGTATTCGTAGTTTTGGATATTCTTGTCGAGTTTGCCCTTGTCGTCGACGGAGAAGACGTTACCGTAGCCCGCATGTTCGTAGAATGGATTGCCATAGACGCAATAGGGCGGCTTCTTGGCTGCCAGCACAAATATCGCTCTCGTCCTGGTGTCGGCGCTCTGAGCCCGAGCTGCCCGTCGTCAGCCCACCATCAAGCCTGGCAGCAAGCTGGCCAACCTACGATCATGATTCATCGGAAACGAAACCTCACGCGCGATGTTATCTGGTGCTTTGACGGCATGACAAGACCATTTCTTCATCGAAGCCCCGTAGATGTTTTGCCGTGCATGCTGCTCCGAGGGGTGTTGTTGTCAGTAGAGCAAAATTCGAGGGGGGCCTGTGCTCGCCATCTCTCTGGTGGACTTTGCACTCACATCGAATGTCATCCATGATATCGGCTCATCCACGGGAATGGATGTTTTCTTGACCAAAGTCAGGGTCCATGCTTCATCGTCGAACTCGACTGTGAAAATCGCGCCCGGCGGTGTCCATGTCCCTATCATCAGATGGTGTTTCATTTTGGACACCCCGAACACCTTTGTGGCCTATTCTCAAGAACCCAACTCGCCAAGTCACATGGCTATTTCAAGCCTGTCGATCGACGTGGGGATCTGATGTGGCAAAATCAGCCCCGGACAACCCGCAAAGCGAGAAATTGGGAGATGCCGAATTTGATTGCCGGGAAGAACTCGATTCGTGCAGCACTTCAACTACCGACTTTTTGCAACTTTCCAGGCACGCAGTGTGAGGCGGCACGAACTTGCCGACACGAGAACGACCCTCATGCCGTGGGTGCCGTCCTGCTTAGACTTAGCACCCTGGTAATTGGTTCAGTGCGTGGAAGTATTCGATTCCGAGAACGAAAGGGTTCTCCGGGATCAAAATCGCGGAGGCGAGGGGAGAATTGAACGACGTCAAGAGCCGCCTGTCGCTGCCTTATATATACTGCTGCCGCCATGGCCCTGGAATTAGCAGGAGTCTTCTTGCCTACTTCACTCCTCTCAGCTTACGTCCACTTCACTTCTCCCTTGTCCAGCCTTTGTCTTGTAACCAGCGGTCTTCATCTTGGTGCTGTGTGCTTCGAGCTCTCCTTCTCTCTTATACGACACACACTCAAGTCTCTCCACGTACACATATACACCCTTTCACCGGCAACATGAACGGGACGGCGAATGGAACGGCAGCTCACAAATATGATCCCAACTTCACCGACAGCCTCCTCCAGGCCATGGGTCCCAAGACCCCCGAGCGAGCCAGATTTGTCCTGGGAAACTTGATCCGCCATCTCCACGACTTCATCCGCGAAACGGAGCTTTCGCCTGAAGAATGGATGCGAGGTGTCCAGTTTGTCAACGCCATCGGCCAGATCAGCGATTCCAAGCGCAACGAAGGACAGCGAATTTGCGATGTGCTCGGCATTGAGTCGTACGTGAAGACTTCTTTGACTATGTCGACCCTCGAGAGCTAACCATTGCATTCTAGACTGGTCGATGAGGTAGCCAACAAAATCATGCTTGACAGTGATGAAACCCCAACGTCGTCCACAATCCTGGGCCCGTTCTGGAGCCCCCACGCTCCTTTCCGCGAGCTTGGTGATAGCATTGTTCAAGACCCATACCCGACCGGCAGACTCACCCGCATGCACGGCGTGGTCAGCGATTACAAGACCGGCAAGCCCATTCCCAATGCCATTGTGGACATCTGGCAAGCCTCAGCGAACGGCAAGTACGATTTCCAGGATGACAACCAGTCCGTCAACAACCTGCGCGGTAAGTTCAGGACCAACGAAAACGGCGAATACTACTACTATTGCTACCACCCGACCGCATACTCGCTCCCAACCGATGGTCCAGCTGGCGTCTTGCTGAAACTCATGGACCGCCATCCGATGAGACCGGCTCACATCCATCTCATGATCAGCGCCGACGGCTACAAATCTCTCACCACCCAGCTATATCCCCGGGATGACCCTTATGTGACCAGTGACTCTGTCTGCGCCGTCAAGGATGACCTGTTGCTCGACTTCAAGCCATCCAATGACCCTAAGGCCGAACTGGATCTGGAGTACAACGTCACGCTGCCTCCCCTGAAGCCTGGCCAGAAGGCGGGCTGGGTCCATACCGTGTTCTAAGCATCTTCCGCGAGGGTTACTTGTACTTGGGGTTCTGGTGTTTGTCTTTCTCTTGAATGCGCATGATTGGCACGAGGGAGCGGGTTTTTTGAACGCCCTCGACGCTGTGGACGGAGCCTCATAGTCATGCTGAACATGAAAATATCATATATGATCACCACGACTGATTAGCAATCCCTGAAGCTTACTTTCCGTGCCCCAAAGGGCGTTTTAACTCTTCCCATGACCCCTTGGGACGCTGCATTCTCATCTGACAATGTTTTGCATTTTCCCGTTTCTGAACTGTGATCCTTCATTCCGAAGATGTAACTGTCAATCTGACGATCCCCGATCCCGGCTTGTGCGGGCGCACAGAGAATCATTCACGAACTACTTAATGTACGCTCTAACCCCGCAAGCACATCAACGTTTCTGCGCTTGATTTCAACCTTTCTCCTTTTCCTCTATCTGGCTGACTCTGCAAGCAACATCTATTAGAGCTAGTCATCATGCGCCTTCCCTACGCGCCGTCAACCCCGCCTGCCGACTCGCCCTCGTCGGTAGCCGAGATATACGCCCGTATCGCTGCGCGGCGGAAACCGCGCCCTCTCATCCCGCTCGACCTGACGCTTCTGCACTCCCCGCCCGTGGCAAACGGGTACAATGCCTTCGTCGGTGCGCTACGAACCGAGACCATCGTGCCGCAGTCCTTTCTCGAGCTTGCCATCTCCCGCGTTGCGATCCTCACCGGCGCCGTCTATGAGTGGAACATCCACGCCGCGCTGGCGCTGAAAGCAGGTCTGTCGCCGGATGCGTTGGAGGTCGCCCGCGGCACACTGAAAGGGAAGGTGGGGGGAGAGAAGTCAGCAGCAGCACTGAATGAGAAAGAGGTGGCCGTGCTGAGATACACGGACGAAGCCACGGTCGATGTCAAGGTGCAGGATGCCACCTTCGAGGACCTCAAGACACACTTCAACGACCGGGAGATCTTGGAGCTGGCCACCGTGGTGGCCGGGTACAACGCGGTCAGTAGGATTCTCGTGCCACTGGATGTTGGCGAGAACAATGACAAGCCCATGAAGACGGTGGAGGAGTTGGTCGCAGGTCTGACTTGACACTATAAGTACCTCGTAGTCAGGCGAGAGTCTAGGTAGGCATTACAAGCGAGAATGGAGGGGGGAAAGACAAGGCTGATTACCCCTTTTAGTCTACGTACGGAGCGATCATACGCCCGTGTCGATGGTTTACTTGGTCTAAGAATCAGGATCGATACCTAGAATCACCTGGGCCCTTACTTCAATCAATTTGCTTGGTCCTAAGGACTGCCGAAGTATCAACCCGGGCATTCCGTCGTTCTTGGACCAGTCCGCATAAAGACCCATCCAGTTCATACAATTCTACCTTAGAACGGAGATATCTCCATCTGTTAGTCGCCTCCTATATAGGTCTTATGCTAAGAGGGATTGGGACACAGAGGCCGGCATACTGATCTAACGCCCGAAAATAGTATGCATCCTCATTCAATCAGTTGTCACCTCTACAACACTTGTCCTTTTGATTCCGTCCCGTCCTAGCCCGTCAAAAGCATTGCGGAAATGTGTTGTCCCTGAGGGGGGTGCATATTCAATTGCCACACTACCTTTCTTCTTCGACAGCTTCAGTTTGAACCAGGATGCAGACACCCTTCGCTAGTGTCAAGCGCCTCAACTTCATGAAGTGGTCGCCAGGCTGGCAGGACAAGGGGCGCCGGAGCCCACCAGCCCTTCCTCCAAGGTAGACAGGGTAGGTTAGCCGGAGAACATCGAACCCACCGTGGTGAACACTCACTCTATTATCGCGTAGATTTCTCTTTCTTAAGCCACCACACCATGTAGTTGTGCTTGTTCCAGACTTGAGCTGTATTATGGCCACTATCGCCCCGGTGCGCAGTGACTCCCCAGCGAATCCTGTCCACCGAATAACCTCTCCTTCAATTCCCAGCCCAGGTGGCACGCCTTCATCTTCGGTCCGCCCCTCAGTCGATCTTCCCACGAACAATGCTTCCTCTTCTCCCGCTCTACAGCAAAATGCCACTCTCACAGCTGCCCCATCGACCGCGCAAAGACGCAACCGTGCAGCTCTCCGAGATTACTACAATCTCAAATCCAAAGGCCCTTCTACCGCAGTCTATGAGCACCGAGATATAAGCCGCACAGCGAGCATAACATCCACGGCCTCCGACTCCACGACAGTCACCTCCTCCACCGCCATCCCGGAGACCGCGACCTCGTCCCTAACTGCACACCTAGACGACCCGACTTTCGACACTGAAACTTTCGTCTCTGAGCTACTGAAGACTGCCAGTCTACGTGACATTCTGAAAACTGAGAGCGCACTAGTCAGCGAAATTAGGACACTCGATGGCGAGAGGAAGGCATTGGTTTATGACAATTACAGTAAGCTGATCAAGGCGGTGGGTACGATCGCAGAGATGCAGAAAGGGATGCACAAGGACAAAGAGCAGGACGTCAGGTCAAGTGTGCTGGGCAGGCAGAAAGGTGAGCAAACTCCTGGGCTTGACGGAGTGGCATGGTTGGGAGACAAGTTGGATGGGTTGTTAAAGGTTGTGAAGGAGCTCAGTCCGGATGGAGGAGGCGGAGAGAGGGCGACACAGTTGACGGAAGCAAGGCGGAAGAGGACACAAAAGGAGATCGTCAGGTGGGCTCTAGATGCACCGGTACGAATGCAACAAATGATTGATCAGGGACAAAAGGAAGACGCTGAGCGGGAGTATAGCTCTGTTACGGAAGTCCTGGACAAATGGAACGGCGTCGATGGTGTCGAAGAGCTGCGACGCAAATGTACGAAAGTCATGCAGAGTGCAAAGGAGGATTTGAAAGCAGGCGAGCAAGGCGACTCGGGTTGAGTGAGTTGAGTGACTCTGGTCGCCCGTCTGATTGGTGCCACCATCATTTCCACGAGCGTCTGCTGCTCCAGCCATAACCTTCCAGGGCCTGGGTGCGTCACAGCTTCAGACTCAACAACACGCAGCGTCGATTGCCACAACAACCCCGGACACAGGACCGAAGCCACTCCCAAGGAAACGAATGGACGACCGACTACTCACATATAGCGAAGCAAGTTCGCTCGTCAAACACGAACCTCAACATGGGAAGTTCATGGGGAGACGGGAATCTGGTCGATAACATGGCAGCCGACGAAAAGGCCCCATCGATGCCGATGCCACCACCATCACCGCGCCTCACGTCGAAGTGTTACCACAGACCTACCTTCTCGACTGTGCCCCACCATCGAGAGACGCGAACCCGCAAGCCCTTTTCCCCGTAGAAAGGGAAGAAGTGAAAACCGGAGAGAACCTAAGCACAACCGCACGCTTGAACCCTCGATTCCAAGCAGAACAAAAACGTATAAAGTGCGGCGCCGGAGAGGGACGGACGGAAGAGAATGGGGGGGGAGGGAAGGGGGAGAGGGAGGGGGAAGAGGACACGAAACAAAACTACGTCTATTATTCGCGCGACCAGAGAATCTATCTCTATGGCCAAGGGGAATAAAGACATCTACGTAATATCTAAATAGACTATCCTGTCTCCATACGTACTATGTACTTACTACGCCTTTCTATCTTTCATCGTAAATCAACTTGTGAATGAATGTAAGGTGACTGGCTAGTGACGATTATCTTGGATAGCCGGGAGACGACGTAGCTACATGTGGAGAGATATATAGGAATCGATCGATGTGATGGATAGATCGATAGATACATAGGGCCCAACTACCTTACCTACATACTTGCATACATACATACATACCTAGGTGGATAGAGAGAAAAGGAACGATCCAAAGCCCTTATTATGTATGGGTCATCCTCAATGCCCATCTGCCCGTTGTCTGAAATTCGCGCCTTCTGCTTGTGGGGGGGGGGTAATCAACCGATATAGATCGTAGCTTGATCGTAGCTTGATCGTAGCTTGATCGTAGCTTGAAGGCCTGAAAAAGAAAAAGCAGGGGAGAATAAAAGCGAAATGGAATAATAGGTCTTCCATAGCAATCCGTACAGGAGTCCACCCTCCCGACCTGTCCATGTCCAACCCGGGACCACTGAAAATTCCATCTAAAAAATCGCTGGCACACTGCACGACACATCGTCACTCTCGAGTTGTTGCGGCCTTACTCTGCAGTCGTCTAGTAAGGACTATTCACGATTTCGTCTCTCAAATGACTCTGCCTCCCGCATCTCCTCGGCGTCATGCCCACCCCAGAAATCCTCGCTGCTGGGCCCATAATACTCTCCCTGGTAGGCCTCTTGAAGCTCTTCCGACTCACCATGTCCACTTCATTAGGCAATGCCAAGATAACGTTCTTGTCACTGCCAAACTCAAAATTGTCCGCCATGACTTCTGCTGCGTAGCGCTTGATCTGATAGGGGTCTTTCTTGCCATCGAGAACCTTCTTTAGGGACCAGGTGACCAGGAAAGGGCCAGTGGAAGTGATGATGCTAGTTTCTTGGCTGTCAACGCCGGTGTTGAAGTGGGCACGCGTGAAAGAAATGCCTTGGCCTGTTTCGTGTTGGAACTGTGCTGCATGATTCGGGCTCAGGCAGAGGCGGCGGGGCTGAGGTTTTGAGTCCTTTGCAAAGGGTTTCTCAAAGCCTAATTTGCCTTCGTTTTTGCCATCCTTTTGTAAGCTATCAATCAGGATGAGGTAGGTTTTGCAGGTTCCGAGCACCCAGCGACCATCGGCACTGACGTCGAGACCGATAATTGCTTCGCCCAGGGCTGGAATCTGGGTTTTGGCGTTGATACCGAGACGGTCGTAGAGTCGGACATCACCTTTGTTGGATGCCAGTGCGATGTATCCCTTTTCGGTCGTTGCAGCCGCGGAAAAGTCGTTTTTAGAGAGGTATTGTTTCAGCTGTGCTTCTACCAGCTTGTTGCCAGAGACACGGGGATCAATGCGGAAGAGGGCATTCTTGCTATGACCAATGAATGGTTGCGCTGACGTCCGCTGAGAGAACTTTGTTTCTGGCGCAAAGTTGCTTACAGCAATGTCGTCGTGGACCTTCCACTCATCCACAACCTTGCCATATTCGAGGTCCATGCGATAGAGTGAGTGGGGATTGTTGGGGTCTTGCAGCACCATGTTCTGGTCTTCTTGGTGCAGCATGACCTTAGTGGGTGAGAAGAGCTTGCCCTTGGGAGTCTGGACCTTGGATATATTGGTGGTGAATTCGAGATGTTTGTTGGGCAGGTGCTTGAAGACACCAATCTTGGAGCCGCGAATAACGAATGATCGATCATGTTTAGTTCCAACTGCCAGTTGAGAATTGACGTTTCCGTCTTGGTTGTCCAGCTCAACATCATCCTCAGATTCGTCCTCATCATAGCGTTCACTTCGCGGACGGTCTCCTTCCTCTTCCTCTTCTTCTTCCTCATCTTCTTCAGCCCCCTCCTCTTCATTTGCATCATTCATAGTCATATCATTGAAGGCTTCCAAGACGTATTCACGTTCCTGATCTTTCACTTTTGACCATTTCGTCTCGTTCAATTGCTCCCACAAAGCCTGCATGACGCCCTCTTGAAAGTTCTCCAAGACCGCCTGGTCTTTGAATCGTAGCAACCAAGAGTAAGCAGAGCCATCGTCGGTGTAGTGGTTGAAAATTGCAGACAGATAGTCGAAGTTGAAGACTGGATTGATATCGGGCACAATGGCCTGACCTAGCCATTCCCTGCCGGTAGAACTCGTTATTTGAAGCCAGTATTGCCAGCCTCCGAGATCTGTCACAACAGCAGTTACGGATAGATCTTGGAGGACGAAAGTTCCTGACGGGAAATCGAAGAGATGGAGCTCTCCGGTTTGCTTGGTGAGAACTTCTCCAGAGCTTGGAGCGGATTTCGCTGGTGGAGCTTCCGTGGCGCCAGTGTCTCTCGCTTTGGATTGGTTTGATGTCTTCGGTGTTCTAACATCCTTCGCCATTCTCTGTGCCGATTCTCTGGATGTTGGTTTTGGGTCGAGAGGCGCAGATACCGAGCTAGCAGCGGGGATCGCGTCGTCTGAGTCAAAGTAGAATTCTTGTAGTTCAGCCTCTGTAGCCTTCTGAGCAGACCTCCGGTATTTTCTTTCGAATTGACAGTCGATCGCAGCTAGAAGAAAAGTGTGGATCTTTTCTTCCTGGACTGAAGCGTCACAAACAAATTCATAAAGATCTCCAGGGTCACCGCTTAGGTCGCGCCAAGCTAAGACCGTTTCGCCGCCCGACCGCCTTTCTGATCTGAAATGTAGACTCTGATCAAGGAGGAAGGTCTTCTCGTCCTTGTCCAGACCCTCACCGCCTGCGTCCTCGTCGTCCTCAGCAAGTTCTTCCTCGCCCTCCTCATACGCACGCTGTATAACGAGCTGGTACTGATGATCTTGCCCCGTGCGTCTGATGGTGGCGACAGCGTCTTTGTAGATGAGTTCAGAGTAACCTTTAGGGGAGAGAGGACGGACGAGGTAGAGTTGGCCCTGAGGAATTTCTGTGATGACCTCCTTGGAAGCGTCTCCGAAAAGATATTTGCTGACTGCAGAAGGGCATTTGTTAGTTTTTGTGGCGCGATCAGGGGGCAACAGGCAGGGATGTAGGGATGTATCTTACCGTTTCTGATCATAAACATGATGGCGGGGTCTGGCAGCTAAGCTGCAACGAGCCGACTGGACTTTGGTCCAGAAGCGAATGAGTTTGGAATGATGGCAGGAAGGTGAGGGAAAATCTTGAAGTATGGCTATGAGACGTCAAGAGGGACAGGCAAACCGTTGTTGAAATATTTAATCCATTGTTGTTGGTAGGATAGAAAAGATGCAAGATAAACAGCTCCGCAGGCAAACTGGACTTGACTGAGGAGTTGTCGCCATGACGCAACTGGCCTAGGCAACTGTGAGCCCCCCATCAAGGCAAACGACCCATGGGCAAGGTTTCGGCCAGGCAACCGACAGGGCCTGCTTAGGTAAACTCCACAGCCTCAGCCTGATGGGAGACTAGTGACAAGAGCGGCACAAGGCTGAAACAACGCCCTCTGCGACCCCCAATGTCACGCCAGGCACTTCCGTTCCGCAGAGTCGTATTCCAGGACAATTCACATTTCACACTCTGCAGCACCACCACGACCCTCCGTCTGAATCTTCCAAATTCACTCCTTCTTAAACTATTAATTTGCCTATGGCATCAAAAGACGCTTCAAACTCAGAGAGGCGAGATTCCTCCTCGCAGCGCAAGAATGCGCGCCCATCTCTGGCCGACAATCCTTACCACCCCAATTCAGCCGCATATTTAGCATATCCGGTCAAACACGTTGTGTCCAGCCTCTATCGTCGTATGACCGAACCTCCCGAAAACCCCGTCAACCGGCTTCTCGACGCCCCTACCCTTTCGACCTCATCATCAGGCGTTTACACTCCTCCAAGAAGAACTGCTTCTCCCTTCCAACCTCCACCCCTCACTCCTCTTGAACTGAGGCATTCATTGTCCCAGAAAGCCGCGACCTCATTGCTCTTGACGCGGCCACTGGCCGAAGAGATTCGACTTTTACTCCCTCCAAGGCTTCAACTCATTGATCATTGGACGTTGGCATATTCACTAGAGGCTCATGGCTCCTCATTGGCGACCTTGTATGAACACTGTGCTCACGTGTCAACCTACACTCAGCGCTCAGGTTATGTCCTGGTAGTAAGAGATGGATCGGCGTCTTCCACAAATGGATCTGTTTTCGGTGCGTATCTCTCGGACGCGCCTAAGCCGTCTCTTCATTACTTTGGCACCGGCGAATGTTTCCTCTGGCGTGCAAGCATATTGCCCACCTTAAGGGACCTGTCTACAAACCTGCACCCCGGTACAGAGGCCGCTTCCAAAGATCTGCTGGATTTGGCTGGATTGCCACCTCCCCCCAGTGCTGATACCACCAAGCTTCAGCGATTTACCACAATTCGAGGCGAGCGGCGAACACCCTCGGCATCAACAACCTCATTACCACAACCTTCTGACACTAAGGAACTGTCCGCACCTTTAGCGCCACCTCTTGATCGCTCAGGCGCTTCAACACCTGATCGGATAAGGTTCAAAGCATTTCCGTACAGTGGAATAAATGATTTCCTGATTTACTGCCAGTCTGGTTATCTCTCTATTGGTGGCGGGGATGGGCACTATGGCCTCTGGTTGGACGATGAATTGAACAGCGGCATTAGCGAATCATGCCCTACGTTTGGTAACGAACCACTAAGCGAAGAAGGCCGCCGATTTGAAGTCCTCGGCGTAGAGGTGTGGTATGTTGGTGCATGAGCCCAGAGCTCTACGTGGCGAACCAGAGCCCAGGGCTCATTGTCGTACATTGACCACTTTGAGCTCCGATCCCAGGAACCCGAGAAGCCATTTCCAAGGTGAAGGGTCTAGCAATCTGGAGGTGAATTGTTACAGTTCACTACTGTGATTGTCGGACGAGAATCTGGGACTGAGCCCAAGCCATGTCGGATTATCGGGTAGTGAGCAGAATTGTTTGTACGCCGAGCGAAGATCGTTGCACAGCGACAGCATAGAGAGTCTTCTGGTTGAGCAAAGACGCTGCTGGTCGACGAATTCTGTGCAGATCACCGGCGTGTAGCTGGAGCGATCGATGCTGAGTGAGCTGTCTTGACACGCGGCAATGATCTCGAAGCATGACTTGCATGATCTCCTTCCGGGTATGGTCTACAAGAAGTTAGCTATATGGAGTGCCGACAGCCATCACCAACGCCGATTACTTCAGCAGACTGGAGTAGCTGGTGCAACCGACTTAATTGTGACGAAACTAACAATCAAGGCGGCTTTGCCGTATCAGGATCGTCGTCAGTCGAGGACATGGCATGTTGATGCTGGGACAAGTCCGCCCCATTTTCCCGATATGCCTTGGACGATATCCAGTCCACGGAGCTCAGAGTTCAGCTTAGGTCAGTGGTTACCTTGCTTTGGTAATTCAGCGACCAGATGCATCCCATGCCAATTCTGTTGAGAACACGTCCTGAAAGGGATTGTGTTATAGGTATTCTGTGGAGGGACTGACCGTCCAACTGCTGCTCGTTGCAATGCAGTGGAAATGGATCGCCGATTGAGCGCGTCGACTGACCCAGTGCACTCACACCGCGGACGAACGTTTTATCTCAAGCACAGGAGACGAACTCCACACTTCATTTGCAAAACCTATACAGGTATTGCTGCTCAGGTCGGAGTGCAAAACATCCGCCGACGTTTCAAGGTGGAAATTACATGTTGGTCGGGATCTTGGGATCTTGAGAATCGGGTGCAACCGCATGTGTATTCGCTGCAGGTTCAATCAGATATGAATCCAACGCTGGAGCCACACCGACGTCATATGTACCTCAGGTGCTGGGAACTGTGGTGCGGGGGCTGACGGTGCTCGGTCCTTCATCCAGGGCAGCCACAGCTGGGATGTTCCGTTCACTGTGCGGGACCGAATGAAAGCCTAGCCAGGAGTACAACTGGGAGCTGGGAAGCAGCACAGAGACCAATAGATTGCGGGCCTACACCTGCCGCAAGAGGAAACCCGGGTGATATCCGCAAAGCGAAAGCTTGAAGAGCAGGGAGATGAATTCCTGCGGAAGAATGGAGATGGAGCAAGCAGTGTTTCGCAGCAGCAAGCGGCGCGGGCCAACATTGTACCTGTGGGCCAGCCATGACGCAGGTGGCAGTACTGCACAGTAGATGCCAGCAACACTACTGGAAGAACAAGCATAGTCAGCAACTCCAATCGCGGAATTGGACCACTGGTACGAAGCCGAACGGGGAGAATACGCGCCGGCCTAAAAACCACGTGGTGGTGATGCCTTTCGACGCGCATGATCTGACGGGTAGCTATCAAACAAAGTAAGTACAGTAGATTAGTCGGGTATGCGGGGGAGGCAGGAGACGAGGATGGTGGTCAAAGCAATCCCAGGGTGAGAATAAACGAGCGTGGCTTGACTTTGTGCTTGCTGGTGAGAAAGGAGAATGGTGCTTCTTCCCCAAAATGGAGGTTGGCGGGCGAGGTCGACGACGTCGAATCGAATGCACGGTGGGTGCCTCGTTCGTGTCCCTTTGTTATTGACCGTTGTCCAGGGGCAGGCCATTTGATGGTCTAGGTACTAAAGCAGACGGGAAAAGAAGAATATCTCAAAACGGGTAGTGGTGCCATGGATGATTTGACCAGCGGACTGGGGTTAGTCATGATCATTCAAGCAAAGCACAAACCCCAAACCACACAACCATTCCGCCCTGCTGCACACTGCAAACACGGTCAGCAATGATTATCCGAGGACGACCCCAAGGAATAGTCCAACGTTCCTCCGGGCAGATCCCTCCTCCTCTCCCCTTGATTGCTTGTTCTTGACCATCCTGGCTCTGGTTGAAGGTGCTGCATATCGCTGAGACAGTTTGTTCTGGGCCGTCAAAAGCTTAAGGGCGAGGGAGCGAGATAAGATAATAGTAAGTGATGAGAAGGACGAGGGGGCACAAGGAGGACAACAGCAGAATTGGGACGAGAAGGGAAAAAAACAAAAACAAAGCTAAATCAAAAGACAGCGGCGTGACGGGCAATTGTCAATTACCTTACCGGAAAAACTCTGCGATACCACAGTTACGTTGCGAGTACTAGCCCATACGGTGTATATTAGCAAAACTAATCATGAGAGGAGAGGCATTATTGCGGCGCTCTTCTTCCCCTCCCTGAACTGCGTCTTTTTTGGGTGTTTGCCAAAGTCTTTTTCGGCCGTGTGATACTATTTCGGAGGAAATTCGCACATATATCTAGATTGCTCAATTTGCCAAGTGGCAGCAGGACTGTTCTCCGTATCAGGGGCAAGAGGGGTCTAGGACCGAATATACCGAGTACCACCCAGTACTTTGTGAGGCCTCAATGACGTACTTGGTCCATGTTCGTGCCCCTCCAGAAAGAAGCAACGATTGCGAGACGAGCTGGATGAAAGGTGCGCAGCGGTGTGGCCGACTCAGCGCAGCCCAGAAGATGAGGCTATTGGTTCCGCGCACACATAATCGCATCCTTGGACTAAAGGGGAAGTCGTGGTGTGTCCAGAACGGCGGCCTCGCTTCTTCGCTCTTTTGTCGCGCCTAAGGTTACTGTGTTAGGCCGTGGCCCCTGGGTTGTGACTTGGCTGGCTGGGGAATTTGGGCTGCCGAGTGCCGGGAAGGGCAATCATTTCTTTTTCCTGTCGTCTTGTTCGCTGGTGGTGTTTTCATTCCGAGGACCGGATAACAGGAGCAGAAAGTTATGCTGAGAGGGAGGGGGGGGGGGGGCAGAAAGTTGGATGAAGGCAAAAAGAATAAAGAATAATGGATACGGGAAGCAGAAGGGTTGAATGGGTTAGTGAAGCGGTATGCAGTGTTGTGTGCCAGTTGTTCACACGGGACAGGGTGAACAGGGTCCCAGTCGTACCTGGTTTTTTTAAACAGTACCCAGTACCGAGTAAGGGCCTCCAGGGTTCCAGGTTCTAGCTCGGTGCCTAGAGGGTCGAGGGGATGCCGACCTCTGGGCTGCTACTAAGGCCCCGAACGGCGAACGGCGAACAGCCAACAACCCCACTGCCGCTGTCATCGTAATCCCTATGCAGCGTCAACAAGTGTCCAAGTCACGATCCACGCCAGCATCATGTCATCATCCAACCCAAACCATCTTCCACCCTCCACCCACCCTGGACACCCCTTGTTGCCCTTGCTAGTCGTTAGCCTGCCTCGTCTCCACCCATCGACATGGCCCTCTCTCTGCTTTGTCTGTCTTGTGTTGTTGCTCCGTACGAGTACGGCAACCAAGGGCATGGGACGTGGACATGCATCAAACTTTTTGCCCGTTCTCCTTCGTTCCCTCGAGTTGACCTTTTTTTTTTTTTGGTTCCAACAGCTACTCCCCGGTCCACAGTGCTCATCATGGTGGATCCGGCTAACTGATGTCTTCTTAGTAACCCAGCCCTCCTCTGAGCAATGGCTGCTACTAGCTGTGATCCATGATATAAGGCCTCATGCCTCATGCTTCGTTACCCTCCCTCTCACCTTGTGCTTTCTTGAAAACCCCACTCCTCTGCGGATATTATTGTCGACGAGACTTCATAAGCTGACCGACCTCGCTCTTGGGGAACTACAGTCCTGTCTTCCATATAATATCCTTATCGTGCCTCGGTCTCCCTCCTCGTTGGGCCTCCCTTTGCTGGCGTCGTCTTCCGCTCTTATAATACTATACGGAGCATCTGTCGTTGGGACATACCACCGGCCCTAAAAGCTCTTGACCTAGACCAGCAATGGGCGCTACCATCATGACCCCTCCCTTGGAACCTTCATCACCTATGGACGGCGGAATTCGCAAGCGGGTATGCAAAGCCTGCGATCGCTGCCGTCTAAAAAAGTCAAAGGTCAGTCCATGGCTCACCGGTCTTTCCCACAATATACTGACCCAATATCAGTGCGACGGTGCTAGTCCCTGTAGTCGCTGTAAAGCAGACAACGCCATCTGTGTCTTTGGCGAGCGCAAAAAGTCCCATGACAAGGTCTATCCCAAAGGGTGAGTTTCCTGGCGCATTGCTGCTACCTGGTCTCTACCGACGGAAGAGCGGCCCTTCTGACAGCGGGATTCCTACAGTTACGTAGAGATGCTCGAAAGCCAGCAAGCACAACTGGTGGCGGGCCTGCAAGAGCTGTACAAGCGAACTCAAAACGGGCAAGGTTGGACAGGTGCACCCTTGAAGGAGTCGGCGAACGGCGTGCCCTTGACCCACGACATTCTGGAGAGGCTGGGAGCCCTGAAGCAAGATGGTCACACAAGCGAGGCCTTCGAGGAGGACCTTTCTGTTCTGCAACAAAAGCTGATTGCCGACGGTGCTGGCTTCATGCAGCGACAACCCTCCCACGACTCTCACTCGGACAGCAGCGCGCCCTCGCCCATCTACGAGCCCGTTGCCCAACGGCCCAATTTCACCAACCCGTTCAACCTCAACCAGTTCCCTCCCACACCCCCCAACCAGAGTCCCTTCCCCCAGAACGCACGCGCGATCCCGACCAAATCACACTCATATCCACATGCCCAATCGAATCTCAGCTGGAACACGCCCGTCTCGGAATTCGATGACAGCATGGATTTTATCAACCAATTCGAGTCTCCCATCATGGATTCGGCCATCGACATGAACTCGTTTCCGCCAACCATGTTCCAAGATCATATTGTCCCCGCCGCAATCAACCCCTGTCTGACCATGAAAGACTGGGCCGGCCAGGAAGATCTTCAGCGGTATTTCAATACCAATATGATTTCATGACCGCCCTCAGAGGCTCCTTCTCCAGCACACGACTGTTTAACGATCATAGCACTGTAATGCATCCAAAAGCGGGCGAATGGGTTTTGGCTTTTTGTGGGGGTTCTCCCAGCTTCGCTTGGGATATTTAGGGGGGTTCTTACGGAAATGACATCCGGCGGGCAGGGCGGCACCGAAGACGACCTCGATGGCCACGTCTTCTTGCTAGTGGGGTGGGAGCCACAGCCGATTTTACGTCATGCAAGGGGGCTTTGTTGTGTACCATGGCAAGTTTTTGATGATACCACATCTCGATCGGGACATGTTTTTCTGGGCAGATTTCTGCTTTGGGCGGGAACAGAGCTGTGGAGCATTTGCCGATGGCGAAAAAGGGTGGCCATAGCACTCGTGATGGGAAGCGAGACCAGGATCAACGCAGGCTGGCATGCCTCGTTGCATATCTCACCATGCGTCTCTATATACTAATGCACGGAGCGGAGAGCAATCTCTTCATGTGAGTACGAATAATGCAAGCAAGGCTGCGATTCGGTCACGGAGCGCGGCCCTACTTTACCATGATCTTCACTGGTTCTTCCAATATCGAAACCATCACATGCCGAAAGCTGTTCGTATCAGACCGCTCTTTCCGAGGGCCCCTTCATGCCAGATCTCATTGCACACAGACCCCAGGTTGAGCAGTAAAAAGACTCGCAAACGGCGTCATAAAATAGATTGTGATGCAACCTATTACATACCTAGGAGAACACGTCATGACGACCTCGGCGGCTCCTACCCCGCAACAGCCTTGTGGCACGCACTTCATCTCCGTAGCTGCAATCACAACTCAATGTCGCTTTATCTTTGGGATTGTCGAGGTAGCTTTTCTCCATCTTGTGGTAGAGAGAGCCCTCCGCACTTGAACGGTCCATAGCGTGCTGAGCGTGCTCAATTCAGCCTATGGTACGCTGAACCGGGTAAATGGGCGCCAGCATCAGGTATGTCCCCCGGCCTGTTTTATTGGACAGAAGGTCACTGTACTGAAAAATTCCTATCATGACTCCAAGGCCCATCCACGCTGATGCAACTATCTTGTCATCACTCTCTGTCGACAACACGACCATAGCTCTCCCTTGATCAATACTGAGTCTGTCCTGCCGGTGCCACGTCGGCCGCCGCTGTCAGTCGCAGTCATGTCGTCAGACTCCGGCTTCTCTTTCCTCCCGCAAGGTGCGATCATCCAGGAGTTCAACGTGGCTGGTCATAACATCGTGCTTGGGTATCCCACTCCCGAACCCTATGCCGATTCACCATTCTTTGGTGAGACCATTGGCCGCGTTGCCAACAGAATCAAGGACGCCAAGTTCACTCTGAACGGGAAGTTGTACAAGCTAGCAGCAAACGAAGGGCCTACCCATATCCATGGAGGCGTAAAGGGTTGGGGTAAGAAGAAGTTCAATGGTCCGCAACCCGTCAGCCGCAATGGGAAGGAAGCAGTTCTCTTCACATATGTGTCGCCCGATGGAGAGGAAGGATATCCCGGCACCGTGGAGCTGAGAGTTTGGTACATAGCTTGGACAGAGGACGAAGGTGGAGTTACCAAGACTGTGCTTGAAACAGAGTATGAGGTAGAGCTGACTGGGAACGAGTGTGATGAGACTGTCGTCAACATCACCAACCACGGGTGAGTCTGGTCCGGGACGGCCATTTATGGTAGCTCTCCTATTAACACCAGTCCGAACAGCTACTTCAACCTGAGTGATGGACCCACCATCGAAGGGTCGGTGGTGACGCTCCATACTTCGAAATATCTGGTGGTGAACAGCGCGCTGATCCCGACCGGGGCGATTGAAGATTTCCCGGGCATTGAAGCAAATAAACCTTTCGTCCTGGGTGCGACAGAGCCGGATATTGACCATTGCTTTGTTGTCGACACGGATACATCAGATCTCCCTCTGGATACTCGCCCAAGACAGCTCAAACCGCTGATTAGCGTATCACATCCCACAACCAAATTGCACCTGGACGTCTTCAGCACAGAACCCTGCTTTCAGTTCTACACCGGGAAGCATATCAAGGCCGCCGCAACAGCACAAACTCCAGCAAGAGGTGCACGAGCAGGTTTCTGCGTGGAAGCGAGCCGCTTCATCAATGCGATCAACGTGCCAGAATGGCGGAACCAAGTGATACTCAAGCGCGGCCAAATTTGGGGTGCAAGGACCGTCCACAAAGCTTGGAAGGCATAGGGGGAACATCAGGCGGCCTAAGCGCTGCTCGCAAGGCTGGACAAGGCTTCCTGCACACCACCCTCCTCGACCAGTTTTCTAATCATAGAAGGTCTGAGATCACGTGTGGCTAAGATGACCGGAAAAAGGGTTTATCATTCGAGAATCTGACCCGGTGAGCACTTGCGCGCGAGGCAGCATAAGCGATAGAATCTTCAGTCTCTCCCTGACAAATTCATCTCATATTATGACGGCATAATCACGCCATGGGCCAACGACAAGGCGCATAATCCCCGTCGCTGGTTGCATGGCCTAACTTGGCCACTTCTTGGATCCAGGAGAGAAAATCACGCGTGCCAACACTCCAGGAGTCCATGTCGAAATGTGGATTTCATTTTAGATTGAAAAAATGCCTCAAAACCCCCAGAAAATAATCATGGCAGATGCGAGATCACGGAGCCGCTTTATTCAGCTGGCGACGACAATAATATGTCGAATAGTGATGACTTGCGGTACGTCGGCCGTAAGTAAAAGCCGAGACTACGAGGTACTCGGACAGGCATCCGTGGCCCGATCAGGGAATGCCAGGGTTAGAAATGGTCGACGGGGTCGAAGTGGTCCCTGATGTACGGAGTACGACTGAACCATGTTCTTTGCGATCCCGTGATTGATGGTTCGGGGACTTGGAACAATCTTCAATCTCGTTGTCTGCTTGGAAGCCGAGTTCTCGCCGTGCTGTCTTGATGGACGGATCGCATTACAAGCCCTTTTCCTCAAAAATGCCCGCTTGGGGTAATAAACTGTTACGTTCGCATCTTTTCACCGTTGCGAAACAGAATAGGCACGCGCATCGCAGAGGGTTTGGAGGGCTTGTATGGGACACTTTTATGTGAGTGTCGATCAAACCATCACAACATCCAATCAATCAAGCGAGTACACATCCAGCAAGGCGCATGGACATGGCGTCGGATATCTTTTCACCCGAATCCGAAACCCTGCCTTGGTCGGCCTCCATCACACAAGCGCTGAAGCGGTCGCAAAAATGCGCCGTATTTTGTGACTTCCCCTCTTCTTAGCAGACACGGCGACTTCTGGTTTGCCTGAAGCCCTCCCATCCACCGTTAGTGTTGGGCGATGCGGTTCTGGACCTGTATACACTTGGCCGTGTGAACTCACACCGAAGCTCGAGGGTCAAAATCACTTCCAAGTGGCTGGTGACGACTGGAGGAAAAGCGCCAGAGTCTGTGTTTTCTCCAGGCACGATCAATCGAACGTAATGGACGAGAAGAGAGACAGAGAGACAGACACACAGACACCATGAGAAAAACGCACGAGACCCGACGTTTGACCCATATTATTGGACATGCAAACAGGATGCAAGATGCAGCTGGATTGAAGCACACTGGGCCTAACCTGCCCTGAGCCGTGGTTTCTAGAAGATCGATCGGGGACTATCAGCAGTGCACTTGCTGCTGCAGGTGGCGAGATCATCACTCAGGGCAGGCCGCAGTCTTAGGCATCAGCCAAAGCAATCAGCCATGGCATGTTCTTGTCGAGCGCATGTGGAGAGATGTGATTGGTCGAGCCTGGGCGCTCAAGACGCCTCGGGGATACAATGTGGTCACAGCCCCCTTCTACAAGTATATTTCAAGCTCCCCCTCGGACCACGTATTCGCTTGGGCTTCCAAAGGTGGGATCCCTAGCTGCACAACGGGGTCGCCAGGATCGCCAGGGTCGCCTTGCCAACAACCTGCCAATGCTTTCCCCGCGGAAAGCCTCGTGGTTCGCGGCGGTGCTCTTGGAGAATTGGGACAAGAGTACGGAGTACGATGTTTCACTGGGATTGGCGTCCCAAGAGCGACGGGAGAATCCCCAGTGACATGCCCAGCACAAGACCCCTATGCCCAGCATTTCCGGGGGGGCGCCACCTCGTACAATCGTGAGAGTAATTCATTTCAAGAAATCCTTCCTTCTTCGTTAATCTCGGCGAGGGGGGGAGGGGGAAAGGGGGAAGGTTCCGCTGAGCAGGTTGCTGAGAAAGACTCCGAGCTCCTCAGGCCAGTAACTGGACCCAAGCAGCACAAGGTAGTATGTCCCAAGGAGGGTTAGCTTGTTCAGGCATAATTCGCTGCATAACTCCTGTTCGGGATAAAAGCCAGTTCGCCAATGAAATGCCGGGGTTGTGGTCATGGTCATGGCTGTATAAGGGCTGGTATTACGGTAGCCTTACCGAGAGTTTATCCGGTATGGTCACCTCCGTATCGACATTTCAATTTCAAATGTCAACATCGTACGATTCTCATTCGATTTTCACTTCGTTCTCTTCTCCCTTCTCGCTCCCGCTCTCACTTCTCGTTTCTCGCTCCTCGCTCCTCGCTCCTCGCCGCAGCGTCGTCCTTGGTCGCCGAAACGAGCGCAAAAGTAATCAAACATCCAAAATCGTCCCTCATTGAAAGGGTCCTCGCATTAGATTGTGTGCTAGCCTTTTTGCTATCAATCCGTGTGATCTGCTGTCACGGCTGCTTTCTCAACTGCCATCCGTACAGTATTATCATGTTGTCTAGTGCCAAATGATCCTCTATCAATCTGCTGCATTTCGATTCCTCATCACACACAAGGGCAGATCTTCCCCCCCTGGGCCCCCATGGCACTGCCTGAAACAAAACAAAGTTCCTAGCCTGGCTATAACAACTTCCAGCCGAGACACGCTTTGCCCTCTTCGAGCTTGAATGGCTGGGTGCTTGATTGGCTTGGCCGAGCCGATGGAGCAAGCCTGCCGCTGACTCAGAATGCTCACCAAATCTCTGTCATGGTTTCGCGGCACCAGGAGGGTGATTCTAGTCCCTCTCCGGCCGCCAGCTTTGTCAACACCTTCGTGTTTGTTGCACAGCGGCTCGCAAAATCTCCTCGGGTGCGGATTTGTTCTATGGACGTACTCCCGCTTCGACCACACAGGACAAGCCAGCATTCTCCACCTGCGAAGCTACATCTTGCCCGTGTCACCTATCAAGACCCCCCCCCCCAACCGATCCAGGTCCAGGGCTTCAACACCAAACCCAGGTTTCGTGGCGGATTCCTTGCTCGGGATTCGTGACTTCCTCTTCAAGGAAAGGTTTCAGGCTTAGGGACGTTCGAGACTTGAGACGTTTTCCCCCGCTCCTTTAACGAGCGCCAGAAATCAGACATTTGCATCTGAGATCTGCACGCCATCTTGTGACTCATCAGGCAGCACACCAGAGGGTACGCGCCTGTGGTGGGCTCTCTCCGCATAACCAGTCCCTATCAGAGCCTTTTGCCAGCTTGAATAGGCCCTCGAAGGTCCCTTCTGCGCCAATGTACGCCCGGCTCCATGATCACGGGATCTTCAACCCCGCTACCGAATACGCTGATGCTTTTTGGCCGCCCACAAGCCATTGGCCGTAATCAGAATCTGCTGAGTATTCCTCTTCTGGCATCAAAACGCCCGTTTCAAGTAATGAACTATCTCATTCCTGATTGGCAGTCAATTCCCCAACGTCTTCTGGAATTCCTCCAGCACGAAACTGCGGCCGCCCGCGAGTGCTGCTTGTGAAATCTATCAGCTGCTTTGTCACCAAAAGTTACAATTTGCCTGAGACCCTTTCCATTCTCGAACGAGGTCGCTTTCTCTGACAAACAACTGGGCGTGTTTTCTCAACATTCTGAGTAACTCGGACTTCGCCCGAGGTTATGTCCCCCATCGGACGTCTGACTGGGAGATTAATGTTTTTCAACCAAGATCGATCCCATCGACAAGAACGAAGGGTTAAGGGGAGCGGCCTGCGGCCCACAATGCCCTCCAAGCGCGAATCTGCCCTTCGACCAGTCAAGTGTCGTGCCCGGTACGTCAGTGCCCATTCAACTCCCAGCCTTCACGAGCAATCGGAGAAAATCTGATGACCGCAACGTTATATCCGATATCAGACGGTGGACATCCGCAATAGGAAGTAAGCGAGTCAGACCCTACTTGCCTCCCGACAGAAGGAACAACGCAGCGAGCACGTTTCATGTTTTCTTGTCAAATGCTAGCTCTGGCCCAAGATGGCGCCGCCGTCAACGTCCAACAGATCAGCCCTTTAGCGGTGGCTTTTGTAGGTATGTACGGGGACAACTGATCCTAATCAGAGATTGGTCGAAGTTATCAAAGGGATTCAAATCTACTTACTCATCCTGCCGCGCAAACTCTATCTGGAATTTTTCCCTAACACTGCTGCCTGATTGGTAACAGCTCGAGATCTACCCCAAGAGCGAACAATGGCCAACAAGCGCTGAGATGTCCTCGGCACAGGGTCGACGAAATGAACCCCTGCGTTTTTCGGAAAATCACACCATGCCATCCTCGAAAAGAAATGAACTCGTCTTGGTGGCTCACCCTTGCTCACCTTACATTGGCATCACTAGAGGCTGCTGAACTACCAGAGGTGCCTCGGCACAAACCTACAGACAAGCAGGGTACACTCAGGGTCCCCAGCCTAATTATAAGTCGATCGTCGATCTAACGTTACTTGAGAGTTCGGCAATCCGGGACCTGTGCGGTTACAGCCGCATCAAGCTTGACTTCTGATCCTTCTTGATTACATACCTGTGGGTGCTTGATCGGTCTCTTCTGCTCGGCTGAGACACGGTAAAGTGGGATCGAGCTGCCCTAATTTGAACAACAATGCTACCGGACATTGGGATCGAGACATGCAGGGAACGGAGCCGGAGAGCTTCTACTGTGTAAGGGTCTGAAATCCTCCGTCCAATATTTCTGCCAGATTCTCTATTCGCGGCCAAGAATGATGTCAGTCGGCCTCAGACGCGGTGTCCCTGGCGTTCGAGGAGCAACATGTGTTTTCGAAAATTGCTCGACGTCACGGCTACTCTGTGCATGTTCTGGTGGAATAGATGAGCCATTTCGACCTGTACGAGTACACCTTTCTTCCCATCGTCGCTCAGATGGCGGGATTGGCCCCAACTCCACTGTTTCTGCATGGCCTTCCGCTCATCCTCGTTGCGCACGA